CTCCAGCGCAGCGGCGAGGAGGTAAGGTTATTGCGGCAAGACCAAGAGACACACCCGACCCGCGTGGCGTCGATATGATGTCGAACTGATGGCTTGTCCGTCTCGACAGCCTGCCTGGCCCTGGGTCCTGGTGGGGTAAATTTCCAAACTGCTAATTCTATCATTCTCCCGAGTCCTGTCAATCCATATTTGCAAACAACCATTCTTAGCTTCAGGCTTTTGACGAGTTCATGTATTTGCGAGGAACTTGGATGCAGATCGGTATGTCCTATGGGAACGGCAAGACAAAATTGAAAGAAACGCTTCGTGCCAAATATTGAGCACAAAGGTGGACCTGCTTATATAGAGCCTGGATACAGGACGAGCGGAAAGGGTGATCAACGATTCAATGTTGTATGCGGGCCGCAAATCGGTCCATCGCCCTTGTCTGAATAGCACTGATGCGGTCCGAGAACACGATAAGGTACTGTGCTCTGATGCTCCAGTTGAATAATGAGTTCTTCAAGCAGGCCGAGTCCCATGTTTTCCGAAGTTCACAGCATCTTCATAATCGGTGTGATGAGGTGCAGATGGGTCGGAAGAAAGAATCGAAATTATTGAACAACATGCGGACGATGGTTGGTGCTCATATAGGACCCGCAATTATTGCACCTCCAGCCCAACACTGCAACAGCCGGTAGATTATTGTTACTGTAATAAAACCAGACAGAATTAAAAGACGTCACTATTCGTCGATCAGCATGAGTTTCCCAGGCTTCGGAACTGGAATCTCAAGAGCGGCGAAGAGCGGCGTAAAGATTCGTCGATAAGATAGAGAGGAGGCCGAGATAGGCTGTCAGAACTCGTTGAATAGTTGATACTCGGCTTCCTCCGTGACGTTAGTTGGTGTGATTATCGCGTACTGGTGGAAGACTGTATTCAACTATTCCCGTCTTATTGTGCAACTCTAAATAAAGCAGAAAAGCTCAAGAACCGCTTAGACTGATTGGCAAGTCGGCTCTGTCCTTCTTCGTCAATGCTACCTGAGAAACATGTTGCTGACTTGCAAGACGTGCTCACTTGTTTGTAAAGAGGGTATTTAGCACCCAAGAATTAGCTTACATCAGACAACTTGCCAGAGTTAGCACCATGTATTGCGTGGATGTGTGGACTGATGGCTAATAAGGAGGACAAGTGCAGATGCGCGTCCGTGTTTATATAAATGCTACTGTATGAATAATGCGAGAACATCTGCATGCTGCTTGAAACCGATGAAGGCGTTGGACTTGGTGTAAGCGAGGACAAAAAGCACGCATTTGGACGTTTCCCAATTCACACATTTTAACCGCCAGCCGCTCTGAGAACCTATGATATTGCACGGCTCTCAAGTATTGCATATGTACACTTCTTTCTCACGCAACATGCAAGTGTCGAAACTCGAAATGGACTCGGAGTGTGCGCTGCGATGAGTAGCGTCGCAGCAACATTTGTTTTGCTTTCGGTTGTGGCACATCGATGCGTTTGTTGATATGAAAGCGAAGGTTTTAGAGAAATAGAACTTCTGGGAGGCCGACACGTGTTGCTACTATCCGTCCGCTCCAAAGCACAGTGAAGCTGCCCGGCCCATAGGAGCTGCTGGGTCGATGCAGACACTGGGGATTCTTTATCACTTTGCAGGTGCGTCGACGGCTGCACGTTGGGTAAGTTGGCGGGGTTTGTCCCCTTGCCGCAGGTATTTCCGCCCACTGGATACTTCGTACGTACTTACTTCGAAGTACTTGTACGGAGTATATCACTATGCTTCAATCAGCTTTCGAAGAGGTCCCCGCGAAAGATATCGAAGTCGCCGTTGTTAGGTTGACACTTGTCCGCTTTCAGGCAGACTAAAGACCGCCAACGGTAGCCCAGACAGTAGGGAAATATTCCGGCAACGTGCGCAGTTCGACGGGCCCTGCCTGTGAAGTGACGGAAACGCCACGAGCAGGGGATCATGTCGAGAATGGAATGGTTCGTTCGGTCCCTGAAGGCTTGAGCCTTGAGCACAACCTAGTCAACCGGGGTTGGTTGGCCCCACGCTGGTTGGTGCTGGGCATCGTCGCCGCGTCCGGGTGGCTTTGGGTTTGCGGTACTGAAGAGTAATATTGAATGCCCCGTGTTGAGGCTGGACAGTCAATCGTGGGGGTTCCTATACAGAATGTTGACGCGATAACACGGTCGATTCTGTAGTGGTCGACAGGACTGTCCACGACTTGAAAATGTGAAAATCGCGTCTCTCTTGTTGGTGGTTTATCCTGTTGTGATTCCGTGTTGATACCCAAGCTGGGGAGAGCTTGGGATGACAGCGAAAGCGGACGATGCAGAATCCCAAAAGCGGCCGAACCAAAGCTAGAGAGAGGCCGTATCTGCTATTCCAAAACCTCGAACTTGCAGACTGCGGCATCGAGGTGGAAAAGAGTACAGAGTCGCATTTGCGAGATACAATTTCTTCCAAATCAGATAGATCGACATTCTAGCAGCTTTCGTTGGCTGGGGAAACGCTTGTTCAACCACAACTTTATTTCCCTGCCTATCATGGAGCGTGCCAGATATTGTGCGGACGGGGTCGAAATGAAGCCTAAAAGAATTGCGACGTCGAGAAATCGGGAGGCACCCGGGGGGTAACCTTATGCTGCCACACTCAGCCGAGCAACGACAACGAAGCGTCGCAGGGGAAGGGCGCGTGTGTTCAGAACGATTCTTCAACGACATGAGGATGCAATGAGGATGCGAATCACGAGTAAGTGATGCAGGAGACAATGGGTGAGTTCGTCATGGCGAACCAAGTAGAGTGAGGCCAGCGTTTGAGGAAGTGCGGAGAAAGAGGTTGATGAAGCTGGCTGCTGTGGAAGGAGAATCCAATATCGTCCCCCATATTATAATCGGTAGAAGGTGTCAGGTGTATATTAGTGGCCTTTTCGTACTTTGGTAGCGTTGCCATAAGCTCATGATACATTGGAGGTGATTACTCCTGTCAGATTGACTGAAGATGGAATAGGAAGTCCTGGTAAGATGTTGCTGCAAAATGCGAGAGACGACGGTGATATCCTATTTGCAGCCGATCGGAGCCGGGTGCTGTAGAAAATCCAGGAACCATATTCAGATCTCAGATCCGGTTTGTGATACGTGGTGTCCATCTCCGATGTTTGTTTGTTGGGTGTTGTTGTTGCATGAGGAGAGTGGTGTTGGGTCCAACCGTTCCATTATACGGTACCTCGTGAGGTAAGCAGGCGAATTGCTCTTCTTCAGATATCAGATAGGTCTATCGTAGCTGGAGATGATAGTTTGAGAATGGACTCAGCTCTGTCCTAGTTGCCCAATCTTTGCTATGTAGGGTAATTGTCTGCGGTTGTTGAGCAATCATATTTTCTGGGTAATGGCATTAAGTGAGTACGATTCAAACAGGAATCCGTATTCCTCTCCCATCTCCATTTTCTCGCTTCTCTTTGATCATGCATCTACAATGGCCTCGTCGTACAGTCTCTTGGTAGCCCGTGTCTGACGGCTTTCTATGCCACGCTTCACACCCACCGACCATCCCGTTACGCCTCTTCTCTACCCCTTCCTCGAGCGTCATTATTCCCTTGAACGCCAGTAAAGTCAGAGGCACACGCAGCATCGAGGGAGCACAAGCTGCACCGCCAATAAAGGTCTAGCAAAATGCAAGGAAAGAACGACTGAAGTACTCCGTATGTGACTACCAGACTCTTTCAAGTTATCAGAACCATACACCACTCACTCCTCTTTTACTGATTGATTGATTGACACTTCTCCTATTTTCTTCCCCTCCATTTGCTCTTTGCTTTGCACTCCAGTTCTCTAAAAACCCAATCCAAAAACAAAAACAAATTGCAGTCCAATCCCCCTCGACGATAAATTGGTGCCTCCTCTATTCGGCAGATGCCCTTGCATTCAGAGCACCAGCCTCCCTTACCACCATCATCCCCGAAGGTCCAAGCAATCTCTCGAGCCCTGTCAACCAGCAAGACCCATCCCATACCCACGAGAAGTAGACGGGGGGGCTCTTCATCTGAGTTGGGAACCCTAATAGATACCAACGGTCGCCACGGTTTGCCAGAAGTTCCTTTTTTCAATCATCTCCAACGCCAGTCGACGTACATCCACCCCTCCAAGCAAACCGCCAGTCGTTGTCAACGAGTGAGAACGTGGAGAGAAGACATCGCCGACTGCGATTGAGTGAGCATCGCGAGGAAAAGGAAGAAGCTGCCGTTGCGAGTTTCACGCATTGATGCTGCGCTGCATCATCACCAGAACACAAACTACATCCGAGACCCTACGCATTGGCGAATTTTCTTCCGCTCGGTTTAGATACCTGACACATCAATCGGCTTTCGCTCGACCAGCAATTGATTCGACCGCCGCTGTCTGACTCGAGCTCGAAGCATAATAAGAAAGAGAGATCTTCTTGCGGCAGCTTTACAACCCTTTCGAGTCCGAGACCAGGTATCCCAATTATCGACTCAATAGCTAGCTCCCCTGTCAACAAACGTCCTGGCCAGAACCTCGAACCTCGTAATTACAACATCAACGATACAATAATCTGCGATTACTCTACGCTGGACGACGATCGGCATTGTTAAGCCCTGCATAATTGATAGTCGTCGAAAGCGGCCCGAAACCCAATATCCCAGTTGATTCGTGAATTGGTATGTCAACATCGTGACATTCCTTTGCCCCCTTCACCACATTCCTCCTTCCCCTCCACAACACCCAACTGACCTGCGTCTTAACACCGATAGTACACACCATTTGGAGGCAAAGTATCGCCAGGAGAAACACTGGTTGCGGAAGCAGGACTTTGATCACGGACGTGGACCGTACTTTTTCTACGTTGCATAGATTCTGGAACTGGGATCTAGAGGGAGAAACTACGAATCTTGGGCGACCACACGAACAACTATATACCAGTGGAACTCGACGGTTTTACACAAGCATTCCATGGTATCTTCTCGAGACGGTTCAACATGGTGATGGCCGACGAGCACTCTGCACGTTCGAGCATCCATGTTCTTCCGTTGAATATCCTCAAAGACCATTCTCGTACGTCGAGCAAAGACTCTAAACATTCGAGGAATATGTCATCGAAAGGCAGCAATCGAACCGGAGCATCAGCGAACAGTCAATCACAAATCACACCACCAGCGACACCTAACGGCTCTCAGGAGGATCTCAATCAACAGATGGAGCCGTTGCAGCCGGTATTTCACAATTTTCTGCGAGCGTTTTATCCATTTCATCCCACATATGCCGTCGCGGACTCTACTGTTACTCTACCACTGAATGAGGGAGACGTTATTTTGGTTCACTCAATCCACACCAACGGGTGGGCTGATGGAACTCTGCTTGCCTCTGGCGCCAGGGGCTGGTTACCAACGAACTACTGCGAAGCTTACGACCCTGAGTCGATGCGGAATTTGCTAAAGGCGCTGCTGAATTTTTGGGATTTGTTGAAAAGTGGGTTAGCTACCGATAACGAAGTGTTTGGCAACCAAGAGTTCATGAGAGGAATTATCGCGGGTGTTCGATACCTACTTGTCAGTTCGACACCGGCTTGTACGACCGTGTACGATTGCTAACAACTTATAGGAGAAATCTAATAGTTTAACGCGCGAGTCGCCGATTGTTCAGGGCAACGATGGCCTTCGAAGGAATCGGAAAGCTCTTCTATCAGATCTCTCATCGCTGGTAAAAACAGCGAAGCGATTACAGGAATACACCGCCCGACCACCCCAGACAGAGACTGAGCCCGACGATGTCAACAACACCGTGGATGAGATGATTCTAAAAGCGTTCAAAATCGTCATCCGAGGAGTCAGATTTCTTGATGTGTGGGAGGATGATTGTCGGTCGCGACAACCATATAACCGGGTAATGGCAACTGTTGCAGAAGAAGTTTATAACCCCCCAACGCCTCCCGCGGATTCGACGTCATTCGATGGTTCACAACATGGAGACCCTGCATACGATGCGGTATCTCGCAGGTCGAGTCGTAGTTCGGCAACCGGTTTGTCTGGTTCGCAACCATCCGATGAGCAGACGAAGCGACAGTCATACAAACGCATGTCAAGCGCTTATTCGTCCAACGCGACAACTTCTCGTCCGCTTTCCATGACAAGACCAGCTTCGATTCATATGAAACGGCAGTCTGTTTCTCACCGTTTGTCACTTACAGCCTCAATCCCAGCTGCACAGCGAGAAAACCTCGTCTCGGAGAAGTTAAATTCCAGTCACGATACATTTCTGTCATTTTTGGGCTCCTTCATTGGTCGGTTACACCTCCAATCACAGTCAGCAGCCGAGCTACTGTTCTCTGTCAAACAGTCTGTCACAGCAGGACGACAAATGCTTGTAGTAGTCGAAGCGATATGCGCACACGACAGACAGAGCGGCGAGGCTTTGGAGGCTTCGCGAGCTGCAATGTACGACCGTATCAACAAACTGGCGGTTTCAGCACGGGAAGTAATTAATTCATCCGCCATTGAGGGGGACGATGTGGTTATGCCCCAACAGAATAGCGGCCTGCTAACGGCTGCTACAAGTTGCGTTAAAGCTGCAGGAGAGTGCGTAGCCAAAACTAAGTTTGTTATCGAACGGATAGGTGATTTTGAGTTCGAGCCGCAGAGCGACAATCTTGGTACCCATGCACCGGCTATTGACGCTATTGTCGAGGACCAGTCCGGTGAGACTAAGGCGTTAGAAAGTACTGATGAAGTAAAGCCAGTATCACCTAGTCCACCGGACATCCCACCGGAACCTGCCAGTCGCCCTCCGCCACCTCCCCTAATTATTCCAACGTACGAAAAACCGCTTCCGGAAGTACCTACGAGCTCGACATCCCCAGATGAGGAAGAAAGTCAATCACATTTACTGCCAGTAAACACGAAAGCGATGCAAGAAAATGAGATGGTGGAGAGTGCAACGACAGACTCCTCAATGGGGTCATCTAGGAGATCACTTCTCCCGCCACTACCAAACATGACAGGTCCCCTCATGACGAGTGGGGACTATAGTCCCTCAGAGATATCGTCCGCACACGACAGTGATTTCCAGTCCTCATTTAGATCAGGTAGCATTGCAATTTCAAGTACAGGTACAAGTAGCACATACCTCAGTGGGCTACGGGACTCGGAGTCGAGTATCCTGTCACAAGCCTCAACTCGTGCCACCACCCCGGACCTCTCACAGTATGTTCCACGAACGCAACCTTCAATTTCAGAACTCAGCCTATCTGGTAGTCAGTCAACGCTCGCGGACGAGATTGATGAAGGCGAATCGAAAATGCTGGAAAAGACATTTGCGCACGAGTTACTCCATAAGGATGGCCAGATTACAGGCGGAACGCTTCCAGCGTTGGTTGAGCGACTCACTACACATGATTCAACTCCGGATTCCATGTTCGTTTCGACATTTTATCTTACTTTCCGCCTTTTCGTCACGCCAGTAGATCTCGCCAAAGCATTGGTAGACAGATTTGATTACGTTGCAGAAAGCCCGCACATAGCTGGGCCGGTGCGTTTAAGAGTGTATAATGTATTCAAAGGCTGGCTAGAGTCACACTGGCGCGACCTGTCTGACAATGAAGCACTCTCCGTTATCGAACCATTTGCGACAGAGAAACTCAGCAAGGTTCTTCCAGGAGCTGGGAAGCGTGTATTGGAACTGGCTCAGAAGGTGACATCTACTGATGGACCGTTGGTGCCCCGCCTGGTCTCGTCTATGGGCAAGACATCAACGTCTCTCGCTCAGTACGTTCCTGCTGATACGCCTCTACCACCCTCATACATGAGCAAGAGTCAGATCAGTGTGCTGAAAAACTGGAAGATGGGTGGCAGCAACCCAACGATTCTAGACTTCGATCCATTAGAACTTGCTAGGCAGCTTACAATAAAGGAGATGAACATTTTTTGTTCAATCATGCCAGAAGAACTTCTAGGATCAGAGTGGACCAAACGCTCCGGCTCGAATGCAGTCAACGTCAGAGCAATGTCAACACTGTCCACGGACCTTTCTAACTTGGTAGCTGATACCATCTTGCAATATGACGATGCTAAGAAGCGTGCAACGATTATCAAGCATTGGATTAAGATTGCCCACAAGTGTCTCGAGCTCAACAACTACGATTCCCTGATGGCCATCATCTGCTCACTGAACTCTTCGACTATCGTGCGCCTGAAGAGAACTTGGGATATGGTATCACAGAAGCGAAAAGACATGCTCAAGACCCTTCAATCCATCGTCGAGCCTGACAAGAATTATGCTGTCCTCAGACGTAGGCTTCATGATCACGTTCCGCCCTGTCTACCCTTCGTCGGAACCTACTTGACTGATTTGACTTTTGTCGATGCTGGTAATCCTGCCACAAAGCAGCTCCCCGGTGTTGGTGATGGCGAGGGTATGTCAGTTATTAACTTTGACAAGCACACTCGGACTGCCAAAATCATTGGTGAACTGCAAAGATTCCAGATTCCCTACCGGCTTCATGAAGTCCCCGACCTTCAAGAATGGCTTCAGGCTCAAATTGTACGCGTCAAGTCTTCCTCGGAACACGAAAACGTACAGCAGTATTATCGCAAGAGTCTTCTGCTAGAACCACGAGAGACTTCACACGCAAGAACAAGTCCAATCGAAGGACAAAGTCCATTCTCGTTGAATCAAAAAGAGAAGTTCGACATCTTTGGCTGGACCCACTCGAGGGAGAAGGCGCAATCAGCCCCAACCTCGAGCATTTGAAGTCTATATTATATAGACGATTCCCTTTACGACTACCCCCACAACACACATCATACCCTCTTCACGAAGTTCGACCGTTCGATTTGATACCCACTTTGAATAGCGTTTTAGCGAATGATCTTTGGCATCCTTCAAGGATCCGGTAACCATATGGCGTTCTAACGGTTATGGCCTCATGTCAGATGACGGCCGGCGCATTTTTTCTTCATTATCTTTTGTTCCGAATACCAATGATTACTGGTTGAATACCATCTTGCAATCGCGGCTGGCTGCCACCATTGTATTACCCGTCATTGTACCCCAGCACCCCTTGTTTTCGCTCTGACTGGAATAGAGAGCTCAGGGGCAGGATGAGATCTGGAGATTTGGAATTTCCCTGGGCCTTATTGATAATTGTATACACCATTTCTGTTTTCTCTTATTCAACCCTTTTTTGTATCTGCTTTAGTTGCTCTAATATGCTTCTGTTTTACTCTTTTTGCCTTTGGCTTTGTGGCATGTATGTTTGGAGGTGGCGTGGATGAATATGGAATGGAAATTGGGAAAAGGGTCCGAGGAAAAGCATTTAGGAATTGTTGTCCTGCTTCTTTGTGAGCGGATCAAGTTGAGATCATGGGGCTCACGCCTTTCCAAAAAATGTCGTCTGTTGTGTTAGGTGATTTGGTTTCGGGCCTTGATTGCCCTCCCTTTTGTACATCAATCGAGGCACTTGTACGGACCTGAGCAGGAGAAGGATGAGAGCAAAACATATTTGATAAGCAAGGGCATGGCAAAGGGCTGATAATGAGAAGCTGCGGCTTTTTCCATCATCATCATCATCACGCTATTAGCATCACAGGAGGCTTCTAGTGGAAATTCTTGAGTACGATTGAATTACTCGGATACATTACAAATGAAATAAAAATAAGTTAAACAATCAATGTCGTTTGTCTGTCCTGCTTTCGTGATCTTGTTGCTGTGAGGAAATACAGCCGTTACTTGGTATTTTCATTCACCATCGCATAACCCATCAACTTGTCCGTCTTGACACGATCTAGTGATGATACATATCTGTTCTTAAAGTTTGTGTCCGTCCGTATTCACTGATGCATTCCTCATACGGTCTAGCACTGCCGGTCGATGTACTCTTCGACATTACTCCGGTGAACAGGCGCAAGACATGAGGTACATCGTCAAATCTTTCAAGGAAGCTAAGCTACTCATTCCTCTACACATAGTGAGCAAAACCGTTCCCGGAGCACAAATATTTCAATGCGAGCGGAGCGACAGATCAAGGTCATTCATCACAACGGCAGGATTTGAATGAGCAAGGAGTTTGTTTCCCGGTTGAAGAGGGTTATATTTTCTACTTTTTATAGTCTCGTCCATCTAATAATCATCGTGACATGTGTCACTTCCCTTTTCACAAACCGCTGTCTATATCACAGGAAAACAAACGTTTTCGTCGCTTATTACAAACTTACGCCATTGCCATGTTCTCGATAGATGTCCGGTTGATGGATCATCCCCGCCCCGCCCTTTATGCTGTTGAAATTCACAGATGGTGTATATCCCGCTCCCCATGACCAAAAAATAAAACGAAATTGACTTTTTAGCTCTTCAAGAGCCTTGACCAGAAACGCCGATGTTGAGATCGTCTCCACCGTCAAGTCCCAAAGACCACAGTGCTCATTATTCGTGACCTAAAACTCCTTTAAAAGCAAAATTTGTGCAGTAAGCAACATGCTTATTTCTTAGCATATTTCTCACGGAAGAATTTAGCAGCGTTGACCATGTTGACCAAAGCGGCCTTGGTCTCAGCCCATTGTCGAGTCTTAAGACCACAATCAGGGTCGATCCAAAGTTGCTCAGGCTTGAGGTATTGCAGCATTTCCTCGATTCTGTCCTTGATCTCTTGCTCGCTTGGAACACGAGGAGAGTGGATGTCATAGACACCTGGTCCAATGTGTCGTGGGTATGCCTCATCGACGAAGACCTTGAGAAGCTTAGCATCGGATTTGCTGTTCTCGATGGAGAGGACATCAGCATCAAGAGCGGCGATGGCGTGGAAGAAGTCCTGGAACTCAGAGTAACAGAAGTGAGAGTGGATTTGAGTGGAGTCTTGAACACCGGAGACGGAGAGACGGAAAGATTTGACAGCCCAGTCGAGGTAAGCCTCGCGCTCCTTACCGGAACGAAGAGGAAGACCCTCACGAAGAGCAGGCTCATCGACCTGGATGACAAATACACCGGCAGCCTCAAGATCAACAACCTCATCACGGAGAGCGAGAGCAAGTTGCTCAGCTTGGACGGATTGATGAATATCGTCACGAGGGAAAGACCATCGCAGACAGGTGATTGGACCAGTCAACATGCCCTTCATTGGCTTCTTGGAGATGGACACGGCATATTTGGACTCCTTGACGGTCATTGGTGCTGGGCGAGAGATGTCACCAACAACAATTGGAGGACGGACACATCGAGAACCGTAAGATTGGACCCAGGCGTGAGTGGTGAAAGCATATCCATCGAGACGCTCACCGAAGTATTGAACCATGTCGTTTCGCTCTGGCTCACCATGAACATAGACATCAAGGTCAAGTTCCTCTTGGATCTTGACGACATCTTGGATTTCCTTCTCGATGAACTTCTCGTATTCCTCAGCGGTGATCTCACCCTTGGTGAACTTGTTACGCTGGATACGGATTTCCTTGGTCTGAGGGAAAGATCCGATGGTAGTGGTTGGGAAAAGAGGAAGTCCCAAGCTCTTTTGTTGCTGTGCAATGCGGACTGGGAACTCGCTCTTTCGGTTGTAGTAGTCTGGAGTGATCTTTGATTGACGATCCTTGACTTTAGGGTCGTTTGTTCGCTTGGAGGTAGCGCGGGCTTGAATTGATTTGGCGTTAGCCTCCAACTCAGCGCGAACAGCAGCTGGGCCATCAGTGACAGCCTTAGCGATCACTGCAACCTCGGATGCCTTCTCGACAGCGAAGGAGAACCAATCAGCAACCTCGGGATCAAGCTTCTTCTCGCTTGCGAGAGTGTGTGGGGTATGGAGAAGGGAGCTGGAGGTAGCGACAATGACGCGGTCTTTGCCGAGCTTCTGAACAGCGGTCTCGACGGTCTCGATAGCACGCTTGAGGTTGGTCTTCCAGATGTTACGTCCATCGACGACACCAGCGGAGAGAATAGTCTTTGAGCCGAGAGCAGAGATGACAGTGTCAAGTTGCTCTGGGTTGCGGACCAAGTCGACGTGCACAGCGTAGATGTCTGATGGAAGAGCATCAATGTTGTGGACGATATCACCAAAATATGTGGCAAAGACGAGCTTTGGAATCTTGTCACCTAAGCTGGCAAGTTTCTCATATGTTGGCTTGAAAGCAGCCTTGGTCTTTGCTGGGAGATCGAAGACAAGAGTTGGCTCATCAATCTGCACAGTCTCGGCACCAGCCTCCTTCAGCTTGGTGAGGAGCTCCTCGTATACCGGGAGGAGCTTCTCAAGAAGGTCGATAGGGTTGACGGTCTGATCACGATCCGGCTTTCCTAGGTGGAGGAAAGAAACCGGACCGACGAGAACTGGACGAGTGGTGATACCAGCCTCCTTAGCCTCGAGGAATTCGTTAACGGCCTTTGGATTTGGGTTGAGCTTGAAGGTCTGGCCATCCTGGAAGGTTGGCTTGACATAGTGGTAATTCGAGTCGAACCATTTCACCATCTCCAAACTTGGGACATCAATGCCATCCTTCTGGTGTCCACGACCCATAGCAAAGTACTCATCGATAGCATCGAGACCTTGTGTTGTGTAGCGAGGAGGAGCGACCTGTAGAAAGAACAAAAATTAGCATTTGAAACTATGAATGTGATGACATATGGATACTTACGCCGAAATCTTGGATGTGAGTAAGAACTTGATCGTAGAGGGCAAAGTCATTGCTAGGAATGACATCGACACCAGCCTTCTTCTGGATATTCCAGTGCTCAAGACGAAGTCTCTTGGCCTCTGCAAGGAGGTCAGACTGAGAGATCTTGCCAGCCCAGTAAGCTTCGGTGGCCTTCTTCAAGTCACGGTTGACTCCCATGCGAGGGAAGCCGAGGATAGATCTGACATCAAACGACTGTTAGCGATGGCCCTGTGAAAAATTGTGTAGGCTTGGACGTACGATTGAACCATGATTGCGGCTGTTCAAATTTGGTGTTCTGGAGTGAAAATTACTTCACGAGAGTCCGTCTCAGCTACCAAAGGTGAATTCTCAAGGCAGGAGAAGAGACGAGGATGGAGAACAGTATACGATGATCTGTGGATCAAAGTAAAGTTATATGGAGTTTGAAGGGGAAAGAGGATGTGAGATGAAGGAGAAGAGGAGCGGTGAGAAGACAATAATGGAAAGATTTTGTGTGTAGAGTAAGAGGGGTTGGCTTGCAGAAGTCCCTGCGAGGCGAGGGGCAGCTAGAGCTAGATCCCGAAGCGGTTTAGCGGGGACGATGTCGATATCGATCAAGTTGACCTGAGGTTTCAATACAGTCAGATGGCGCAATCCTCACTAGACTCCAGTAGTCTTTTCATCAACAGCTTCAGACGGCGCAGACGCGAACGTCCAGATTCGAGATAAATTGCTGGCCCAAGGTTGAAGGAAGAACATTTGCCCGCCAGACCCCCGGGTACCTGAAAATATATGAAGTTCATATCGACGCCCATTAAGGACCTCAACATTTTGGATGTTATCTCGACCGTTCGCACCCATGCAAGCTGCCGCTCCACCCTGGTGCTCCTCGATGCTCCTCGAAGGCGGAAGCCGTTGGGTTTAAAATCCTACCACGAAGCCAAGCAGTCTCTTTGGCTGGTGGATTCGACTATTTCATGTACACGAGGCAGCTGCACGCTGTGGATAAGCTCGCGGAGGACAAAATAAGTAGTAGTCGAAACACAATATTTCTTCGATTAAGTTGACGAAGTCGTATATTTGGTGGATTAACTGAGAACATTATTTCTGTTCCGTCGATTTTGTTTAGTAAATAAGACTCTGTAAGCTCTGTTCGAAGGCGACTTTTTATTCAGTTCAAGATTAGTGGTAGGTGACAATTCCTGGTTGCTCTACGCAGCAAGGCTGTATCGGGCACTCGGTTGGTCTCGAAGCTGCGAGACCAACCTCAATTCCCTTCCACGTTGCCTTCGAAAGAAACCCTCTATCTTCCGAATCATCGTTCTCATCCAGTCTACTTGTTTTGCCGTGCGGTGTTTATTATTCTCCTCGTTTCATTTTCCCACATTTAAAGCAATGAAGTCGTTTTGTTTGGCTCCCAAGAATATTTACAAAATTCAGATAAATATTTGTTGCATATCGCGTTGGGCTCATACGCAGGGAAGATGCAACGTGTTTCCCATATCATAACCCAATATTGCCGCTTTGATGGCAGGACCCTCAAGCTATACGAATCGCGTCCGTCGAGATCCATGCAATTTGCTGCTCAAGCCGAACTCAGTCACAGTACGGGGTGAAAGACACCGCGTTTGACCACGCATACCCTCTGCTTACATTTTGATTTTACGCTGACCACACCTATCCATCAGCTATGAATTCCAAAGTGCCATTCGGCAGACAAATGCGAGAGACGCACTTCGGATTCGCTCCTTCATTTACACCTTTTAATCATGGCTCATATGGTGCCACCCCACTCTTAGTCCTACGAAGACAGAAAGAAATACAAAAACTTGAGTTGGAACGTCCAGACCCCTTCATCATATACGATCTCCCGAACCTGATCGACGAGTCGCGCAAGGCTGTGGCACCTCTACTGGGCGCCTCTGTTGACGAAGTCGTCCTGGTTCCAAATGCTAGCACGGGAGTAAACATCGTTTTGCGTAACCTCAAGTTTGAGGAGAAAGATGTTATTGTTCATTTCAGCACCATATATGATGCGTGCGAGCGTGCAATCGACTCTGTTTCTGCATTGACACCTCTTACCGCAAGATCTATTCCACTACAGTATCCGATCGAGGACGATGAGATCGTACAAAGGCTTCGCGACATGGTTCAAAAAGTCGGGGACGAAGGTCTCAATGTTAAGATTGCCATGTTTGACACGGTATTGACGTTCCCGGGAGTACCAATGCCATGGGAAGCATTAACAGAAACATGTAAAGAGCTTGGTGTTCTCAGTTTAGTCGATGGAGCTCACGGAATTGGCCATGTTGACTTGAAGCAACTTGGTAGCATCAGTCCAGATTTTTTCGTCAGTAATTGTCACAAGTGAGTTATCCTCTCATCGTCGAGCTATGCGAATCTTGGAGATACTTGACACTAACGATCCCTAGATGGCTTTACGTGCCTCGTGGTTGTGCTGTATTTTATGTACCAATTCGCAATCAACACCTTATCCGCAGCTCATTACCTACCTCTTATAGATATCGAGAAGATGAATCGCCTGACTCTAATGGCAAGTCACGTTTTGTCATGCTCTTTGAATTCGTCGCAACCATGGACCACTCCTCGTACTGCTGCGTACCGGCGGCAATAGAATTTCGGGAAATCATTTGTGGAGGAGAAGATGAGATCATCAGATACTGCTTAGATCTTGCAGCGAAAGGCGGACAGCGGGTAGCTGAGATTTTGGGAACCAAGGTCATGGCAAACAAGAGCGGCTCATTAGCTAGATGTTGCTTCAGCACTGTCATGTTACCCTTGGTGCTGAAGGATGGGAAAGATCCTGTTAGCAAAGGAGAATTTCACACAAAAGACGTATCCAAAATCAAGTCGTGGCTCAACACCACAGCCTTCAAGGAGTTCGATACATACTTGCAGACCGATTCGCATGCTGGAGCCATGTGGGTGCGCCTCAGTGCTCAGATATACCTAGAGCTCGGTGACTATGATTGGGTTGGTTCCAAGCTGAAAGAGCTTTGTGAAAGACTTGTTGATCAGGGACTGGATTAAGCAACATGTTCTGAAACACTTAAACCCTCAAAGAAGTTTCACTTTCGTTGTTAGTACAAGCTAAAAGCACAATGTTTCAGTAGCGTCTGGAAGTAATTGCTTCCAAATTGAACTCATTATGTCTTTGCTCAATCATCAGACATCTGTATAACTCTCAAAAGCATGCCATTACAGCAACCACAGAACAACCGGCCTTCAAAATGGCAGTCAACCCCGCTCTAATGAGCTCACTCAGTTTGGGCACATCCCGCAAACAAAGTCAACCCGAAGCAGCAGTATCTACGGCAGCACCCACGGCAAAACGACACAAAAACCATCTCCCTATCAAAACACACGACAAGATGATCTACACAGTGTGGAAACAAAGGGAAAAATTCAGCTATGACTATTATGTGCCGGAAGACCCCTTCACCAGCAAACTCATCAAGATGTACCGCAGTCTCCACGACGCCAACATCAGAGTCCGAGTCGAGTTTGAGAAATGGAGCATGAAACACAGACACGAGGATCCATTTAGTTTGGTGACGGAGTATGATCTCACTAGTGCTAAGCCGCATTTTTGGGAGGCGCCGCTTGAGGGAGATAATGAAGAGGAGGGGAGGGGGACGAGGGTTCATGTTAAAGAGGAAATTGTTAAGCGTCATGGGTCTGAATACGAAAGGAGGTGGGAGTGGAAGTTGCCTGGTGAGGAGTCGGATAGTTATGAGGATGAGGATGATGATGAGGAAAGTCATGAGGAAGAGTCTGAGGAAGAAGAACCGAAACTTTCTCCTGAGGAGTTGAAATTGTTAAGGGAATGAATTTTGTGGGGGCCTAGGGGCAAGCCGAGGTATTGAAGTTTATTTTGAAGTATAAACATGGAGTTCATTGTGAGAGAGGTAGGTTTGGGTTCTAAAAGACTGGTACGGTGCTTGAGGAGTGCATACGAGTTAAACGCTACGATATCAAATGCCATTATTTCAACTATATTTCGATTCACTATTAACGTTATTAGTTTTCTGCTGAAGTTATTGATTGTACCTCTAAAAGACATCATGTTGGTTTAATGATCATCAGCCAAAAACCAAACAGCGTTATTGTTGTTCCTGCTCGATTGGATTGGCGGGGATATGATCTGCAAAATTAGTACGTTTCAGTAGCGTATCTTACACCCTAACGCGCCCTTCCTCAGAATGTAGAACATTATGTATCAAACCCAACTGATTGACAAAATAACACTACCTAAGACTATCACCATGGTACGAACCAAACAACCGGCGCGGAAGCTGGGAGATGTAGAACGAGCTGAAGCTCCCGCAAAGGGCTCGGCAACGTCATCCCGCAAGCGAAGCCAAAGAGAAGCAGCAATACTACCGCCCCCAGCTAAACGTTAAGCCAAAGAACCATCTGCTCAGACACCCAAAACGGACAATGTAATGGTATACGCCGTCATGAGAGACACGATCCAGACTTCAAAAGGCGACTACTACCAAGATGAGGATTACACAGAAACCATCGAGTTGTATTTTATTTTGAAAGATGCGAATACAAGAGTACGAGCCGAATATGAAGACTGGAACGGCGACGTCTCCAATCATGAGGAATTCAACTTCGACTTTACGGGTGGAGGCACGCATTTTTGGGAAATGTTGGATACTCTGGAGGTTGAGGGTGTTCGGGTGTATGTTAAGGAGGAACCGGTCAAAGGTCCTGGCTCTGAGCCTGTGAGGGTTTGGAAGAGAGCGTTGCCTGGTGAAGGCTCAGAAGAAGGGTCAGAGAAAGACTCAGATGAAGACTCGGACGAAGATTGACCACCGAATATCTAATATATGTATGACTGAGTATGGTGGACTCTACCACGACAATTACTATTGATAGGTAAGCGCTAGTCAAACTTGGAAGCGTTGATAATATCGCTGATGAAATGACAGTGAAAGCTTCAATGACATGTACCATTGTACAGATTTAGGAATCTTCTCATACTGTAGCAGCCTACAACATTGAAGGTCAATTTGACGGTACAATTGTTTCAACCCAAGCAAAAGAAACGTATTCACTATATCGCAACATCCCAAATCCACTCTGTTCATGAGAATAAGTTGGAAAGACACCGTACTGTAACACCTGCCATAGTGTTTTAATTTGGATAGTTGATTCTTGTTCAAGTTGGCCTTGACACGGACATGGTCTGCAGTCGTGGATGTGTGTCAAGGATGACTAGGACCCCAAGTGTTTACTGCGAGGTCTGACGACGCGTCTTGAACTGTTTCTGCTCCGTCCATATTGGTCTTCCCCACCAGCACATTGTTTGCAGTGAAAATTTACCTTGATCAATCATTTACCATGGCGGCTTGCGAGACACTCGACACACCTGCAGCCGTACCTACGACAGCACCAGTTCATAAGCGAACTCTAAGTGAAGCAGACGGCTCTGTAACGTTGCCACCACCACCAGCAAAGCGACAATCGAACGAGTCACCCAGCGCAGCACCTCTGGTTCGAGATCAGAAACCAAAACCCAAAAAGATTGAGCCAATCACCGTTTACGTTGTCAAGAGAGATACCATACAGACTGCCAAAGGCGCGTTCTATCAAGATGAGGATACCACAGAGACACTTGAAATTTATGCAACTGTCGAGGACGCAAACAATAGAGTGCGTTTGGAGTACGAGGAATATGGAGGCGAAGTTGTCGGAAGTGAAGAGTTTGAGTGCTTTATGACCGGTCCAGGCACGCATTGTTGGGGCGCTGACGCAACTTCCGAGGATGAGGGAATTCGCGTTTACGCTGACAAAATCGTTGCGCGAGGTCCTGGCTCAGAGCCCGCTAGGAAGTGGACGAAGCCATTGCCTGATGGGCAGAAAAGTGAAGAAGAAGAAAGTGACGAAGAAGAGTAGCGTAGGAAAGAAAACAGCGAAACGTAGGGACAGCTGGAGCTCAAAATCGCAAATTGTTGAACCAAAGAAACGAAGATAACGTTCCAAGTCCGGTAAGGTATTGAAGTTATTTGGGGGCCTGATTCATAGCTGGGTGATGGAAAACATCGGCATCTGTACAGATAAACAAAATTTGAATTACATGTCATGTCAGTATTTCTGTCAGCCCATATGTATCGTTCTGGAGAGCTTCGGATATTTCACGTGATATCGTGTTATCAATGCCTGAAATGTCAGACGCCGAGACTGAGATGGCAACCTAACGCGACGCGACCAAGGACACGAATAGAAACGTCATCTATATCCCAACTTTCCATTCATCAATGCCAGGACCTCGTACATCCTTTTGCTCTTGAGCTATTAGTGAAGATGCCAGCGTATATATCTCGGTCAAAATATGTGTTCTTCAATAGCTAACAAATCCAGACCCGGGGAGCAACACACCCTCGCCTCAGGCGGACGAGTGATCAACAACCCCTTCGAAGAAGCCAAACCACGAATCTCAGAATACACAGCCCAAGAAATCGCAACACTAGCCTCCAAGCTCGAAAAACAACTCGGTCCCGAATATATTTCTGCTCGTCCGGGAGCTGGGGGGCAAAAGGTTCATTACGTAGCCGCTGAAAAGTGTATCCAACTCGCAAATGAAGTTTTCGGCTTCAATGGCTGGTCATCACAGATCAAAGAGGTGCAAGTTGACTTTGTGGACGAAGATCCCAGGTCCCAGAAAGTGAGTCTGGGTTTATCTGTGATTGTGAGAGTTACATTGCGGGACGGAACATTTCACGAGGATATCGGTTATGGCCATATGGAGAATGCGAAAGGAAAGGCGGCTGCGTTTGAAAAGGCAAAGAAAGAAGGTACGACAGATGCGTTGAAGCGAGCACTGAGAAATTTCGGAAACGTGCTGGGTAATTGCATCTACGACAAGGAGTATCTGAGCAAGGTTACAAAGGTTAAGGCGCCCCCTACGAAGTGGGATGTGGACAATTTACATCGTCACCAGAGCTTTGTGCCAGCGCCTAAGAAGGAGGACACCTCTGCGAGGACTGTTGAAGATAAGCCCGGGAATGCTGTAAATATAAGTCTAGGTGCGTTCTTATCCTTTGGACATCAAGAAGCTCTTCATTAACGACGATTCGTAGTTTCCGAAGATACGTTTGACGACGAATTTGGGGGTAAGTTAACGCAGATTTCCTCATTTAGTTCTGAACTAACGTTCATAGATTTCGATGATGCGGATTTCAGCGTTGCCGATCCCGATGGCCATCCAGACGAAGTCGTTCTTTCTGACCCGCCAATAACTTCGAATCATTTTCAAGGAAGGAATTCTGTCGGAGCTGGGAAGCCTCCTAATCAAACCAGAGCCGTCACAAACAAACCGCAGCAAATGGCTGCTCCGCCTAACCGACAGCAAAATGGGGCACCTGTTATTAGTAACGTAGGAAACCCAAACGCACAACCTCAAACACCAAACACCGGATTCAACAGATCAATCGGCAATTCGGCTCAGGGTCTCCGCCCACAGCCTCAACCTGGAGTCCCTCCACAGGCACAAGCTCAACCTGTCGCACGGCGAGTTCTCAACCAGCCAAGCAGAGATCTGAACTCAGCACCCCCATCTCCTATTCGCCCTATACTTACTCCTGACGACGTTGAAGTATCCATGCCACCTCAAGGTGCAGGTTTTTTTTCCGCACGTGGTATTAAAGAAACGATTGGACTAGACGGTAACGCAAAACCCAACGAGCCACTTGGCTCAGGACCCCCCGTCTCCTTACCGACTCATATAACCCCATTCAACCCCCACGCAGAATCACCTTCAATCCGCAAAACCCCAGGCGTAGACCATAAGTCTTCTAAACCTCTAGCTCGAGATGGAAAGCATGTACCTGCCTCGACCCAAAGTGCCGCTGCTACAGCTACGGTACCAACTGCTGTAACTCCAGGTCCTGTAACGAGAGGCAATGTAGTTAACCCGCAGCTAGATGGAATGAGGAGGATAGGGGCGCCACAGAGTCCTAGCCCCATGGCAAATAGGAACTCTTACAAGCCGCCTAGTAAGAGGCCTGTGGATTCCAGAGCGCCGCTCGTGGATTTGCCGGCGAACGGAGCTATGGGAGTGGTTGATCAGGGTGGGGATATGAAGAGGCAGAGACTTAATGGTTGAATTCTGAAACAAAATCCACTTAGAGGGATTGAAAGTATGTGATGGCGTTCTGCGGGAAACTAGGTATTACTATTGTATTTGGCGCTCGATTGCTGGATTGTGTGGAGTTTGGTGGGAATGGGGTGTTCATGGAAGCTTGGGCGAGGGCTTTTAGATTTGCTTTCTCTAGGTTTTGGGGCATTAGGTACTTTCAGGTTAGCTACAGATGGAGCTTGCTCGAAACTAAAATAACTACGTACTTTCAGACCTCGCTGTATTCGCATTTGCACGACGACATCGCATTTGTCTTGAGAAAATGAATGAGTTTTTTCACGCTGAAGGAAGGGATGTCACATTTGAGAAAGCGTACTTCGGCGAACTATCAGCTCAAAGATCATTACTTTACAGCATAAAACATAAGTATGCGATAGTCGCTTGCATTGTTGGCATTTATTATGCTGCCCATTTGCTGCTGCGCCAAACAGATGCATTCTCATATAAACGCCACCCAATGCCTTTGCGAAAGGCAACCCAAACGCCGTATTCCCTCAGATACATGTCTCTAGTTATGTTCTACTTGACGATGAGAACAGCACTGGGCACTAAGCCAGCCTCCTTGAGTGTCTTTCCAAAGTCTACGCTCCCACTGAATGTTTTCCTCGGGAAAGTCATGGTAAAGCTCTGGACCTCGGAAGCTCCTTCAGCCTGAAGTGCCTGAGCAACTTCGAACAGAGTCGTATCGACGCCAAAAGTCTTCTGTACAGTTCCGCTGGCTAGCTGTAATCTCAATCTGACCTCAGTATGTACCACATTCTTTCGCTCCCCGGCTGGAACCGGCGCTGGTGCTGGCTCTGCTGCGGCTTCGACGGCTCGGCCCTCGCGTTCTGCTTTTACCTTTTCGGCCTTGAGACGACGTTCCTCTTTGTCGGCGGCAATCTTTTCCTGAATCCGCTTCTTTGCGGCAAGATCTGATGCTTTCTCCTCACGCTTCTTCTGTGCTGCCTTGATCTGTTCACGTTTCGCTAGGTCTTCTTTGAGGTCTTGGGTTTCTCGGGTGGCCTTTTGTCTGATTTTCTGTGGAACATGTAATTAGTCCAGTCATTGGTATTCTCAGAAGGGGAGCCTACCTCGTTCTTTTTCTGCTCTTCCTTGTCGACAAGCGCCTGTTTCGCACGCTTCGCGGCGACATTGGCCTTCAACTCCGCAAGTCTTTCCTTCTTTTCCTCTTCTGTAAGTGGCGCAATTTCCTCGGTAGATTCGCTGAATTGATCGTGGGTTCTGTTTGCTCATCAGCAACTGCCGTTTGTTGTGGACTTTCGACTCACGTCTTTTCGCCGTGGAACTCAGCCTGAGCCTGACTGCGGAACTTCTTTCCACATATATCGCAGACTAGCGACCTGGCTACTTCACCAGCTGCCAGAGGTTTGGGTTCTAGCGTTGGGTTGTTTTCGTCGGCTGCTGCTTGATCATCGATCTCGGTCTTCAGCTGCTCGTCCGACAGGTCTTGTTTCTTCTCAAGCCATTCTAATGCGTTGCTTACTATCACCGCGTCAGGCCTCCCACGCAAAATACCATAGATGCGTGCTTACGGTTCCCGGTCGCTTTGATCGATAGCTCTGCTCGCCATTTATCAAATCCCATGCTTAGGAGCTGCTCCAAATCTGATGGGGTAGACATGGCGGGGTATTTTGAATGGTGCTATCAACACAGTTAAAGTGCTTTCCCTTGGAAGGTGTTGAAAGTATGGGAGGGTACAAATAGAAACTAGAGTGAAATGTCGTCTATGCTGTGATGTCCCAGGAAGAATTAATATTTTGAGGCGATGTCTATTAGGATTTACCAATCATGATGATAGGCTAGGCCCTTGCTGTCCTTCCACACAATGTCAAGGAGCTCGGACCCCAACATGCGCTGGAGACGGCGTTCAACCTGGAAGAATGACGACGGAAGCGAGGCCAAACCAATCATCCTTGGAAGTTCACGAGCGTCTGAATACCTTCGCAACAACTCCTCCATGAATCCTACAAGATCCCACAATTCGAACTTCTGCTACGCTGCTGCTTAACCGATCTTCTGTCGCCCGTCACCTCAATCATCACTATCTTCTAATTTTGCAATCAACCATCTTCGGTTGTCTTTGACAGCGCCGCCGTTTCCAAAACACCACGTTCCCGTCCAACACTACAATACCGCCGCCCACAAACACAACAACCCGCATCTAGCTTCATCATGTCCGTCGAGATCGATCCACAGGAGCTTGGCTTCCATCGTATGTTAGGTGGTAGAATCTGCGAGCGTATCTGACAGTTTTTAGGGCCCTTCACCACTGAGGTGTCGCAGATCCTCAAGATTAGAAATCCGAATCATACTCCAGTTGCTTTCAAGGTAATTAGCTGCCTCAAGGATGTGAGTGACGTTGCCGTACTAATCTCATAATTTTACAGGTCAAAACAACTGCTCCTAAACAGTAATTCTTCTCGCCCATTCCGAGAGTTTGGTGTACTGATATACATAAACAGATACTGCGTTCGTCCAAACTCTGGCAGAGTTGAACCAGGGAAGGAAGTCGAAGTTACTGGTATGTAGGCGGTTAGGTTGAAGTAGTGGAATTCGGTACTGACCGCTTTTGTCCAGTTCTTTTGCAAGCAATGAAGCAGGAACCTCCTCTTGACGCTAAATGTCGCGACAAGTTCTTGGTACAATCTGTCGCGATCACTGCTGACAAGGAGTTTACTAGTCCTGGGTCGATCGTAAGTCATCGCATCAGCAAGTCGTCTAGAGGGCGGTTCTAATGTTCTGTAGTGGCAGCATGTTGACGATGCCGAGAAATCATCCGTCCAGGAGAAGAAGATCCGTGTTGTCTATCTTGCCGCGGATGGGTCTGGAGTCGCCCACACCCCAATGAAGAACGGGGCTAATGGAGCATCACATGGAACCGTGAGTATAGTCTTGACTACCCTGAACTATACGTAGTTGCTGATATGTACAGTTTGAAACACCACAAAGCGGACCTCCAGCATACAGCACCAGCGCTCGTTCTCACTCTCCTGAAGAAGCCTTTACACCTGATGACGCTTCACGAAAATCTATAAATGCTCAAGGGCCAATCTCGCGCATCGAAGACGAACCAAGTAACGCACGATCCATTGGTGACGCCAAGTCTTCCGCAAGCAATCCTGCCACATCAGGATCGATTGCTTCTACAGTTGCAGCAGCTGTTCCACAGTCAGTGGACGAGTTGAAAGCACAGTTGGCGGACGCAAAGGCCACAATTGCCAGTTATGCAAATGAGGGCGGATTAAGAATGCGAAAGATTGCCGCCGGAGAAACATCGAATGCGACGGTGAACGATGTGGCACAGCGAGTTCAAGCCAACCAAGGAGTTCCTCTACAAATCGTTGCAGCTTTGTGTTTGCTCAGCTTCCTACTAGCCTACATTTTCTTCTAGGCTATCAAAAGCGGCGGCATGTATGATGAGAGTCACGAATCTGGCGCATGATGAACAAAATTCTGGGGTATACGAAGATTGCGGAGGAGTATGCAACTCCAATCGAATTCGGTGGGTAAAGTTCAAGATCTTTTGATTTCTGAAAATCGTGCTTTTGTTGGTTGGCGGGAATCTGCGAAAGACTATGACACTTCAGAAACTCTTTAAGCATAGTTCGCGCGGGTCTTTTAATCTTCTTGCTTCCAGATTTGTCACGACGCAACGCATAGAGAGGTGCTCTATGATGTCGCCCGATGTTAAACAGAATTGTGGTCTCATGACACTTCTACTTTACGACACTTATCTATCCTTGTATCTTATTGCAGTAGCGTCAATGGATGGATTTCTTTTAAGATAACGCACTTCTTGGTGAGCCTATTTTGGAGTTGAGGGAATTTGAACTTATTCGTAATGGTTTTCGATTGTGAATAGGAAGCTTATGCTCTATGTGATTTCATATTTTGGAGCCGTCTATGCCACATATTTTTGGGACTTCTATATGTTCGTAAACCCTGGTCGCCCCGATTTCAGTTTAGGTAAATTATGAAATCTAGCATGATCAGAGTTAATGTTGATTATGCGAATTTCATACTTATTTCGTGGTGGACAAAAAAGTGTCAATCACCTGCCCATAAATCTTGGACCGAATAAGTCGACTTCGAATAGAGCGTAAGAAGTCTTATATACTTAAATTCTTGACGGAAGATCTTATATTATTCTAAATTGATCTACTAATTATACGATATTCCGTTAATTTCATCGAAGAAAAACCGTGTTTCGACTACTACTTATTTTGTCCCCCGCGAGCTTATTTCGACGACTGAGCCCGCAGCAGAAAACCTCTGCGACTCTATTAGAAAATATGTATTTCATAAAATTAGAAGAGACATTATCATTACATTCGAGTATTCGTTACCTTCCCCATTTTCCAGATCAGATTGTTCCACACGCTGTTCATCAATTATACCGAGAAGACATCATACTCCTTACCCTACTCCTCATGCTCACCACATCATCTTCCCGCGCAACAACAACTGGAGCTCCCATATGCGTCCCTAGCGCCCCCATCTTCAACCTCAACCCTTTATTTCTGACGCTTGTCTCCCAAGCATCCTCCCCTGCTTTCCTTTCCATCTCCACAAACTTCGAATCCAACAGAAGACTACTGACAGTTCCCAAGAACTCGGGATTGGTAGTCTTGAGATCCAAGACTATAGCTACAACTCCAGCTACGAACATGACTAACGTCCCAGCGATTGCCACGCTGAACCATCCCCAGTTGATTTTCCAAAACTCGTCACTTACTGTGACGTCTGCGGTCAGAGAAGGATAGCCCTTCATCATTGCTGCTTCTGGGCCGCCTAGCGGGATAATTGTTGGTGCCTGTGAGAGCATGTAGTAGGTGTTTATCAACTGCGCTAGTCTCCTGCTCAGAATCTCTCCTGTGATATTGGCTATGTTCAGAGTCACTGATGTTTCTATTAGTGATGCTGGATCTGGGTTGATAAGGTACAGTAACGACGGGTCTGCGGTTCGTGATTCAAGTGTCGTTTTAAATGCTCGTGGAAGTAGTTTTGAGAGTTGTGCGAATACTGCTGGAAATGCCAATGGCGTGAGAAGCTCTGGGGCATGTGGTAGCAAAGATTTACGCTGTCCTGTTACTCGACATGCTAAAGGTAGCGAGTCTCCGGTACAAAGCACCTCTGACTCGACATAGACGGTTTTCATCTGGCAAAACGCTTGGATAGTCGAGCCGTCCGCTGCACTTGGAATTGTTGCTTGGAACAAGAGGGTGGAAGAACCGATTTGATCTGCTCCAAGCGCCGAGAGCGCACAGGGCGCCGATATAAATGGTTGAGGGGGATTCGGCGAGCCTATCTGTGGAAGTGGGCATACCTTTGGGACAGGCGACGGAATGCTTTGTGTAGCATTGAAAAGCGGGCTAATGAATCTTTGGAGGCCCAGACTCCAGCCTGCGGTACCATTAATATCTACGTCAGCCGAAGTCCCGTGAAATGTTTCGTTTATAGTAGATGTATTCGCCTGTAATGTCGTCAGGCTGAAGACTCCCGTTTGTCGCGCTGGCTCTCCACAGTTCAACTCAAGATAGCTCGACTCGAGGGCAAATGTTGTACGGCCGGTTTGGAGACCGGATATTGGGATTCCAACAAGAGATACGTAGACTATCGTTGTATCAGAGGGTATCGGAACATACTCGGTAGTGTTGATGGAAGGTAGAGAGGACAAGAATGGAATTTTGATATTAGACCATAGATCCAGCGGAGAGGCTTTTTTCGAAATTGGGGTAAGAACCGCGGCAATATAGATTGAATTAAGTATACTAAACGCTGTTGCAGGCCAGGTGGATATATCGCTATCGGCGAGTTGCGACTGGGAGTCAGTCGTGAAGTAGGGTATGGTCGTTATGGAGGATTTTGAGCTTATGCTAGGGTATATGAAACGAAGAAACCCTTGGGATCCAACAGGGGATAGCAAGAACAACACTATTATTAGAAGCCCGAGAGTGTTGAAGCTGCGGAGTTGGAGTTGTGTTCCTATGGCTCCACTGAATGTTCGACTCCCCATCAGCTGTTCCAATTTCTGAAGTGTGCTGCCACGTTCCAGAGAGTATGATGCCGTTTTCAGCAGCGCTCTTCCGAGCATAAGAGCGAAGGCTATTGGGAACAAGGTCCCAGCCTACTTAGTGTTAGCAATTCCTCTTCAGCTGGGAGACATCAAGTACGTACAACTTTCGTCAAGTTCTGGTATACGTCCCAGTTGCTCCTTTGTTCAGTAGCTTTTCCATCCAAAGTTGCAAGTCCGATAGCAAGTACGAAGAAAGGGATAGGAATGAGCAGAGATAAGTAACCGCAGATAACTTTGGACCAGTGTATGAAGCTGTTGCTCATGACCCGAGAGGATCTTCTCGACCCATAGGTATCAATTGCAGTATGATTGCCTAAACCATCAGAGGACACTGTTCTACGTGGTAGCTGATGAGAATGAGGCGATGGCGTCGTCGATGACGGCCTTCTGGATTCAACATGGACTCCAGGTACCGCCACTGGTTTCCGTGCAATAACAGTCCCACGTTTCTGAATCTGTGAAGCTCTAGCATCTTCATCTATGAAGTCGGACTCAGAATTTATATGTAATCTTGGTCGTTGAGGTCGTGAAAAACTAGGATGTACAATTCTCAACGCCTCGGGGATTTCATGCTTGCTTTCGGACTTTGGCTCGCTGACCTCCCGCTCTGGCTCCTCAGTCGACGCAATTGCTGACAATGGCGGAATGGGTGGTAGTTCCTTCGCGACATGTGTCGTTGAAATAGGCGAGACATTATCTGAGATGTCGCTGCGTATATGCGGAATTGTTGCGAATCGATCAATCTCTTCTTGTTGACTCCAAGGCCGGCTGAGCGTAGGTGAGGTGATTGATTGTGAGTGAGGACGAACCTGTCGAGTTTCCGAGGACACCCTCGATGGGCCACTCATGCCTTAATGCTTATCGAACTTGAATGAGAGCTTCTCAAGTATGACCACAAAACATTGAAGCGTGAAACGAAACAAGCCGTGACGAATATGAGGGGTTGAACTATTCATTGGGAAGACGCTCTCTACAGACGGTGGACTCCCAAAGACATGTATTTAGGCCAGGAGGACGTACGGAAAAGAATTATATGCGCTGTGAGGCTGAAATATTAATCGTTAGAAATGCGTAGGAGTGGGAGAGTTGAGTAAGTAAGAGGGATCGCAAGCCTGTGCTGATCCAGATCTCAAGTCGGATTACTCCTGCTGCCTGGGCAGGCTCAACTTAAAAGGTGTTTGAATTCTTGTTGGAGACAGCAATCATGTAAGATCTGAGGGGTGCACGGGGAAGCGAGCACATGTCATCCTTATGAGCGAGCGGGCATGTCTAAATCCTTCCGCACATCTCGTGATTCATGCCCCTCAACATGGAAAATCAGGAGAATCGTAGAGATGGAAGATACTTCGTGTGCGTGGGGAGAGGCGAACAACAAGATAAGAATTTACGTTTAACATGAAGAAGACATGAAACAGTTGCTGGTTCCGTAAGATGTGGGCGTACTGGGGGCAAAATAATCTGAAACAAATAACGAAGGCAATTGAGGTGTCTCCGAGCCTTGCGAAAGAGGCGTATAACCAGATTAGCCAGTAACCATGAAGCACCGGAGTATTTAGATACTTGTATGACCAGGTCAGCAGGAACAACAGAGAAGCGAAACCCCTATTCTCGTGAAACAATACAGAAAGTATTTTCTGGAAGCTTTGGGAGGCTTAGGTTGGTTCCACATGGAGTCAGTGTTGAAGAGAGTCAGCGGGAGCATTATACCTAAGCATGACCTCTTGACGTCAAATATTGACAACTTACAACAGATCGCCGTACAAGTACAACCGTATGTTCGCCACGGAAGCAAAGGTAATAAGAAAATTTTCTTCACCCAACCACTAATGAGCGTGCATTTTGTATATCCTCCATTTTATGCGAGCCAGAAAGATGAGCCGCCGTCATTTAAAATCGCATCGTCGCGCCTTGTAGCTTCTGTCGAATTAATTTGGGTATAGTTAAGAGATATCCCCTTCGTCCTAGAAAGGCTGCTGTCTTACAAAAGTCCAATAACGAGATAGACCTCGCCGGATATCACGAGCACTTCGAAAATACCCCAGAATGTATGATCTAACCCCAAGTCCCACCACCACCACCTCTTCCCTGCCTCTTCTGCGCGGACAGTCTCCAGTCGTCTTCCGCGGCAAACTTGTTGTACAGTGGCTGGATTCTCTCAGCCTTCTTCCTTTTGCTCAACTTGTCTGTTGGTGCAACTTTGAAGAAACTAGGTGCAGCTTCTACCAACCATTTTGGTTCTATACTGGTTGTGTGATGCATATACTCTTTACTCGTAAGAACAAGTGTGTGGTATATCACCCACTCAGCTTGCTTGCCAAAGAGAGCTGAAGACGGATGGAGATATACCGGTGTCCCTTCGATGAGGGTCTTATAACCTTCCTGCGGATCCTTCCGAGCGGAATTGCGGAAGAACCCTGAGCAGAGAGCCTGCCGTACTTTGGCAGTATCGCGACCACAGGATGTAATGGGATGTTTGTATCTTTCCATGATCTTGACAAGTTGGTCGCGAATATCCTTTGCGCGCCGCATAGACCGGGCCTGGATGAAATTTTCGAAGCACCAGGGGTTACCGAATTTATTCTGTTTCCATCCGTTATAGACGTTAAGAAGGGTGAGATGATCACCATGGGGATCGTGAAATTTGGCCTTCTTCTGATCAGCCTGAGTTTGCTTCTCTTTTGGTCTGTAGAAAACTGTTCCCATTGAAATCATGGCTACAATGCTAAGAATTTCGTCCGAGCAATGTAAATCAACGGCTGCAATAAGGACCTTAGCCAAAGAAGGTTCCATGGGGAAGTCGGCCATTTTGCGACCCAGGCGAGTTAGCAAGCCCTCATCATCTAGCGCAGAAAGTGCGTATAATTCTTCCAAAGCAGTTAGCATAGTGTTTGTGGGAGGCGGATCCATAAAATCAAAATGTAAGAGATCATTAATCCCCATTGCTTTCAACATCAGAATCGTCGTTGACAAGTTTTGTCTCTGAATGTCAGGTATCGAAGTAGGCAGCATTTCGGACTGAAAGGCAGCCTCCGTGTAAAGTCTAAAGCATTTGCCTGGTCCAGTTCTTCCAGCACGGCCAGCACGCTGCTTTGCTTGAGCTTGCGAGATAGGCGTCACAACTAATGAATCCATTCCAAGCTTCGGGTCATAAGCATTTTGTTTAACAAATCCCGGATCGATAACATAGTAGATATGATCAATAGTAATTGATGTCTCTGCGATATTAGTCGCAATAACGACCTTTCGGCTCCCTGGAGGTGCAGGGTCGAAGATCTTACTCTGCATTTCACTAGGAAGTGCGGAGTAGACAGGAAGGATGATTAGCTCTGGCACGCTTGGTCCTAGGGCTTTCATACGTTCGAAGAGGATTTCACAACTCGTGTCGATTTCTTCCTGTCCAGTCAAGAACAGTAGTATGTCTCCAGGCGGTTCTGTTAAATGAATCTGCATCACCGTTACCAAAGCCGCATCGAGATAATCTGATTCCGGTTCTCGTGAGTACATAATCTCAACTGGGAATGTACGTCCAGGGATGGAGAAGATGGGACACTCGTTGAAGTATGCAGAAAACTTGTCGGCATCCAAAGTTGCAGAAGTAACGATGACCTTCATGTCCGGTCGGCGCTTGAGTGTTTTCTTGAGAAGCGCAAACAAGACGTCCGTGGCGATTGTGCGCTCGTGGGCTTCGTCTAACATGATTACAGAGTATCTATTTAGATCAGGATCTATTAAGATCTCACGTTGTAACATGCCGTCGGTCATGTATTTTATCTTGGTCGCTGGACTGGTATTATCTTCAAATCGAATGGTATAGCCAACCTCTTGACCTAATTGACAGCCTACTTCTTCAGAAACACGCTTCGCGACTGACATTGCAGCGACCCGACGCGGTTGTGTACATCCTATCATACCGTTATTTGCAAAACCAGCTTCAGCCAGATACTGGGTCAGTTGGGTCGTTTTCCCCGAACCAGTGTCGCCAACCACAATTAAGAGCTGATTTGCATGAACTGCTTTTATCAGCTCTGATCGAAATCTGAACACAGGCAAAGACTCTCGTTGTTGTTTCATAGTCATATCTGTTCGTCGTCCCAGTGATTGCTCCTTGCTCTGTGTTGCTTTTTTCCATTCGGGGACCACTTCACCAGGAGCGGCTGGTTTAATTGCCCTCAAATCGCTAGCAAATTTCCTGTCGTCGGGATTCGCCATTGGGTCATTCCAGTTCGCAGCCAAGTCCACCTTTGAGCCTTCTTCGGCTGCTTTGTCCTGCGCTTCTTGCTGTCTCAATTCTCTGCGGTCTTTAGCTAAAGTTGTTCCCGCCATCGCAGCTCTATTCATAGAGCCATCAGGAGCCTTGACTACTCTGATGGGTGAGAGTTCCAAAGATTGCTTTGTCTGACCCGCTAGAAAAGGAGGTTCCTCTTCCCGAAGTTCGATATCTACATCCTCCTCAAGCTCCATTTCTCCTTCACCGTTGAGAGTGGCATGGTAATCCTCGTCCAGGTCGGGGTAGTCGGAGGCTTTCACAACTCCAGATGCTATTAATTGCCGGATTTCCCACCGCTCTGGGGACGTCATGCGTTTCTTTGGATGTCGTGAGTTTCGCGACATATCTCCCTCAAACACAGTGACTGCTTCGTCTAACAATCCATATTCGTTTTTCGATCCTCCTAGCCTCTCGCTATTGGCACCAGATTGTATCCTTGATTGGGGTACCAAATCTCGCCCGGTTTCTTGGTCGACCTCTTTCATCGACAAACCGATCCTATTTCCTTCAAGTTTGAGTACCTTAACCTTGACAGGCTGGTTCCTCGAGACCAGATCCGACGGATGGTTTACTCTCTGGCCTTCAACTAACGCGGACACATGTACAAGCCCATCAACCTTACCCTTTACTCCATGTATATTCACGAATGCCCCAAAGTCTTTCACGCCAGTGACATGCCCATCATAAACTTTGTTTAATATCGGTTCGTCATCAATTTCTGGCGTAGGGGGTCTTCGGAAGTCATCGTCCTCATCTCTCTTTCTCCTTGACTTATGGCCCCTCCTCGAGCGGCCGAATTCATCTGCTGCTTCTTTATCCCGTTTCTTACGTCTTCGAGGCTCTTCTAATGATCTTGAGCGAGACCTATATCGATCTTTCCCCATGCGACCCCGATCGTAGTCATCCCCAGGGCTTCGACTCCGTTTGCGACTTGGGGCTTGAGGTTTCTCTGTTCGCGCCTTGGGTTCGAGGCCTTCCAGAAGCGCGAGTGTATCATCTATAGCATCCGGTTCATTGGTTTTGCTGCCGTTTCCATCGAAGTCCTCGTCGTCTTGCCATGGCACATCTCTGTCGGGAAGTGCGAGTCCTCTGAACACCTTGGTCTTTTCTTCAGCTATTGCTGCTCCATGTCGACTTTGTTGACCGTTTGCTCCTCTAAGTTTAGGGTGCATAGTTGTCACCAGGCGATCTACACTCTCTATCAAACTCGCTGGGAAGTCAGAACCCATCGCCTTCTGGAAATCCTCGAAGGACTTGCATTGCGTCCGTTGCGCAATGACATATTCGGCAAGAGTCTTCTCGTTGATTCCTAAGTGATTCTCGATTTCAGACGTGACTTTAGATACCAAAGATAAAAGTTCTAGAGATTCCAGGTCATCCATGTTGACGTCGCTATGGTTCAGAAATAGTTGACTCTCCTCTACTTTTTTATTAGCGCGCTTCAAAATGCAGCAGGTCGATGAAGTCGCCTATCGCGGCTAAATCCGTCACCCGCTGATGGTACGGAATAGATGACCTGATCGACGTGGCTGCCCACCCACCTTGACGACTTGAAATTACACTTAATTCTGAATTGTTCAGAGCTTTGTAGAAAGACTTTCTCATATAATAAAAGTCGTCCTCTTCCTACTTTAATCGCTATTGCAGCTATACAAAGTAAAAGGTTCTTTGAAAAAAGAGTGCTTATGAAATGGCGTAAATTCTATTAATGTCCAGAAACCGAGCTATGAATCATCTTACTTCCGCGAGACCGTGACTAGTAGAACACATCTCATTGTACTTGACTAAAGTTTCAATGATTTATTATGTACAACAAACAACTCAATCTACTTCGTCCGGATATGCTTCAATCTCTTATCGGACCACAAGAAGTTATTTGCATATGCCTTCGGAAGAATTTTACGGCTGTTTGGCTCCTGGACGAAGTATTCGTAACCTTGCTTCTCCGCGAATCTGATTGCATCGTCCTTCGATTTGAAGTTCATGTGTGTTCCTTGCATGAAATCTGCCGATGATTGCCATCCCATCAATGGGTTCTCCCATCTATGTCCCTTGGGCAAGATATCCCAGTCCATTCGCCAATGGTGCCCATGCCAGTCTCCAGATTGGGTAGCAGTCTTTGCTGGTTTGTAAATGCTATCAATAATCAGAAGATACACGCATACAAAAGATAGACTTGGTCCTACCGAACAGTCCTAGCCTCTAATTCAATTGGCGCTCCGGATAACACAGCAGCCGGCACAACGTCACCTTCCTCACTCCCGTTCATAACTCGCTTTGGTATTGGGGTAAAGAGCCTGAAGCTCATTAGCTAGTCTTTCACCCACACAAAAGGGGAGTCCTACGAAGCAGCTTGGTCTACCTCTGCAGCATAGTTAGGCGCATTGCGACTGCGAGTCTTTTGCTGCTCAGTGACAGAGGTCTCTTCACTTTCTGATTTCGAAGTCGTGAGGGGCGTTCCCACAGCTGTCGAGCTGTCGAAGCGTACGGTAGCGGGAAGGGCTCGTCGAAATACTGGGGCGCTTGCTTTGAGCATGCGACCGCTAATTGAAGGTCTTAAAAGTGACATATTGTTCCTCAAGGGAGTGATGTGAGGATAGTGGTTTTGGTTGCAATGTTGAGTCCTTTCTGGAGTCGATGTTAGCCGCGCGGGAGGCGAGCCCAATTAGCGCCGTTTTCTTCGGTGGGTGTCGGACTTCAAGCTCTTCGCAACCACAGTCAAACGCAAAGTACACTTCCACACACGATCAGGATACTCAATCGAGGTATGAAATTATTTCTATGCTCGATAGCCTCTAGGGAAGGGATCTTAACCCACGATTCGCTAACATGGAACGAGCAGCCGTCAAGATGAGTTTCGTTACACGCCGAGCGCTCTCTACTCTCATTCCTCCAAAGGTACGTACAAAGACCAATGCACTGTAAACCAACGTTTGCACATGTTGCTAACTCACCATTAGGTTGCCTCTCCATCTGTAAGTCTGAATCTGCGACCTTGAACATATCACATCACCGAAAAGATCCTCAGAACCCAAACGAGCGGACCACATTTCCCATCGACCAAGACACACACTGATAGGATTTAGGGACTTGGGGCTGCCCAAGATGCTGCACGCATGTCGCGCGTTGTGAGCTTCTACGAGAAACTACCAAGAGGTTCCGCTCCAGAGGTCAAGCCAAAGGGATTGATGGGAAGATATCAGGCCAAATATTTCGGAAAGAACGCTTCCCCAGCACGTACGTTGATTTGGCCAGCTTTTATCTAGATGCGCGGACACTGATTATATTAACAGCTATCATTCACATCATTGCATTCATGATGGCAATCGGTTACGCTCAAAATTACTACTTCCATCTCCGTAAGAAAACAAATTACAATGTACAGATTACAATCTAACAGTTTTAGGCCACCACAAGAACAACGCTCATTAGACGTCATGAAGTCATTGAGATGCCCTGATGGATTGTTTCACTAGTTTGTAAATATGGATAGGAGAATACCAGCCGTTGCGTAGACAACTCATCGCGCGACTTTTTACCAAAATGTATTGCAGTGATCTATTCCTCAGGTTAACTTATTAGCATATTTCAAAATTTTCAACACCAGAGAGTCGAGCCGATCTTCCCCGCGAACATGTTGGCAAAGCTACATTGGGCTCAGGAGCACATACGTTGGACGGCTACGTGCACCGACAAACTTGATTCATTTTACATGATTTCAAGACTAAATATCGCCTCTGAAATGTCTCTCGAATTGGAAAGTATCTAGGCCTTTATTTCCGTGGGATGATGAGAACACTCTATTGCGGTAAAGAAACTCTCAAAGCCAAGCACTGCCACTGGATCTCCTGATACAGCATAGAGGATTTATGTGAGCTGATTAGGGATACGGTAATTGCTCAAGCACGTCCGTATCCATAAACGGGGCCACATATTATCTACGAGTTCACGTAACACGCCTTGTTCATTCATACCCCATACGGCCATATTCTGGGAGCGTGTTCGTCACCCGATCTACCACTTAAGACCACCTGCATAGAGTCAACCTCGGTTCTGATTTCTGAAGCTTGGTACTAGTTTGACTCAAGCAGAAAACATTCACGTGCACATGCTTTTTAATCAGTGCAAGAGAAATCCAACCATAATGAGTTGAACTTTGAGTGATTTCCAATAACATATGTGATCTTATTATTGTAGTGGTATTAACAGCCATTAAAGAATCTTAGATCGGCATGAATCACTTTGTTCGGGTGGGCTGCTTCAGCCTTAATTATCCTAGTGCGGCTAAGCCTAATCGAGCGTTCTGTCGTACATGTTCTGAAATCAATGAACTCAAATTCACGACCACCACAACCGTATAACTCTCTTCGTCAACGAAACACGGAGTCATTCTCCTCATCGATTGCGCCGCTCTATTAATATCGCGATCGAATTTATTACTTCCGCAACCCGAAAGCCTCTTGCGCAAGAGTTCCGGCATACAGACGAATCAAAGCGGCCAACGCATGCGCAGCTCCTCGAACATACGCAAACAACTCTGAAGACGTATGATGGCAACTGAAGCCACTCCTGACACACTTGCGAAGTCCTCCACTGTTCCTGACCATGAGCTAGTGTGTTTACATAGTCTTTCACACTCGAGATTCAATGCTGACTTGCGACCAGAACACAACTGAAACTGCCAGCCAAGATGTCTCCCCGATTGAACAGACTATCGTAAACGGAAACCTCGATACTGACAATGACGGAATCAAGCAAACCACAGGCGATGCTGATACTATTATCAATTCGGCGGAGGTCAGTGTTAGTGGAGGATCGGATACTGAGAATTCAAAAGCGGAAACCGCGAAAACCCAGCCAGGTCATGTTCGTACGACATCTACCGTAAAGAAACCCGTGTCTTTTAAGCCAGTATCCGTCAACAAGACATTTCTTGCTGCCAAAGGCACTGTGGTTCCTCCGACTTCTAAAACTGGTGAGAAAGGAGCTGCTGGAGCTGCATCAGCACAAAGCGGCCCGTCACTAAGCTCTGCTCCACGACCAAGATTAGTCGCAAAGTCCGGGAGTGGTCTACGCGACTCTGCGCCGCGAAATGCAACAAGTACAAATGGAAACAAGACAGGCGCGGCGCCTGATGCCAGCGCTGTCTGGAACAAAAACAGACGTATGTAGTTCGATCTAGATAGCTTCTTTCTGGCCATTGCTAACTGATGTCAGCTGCCGCTCCTGCCGAACCCAAACGCTTCACGGATGAAGAATTAAAGCAGCGTTACGGTATTCATTTGGCGACGAGACTTCAATCAGACGATCCAGGCAAGGAGAAGAATTGGGCAGATATCGATGATGATGACGACGATTGGGCTCCGGAAACTATAGAATGGACGGACGGGACCAAGATCACCTTACCGCAAGCCGATGAAGTTCCTGTTTCTCCGCCTGAAGTGCCTGTTGCGCCTCCGCCAGTTTTAAAGGACATCAAGCCCCTCGACGTACCGAAGTCAAAATCTCCTGTTCCCACGCAATCTGCTTCGCCTACAGTAAAGCCCAGTGGATTTGGTTCTGGAAGAACTGGTCTGGTGCTTAAAGGAGCTGCAGAGAAGCCCACGTTGGTCGCGAAGCCCCCAGGACCTCCTACACCTGTCAAATCACCATGGGCAGCTTTACCACCAGTGGACAAAGTTGCACCGGTTGCAATTGAGCTTCCACAAACTCAAGCACCCTCACAAAGCCGCTTTGTTCATAAAGATCCTCATGGATTCCAGGCAATGCCGCCTCCTCCTGCGAAGGAGATTGCTGCAGACGATTTTAGTCGATCGTGGAGAGATGGAAATTCGAATACTAGCAGAGAACTGTACAACTCGCAATCTGGTAGATATGAGCCAGTAAATGACGGTCGACGAGGCTCTACTCGCAACGACGGTAGACAGCCCGCAGTGTTGCAAAGACCTCATCAAGATGGGCCCGCAGAGCCTTCTGCTGCATTCCAAACGCACCGTGCAGGCATGCAAGACCCTTCATACGGACGCCGACGCACCTCTTCCAATGTGAGCGGAGGCAGTGGGAATTTTGGACGGAGATTGAGTCGAAGTGGTCACGAGATGCCTCCCCATGAGCTGCTTAACATGCGACGCGGCTCATTGGCTGCTGTTAGCGACGCCCCTTCCTCTCCAAGAGAGGCTTCACCTTCAAGTCAACATCCAAACCAGCGAGCCCCACAAAACAAAAGTCAAAATCAACCATGGCAATCTCGTGCATCTCCCGTGGTTAGCCACCCATCTCCTCACTCCATGAACGTACAATTGGCACCATCGGCAACTGGCTCAGTTGACGGCGGCCAGGCGCCACCACCAGCAAGCGCTGTCCTGTCTGAGGATCAACTTTTCGAGGATCAGAAAAAGCGTATGCAGATTGCGCGTGAATTGGCCATCAAGAGACGTCAGGAAGAAGAAGCGAGAGAAGAGGCTGCCAAGCGCGAGCGCATCAGAATTAAGCTGGAAGCTATGGGGCCTCCACCAGAGACGCAGAAGAGCAAGGCGGCCACACCAAAGCAAGACAAAGTAGCACCTCTTTCCATCCAAGCTCGCGAATCAGCAACAGAGCCATCTTCAGCAAAAGAAGTTGCGAAGCCCGAAGAATCAAAACCATCGACCAATAAATCTCCCTCTGAAATCGCTCCAGCGGCACCCGCGAAAGCTGAGAAGCCATCTGCTGAGCCTCTGCCTCGCGCAAACGGCGTCGTCGATAGAACCGAAATCAAGACAACCGAAGCCCTTCAACGAGGTCCAGACGGTAGATCGTCGCAAGCATGGCAGCCCAGCACCTCCAACAATCACTCAGACCGGTACCAAAACTCTCAAGGTGTCTGGGCTCAACCTGTACAACAGACATCGAGAAGTGTCTGGGGTCCTCCTCCCTCGAATGATCGTACTCTGGGCAATGGGACTTTCAATCCCGAGCTTAGTAGGGTTTCCGGGGCTCCTCACCCAGGGCCAATTGGTCCGCCTAATCAGAACCGGAACAACAATGGTCAATACATACAGGGCCGTGACCGCAATCCATTTGCTCCTCGTGTTGCACCAATCGGACCACCAAATAAAGGTGATCCCCAACAAGAAGAACACCGTCAAAAGCTGGCGCAAAGTGGCTGGGGAAATGCAACTGAACTAGTCCAACAATCCGACATGCTCTTCAAACAGAATGCACAGGCGGAAGAAGCGCCCTCAAAGCATCAGGTCGCACAGGGTCCAAACTCCGCTGCACTCGGCGTGAAACTTGATCAAACCTGGCGTCCTACGACTGTGAGTTCTGACGGGGAGAGGGTCAACATGAAGGAAGAATTAGCAGAACCAGTAAGAGCTTTGGAGCAACAACACCAGTACAAGGATGTCTGGCAATCTTCTGGCACTCGAAATGCTGCTTCTCGACCGAGAGACTCGAGGTTCTTCCCAAACAATCGGGATGTTCGCTTGGAAGAGCAGCAAATGCCCCAATTCGACAGGCCCGGATCCCCGTCACCTCCCCCGCCGACGATGGCGGATACAAACCATCCGGCTTATGATGGAGATGCACAGCGACCACATGTCAGCCTTCCTAAGCCAGCCCCTGTTGTAAAACTACCACCCGCTGTACTTGCTCCCATCGGGCCGCCAAAACCCGCCACATTCGCCGCAGCTGTGATAGCTCCGGTCATCCCATTAAATCACGTCTCTCACCAAGGCCGTCAAGATTATGCATCTAGGGCTGTTGCTTCACATCACGATGCAAGACGTGGCCAGGAACAAGCAGCAGGCGGTTGGCAAGATCGAATTAACAACCTAATCGGCAGAAAGCACTCCCCACCTAAATCGCATGCGCTCGCTGTAGATTCTTCCAGCAAGAATGCCCTCGAGTTGCCTCAGTCTCAAACAGCAGCAACCGTTTCACTTCCTTTGTCGGATTTGGACTCGGCTTCAGCAGAGACGGGCTCAACATGCTCTAAGCCAGCAGCTGAGGAATGTTTTGAAGAGCAGGAAATGGGTTCTTTGCCTGTTATCAAGGTGCCGCACACAGCGCCAGCTGCAGCATGGTCACCAGCCCCACAGCCTCCAAGGTCTCTTCCCAGAAAATTTCACGCCGCAGAAGTGGTCAGTCGGGATTTCCTTCCATTCAATGGACCCATCGCGAACGGCAGATACACCTTCAGAGTTCAGCTTGCGGGCCAGAGAGAGGGGAGAATTCTCAACGGCCCAGTGGCACCAGAGCAAAGGCAACGTAGCAATCCAAGACGAGGTGGCTCACAGGGAGGAGTAGCCCGTGGAGCAAATACACCACGACAAGGATCTTTATCAACAACACGAGGAGGACGCTCGAAGGATGCTGGCTTCCCTTCGCCAAAATCCGAAAACACCTCAGGATCATCACTATCTAACACTGGTCGGGGAGGTCAAAGAGGTGGTCGAAATTATGGATCGAATTGGTCCCGTCATGTTTCCACACCGTTGCAAACTTGATTCGGCGTTTGACCAAGCATCAGACAGTATAGCAATTGTTCACTTTGAATGAGGAATCAGACATTCTGGGAATTTTCAGATAGTCTTGGAATTGTTCGCTTTGAAAGAAGAACATCGTTTCGGCTGGGGTTTTGCTAACACATTATTTTCTATTCTATGCACAACCCGCTTCCACATTATCAACTGTAACTCGAGTAGGAGGGGAATGTTTGTCTCGTCAGTGGCTGTAATGCGATTTGCATACGGCGTGTATATTGTGCGATGAGAGCTTGCTCTTGTTTGAGGGCGCAGAAAGCTTTCGTGTCTGACAATAGGACGTTGACACATGGGAAATATGGACGGAAAGCTTAGTACTTAATTTTCAAGTCCAGCTAGTCCGGATAGTTCAGAACACAAATCTTTGCTCTCTGGCTGTAAGTTGAGGGTGTATTGCCGCACACGTAACATAGGCTGTTACTGAATAAAAACATTTCAAAAATGCTCACTTAAAGTGTTTGTGCTTATAATTGCCACATTCGTGACAAGGCTCATCTGAACAATGCTAAATCAACTTCACCTCCCAATCCCTTGTTACCAGCTCCACTTTCTCTGACGGCCTTGATAGCGTTACCTAACCGCTCAACACCTTCCGCCAAATCCTTTTCCTCCTCGAAAGAAAAGCACAGCCGTATTGAATTTGGAAACGTGACACTTTCATCTCCGTACACCTCAAAAAGCTTGCCTGGCGCAACAATAAGATTCTCCTGCTGTCTAGCCTTCAGAGACACAACCTCAGCGTTGATATCTGAAGGGAGATCTATCCAAATGAAGTAACCACCAAATACTCCATCCGAGGATGAAGAGGTCGAGGAAAACGACGTCTCTCCTACCGACACTCCCAGTGGCGACAAATACTTGGTGATGGCGTCGACCATAAATTCGCACCGACGTTTGTATGCTGGAATAAGCGTGTTTTGGATGTGATTCTCCAAATCCCCTGAAACAAGCAATTCGTTAATCATGGTTGCAGTCAATTGACTCGGTGCGCCCCCAGACCGTGAAGAACCACATTGACTTAATCCATAGATGAATTTGGGACTTGCTTCAGCCCATCCAGTTCTCACGCCGGGCCCAGCAATCTTTGAGAATGATCCGTTAGACATGGCATTCCCGAAACTGTCTTTACCGGGTGTTGGTTCGAGAGTTCGATCGACATCGATTAATCTGGGGAGTACAGCTTTGGTTGGATTAGAGGTTGATGGGGTTGTAGACCAGAGAAGGGAATCGTAGACGTCGTCTGTGATTATCAGAGCATCGTGCTTTCGTGCTAATTGGATGAGAGATTGACGGCAGGTGAGAGACATGGTTTTGCCGGATGGGTTGGAGAAGGTAGGAACGCAGTAGATGATGTGGCGGTAGATTTTTGACCAGGGTTTCTGGGATTTGAGTCTCTGGTTTTATGTCAGTAACTGTCCACCTACTTATGAATGTTGGAAACGGGAGTGGTGCTTGAACTCGTGCAGATTTAAGCAGCCTGTGATCGTCATCTGCATTTGAGAAACACAATTCTCTGTCGAACGAAAAGTTCAATTCATCAATTGGACTTACAGTAGCAGGCTTTGCATCTTCCGTCTCCAACTTCTTCCTCAGATATTCTAAATCAACTCCCTCATCTCCCTCGGGTACAGCACCGATTACCACTAAAACAATATCAGAATGAGCCTATAGTTTTCAGAAATTCTTTTTTATGAGATGGTGCAGTTTTCGAGCATCCACTCTAATTCCATCCAAAACTTTATGTATCCAGGACTAAGTTCATAATTTGGCTCATCTTCATCGTCCAGAGAAGCTTCTTCAATCCCGCTATCCCCCAACAGTCGTCCTACAAAGCAAACTGAAAAATAGCAGAAGTGAAAACTCAAACTCACCACCACTATCCTCAAAAATCCTACACGCCAAAAAATAACACGGCGCAACCATCCACACATTAGTATAAATCGGATCACTAAACACCTGCAACACACAAGCCAGATTCTGACTCGCACCACCTGTTATACAAATTCTATCCCCAATCTTCTCTCCATCCCTCATCTTTCCCTCATCCCCAAAGAATCTTCCCGTCCACCTCTGAATCGATTCTCTCAACGGCTGAAACCCCGGATCAGGACCATAACACAGGCCCGGAATAACCGTCTTCTCATCAGCAAGTGCTTTCTGACTGGCCTTTTTAATCTTCTCGACTGGCAACAGAGAGAAATGCGGCCAGCCGCGAAGAAGGTTGATTTCTTTTTTCGGGGTTAAGGGAGGGATGGCGTCACCCATTTTTGGGGTGCGGGGAAGCGAGGAGGAAAAATGAGGGAGTGGAGTGATGATATGAGATTTAAGGAAGAGTTTGAGGGTTGAGGTTAGAGATGGGATTTTTGTTGCGAGCATGTGTGCTGTTTTGCATCTTCATGGTCAAAGGTGGATTGGGTAGGTGTTGGGGTGTAGTAAGCTAGTCCCCGGATGCTGCTCCTAGGACGAATGAGAAGCGAGAAGTGATTTATATTTACGTCACTATCTAGTTCATCTCACCATATTTTGTCCTGAAGTGGAGAGTTCGAGGGGTGATTAAGTCCTAGTTTATTTGATCGAGTTCAAAACATGTTCTTTGTTTTGCCCAAATCTTTGAACATCCACCAGTGTGGTGCAAGTCTCACGGAACATCCGCCTTAACGATACCCCATTCGAAACACTACAATTACTCAAATCGTTCGAGGGAAGATAGAATGATGTCTCTATCACAGAGGGTAAAATAGCCTGCGTAGGAAGGAGTGTTAGAATGTCATTTTCTGGCATTGTTGTCCTATGAGGGTGTCCCAGTAGACTTGCAACCCATCGGTGATAGATTCTATTGAAGTTAGCTTTCATCTACTACCAAAAATACAAAACACAAGCCTGCGAAAAATCATCTTTCAAGTCAATTTTAAAGCCAAGATATTGCTAAGTTCCTCTAGGGTAAGAGTAGATGTTTTCGCACATTAAAGATACCGTTTTCACGTCGTTCTGCGACTTGATTCTTTGGAAAATATAAGAGCGAAGGAGGAGGGAATGCACTGTATTTCCAATATATATGATTTCCATGTTTGTATGAAATGCGAAATGGTTTTCTAGCAGCCTGGAGATTTGTTTTGGTTTGTGGCTTTCCATTCAGGTTGTTGTGGGAGAATAAGTCTGGATATGTATCTTCTGGTTAGCATCATGTCAACCCGATGGTTTCATGAACTTCTCTCAAGCCAATCATAGTATAGGAAGTAATCTGCGTATGTTTTATCCCCAATCCAAATAGAAGAAACGAATTGGAGACGCGAATCTGTAGTCACCTGTGATATTTCAAATGATGGCGATAGATTGTCGGGAGATGTTAGTAAGTATAATGAGGATGGTCCTAGTAGAAGTCCACGATTAGAATTGAGATATGAGGGAGATTAAAATCATATATAAAAGCCACCGGGGAGCGAAGCTACAAGGATCATTGGTTTACCACATTAGTTAGGAAAGTTGATAACTTCGTATCTTTAGACATCGACGAACGTAAAATCGCCTAAATTTTAATCGAGATAGCTCTTATATGTAATATTGTGGGCAAGAAAGAATGTACCTAGCGGAATTATGTCTTAAAGATACTTTCCAACTTAGTTAGAACCCCGAAATTGTGAGATCGTCAGACATATCGACAAAAGAAAAGAACAATCTCATTTTATCACACGGCGAGAAAATAAGAAGGTGCACGAAAGCGGAAATTTCTGTGCATATCCAATCATATATCTATATATTAGGTGGTATTTTGGTAAGATACGCTCATGAAATGCAAATCCTAATTCATAACGTCCAGGTGGTTGTAGATCCTCTCCTCCGGGTCGAGTTTACATTCCGAGATGTCAAAGTGTCCACTTACGAACCATTTCTAGTCACAGTTATACTCCAAGACAGATACGAGGGATCAAAAACTACCAGATCTACCATATACGAACTCTATATGAACACCCCCAATCATATTTCCAATACCTAGTTCATAGCATCGAGATTTTTCTCTGCTTACGAAAGCGAGAAGAATCGGACACCTGTATTTCCGAGGAACTCGAGGAGACCAAAAGAATGCCCTAGCAAAAGTAACTCTGAAGGTGTTAGACAAGCTATGAAGTCTCGATGAGTCTTCGATTTGTCCCACACATTAGAGACCTAAAAGTAATAGTTCATCACTGAACTTAGGCTCACCAAGCCGCTGTGGATACAATAGAAAGGAGCTTAACTTATTGGAATCACTACAGAGAACGAAAGTACACTGCTTTCCTCTGTTCGGTCACCGATCTTCTCATTTGGCCATATCATTGGAAGCTGATCCGAAGTCAAATCTTACAAGACACGAGCATGCAACTACAGGTAACCCATCGTCGCACTTCCCATAGAAGCAGCCCCCTCATGTCCTTATTTACGGCCAGCCACTCTTTGTCAGAAGTCTGATTGACGTCGCGGGTCGCATGTGCACTACAATGAAACGGGGTCATCGTGGGGTACAGAGCACCAGCGCGGACATGACGCTTCCCTGACTAGAGCACCAAGAGGTAGAATTCTCCTTAACTTTCTTTATCAAATAAAGAGATAAAATTTGTTTACACAGTGTCGATCCATATCGACGGTTCTGTCTCGCAGAGGACAAGGTAAGTGTCAGTCATCTACCCACTCACTAAACTTCAGAAAGAACAAACTTGATTTCAAGTAGATCTGAAGTTATTCACTGGAAACAATTGACTAAATACCTGAAGATGTGCCAAGTTGGTCAACCAAGTATGCGATGATTTGCCAGCTTAATCGAAGAACTATAGTGTTTCGTCGGCCATTCGGAAGCATGTGTACAGAGTAGAATTCATCATCCACGTATTGACCAAATGAAGGAACTGAACACTTGTACATCAACACCTGAGTGACTTATTTACCGATGTAACATGAGACGTCATTGCGGTATAAATACCGTGTAGTAACTTGTCGTAATAAAGGTACAAAGTACATCATTACTCCCAATGGTAAGGATATCCCGCTAGGAAGTCATTCCTTGTAACGAGATCTCTGATCAATGGCTTGATCGAAGACATTGATGGTAGATCAGCCTTTTTGAGCGCGAGATCGGACAATTCATGTTGAGAAGTTGGCCCGACGAACGAAGCGGGATAATATCGTATATGATAAAATAGAGCCTACGTGGGAGCATGTTTGTGGCCGTACCTGTTCAGACGTTGGGCAGCGAGAAGGCTTCGAAAACCAATGGACGGAAGATCTTGAACACTTGTTCAATTATGATCGATCAAGAGCCTTCTCCGAAATTTTGGTAGATGAGCTTCAGCAAATCAGCTGATTCCAAACATTCCGCCAGACAAGAAAATCACAAAGATGATCGCACGAAAACTCTGTGAAAAGTTTTCCAGCTTAGTAGATCCTGGGACAGAAAAAGGAAATATGATTGCAGTTTTACTGCACCCCGCGATACCGGACTCGTGAAATCCAACGGCAGACTTCTGTACACCCACACTCTCCAACTGATGGGGACTGGCGAACCATTAAAAGTGATTCGGTAACCGATGAAAGGCATCACATGGTCGCAGATTTGGCCCGTCACGGCATCCCCAGAAAGCAACGAGCGCCAGGGCAAGGCAAACTTGAGGTGCGAACGGATCTGGTCGCCTTACCAAGTAAGACATGCGGAAATGTTAGGAAGTAATGATCTTTTTGAGGTTGTTGCAGGAAACGCTTGATCAATGGCTTGGAATTGGACGTTCTTCACAAGCCTCCAGCCAAGTGCACTGGCTTTCTCTGATTCCAAGAGTTCTAGACCTTCTTAGACAAACCGAAAAGGGCGTTGGGCAAATACATCAGGGAAATACACTCCACGTGCTGTAATAGGTGCGCGGTATATGAATGTAGTGCCGACCGACGAGTTACGTCGTGCCACAGAGCAGAGCAACAGTTCGCCTGGGCACGCGAAGCAAACCGCATCGCCAATTACATCCACCGACCATTTGCATCGCCCGATGAACTATGACTTGGCCGCAGACATTTGGACATGATTGTGACTCGATGGAATTCGCACGGTACGCGAGTACGTGAAAAAGATCTCAAATTCGCCATCGAGTCAGTGGCACCGCAAGGAAAGCCTCGGCATCTGCTGCGGATGGCGAAGAGATTTATGCTCGCGGACGCCACCAGCAATAAAGCATTTGGAAGTCCCAATTTGACAGAGCAAACGAGAAGAATAAGAAGAATGCAGCAATTCGAGATGTGAATAGAAGGAGAGACTGCAGCCTTCGAGTGGGGTACAGTAGCCTGTAAAGTGATAATATATCGGATGAATGTGAAAGGTTGCATCGACTGAGCATCAATTGTGAGGGGTCATGATGTATTACCTAGATGCCTCTACGGCTCACCGTCAGCAGTCCACGAGCCTCAGCTGCAAATTGTGGTGTTGATGCATGGTAAGAATAAGCGTGGGCGGTAGGAAGTTCCTTTCAAAATACTTCCTCCTGTTCAGAGTGCTCTGGCTGAAGCGACGGCATCGAGTTAAGGTTGCGTTCGCCCTATGGCACTCGTGCGATAGATTCCTTGATCTGGATCGGAGCCGAAGGTTGGGCAAAACGCCCGCGATCTGTAACTTGGATTTGAATCTGAAAACTCCTTCGACTCTACGCATGGGTCCTGAGTCCTGACGTGCAACATGTCTGACGTCCAGCTGGTCCAGCTTCCTGAATGCCCAGGTGAACGACGAAGTATGAGTAAGGCTCCATGGTAACCTTGGAAGACTCGGACAGGAAAATCCGAGAGCATGAGTAAGTATGGTGCCACGGAGTAGAAGATTGTTCCGCCTATTCGTATTTGCTCTGTGTCCATCCAAACTCCAAAATAGAATGTACGGGCGCGGGCTCCTTGAGTGTTCATGCCTGGTGCTCCGGATGGTTGCGCAATTTGCCCAACTTGGGAGGGCGATTGCATCTAGTACTCCTCCGTACACGAACAATACAGTTGACTGCCTAGGAATGACGAGGGAGTGGACGACTCGTATGCATAGAATCTTCGATGCGGATATACTCCGTTCGGGCTGCGGCGGTTGGAGGGGCACTCTCACGGCGACGTGGAATCTGCGAACAGCTTAGTTAGAAGTGCGTGGGATGGAGCATGGGCATGCCCAAGTTCTGTAGAAGCGAAAGATTTTCGATGGGAAAGACATTTGCGGACGTAGCAGGCGAGAGCCCTCTCGGCGCGTGGGTGAAGAATATGTATGGCTGTCGATGGAGCTGATGGATGAAAAAGTGTGCAGTGGCTGTCGAGATGCAACGTATGGCAGTCGTTCGTTTGCATCTTTTCGGAAGCTGGAGCAACGCGAACCTGTCAGCTCATCGAAAATCACACCAATTCTTTGCCCACCACCGGCTGACAGAGTGGTGTGCCAGACTGTGGTGGATGTCTCTGGATGTCTGAGACTCTGAGATCCAGACCCTGGTCGGCGCAGACCACCCTGCTCCCATTCGGCTCCCCATTCTCCCCATCTCTGCCCTCTGCGACCTCAAGTACAGACCATCGCTCCGATCATCCCACGCCCCCTCTCCATTAATCTGAACTCCCCTCATACAGACTCCAAGACAGCACAGAATTTGTCCTTCCTGTTGATCCCCTTTCATCCCGCACTTTATCATCGGTATTGATGCTAGGACGACATCAGACCGAACATTCTCCACGCCTTCGAGGTACAACACGCATCAAAACTGTCCCAAAAACCCGCCACTTACCCCAAACACACCATGTCCAGTACGTACTTGTAGAGCAAGCCGGACACCTCCGCGATTGCTTTGCTTTTTTGGAAGTCTTTGACAATTTTGTCTCGCGACTATTCGATACGCAAATATCCCGTTCAGCTATATCATTCACCTCGATCCGCATTTGGCGCATTTGAAGTGCCTGTTATCAAATTGATTGCGCCCCCAATTACACCATTTCCTCACCTCAGTTTGGAACATTAGTCCAAGATGTCGCAAACATTACGGAGGCAGAATACTCACCTCAGTCAAAGTACTCGCAGTTCGACTTCGCGTCGAAGTGACGACTCGCAAGAATCAAGGAGTACGGCGCCGACGTCGGTTGGTTACAGTCCGCGACCGTCGACACACCACGCATATACTGAACAACCCGTCTACTCGAAGCGAGACTATGAGTTCTCCCCTACCGCTACCTATGTCGCTCGATCGTCAGTTGAAACGTATGCGTCAGGTGCATCAGAAGAGGATCTTTTCTTAGAACCAGAGTCATATGAGGAGGAGTACGATGCCGAGTATGAAGTTCCTGAATATCTAGAAGTCGTCGAGACGGACTTGAGACCTACAAACCCCAGCAATTTCGCCGACTACTTCCCTTCCACGAAGCGATTGTTCATTAGACATGACGACACAACCTATGACGGGAATATGAACTTAAGGGTGGATACTGAAGGATCAAGTAAGAAAACGGGCAACGTTCAGCTATTTCACCTTCGGATGCAGGACTTGAAGAAACGAGAGTTCTCTCTGCGGCGTTATGAGCGAGCATCTGGCCGAGAAGTATGTCATTCAGCCCGGAAATATGAGAAACTATCAGAGCAGCGACCCGCCCTGACGAGATCCGTAAGCCACGCGATCGCAGGTTTTCGCAAACCAGAATTCAAGCGAACTGGCTCGATGTTGTCACAGCACAGTCAGAAGAGCACGAAGAGTATCAAAAGATCTGATAGCGGTTATGGGTCGATACATGAGAACACCACTGAGGTGACCGACTTCATGGCTGAACTCAAAGCAAAGTCCCCTTCTCTCCCAACAAATACCACCAAGCTTGAGTTCTCAAACTATGCGCAAGTGGACGTCAAGCGTCGAGGTAAGAAGTCGTCAAAAAGATATGAGTTCGAGTATTGGGGATACACATATAAGTGGAAGAGGGTAGAAGAGAAATACTCGGGAGGCAAATCCGTATCATATCATTTGCATAAGGGCGAGGGTCCAGCTATTGCTCATATTGTCCCTGAATTGAGGTCACCTGCGCAGATGCATGCAGAACGCGCTGCCGGTGGATGGGTGCCTCCTTGCTCAATGTGGATTTCAGATCCAAGTGTAGTGGAGGCACTCACTGATGTTGCCGAGTGAGTTCATCGAACTGCTTGTTCTTGAGTTTTACTAACTATCGATTCAGCGTCATCATTTCTACCGGTCTCATTGCACTGGTCGATGACTGCATCAAACAGCACTTCAATGTGAAGCCAAAGCATACCCATTCCGTCGCCGTACCACTCACCAACATGAAGTATGACATGGAATTTGTCTCGCCAAAAGCAATGGTTGAGCAAATGTTCAAACGCACAAACTCGAATAGTTCGTCAAAAGAAAGAGATCAGAGAGGGTCACCCCTAAAATTTGGAAATCCCGTTTACGCTCATTGAAGCTGAACGGCGCACCGACAGAAATATGTTGTAAGATTTAGATGATACTTGCGGCATTAAAATTACAGCAAACCCAACAATACAGGACCTGCTTAGGAAGCAGGGTATTTAGTTGTTTGATAGTTAGCATACATGCATGGAAGGGGTTGGGTATATCAGGCACTGGTTATGAACGGAACGTCACACCGTTTGAGGAGTTATTGGGTTTGTCAATCTCATGAATATAATGACACATAGGAAATGCTTTTTCTTCACTTCGCGTTGTGATGTTCTCAGTATTGCAAGATACTTTTAAGACTAGTGTAATACCACCAGTATCTCTTGCAAGGTAGGGGTTGTAAATGGAGCAACAGATGTAGATTAACTCCAAAATACTGGCATTGATTTAGAAACTAAAAATCATTAAACTACTTAAAGAACACACGCTGGTAAGTCGGAAATGAAGAGAGAGTCTGAGAGAGTCCTGAGTTCACACAACCTCGTGGAGGACAAAATAAGTGTTAGTCAGCTGGCCACTAATGTAATCTTGTACTGAATAAGACGACTTCGAATAAAGGGCTTATTTACTCAAAATTATGGACAAAATTGTGATAGTGTGCCAGGTTACTTGACGGAATATACGATTTCGTCGATTGTTTTGAAGAAGTATCATGTTTCGACTGCCACTTATTTTGTCCTACGCAAGACAACGTGAAGCCTGCGGCTTCGGCTGAACGTCGGTTGACTTGAGAGACCAAATTTCGTCCCGAGAAGCTTCAGATCTGGATTGACAACACCATCTTTGACGCACACCACGCCTTCCCCCGGGCGATCACTCCAGGGCGCATACGGCAGAAGGAACTTGGTATTTGGGGCGTTGTGCCTCACCCGTCAACTTGGTTCCGACCCTCAATTCAGGGCACCAATCGCCGTGTACTCGATTCCAACGACATCAACGCATCGAACTCGGGCGTAACCTGACGCCCTCCCATACCAGGCACGATGGCCTCACGCAGTCTCGGACCCGGTGCTGCTCTCCTTCGCGCCTCGAGGGTGTTCTCTGTCCCGCCGCCTTTGGCACCACCTGCAGATCAAATTAACACTGCGGGAAACTTTAGCTCTGATTCAGCGACTCTACCATATCCGACTCATATGTCAATCACTACACCGGCTTCGTCACTGCAGAAAGGAGATTGGGGCCTTAAACGTTCATTGCCTCTTCGTTCAACTACGAAGTCTTCGACTCCGGTAATAAAGGTCAAGGCAATGGATACTTGGGAACATATAACAGAGTTCGCATCCGCTGGGGACCACACATTGACTTTGCAGAAATGGCAGGAAATGGGGGTTCCGATTACAGCGCCTGTTACAAAGGCCAGAGGTTCTAATTTTAGTACACAAGCATCAGCAGGAAGAAGTGTTTTTGAGGATGACCTCGATACAATTCACAATGAAAAGAATCTGGGCTTGCAGATAAACGCAAAGAGATGGAAATTCAAAGGGCCATGGCTGGCAGGTCAAACAGATGGCGAGTTCAATCAATATGTCTCTAAAGAAGTGAGAAGCAGAAAAGGAGAGTTCCGAGAGTTTCTACGAACAAGTCTCGCGCAGGATATGAGGAGGCAACAAGCCCTTCAGGAAGGAGTCGATGCTAAAGAAACCCCACTTCCACCCGTCACCGAGGCAGAATTGGACAAATATATCAAAGAACTGCGTCGGGACGTTGCCGGGCTCAACAGCCAGATCCGTCGATTCTTCGACATCGCTCCTGTATCATCTGCATCTTTCGCGGGAAAAAACTTGGATTGGTTAGATGCAACAAAGAACAAGCAAACCGAGATAGCCGACACCTATTCCTCAGACTCACCATATGCCATTATCGGCCCACCAAAAACGCATCCATCTGCAGGATTGTCATACACGCGCACAGCTTCCAAACTGCATAATCACCCTCTCTTTGGTCCTCAACGAGCACCTACAATCGTGGACGCGAGAATTATCCAACCTCAAAAGTCGTCAGTCATGGGAAACACCACCCCATTACTGGGTGTTGGTGGTTTCGTAACCAATGTGCCACTCCAAGATAATTCCTTCGATGTCAACGCCAGCAGCCGTAGAACAAACACTATAGGCTCCACAACTGCACAACTTGTTCCCGGAGTTCTCAAGATCGAGCCTGGGAGACCTGGCGGTAGTAAGGTCTGGGTGGAACCACTACATGCACATGTTGATACAAATGGTAAAGTGCAGTTGACGGTCCAAAAAGCAGATGTGGAAGCTGTGGCGGTGAAGGAGGGGAAGACGGATAAGTTGGAAGAGATGAAGCCGAAAACGCGGGCCTTTAGCGGGTCGAGAGCGATTGGATTTTACGCGGGCGCGAAAGAGACTGTTAGTAGTAGAATTATCGATTCGAAGGATAAGCCGATCAGGGGAGCTGATGCTTATGGATTGTTGTAGGTAAAGGGGATGTATAGTATATAATCTTGCATGTGGCGAGCGTTGTGACGAAGTAGATGTACTTTGATACTGTATAAACAAGATTTCAATCCCCTTCTATATACATGAGATCTATTCAACCCACGCTTGAGAATTCTAGAACCGAGTGAAAAGGGGCAAGTGGGCGTCTCGCTTAATGGTAACCTTTCTGGTCAGGGTATCTTAGGTGTTTTAGAAGGCAACTTAACGGACGATGTGTTGAAGAAGATAGATCTATCGATGAGAATCAAGTGAGAAGTAATCACGATGTTCACGTGTTGGTTTTTGGTCAGAATCATTACATTATGATTAGAAATTACGTTGGCTACCGTTATAACAGTAAGTCCATATCCTGAACCCTTAATTCCCAATCCAAAAACCCTAATAGACTCCAAACATGCAAAAGCCTTTCAACTCCTCGACCCACCCAACTCCATTATCTCCCGCTCCAAAAATCCAGCTCCTCCAACTCTCCTTTCAAATTCCACTTTGCTGAAACATCTGTAGATTCATTGGATCCAAAATCGCATCGGCGTTACCACCAAGCCCAAAAAAAAACGCTCCTCCCTCAACCAATGCTCGTTCGTTGGCGGTAAGCGGGACAATGGGCCATGCCGCTTGCTCAGCTTCGCGCCAGGGGTTCTCTTGCGGTTCTGGTGGTGCTATTTCCTCCCATGTCACGATGGGAGCAGGAGGGGCGACGGGTTCGACCTCGGGGTATGCAGGAGGCCCGTCGGCTCTGCTGTATGGTGGTAGCATTTCTACCTCGTCGTCTTCGGTGATGATGATATCGTCGTATGCTGGTGGTGGGCTTTGTGCTGGTACTTCGACGTGTGCAGGGCGTGCAAGCGGGGAGATTGGCGAGGGAAGCCGAGAGAAGTAGTCGAATATTGAAGCCTCATCATCGGCATCGTATCCTTCGAGGCCAGATGCGGCACCGTTTGCTGGGTGTAAATTGAGTCTCGCGTCTTGAATCTCCTCGAATGTCAAGGCGCCTGTATCATCCTCCTCGGGAAGCTCCTGATCTCTTAACTCTGAGCACGCTTCTTGGTCATGAGATTCCCGGAGGAATTGTCCCCAGGTTCGTTCGTCGGCAGTGATGAGTCCGGAGTCGCGGTAGAGTTTGGCGATGGTTTCAGGGGCATTGGATGGGAGCGTGTCGGACATGCGTGTCGATATGTAGAGTAGCATGTCCTGGTGATAGGCTCTTATGCCTGCCGTGTCGACGTTGATGGGTTGCTGAGGGGGCGCTGGGTTTCCGAGATTTAGTCGAGAAAACATTGTAGGAGTTTGATTGCTTCCGATTATGTTAGATGCTTGATGGTTGTGACTGTGTAGGAGGTAGTTTGATTGCAATGATATGAAAGTTTTGAAAGTTTTGTGATTGTCCAAGATGGAAGAAGAGAAGAAATGTAACGTTGGAGAATGTTCGAAACAGCGAATTTTAATACTCGTTGTTGAGAGACTTTGAAGTGACGAAATGCACGTTGGCGATACCCAAGTCGGATAGTTCCCGTGCAAGTAGTTTTCGAAATGGACAGTTATCCAAACCGTCGCGACTAGAGAAAAATTAGCACGGTACTCATGACGAAAAGAAGCAATTACGTAGATACGCATGTTATGATTATGCTGTTAAAATTGAGATTATCAGATTATGAGATCATTGAAATCATAAATGATGTCTTGAGAAGATATGCATTTCGTTCGCAGGCACGATGTAGCACATTAGAGTGCCAGTGCTGCGTCAGGTACAACTGAAGCTGTAGTCAGAAGATTCTAGCAAAGTGTTGTGTATTTGTGAAGTCATTGTCGTCCATATCCTCACTACAATTCCGTAGAACTAGCTGAAGAAGCGCTTCTAGGCCCGCCCACTTTCGCTTCCCCATAATTCGGTTAACCCCTGATCTGCATCGCTTTTGCAGAATCGCTATGAGCATGGTAGTTGATATATCTCTGTACAAAAGTTAATATAAACTCTATGATTTATCATTGAATCAGGCCTAAAGCATCTGTGATGATCTTTGTTTTCAAGAATCCCTGAAGCCGAGTAAGTCCTATGCCTTTTTAATTATTAAATAATTTCCGTGGGGCACTAGGTTTGGTGCCTAGCTAATAAATCTTTTAAACGCATCGCTACTGAAAATGAAATACTAACAGTCGGTGCTCTTTCTATCCGGATGTGTTGGGCCAACGCTCTCATCGATGGTGCATCCCCAATCGAATCCTGGTGCAGATCTGTGTACCCTCGCCAGCAACAATTGAGTCAGACGCAACAACAGCCATTTGTGAAAACCTCCAGTCCGACAAATTTTCATTGAGTACTTGGTTAAGTAAAACAGTTATCGAGATGTCTCAAGCACCGACAAGAGAAAAGTGCAATGACGGAAGCTGGGATTTTGGTGACAATCCGGGAGATTTCCCACTGTGGTTCGGCAAGCACAAAGGTCAAGCTTTCAGTGAACTAGACTTGGGATATCGCTATTATATGTTGTCCCAATTTACCGAATCTGATTCAGCAAATGTGAGTTTTGACTCGCTGCGTACTTTCTGCGGCCCAGCCATACTCACTGTTACTAGGGTGAAAAGTTCAAGGCTCTGCACCACGTATACAACGAGTGGTATGATGAGAGAAAGAGTCCATTTTCTCAGATAGTCTGGTTCGGAGAGGATAAGGGACATGAAATCCGTGTACTTTACGGCCAGCCTAAAAAGTGGAGATTTCTCATCACAGGTGGATGTAAACCCGAGAACAAGAATGCACTCCTGGAGCTTTTTGCAAGACAAGAAGCGTGGCTTGAGAAACATCCGCGTGCTCTAAGGGAAAAACGGTATCCGGTGATGATCTGTAATTCTGTTGGAGAGAAGCTTGGACCTAGAGATGGGACTCTTTCACCGGACCCGGATGATAAGTATCAGTCTGATGACGGTTTCATCGTCGATGATGACTTTGATGACGAGGAGAGCGAAGATGAAGAGGAGGATATGAAGGAAGAAGACCACGAAGATGAGACAGACGATGAGCCTATTAACAAGAAAAGCAAAAGAACCTCTGCCTCGTTCAGAACGGTGAACCCACAGCTACAAGAGTCTCCCTCAAGAACGAGGAAGCGAGCATCTGAGTTTATAGCTTCATCTGAGAGCGATACCGCAACCGAAACCGAAGAAAACAGCGACATGAGTAGAGATGAAAAGGCTTCGATGTCGTTCTCCCGGAAGCCCGCCAGCCCTCGGCCTAGGAAATCTCGTACAAAAAAGCATAAGGTCTTACGAACGCCGCCACCAATCTTTGACAGTGATGACGAAGATGACAATCTCCCACCGATCTCCAAAGTACTGCAGAATTCTCATACCAAAGAGCCTGCATATGAGATGAAAGGTCGTAGCGATGTGACGGCTATGGTCTCCATAATTGCAAGCGACGACGAGGGCTCAGATGAAGAGGACATCGTAGCTCCGGGGAGCTCTAGAAGGAAAACTCGAATTGGCCAGACTCCGAGACGATTGGTCAAGCGAGAAGAGTATAAGAAAGTAACAAAACTCTCGTTTGAAGATTGAAGGTTCTGGAGGAGTGTGAGATATGATTAATGAACATTGTCACTTTGGGATTTGACTGTAGTTCGGATTTGTGTTTGGATAAGCGAAAGGTGTTTGGAGGTGTTTTGAGTAAAACTTTGTGTTTTGACCGCGAGAACTTTGTCTGTAGTATCTTATAAGCGTTTACCAGTTTTCGTACGATTTCGATAATTTCATGTTTGATCTAGGATAAACCCATATTTGAAGGACATAATGGATTCAGGAAATGGGAATATTCATTGTCTGTCCCTGGCTCAGCAGAACTTACAATTTTACCAGTTATGGGACAGTTGTCGTCATGCCATTATATACCCAAGTGTCGATAAACAGGAGATGATCCCGAAAGTTTCTGATAACAGAACTTCAGAGGAAGTGTTAGAGTTCATTATTTCCATCACCGCGGTATGTATTCCCCACCCCGCTCTCGCATCCCCACATAAACCCCTCTCCATTTGTAAGCTCCAACAACATCCATATACTCTGACATCTCCTATTCGACCCCCAATTCCTCCCTCATTATCATTAAATCATGTCAAACTACACATCCACCTATCCAACCGACACAAAAGTCGATCCCGGAATCAAAACATTTTTTGAAGAGTTCTACAAGATCTCGGATACGCCTAATGCACATGACTTATATGCTCAACAGTTTACGAAAGATGCGGTTTTGGTGATGGCTAGTAAGAGGTGTGAGGGATCAGATGGTAAGTGCTTAAGACTAGTCTAAAATAAGTGCTAAGAGAAAATAGAAATCTTAACATTGAGAAAGGGGATGTGGGAGAAGGTTGCTGCTAGACATCATAATCCGCTTAAGATATTCCCGTTTGGGAGTGGAAGCGAGGAGTTGATGTTGCATGGAACAGTAGATTATGAGTTGAAAGATGGGAAGAAAGCTAAAGTATAAAGTTTCGTTTGTGATAGGGGATGTAATGTTGGAGCTGACTTGAATAGGTTGATTGGGCAGCTAAAGCGGATATGGCCAAGGAGGAAGGGAAATGGAAGATGAAGTTCTATCAGGTGTATTTGGGTGAGTATATTAGTAGATTCTTTTGGGTTCAAGCGGCTAACGGCCATAGATACTGCTGCTATGGCAAATGCCAAATAGGAATTGAAACCATTATGAAGGTGGACGAGTTGGCTGAACAATTTTTTCATAGATCCTCTTACTGTTAAATGAACCACACAAGCGGCCGCAAGGCTATCGACAAAATATTTCACATTTTCCCCAACGCCTCTTTTAAATCCCATAACGCCAGACCTCGTTCGCAAGGCATAGCCACACTGAAACCTCGTCCCGCTCATAGGCCCAATCAATCCATCTCCATCGCATCCTCCTCCTCCTCACCCCCACCAACAAGCGCCTTCCTCCTAATCTTCATCTTGCCAAACACCTTGCTTGTCTCTCTAACACCCTCAACCTCCTCACCATCCGCCACCAGACCCTCCTCTTCAAGTCTCTTCCTCTCGCTACCCCTAATTTTAGGCAGTAGATGACTCTGCTCAGCGACCAACTTCCTATCCAGTTGCCTCTGTCTCTCCTTATTGTTCGCCATTCTCTTCTTGTAAAAGACTCTCTGTCTCTTCTGCTTGACCTCCTCAAACCGAGCCATAGCTTTCTCAGTGATAGCGATCTGGTCACGGTCGTAGCGGATAGGAATATTGCGTTTAGCGGCGAAGGCGAGGGTACCGTCGACAACCATTTCTTTGCCCGCGGCTTTTCGGAAGGCTTTCGTCCAGGCGAGTTTTCTTGGATTACGCTTCATTTTGAACTGAAATAATAGGTTAGCTTAAGATCCGAAAGTAACGAAATAGAAAGAATAAGGAAACGTACATTTTTATGGCATTTACTCCTGCAAAATCGAAATAACCTCGCATCATTGCGAACAAATGTGATGCCTTTGCTAGGATAGCAAGGCCGCGAGCAGAAATAACAAGTTTCAATCCTGCACATTCAAGATTAGCATACTTACTCCAATCCCAATATTTCACAGTTCCGCAATCTGGAACGTGGTGGAACATACCTCATCTTGAAGATCCTCTTCTTCCTTGCTCTTTGCGACTGATTATTTTTTATCGCAAAGCTTCAAATCTTTATCGGCTGTCCCACATGGAAAATATTTAGTGGGGAGCGCTAGTATCCGTGGAAACGTTGATCCGGAGGGCAACCAATGAGAGAGATTGGGAGGACTCGGGGGCCGATGTCCGATGTCTGTTTTTCTAACGGCGACATTGATGTTGCGACTTCATCCAGCAAACAGACAAAATTCTCTGGCACCAACTCAACAGTCCAGTCTACGCAGAACTATATACACCTTAGAACCATGGCGTCAGTACTTACAATCGGAGTTGGAATCGCCGCAGCCGCTTTTCTCGTATGTACTTCCATCTTTCCATCCTGGATCAACCCAAACCGCAAAACGCCAGCCCATTCCAATACGCAGAAATCCACTATACTGCCATACTGTATACAAACTAACACGATTTTCAGGGCCGCGCAGGACTCGTAGCACTCCGCCGTTCCCGCGGCGAAACCGTAGGCGCATTAGGAAAGGCATTCTACAAAGGCGGATTCGAACCTAAAATGAACAAACGAGAAGCATCACTGATTCTCCAATTATCGTACGTTCCACACTCTATTACATTCCCTCATATTTGAGAAATCCGGAGGCAAGGACTAACAGAACCCTCAGCGAACGCCAGCTCACCAAAGAACGAATCCGCAAAAACCACCGCACATTAATGATGTTGAATCACCCGGATCGAGGAGGGAGTCCGTATCTTGCGACGAAAGTAAACGAGGCGAAGGAGTTCTTGGAGAAGAATGGGTAGTTGAGAGGTTCTTCGCACAGGTAGTCGGGACATACTTTTCCACGTAATTTCGCGCCACGTTTAAATCCGGAGGACTATTCTCAGCTATTGGATTTGCGGCTCCAAGAAGATTGAGGATATGGATGTATAACAGACGGATGTTTTAAGGCATAGCGATTGGCGTTCTAGAGAGGGATTTATTAATGTGTGTGTAATATAGGAAAGAGGGTGGTGTGTATATGGTGGGTGTATTATAGTGTATGAAATCCACTTCGCTCAAATCATGTCCAGCCGAAGTTACGATGGAAAAGAGAACGCTTGATTTCATACTCCAAGTCATCGCTAACGCTGTTATGCTACACCTATGCCCATTTGGCAAGGATATCATCTTATAACTCCACAAATGCATGCTTCAACCATCTACCAACCATAAGTTTTCTCTCCATTATTCAGACCCCAATCATCGCCTCTGGAAGACTTTGATGACTTGTTTGGCGCAGGCTTAGTATTCGATCCATTGATGGGCCATTTCGGAGAGTTGGATGGCTTCCCCTCCCTTTTCTGGTTCAAAGTTAAATCTCCCAGACCCTTCCCCAGATCTCCAACATGTTTAGCCTCATTCTCCCAGGGTTTGCCCCATCCACCGCCAGTTCTTTTGCTGGAGCCCCAGCCCGTCTCGGCATTCGTGTTGTTAAAATTGCTAGATCCCCAGTTGACGGTATTACGTCTATTGGTAGCTGCTGTCGTATCTGAAGACATAGTGACCGGCGCGGCTTTGAAATTTCCTTTTGGCATGGTAGGAATAGGTTTGATACCCTCTCCCCCATCACTACCCCCGCCATCCGATGACCAGCCTTCTTCGCGTTGCCTAGCAGCTTCACGAGCTTTCTCAACCGCCCTAAAATTCCGTCAACACAAATAACATTGATGAAAATTAAAAAAATCACATACTCGGCAACTCTCTGCTCAGCCAACTCCAGCATTTTCTCTTTCCAGGCTCCCCTCTCATTTCGTTCGGTCAGATGTCTAAATGCAATTCCAAGCATGCAATAGAGCGTGTACACAGCATCATTGCCAGCATTATGAGGATTCCATCCAACAAGCCCCAGATCAGCAAGAATAGCAGTAAGTCGACGGCCTTGGATATCACGTGTAAGGTATTGCCACATATATTTCGTATCAATATGATCGATGAGACCACCAAGATTATGGACGTTATAGCCGACTTTGCGCATGTAGTCTATATCTCCGCCAAGGTCGTGGCCTACAAGGACGATGTTTCGTTTTTCGGATGATTCTCCTTCAGCGAGTGCAGGAGCTTTCGAGTTGGAGAACGGATATTTGAAGCAGGATGCGATGGTTGTAGGGGCGTCTTTGAGGGATATCCATTCGGAGGTGCTGTTGCAAATTAGCATTATTTCCTAGGAATCAGTGTAATTTCAAAACGAACCCATATTCAAATTTATCAGGACAGTCTCGAACATGTTTCGTGTTTCTGTAATGTTGATGCTCTCGAATCCGAAAGTGACGAGCACGAATTGCTGCTCTCCAAGCCGGACCATCGCAGCCTTTACCTTCACTACCATCCTCACTAGCTACTGCTTTCCCCGGAGCCAGACCAGCGAGATCGCGGGTGTCAAGTGTCGCAATACCGATTTCAGTGATGATATTATGAGAATCCTCCCAAGCTTCGATATCGACGCAAATAAAGATGGTGCCTTTCTCTAGTGGAAACGGTGCTGGCGCTTCTGGGTTAAACTTGAGAGTCGAGCTGAGGATGATATCTGAATCGACTTCTTCCCAATTTTGTTCAATGTTGTCAGATTTACAGTTTTGACGGAGTCCGATATAACGTTGTACGCGTTTGATGGAATCACCCCAATCCTTCCGAGTTCTTTGCTGACTTTTGGCCTTCTGTTCTCCCTTCGCCTTGTTTTTGGCTGCTTGGGCCTGCGTGATTAGGAGGATCTTGGCATGGAAAGCATCGATATCAGCGTTTGTAGGTTCCATGGTTTCCGGTTCGTTTGGTCGTCTGTAATATGTTGGCGGAACTTCCTCTACAAGCCTGCTGGCTGTCGCTGGTGTAGTCGACCTTCCTAGATAGCGTGGACGTGGAGTTCGGTCGTTGGTGAAGCTGATGGAGAAAGCTTTATTTCCAACAGGGATGGTGAGCTTGGTTCCCAGATCTTCGTTTATTACGTCGAGGAAGTGAATGAAATGTTTCGTTGGAACAATCACGATAGGTCTGAAATTCTGGTCATGCTTGAGACGGTATATGTAGAAGCTATGTTCTCATAATTAGCACGTGCTCAGTACAATGATGTCAGGAACCGGATCTGATACTAATTCCTCGACAGATATATCTAGCCTATTACATTGAGACGATATTTTATATGTACTCAAACAAATTAAGTGAATATAGTGTTCTGGATAGAGTGTCGTTATTCCGCCATCAAGAGCTGTTCCCGTGAGACTTGCAACAGATTGGTACGATGTAGTCAGGATTGGAAGGCAGTCGAGACACGATTGATGAAGAGCCAGCTGGTATTACACCAACATAGAAAGCTACTTACAGATCCCATTTGCGTTGGCAGATTTTACTATTGTTGAAGTAGGCTTCGGAGACCTGAAGCTGGGTTAGACACAGTGAATACTGAAAGTTGGGCATCCGCACCTTTGGAGAATTTGCTTTGCCGATGTACATATCCACGTATTTTTTGACAAGTGCAAAGGACACAAAAGCCTCGCCTTTAGGAGCCAATTCTCCCTGTGCCAAAGACCCAAAATCAGGAAATTTTCCATCCATCTTGACGTTGGAAGTTTGGGTTGCCTTTCTTTGTCGCGGGCTTGGATACTGAGCGACTGGGTTTCGTGAAGCTGGACACAGTTCAAGTCAATAAACCATTCACAGAACGTGGAATTATACAACCAACCTGAGCTCTCTTCACTTTGAAATTGAGGTTGATGATGAGATCGAATTAGCGCCCGCCGTCTCGCCTCATACTGCGAGCCTTGACTTTGGGATTTGAGTTCCTTTTCCTTCACATCACGAAAAGCGCGGCCGCTGGTCACATATTCATCGCTATCTGAGTCGCTGCCTTCATATGCATGAATAGGTGCTGGATATTTATCATTTGTTTCGGACATTTCGTGTTTGTTTGCGCGATAAGTCAAAGAATGAAATGGGATTTGATTCGTGACAACCTAACGATGCAATTATATGTAGTGCTTTTAAAGAAAGATGTAAATTGTGTAGAAGAAATTGGAAGTGTCGAACAGATCGGGAGGCAAGGTTGTGACTGACTTTCGCTTCGAGGTGCAGACTCGGCTATTTGACAGGGGTGGTGGTTTTGGTAGTGGAAACTGCGCTCGCGGTGAACGAAATAATAAGTAGCAGTGGAATACAATGTTTGCTTTAAACAGCTGATGAAATACCGTGTTTTTGTCAGTTATATCGAAAGCAAACAGCGGATTTTTTCTCCAATTTTCAGAAGTTAAGACGTTCAGACTATGTTGAAGTTCACCAAGTATATATTTACATCCCCCGTATATTGCAGGTGTACTTGGCTAATTAAGTAAACATAACTCAGTAACTTACACAGAAAAATAACTTGCCATTACTACTTGAGAAGTCCTGTGTTACAAGACCCTTATACTAATACACAAACATGTTTGTGATCGACAATGAATGTCATCGGGAAGGGACACCTCACACCCACAGACTCTACCACTGTCGCAGTGGACAAAAAAGTAGTAGTAATAGCTCTTCTCTCATTGGATTTCAGAACAGACTCCCAGACCGTTATAGTCAGAAATTCTTTTAAGAAACACAGGATATTTTGTCAACTTGATCATCAAATATGACGTTCCACTTCTACCCAATTTGTCCACCACGAGCCTGTTCTACAGAGAATGAATACAACAAGAAAAAGGCTGCTTTATGTAAGATGAAAGAAACAGTCTTCGACACTTACCAGTTCATACAACTTACCACGTCAGGTAACAGGAGTGCTAGCTAGCAAGCTTTCTTAACGTTTTGTTGTACTCATTTATCCGCCGGCAGGCGGCGAATGCAATCCCTATATCGCTTATACACATGAATAGTATTGTCACGTTCGGCAATCGAAAAGAGCATTTGTGTCAGAGGATCAACAGGACCATTGCATTATCCTGATCCCAAGGAACCATCAACTGATGATCCCCATAGGGCCAAGTTCGTGGCAGGCTAGCTGAACCATCATATCCATATCCCCATCTACCAAGCTCCCCAACGTGCAACTATGCTAGTACCGTCTCGCAGACAGCTGTGCTAGTCCAATACATCATCTTACCTCCCACCAGCAGTCCTCCCACAAAGAGCCAACTGGCCTATTAGGACTCTAGAACCATAACACCTCCCCACAGTATTAAAATAGGTATGTGCAATAAAAATAGAAAGAATAATAACGTCGCTCAAAACCATAATGATTATCCCAATGTTGAGTGGAAAATCTCCACCAAAAGCGCTCAGTCGATATGTTCATCGTGATCGTTAAGGATTAATGTCGCGCCCAACCGTCCCAAAATGCCTCGATGTACGGAGCGGGGTTGTGCCGAATATCGAAAATAGAGTAGTGTATGTGCAGAAGTAAAATAAGTTCCTCCAATCCAGAGAATAGATGCAATAGGTCACCGAGCGCACGAGACTTTGCACAGGCTCAAGGGTCTTCCTGTCCTTCCCTCAAAAGACCAAGAATAAAGAATAATCAGAGTACGCCATACGCGTTCCACCCATGCTGTTGCGTTAAGCGGAATAAAATGCCACAGCCCAGAACCGTCCTATAGATCGATTGTCACGTTTGATACGTGCTGTAAAGCCTGATGCGATCGATGCACGCCGGCAGATCAAAGCCCAGTTCCCAAATCTATGCACCCAATCCAGTCCGGTAACGCCGCCAAAATTATTATACAGAACCGAGTCGTAAAAGTGCTTCAATGGCTTCTCTCTCTTGAGAATCAGAGGTCATGCCCCAAGCAGCAAAATCAATATTAGGTTGCGGAGAATGCAAAGGGACCGATTTCGCCATAATATTGAGGGATGGCCCACCACCGCCGTAGGATCCCCCAGAATATAATGTAGTTGGTCTGAGAAAGCTTGCTCGAGGACCAGAGGCCGAGTAGGAAGCAGCGCGAAGGGCTGCAGCGCCAACAGCTGCCCAGTCTTCGTCATCAGTGATATCGTCCGGATCATCGTCGTCCATGACCTCGTCCTCTGGAGGTGCCTCAGAAGAAGAACAGGATTCATCTCCATCGAGAGACATCTTATCAGCTTCGTTTTCCAACATCGTCAAATCCATTTCGTCGTCATGTGAGAAAACCGCTGAGTCGCCAGCCCAGCTGGATCCCGGCACGGTCAAGCGACTTCGGTCTCCTTTCCAGTGTTTCGTTTTGTTGATAGGCATAGCAGTCGAATAGGAGGAAGGCCCGCTGGGTGGGGGTGATTGTTGATTAGACCTGCTATTCCGAGCATGGCCCTTCAATCTTGCATCCCAGCGTCCCCATCCAACCTTCTCAAATTTGACGTCGCCTTTCAACCCACCCCCCTCACCTCCGCTACCTCGACCTTCCAGTGCACCCACCACGAGTCTCCGGGCTTTTGCAGGAGGGATACCCGAAAAGCCCGGGACTGAGGTAGTAAGATATCCCATAATGTGACGAATAGCCAGTGGACCGTGAGCCAAGAGAATCTCGGGGAGGTGATGTCTTGCCAACAATGTCGGCGTAATCGAGCCTGCCGTATCGAATCCGGGCGATCCAACATCAGGACTCTTCTCGGGGAACGTATCCTTGTCGCTTGCCGTCTGACCTTCGTGAAGGTCAAGGTCGGAGTCTACCTGCTCCAACGCCTGGGCCACAGCCGAACGAGTACCGTAGGGTTTCCCGTGGGGAGGCAAGTTGGGAGAGATCGAGTTGGGAGGAGTCGGGAGGTTTTGGACTTTCGTCACAGGAACGCTCCTGGCCGCTACAGCAGCAAAGCTGTCTCGACCAGTGGTCTTCGGGATATCGCGAGCAGAGGTAGCCATGGCAGCCATTTTGCTTTCGAAAGGTATCGTACGTTTCTCTATAGTTATGCGACACCAGGTTAGTTATTGCGGTAGTGAAAAGGCGTGATGTTGGAGGGAGAGATCCGATGACGGGTTCGTAAATAGTAAGGCTGACTCACTCGACTTGCGATAGAAACGTGGCGAGGTAACTAAAGGACGCGAAGATGAAGCGTGAAGCAACAGATGTTCGTGTCGTAGTAGGATCGAAAGAGGTGGTGCGATGTCTTATCGGGCAAAGCAATGAAGCTGCTGCGATAGAGGAAGGGAAGAGCGATGGGTGTTGACGATTTGAGTGAAGCGGATGTGAAGCTGCGGACTAGCTGCTAGAGACAGAATCTCTGAAGAAGCAAGAACGAAAGCAAGAAAGCGAAGGGAAGGCGTCAGGTTATGTAACACTTCAGCAACTGAGACTGAGTGCTGGACTGGAATATGCAAGAGGACTGATTTGTGTTGCTCGCAGATGAAGTGAGTTGGTGTTGTTCTTTGATTGTGGTGATGGGACTCTGGACAGGCAGGCAGATGGGACTTGCATATGGGGACCATGGGAGAGTTGGCTGCGGAGTCCGTGAGTGGATTCCAAGGTTCGCGTGCAGCTAGCCGGCAAGGGTCCTGGGCTTTGTCTCTTTCCAAACTTCCCTCTCTCTCCCGCACCCGTCTGCACCGGTCCACCCCATCAACCAATATTGGGCTCATCAACGCGAAAGCCATCGTTATTCGCGGTCTGGAAATACCTCATCACCACTCTTCACATCCGCATATTACCAATACAGTACGTATAATGATTTCTTATTACCAGCTGATACATTAGATGGAATTTGCATCCCACCCCCTTTTCCAGAAGTCCTGAAGAACTCTCCGGACCAGTGCACCGAGACATGGCCAACGCTGTCAGCTGGAGTCTTAGGCCAGCTATTATTGTCGCATCTTGGAAGCTTCTTCCTTGATTTATTCCAGCTTTGTCCCCATCATGGCACTCCCACATCTCCTCGACCTCGCATCGTCAACATCACTAAAACGCGCTGGACAGCACTCGCACGTCGATGGTCTCTCCTTGTCTGCTGGAGCGCCAATAATGCGGAAACTACAGTGCTCTACTCTACTCTACGGGATATAGTCCACATGATAACCCGGAATCCCACCATATGCAACCGGTCCGCTCAAAAACCGCGCATCTTCGATGATCGTTTGGAACAAAACCAGAGCCCGAAGCCTGTCCCACGTTATGGGTAACCTCTTCTCTATTGGATTAACACCCGCATCTGTACGCGACCATCACCAGACCCCCCTCTCCGAAGGTCGCGTCGATTCCACGAATCCGCGAAAAAGGTCGATCGTGTTTGCCCATCCGGTCCAGTCCGTGGCTATTTACACTGGTTTGAATTGGGATCCACCACTCCCTTCTGTCCCGGGCCCTGGAAATCGATTCCTTACCCCACGTTCTTCAATACGGCCACGATAGGGAATGTCAAGCCACAGGGTTTTGAACACGCCAAACAATCCACCGTTGGACACTTCTCCGCACCAACTTGATAAAGTCCAACAAACTAATCATGTACCGCGTAATTGTTACGATGGGAAAAGACTAAAAGTCAGGAACCTGCCGATAGACACTTTGCGACTTCCGAGGTTTCCCGGACTGGTAGGAGTAGTTGTAGATATCAGCCACTTGATCGCTTCCCGTGCTCCAGATTGTGGATGGGAGCTGCCAGGTGAGTGGGAACATGGATATTCGTATCAAGACAACCACGGAAGCCAAGGTGCTGCAGTAATCGGAGTGGATTCGGTGGAGAAAATAACTTCGTCACATCGCAGCACAGTCTAAGGTATGCCATCACCACAAATCGCAGTTCGAATAGAGGCACGATCATCAAACGGAGGTATCTACGGTCAGGGCAGGTTGGGATATTCAAATGTCGTGCGCGAATCTAGCCGATCGTGGCAAAAGCGACCTCGGAGGTTTATTTCGATCTACTGCTGATGATCACATGATAGTCTCTCTATAAGTGAGTTTGATTTGTACCTGTGTTCAAGTCACAGCAAGGCAAGAGTCATTTTCTAAGTGTACAAGCAATCAATTACCTGGATAGTCCAAGAGCAGAGGCGTCAAACCAGCTCGGGTAGTGGAAGCAACAGCGAGAAATACAGGTAAGAGAGAATGATTACGCCTCTCTCTCGCTTACTTATTAGGGCACGAAGCCTAAGGTAGGTATACACCTCATTAACAATCAGAGGACATGTAGATGATGACATTCCAGAAAGAAAGATCTGGTGCAACCTGGTCAGGCATGCAAAATGGCCAGGGAAAAGATTGGTCTCGTCACAGTGTAAGGATAATTTCAACTTGTCAAATATAATTCGCAGGCATTCTTGATTTCTACGTCAGAGGAACTAGACAGGATTTCTATTTTGATATACTGTAGCCTTTCTAATGAATAATAACCAAGATATACCACATAATTAACAGAATATCCACTGCCAATACCCTATGCAGGGGGACTGCCTGCCTATGTACCCGTGGAAACCAAACGGAGAGCTCTGTCGAAAGAGCTCATTAAGATCAGATGTTGATTGTAGTGATGCAACGTCTCATCACTGGACTGCCCCTCCGGAAGGTTTGGACGGTCTAGAGACGACTTTCTCGCTCCCCAGAAAGGTATGCATACAGAGAAGCGCCGGTGAATCGAGTAGAATATCACTGACATTCTGAGTTTGGTGATACAAAGACATGATATCACACTATCCGTACTTCAATCCCTGTTCTGTCGGCCGCTCTGCAATTCATGAGCTATACGTAGATGCCATGTGATTGATTCATAGTTAGCGACAAGACGAGTGGAGACGGTTCACTGTCCAGCATTCAAAACATATCGTCGACAAGCCTAAACAACAATCAGTCAACAGATTTCCAGCCACTCATACAATCACGGAATCCAACATACCGCTTGCAACACAGGCAATCTTTCTGTCGAATCCTCAAACACCTGTCGATACTGACTAATACTCTGTCTTATCATCTCGTTCTTCGTAATGCGTCCTTCACAGATATCTTTCATGCGTGACTCCATTTCCTTTCGCAAAAACGGCTTTCCTAGACTCGTTTCTAAGTCCATATTCTCGAAACCTTGAATGAGTGCTACACCGAGTGTTGTAGGTATGAACTCGAGGATTCCGTTATTTCCTCCGCTGGCGGGTTCGGCTCCTCCTCCTCTTCCACCCCGTCCACGACCTCTGCCACCGCGGCCGCCTCTAGCACCTCTGCTAGCTGGTTCATCGTCATTGTTGACTGCGCCGCCGACTTTTGGCCTTGTAATACAGTAATCTCTGTTTTGAACCTTAGCGATATGCTCTGCCATAGTGGCATCAGTGCCAATGCCGTTAGCATCCATCAGAGCAATCAAATCTGGTTCCGTTAGATACCCTGGGGCGGTAGTCTTTCCTTCGTTCATCATCGCCTCAGTAGGTTCAAATCTCTCACCCATAGTAAATTGGGGTAATGGTTGGCTGCTATGCCAATTCTCATATGGATACACATCTAGGTAATTCCTCTCCGTAACAACGAGGCCGTGTGCATTGAAATACTCATCCCCGTAAAGGATTTCAACGTCAGAAGACTGTCCTCTTGCGTCTTCGGAACAGCAGGCCAGAAAGCGACGGGTTATGAATTCATAGACTCGGCCTTCGTCGTCGTTGAGGGCTGTCCTATTCACGTGGATTACAGGGTGGATGGGTGGATGAGCCTTATCATCATTGCGTCCTTCTCTTGGCCAGTTGAAACCTCCATTCATGAGACCTTGTGCGAATTGTCCCCAGCGGTTGTCCTGTGTCTGTTTTTCTACCAACGCTTGAAGATTCATACCTTTGTCAAAACGATCGGTCTCTGTTCGGGGATAAGAGATAAAGCCTTTGTTGTAAAGCGTCTCGGCTACGGTCATAGCCATCTGACTGGTCATTCGCAAGAATCTCGCAGCATTCTTTTGTAGTTCGACGGTTGTAAGCGGGAGAGGCTTCCATTTCTTGGTTGGCTTGTCCTGGATCTTACTGACTGTTGCTAATTTAGCGATGATGCAGCGTTCGAACAGAATCGTCACAACCGCACGATCGAAGAGTCGAGTTCGTTTCCACGAGAAATTTACGTTGATGTTGTCCCGGGTATGCATCACTCTTATTGACCAAAAGGGCTCAGGCCGGAAATTTTGAACACGAAAATATCGATCGACTATAAAACCAAGTGTTGGGAACTGACACGACCCTAGATATAGTCGTTAGCGAGGGCGTCAGTTGCAGAGACTGAGGACAAACCGTAGCTGAGTACTCGGCTCTTTCCATTATCTTGAGTGGCAAGAGAACCACCAAGACGCCTAAGACTAATTGTCAACCAACGAGAGAATGCATATCCAATACGTAGGTCAAGTTCAATACGCGCTGCAACCGCATGAACCTGTCGATCGTCAAGATCAATTGGGTTTTTCGCTGCATTAAGCACATGCCTAGTGGAGTAAGTATAATGTTGATTTTGACAGGCGATATTACTGACGCTCTTTCGATATTACTGAACCTTGCCCTCTTCACCTGCATTCTTGGATTCCCTTTGAGTGCCTCGGTGCGAACTTCATGTCCGATATGTTCGCCTTCTCTATCGCAATCAGTCCAGATGAAGAGTGCTCTCGCACCCCTGGCTTGACTCTGGATGTTGGATGAAATATCGTCCTTCTCTGGGTCGACTCTCACTTCCACAGGCGCACGAAACAATGTCACGGGTGGTGGATGCTCCCATGATTCATACCCAGAAGGGAAGACTGCTTCTGTCAGGTGACCGGAGACACTTGTCATAACAACTTCGCAATCCCCCCATGGAGGTCCAAAGTTGAATGTAAACGTGTAGTTTTTGATGTATTTATTGCGGGTCTCGGTCTAAAACATATCAGCTTTGAGGTTATATAAAAAATGATAGCCTAGACGAATATCTAAGAAGTCAATATAAAAGAAAACATCCTTACGGTCGTAAACTGCCCACCTGATAGATGCCCTGCTACAGCCTTGGAAATCGAGGGTTTCTCAGCCACACAAAGTATTCTTCCTGGCATTGTACTGCTTGTAATATCATCGTGAAATTGTTCAACTAGTCAGATTCACAAGCATGAGTGATGGTTATCCACGTAGCTACTTCTAGTTGTACACTTTCCAGTATGCTAGGTATTGTGCAATTTTGGCAGGCTAACTGGTAACATATTGGACGCGTCAAACGAGAAGCGCGGATCGTATTTTGCGTTTAATGGTTATTGAACGCGTGAAGGTAATTTGTAGGAAGTAGTGAAAGAATCACAGAATCCTAGCCTGATGCTAACGCCGATGGTAGCCAATCGTATACTCCCGAGCCCCACTTCAGGGTCGAGTGTGCAGGGGTGGCGGGTGCATCATCCATCGTCATTGACACTTTTCGTACCTTTCGTACGGAGGTACCATCAGCACGACTGCTGTTCTCTTTGTCTTCCCTTGGACATTTTGCAGACTCATCGCCCTGTCAGCACCTACTGACCTCGAACATCTTCAACATGGCCTTACCCGTAGTCAAAAGCCTCGTTGAGTGCAACGATTTCAAAGCAACAGTTCTTCCATACCTACCGCAACTGTACGACCTTCCACAGCAACTCATTCAATCATGGAACAATCCCACCGAGCTTCGAAATATCTACCTTGCGACGAACCCTCTCATGTCCGGGTTGGCAGTATCGCTGGCCTTAGCGCCTATATTTCTGCTCATTTCAGAGATCAATAAGAACTATTCTCAGGTCGATCGAATGTGGAGCTTGCTACCTACGATGTACAATGCTCATTATGTTATTTACGCACATTTGTCTGGTCTCCCTACGGACAGGCTTGATAATCTGATTGCATTCAGCACTGTCTGGACTGTAAGTTTCAACAGAACACACGAAGGCAGATCACTAATTCGACTAGCTACGTTTAACGTTCAATTACTGGCGCAAAGGAGGATATAGCATCGGGTCTGAAGATTATAGATGGTAAGCCTTAAACTCTGCTCATCTTTCAATCTCTAAATTCAAACTGCAGGGAAATTCTTCGCGAGCACATCCCTGCTCCGCTATTCTTCGTCTTCAACGTTCTCTTCATATCCCTCGCCCAAAGCATTCTGCTTTTCCTCATCACAACGCCTACATACGTTTTGGTCTTAGCTGCACGTACTGGATCAAAAATGGACACTGCGGATATCATGTTCTCAAGAGCTTTGATGGGACTTGTACTATTAGAGTTTTTTGCGGATCAGCAACAGTGGAGTGAGTGCCCCCAGTGTTGTGGGGACCTGGAGTTATTACCAGGCTATCTTCTACCAACTCTATCATTGCCACAGGGATTGTTAAACTAACTTAACTAACGTATGAAATAGATTTCCAAAATGCGAAAAAGTCCTACCAGAAAAACGCCAAAGTACCCCACAAGTTCGAGCAAGAAGATCTCGACCGCGGATTTGTTGTGACAGGTCTATGGTCGTGGTCCCGTCACCCCAATTTTGCTGCGGAACAAGCCATCTGGGTAGTCCTTTACCAATGGGGCTGCTGGAGTACACATGTCTTGTATAACTGGACATTCATTGGCGCCATTTCATACCTGTTCTTGTTCCAAGCATCGACCTGGTTTACAGAATTGATTACGGCAAAGAAATATCCGGAATACAAGGAGTATCAGCAACGAGTCGGCAAGTTCCTGCCAAAATTGTCGACTGATCTTCCAGGAGACTTCAGCGATCAAAAGGCTAGACCTAAGACAGAGAAGCCACCGAGTGTACAAAACACACCAGCACCAAAAAAAGGTGCTGTCACGAGGTAAATGGCGAGCTTGCATTGAAATTTGCGGGTTGGTTACGGCGATGAGCATTCGGGAACCTGAACACCATGTCTTTTTTAGCGTGTGAGTCTCCAGGTACCATTTAATTGGAGGATTAGGAAATATTCAAAACAAGAGCATGACGGTACGGGGCAATTCAGGGATCCCTAAATGTAATCGGACTCCATTAGCTATGTTCCATGATTCTTGAGGTTAAATACATCTAAGTTTCGAAACATATGATAGCGGTATACAGCATTCTAACAGTTTAATTTACTTGAAATGAAGCTTTGGCACTTCCATATCTCGGTGTGTTATCATAGTGTGTTGTTATTCGAAGTTTCATAAAGGCTCCGTTGATGTTGATCTTAACATGGACAGATTCTTTCATAGACTTGTTAGGGTTCTGCACCACACTATCCACGTTATTTTTTGTCAATTTTGTCAGTCTTATCTTTACTTGAAATATCTTCAGGCCGGAGCAATTGTAGGAACGTTGTATTATATTGCCTAGGATAGTTCAGCCGTGGGATATTCCTTTTGATCTTATCGAATGTATTACGAGCTCCCAAACTGTTTTCGATAAGGAAGTTGTTGAAGACGATGACACATAGTAGTCCGCTAATCATTATTGCTTGCTTGCTGTAACAAATGTATTTCAAACACTTAAAAATGACGAAGTGTTGGGTAGCTAAACCTTCGGACCTTGCGCTTGACAGATCGGAATGGAACTTCAATTCTTCTGCATCTTCGAGGAGAATAATCAAGAATTAAAACTAAAACATCCTAGGACAATAGAATCTTGTCTCCCCACAGCTACTGGTTACAAGAGGCTGTTAAATTCTCATCCTTATCCCAAAAAAACATTCCTTACTTCAATCCTATCCCACCTCTAAACTCTAACCAAAACACCAAAAAAAAACCTCAAAAAATTTATTGACTCCAGAAGTAGACAATCCGGCAACTGTGGATAAACTCTCCAGAAAACCATGTCACAAGTTATCTCCTCCCATCGTCAAGCAAACTTTCAGATGAATTTAAGACCCGCCCAGAGGCGAAGCCCAAGACCCGTTGCAGCTGCAGACTGCTGGATGGACCTAGAGATGCGCGTCTCGTCATTGGTCGCAGCAAATATGCGTTTTTGTAATTATATATTGCTAAATTGGAATTGAAGGTGAGGGGGTCGGTGAATGCGGGTTGGAGGTGAATGGGTCTGAGGGTGAGGGTGAGGTTGTGGTGGGTAGGCGAGCGAGGTGGGATTTGGGACGCGAACACTTGATAAGCTCGCGAGAAGTCTGGCAAGAACCATAAGAGAGATGGGAATAATGTGAAACCTCTGTCAGTATTTTTCTCTGAGCAGCACGAAACAAGTTGTGTTATCTAACCAATTTAATCTGGCTCATCTCTCCATCTCAACCTAATTCCGTCTTTTCTTTACCTGAGCACTATTTTCAGCTTAAGGAAACCCTGCACCTATCGAGAGCAGATTCCTTGGTGTGTTTCTGTCTCCAATGACAAATGAAGGGAACAAATGTTGAGTCGGCGAGAGACGAGGAAGCTAGGAGTCGACTTGACTAACTAGTCATGTATAGACATCGAAATAAAGCGTCTATTCATTGTGATATCTTTCCATCTTACGTTAATTTGCATAGATACCATGCCACTAGACTTTGAGGGGTGTTCATATCGATATTTTGAATTGGATGTGCGAGAAATTCGGGCTCGATAAGAGAGAAGGTTGACATGTTTCATTGGAAATTTTTATGCACTAGGTTGTTTTTCCTTTTCACGAAAGACATGTGTATGTAACAGCATACATTGGTAATGATACCGCGGAGATGGGTTGATTTTAACGTCTCGCAATAGAAAATGGAGGCGGCAGTCAAAATACGGCTCCTTGAGCCATACGTTAATGAATGAAACTGCCTAGGTAGACTTGATAATAATTTAGACGAGAGAGTGGTCAGGAGTTCTGCTACATATATTGTTCATAGCGAGCCGTTTTGTCGTGGGCTATTCAGCCTTCTACAATTTATGTCAACAGGAATGCTGCGTATACCATCGTTTGAATAGTATCTCCCAGTGTAAATTATTCGAGTCTTCCTAGCATTACCATTTTCTATAAGAACCACTAAATCAAGAGCTATTAAAAACCAAATCAACCTTCTCCCTCCTTCCCCAAACCACCTCACCTTCCTTCCCATTCCCAGCATACCTCTTAAAATACACAATCCTATGTTCCGGGATAAATTCCTCAGCCGTGCTTTCCCTCTCCCACTCAGCAGCCGCCTTTTCCAAAACTCGATCTTTGACTCGATCAAGATATCCAATCACAAATTCATCGAGGTTATAAGAGGGATCGTGTTTTAGACGGTTCAGTACTTCTGCTGCTGTGCGGAAACGAGGTGCTTTGGTTTCGAAGATGGAAGATGGAAGTAACTTAGATGGTTTGGCTGTCTTGGAGGGCATGTTGTCTGAATCTGTATCTTGGATGTTGTCGCTGGTGAGGATCAAACGGGGCCATTTACGGGAGCAGATTTTGAGTGGCGGAAGGGTGGTGTAGGAGAAGCGGATGAAGCAGTGAGACTTCAAAGTCGCTCTGTCCTGCTCTGTTTGATGTCGCCAGTTTTCTGCGATTTCTTTGACGGTTTCCATATCCTGATCGGCGGATTGAGGATTCAGGTTGAGACCAAGGACAAAATTGCCTTCGTAGACGGAATCAGTGGCTGTTGCGTCAGGCTGAACCAGACGATATGGCCAGATGATTACGTTAGTATCGCTAGTTTCGGGCAGAGCACGTTCGATACCTCATATAGTTAGAATAAATGCAAATTTGAAAGAGGTTAACGACTTACGATCTTTGAGCTTAGCTAGCTTTCGTTGGACCATCAGCAGCCACTGCGCTCCCTTCATTGGCGATACTCCGGAGTAAGTAACCATAACTCTGATAGTATGTGTGCGTCTCATCTTCTTCTCAACTGGTATTTCATCTGTCTCTGCAATGTGATTAAGCCAGTCCTTGTACGGATAAGACTCGAGACTTGAACGAAGACATAAGCTATGACTCGTATCTAATTCGTTCTCCATGTGCGTCAAGCATCCGCTGATTAGGTTTGATAGCTCCAAAGATGTATTTTCATCGTTGGACTCGGATATTTGCTTGTGGCATTCAAGAAGAGCTTTGAAAATCTGGTTATCCGGCAGAGTCGCACTAAGTCCTTTAATGGCAACCCATCTCTTTAGGAACGAATACGCTTTCCGGATGGCTGGATGCTGATCAAGTATTCGGCGAATATCTGCGCCGCGCTGGATCATTTTAACAACATCCTGTACCGCTTCAGGAATCTGGTTTTCCAGATCCTGAAGAAATCCATCAGAGGCTTGAGCCACATCTGGATATCTAATTTTCTCGTTAATTCTGAGATTTTTAGATTAAGAAAACTTACTCTCGAACCAAATTGTCACAACGAATGTATCTAATGTCAAAAACCTGATCTCGAAAGCAAACAACAAATCTTGGTTCTGAAGATCGCTCAGCTTCGTAGACAACTAATTCTCCTGCTCTTTGCTCGCTCTGTTCTGTGACAATATCCCAGAATATGTCGATATAATTATCTGTTGAGACATTGCCAAAAACAATGGCCTTTAATGCCTCCTCTTCAAAGGGCTCCAGGCCTAGAGCCAAAGCATGGATTGGGACAAATGAAAGACGTGGACGAGCCGATTCTCTCGCCCTATCACCACTAAACTTCTCGAATTTATCGACCTCCTCTGAATGGTTGCTCAACGCATTCGTGAAGATAGTCGCTAAATCCTCAAATTTATTGGCTGCGATTAATTGGGATTGACAATCCTCCAAACTCGTGATTTTCAGATCGCTAGCCGTAGGACCTGTCGAATAAGAAAACGACCCATGATGTAGGTCGGCCATACTAGTTATAATATCTCGAAGTGCTTGATTCGATTTGATTCGATATCGTAACGTGATCTCGTCCGACGAAAGGTAGTACAAACAATAAACCATGTAATTGGCGCGACAAAAATAGTTAAAGCGAATGTATGGACGGATGATCAAACTAATAACTATTGTTTTTCAACAAGCTTACTATTCTCTTGAGTCACTCGCCGATGTCAGTGCGTTTAATAAGTGAGGCTTTGCTAGGTGAAGCTAGCGACAGGCACATACTTCGAAGTAATTGGAAGCAAATTGCAGCTCGTTTGGTGACTCAACTGTGGCGAGGTCAGGAACGACTTACCACATAGCTTTCTAGCAGATCAGGCATCACAAGAAGCTTCGTACCGGGCGGTACTGATCATTGTGTTATTATGTGATGCTCTGTTGGAGTTGTTGTTCAGTTACGATTGCGTGTCGTGAAGGAGGTCTCACAATGTTGGATTGACTGGCATCGAAACATGATATTTGATCCCTGTTTTTCAAACAGAAAGGCAGCATTTTCGTTCTTGATACGTCTCATTGTAGGCAAGCTCATGATAGGCAGTATAGGTGACAGTTAGATAACGAGATTTGCTGAAACCAATTGATGAAATTCCTTACAATTTCTCAGAGCAATTGACGAAATACCTTACGTTTTCTCAATTGTTTCCGTTTGAAAAACAGGGATCGTCTCACGTGATATGAAATGCTCCCCATCAGGCTCCTCACAAAGCCTCTCTTGACTGTCTAAGCCCTGGTGGCGATGAATTAGTCGAGTACAATTACCATTCTGCTTCGCTGATATGTTAGATCTTGCATATTTGTTATATTGCGATCTGTTGTTGTGATACTTGAAGCTGCGCGTGATCGTCCATTTAATAAGCGGGACGAATGCCAGATCGCCCGTTTCAATCATGGAAAATAAGTCTCAGTAGGATGCCATTTGATGTGTTCTTTCACGACACGAATAATGTCTATCTTGTTTGGAAATCACTCAAATATCACCTAAAATTTTAGTCAAAACGAGTCGTCAAACTGTAGTGTGGTGTGGTGTGGTGTGGCGAGGCGAGAAAAAGGGGGTTCGTTGTCAAATTCAACCAGGAATCTGGAAAATAATTAGCTCTACAGAACACACCAAGATTCTACTCCAAAAGAAAGCTCTACTTCTGCCAGATTGACACATTCACGGCTACAAAGCCGCAGTCAGGAGGCACACTATTTGACTCGCTTCCATTAACCCTATCCAACCAAAATCGTTGGACTGACCACAACACCGCAATCAAAACCATCTATTCCCATTCAAGAAGCCAAGAAGACCACGCTGAGCGGGAGGAGCGGAGCTCTTGGAGATTTCTATCCAATTTGCCCACACAGTGGAACACACTGGGCGCTTCGTCATTGTATCTTGGCCGTTTTGTTAGTGTGGGAGCTCCGTAAACAGCTTTGGGACAGAAAACGTTTCCATTTCAAGAGCTGCCAGAGATGTGGTACCTGTACTGTAAGTTGATAGTCATAGGAAGCTCAAGACATTCTCAAATGAACACTTAACTACCTACCGACTTACTCGCTCATATTCGTTGTTATATCGTGATGTGCGCGTACAAAGCTGCTCTGAGAGGTGTCCTACCACCTGACATAGGTCAGTGTAACTACCCAGGGGACTGGAGTCTCGCCTGGACACCTGAAGGCTGGGGGAAAGTTCACAATGTATAGATTGCAGAGTCTTGCTAATCAGCTAAACTGATATAGCCTACGAAGCACATATCTAAACCATTGCCGTCGATATAATTTAACAGGATCTAATCGCAGTAAAACTGCCGAAAAAGACGAAGAGTTGTTGAAATTCGATAGGTGATCCCGCGCGGAATGTCTTGTCCTCTTTTCCGGTTTTTTTGCCAATCTTGCTCAGCCATTGCCAAGAGCTTGGCAATAAGCTAGCTACTAATAAATACACCCTTCGTGTTTTGATGCAATTAACCTCGCGCGCAACGGACAAATTAAGCGGGATTCACCACTACGTGGAGGCACCGACAGCTCGACAAGAAAAATTCCTAGAATGATGAAACCAAGTTCTGAGGTACTAGAACAGCTTCTCTGTGCATTGGAGATTCTTTTCCGATTTTTTAGATGAGGTTCTGGTTGAGTTGTGCTACAATCCGAGATTTTCGGAAATCTCGCTTATTTTGCCTCGCTTGCATTTTGGACTGAATTCTAGGTACTTCTCTAGGTAGCAAAAAGCTCAATGATTTCTCTCGAATAAGATACAGTATACTATGTTTGTTGTCATTTCATTGGATAGCAACTAGAGTATCTTATTTACTAAGAACGATTGACGAAATAACGTAGATTTCGTCAATTGTTTGGACTAAGTGTGGTGTTGTAGCAAGTACCTGGTGATTAGCTGCCTCAGGAAGCAGCGTGTAGAGGTAGTAAACGTCCACGAAATTCTCTAACCGGTCACCAGCTTAATTAGCAGCGTCTTGGCAAGCTGGTAGCCCGCCCGGTGAGTACAAAGTGTCGCGATTCCCTCCGCTCCTTTAGATCTGGGGATTTCTTGGAAGGAAAGGACGACCGACTCCTTCTTATTCACTTCCTTTTGCACCGTCGAATTGCTGTCAGATCTTCATATCATTTGGCGACTATTTGGACGTCTTTACATACACAGTCGAGACTAGACACAGACCTCAGCACTAATTTATCCTACAACCCCACTCTCCTCTCACACACGCAACCCAAAATGGCCGAAGCTCAGCCACCAGTCGTCGACACGCCCGCTGCTGCTCCAGCTGCCGAGGCACCAAAGCCCGTCGCAGCAGCGGAAACCGACTCCCTCTCATGTCAATGGGACAAATGCTCTGAGAAATGCACTTCCGCAGAGGCTCTCTTTGTAAGTTCCATCGATCTACAGCAACAAGCGTGCCTATGCCACAAGACAGAATGCTAACAGCTGCACCAGGAGCACATCTGCGAGAAGCATGTCGGCCGGAAGAGCACCAACAACCTCAACCTCACCTGTGGATGGAATTCGTGCAGGACCACGACCGTCAAGCGCGACCACATCACCTCGCACATTCGAGTCCACGTCCCGCTGAAGCCGCACAAATGTGACTTCTGTGGAAAGGCGTTCAAGCGCCCCCAGGATTTGAAGAAGCACGTCAAGACGCACGCCGACGACTCGGTCCTTCTTCGATCACCAGAACAGCGTGGAGGACAGAACTCGGGCTACAGACAGAGCGGCGCGGGAGGGCGGACAGGTATGTAGCAAAACAGCACTGGTTGGACCCCAAACTTCTCTGACAATCCAAATAGTGATTGCTGACCTGCAAAACCTTGCAGCTACCGCAGGAGGTTACTATGCCCATGGACCTCCAATGCATCCTGGCCAGCCTCAATATGGACATCCCCAGCACCCGGGCGGCCACAACGGATACTATGCCGCTCCACAACCATCTTCTTATGGACCAGTCTACTACAATGTCGGCCACGGTCACGACATGGGACACCACGCTGCTTATGACAGCAGGAAGCGCGGCTTCGACGCACTGAACGAATTCTTCGGTGACGCAAAACGCAGAAATATCGACCCCTCTTCCTATGAACAAGTCGGACAACGCTTGATGGCCCTCCAAGGGATCCCTATCCACAGCGGCGGTCTTGCTGACTACATGCCCACTGGCCCAGCTATGGTATCCGTTGACGGTCACCACGGTGGACATCACGGCGGACCAATGCCTCCTCACCAATATGCTCTTCCACCAATGCCAAACCTCCGTACCAAGAATGATTTGATGAACATCGATCAGTTCTTGGAGCAGATGCAATCTACGGTGTATGAAAGTTCAAATGCCGCTGCGGCTGCTGGTGTTCAACAGCCAGGAGCTCATTACACCCACCAAGCTGTCAACTTCAGACAGAGCCACTCCCCACCGCAGAGCGCTCTGCACAGCCTTCACCACCTACCTCACAGTGTCTCCTCGGCTCATGTGACAGCCCCGATGATGGCAAGCCACTCTACCCAATCCAATGCATCAGGGACTCCGGCGTTAAGTCCTCCATCAAGTGCCGTGTCTTATACATCAGGACATTCTCCAAGCTCTTCCCATGGAATGTCACCCATCTCACGACACAGCACTGCCGCGTCAACCGCTTACCCATCTCTGCCAGCGGTTACACTCGGGTACTCTCCACATTCTACCACCGCACCTGCTTCTACTCTTGGTACCAACTTTGATAGCGATCCTCGCCGCCGTTACTCTGGTGGTATGCTTCAGCGAAGCGCACGTGATATGGATGATGATTCATCCAATGGATCTCGTACACCAACATCAAAGGAAAATTCTCCTCGTCTGGAGAACACTGTCAGATCCACTTTGTCAAGTAACATTGACCCTTCGTTGTCGGGTGCTCTCTCTCCAAGTGCACAGTCAGAGGGCGGCGACAGCGCTCGTGACCGTGCTGAGGAGGCATGGATCGAAAATATCCGTGTCATTGAGGCGCTTCGAGAGTTTGTTCGACAACGTTTGACGGATCAAGATTATATCAAAGACGAGGAAGAAGATGAAGAAATGACCGACGCAAAGTCGCCTGAGAAATCCTCAGAGAGTTTGTACCCAGTACTCCGAGCGGATGATGACTAGATTCAAGCGTTACCATAAATTCAAATGCTCATCCTCTGAGTACAAGATGCAGCGGCGTTCAATGGGTGTCGGATACGGGGTTTTCTTTTGATGATTGGAATGAAAAGGGAGCTGTACTTATGAAGTGATTTTTGACTGTTTTCGTTACTGGGATTGATCCGCGTTCTTGATACCTTTCACTAGTAGATCGGAAGAATAACAGCGTTGTTGATCATTATCTGGATTGTTTCTTCGTGGTTCTACATTTCAAATAGCGTATAGTATTTTGCGAACCTCTAAAGTCCCCCTGATCCTTCCTGCCAACGACCTTCATGTGACAACGCGATCGCGGCTACCTCTACTAACCTAGAATGTAGCGTACTGACAGAGACACGCCTTTACATTTTGACAAACGGGCACGCAACGTTCCTGAGCTTAGCTACCTTCGAGAATCTGCCATCTTGTATTGTCTCACACCTGGAGAAGAATTTGCAAAGCAGGGCTTTGTTTCATTTCTAGTGCTCTAATAGAAAATAGGCCCTCGCGAAGCAATGTATACACTTCCGCGTCCAGAGCCGCTTCAGTTGGGCACCTGGAACCATTTCAGAGTTATGGGTGCAGGGAAAAGGACATTTGGTCCTCCGATTAGTTTTCAGGATGCCATGGATGATATTAATGGGCGTAGTAAGTCTGACTTTATGATCTTCCTAATTCATAGTTCCTGTGCGCTTGTTAATGGTTCTTAGACCGGCTAAGCTTTGCAAGTATCGAAGACATGGCTGCGAGGTACAGCATTCGTCCTACAGAATTGTGTCTCAAACCGGTTGAGTTGGGAAAGTGCGCTCGGGAACATGCCGTGAAAGTGTTGGTATGGGATATTCTTAATTGGTGTTTACGACAAATATAAAGCTAATTTTACATTAGGAGAGTTGGAGATATTTGAGAGACGTTGTGCAACGACACGAAGCAACACTGGTTAAGAGATGGTCGAAGAAGACCAAGAACACGCGAGCTCAAATCCTCTTGAAAGCGTGGCCAGGAATGAGCTCGAAGCATAGGCCAGACTATGATGCATATCGAAGGGAGAGTCCGCAACAGGTAAAAGCCGTTTGGTTGTCTCTCTGAGCCTGAAACAATCTATCTAACGAATGGTTTAGCGCGGCAAAGGCACAAAGTTTGGAGATGCCTATATGTGGCCATATATCAATCTCGAGAACCTTTGCAGCAAATCATTGTTGATGCTGTTCATCACTTCACGTGCACGCAATTCTCCAGAGCAATTTGCAAGAGCAGACTTTGACGCTACCCGTCTTGGTAGAATCAGCCAGTCGATAGAAGTTGCTGACATCCAACCAATAGAGTATACCTTGTTTATCGAAGGCGAAAGCGATGAGACGTATGGAAGACTGGTATCTTGGAAAGATGATCCCACGGCAGCCAGAGCTTCTATGCAAACATATATTCCGGGGGAAGGTTTAGTGGCACTTCAATGTCAGGAGAAGATATATGGGCTTCTTGTTAAGTGTTGCGAAAGTCTGCTTGAACACGAAACGAAAGACAACATCTCCCTGCTTGACGAGCGTTTCCCAATCTCACCACCAGTTATTGGTTCGGAACCAGAGTTGATTCCATCCGTCGACGGAGAGAATTGGCCGACACTCGCATCTATTGCAACAGAGGCACCGTTTCGACTTCCGGCTAAATTGGACTTCAATCGGATCAAAGCAGTTCTGAAAGCCAAATGAAGCGCTGCAGAGGATCACATTTGGGCAATAGGGGAAGACCCGGGATATTTTGCTGAAACGATCAAAGATTGGGGCGAACACCGAAATGATACTCTACCGGACACGAATGGCAATCCTCATCCAACCGGGCCGCAGACTGTAGAGTTTTGGGTGCGGGTCATTCGCAATGCAGTCAATGCCATGTATGCCGACTTTATGGAATGGAACGTCATGTACAACAAGGCTTCAAGGTTGGCTATCCTGCAGGAAAATTACAAGGACGTTATTTCACCAGACAAGAAATTGCCAAAGGACTATCTTATTGCCATTCTCAATTTCCGGGAGATGTAAGATTTCGCGTCTCAATCTCCAAGAGCCCAGGAACACTAACTTGAAGACAGACTGAAGGTTAACACCGAAAACCCACTTCATCGATTGCAACATATCCAGTCATCACCTCCTATGCGACACATATTTACGCGCGAGCCACAAGATCCTTACACGACTAAAATGATTATTCATCCTAGACCAGGAGCAAAACCTCCAGCGAGATTGTGGTTTCTTTTGTAGTTGATGTGGCAGCCAGCTCAGCGCTTGCTCTGGGGACTTTCAAGTCTTGTTGACGAATTCGAGCATACAATCTCTGATCCGAAGGAGAAAGAAAACTTGTCGGCGTATATGCAGGATAATTTCTCAGATTTGGGTGTTATGACTCATTGCTGGCATGAGCTGGAAATATATCATCCTTGGGCGGAGAATTTTGATAGAGATACTGAGGTGAGTTATTCACTAAGTGGTTGTGTCTCAAAGTCTTGTCATCTAATAACATATAGGAGCTTCAGAAGGAAATGTTGCTGGCACAAAAAAAGGATGTACAGACCCTACTGGATTTCCAGGCCCATATTAATGACCTCCTAGTCGGAATTGCCGAATATGGTATGTATCAAGGAGGGCGATTTGACTATCTCTCAGACAAAAAGCGCACCAAAGAAAATACGGAAAAGATGATTGAAGCGGAGAAGAATCTAGATGAGTTTTGGAGGTTACTCGAAGCAAAGTGGAAGAAGTTAGCTGGAAAGAGCCTGGAAAGATCAATGAAAGAACATGTTCTTAGCCATCGTGGCCAGCCATTGGAACGTACTGCTCCGTGGGTTGAGCCTACGCCGAAGCCGAAGGAGAAGAAGAGTTTGGGCACATACACGACGCCAGAGATTGCAGAACAAGAATACTATGACCCGACTTCCCTCAATCCGAAAACGAAACCTAAAAACAAAGGCGTCGCCACAAAAGAAATTACTAGACCGCAGCCAACGGTGCCTGGTTTACAACTCGACAAAAAGCCTCTGCTGAAAGTTGACAAGCGAACAATGAAAGTCTTTAACACCGTCTTCCATATCCCGAACGCCTCAGACCAACCAGGCGAGATCGCTTGGAAAGATTTCCTATACGCCATGGCAAATACAGGTTTCATGCCACAGAAGTTATATGGTAGCATCTGGCAGTTTACTCCACGGAATCTAGATGTTGAGCGGAGTATTCAATTTCACGAACCGCACCCGGGAAGTAAGTTGAAGTTTACCGGGGCGAGAAGGATCGGAAGGAGGTTGAGTAGAGCTTATGGTGAGTTTCTTGTTTCGTTTAGTTTGCTGTTTGACGGATGGAGCTGGATAAGAGATCTCTCTCGGCTGTGTTCCAAGTTCGGAGCAGAGTGCTAATGATTTTTGTAACAGGATGGCATACTGGTATGTTCGCGCTCGAGGATAAAACTGGAAAGAAGGAAGTCGTTGATAAGGCGAAAGTTTGAAATAAGGATCAAGATTCTATAGGTCGTTCAGCATCGCTTTCTACTCTAAAGTGGAATGAAAGTACTTCTTTTAATTTAACTGCTCGGTAAAGTCTAAGACCTATAGAGGGATTGTGAAGCTTGTCCCTTACAAAGGTTAGTGTCAAAAAACTGTTGGTGTCAAAAAACTGTCGTCATTGCCCTGAAGCAGCTAAGGTAACACCAATCATTATCCTCCCTGAGACATGTTCTTTTACAGTACTTTATAGGAAGTATGTTAAAAAGGAAGTTTACTCTCAAGTAATTTGCCGTCCTGGCGATAGAAGAGCTCCGTGGCTGTCAAAACACGATGCTGTCGAAACACGATGTTTGCTCTAAACCATTGACGAAATATCGTGTATTTCGTCAATTAAACTGGCACAATACCGCTTCTTTCTCTACCGTTTCCGGTAAATATAACGTTTCTCGACTATATGTTTTTTGTTCTCTTCAATTCAAATTAAATCCTACTTCACCCTAATGCAATATGAGGAGATTCCGCCACTTTTTTCTTTCATGTTATGGAATTGCTTCTGCAGCCTGATTTTCAATCTTGTACTTCGATCTGCGCTTGAACCTGTGTTCAGCCGCAGCTGAAAACCTCGGCAACTTATATTGGACGGCACATCACGACCATACATTATGCAAGGTTGCTTGTTTGCTGCCATAAATTATTGTATGCAGGCAACCTAGCGATCAAGGCAAGATGTGTATTAGGGAAGGATACGAGAGTGGCCGTGAAGCGAATGTTACCTTAACATCAGAGTCAAAGTCCTTTTACTTTGGAACGCCATTTCTTTTCTTCTGCACATCCACTCTCGTCCTTGTCACTTGAGTGTTCTTGGTGGTTGTATTATATGAATGTTGTTACTTTAGTACATTATTACTCTAATAACAATCTGGAACTCTGAAAACCTCGCCATGAAGTCTCGTGATTCGGCCCCGGCGGAGGCATCAGGCAGTGCTGGAATTAAATCTGCAGCAGGTGAGTACCCTCTTTATGAGTTTCAACTAATTGACCACTCATAGCTGTAACATCGGCTGGCGGAGTTCTATCTGAGGCTACCGGAAGCCCAAATACGGGTGTTGAAGGTCGTTTCGACCCCATAGAGCAAGTAGGAGCTGAGACTCTGCGATATTCGCGACCAGACGACGTGACGGCGAAGTTTGAGTCCAAAATTCAAGCATCAATTGTATACCTACACGAGCTTTCGCAGCCAAAGGAATACTACATAGTGCGTGGAAAACCTTCTATCACACAGTTATTGTCGGACCCCGGCCCAGCTGGATATATGAAAAATTTGCCAGAGTATAAGGCTCTTCCCGGAGATCCAAATCCAGATCTTGTATGGATCCATTTACCAGCAAATAATATGTCCTGGGTAGAGGTATGGTAATGCTTCAAGCCTTTTCACCCGAAGATAACTAAACGCGCCCCAGAAACTAGTCACAACGCGATATGGGGAACTCCTCAAAGATTCCGCGGTGGATGACAACTCTGATAAAGCAAACAAAGATGCAGTCGGTAAAGGCAAAGATGTAGTCGGTAAAGGCAAAGATGTAGTCGGTAAAGGCAAAGATGCAGTCGGTAAAGGCAAAGATGCAGTCGGTAAAGGCAAAAATGCAGTTGGCAAAGATGCAGTTGGCAAAGATGCAGTCGGCCAATTGTTTTTACTTTCTCCTGAAGTTTGGACACAACGACAACATAATGGCAGTTTCACTCAGCCATCAAAGCAAGAGAGGTTCCTGCAACCACTATACTCTAGGATATCAACACGTGAGCTTCAATGCCATTCATTCAATTCGTTTGACTCAATTTCTTTTAGTAGAGTCCAGCATCCCGAGTGCGAGGGACATCTACACAGAGTCAGATTCAAAACCTAACTCGGTACTTTTTGTGGGTAGGGTCAATCTCCTGGGAATATCTGCGCTAACTATATGAGGAAGATGCCATATATCCATTGGGAATACATCGATAGGTATGTCCTCAGAAACAAATGCCTCGATTGGATGTGCAGAAAGGAACCCCAACAGATTTCTGACCACAACAATCCGAAGCCTAAGCTTAAGCTTAAACGCGCTATGGCTGATGAGACTGCTACTAATTCTTGGACCCCGGAACAAGCAAACAAGGAATTGCTAGATTTAAGTGAGAAAATAGATATCGATTCCAAGCTTCTCTTAGCATATGTCCATGAAGACTCACCATTACACGTCCGCCGCACCTTGGATCAGTCATTCTACTATACGCTTGCAGACGAAGAGATTCGTACCCGAGATTTGGATCAGGTTTTGTATCGCTACACTAACGAATACCTTCATATGACAGCTCCTCGTATCCTAATGGTAGATCAACTTTGGCTTTGGATAATTGATGGATCTGAAAAGTCTAAACAGCCAAGTACTGTCTCATTCACAAAAAAATCGGAGCATCTGCTCACGTCGTCCAATAGGAACTGTTATCACTGCATTTCCTCAAAGTTGGGGGACTGTACCACCTGCCATAGCAACAAGCCCAAACCAACCATCCTCACCTCCCCCAGCGCCACCAAGTCATGCCTCCCATGCTACTACCAATTTACCTGTAACAGAGCCCCGGCAGCTCGTGGATCGTGCTCTATACGACTTCACGGGTGAAGGCGACAACGAGATCTCATTTAGGAAAGATGACACTCTCACGCTTGTCAAAAACGGCACCAATGGTTTGCAGCACAATCCTCGATTTGCTTCCTAATGTCGAGTTCGGAATGCTAATATGCTTATAGGCTGGTGTATGATAGACAACGGCAGGGGCAAAGGATGGGCTCCTTCCTCGTACCTCAATCTAAAAACACCTTCTCCCGGTGCTGCAACTGAAGTTCGAAATGAAGATTTGTTCACGACAGATGATAGGTCTCAATTTTATGACAGAATATTTTCTGCTCTTTTGCAACCTGATGTGGAGAAGAGTTCGGCGGATGATGTTGTCAATTTGATTATTGACAAGTGTTCTGGGCTCTTCCATCCACGTCACGATGAGATTGACCACATGCTTGACTATCTTGAGGTCTTTGCCATCGTCATTGGAAAAGCAGTATGAATTCTACCGTGTTATTGAAATGCCATCTAATACATATTGAATCTAGGCGAATAGGCAGACAACGCTTCACAATGCATTATGCACCCACTCAGAAAGACTGCAGAAACTCCAGGGACGTCTTCGTCAACTGTCTAGTGCATCGCTCCGTGAAAGGTGGGGAAGGCAACTTGAACCGGCAACCCAAGGCGCAAACATTCCAGTCGAGGTTGTTTCTCTTAATCCGTCCCTTGCCGAGGAATGGTCAAAGTTTCCCAAGTTAGCTGATCCTGTGGTAGCGCGAGGAGAGGAGTTTCCAGATATAGCAGAACCTTTGAGCAAAGGAACTATCCCTAAGATTGAGCTTCTGATCGAGCACGAGATGAATTACTTGGTCGATATCACAAAGGAAACTGAGCTCATGAAAGAAACTAAGGATATTCTAGACGAATTGAATATGATCTCTTCCATTTTCAAACAGCAATTGAGGATAGTAAAAGCCATGGCAGAAAACAAAGCAGATAGCAAAAATCTTGAACAGCTTCCTTCCGAGCCGCTGGATCCTTCTGGAACAGCCAAAGGGAGCCAGATCCCGAAAGAACAAGACAATCTTCAAGACGATGCAAAGAACTCTGCTGTAAAGTATACAAAACTACACCAGAAACTGAAAGGCAGAGAACAGGATATCGAAGATCTGAAGACGGAAGGAACAAGGGTATACAAAGCCGTGAGTTCAGGTATCTCTTCTTATCCTAAAGACGTGAACACTAATGCTTCAAGATTTGCGATTTGTTGGATCTCAAGCAAAAACAGGCCAGCGTTTCTGAAGCCTACTCAGCGCGTCAGGAGGCCAAAGAGTCTGCCCGACAAGGAAACATAATACTTGTGTTTACAATCGTTACTATCATTTTTGTACGTGTTTCTTCTAAAACATCGTATATAACAGACTCTAAATTTTGTACTAGCTGCCCCTCTCATTCATTGCTGCCATATTCAGCATGAATGCTAAGGAAATCAATGACTTCGCAGGTCGAACAGTCAGAGGTGTATTAGTGGTTATGCGTAAATGCTTCTTTCTTACTGAGAAGCATCTCTGTCTTACGTGCCAAAATAGTTCCATTCACGGTCGGCACACTGATATTTTCCCTAATACTCGCCTATTATATATCTATCAAATGGTTCCTCATTGGCCTCTTCACATGGGCGCGACACCGACACAATCAGGCACTCAAAACTGCAGCCACGCCATCCGCAGCCGAATCTCCAGCTCAAAAAGCCCCCGACCAGGGAACGACGTCGAGTTCAGGAACAAGCGCCGAGGCAGGTGGTGGTGCTCCCACGGAAGCAAGGAGACGAGCTGGTTTTTCATGGCCTCTTAAACATAAGAAGAAGACGGATGATCAGCCTCCAGGACAGGCAGGATGGGAGACTGTTTGAAATTAATCCTGCTCATTGTCTCCGAGATAAAAATCTTGTAATCATTGCTCGCCTTAGACGACATGCTTCAGAACGCTTCTGGTATAATCTGGGTGGGCCTGTACGTGCAATGAACAGAACGACCTGCGGTGGGCAATATAAGTATTATTCGATATATTTATTCGATTAGCTGGACAGAATATCATATATTTCCTGAATTAAGTTGATGAAGTATTGCATAGTTTGCTATGATTTTCGGGAAATCAGATTGTTGAGATTTAGACACCGTTTAGAAGTTGACAAGTCTAAGTTAGAAGAATCTTCAACATGTCCATGGGATATTGTCAATGATATAGTCTATTGCGACAACGAATAGAAGGTTTGTATTTAATGTTAGTCCTAACTATTAAAGAGAAGATGTATCTTGTTTATGATCAGTAAGATAAGGTGGATTGGTAATTAGATGAACGGCGTTTTGTACTTGTAAGTTAATGAAATATATAATATTTCGTCAATTAAGCTAGTAAAATATCATTTTGTTTACTTATATTATCGACAAATATAAGGTATGTAGACTACATGTCGAATCTTTTTAAACCAGAACTAGATTTTCCTTCACTTTATTACAATATTAGGAGGGTGTGCCACAGATTTTGTCTTCTGCGAGCAGGTCCCCCCCTTTTAACCTCGCTTAACGAAGGTCTTCCGGTCTTGGCGTCCTAGGAAGGAATCAAGGCACGGAATGTGTGTATTTGTTATACTTAACATGTGTCCATAAAATCACAAATTTACTCGAATAAATAGGTAGAACCTATTCAGGTTTATTGAAAAAGCTTATGATTTTCCAACCCGCCCATTCGATATACATCAATGACAATAACCACCACCCCAATCTCAGATAATATATTCCCTCATTAGTCTTATTCCAACCTTTACTGACCGTTGTAACCAAAGGTTGTTTTGCGTTATTTGTAATACAGCGCGCGATTAACACGGTAGCCAACTCAAAGACATCACGTTACCGCACTCAACCAGTAATAAAACAGATTTTCATGCAGGCCTCTGTATTTTCTCCTGTCATTTCCTCTTCTCGTCTCGCCGGGCAGCTAGCGCTTTTCCAAACACGGGTATATGGCGTAACTTGCTCTTGGATTCTAACATGTCTTTTTCAAATTCGGTGGCGCCTTTAGCAATCATTTGTTTGCGTATTAATATTACCAGAGGATCGTCGAAATCAGCAAACACTTTGTTGAATATGAAAAGTCCCGATCTTTTGGTAGCAGTTCGTGAATGTCTTCTACGAACTTCGTGGTAGACCGACTGCGCTGCATTCGCCCCGTAACGTAGGAAGAGTTCGATTATCTTCAACCACCGAAGCTTGAGCTCTCGCATAAATTCTCGATGTTGATCAAAATCAGAGACGTAATGATCAACACCTCTACTGTGTGGCCAGTCACCGCAGAAACGCAGGTAGACTTGGAGGAGCACAGATTCCCAAGCCGTCCTTGTTCCCTCATCACGGACATCGTCCACATGTTCGGAAGTGAATAGTTGATTTGGATCGCATCCCCTCTTTAAAAGGTGTTCTACTATAATTGGATCGAATGCGTCTCTTTCGAAATCATCATAATAAAAATCTGGAGCCAGATTACAGGTCGCGTAGAGAAGCAGAGGTCGCCCTCGCTTCTTCACAGGGTTATAGCCACGTTCGAACTTGTCGATGACAGACCGAGTCATACCAACAGCTGTCAGGTATGCGATATAGTCACTCTGCCACCCGGTTGGCTCGGACCAATCGCCGTATCGCGGGAGTGTCCAATGCCAATGCCAATGCTTCCATTCTCCAATTTCAGTAGCACAAATTTCTGTAATCAAACTGTCAAGTACTTCAAGATATGCGAGCTGCGACGTTCCAGTGAGCCGTTCGGCTTCACGTGCGTGGAACATCATTACAAAGATAATCCCTTCACGCATTGACGAGAAATAGGTTCCAAGCTTATGGAATAAGCTAGTGTTGGTATGGTTATAGTTCGAGAGGTGAAGTGATCTGGTGGTACAAAATTGACGCAAACAGCATACAATAATGTCAATGTGAGCGGCAGCTGTTAGTAACATCTGGTTTGCTAACCAAACTGGCACACGATCCGAGCAAAGGAATTCCTTGACTGTCAAATGTAGGTACTGAACTCTAGACGTTTTCCAAGGTGTTTCCACCAATTGTTCGTATTTCAATTTCAAGGAAGCATCATCTTGAGAGCGAAACTGATTTTCACTTGGATCGCGCTCTATTAGACGAACCTCAATGAGACCAGCCGTACGGGCTTTAAGCCTCTTTGCGACTTTTATATGCCGCTCCGCAATATCCGTCCCAGAGAGAATGCTTCCTTTTGACAATGCCTCCCTTGGGTCGTCCTCAGCGAAGGACATTGCAAGTGGAGAAAGTGGTTTGACGGCGGTTTGAACAATGCGAAACATCTGGCCTGCATGCCTATGGTAAAATGGGTCGATCTGCTCTAGCATATGCTTATACAATGGCGCAAGACCAGCAGGCAGGAATGATAGACGAGCTTGGAGGGTTTTCAAATCATCACCGCTATTCAAACTGTCGACAAGAGATGTTACGACTAAAGTTACCCATAGGAAGACCTAAAGATTAAGATATCAGCTACCTGCCACGGCTGATCTTTATAGAATCGTGAGATGTGAAGCGAGAAGCAGAATTGACGTTCGACTTGACCAGAAAAGGAATTTGCTTACACCTTCCGCTTTTGACAGTATTTCTTTGATAAGGAGTTTTGTGGTGAATGGGTCGTCGTTCAAAAGCTCTCTGAGTTGCCGAACGTCGCTGAATTTTGTTTCTACATATATCTTTATGTCGTCTGCCGTCAAATCCTGGACTTTGATATGTAAAGACTGCAAGTACGACTGCTCGAACGCTAAGTGCGGGCGGCTCGACACGCATAATTGAACACGGACTAAGGAATCGTTCGACGCCGGGAGTAGACTTTTTAATACATCGATGATATCCTGATCCCGACCCGAGAATTCGTCAAGCCCGTCGATTATGAAAAACAAATGTAGGCGCAACCGAGTTTGAGAGATAATCGACTTAAAAGTTTCTTTCAGCTCCACAATTGACCATCTTCGCATCTCTAATGTACCCATACCCGCTGAGATATTATCTCTCGCTGTCTCCCATCGTTTAGGCAGTGTGATAGGTATCAATTGGCGGTATTTGTACAAAATGCTGAAAATAATGGCTCGGAAAAGTCCTTCCTGAGACTTAAGAAGCGGATTTTCCCTGCGGTCATGAAAGAAAAATCCAGAAATTAAAGTATTTTCGATGTCCTCGGGAAGACTTTCAATGGTCCTGGGATCTGCGAAGAGAAACTTCATCAAAGTTGATTTACCACAACCAGCTTTGCCGGATATCCAATAAATACCCTTTCCGGCCTTCAGCCAGTCGACAAACTTCAGTTCCGGTTTCCTGTAGATCCAGCCGAATGTTTGTTTATGAGCCTCAGCAATGTCGTCGTATCTTTCGTGCATGCCGTCGAATGCAAGATGAGCCAGTATTTCTGCACCAGTTAGACACAACAAAATGCGTAAAAGGGCGCAAACCTACCTTCCTCACTTTTTCTTTGTAAGTACGATTCCCCTGATAGTGTAAATATTTTAGCAAAGCACTTGATTTATCTGAAAATGGAATAAGACATATTGGAACATCTTCAGGAACTTACTCGGAGCAGCAGAGGCCGGAGAAAAATGTTGCACTTGCGCATAGTACCTTGGCTCTTTTATTTGCTCATTGTCTACCAGACATCAACGGCCGTATCGATATGTCGGACTATCTACTTCGTCTTACTCATGTGGAAAACTTGAGATTCAGCTTGGAACTGTTCTCCAGATCCGAAGTTTGCCTGAAACTTTTGGTTTCCTGATACATTATTGTTTGTCATTGGCCCGTTGCCAAAATTGTTGTTTGTGATGGAGGTTTCGTCCAACTCAGAGTCAGGGATCGAATGACTGATTGCCGATAGTTCTTCGATAGCCTTCTTGAGCTGTTCGACTTGGTCCGCCCTGGCAGTTTCCATCCCATGCTTACTCGCGATGAGCAGCACATCGTCCAACAATCCTTTCATCAATGTTTCCACTCCTCCACCTTTACCCAGTGTCTTTGCAGCACTGACGTACCGAACCCATCTTGTGGCATCGTCTGCCGGAAGAACTTTCTGAAATATGCCATCTAGTGTCTCAGCACTCACTTTGCATCTATCGATCAAAGGTTTCATTGACTTGCACGCAGCTTCATCCACATGTCCATCTCGAATATTCCTTTCTGCAGAGCCGAGGATATTTTTGACAATCGGAAGACGTCCCGCAACCTCACGAAAGGCTTCCGGCAGACCTTGTGCATTCGAAGCCGCGTCGTAGACTTGCTTCGTCCCGTCAACAATTGCGACAACTGAAGAAATAACGCCAAGAACGAGTATGGCTTCGGCACCCGACATGACTACGATCACAGGTATGTTAAGAGTACGACTCTCAGGTATCTAGAAAGAGTACCTCGCCGGGGAAATACAGAGAGGAAAACCATATGGGGTGCTTCATTTCATACACTAAGGTCGTGAGGCTGAACAAAAAGCAAGGTTGTGATGGAGGCGTCAATAACCCTGTCAATGCAGCATACAGTAGCTGAAGTTTCTCTAAACATCCGTTCGAATCGAGACCACAATTCTAATAGATTCGCGAAAAGATAAAGAGATGGAAATAGATGACAGGATAACAACCAAATGATTACACAAGCGAGTATGACTCCACAAATGTTGTGGATTTATTCGGTTCTATTGTGTTAATAAATTGCAGCGTATTTCGTCTAATACTTTTAGGGAAAAAAATTTGTTATGTCTAGTTAGGTCTAGGCCAAAAGTTGTATATGTACACTTAATACAATGGAAATTAAGAATATAGTCAAGAGGTTGCTAATTCTTGAATTTGCAACTCGAGACTAAGCGGATGAACATTATATAGGCCGAACATCAAACAACTATTTAATAGCACTTACACTGAAAGTAGACCCGTGTAAAGAATACGGGTTATAGATCATGAAAGTCACTGGAGTCACAAGGAATGTACAACCAATTTTTCAAAGTGATTACAACGACATCTCGTAGTGGGCAGGTAAGTGGCAGTCGAAACACGATGTTATTGCAGTCAGAATGACAAATTTCATACACACCGTCTTCTTTCATCTAAAGAAAACATTTTAATAGTCTGCTGAAAATAATCTGTAACTATACGTTCTTAGTTACTTGTAATTACCATAAATCTTTAGAATGTTCTACCACCGATTGTTTGCTCTCCAAGAGGGTCTAATCTTGGTATATACTTAGTGATCGAAGGATTATACTAGATAAATTACCAGTAGATTAAAGTTACGACGAATGTCTCCTAATGGCCTGCTTCACCTGTTCCTTTGCACTGTTGACTACTTAGCGATGATGACTTTGGTACGAGATCGATCGCTAAAATTCACAGTCGCACTCGTTAGGCTTAAAATCTCGGTTCGAACTATTTTTGTTAAATAATTGTGTGATATGATATGAGGAAGGAAGACAGGCAAGAAACAAAGCTATTTAAAGAAGAGAATCAAGAGATGTAGAGATTTTCGGTTTCATGATTAATTCAAGGAAGGACGTTGAAGTTTAACCGACTTGTCTATGTTCCTATTTGACTGACACCTACCTAGCAGGAATAATACTCCATTAAATTGTTTCCTTTCTTACAATGAGGAAACCTCTATTTACCAAAAGTTATGTCTACACACAGGAATTATTTACCCAATATCTAAACACGTCAACCCAAGCCCGAAGGTTAAACCAAAAACACCCATCAAACCACAACCTACACTCCACGTACTCCTAAATCACTACAACAACCACATATAATACACCGTCCCCCATTATCACACCCAAAATCTTCGCATCCTATACCACAAACGCTCTTATCACACCTCATACTCTCCCTCGTCCACCATCCTTAACCCTTGGCGGCGCCCTCAACGTCCCCTCCACCTCCCCCCTAACCCCCTCTATAATCCCCTCCTCCCGTCTCCTCACCTCCTCTTCCTCCCTCCGCTTCCTCTCCGTAACCTCCTCATCAACACCCCAACTATAATTCCCCGCTCCGCCTCTCCCACCTCTATACACCGCAGCGCCTCCATTCCCAGCATTCGCACTCGATCCCCGTTCTGGGACTACGGGCGCCTTCGTAGTATGATTTGGGTCGGTGACAGGTAAGGGCAGCGTAGCAGGCTGCACCCAATTCCCCGCTCCTCCTCGGCCGGTATGCGCGTACTCTGTGGTCGGGACTTGAGGTTGGAGATTTGTTTTCGGCGGTGCTTCCTCAGTTTGCTAATACATCGTTAGCACTCGTCTTCTGGGGGAAAAGGGGATGGTACCTTCACATCCTCACGACTATAGAAATTCCCCGCGCCACCACGACCGACTTTAGCATATGGCTCTGTCATGATTGATATGCTTGTAGTACGTATGTATGATGGTAATTGTTCTTTAATACGAAAGATGAACGTCTGAGAAATTATCTGGCTATCACAATCTTCACAATTTTTTCCTGAGATCCTGGTTCGGGACGTCCGAAACGTGACGTCGCTTCCATTCCATCACCAGGCGCATCTACAATTTCTTTTTCCCTACTCCCGTTCGTACGAGATTTTCTTTTTCCACACAATTTCCAAACAATTGTCTCACCAAGCCTTTCACCTCTTATTCGAATGTCATACTGTACATTCACATCGCCGACATCAGTCCCGCAAAACCGTCAGTGTGAAATCCAGCTTGAATGAGCTCTGGCGGGGTTCTTGCCGATCTCGGCGGGGTAACATTTATTGCTCCACCTCGTAACTTTCCTTTCCTATCCCAATAAATATGGAGCGTTTGAACATTATCGTGTATGGTGGGAGCGCCTAAAAACTGTCTGAGTCATTAGGGTCTCTTTGGATTGGGAACTTGAGAAATGGGGAGTGTTTTGCGGATTCTCGCATATATAGTAGTGAGAAGTGGATAGAAGTGGATAATTATTCTACAAGTAGAGCTCATATACACATTCAGATGTGTAAGTGAAAATGCAGCGGATAGGAATTCCGAAAGACCTTGGACATAAGGTTAAGCTAGCTGTGGTTCTACTATTTTGTGTTGAGTTTAGGATGTTTTGTGGTGGACAGAACCTCCTGGTTGTTCAGCGGCCTAAGAAGGTGTTGAGTTCGTATATTGCTAAATTTAATTGGCGAAAATTCACAATAATTTGCAGAGTATCACATTGCATCAAACCTACGGTGTTAATCTCAGGTTATTTGGTTCATAGAGATGGGATATGTAACATAATGTATTCTACTACTTTAGGGGAAATGTATTTGGACATCGTTCTACTCCAGACTTCACTTGTAAGTAATGGATGTTCTTGAATCCATAGTACAAAGACCTGTATCCAGGTGTAATTCTCACCTGAGTCATTATAATACTTAACTCCTTCTAGAAGCTCTCCCCCAAAATTTGTTCTCCAAAAAGAACGTCATTTACAAGGCCCCTTGCAGATAAGGGAACTGCAGGTGCATGTACCCGGTTGGAAAAGACCGAGCATCTTTCTAGAATTGTTTAGAAAAATTGGCAAGTAAGCATAACATGATCTCGTTAGGCACTCGACCGTCCAGGCACAATAATTCGTATGAAAACGTACCTGATGTTGACAAATTATTAGTACCCCGCTCCCGAAAACTGGAGATAGATTGAGGGGAAAATACTAGTGTACCATCACTTCCCTTAGAACCTTTCTTTTTCCAATTGTACAATTGAGCAACGTAATACGTTGTATTATTCAGTGATCGGAAACCGAGGCCGGAATAATACTAGCCTTGCCAACCTTTCGGGATCGTTTGTTCTCACGATAGGTAGCGTCAAGAAGTGGAGAAATAATTGCTCTTCTGACCACAAAGCCACGCCACGCCACGCGTGTCATCCAAGTTGTTAGACTGGCTCTATCAAATCTTGGCCATATTAGTGATCGATGAGGCAGTAGCACCACCGCTAGCAATCCGAAGATCTGGCAACTTTGTTTTTACGTTACCCGTACTCGGTCGATAAAAAGTTAATGTCAAAGGTGTTGATTGTGCCGAAAATCCCGAGTGATTCCTCTCATGTGTTAGAATAAGTTATGTTAAAACCATTTCAATGTTTGTATCAACGTGCACGTCCTGAAGCCGGCAGATCATAGTTAATGTAATATAAGAAAATCAAACCAAGAAAAAAATGTCGAGGGAGAGTTTCAGCCATCGAAGGGAAAGACCCTTACCCGTGTGGACCAGATCGCATCACCTGCATTAGCAACCGCAAGTATTCGATCAAATTCGATCCGATCCCTCGGACTGGCTGGCTTGGTTGACAGCCTAGCCCCTGTGATAGCGTATGGCGTACCTGAATGAAAAAGTTGAGATAAGGACTTTTACATTTCTTGACACAGAAATGTCAAACAGGTTTCCCATGTAGATTGATACCGAAATGTTGAATGACATCTCGACTTTTGGATCATCGATGATGTGTCGCATAAAGCTTCCGTGAGCAAATAAAAGAACCTGGGAGAGATCCATAGTAGAGGCCAGCACGGGCAGCTGAACGAACAGAACTGAGAAAAGAACTCCAGGATTCTTGTGATCAGCGTTCGCAGGCCATTATTCCCCGAAATTCCACAAAAGAGTGGCTGCAGCTCTTTCCCTCTTCTCATGATTCTGCATGTCATATCAGATAGTGAAAGCAATAATCGTGTTATTTGAGGATGATAATATCCTCTCACGCTGTTTTAAGCAGTGTCTGTGGAACCACTGGCAACTCTACTGAACACCAATGATAGAAATGCTCGCTGCTTCAACATGATGGCTGACGCCGAGGGGAGTGTTCCGATCAATGAGAGGCATTCAATCCACCCCGCTCTCTCTGCTGCAGCCGCCGTGGAAGGCGCTGAGAGGGGTAAATGCTCGACTCGCGCCTCGGACAGTATTCGAATATGGATGGAGGTTTGAAGTATGGGAAGCCTTTTATCCATGAAACTCGCGCGGTCTGGGTGATTGGGATAACGAATGGAAATAGTCATCCTACTGATATCAAAAGATACCAATGCTGATTCCTAAACCAAGTAGTGATGATCCTCAAAACCCCATGAATTGGGTAAGCCTTGAAAGAGTCTAGAACATTGATGGACGTCGATGCCGCAAAGTATGTGTATGTCGGGCCAGCTTGTTGTTGATGCGGTAATCATTGTTTTCAGGTACAAGAATTGTTGGCTACGCCTCCAATCTGCGGAAGAGTACCTGACTTCCCAAATGTATGTCAGCTGTACTCCCCATCCGAAAGGGTGAGCGACGTCCAGCAATTGGTGCCCACATCGCTGCAACCAAGATTAAAGATGTGCCACATGCCGTTTTGAAGCTGGAAAATCGGGAAATACTGCCAGATGTGTCCCCCCAAGAATGTTGTTAATCGTTGAGCTTCCCTTGATTTCTTTTTGATATGTGTGTCACCGTGTCACCTGAAGTTTGATCCTGGTTCTCTAGGCCATGCCGCAATATGTTTTACTGGCGTCAGATGAGGAATTGCGAATATTCTGGTCGATCCGATTGCCGCGTATGCTGGGCGATGCTTTGAAAAATAACTGTGATGGTGTTGATTTCTGAGACATCAAGAAAACTCATCATCAGCACTCGCGATCGGCAATAACCTCAACACGATATCATGAAGCTTCCTGGTCCTATTCGTCAGCTCAGCTCTCGATTTTCACTCCCTCATTCCCAATTCTCCGTCATGCGGCAATGCAATCCTTGAATATGCTTGCCACCCTCCATATCTGGACCGCACCAAACGCCGACTTTGGCTGGGTTCGATGAGGTTCCCAATGATATTCAACCAACACTGCCTAAAGACGGCGTAGGGCAGGTGTCCTGTGATCCGCGGTTATTGGTCGAACTGCGAAAGGCTGGACCAAACGATCGCTGCTCGAAATATCACGAGGGGGTCCTGATGCGGTTTAGTGAGGGTTGCCCTTTGGGTGTGGCATCCCCATTTATAATTCTTCGGGAAGGAAGGGGAAATAATTATTTTGCGTGAGAGGGATGGCGTTTGTCGCGCGTGGTCATGGTCGAAAATAATACTGTACGATCGAAACGAAAGGGCGATGATGCTCCTGCCTAATAGATGACTGTGTTCATGTCTTCAGCCCCAAGGAATATCGTGTTGGTGATGTCTGTGGCTCAGTTGGCGGTTAGGTGGTTCGCGGTGGACAAGCAGTCCAAACACGATATTTCTTCGATCAAGTTGACGAGTTACCGTAATTTAGTGGATTAACTTGGAACAATATGACATATTCCGTAAATTACTTTGAGTAAATGAGACCTTTTAAGCTGTATTCGAAGTCTTCAGTCCAAATATTAGTGGGCTGAGACTTATTTTGCCCACCGGGAGGTGGTCATGAGCGTCAAACTTTTAGACTTTTTGGCGGGTCCATGTCATCCATATCACATCATGTTCTTTGAGATGGGTAAGGCAAATCATCTACTGGACCCACGAAGGTTCTTTGACGGCACTTCTCTCTGCTTTGTCCACGGTCGCATTTAAATTTTTATTTTTCCAGTGCTCCATCTTACGTGTAACAACATTTACAGTGCTTATCTTCAAATTGTGCGCTTCACGAGGACAAGCATATTGCTCCTGCACCAGACCCAAACCAGTGCCGAAACACTGTTCGGTCATTCCAGCAGTGTATACATTCGAAAACACTTCTAATTAACAGTTCTTACGGCATACGTATCGAAGAATCCCTTTCGGCTTTGTTCGATTAGGTGCGCTGCTCGTCGGACGTCCTCAACCCCACCATACTGTCTATCACTGTCTATCAATTGACATTGGCATTGCCTGACTGCATCGATAAGTCTACGGAGCGTCCTCCTCGCTGCTCTAGTCTAGGTACCAGTCGAGCCAGTCCAGCACTAAATATTTCTCCGTAAAAGACTATCTGGCTCAAAATCAGGGAAACCTGGATGGGAGAGAACGAGCGAACAGTCGACGACGCAAGAGCGATTATTATCTGATCATTATCCATTATCCATTATCACTACTGGCACTCCGGCGACCTGGTTATTTGGCCACAATATTGTTATTTCTGTCCGTCGGTGGATCGGTGTCCTCCTAGAACGACGCCGACGCCCACACGCCGCCCACACCCTCACGCCTCGTGCCCTTCCATCCACGCAATTGCCCTGCCCTGCTCTGGCCTGGGCTGTGTCGTGCCAATAATCTGTTAGAACCGCCAGAAAATCCCTCGACACAAACACCACTTCCTCAACTGCTCTGACACTCTCTTTCGCAAAATAAAAATCTAACTCACCCGCATCGTACTACTACGCTCTTTCTCTCCATTGACCACTCAGCGGAGTGCATGGTTGAATATCGAGAGGCTTCGCTACGGTATCTACTATTTGGATTGTCCCATTGTTCGCGCAGTCTGCCACTCCACTTTCATCCGCTGCCGCTGCCGTTTCCGCTCATCGCTCCTCGCTCCTCGCTCCTGAGCCCTGGCGTGCCCTGCAAGCTGAGACCAGGCCTCCCCCTCACCCACAATCGCTGCTCCTCAGAACCTCGCGTCTCAGCACCCTGCTCCAGACATTCATTCCAACTTCCAACCCGACAACAATCGCACCTGTTTCGCCGATTCCTTGCTTGCTCTCACCATTTTCTACATTTTTATTTCCTCAATTCGCAGCAGGAAATTCTCTACAACCAACCAGCAACGTCGTCTCAATCTCGCTCTCCGAACCAACACGGGTAATCTGGGATTATCCCATCCTCCAACAATAAGCTACAACTTGTGCGCCTTTGATGCAGGTAGCTCGAGCTTAACTAAATTCTCACCCACAACAAAGATTATCGAGTCTCTCGGCCCTCATATTGTAGCTTATTACAGCTTCGAGGATTGAGGGCCGTCTTGTTCCCCAATATCAAATTATACCACAATGGCGTCTTCAAAGGTACGCACGATCTGCAATCCGGCTAAGATATTAATAGATTCCAACGCTGATCACTCCAATCTCTACAGGAAATTCAACATTCTTCGAGGCCAGTGGGCCAGCATCGTCTATCCATTTCCTCAAATGCAGGTTCCCTTCCCAAATCGCACGCGCGGAATCATTCCCATTCGGTGTCCGGATCCCTCATTCCAAACCATCGGGTGACACGTCGGAAGAGTGTGTCGTCTAATGTGAGCAATGTCGCTGCAATGGTAGCCGCCGTGCGGGAGGCTGGAGATTCTTTGGGAATGCCAATAACCCAACGTCGAAATACCATGTCAAAGAACGCTTCTGCTCGGCCAGCAGCGTTAGGCAGTCTTCCGTCACCACCAGCCAGTCTGCCTGGCCACAGAATTCGAATGACCGTAAGCGGAAAGTCGGATCGCGGCGAGAGCGCCATTGAAGACGATCAAATGGAAGACATGGAGGAGGATGAGGATTCCGAATTTAATCAGGCGCGTATGCGACGTGCTAGTGAAGGTCAACACTTGATAAAAGATGGCAAGAAGGCCAGCAGCGGCGGCGACTTGAAGTGTGACAAGTGTGGAAAGGGATACAAGCACAGCAGCTGCTTGACCAAGCATTTGTTTGTGCCCACCTTCCTTTCCTACGTGCCCAGACTTTGTTTGGTGACCTGAGTCCCAGATTCTCGTCGCAGGGCAGTGATAAGGATATTGTTAACATTTTATCACAGATGGGAACATACTCCTGAATGGTCGTTTACTTCCAAACTTCTCATTTCAAAGCATCAGCAGGTGCAGCTTTTGGAAGCTGCATCGGTTCTTTTGACGATGAATCAAGATGGTACCACACCACCAGATTCAGCTAAGGATTTCCAGAGCGATCATGACTCTGCATCTCCTGCGGCATCCGGGTCGGAACCAAACGACCGGGCTAGCTCTGCTGACACAACACCTCCTCCACATGCAGATATTGGCAATACTTACAGCAGTGGGTCGTACACTGGAAGAAGCCATAAAAGATATAGCAGTGGGTATGGATTCTCGCGGTCGTATCAATCCGCCCCGTCAGCGAATGCTCTTAATGCGAGCAGCATGACCTCGCAATCAGGCTTTGGTCATTATCGCCAACCAAGTCATGAGCCTCGTCCGTTATCGTCGGGGTTCAATCGAAATGCCGAGGATGATGGATTGGCAGCTGCCGTGGAGCTGTTGTCTTGTAGTTTTGGAAGCACTGGCACACCAAGGACTGTCATTCCTGTAACTCTTCCAGAAGATGCCCCTCCAGTCCCTAATATTCCAGCACAATATCTCAACCAGGGGTTTTCGGGGACCACGCTAGCTCCTAGCCACTCCCATCCCCGCCAGCCCGAGAGCTATACTCGTCACAGAGTTCATTCCAGTCAGGACGTTAAGATGGAAGAGAGCGAAGAAAGCGTCGCAGACGATGATGAATATGACCGACGTTCTCGAGGTCGCAGTGACGAAGACGATGACGGCGTGTTTGGTCGTATGGAGGAATAATTACCTCAAACATGCCACGATTGAGGATGATTTTTCTTTTGTTGCAGAAAATTATGTACAGAGCGTGCGAGCATTTGTCTCCGCAGCCGACTTTCAGCACCGAAGAGTGGAAAACCTAGGCATGTTGGCAACATGGTGATCCACGAGGTTAAAGTGATGGTCGTTCTCGAGCGTTGAGCAAGGCACGCAAGCGCCACAATTAGCATTGTTTGTTCTGGGAACGGGGTCTATCTATTATCGACTTTTAACTTTTTTTTATCTTTTCTTGGAATTGGATTTTGAAGGATATCTTGATGGGAATGGAACATGTCATATATAGCGCGACATCTGAAATGTATGAAACGTATGATCGATAAATGAGTCTGGGATGAAGAGGTGAAGTGTACTTACCTTTGTGGCATTGTATGAATGATGTTTGATGGTGTGTAGGAGTGTAGGAGTGTATACTTGTAGCATCTTTTGGCGGTGTACAATTTGGTGATGTTCAACTGATCAGAACATCTTACTTAACCTTATTGAGGATAACTCTAGTAGTAGTAATACAGCGTTACGAATACAGAGTTTACAGAAGAGATGGGACAATCACAGACGAACAAGTGAGGGTGTTAATTGCAGACCGAATAATAAAGGATCAAAAAAATTTAAGCTAAGGCAGATCAAAAAGTCGGGGACTCATTTTTTCCTGGCAAGGGTCGCGACTTTGGGGGGCGGTGACGTAGAGTCCTAAAGGTAAACAAGACTGCATACCCAAATTGCGCACCACATCTTTTCCAACCTTCACGCGCGCAACGCTTCTTTTCTTTTAATCCTCCCAAACATCGATCCCATCTCTTTCGCATCTCGCAGCAACTTTCAACATGTCTCGCACAATCGCGCGCCGTTCGGACATCGCGCCTCTCCAATCCAAACTGCCCACCCCCCTTCGCTTCCCGCTCCTCGTGGTTCTGAGTCTTAGCTTGAGCAGCTTTCTGTATTCGCTCGCGGCGCCGGTTATTGAAGGCGATTTGGCGAGCGTGAGTCGTAGGTTGGAGGGTTGGGGAGAGGTGCTGGGTCTTGCGGGGTGGAAGGCTGGGGAGCTCGGGTTGGGGTGGTGGGGTGGGTTTGATGGGTATGATCTTGCTGCGTTGAGTCTTTTGGGGAAGGGACCGAGTGTGAGTTATTGCTTTTTCTTTGTTCTTTAGGTGGGGAGTTGAGAGGAAGGGTGTGAGCTGTCGCGCTCAGAAGAGTACCCAGTTGTTGGAACACTGGCTAATGATACATCTCACAGCTCTACCTCCTTGGAACCTTTTACAACATTCGCGCAGCCACTGTTGTTACGTCGCTCTTGATCGATGCTCTGGCAACTTATATTCCATTCCGTCTCCTACGGCCCCTTTCTCGAGCGCATGCAGCCTCCACTGCGCCAGACTCGACTATTGTGCCAAATAAGGACATCGTTACGGATTCCTCGATCCAGATTCTTACAACACTTCTCGCATCGTCAATCTATAGTTTGACACTATTTTCTGCGTACGCAACATACCTACCGGTTTACTTTGTCACATATTTCAACAAAATCTACAGTATCGAGGCAGCTCATTCAGCTACACTGGTATCACTTTTCCCAATCACGCTATTATTGGGCGTTGCGGCAAAGTCATTCATTTTTACTCCCGCAGCTGCTGCGGCACCTTCGTTGTTAGAAGCGAGAGACACAGTATTCAACCCCGCAACTGCTACGTTAACAGAGACCTTTTGGTACAACGTCTGGAGTTTTAGTCCACGCACTAGAACCGTGATTCAGAGGACGGCTACCTTGGCCTTGGTTAGCGGGGTAAATACCTTTGTGCAGACATATGTAACAATTGAAGGCGTGGAAGCTGTTGGTGCCCTTGCATACGCTGGTGTTTGGGCTGTGGCTGCGGTGGTTACAGGAGCTTCTCTAGGTGCTGTTGGTGCGGTATAGGAGATTTGTACGCTTTAGGACTTGAAAGTTGTACAATGTTGGTGGTTGTTCTGTTTCATCGACATATGTTGTATGTTATGGTCTGATAGGGTAAGAGGCGCGGCGGGATTTTAAACGGAAGGTGTTCTTGGTATTGTGAATGCGGCATTTGACATAGGTAAGAGTCATTAAGAAATGTAGGTAGGTAGCTAGTGAATTCAGCGAATTCTAAATGATATAAAAGTGGTGGTTGCTTATTACAAATGCATTCGAGAGTTAGGACCTTGCATATACAGCCCTATTATGTCAAGGAATAGCAACCTTGATAATTGGCCGTTCCTACCTATGAAACACAACGGATGGTGAGATGCTAATCGGGTGACCCAAAACAAGCGGGAGTTAAATGAGACCAAAATAAACATCGACATCAACCGTTACCCAGATCCGACTTACACCTAGTTTTCTACACATACGACATCGATTTGCATCCAAAACGCCATGGCCCTCATTATGGATGCTTCGCGACGGTAAGTCGACTTTCTTGATAACTCTCGTCGGCGCTCCGCATTAACTGCATCGCGACCCTCTTTTCACGTGGTTGCTCCATTGCGCTACTGTAGCCTGACAGGCACCTGCACTGAGCCAGGGTCGCGTTCATGGTTACCGAACGTCGCGCGTCTTTCGAAGCTTGGATAGAATTGAACATCGCACTCCTATGAGCAGCAACTGACATTCTGCGCACTTTAGATGGCTCGACGATAGTGGAATCTGGAGTTGTCGCATCAAAGTACCTACCTCGACCACCCACTCCCTCGGCGAATCCTTCCGTCCACCTGCAGATTCAGCGGCGCATCCCCGTTCCAACGTCAGTATGGCGCCCGCAGACATCAAATCAATGGACGTCCCGCTGGAAAGCACGTCGCCCAGCTCGCGACGCAATAAGGGGAAGCTGGCCGAGGCTATACAGAGCATGACGAGGTTTGGAGATGGACTGGAGCTAGATCTACCAACCGACCCTGATGCTCAAGCAACTGTGACGGATTTTTTGGACTTTACCGAGTATCTGCCATCGGACATGGTGAGGTCTCTTACATTGATTGGAAATCTGGATTATACATGGTCAAAGGCTTCATTGGAGGTTGATGATCTCACGAAACTATATGGACGACTTCCTAGTTTGCCTGCGGAGGCGAGACCAGAACCCACGAGGTTGAGAGCAGATATTTCGCAGAATTTGGCAGAGGCTGTTAGCGCGAGGACGGCATCATATGCGGAAGCTTGTCGCATGGTCGACAATGTCGAAAGACATTATAACCGTATTAAAACTATTTATGCGAAATTGCAGCTCATCGCTGAAACCTATCCCACATCGAGAGAAACGTCTCCGAATCCGAAGCCCAAGTCGCCAGTCGCGAACCGGGCACCGAAGATTACTCTGCGAGTTGGTGGGCATTCGGATGGACATAGAGTACGCAAACATCGAGCGCCGAGGATTACGGTCCCAGGAGAAGTGCTTGCGCCATATGAATTGGACTATGAATCGTACGGATCTGGTAGCGAGGGCTCTTCTGATGAAATTTTCGATACAGCAAGAGCAACCCCTGCGCGCAGTAGCACTGCTGGTGGAGGTAGCAGGTTAAAGTTGACCGTACCAAAGAGAGAGAAAAGTCGAGATAAGTCGCGAGATAAGACGAAGGAGAGAGTCCCAAAACCGCCTCGAGAACAACGACCAGCAGGATTTGGGACAAACGTGCATAGTCAGTTAGCGGGTATCTCTACAAGTAATGCCTTGCGATTACTGAAATCACCTCCTCCTGACGCAAAACCAGGTAGCGAACACTATCCCTGGTTAGCTTTGAGTGATTATGAACTTGGTGTATTGCGAAAGAAGATGAAAAAGAATGCTGTATGGTCTCCAAGCGACACCATGATAAATCGGGAATTAAAAGCTCGCGGAAGGGGCCTGGAGGCATATAAAGCTGCAGTCGGGGCTGCGAACGAAAAGGGTGAAACTATTGAACCTCCTCCACAACTGACCGGCCAGGTCGTGAACGAGCAGGGTGCGTTGAGTACCGCGGCGGCGACGAAGGGCCTCGAAGAGGAACCGCCGGTAATGAACCGTGGTATGAAATTGAACGAGGCAAAAAAGTTGAAGAGAGAAAATCAGAAAAAAGAAATCGAGGCTGCCGATAATAACCTCGAGGAAGCTCAACGGAAAGTTGGTAATGCCAAATTGGTAATGCAGAATATTTTTGGGGCTGTTCAGAAAACACCAGCCGGAGAAGAGAAGAAGGTGCCTGTAAAGACTCTAAGTAAAACGCCTGCGAGGAGTCATAAACGAAAGAGAGAACCGGATCCTGTCGAACCGGAAGTCGCTGAGGGCGATAAGCCTGTTGCGACTGACATTGCCGCAAAACCACAGCGTCCTCTGTTGAAACGCACCAAGACAGAAACGCCTGTACCCGTACCTCAACCTATTGCTGCTAAACAGTCAACACCAGCATTATCGGAAGCACCCTCAGTGGCTAGCGAGAACCCATCAGTTCCATCCGTCGTCACTGCAGTCCCAGCTCCTCTTCCAGTCCTTGCTCCAGCGCCTGTTGCCGCTGAAGTCGCCCCTTCAGAGACACCAGCTACCCCGCTACCGCCAGCTCTATCGTCTCCGAAGAAATCTTCTACGCCAATCTTACCACCTGTCAAGGATACTAAGAAGCCGGTCAAAAAGGAACTCAAGAAGATTGAAGTTCCTACAGCTACGTCGGAACGTCCGAGACGCGGATCCGCGCAACATACTCCTATCACCCCCGCGCCTAACGTCACCTCTACAACAGCAACAGCTTCGGCTATTGTACCAGTTGTAGCCGATGTACTTCCAGCCAAACGTCCGACCTCATCGCGGAGTAAAGCTGCCAGTATCGAGCGCGATTTCCAGCTTGCATCAGCAAGTATCGATCGACCCCGCCGAGCCAGTACAGCACGTAACACGCCAGCGCCCGAGCCTCGCCTTCCAAGTAGACGTCAGAAACGACCAGCGCCCGGACCAGTGACCAAAGGCTCGGAAGAGTCTACCGCTGTCAGCGTAGGCAAACGAAGTGCAGCAACCCGCAAGAAAGCCGGCCCGAAGAAAGAAAAGAAAGACGGTCGCGAAAGTAGCGCTGCCCAGGAATTCGATGAGATCGATGACGAGGGAAACGTTATTGATCCTGATGAGCCACGTTATTGCCTTTGTAATCGCGTGAGCTTCGGGATTATGATTGGTTGCGAGAATTCTGACGTGAGTATATCTTTTCAATCCTCATCCCTATGTGTTTGTGCTCTATTCAAATCTATCGGATCTTTTAAGGTGATGAGACACTGGCGTCGGATTCTATGAAATGAGAGTAAAGTATTACAGACAGAAGCTAACATCCCTCAGTGCGAGAAAGAATGGTTCCACCTCGAATGTGTAGGTCTGACGGCTAGTCCGTCTCGAACGACGAAGTGGTACTGTCCTGAGTGTAGGGTTACGCTTGGGATCGGGGAGAAGGGCGAAGTAAATGCTAGAGGCAGGAAGAAATAAGGGGTCATTTGTGTTTTTGACTAGGTAACGTGGTAACATGGTTAGGATGAATTATCTGATGGGCGTTTTGGGGGATGGATGGATAGGAATATATTGCGTTGAGGTTGGTCTGGCGTTGAACTTTCTGGGACGGTGGGATGTATGTGGTATTAGTGTGTTGATAGGTGTAGGTTGTAGGTTTGGTAGGGTTATGTTATTGAGAGATTGAGGTTGTCTGAGATGCTGATAGTGAAAACTTTCATCGCGTATATATCCTACGTCTTGCACTAATGTTTGCTGTTTGAGCTCGATTTTTTCTGTTGATATGTACGCATGCTCTGGTCGAAATGGGTTTGGACAGAATGGCCAGGGCTTAGGCCATAAAGTTACTTTCTTATTCCTTTATACCCTCATACTATTCAATAGTCCAGAATCGTCTTATTTCCTCAAAATTACAGACGGGAAATAAGATATTTCCTTAATCCAATCGAAACAAATGTCACACTCGACTGTATCTACTTTTGGCTAACCCGCGCGTGGCATTTTATTTTCTTACTTTTAGGTTAGTAGGAGAAACTACAGCTGATAGTGAATAAGAACTAGTGAAAGTTAAAAGTATAAGAAAATCTACCTATACCTACTAAGTTACTCCGCTACTACATCTAGTCTTTAGATTATAACTCGTTTTACATTAAAATCCCTAACACTTCTAAGAGGTAATAAAACTTATAAAGTTGACTATAACAAATTGTGTAAAGACTTGGTGTCTCAGAGTGACGAGATAATTTATCCTAACATCTCGGCTACTGTCAACTTTAATGTAATTAAGTGGATTTATACACTTTGGAGTCTTAACAGGGGTTGCATAGAGTTTGAAACTGTCTTATGTACTAAACATGTTGGACGAAATGCATAAGAGTTTGTTAACTTACAAGTAAAATACTACGAGGAAGCTATTGAAAAGCTAATGAGTTTGCAAATGTCCCGTTATAAATGTTCAAGAACTCATTCCTTGAGCTGGATTGAAAGCCCAAGTGGCTCAGCTTCGAGTTGTGGTTAGGTTTGTAAATAATGCTCAAATTTTATTTTTATTTCAGAGTGATTTGGATCATCAGATTGCACATAAAATGACTCGCACCAACAGGGTGCCACTGTCTGGAAATTTAGCATACAAATCCGTAATTAATTCGAGGACGAAGCTCTACCCGCCGTGAAGACTCAAGAGATCCAACCCAAAAATCCAACAGTCAAGCCGCTCGCGACATATAGAGATACAACAGATAAATGGAGAGAAGATAAAAGATGAGCAGACCTACCATTCCCACCTTCGTAATTTTCAACCCAGTCTCCTTGCGCACCTTTTGTCTTTGATCAAAGATCCCATCACCTTCAATTGCCTCTCCTGATTCCAGCTCTTCTATAGCTGTATTCTCGATCCGCCATCGAGACATTGTCGCCTCAGAACCACAGAAAGGGGCAGCGAGCAATACAAGATCCCATTTCCCACAGCCAAACCAACCTAATGCATCATAAGGTTCAACCCAAATAACAACTTCATCGGGCTCTTCACCATACGCGTACAGAACCTTGTGTTTGACTGGCAGCCATCGATAAAGATCATGGTCCCATGTTCCAATCAAACAATGCTCCAGTCCGTGTAGACTCTGTTCTTTCAAGGCATACTCCCGAACGCTCATTCCACTTTGAGCAACGATCTGAAGCCATTTACGGGCATGACTTATTCCATGCGCGGAGCTACCTCTAAGGAAGGCGTCCAATGGGGTTATACGCCGTCGTGAGTTCTCAGAGTGAGGATCTGCTCCGCGTTTGAGGAGATAGAGGCTCTGCCACCCAAGTGACACTTCGGTGACAATCTGGGACCACCAACCAAAAACAAAAGCGGCATCACCGAGCAGTGTCCACTCTTCTGAGTCTAGAGCCTCAAGATCTGCCTGCCCGTATTCAGCGTTGAACAGCCAAGCAAAGCCTTCCTCTGGTCCGCTGTAATATGCGATGGCATTATTCGTGACAGGTAGGAGAGGCTGGCATTGACTCTTTTCAACCAGAGCTCTAATAGTGTTGACGACACGATTAGGCTGTCCTAGGCTTGGTGGGAGTTTTCGAACAAGGTGGTCGAGTGGAGTGAGAAGTCGAGCGTCATATGCAGCTCCGTCGACCCCTATGTCAATCAAATATAGGCACAAAGCGTCGTGAGCGTTTCGTGCAACGGCCTGAGTTGTTTAGCAATGTGATAGAGTCTAAAGTTACTACACTTACATGGAGTAGATTCTCGCCATGTTGATTGACGACAAAAGGCGACATTCTTGACTTGTTGATCAGTAATTGGACGCCTTTCAGATTACCCTCTAAGCACAATGTAAATATTTCAGATTGACAATGTACCAGATGGTATGAGGTTATTGATAACGGACATCTTAAAAGTTGAACTTGAAAGGATAATAGGGGCATCAGCACCTCAAGACGTGTTTTGAAGACTTTCCGCATAGGAGTATTCAGTAACCCTAAGTCATCACTCGCATTTGTGTATACAAACCTGACAATATGGTTCCAGGAAAGTCGACGAAGCCATTGAGGTGTTGGACATCCAAAGACGCCAAGTACCCATAGAAAGGTGGCGTTGGTGTCAATCTTGAATATCCGATAACCTTCACTGTAGCATTGTAAAATTCCACTCCCTACATCGGTACGGGAGCGGGATATGTTGTGATGAGCGAACAATCTCTCAAATTCGGATGTTTCAACCGCGGAGAGCTTCGCGTTGATTTCGATTTTGTGCTTGACGTAGGATGGCTCGTCCGAACTGTTCGTGGTGCGAGACGATTTCTTACTCAAACCACTGCAAATACATCAGTAGCCGCAAGATTAACTATAGGCAGTTACTTACTGGTAGAAAGGCTGAAGAGCGAGAATAAGCAGCGTAAGGTCGCCGCTTAGTTGAGACTCTATTTTGTCTATAGTTTTATCTTTCAAAGTGATTTTCAAACTTGACCACTTTTTGGAAGCACGGTGAGTGCTTTTGTTTTTGACAGAAACAAGATCACACAGCTTCTCTGTTTCTTTCTTGCATATTTCCAAACTCTCGATGACGGCACTCCCGTACTGTAGATCAGGCTCTCTATCACAAACCTCGATAATGCTGCAAGAAATCACTTGAAGCAATGAGAGATGGCTCTTGATGCGTTCCACCTTCGAGTTTGTTTTCCCACATGAGTCCCAGAATGTATGTAATGATTGCGCAACTTCAATGAGCTGCAAAGAGAGTGCTGCGACTGCAAAGCCACTGGCAACAACACCCAACACAACGTCTCCCATGACTGTATGTTGAAGTACTTGTTTGAGAATAATGATCTTGAGCTAGACCAGGTTGTATCCCACCTGTCTGATATAGGCTCGGGATTGACGGGAAAGCAACTTATTCAAGGTTCTGCTTCGCCCATAGCAAACTGCCTGTGGAGAGATGCAATGCCTGCAATGTGCATGATGCTGCATATGATGATTCGATGCCCGACGCCTGACAACTGCGGTCCATGGACTCCTGCCCTGTCAAGTTCATGCAGTGTCGCCAAGAGCTAGGCTGTCTCCCAGGCACTTGAAAACAAAATAACTTGAGCCTATGTAGCAGAAACTGATTTTTGTCAATCTCTCAGATTTGATCCTCAACAACATGGGTGCTTACCCTCCCAACGACGGCTGGTTCACTTGCTGTAATTGTAGCCGTGAAGTCGAGGAAGCAGCCTGGGGAGTATGTTGTCCCGACTGCAGTCATCAAAAGTGCAATTATTGCGGTCCTGTTTATGCTGCAACTGGCCCAAGAAACACACAAGGCTTTAACATTCACATCGAATCAGCACCACTACAAGCAGAAACACCAGCAAGAGATCAAGGCTCTACTAATAACACGTTGAGAAAATACCCTTTGCCTAAGAATGGAGGCCAGGAGTGCGACTGTTGTTCGGATTGCGGATGCGACTGTGACTGCACTTGCCATCCTCCTTCAGTACCGCCACCTAGAGAGGAAGGAGCTTAGAACAACATCATTACTCAACATTGTAAGTTCCGTATCTTTCGAGTGAATTATTTCTTGGCCGCTAACATAAGAAATTAGCTTAAAAACTAGCGCCTGACAATCTTCGTCTCAGAGGTGGACTAGCCGCATATCTTCGTTTTTTAAGTTCACAAAACAATGACAACGACTTGAGTTTTGAAAATAGCTTTTCTTCTTGGAAGATCAGTGACACAGCTCCCAGGTGTTGTTGCAACTTTCATTTACCAGAAGAGGGGCGCAATGAAGTTTATCCTGTAACAGACACTATTGATAGATTCTTACTGGCGGTATCAGAATTATGAGTCGAGTGCAGAAGCGACCGTGTGTACTCGATTCATAGTCAAGATTTATGTGGATAGAAGATGCCTCAACCGTGGAGACGACCCTTGTGATCCGGTTCGTCTCAAGATAAAACGGATACAGTTGCTTTGGCTGTGACTAGAAACACTTTATCAATCTTCAACGATATGAATTTACCATGTTTTCTCACTTCCGATCGTCAAAATGACAGGACTTAAAGGCAAAATGATTCATCATAGTCAAAGTGCTGTAACCCCAGATATTGCTAGCGCCGCGTTAGTGACCTCTCCCAATGCCGAGCTAAATTCGTAGTGTCACGATTTTCTTGCTTGTCCAGTTTCTCGAAGCCGTATCCCTCTTATTTCTCATATCTTCATTTCAAGGCGACTAATCCTTTTTGTCAATCAATTCATAATAATACGTATGCTTTTACAATACATATAACGCACTATTCCCGGTGCCCTACACATTGTGAAGCTAATCAGTTACTTTTTCTTTTATTTCAAAAATAATAAGGTTCTCGTGTCTTTCTCGATAGCCAATCACTTATCTCTAAATTCTTTTGTTTAAATTCAAACTCGGAGTATAATGTATGATTCTATCCTTGTTATACTGGTAAGGGGCCACCATTTTGATATGTTAATAGGCATTCAAATATTCCATATTGTTGTGTTCTTGGGATGAGAGTTTTGTGCCAGGCCTACTGGCTGTTAGCTAACCTCACACTCCCTGAGCCCTTTGACCTTAAAAGAATTCGCAGTGCTGCTATATAACACAAAGAAAATTGAACAGGAGAGCCAGAGCTGGATTTAGTTCTTATAACAAAAGAACTCATCGCAAATAATGAGGTAGGATACATCTTTATCTCCTACCCCCTTTCACCAGCGCACTAAAATACTCGTGTGGAACTTCTAACTCTTAACCCAACTAGCTCAGGTCCAGCTTGCATAACACAAATCACTCGACGCGAAGATGCCTTATCTTGACCGGAATTCCACCGCAGGAAAGAAGAGCCGCAAACGGGGGAAAGAAAAAGCAGAGCAGACTAAGAGGAAAGGGGATGAGACATGGAAGGAAAAGTTATAACAATATTCTGGCTTATCAGCATCCCCGACATCTTGGTCTCTGTTCTGGATTCTCGAAGTTCTCAGCTCTTCCTTGCTTGCTCTGAAATGGCCTGTTTCTGTGCTTGTAGTATTTCTGTTGATATCTTCTTCCTTGAGAGATCTCACTCAACTATGTACTTTTGGTGGTTCCGCATTCTCGACGCTTTTACCATTTTGTCCCGCGACACCACCAACTTCATGGGAAGGTAGGCCTGAAGAGATGGGTGAGGCCATACGCGATATATATCAGAACAAACTCGAAGCTATGCAATTAGTCAATGCAGGAAAATCCGGAACTCCATAAGCTTATGCTATCATCCGAACTTAAGCTACGAGATTTCACAACGCTTATATCATTGACTAATTCTCCAGAGATGTAGGCTATCTTTGTTTCCTTCACAGAAGAACTACAGACTAACTGTTAACGGACCCGTGTTACTAAAGGAGTTTGGAGAAGCCTCGGAAGATGCATCTTTGGCCGGCCCCTTGCTACACAGTATCAGCTCGGGTACAGGTCAGCTTATTGCTTTTACAATTGCGATTACCACCCAGGCCAAAAAAGAGCTCAAAGCTGTACAAAAAACGCCATCTGGAATACTATCAACTAACCTATCTACGATACCATCTGTTAAGACTCAAGCAAGAGTCGCTACGGTTTTCCTTCAGTATATGGAGAGGTTAGGAGAGGAAATTACCATACTTTTGAAAGAAGCAAATGAGACCCAACAATATCTTCATAGTATACAAAAGCATCTTCGCCGAGCAGAGAGCTCATGCAAAGACGCTACAAAGAAGGCAACTCAACAGCTTGCTGGCTCTCAGGGGTCTTTGAATCGTTTCTTACGAACATACAAAGAACAAATTCGAGACTTCGAGGAGCATCTTGAGTACCTTGATTTCGTCAACAACAGCATCGAAAAGAGCAGGAATGTAACGACAGTGGTAATTCGAGACCTTGATGGTGTCAAGAAAAAGCTTCGGGAGTACCGTGATGGGTTTAGACGGAACTATGTATGGAAGGCACCGATCGAAATCTTTATTGTGATTCTTGAAAAAAGTGTCATTTCCTTTGAAGCTTCAATCGCGGACGCTAAGGAGATGAGAAAGAGGAATGGAGCGAAGTTGGAAATCGAGTCTGGTTAGATTTCCAGAATGTCACAAGGTTCGGAAAAGTCGACGGGTGTTTATGTAGACGCACGAATTCACGAACACTTCGGTGTATCTTTTGGCATTTACATGGGTTAAACTTCTCTATATAGATATGTCTTCTCAGGTATCGGCTTCAGGTTCCAGCAAAATGGCAGCAATACAGCAGGACGAAATCACTTCTTGGATTTTTGATTCATCTTTGCTTCGTTGGCTATATCAATGCCCCCCAATGCTCACGTCCGCCGCAAGAAAGTAGGAAGAGTATGTGATTACGAATATCTTGTTGTATTCGGTTATTCGTAGTAATTGTCCGTCTCCTTGATACACCATCACTAACCACCCCAATTCCATGTAAAATCTGTGTACAGCAAAAGTTACATCTACACGATGACCTATGTAGAAAATAAATCTACCTGCATATTGATCTCCTTGCCAATACTTATAATATCCATAAACACACCTAGATAACGCAAACATTGACCCGAACAGTCCAACAAATATCTACTAGCGCTTCGCATTGATATTTGTCCACCAAGGAAGGCCTTGAAATTTCAATTTTGACTTAGGAGGAGAGAATCTCAACTTGCAAAGACAACTCTCAACATACTTGTTTTGAGGCTACTGAAAATTATAGCTGCTGCCTGAAGACTCAAAGTCTTCTGGTCAGTCAGTACTCATCACAGAAATACGTGGCAAATCACCAAAAGTAATGGATTCGGCATCCAAGACCGCTTTAATGCCTGGATTTGCCGATAACCCCAATTTGTGTTCTATGAGCCGAATCTCATCTTTATCTTGAATCAGCTCAAAATTAACGTCAGCGATTCGAGGATTCAGGTATTCCTGGATAAAGTCGACGGATTCAAACTCGGTCGTAGGACTATCCCCAGTCGAATGCAAGAAAATAATCTGTAAGTGATATATGTGTTTGCTTTCCAATAACCCGCAAAGATCCACGAGCAAGTCTAATGGATAAGATTCCCACCAATAGCTGTCGTTATCTTTGGTAGGCGCCCATGTTGCAACTTCCCCCAGACCTGTCAGTCTTGACTTCAGAAGACTTGCCACGAGCCCGAATTTGCCTGCATCTTCGTACCGAGTATCCTCAAAGCCCTAGTAGTGTTCAACAGAAAAATCATCCCACTCATAGATGAATGAATTGTCAAAGAAAATAGATCCTATCCTAGATAGAGTTGATAGTGGCGTCGAAAGAAGAAAGGAAAGTGTGACGAAAATGTCAAAACCGATTGTCAACGGGAACTCGCCAAAGAGGTCTAAAAAGGCAGGTGTGGCGGGGATGCGAATTTGCTGTCCTTGTATGTTGTATTTCAGTACTTTGACGATGCGGTTAAGCAACGAAGATGTCTCGTCGTAAACCTGTTTATTGATTGTCCGGAAACCGAGATTTGCCCGTCTCATATAGAAGATGTTGCGACACCTTGGAACCTGGGTCGAGATCCATTCGCTCGGAAGTTGGCTTCTAAAATACTCACTGAGAGCGGTCCAGTACTCATAGTACAATTTGATTCGTTTGCTCTCTGATCCAGCGCTCATGTCGCCTAACCCTTCCCCGAACTTGTCGAACTCTGCTCTTTCGTCAAGAGAACAATCTGTCATGTTCGGTAATGTAAAAGTGACTCTGGGTTGCAAGGCAAGTTCCCAAATTGTGTCCCGGATTTCTCGAGGGAGTTTCAAAATTTGAGGAAACCCACGACTGTTAATTGACGCCATTGCTTCCGTTTGTTACTCTGTGATTCAGGTGGTAATGAGAAGGAGACGGTTCAAATTACAGGTTGTCGAGATTAAGCAAGAGTGGAGCACCATTGCCCTGCCAACCAACAGAGCCCCAAATAGTTTTACACAAACGTTTCCTTATTATAGAAAGACTGAAAGCGCGATTGTGGCGTACATGCAACAAACAAGGGCTGTATAGGAAGTTTTAAGTTCGGAGCGAGGGGCATCACGTCACTCATAAACAATAACGCTGAAGTTTCAAAATTAACAATGTGCCGTTTCATCATCCAACCTTTTGCAATTTTGATCACTAGGATGGGCCATAAAATTTAGCAGCTGCTGCCCTACTGCAAAAGTTGTAAGAATCGTCGTATTGAACAAGAGCAACGAAGATCCGTGTGCGGACTCGATTAATATAATTTGTGAGAATGAGAAGACTGGCTGGTATGTTTGAGCCTTGTGAATCCCACCACAGTATACGACACGCACAACTGAGGTCAAGTGTTCTCGTAGTGCCTTCAAAACGTGTGGTCATGTTTCTTAGACTCGGTGCTATTACATTATCCAACCTGTTCATATTCCCTAATCCTGACAATTGAACCATTATGTACACACTCTCCCAACCATTGGCAACTAGATCGACGCCTCAAATTTACCATCAATCTCGATAATTTTTTGTACAGCTTTCTCATATCCGGTCTCTTTCTCCAACCTCGTCGTGTAAGCCCACAGGTTTGGATGCTTCTCCTCTGACATACCTGCCCTACCCTTCCCCGCGATGAGTGGAAAGCTCATTAAAATATCTGCACCCGTCAAATGCTTGCCACACAAGTATTGGCCACTAGAAGACGAGATTTGGGATTCCAGAAACTCAAAATGGGTTTTGAAATTGGGGTCCAGGAAACCGGAGTTGATTTTACCAGCAATTCCCGATGTGATTGGTTTTATGAAAAATGGAACAGGCGAGGTTTTGATATCCAGGAGTTTGTCAGCAGGGAGAATCATGGCTTGATAAGTGACTTACTATTGGCAATAATCTTCAACACCATCAGGATCATCAAACTTCCCTCGGCATAATGCATAAAATATCTGTACCTCAGCCATTCCTCTGTCTCTCCCCCAACCTTTCCTTCCTGTCCCTCCTTGTATCTTTGAGGTAACAGTGTAGTCTCCTTTCCCCAATGCTCTAAAACATATTCAATTATGTTTGCGCTCTCGGCAATCACCACTGCTTCGCTGGATCCAGATGGTGTTACTGATAAGACTGGGGATTTTCCGAGCGCATGCACTTTTTTAAGTTCTGGCGGTGCAAGAGAGGTTACTGGATCGCGATGAAACACTTCTACTTCATAGGGAACATTGAGTTCTTCCAGGAGCCAGAGGATACGTTGGGATCGAGATTTTTCAAGCCTGACATGTGTTATCTCACGGTGTACCGACAGGGATAAGTTGGTGGTCGTACCAGTAGAGCTTGACCTTCGGCTGTTCTGCTGATGCCATGTTGATTATGTGACCTTAAGCCTTGGATTTGATTAATTTATAGCTATACAAACGCGATACTTGAAGGACTGAAGCGATTTGAATATTCAGAGGAAGCCAGAAAACGGCACGATCTTCAAGCCATTCCTCAAGCTCTCAATCGCCTCGGCTTGATTTGCAGCTCCCAATTGGTCAACCGAAACTTGAAGAGGGATGACTAATAAAACCCAATCGTGACGCCAAGCATCGCGACCTCAAGCTCACGAACGTCAATTGAACGAGAGACACAATAATCAATTCCAGCCAGCGCCAACACTTCCACAATGGCGGGCCATAGTAAGAATGAACTGGGAAAGCCCACTGGAAGACACACATGCTGACTAGACATCCACAGACTTCGATTACGATCCAGCGCTCCTCAAATACAACAGTACATCATTCCTCCAACACCACTTCATCACAACGACGATGCTAATGGTTGGACATAGGTGTGATTCAAAGTAGACACAAGTACTTCAGATGGACGGGCCGAACAGCGAGAATCACGTTTGCGTACATGTTTCTTTTCCCGGCTTTCATTGGGGTTTTAGCATACAGATATGAGGTTTGTAACACTCGTGCTGGGTATCGGAATTGGTATTGATTTGACTAGGGCAAATGGGATATGAGAGGAAAAAGAAGGGGAGATACCATTGTTGAGTTTTAAGGATGACGTAGGCGAAGAATTGAGGGGAAGAATTGTACATATGCGAATGGACGGGCATTACGGAATCGAAACCGAGACAAAGTACGAATAGACTTGCAAAGACGCTCAATGGAGATGGCCTTGTTTATGCCTAAGTGTGACCTGTATATTGAAGTAAGTATACAGCATACTCCAACTCTGTGGTGTATAAGACGCATCATAGCTGTGTTCGCGATTAAGCCGATGTTGCGGAACAGCAGTCAATTGATCGTAATGTTTGTTTGATTGGATTTCACCATCTACCTCTGCCTTCACCTCCACCAAATCCTCCTCTTCCATAACCTCCGCCATATCCACGCCCACCTCTGAAACCACCACCACTTCCCGCTGGGCCCTCAGGTACTCTTTCCCCTCTCCTCCACTCACCAGATGGAACCATTCCTTGACCAAAGCCACCACCTCTTGGAGCTCCTCTACCTCTAAACCCGAAACCATTCTCCCTTGGTCCTCCGAAGCCACCACGAGGAGCGAAATCTCCACTCATACCTCCCCTCCTTTCCCCACCAAACCCACGCGTAGGAGGACCACCAGGCGGCGGAGCCACACTCCCATTCTCTAGGGGCGGCAGAATAGCACAAGAAACATAATCCCCAATCACAAATCTCGCATCCTGTAAAGTCTTCTCTGGCTCTCCTCCCAAAGCACCAGCCACTGGCCCGCCAGCTACGATCTCAGATTCCTCCTCATCTGGTAAAATCCCCGGTCCGCCATCCCCAATAACTATACTGCCCAACTCTTTCAGCATATATCGTCCACCTCCAGTCCCAGGTCCAGCATTTCTCGTATCAGGAAAGATTAATCGGAATGCCAAACGCGTGCCAATTGCCGGATCGGGCAGTAAATCTGGCAATGCGGTCGTGAGGAGGTGGGAGAGTTCGCGAAGACTACACGTTTGCCATGTGTATATTTGTACGTGCGGTGGTAATTCGGAGTGTTGTGAGAATTCATCAAGTCTATCTAGGGTTAGAGTGTGAGAATGCAAACGCAAGGCTGAAGATGAATTCGTACCTGTGAAAGCCGCCAGTTCTGTAGAAGAGCTTCAAATGAAATGGCGTCGTCGTTTGACGATCAATTTTGGTGGGTAACATAGCCATGATGAAGTTTCTATTCGGCGCAATTCTGAGAGTGAGGTTCTGAATTCATTGTTGTTTGCTGGAATGTAGAGTCGACTTTGATAAGTCGAGGCGGGAGCTTGATTGCGCGCCTCGCCAAAATTTATTCTGGCCTCCTGGTATTTCTTGTTGACATTTCGCAATTGCAAAGCCCAACACGCCAAAAGCTCTACAACTTTGCAACCGTTCTGCTCGGGGGCGAATTCGTGTTACATATCAGCTGCGTCGCTGGACTAATAGCTTATCACCAGCCGCTTTCGCGACACGAGGGGGCCTAGAATCTACCTACCACTTTCCCGGCGCAAACCGAACATTCGCCCCGACTTACACCATCATATTGCACGACAACTTCCATAGCATCTGCAGCGCTCATAATCAACCATGGATTTTGCTTCTCTAATGGACAGCGCTATCGCTGAAGCCGCGCCTCCGTCGAAATCAAAAAAGTACATGAAACGATCAGATGTTGAAGCAGAACGACAAGCCGCGTATCTTGCCGAACAGCGTAAAATCGAAGAGGAGAAAGCCGCGAAACAGAAGCAAAAGCGCAAACGGGAGGAGGAGGAATTGGAAGCTAATAAAGCTCGAGAGTTCAAGCGGGCGAAACTTGCGGAAGAGTCGAGGCGGCGGAGGGAAGAGCAGGAAGCCGAGGAGGAGAGGGCAAGGAGGAAGAGGTTAGGTTTGCCGGAGTTGATCAAGGAGGTTGAGCAAGAAGTCGAGGAGGATGATGTTAAGGAAGAGGAATTGGTGGAGAAGTTGAGGGAGATGGGTCAACCTATTAAGCTATTTGGGGAGAGTCATAAGCAGAGAGTGAGAAGATTTAGAAAGTTAGGGACTGTTATAACCACTGGAATTATTCCTACATCGCTTGTATTGGTCGATGAGAAGGATATGAAAGTCAATGAGTTACCGAAGGATACAGAGGGCAAGAAGTTCTTATTCAGGCAGTTGGCCTCATACTTCACTATGGTTTTGACGGAGTGGGAATTTGCTTTGCAAAAAGAGTCGCGAGATACTTTTACCAGTAAAGCAGCTTTTAATGCTATGGTACGGGCAAAGGAAGATATGGTACCTGTGAGTCTGTTCTATGTTCGCGTCTCGACAAATACTAATATCTGCTAGCTATTCCGCAAATTCGAAAAGGGAGACCTTGATGAAGGCGTTCTCGAGCCAATAGTAGAAATTGTCAAAGCAGCCCAGGAGAGAAGATATGTCGACGCAAATGATGGCTATTTACGATTGAGCATCGGCAAAGCAGCATGGCCCATTGGAGTCACTATGGTTGGTATCCACGAACGTAGTGCTCGAGAAAAGCTTCACGAAAGTGACAAAGGACATGTGATGGGAGACGAAGTCACACGAAAATTCCTCCAAAGTATCAAACGATGTCTCAGCTTCGCACAAGTCAGATGGCCGCCAGAAGATATCAGACAATTGATGGGTTGAGATATGCAATTTATAACCCTATTATTACGAAAACCCACTCGTCTCTGAGCCATCATATTATGGACTCACACACTGAGAGTACCAATCTAAATGTATGTTAGCTATGCGCAATTTCGAAATTTCTTGCTCCAACTTACCATTTTGACTAGTACAGATAAGCCCTTTCGCGCACACCGAACATCCACTCCAGCCTTCTGTCGCACCACCACACTTATAATACAATGGAACTGGGCACTTTGTCAAATTTGGGTCTGGGGCTTCAGTTGGCGTAGGTGGTTTCGTGGTTGGTTTCTTGGTTGTCGATGTTTTTGGAGTGGTCGGTTTTGGGGTAGTTCCCGGGATAGTTGTAGTCTGGGTAACAGTCACGGTGACAGGACCTCCTCCACCAGGAGTTGTTTTAGTCGTAGGCTTGGTGGTAGGCTTGGTGGTTACTTTTGTGGTGGTCGGAGGATCTGGATCATCGTCGTCCGTTGTGCTTCCAGGCTTAACAATCGTCACCGTCATTCCGCCTCTCGTTATAGTAGTCGTTTCTTGCGCGAACTATACCAATCATCAGTCCAAACCCATCTCAGAACACATTCGAACATACCGCAAAGCTCATCAACACAGAAGCCGAAGCAAGCCCAATAGTAAGAAGACGCATCTTGGCGGATAAACTCGAAATGTTCTTGCGATCTCACGATACTCGAGAACCCAAACCCGTGGTCGAGGTAAATTGAGAGGCACTCTACTCATTTATATTGATCTCTACAGCACCAGGCAGCAGCTTTCCATTCTTCATCCTCATATCGCTGCTCCTTGCCCGTCACGCTTGTCGGGGAAAAAAAAAGACATCTACACTGCATCTGTCGATGCACTCGTCGTACATTTCCTCTTACCAATGTTCACATACTATACGTCCTCGAATCGAGCAATCACAACCGCCAGTCAGATCCGGGATAAAAAGGCACAACCCGAACACCCCAGCCATGCACCCGTCCATCTCAGTCACAGATTCTAGACTCTAGATATTTCATTTAGATCTTTAACATCTTTCATTACCATTCCACTACCACTATTCGGGCGCCTATCACGAGTCAATCTATCGCAATCAACAGCTCCTTCCCCGCATCGTTCATAACTTATTACATGTTTGCTTCTTTAATTGAAAACATATGAGCTTCTGGGAATCTGCTGTGTACAACAGTGCGTTCGTGATCCAAACATGTGGGGTATGCACCAAGATAGACACCGTGTTGCATCCAAAGTTTGGATATCTTGGAGAGCCGGTTAAGCGGTAGATATCGACCTCATGTCGTGTTCACCGGTTGAATAGCACGATAAATGTCCTAATCCGGCCGCTCGGCAAATTCGAATCTGTGCGACAGGGCTGCTTTTGAGTAATGCGATGACCTGATCGGTGCGCTTTAAAAACGAGGTACCTAGGTACCAAAGTAAAATATTTTCTGGTTAGAGACCCAGAGTTTTCGGGCGATGGCTTGAAAATGGTGATGTGGAGGTTAGGGTTCCGTGGGGGTTTACTGAGTTGGGAGAAGTAAATGCTTGGTAGTTGGCCGATGGGGAAAGGTCTTGCGTTTTGCGGAAATGGATTTTGTTGAAATGGTATGTTAGCTGTGAAGTTGATGATGTTTAATGGGGCTCACGGTGGACAAAATAAGTGGCAGTCGAAACACGATATTTCTTCGATTTAGTTGACGAAATATCGTTATTTAGTGGATTGACTTAGAACAATATGACTTATGTCGTCAATTATCTAAGTAAATAAGACTTATTGCGCTCTATTCGAAGTCGACTTATTGAGTCCCAGAATTAGCAGGCAGGTAATTGACACTCATTTTGTCCTCCACGAGTGGGGATATATTTTGGGCTTCGCTGAATCCAGTTCGTTGTTCGAGGTCAACATGTAATCTTACAAGAATTACATAGCGAACGGCCAAAATCGACTCGAAAAAAGTAGAAGAAGGAGTACGACGTATTGCGACGTTTCTAATTCCTAATATTTGTACAGTGATTCTTATATCATTTACTACGCGCTACTTACTATTCGAAGAGCTAGGCTCTATCACCGTCTCCTGGTCTTTCTTTGTATAGGTATCGTGTCAAGTAATCATATAACGATATGAAAACATCCTAAAAGCTCAGTGCATTTGGGAAAACCTTGTATTTTGTGGTCTCAGTCTCGTGGTAGATGGAATAAGTGGTAGATGGAATAAGTGGTAGATGGAATAAGTGGTAGATGGAATAAGTGGTAGATGGAATAAGTGGTAGATGGAATAAGTGGTAGATGGAATAAATGGTATCCGGAACACGATATTATGCCGGTCAAAAATGCTAAGATTAATCATATTCGTCTTAGAGCATTGTAGAAAACAAGATGTTTTATAATCCTGTTCAAGATAAATCAGAGGATAATAGCACTTATCCACTGTGATTAAACCTTCAAGTTAGCACTACGGAAAGGAGCTTCTACCACTTATCTAGTCTTCCGCGAGATCGTTCCGCTCAAATACGCTGTAAGAGTGAAGGGACATTATCCACGAATAGTGATGTTCAGAAAACGACTTTCTAATATTGTGTTCTCAATCTCAAAAAGTGCATTCACTAATTTCAACAGACTAAATAGTATATATTTAATTAAACGAACTGAATAATTATGGTGTTTGCACAGAACACATTCATTCTACCGCATGGTGGCGTTTCTCAGACTTGCAACGCACTGGCGGCTTGTGTTTTCCAGTCAAAGTTTTATTTTGTACTGATAGATTGCAGAAAGAGGGGTGTTGTCTAGTCAACGTTAAAAACACAACTGCTGGAGAGATCCTTTTACTTGTTGTCTTGTTTGGTTGCTAGATGTCGTGACGTTTAGGTGTTTATTGTGAATTGATGACAGGATGTGTCGAGCTGAAAAGATTTTATACATCTAATATGTTGTCAAGATATATAAAAGATGTTCTGTCAGATCAATAGACAATATCCTTTGTCTCAAATATCATGTGTTGTTCCCAATTTTCAACCAGACAACATACCCCTATCCCATCAAATTCACAACCAAAATCTCCAACCAAAACCCCATCCAACCCCCCCTCCTATCCAAGCAACCTACTCCCTCCCCTCAAAAACATACCACCAAAAATTATCAAAATAAAACCCATGTTCCCCGCCCTCCATCGGCTCAAGCCGATGCACCAAACTCCTCCACCCATTAACCTCCACGCCCCTCACGAACCTCGCCCCCAGCGCCTCCAACTCCCCCACCTCCTCCCGAGCCTCCCTCTCCGTATACGTCGTACACACCGTCGGAATCCCGCTGTTTACCAGCCACTCCGTCGTAGGTTTCCACCCTTCCACCCCATCCTGACTACGGCCACTATGAAACAACACCGCGAGATCGGGACGCTTCCATTGTGGCATGCTGGCGAAAGAATGGTATACCTCGGAGCACAACGCCATGACCCTTTTCCTGCCCGCTTTGGTGCAGTCGGGACAACAGGTTGCTTGCATCTCCGGCACCGGGTCGTCGGGGGTCGCGCCGCTGTTCTTGCATTCCGGGCCGGCGAAGACGAGTTTCAATGTTTTGAGGGATGGGAGCAAATGTAATAGTTCCTCGAAGATAAGCAGGTTTTGTAGTTCTTTGGCGCCTGCGCCGATGAGGTGGATCGTCAGCTCTGTTTTTGTGGCGAGGGATGGGATGGTGAGTTCGAGGGCTGCGAGGATGGTTAGGGGCATAGATTGCGTTTCGGTGGCGAGAGTCAGATAGAGCCAGAGTCGTTGGAGTGATTTTTGCGTTTCCGCGTCGGCTTGAGCGAGGAGGGGGAGGTTGAGGTCAAAGGAGGGGGTGATGACGTTTTCAACGGCCTCTTTCTTGTCGGATATCGAGGAGAAGTATTCATACCAATTTTTGGCGGTTGAGAGTTTGCGGTAGTGTTTTCGGGGTGAGTCGGTTGGTGCTTGTGCGTATACTTGACCGCTGTGGGTGAAATGAGCGATGCGGAAGTTCTCGAGACTGCCGACTCGTTGGTAGGTCGGGCATTCGTGTGGTGGGAGGGTTGATGGACATGTTGTGCAAGTTGATACTAGATAGCATTCTTTGCAGGGTGTCAGGACTGAACCAGAGGGTAATTGTGGACCGCTTCGATAGCATTGTATACAATATGGTTGGCGTCTAAATAGAGGATCAGCAATGTATACTCATATCATCTAGAAAACTCACCTTATAATACTAACAGCAGTCTCACTCTCACACCTAGCTCTAACCATCCTCGCCTCCTCAAACTAAACCCCATCAGCATCTCTCTCAAAACACCCCCTTCCCACCCTCCCCCTTCACACATAAATAAAATCACACTCACCAAACTCTCAGTCCACCCCTCCCTCCCCCTCACCCCCCCTATCCCTCCTCTCCCACTCATTCATCTCCTTCAACACCTTACAATCCTTCTTATGCTGCATCTTCCAATCCCTCGTCTGACACTCCTTCCCACAATAGAAAGCGCGTCTACACGCACCACATCTCGTCATATTTTCCGCCGGAAGCAGACACCGAAAACAGAGGTGCCCACGAATAGCTAGGTAGGGTAGCGTGGGAACGCCCTGGGGAGCGTCGTTGTATTGGAGAGCCTCCCGGTTCATGAGCGGGGAGTTGGGGTTGCGTGACATGGCGAAACGGGGGATTTGAGGAGAGATGAACGGTATGCTATTTTGAGGCAAGATGCAGGTTAGTGGTTGAATGAAGTGCAAAATGGTCGCCTGAAGCTGGTTATGTGGTGTTGATAAATCTCATTCGTGCACGTCAAAGCCCCTCCGAACTGAGCTCCCTAGCCAATCAGTTTCATAAGCAAGCGGTCAGATTATCGCAGTATTTTGTTGTCGAGTCAAAAGTCACGCTTCAGAAGGGTGAATAAGAATGTTGTGTTGAAGTAAAAATAAGGGTCCTCGCGAACGATAGACGGGCATTAGCACAAGATCCGCAATTGGCTCCACAGATCAAGAACTCCTGTCACTCGTCACCTCACCGCAACGAAAGACAAACATTACCCTCGATTAACAAGTAACTATATATTAAGATTTACCTTAAAGTTTAAATAAAAAAATATCGAATCTAGTTCAGCAGAGTCTTCTTAACAGGTAAAACTCCACCATACACTAGCCCAGACATCTCAACATGTTCCCTACTAAAAATCTATCCTACTAGCACACGCACAAAGCCCGAAAAATTACTGTGTTGTATTTACCCCTACCTAAAAAGAAATTGCAAAAAACAACTGCCTTCACCCAGAATTGAACTAGGGATCTTCGCATTTCATGCCAAGAGTGGTATACAAGTGCGACGCGTTACCACTGCGCCATGAAGGCCGTGTTGATTGGTTGAGATTTTCTTAATTACCATCATATACCAGCAGTCGCATTACGCACTGGGAGCAAGATGGATGTAGTGGAATTGAATAGATGATCGGAAAACGAGGGGAGACTTTTTTTAAATTGGTTGAAGTTTTGGTTCTAGAGACTACCTAGGTAGTGATATTGTAATAATTTATGTGCTAATTTTGCAATCTCCACACGACGCCGGGAGCACGAATCGAGAGCAGCTAGACTGATAACTGAAAAGAAGCATAAAACGAAACATGAGTCTATTGATTCATTTGGAGGCTACTGACGTTTATATTCATATCTCATCTCATCTAATCTTCATACATCTAACATTCTTTCAAACCAACCCGCTTGATCCCAACCCCAAAAAAGCGCTTCAAACCCATTTAAACACCTTCAATGCATCTCTCTCTGAACCATCCCAACACACCAAAATCAAAACACCTCCCCATAAATCAACATCCCCCATCCCTTTCCCAAAGCTCTAAAACCTACTCACCCCCCACCAAACCCAACCCAATCCCCTTCCCCCTCCCCCTCGCAACCGCAACCATCGCCCTACCCACCGCCTCCAAATCACCCAAAAGCGTAACATGCCCGCGTTCACTCCCTACCCGTCCCCCCTTAACAACGCGATACCCAACTGGCAACATCGCCTCTTTAGCAAGACACACTCCATCACCACTTCCAAACGCCAAATTATCGTAACTATCCGCACATGCAATGCCATCTCGTCCATCCACCTTCGCCCCGGCACACGTAGGGATGGACTTCCCATAAATAAGTGCGAATGGCGGGTACCGATTCGCGGCCTCGAGATGGGGACGGTGATGAAGTTCTGATTTAAATGTCTTGATTTCGGCGAGAGTGCGCGTGAGGTATTTGATAGCCGCCGGCCGCGGGAGCGTGACGTGGGTGGATATGGACTGGGAGTTTGATTTCGTGGTGTTGGAGGACATGCCGCCCATTTGAGGAGCGAGGGTGCGGTCGGTGCCTCCTTCTGCGGATTTCAGGACTTCGGCTGCGCGTGTGGTTTTGGAGGGCGGGGAGGTTGATGGTGGTGGGTTCGACGCGGAGCCTAGTGATTTTACGGATGTGGGGAGACTTAGGAGGCTGGATGACATGTTGAGGAGACTTCCTAGGCCGCCTTGCTGGACTGGGTTTTTCGGGGGTAGAGGAGGGTCGGTACAGGGTGACCAGCGGTATTTGATCCAGTCGTCTATGTTGAAAAAGTCCACGGGGTACTTCTCGCGGGTTTTGATATCGATGAAACAGGCACCGTCTTCGGGGAGGAGGACGAAGCTTGTACGGAGAGTAAAGTTGACTTGGGCGGTCAATACACGTTGGCTCAGCAGGACCGCATCTCCATTTCTGAGAGGCCCAAGAATGTTGACGCAGGCTTGGGGAACGCCTGCGTATATAACTCCTGAGAAAAGCTCTGGTCGGTGGTTGACGACGTGACGGGTGATAAGTCCACCCAAGCTATGTGCAATGACCAAGGCACCTCCAGGAGCCTGAACGGATCCATCTTTTGAAGGCTGATTTGAAGGTAGGCCTTCAAGGAATTTTGTAAGCTTCCGCGCCAGCAAATGTGGACTAAGTCTCCAATCATAGCCGTAATCCCAAACTCTCAACTTGCCACTCTTTGCATTTTCGCACTCATTAAGGCGCTTGAAAAGTCGTCTTGAGATATCCACTGGACCAATATTTGTAAGCATGCCAGAAGGATAGATGGTTTCCTCCATCCTTTCCTCATCTTCCGGTTCCAGGCCAACTTCCAAATCTACCTTTCTTATATTCAGGCCAACTTTGACAGGTACCCAAACCTGTCTCTTAGTTTTCGTCGCTCGTAAAATCGATCCACGGTATCCACCCATAATTACAACATCTCCAGTAAGTTCTTCCATCGCGGCCTGGAGCGAACTAGGTAATTGGCCATCATTAATCGGTTTAGGGTCAACAGCTGCTTTCGGTTGAGAAGCAGCAGCGCCTGCTAGACCTGAGGCAGCCGCTTTATTAGATATGAGAGCCGGTCGAGTCTTTACATTTCCTGATAAAATATCTGAGACCATATCAGTATTCGTTCTGCTTCTAGCCGGTACATTGCTCGCATTCAAAAAATTCATGTTGAAACTAAAACTGGGTACACGAGGCATACTTGGCATAGATGGCATTGTTGGCATGGACGGTAGTCGAAAGCTGGACCTATCCTGCAATGAATCGCGAATTGCTTTTGCGCGCGAATTGACTTGTTCTTTTTGGCTCTCGAATCTAGTGTCATCTCCCAGGGAAGACGCTCTTGAGAGTGAGTGATACAGCAACGATTCGTCGGATGTTACTCGTCTTATTGATCTTGGTCTATCGATATCTAAAGGGATCGCTTTTGGTGTATTTTTCGCAGGTCGTGTCACAATTGACTGGTAAGTTCTTCGTTCTGGGGATTGGGTTCGCGAGCTAGATTGCGAATTGAATAATGTCGATGCTCGGTTCGGACGCATTTCATTGAGCCTATTTGGCGACTTTGGTCCCGACGACGTATTTGATCCCAGGAAATTCCCAACACCTTTTGGCAAGAACTTCTTTAGAGCTTCCGCGCCACCAGATCGTGACCTCGTTCTAGAAGAAAACACTCCCGTCAGTGCAGGCTGAGGACCAGGCTTCTCCACGTGTAAAGGTTTCGGGCCAGCATGCCATGGTGACGGCAACACAGCTGGCGCTTCGTGGTTTGGGGAAGGCAGCTTGCCCAGTGACAGTCCTGTCTTATTCGAGGCTTGCCGCGGCGGTTCCTGGTTCTCGTTCACATTCCTGAGTGTATCCGTGGAATCGTCCTCGCCTAGCAACACTTCTTTCTGATCCGTAGCTGGCGGACTTTCGGGATCGCTCTCAAAAAACCCCCCTCCATCCATTTCCTCCATCGCCGTAGCTTTCTCCACCGCTGGAGTCCTGGGATCCTTCATTCTCGACGCAACATGACTGATTGCGAATTCCATGAGCGACTCGTCCACCTCATCTGGTGAGGATATAATTGCCATTTCCTCCGCCTCGTCCGATCTTTCAGCCGCTTCGTATCCGTTTTCGAGATTCGCATGAGATGGGACATTCGCAGGAAGGGTCGAGGCATCTTGTATTTCTATATTTCCCTGCTGCCCCATTGGCAAGGAAGACGCCGCCGAATCCATCTTGACTGCTCGCAAACTCTCTGTTAACACGTATGCGGACGTAAAAGAAACAAACACCGAGGAGGCTGAAGACCGGAATGTACGGGACTCTCAAAGATGCGATAACCGATTCCCATTTAAATGACTCGGCCGGGTGCGGCGGTTCGTCAGCATCCAATCATTCTTGAGGCTGAAGTGCAAGGAAAACGGACCAACAGAACGAGAAGTAGAGAAACGTTCTGTTGTTGAAGGGATTGGAATTGATTTATTAATGGACGTGGTTTGGACACTGCGCCTCGCCTCTCGCCGCATACTCGAACCGCGGGTCGATTGACGACGTCAGTGGGCCAGAAAGCTTACTTTCCCTGCTTGGGCCATCTGCTCGAAACTTCGATTGACGAAAGCTTATATTTCGAGTATTTACCTTGTTCTGAACACTTGTTCGTCGACGTCGAATGCATTGGAGATGCAACGCTTCGAGTAGATACTGGTATCTTCACATGCAACAGTTTCCCATTGTCGAGGCTGAGGCTGATTGACAATCGATAACCAGGAAGACTGCAAGCACAGTGGAGCCATGACGGGAGCCGCCGAGTTAGGCAAGTGCCGCGGCTCCAGAACCATTCGCTCGGCGAAATAACTGAAAATGAAGGCATTCGGACGACGAGAGGTTGTTGGCCGTGGATACGTGCAATTGATGGATTTGGTGTCACGCTGAGGATCCGGTCGCTTTAAATGTTTGCGGAAAACAAATTCCAAGTGCTGCAGCCAATGTCTTAGTTGAGCGAGGCGCATTTTGAGCCAATAACATCCCAACTAAGTGAGTTGCCGAATTTACCACGTCTATTTCCGGGTATACACCACAATTTCGGAATTGTACATGTTATGGCGTTTAACGGCATTTACATGAATAACATTTTCACAATTTACACAACATAATTATTCAGTCAGTAAATTACGCGGCATCCTCCACGGCGCTTTTACGGATAAATTTTCCTCATGATCATCCTTCGTGAGTTCTTTTCCCTTTTTGGAAGAACGACGGCCAGGAAATCAAGTTGAAACTTGGGTTCGCTCGGCAAAAGAAATCTCGAAGGGGATAAGTCTACGTGGAGGATGAGAGATGATGTTTGCTCGATCTGGTGTGCAACATGTCGCGTATTTCGGCTATGACTTTGAGGATGTAAACTTTTTGGAGACTGGTTTCGGATAGATCTGTACTCAAAATTGCATGCTACTCTTGGGCAAGCGATTGCGACAGTATGGTGAAAAGGACACTCTGTACTTATTCGCGTCTAAAACGGAAGGTGCGCTGGAAATGGAAATCACTTTCACCAAACGCATAAGAAGACAGAATATAGTTTGGGGAGCTCGACACTTCTTGTGTTTATTAATATGCACAAAGAGTTCTAGACTAAACGGTACCCCAAAAGTTGCCTCCCAAGATTACCAATTAGTTGTCAAGCCGAAGCCCGTTGCATAAGTTAAATTACAAAGAATCTAGAACCCAAGGTCGTCGACCCTGAACCGCTGCGCTTTTTAAATATGTACCGTGAAAAAGTCTAAGAACACCCTCCATTTTGTCGTAAAAGCCATAGCCTAATCTCGCAAGACCGGTTGGGGACTCAGGCGTCAAACATGAGCGGTGGCTTAGATGAGGAAAGCAGCAACGAGACCAGCGACGGCAGCGAACGCAGCTGAGGCCTGGAGACCGGCAGCGGAGTTGGCGTACATGGTTGGGGTGGCGGTGGCAGCTGGGCTGGTGACGTTCTTTGGTGGGGTGATGTATCCGGTGCTGGATGGTGCTGGAGCAGGGCTGGCAACAGATGGCTGGACGGTAATGGTGCTGTAGATGACAGTTGGGACGCATGAAGAGATGGCGATAACTGAGACAGAGGCACCAGAGTTTCCACCGGCAGGGGTGGTTGGGACTGGCTTGACAACAACTGGGGTGGTAGCGTTGGTGTAGTTGATTGGGCTGGCAGAGACGACTGGGGCAGAAGTGTAAACAACTGGGTCTGAAATTGAATGTTAGTTGGGCTTCAAATTAAAGATATACCCGATCTACTTACAGGTGGTCTTGCTAACGACAGTGCTGGCTGCTGGGCAGTTGGTGACTGTTGGTCCGCAGGAGGTGATGGTGACTTCCTTGGTGGAGTACACGGTGGATTGGGCCATGACGGCAGAGGCCATGAAGGCAACGGCGGCGAATGAGAATTGCATCTTGACGGATTTAATTTAGATGGGTTGATTGGGAGAAAGGGGTATCGTAAAGTGCTGAAGAGCGAGTGTGTATTGAGAGCTGGTTCTGTAAAAGAATGGACGACCGAAGTCAAGAGTATCAAAAGGATGATAGAGAGTTGAAGATTGGCTGTTGGGCTGAAGAGGAAAGAAAGAAAAGAACTCGACAGCTTGGGACTTCGCCTATAAGTATTTGGGGAGATTAGACAAACATTCACGGCGGACGCGCAGGGAAGAAGGCACCCTGCTCGTCAACTTCCCCAATTAGCCAGTCACAGCGAGCTTGCCGGGCCTAGACGATGCTCATTTCCGTTGATATCTCGCCGACATGGGGTGCGGCTGGCGGCAAATCTACAACAATCTGCATTCACCCACACCAAAGGGGAGCGCCGCGGATGTGATTGTGAAGGGGGGAGAGTTGCGGGACGAGTCAGATCTCGTGCGCGGATGCGCAGAGTGGAGAGGATAGCGTAGATCCTCCTATTGCACGAGCACACCGACCATTCACGACGCCTCCATGCCTCGCCCCCCATGGCTTCCACGAAGACATTTAGGAAAAAGGAGAAGTCTATCGATTTCGCGAGTGAGAGATGTTGCTTCGGTTGGCCTAAAGGACGCTGGCCAAGACGTGTTCCTGGGTAACATAATAGGCGCTAATGCAGGTACCGCTCTGAGAAAAGAAAGCCAATTTGACCGCAGACCAATGGCCAGCCCCTTTTTCCAAGCCACCCTATGAAAACCCCTGACGACATCCATGGATGGGATATTCGATTGTCGATGTGGATGCATGTTTGGATGAGCAAGAAAACGCGGAGAAGACGAATCGAACCTCGCCTGCGCGGTTGCTGGGTGGGTGTTCGTCTGGTAATTGTTTCCCACAATGGAAAGCCTCAAATGTGAGCATCTCACCTCAGTGGGACTGGTGAGATGCCGTCAAAATAGCGATGTCGCACGGTAATCCACGACTGAAAATAGCTTTCCAAAATGTCCGTCGCCAACACGCGTCCCCAACTTGGGCAAACTTCAATTAATGAGACCCACCCCTATCGACGCGGCCATCTCCACGAATTTGGTGGATATTGAGCACGCCCGCTGGTCCAGATCTTCCTCAACCCACAGACATTGCGCACTGGCAGCTTGTCATTGGCGATATTTGGAAACGTTTGCCCCTCAGTGGATTCAAATTTCAATGCCACAATCAATCGAAATTCAAATTCATCGAGATCATCATTTGCGTTCCTGGGAAAAGGGGTATCATTTGAACATCGAATAGATGGCAGATAACGGCGGCAATTTGAGATGTTGTCATTGTTGTTTGTGTGGATCCCGAATTTAAAAAAGTCTAAGACCTAACCACGCCGCCGTTCCTGCGATGCCAATATTACGACCTTGAAATAGCCGCGGGAAGATTCCAATGTCTAGTCGCTGGTGGACACCGGACAGCGTGTGGAAAGGAAAGCGGTAACATTTAATTAGAACAACACCACGTTTTGGTACAGTAGCTCTGCAACGGCGTGAGAAGTTAGCTGAACACTACTGTACGCAATGCTCGAGCCCCCGACGGTGTCTCTGTTGGCGCGAATTCTGTGTGCTTGGTGGCATCTAGATTTTCGATGCAACCTTGGACAAAAGCCAAGAATAAGCACGTGCTACAACAATGTGGATATGACACTCTGACTGCAGCCGCGGAGCTTCCTTTGAAATGAGGTTGTCTATGTTTGGCGACGGAACTTATCCATCTGAAGTCTTTGAATAATCGTGGGGTTGTTCTGGTGTCCCAAAATTCAAGAACTCCGGACGGGTAACTGCAAAATTCAATGATTGGTTTTCAGTCATCTTGCTTGTTACCACTGACAGTATATGATGCCTGTCATTCCTCGAGACACTGATCGAGGTAGATACCCTCCCTCAGACACTCTGCCGCTCGATGCAAATCAGTAGAAAAAGGTAGAGGGCGAAAGATATGCCTGCCACCACAATGGCCGCAGATGATTCACCATTCAATTCTCTCACCTCCAACATCTGAGACTTAGAGCCGCCTTCAACTGGCACGTGGACGTGATGCGAAATACACTGGATCTTGAGGCTAGTCGATTGGCTAATTTTGAACCAGCGGCGACTCCTTGAGGTGTTACCCTGGTGCTAGTTGGTATTTATCACTACTTCTTACGTTTCTTCTTCTTCTGCGACAACGATGCCAGATCCGCTCGTTTTTTCTGCGGATTATGCTGATGCTTACTAGCAGCATTGACCTTTGGTTGCTTGTTTTTGGTCGGCATAGGAACTCCGATGGCTTCATCCTTCGTTTCTGGAATCTGATCGTCCTCAATACCTCCCCATTCCTCCTCCTCCTCCTCCTCATCAGCTTCAACTTCCACCGCCGCTTCTGGGGCTGCTTCGTCCATAGGAGAAGAAGTGCTATCAGCTCCCATCGGCTCTGCTCGCACAGGAAATCCCATCATATCTCTCACCATATGGCCATGTTCATCTCGCAAAAATTGTGCTCCAATATCTTCCACCGAGTTGGAATCTCTAACGAATCCTGCAAGAAAGAATCCCATCGTCCCATGTTCGTCCCCTTTATTAGCTCGAATGCAAGCCTCAGCAACCTCGGCGTCTCCTTCAGCAGCTTCAATGTCACCTCGTACTGGCCATTCTTTCAGCCCTCTAATCTGGTCTGCGCGCTTTAGCAGTCGCCATCCCTGCTCTTTTGCAATGGACGATTTGAGAGCTTGTAAGACCACCTGCTCGTTCTCCTGCGCATGAATAGAACAAGTCGAGTAGGTAATCCTCCGCGCAGACGGAAATTTGAAAGCGTGTATTAGAAGCTCCAATTGGAACTTGGAAAGGGCTGTTAGGCGAGCGTTCAACTCATCTACAGTATCAACAGCAGTAACCATTCCATCATCATCCACCATAACGTCCAGATCCTCGTTAAAGTCCTCCCTCTTCCGCTTGCGAGTCTCTTTCGTTGGATCTGGGACTTTAGTCTGCTTCTTGTTCTTACTGTCCTTCGGCAAAGGCGTATTGTTTTTAGGAACCGGAAGATGAAGCTCTGGCATGTCATCACGTCCAACAATGCCACTCCCAGAGCAACTAGGATCCAGAAGCAGGGATGTAACCTTTTTGTATGTTGAGGCTTCTGGTTTGGCTTTGAGAAAATCTTCGCCGGCATGAATTGTGGTTATTCTATCAGAACCTGCGAGGCTAACCATTCTCTTCAGAGTGTCGGCTCGACCATAATTACGCTCGAAAGCGTGTATCTTTTGCGAACCTCCATTTGGATCTGGCTGACGTGACTGCAAGATAGCTGCAAGATGTGTGGTTTTGTTTCCAGGAGCTGCACATGAATCGATGATATCGTCGTCCTCAGAGCGCGGATCTAATAAATAAGCAGGAAAACATGACGCTTTGTCCTGGAATATGATTGCTCCTGACTTATACGCTTCGGTTTTAGACAGATCAGTAGTTGATGAAACAGCCACGAGGTTAGGAATATTATGATCAATAAATATGTGTTTCGAACCACGCTTTCGAACTGCGTCGACGGTGAGCGCTCGCTCAAGTCCCGCAAATGTGGACTCAAGCTGCTCCTCAAGCGTAGTTTTCAAAGTATTGATTCTGACCCATCGTGGATGCAAAATCTGAGAACTATCAGTGGTATTTCCAAGACCAGCTTCAATGTGGGCTTTCAGTGCTTCCACGGTGCTTAGTTTCCGTCGAATTCTAGATTTGGTGAACTCAGCGGTGAGTCGTGCTTTGTGACGCTCAACTGATGTTCGAAGGCCGTGTGTTGCAGGAATCGCTATGCCTCGTTTTGCCAGCAGAAGATCGTGTACCAGAAGTACAGACAGAACTGGAGTTATCTAGAGAGTTTTAGTAAACAATGAACAAAAACTACGGTCAAAACCTACCTTCCGCTCCAGCCGTAGAAGATCTGTACGTTCAATAACTTCTTTCAATATCGCACTCCATTTTGATGATTCTATCGCAAGAGCGTAAACTTGAGCTGGCTGTGATTTCAGGTCTTTCTTGCCAAAAATCCTAGATTTCAAGCTCCCGCCAGATGCAGAAGATGAGGTGAGAAATTCCGCAGTCTCGTGGTAGAGTGACATGATGCTTTCCAGACGGAAAGATCTGGATTCAGGACGAAAGTAACCTCTTCGACTTTGGCTACTTCATGAAGCAGATTGAGTGCCCAGTCGCGTGGTGTTCTAGATTTGGGAAAGAGAAAAAGGTTCTTGGAAAACCTCGGTCCAATCACGTGCGGTGTCCTTGCCCCACTTACGAAGTCTCTCATCCCAAGAAGGAAGCCACAACCTCTTATTTTTATTTGTTATTTGTATGTTGACTTTTGTTGGTAAGTCGTATTACACGCAGACCAAGCATTGCACTGCAGTATACATAAGACTGCATGTAAGCCTTTATTGCCGAGTACTTTAATCAGACCAATCATCCTGCATCGTCTCCAGCCCTTTACTCCAGTAAGTCGCATTTGTTTTCAGTATTCCTCTTCTGCATCATAGTATCCAATCTTTTACTAGGCGCGCTGGTGTTGAGACCTCATTGATGGAGTTAAGTTGGGAAGAAGCTCAAGACCGACGCCCTTACCGCTACAACTGACATACGGTTGCAGCCTAATGTGATTACGTGCGTCGTTGTTATCACTCTTATAAAGTTGAGAAGACATTCTAGAGAGACTCATTGTAAGTTAGTTGCTCAAATACAGGGGATTAACAACTTCATATCTCATCAATTGAAACCAATACAATATGGCGGCCCAACCTGAGCCAGAGATTACTCTATATGACCTAGCTTGTACTCAAAACACATGTTTCTCGCCTACGGTCTGGCGTATTCGTCTTATGCTTAATTACAAAGAAATCCCTTATAAGACCGTTTTTCTCGAGTTTCCAGATATCGAGCCAACGTTGAAAGAATTGTGAGTTTCTTTTCCTTGCTCTGTCCTCGGTCTAACGCTTCTCTTCCATTTACCTTACCTTATAGACGCCAGAGTCTCATTTCACCGACTTAAAAAGCACTTTAACTAATCCAATATTTTCAACTCAGAGGCTTAGTCCCTAGCGAAACCTCTACGGGCGTCAGAAATAAATATACCGTCCCAGCAATCCATCATGTCCCCACCAACACCTACATCATGGACTCCCTCCCCATCGCTCAGTTCCTCGAATCCACATATCCAGAACGTCCTATACCACTAACATCCGAACACGGCCGCCAGATTGAATCGGAAGCACGGCTTGTTGTCGGTAAAGTATTCCAAACAACCATCACACCCAGGGAGATCCACATCCTGTCACCTCGCTCGCAAGAGTACTTTCGAAGAACGCGTGAGGCGACGATAGGACGTCGACTTGAAGATCTTCTGCTTGAGCCGGAGAAAGAGGATCAGCTTTGGAAAGGGATGGACGACAAGATGCGTGCCGTGAGCGAGTTAATTATGGAAAACAAGGATAAGGGGCCTTTTGTGTTGGGTGACCAGATCAGTTATACAGACTTCTTCATTGCTGGATCTTTGCAGTCGATAAGAGTTGTAGATGAGAGCTTGTTTCAGAGGATTTTTGCGTATGAAGGATTTAAGGCTGTTTATGAAGCGTGCTTGGCTCATATGGAGAAGAAGGATTGAACCTTACTTCTGTTAAGCGTTTTGACTTAGATAGTATCCTTAAAACTTTAGTCGACTATTAATGGGCGTTAATTTTAATTATCTACTTAAGAACTTAGGCTCTATTCACTTTAAAAAAAATTTATTGGTTTCTTACTAAGACTTTCTATAATATATATATATAAAGCTATTTTTAAAATTAACTAATCTTTACCGGCCTTACTTAGTAAATACTTAATAAGCTCCGAATACTTTTCTGTGTTAGTAGCTCCAACCAACAGAGGTTGCAAAAGATACCAACATTGCTATTGGCTCACCGGCAACTGGCACATGATTTGATAAATAAACCCGAATCTCAACGTGCAGATGAGTACTTTGCCCACCGAGCTTTAGAGATTGTATAAGAGGACAGGAACTCTAGGTTCGCATCGAACTACTTCCATTTCCACCATTAGCAATAATCCAAGGGACCATTTAAAGCAATGTCACATGTCTACTCTTTAGATAACAGCATCAATAGCTTTTTTGAAGCACAATCTGCCACGCGCCGAGAATGCGACGAGATGGCCCTCAAACTTGTCGGTGGCCAAATAAAACCTAGCCCAATTCAAGGTGCCTTTAGCTATACCGTCATAGCTGGAGCAGCCCAGTCGAAGATAGTGCAATTCAGAGCCCAATCTTCGCTTCTTGATATGGATGCTTTAAGTCTCGCTCATCGGATTCATCCACAGACTGTTGTGCCTGTCACATTTCACAATACAATTGGTGACGAGGAGAGTTCACCTCTTACGGTATATGTTATGGACAGGATTTCCGGAGTTACTATTATCGAAGCGGGAATGATCAACGAAGATACCGAGGGAGATAGACTTGTAGCTGAGTCGGGGAGAATTAACACGATTAAAGATTTTGCGCGGTAGAACCTCTCTTATCTACATCCAAGTCCCTGGTAATAATTTCATAATAGGTTTTTCGCCGAAGCATGGAAATCCCCACAACCTCTATCCGTATCCCAAAGAACGGCCATTCATCTCCAACAAACCCAAGATTTAGAACACCTCATCAACTCACTGCCATCACACTTCACTGACACCTTTGTACAACTTCAACAGGACTTGCAGCTTCTGTTTGCAGATGAGTTTCCAGCAGTACTCAGGCATGATGATCTCTGTGAGCTGAACATTCTTGTCGACCCAGAAACTGGAAGCATTACGAGGATTATCGACTGGGCCGATGCCAGTATCCTTCCGTTTGGCTGTGATCTTTACGGTGTACTAAATGTAATGGGGTGGATGGATATGGATGGGTGGCGCTGGCATAATAACCACCGCGAATTGGAGAAAACGTTCTGGAATACCTTTCAAGAGGAGATTGGAGGTATAGACGAAGGACAGAGGGAGAGGATTAGGATTGCCAGTGTACTGGGAATCTTTTTACGGTATGGGTTTACGTGGGATATGGAAATGAGAAAACGACCGATCGTAGTGGGAGATGGATCATTTAAGTATTTGAATGCGTTTGTGGGGGGGAGTGGGGAGGGGATGTTTGGGGTTAGAGGGTTGTAGTGGAGGGAGGAGAGGAGTTAGGTTTTAGTGTAGTATATAAGGGCCTAATCGCTTACTAGAACACTAACCTAGTCTAGGACAATTTATATAAGGAGAAATTAGATTTTACTTCTCTCTTGAGATTATTTTCTTATAGTTTCTCGAACTCTTAAAACCTCTAAACTCTTTAAATAGTAGTAGATAAACAGAAGCTTGGCTCTTGTAAAGTCTTTCCAGAAATCAACCACTACATTTATAACTCGAGATCCGAAGCATAAATTGTACTCGCAGTTTTCTCAGGGTTTGAAGTCACTAAAAGCCTAGAAAGACACCCTACATATCTCAATTCTCATGTATCATCCACAAATTCATGTACCGCCTCAAACAAACCTTCTTGTAACCTGTACTATTCGAAACAATCATAAACACTTGCCGATTCCACCCGGCAATCAGGTATATATTTCTTTCTCTCCTACCTATAAATACAAGTTCTCTAACCCCTTACACCCAAAGCCAAAGATCGTTCACGAAACAAACGTCCAAACCCAAAACATACTCGACTCAGCATCCCAACCCAAAAACAGCACCAACACCCACCAAAACCCCAACCACCAAACCAACCTTCGAAACTCCCCCCTTCGCCGCCGCCCCAGGCGTACTCGTAGGCGTCACCGCCGCCGTCCTCGTCGCCGTCGGTACCAAACTAACCGGCGTAGTCTGACCCGGCGTCAACGCTTCACACGCATACGGAACGCCTGCCGCGGCCAGACAATCTGGGATTTGAGGATCGTTGACAGATGCTGTTTTGTATTAGGAATTTACATTTCTAGTCAGATTGAAGGAGGTCAACATACTCAGATTAACATAAGCAAAACACCCCCCATCAAACAACCCCACCGTTTTGTTCCCCGCACACGTTTGCAGGACCTGCGTATTATTCTCATAGACGCCGACGGCACAGGCTTTGGTGTTGAGACCGAATGTAGGAGGGCCGTGGACGGTTTGTGTGGTTGGGTTGTTGTAGAGTGTACAATTTGCCATTTCGGGTGCTGATCTTGATATCGTGAAATGATAGGGATTTAAGTTTTGATGGATGTTTGAAACTAAAAGAAAGAGGATTATGAACTTGGAAATCTAACCCGAGATATTTAGCAGGAAAAGTCGAAACATAGCCTCCGTGACGCTGACATCTACTAACCTCACAACCTTACCTATTCAAACCCAACTCTTCGTAATTATACAAGACACAGCCCACCACTCACCATACATACCTACACAACTAAATCTTCAGCCTACATCTTTAAATAAAAATCCACCCAATACCCAAACCCAATCGCAAGCCAAGCACGGAAATCTCACAGCACAGCTCTCGCTTAACCGACATTTATGTCAAAAGGATTCATTAGCTATCCGGTATACGACAGCACGATTGGTTCGTTCGTTAACATCATCTTGGAATTTACAGGTTTAGCAAGGGTACGCTGTGGAGTGTCCTTGAAGTAAGCTTATTTGAACTGCAACGCCCACGTTTGCATGAGTTTTGGGGCTATGGGATAAGCTGTACGTTTACAGCTGGAATAATGTAACTCGTAACTTCAGCTTTCACGTGTTTACTTGTAAGTCGTCTTCTTCAACCGTTGCGATAGTCGACTGCGAAGATAAAATATCCATAGCTTTATCGTAACTTCACATTGAATGTAAATAAAGATGTCTTCAAAATCCTCTTCTCGCTGTTTATAAATGGATAGTTATCCAGATACACTATATCCACATCCACCCTATCTACCTTAAAAATCAAATCCCCAAACACCAAGCACCCAAGAAACAATGCCAAAAATCCATAAATCATAAACCACCCCTCTAAATCTCATCCCTCCTACCTAACTCTCACTACTCAACTTACTAATCTCCTTCTCCTTCTCCCCACTCCCCGCCGACCCATTCGTTTTATAACTCGGCGCCCTCTTCAGACTCCTCAAACTACTCGCCCTCAGTCTCCCCGCCTTCCCCACCTCCTGCCTCACTTCCCTCAACACCTCCTCGCCCTGCGCGCCCAACTTGCCAACTCTAGCCGCGAGCGTCGTATTCTCAGCCTGTAAATCACCAACCTGACCACGAAGGATATCTTTCTCCTTCCTCAACATCTCATTCTCGGCTTTGACCTCTTCGAGCTCCCGTAGAAGTCTCGTGCGTTCGTCTTTATCCTGCGCTTTACGCCTCTTCTCCTCTGCTTTCCTCGCTTCTTTGGCTTTCTTTTGCTCTAGTTTCTCGACTTCCTTTCTATACTTCTCTTCCTGCTTCTTGACCTCCTTCTCATGAGCTTCTTCGGCTTTCCTTATCGCTTCTTCCTCTTTAGCTGTATCTTCGCGTTTCTTGGTCAACTCTTTATCCCGAGCTTTGTTGAGTTTCTCATCCAATTTGCGCTTCTTCTCAGAAAGCTTCTGCAGCTCTTTGTCTTGAGCTGACATGAGTTTGTTTTCCCCTTCAGAACTTGGTGGACGCTGAGAAGAATCATCGTCATCTACTTTGGCTGTTTCGTAGCGTTCTAGTGCTGATGTGAAGGACCCGACTGACGAAGCGCTGCCAATGGAGGAAACAGAATCGCGGCGAGATTCCAAAGATGCCTTTTCAGGCGTCTGTTCTCTCACCACTACTGGCTGAGGTGTCTGGACGGCTGCTGAAGGCTGTTCCTGTACGCTGTACGCCGGAAGATGACTCGTAATAACCTGAGGAGCATGTGCAGCAATATATTCTCCAGCATACCCAGCAGCACCTGTGACCATTGCGTAGAGACCACTGCCATTCGACGTGTTTTCTGGCTCCTTCTGAGCTCCTCCCAGCCTCTGTTGCGCAGCTAGAATATTATCATTAGGTTCCGGTTCCGGTTTCTCCACAGCCGGCGTGGACACCTCTTCAATACCAGCAAGATGGCCGTTAGTTTGCCAATTATGCAAGTCTTTTTCGTGGTTATGTTCGTGACTCTTTCGCCTAGCATGTTCGTGTTCGCCGTTCTCCAGATTTTCACTACCTTCATCACCAGACTCACCATCGCTCTCAAGCTCATCCATATCTTTGGCACAAGCCCAATCTAGGAATTTGCTAGCGTCTGACACAATGCCGCCTGGCGTCCCTCGTTCGATCATAAATCTTGGTACACTTCCACCGGGGTCACTTCTCGTAATCATGATCCATTCAATTGGGTTCTGCTCGCTCTCATCGTCCTCAGGTTTGATATCTAAATACTCCCCTTTTGCATCAGATCCTCTTGATTTATCAAAGGATATTGTGTGACCACGAGACCGACCAGAATCACCCTTAGCAGCATCTGATTCCGAGTCGCCCGCTTGCCCTTCACCATCAACGCTATTATTTTTCGCATTCCGTATAATCGCTTCCTTGCTTATGGTAGACGAGGATCTCTTCCTGCCATGTCCCTTTTCATCCCCAGATTTTAACAAATCACTTGTAGATGCTGACTTCTTAGGTGCCTTCTTGATTGGTATTTCTCTTATAAATTCGACAGATTCGTATTGTCCTCTGATATATCCGTCTCGCGCAGGGGTATCTGGATGTGCACATGGCCTCGAAATAACCATGAAATGTCTAGGAGGGTCTTCTCCATTTTCGTGCTTCGCCAGAGCTTGATCGGAAGTCAAAAACATCGTGACGAAATCTCTCGGTGTAGTAGGTCCCGGGAATTGTGCAGACAATAAAAACACTACAAATGATTAGAACCTCTGGATACCATACGCAGAGCCGTATGCCACTAACCTTCCATCTTCCCCACCCCGGGTACATTCTCAAATTCCACTCTCCGCTCCCCTCCAATCCCTCGAATATTGCCCTCCCCAGGCCCTCCTTGTACCTTCATGGTTTCTGGGAACTCTCTTTCCAGCGCTTTCTTCCATTTTGAGAACCCTAGACCTTCGTGGACGCTCCTCCGCGCAAACCAAGCACCCTTCCCGTCTTTTCCACCTAATTTGTACACATTCATGCCCAGCGGATTCGCACTGGCTGCCAGCTTGACTGGCTTCCATTCTTTCTGTAGAGCTTCTACGTCCGAGGCGGGTGATGGTGTGCGAGCGCTCGAAGGCGTGATTTCGGAGGAGGACGAGGCTGTTGAGGAAGAGCGTGGACGGGTATCGAGCGCAGATGCGCTTGGTGGAGGAATAGGAACGGAATCTACTATTAATTGGCCGTTCGTAAAGGCGTTGGATAGGAAAGGTGTGAGATCGCTGGTAGGTGTTTCGGCGTATTCGAGAGGACCTAAGGTCTTGAGGGCTTCGTGTAAAGCAGCCATTCTTTCGACCTTTGTCGTTCAATTCGAGTCGCGATCACGAGAGAGTTGAGTGAACGCCAGCGGAGGTACTTTCTCAAAGTGTATCTGTGCCAGGTGTCTGTAAATATGTATATATGGAGCTTTCGACAGATCAATTCGCAGTCAATGGCGTCGGCAGAGACAACCTAATGGCATGTGTTGTGATTACTCAGGCTCTCCGTGCTCGAGCAATTCAAAGCAGTATCATCATCCGGATAGTTCGAATGTAGTGTAAACACTCGCTCGGATCGGGTCGTGGATTATAGACTAAAATGGGTAGTGAGAGCAGGTTTGTACTGGTCTACATCATAGTCGCGCTCTTGGTGCGAATTCCTGTTAAAATCCCGGCTGTTGGTAGCTTGTTGCTGCTCATGCGAGTTCCATTTGCGTACAGAATGCGGGGATAAATCCCGAACAGGACGAAATGACGTTGCCAACCCGACTTCCGTGATATTCGGACGCTCGGCATTCACTGACTGGCATTTGGAAGAAAGCGATGCAAACTCAATTGTCGATAGAAGATATGCATAGAAGAGGAAGAATATAGAAAAATCGAAACTTGCGCTTGTCAACTAGGTCACAATTATGGACTTTGTGGAATCTCAATGACTCGATAAACTACACCATGGTTATTCCCGTGCCATAAGAAACTACTACATGAAGCTATTGGAGGTTAACAAAATGTCGTAAACAATAATGCACCGTCATGATGCTCTATCCCATATCCCATATCCCATATCTCGGAGTGTAAATACAGACCAAACCAAGTAACCATCCTAACTCCTCGCTCAGCACTAATGCCCGCAATCCCATATATCCTACTGGTACAGAAACGTACAGAATGTTAACCAAAAGTCAGATGCTTCCTTTCCTGCTGCATCATCTCCTGTTCTAGCTTACAGCTCCCACAATATTCCTCATGCCAAACGCGCATACCCGCCAGTTTACTACGCTTGGTATCATCCATCTCAAATGTCACCTGTTGGTTTGCGCTTTTGCCTTTCGATTTGGAAATTGTGGCACTAGTCTCTCGGTCTTCTCTCAAGATTGCATGCGCCTGCTTGCAGCGCGTATTCTCATCTAACAACCAATTCTCCCACTCGGCCTGTATCATTTCCCTCTCGATGCTGTTAACTACGCGCATAGCAACAATGAGATCATGTCGATAGGATCCGAGATTCTGACGAGTTCGGTGGAGACGCCTAGCCGTGGATCGAGTGGGTGTAGACGAGAATAAAGCACCAGCATTCTGGTACGGCGCTTCCAGATCCGTCACATTCGCAATGATTTTGAATTGATCGTAGCTGCTCCAGTCAGATTGACTCCTACAAAGTGTGGATTAGGAACACGAGTACTTACCATTTGCTTCCAGACTGCTCCAGTAGAGACGTGGTTGGCAATTGCAGAGCTTCGTCCAGGTCTTTCAAAAAGATGGCCTTGCTCATTACAACATTGGGTCCCACACCAATTCTGCTCATAAACCGTGCGGCGTTCCGTTCTGCCCACCAAACAGATGTGTTTTGAGAGGTCAGGTACCCATTCATGAGCATACTCACCGTTAGTCCAACAAGTATGAGCCTATGCGCACTGCCAATTTTCCACACCGAACGTAAAATAGCAAATGCCCACATCATGACAGACGAAATTGCACTCTCGCCAAACGAACTCATCGTCTCAAAGACCATGTGCGTAAGTGTACGCTGCTTGATCTGAGGCTTTCTTGAATTCATCGAATCGGTAGCAGAAAACATAGATACCGAAGTCTGGACGCCGACATGGCCAAAGATGTGGATTGCCTTCTTCGTTCGGCTTTGTGGGCCAAGTTTGCGAACCTGATCGGTGATGACATCGGCCAGATCAAGAGCGTCAAGAGCAGAATCATCCAGAGCTTGTCGTTCTACCAGTCCCTTTGAAAAGGTAGGAGCCTTCGTCCAATCAACTTTGGTATAAATGGCTAATTTACACTTCGATTTTGCGACATGGGTGATGACTATTTTTGAGACCAGCATGAAATCTTTATAATGAGGTAGATGCCAAGGGGTTTTCATATCCGTAATAACATAGCAAATGTGATCGTTCATAACGTCGATGACCTGGTAGTCAATCACATTCGCCTGACGAGCCCGGTGAAAGACATCAAAATAGTCAATCTGGAATTCGAAATCCCTTCGCATATGTCCCTTTTCGAGAGGTATCCATGGACCCTGGGCGATGCGTTGCGCGCGGCGATCATGGTACAGTAACTGGAATACAGCGCTCTTGTCGCCGAACATGACGTGAAACAAGGCCTTCGGGCTGATGTCGAATTGTTTCTCGACAACCTTTCTCTGCATATCTTTGGGTTCGTACACCACAGGCTGCGAAGGCAATTGAAATTTGGCGACTTCCTTATTTCTGCCGAGATGGAGGCTTCGCTCAACATGGAGCGAAGTCCTCAAGTCGTGATGACCCTTACGTGCCCGTCCCGATGGCGTGCCATCATCTATTGGGGTATTCATGGATACATCTTCCCAGCTCTCCATGCTTGGGCTTCTGCTTGGGTCCTCATTTTCCATCCTAATGAGCGCCGCCATTGTCTCCTCCAGAGTCCTAGGCTCATCTGATTGCGAGATATCAACAAGGTAGTTTAGCCTAGATTGCAGAAGTCGGAGCGGTTCCAAGAATGTCTTGATTGTGATTCTCGTAAATCCTGCTTTAGTAGCTTCCTCGCGAAGGTGAAGGAATATAAAATCACAGTCCCTACCCGGTGCCGCAGTGACCTCTAGAATACTGTCCATGCCAACGCCTGTAATCAAGACCAGTCCGAGGTGATGGCTGTAGAAATAAAAGTCTTTCTGCGTCACGTACACTCGTCCGGGGAACTCTTGCTGTTCATTCGGATTCCACGTTGCTCGGAACACAAGTAAAAGCTTCTCCTCACGAGGAACATTGGGGAAGAGCATTCGAAACTGGGCTTCCTGAGTCTTGAGTTCCAGCGGATAGTTTGCAGGAAAGACCTCCGGCTTTGGAGCGTTTGCAGCTTGTAAGCGCATTGCCTCAGCATCTACACTCAAAGCCTTTCGGTGAGATGATACTGGTGTTATAACCGTGGGCGCATTGGGGTCAGCGGGAACTGCTATTGACGATTGAACAACATCAGAAGAAATGTTTTCATCTGGTTTCTTATTTTCGTCTCCCGCGAATTTTGGCGACGGCTCGAGGGGGCGAATACCTGGGCCTGGGGGAACAGAAGGATTACTAGAGGCTGCGACTTTAACGTCCTGTTTCTCAAGTCGATTGATGTAGCTCCAATTGGCACTTCCCCATAAGTTTGCCATCATGCCACTAGGCATACCGCCAGTAGCGTCGCTTCTACCTATGCCGACTCCTCGCTCTCCGCTAACGACAACAGCCGCTTTGCTTAAATTCGTAGGAGCTGGTGGGTTTGCTAAAGTGTGAGGTGCCAACGTGCTAGTATGTGAGTCCGTCGTTTGTGACAGAGACAGCGTCGGCTTCGAAGCTGTAGCCTGGGGAAGAGCTGGAGTATAGGCGGGTAGAATATTATGGCTAGCAGATATAAGACTTGCAATGCCTCCTGGTGGTGCGGAGGACTGGGCAGGAGGTGTCTCGCTACTTGAACCACCTTTTCGATGCAGGTCAAGCTTTTGTATAATTCTTGCTGCATGATCTCGCCCACTCTCGCCCTCTTCTCTAGTAATCATACCAGTCACAGAACGTCGAGGGGCGGTAACATCAAAGCTGCTTCTAGTCGCTAGATTCCCAGACATTTCGAATCCGGGGACAGGTAGTGTGCTTGTACGATCAAATGCAGGCCCTGACAGCTCATCGCTACCGTGTGAAGTGTGACCATCAGTTACCTTTGCAGCGAACTCAGGAACTAAGGGGGCCGTAATAGCAAAGGCTGGATCGATACCACCAGGATGAGCAACCCTATCACTGGCGCTCACCTGGAGAGCTTTGTTCTTAGCGACCTCGAAAGCCTCGAGCCACTCCATAAGCTGGCCCTGCGTTTCTGCCTGGACGAGGATGGCTTGGTTTTTGGTTTTGACCTCGAAACAGAATCTTCTTTCCTCTTGAACAGCAGGCTTAACGTTGCACAATAGCACACCAATCTTCTCACTCTCCTCCACTCCACCCGATCGTTCACCTTGAACTAACCATCCAAAGATTCCGTTCTTGACATAAAACCAGCGTCGAACCCAGGACGTCCGCGCTGGCTTGCCCGATATTGTCCGCAGGAAAAGCCATCCCTGTTTTTCAGATGTTTCGCGTTCTTTGCGCTGACCGGACAAGTTGAGCGTTGAAGGACCCTTGGATCCAAGGAAAGCAACGGTGGATAGGTTGTAGTCCTCCAATTCTCGAGACGGCTGTGCAGCCTTAGAAGCCACCTCTGAAATATCCCTTCTGGCGATTTGAAGCTCTCTTCTGAATACGCCTTCACCGGTTTCCATTTCCTTGCTCCAACCCCGAACTCGATCCATCTCTGAATTCCACTTGGCAATGTTGGCACCTGTCGCATCACGAGTCCGTTTCATTTCTCTCCATTGATCTGCAGATACCCGAACAAGAAGTCTGTCAATCGTGTATCTCAATTGCGGTGCGAGTAAGCAGAAATCTAAAGAAGCTTTAAGATATGCTTTTCGGGTCTCGTGTACTTGGAATGCGTCTTCTCGTAGCGATGATGGTTCCTTCGTCTTAGACTGCCCAACATATCTAGCTAATGTACTATCGAAAGTCTTTTGGGATACCTCAAGGTATTTTCGGGCGTCCTTGAAGTTTCGAAGTCTGCCAGCATAAGTTAGCATTCAATACCATAAGTAAGACCACAATTAGGAGCACTCACTCTCCAGCCATGAAAGCCCGAATTGGTTCCACCACATTGGCATCCATCTTCTTCATTCCCCCAACCATCTGCTGCCACCATTCCCTCTGGCCTTCTCCAAACCTCTTCATCGCGAGGAGAGTATAGTCATGATCGAGTACCGCCTCGGAGACGTTGGCTGGCGGAACAGAGCGATGAAGAAAAGTATTGAAGGTTTCTTCGAGAGCCGATACATCGTGGACGAGTTTTGTTATGGATTTGATATACGCTTCCAGCCATTTTTCGATGATTTCGACCTGGTCCGAGAAGTGTACCGCCGTAGCTCTAAAGGTTGGAGAGTCAAGCGCTGCTTCCTTCAACCCAACAGGTATCAAGCTCAATGACTTCCCCGCTTCTTGTAAAGCAGGCTGTAGGATTGAGTCAGCCATGCTTGTATGGTTGATTGTTTATCGAGCGTTGAAAGCGAGCAAAACCATGACGCGCAAATATCCAGTGAAGGTCGCTGAATCTTGAGATATAAGCTCTCTTGTGAATACTGGTCCTTTCAAGGTCGACGCCGCGTAGAGGCCTGAGGCTGACACAACCGACTATTATGATTCCCAAGATAAGGAGACTCGGATCGCCAAACTCTTTCACAATGTTGATTTTGGATGAAGGAATCATTCGAAAAATATCTGCCAGTATCTTCACTATGCCTGTATTATTTCTTTTGCGATTTCTTGCTTCTGAGGCCTTTTACTCTCCTTCTGACATTCCAATTTGTTGCCAAATTCCGCCCCAAACATCATCTCATTGGATAGCCTTACCAAAGAGCTGCGGCTCCTGTTGATCCTAGCAGTCTTATTAATAGGTTTCATCTCTGTTTTTGACACTGCAACTGCTTCGGCAAAACGATCGTCCTTCTCTTGCTGTCTTTCCATCATTGTTGTCACGTTGTTATTCTGCTTAACCACTTCCCATGACCAACGGGGTGCCCCTTTTAGTTTGGAGTTCTATTGCAGGATCTCCACTACATTTGCATAGATAATTCGTTATACTTCGACCCCCCCTGAATAAACCGCAGTGGGTCTTCTAGAAGTTACGGTAAACCAGGTTGTTTGGCCAATAGGCAGTTAAGGATATATTTATCATTACTACAATAAGTAAAGTCTGTATTTTCTCCACTGCGGTTTATTCAGGGGAGGTCGAAGTAGTACCAGCTGATGGTCTACGGAATTGCTGTGAGACAGCCCTAGTCCTCTATAGTCCTGGCTTGAAGCAAACCTCCCGGTTCTTACTTCACAAGTACCGGAGCCGGCTCTGAAGTGGAGCTCATTCCCAAATATTTAGGGGAACTAAGTACTTCAGCGACTGATTTAGGAGCTAGCAAATACGGAACAAGAATAAAAACATTAGTTACATTATACAGTCAGTAAAAGGAAAGAATATGATGGTTCAGCATGGCGGCTTCATTGTAATTATGTTTCTTGCTGTTTAGTACTGGCAATGTTAATGGATGTCTGTGGCCTTGTTAAAGTTTCTCTACATATTCAAATTTTCTTGAAATTGCCTACCCACTGTGAACAGGTTCCCAATACTTTGCTTTCTGACATGTGTCGAGTAATTGTTGTATCAATTTTGACTTTCTTAGCTATGACTATGCCAGTAGTGTCATCAAATTGCTTTCCATATACAGTACATGTATTACTCTTTCACTAGTCCCAGTTCCTAAGAGCAAGCGCGGCGCCCAGGTCAACCAAGGCCCAACGTATAAAAGCTGGGGAAACCTTAACCCTTTGTTTACAGTTTAATGTCGGAACGTTGCCGACATTCACATTGACATCAAGCGGCCAGCAGAATTTAGCCACGCAATACCGTTTGTACAACCGTGGAAAAATGCAAAGTTCATGCGTCTGAATAGGGGCAGAACTTCTCTGCATGTTCTACACGCTTAGATTGAATTTGCTGTCATCATACAGTGAAGCATGCCTTGTACGTCGCACTGAAAGCGCCTGTCCAATTGGACATTGCTGATCACATCTGGTAAAGAGGCAGATCCATCACGCCTCCAAGCGAGAAAGATCGATGGATGAATGTTCTGTGCAATGACGATCCCTGCACTTGCAATAAAACCTCCGACGATATATTGCTCTTGCATATGAAGCTGGCACGAGATCTGGGCGGTTGGTCTTGGAGTCAGGATTCATCCTCCAGCCTCTACATCACATTTCTTCTCCCCGCGATTGAAGAGCACGAGCAGGACCTTGGCGGTTGTTTTCGAGTCGGCTCCCCTCTTACCTAAGAGGAGCGGCGGCCTATCTCTGAACATAGACGCAGGCTCGTCTCGCAAGTCTAACGAGTTATCTTGACAGTTGCAGCCGACATAGGCGTCCCGTGGGGCCGAGGCTGGGTTTTCCGCGTCTGGGGTTGAGAGGAAGGACTGGAGGCTTTGCTCTTTCTGGACAGGACAATGATCCAAAGCGGTTGGGGCTGTCTGGTGTGACGATCAATCGACCTGGCCCCTCCTGTGGAACCGGCGCACTGCACACACACCGGATGGGGCTTCTGGACGTTCTCTACAGAATTGCTCTGCAACAGCACACGCAGAAAACCTCACTGTGGCATGTGCCTCAACCCAATCAGTGTCACTCACGCAGTGGAAATACTGGTTTGGGATCCGGGAGAGTTCAATTGTATGGGGTATTTGCCATATTGAACCCCCCAAAGTACCCCGGAGTTGGCTCAAAAGGGCTGTCCACTTTTCTGCTGACCTCGACTGGGATAGAAACGATTGGGGGACGGCCATTGCGGAAGAATGAGATCACCGCTTTAGAGTCTTCTACTATCCATCCCGCAACGATTATTCCTCCCACGGTAGGGAGCCTCCAAAAGAACGACCAGGACTTTGGAAGAAAGCGGAGAAGCAGAGTGACATGCGTATATAGGATGAATCATGAGTGTTGCAGAAACTGACCGCTAGTAATGATATCTCTTCCAAGTCATAAAACAAGTAACAGTGTCTCTGTATGCATAGCACATTGTTATTATTACTATTCCTACAGGCCTTTTCTAAGTCTTTGCGCAAGCGGGCTTCCCCGACCAGGACAGCCCAACCTCAAAACTCTCAACCCCAGGAATACATGCTGCAAGACTAACAGTCTCCACAACCAGGACAAGAACTAAAACTGGAAGAGGGTCGTTCTTGTCTGGCTAAAGCCTTTTTGTCTTTGGTTCCTGCTTTGAAAGCAACTACTTACCTAGTCGTCCTCCGCCTGCGGATTTGTCCCAAGTTCCTCGTCCCTCCATTGATATCAACACACTAAGCCCTCGACCTCCGTGCTACTGCGAACCACAAACCGTCGACTGTCTACTACACCTGCACATCCGCACAACGACCGCAATCACATTACTGTAGTCCCTGACCTTACGCGTATCGCCGCTGCTGTTGCCACATCCATATTTTTCTGCGAGAGAGTTTCTAGGTCAACAACCTCAACATCCTCCCGTCCGAAAAACATCTACGCACATTGCACGAGGGTGCGAGACTCAACGACCACGAGCCCAACTGGGTCGCCACAATTGTGCCTACGGGCAACATCTCAATCCCTCCCGACAGTTGCATGAAGTGATCAGTCGAAGAGGATGAATCCCGAGCTTGCTGCGAAGTACGACGTCAGAGTTTTGAGATTTCACAATAATCGGTTCGAGTGGTCGTAGGAAGGAACCTTGGCGGTTGGAACGCCGTTGATGATTACAATGTCAAGTCAAGCGCCTTCAAGCTATCAATCGCACAATGGCCCCGATTACCGCCATTCGAGCGGAGATACCATCACCGTCGCGCCTATGCACGCGGACACTCTCGACTTGGAGCAATTCATGATGGAGAATAGCCCGCAGGCGCAAAACACCTCGGTTGTCCACAATACCCCACCACAAATCGACTCGTTGAGCAACTCGCAGTTTGCAGACTTCAATTTTCCTTACCAAGGGATCCCAGAACATGGACTGCATGTGGACACTCAACTTGACAATCCCTCCGCGCCGTACAACCTCTCTGCGCACCTATCCGACCATCGAAATTCGATCGGTTCGCTGCCGCCCGACCACCGGAACTCCATAACTTCAATGCCAGCTGTGCATAGGGGAAGCTTCAGCGGTGGCACGGTGGGACAAGGGAATACAAGCGTTAGCGGTGGATCTGACGAAGCCAGCCCTACAAGCAATCGTGCAAATGGAAGCCTCGACAAAGGCTACAACGACGAGTTCGGATTGAATAACGGAGGTGCTGTAGATGGCAGTGACCTGGGGACTCGAACGAAAGAGGAGAAAAATGATCCTACCCCACCATGGAGCGAGTTGAAAACCAAAGCAGGCAAGGAGCGAAAAAGACTTCCCTTAGCATGTATAGCTTGTCGGAGAAAAAAGATACGTTGTTCTGGCGAGAAACCAGCTTGCAAGCATTGTCTAAGATCACGGATACCGTGTGTTTATAAGGTTACTACCCGGAAAGCCGCACCTCGGACGGATTACATGGCAATGCTTGACAAACGCCTGAAAAGAATGGAGGAACGCATTATTAAAATTGTACCAAAGGAGGAGCAGGACAGTTCTGCGCCTTCAGTCGTGAGGGCAAGTGTTAAACCCACGATTCCTGGCACTGCACCCCTAAAAGCTGGTTCAAAAAAGCGACCTGCCGACGAAGCTTTTGGCGCGGAGCTGGAGAACTGGTCGAAGACTGCAGCAGCTACGCAATTAGATTCTACCAAACCTACCTCACTCATGATCCAGGAAGCCGAGGAAAGCAAACTTCTTTCCGAAGGTGCAGATGCCTTACCGTCCAAGGATATTCAAGAACATCTAGCGGAAGTTTTCTTCGAAAATCTTTACGGGCAAGCATACTATGTCCTTCACAAACCGAGCTTCATGCGCAAATTAAAGTATTTACAACGGCCCGAGTTTTGTGATATCTGGCTAATTCAAATGTAGAAGCGGTACCGTTCCCCCGGTTCTGATTCTAGCTGTATGTGCGGTCTCTGCTAGGTTCTCGACTCATCCAAAGCTCAACACATCACCGAACTTCTTAAGAGGGGAAGAATGGGCGTCTGAAGCTAGAGATATAGTCATGAGGCGTTATGAGTGGCCGAACATAACTATTTTGACTTGTCTACTGATACTCGGTCTGCACGAATTCGGGACTTGTCAGGGAGGAAGAAGCTGGTCACTTGGTGGTATGGCAATTCGGATGGCTTATGCTTTACAGCTACATCGAGATCTCGATTACGATCCTTTGAAACGGAACGGTACGGCCGAGCTGAGCTTCATTGACCGAGAGATACGGCGGAGGACAATGTGGGCTTGTTTTCTCATGGATCGATTCAATTCATCTGGGACAGACAGGCCTACTTTTATCAAAGAGGATACGATTAAGGTGCAATTACCAATTAAGGAGAAGCTTTTCCAACTCGATATGCCTGGTCCGACGGAAGACTTGAAGGGAAACGTTCCACACCCTGTCTCGCCCGGCCAAGGACAACTTTCAGACCCAAGAGAGAATATGGGCGTGGCAGCATATATGACTCGCTCCATTGCTCTATGGGGTCGTATCATCAATTACTTGAACTTGGGTGGAAATGATCAAGATCCACATCCAATGTGGCACCGCGAATCGACCTATACCGAATTATTGAAAGAGTGTGAAGGCTTCAGCTCCACATTGCCTGAATCTCTCGTATACACGACGGAGAATCTACATGCTCATGGAACTGAAGCCTTGGCGAACCAGTACTTATTTCTCCATATCACTTTGGCACAGTGTATGCTGTTTATGAATCGATTTGCGGTTCCAGGTCATTCCGGAGGTCGTGCACCTAAAGATGTGCCTAAAGAATTTGTGACGAAAGCAGGAGCAAAAGCATTCGAGGCTGCGAATCGAATATCCGAGCTATTGAAAGACGCCGAGTCTTATTTTGTTACCGCTCCCTTTACTGGTTATTGCGCCTTTTTGTCAAGCACTGTCCATATATTTGGCGTATTTTCCAAAAATCCTGCTATGGAAACAGTATCGAAGCGCAATCTAGCAACGAACGTCAAATATCTATCGAAGATGAAGAAATACTGGGGGATGTTCCATTTCATGTCCGAGAACTTGAAAGAACAGTTCAGAATGTGTGCTGATGCAGCTAGACAAGGCTCATCTGCAAACAATGCCCAGTCTTCAACCATATTTCAGTATGGAGATTGGTTTGATCGGTACCCTCATGGTGTCTCTCACTCCGATTTTGAGGACCCAGTAGCGGGAACGAAGAAAGAAAGAGGAGATGATGCAGTCTTGGAGCAAAAATCCGATTATCATACCGTGGAGGAGTTTTTCCATACCCTTTCTCCATTGCAGCCACAAGACCGTGAGTCGGCTAAGCAACCCAAACGAAGGGCAAAGAAATCACATACAGGTCGTCCAGATCCGCATTTACAACAACAGCAGCAGCAGCAACAACAACACCACCAACATCGTCGGAGCCTTGACCGTGTAAATACAAACATTCAAAACATGAGCCCGACCGCTGCTATGCATATGCAGAATAACCCTCAGATGGCGCAGAACTACAATCATATGAGTCCGACATCGCCTGTGAATATGTACAATCAAGGACAATATTATGGTCACGATGTTATGCTGCCTCCACACCAACAAGGAATCTTGCCACAATTGGATAGACAACTTGTCTTTGGCGCATATGGCGGAATGGATCCTTCTCTCGGTTCACATAACTTACTTGACGGCACCAATTGGGATATGCAGATGGGTGGAATGAACGGCTTCGTGACGGAACCGAGTAGCGCCTGGTTTATGCCATTCAATATGGAACCACCAGAAATTGGTCAAGACGTGGATATCTTCAACGCAGGTCTGGGAGGCATGCACTTGAATGGTAATGGCAATATGGGTGGACATGGTGGTCATCGTTAGGTATATAAGATATCATACGGCGCATGGTGTTCTGGATAAGGCGCTAAGAAAGGCTTTGGAAGTGCCTTGTTTTGTATACCACCCAGGACTCACGGAAATTAAATTGGGAGAGTGACTGGGACCAAGCGGTTACTTCCAAATAGGAATAACAATAATGATAAATGTACCCACAGTGTCGAGATAAGCTCTGTACAGTCTTTGATGATCTTGTATTGGCTTGTGTGAGCTTGACCTGGGTTAGCACCTGCCACATGCATGCAGAGAACCTTAAGCTCCATGAAGGTGACTGTGGAGATATTGAAGGACGGTCGTGGGGTTGATAATCCTGTCTCGCGGACCCTTATTATTTGAACCATTTACAAGCATTCGCTTCACTTCTGAGAAGCGAATATTCGACTGTAAACAAATCCACCCACGACAAAGATTTCATACCTAGACGATATTCAAATTTAACATCTTCCAGCGATCATACAGTACAATCTTATTAAGCTCTTCACATGTACCACATCCATAGCTCAAGCTTCAGCACAGACCTTCCACCCTTCCCACGTGCATCTCCCTTGCATACCCGCTCACACCCACGAATATCAAGTTCGTATCCTAGCATCATTGAGGGATTTATCAGTCATTCCTCCAAACAACAACCACATCCACATCATTCAAAGGATGTATGCGCGATTTTGGCCTCCTCGAATCTGGTTGCGACGATAACATTGTCGATGCGGATCCGTGGCTTTTTTTCTTATACCAGGAATTCGAAGTCTGGTGGGTTGAGATGAGATGATCTTTGGGATATGGATATGGGTTAGTTGCGCGTGAGGCAGTGCAATGGTCTGGGGGGGATAAGTAGGTGTTGAGATCGCCGGGTTTGTTTGGGGATTATAGTTTTTTTTTTTTCGTGGTCTTCGTTCTCTTTAACTTCTCGCTTTGTGCTCGTTCGTCGTCTTCCTAGCTTGAAATCAGAGGACATGACAGACGCGGAACCGCTTCAGCATGTTCAGTTTGGCGATGGGATTCGGCCTGTGAAGTCGAGGAGTAGCGCGTTTGGAGAGAAGGCTATGCATGAGAATCAGGTGGTTGGCGAGAAAGTCAAGGAGATTGATGAGGAGGAGTTGGCTGTTAGGGAGATTGCGGATCAGGATTTGAATAGTAAGAAGAAACAGGTCAGTTTTCTCTTCGAGAGGTGAAAGAGTTGCAAACTAATGTGTGCTGGAGACTTACACGGGATGGATGCTTCTTTGGCTGTCATATCAGTCTACTGGTGTTATTTATGGTGATATCGGTACTTCGCCATTATACGTTTATTCCTCGACCTTCACAAGTCAGCCGAGTTATGAAGACTTGGTCGGCGCGCTTTCTATTATCATATGGTCCCTTACTTTGATGGTGTCTATCAAATACGTTTTTATTGTTCTGGCTGCAGATGACGATGGTACGCACACTCTAATTCTCTAAACTCATATCCCGAGCTATGCTGACAGTCTTAATAGGTGAGGGAGGAACATTCGCGCTTTACAGTCTGCTTGCCCGATATGCGAACATTGTGCGAAAAGACCCGAATACTGCTGGTACCGTGAAGATGGAGAGACATCTTACTGGTGATCTGAACCCGATGAATAAAGGCGTCAGAAGCTTTATCGAGAAATCCTCGGTCATGAGATTGACTTTGAAATTGCTTGGTGTGATAGGTGTGTCTATGGTTATGTCGTAAGTTGATTTTCCTCAAAAAAAGATATAAAACTTTATGCTAACTTATCTCAGTGACGGAGTTCTTACGCCAGCTCAATCTGTTCTTGGTGCCATTCAAGGACTTCGCGTCGCTCAGCCAGATATTACTACTTGTAAGTTCCGAGTATTACCATCACTCCTACAAAGCTAATTATTGATAGCGACCATTGTTGGAGTAACTTGCGCAATCCTGATTCTTCTTTTCGCTGTCCAGCCCTTCGGTACAACCAAAATAGCCTCAAGCTTTGCGCCTATCGTCATCGTCTGGCTCCTCTTCAACGCTGTCTGCGGAATTTACAACCTTTCGATGCACGACCACACAGTCTTGAAAGCATTCTCTCCCTACTTTGCTGGTCAATACTTAGTACGCAATGGTGAAGAAGGATGGAGATCTCTAGGTGGTCTATTACTAGCCTTTACTGGCGTTGAGGCTTTGTTCGCCGATCTAGGAGCCTTTAGCAAGAGAGCTGTACAGATTTCATGGCTCGGATTCTCATTCCCCTGTTTGTTGTTGGCTTATATTGGTCAAGCAGCATATATCTCCAAGGTGAGTCAATTGATTGGTTGTATGTGAGCTTAAGCGACTAACGAACGACTTCTAGGATGCCACAGAGGAAGCATACACAAATCCCTTCTTCAACACTGTACCACCGGGAACTTTCTACTTCAGTCTTGTTCTCGCGGTTCTTGCAGCGGTTGTGGCCTCACAGGCAATGATTACTGGTAGCTTTCAGTTGTTGGCTCAGGTGATGAGGATGTCTTATTTTCCACATATCAAGACAGTCCATACCTCGAAGCTTTTCCATGGACAAGTGGTACGTACTTTCATTGAATTCATCATTAATATAATCTAACTTAGCACAGTACATGCCATTCGCAAACTGGCTCCTCATGATCGGAACCGTAATTGTTACAGCAGTTTACAGCGACGTAAGTCTCCTTACTAATCTCAATTAATATGTCCACTAACAGTCTTCAGACAACCCGACTTGGCAACGCCTATGGTGTCTGTGTTATTGCTGTGACCTTCATAACCACGCTAATGGTGTCACTGGTCGCCCTCATTATCTGGCGCATAAACCTCTTCATCGTCCTCTTCTTCCTCCTAGTCTTCGCCTGCCTCGACGGCGTATACCTCTCTTCCGCCCTAACCAAAGTACCCAAAGGAGCCTGGTTTACCATCATGCTTGGTGCCATCCTATCCATAACCTTCGTCCTCTGGCGCTTCGGCAAAGAAAACCAATGGACCTCCGAAAAAGAAGACCGATTCCAACTATCCCACCTCCTGAAGAACGACTCGGCAGGAGACCTAATGTTAACCGAGCAATTCGGCGGCATGAAAATCAGCACCGTCGGTGGAGTTGGCATTTTCTTCGACAAGATAGGTGACATGGTGCCAATTGTCTTCACGCAGTTCGTCCGCAAGTTCAGCGCCAGACCTCAAATCATCGTTTGGTTCCATCTCCGTCCCCTCTCAACCCCAAGTATCCCAGAAAGCGAACGCTACGTCGTCCAACGCACGTCCTTACCCTACAGCTACCGTATCACAGTCCGTCACGGCTACCGCGACGACATAGTCTCTCCCGATCTCGCACGTCTCGTCATCGAGCAGCTTGTCCTCTTCATCACCCGTGATACCGGTCGCTCTTCATCAACTACATCAGCGCGCAGTATCGAGCATTCTCCGGCTGTGCAGCAGGAGCTACATGTCCTGACTAAGGCGGCGCAGGATCAGGTTGTGTATGTGATGGGCAAGGAACAGATGAGGATTAAAGCTGGGACGGGGTGGGTTAGGAGAGGGTTGTTGTGGGCGTTTCTGTGGATCAGGGAGAATAGTCGGACGAAGATGGCGGATATGGATATTCCTGTTGAGCAGTTGGTGGAGGTTGGGTTTGTTAAGGAGATTTGAGGGGGGTGCTGTGGTGTGGCTGAGAAGCGAACTACATTTGAAAACTTAGGCAGAAGTCAAGCTTATCATGTAGCGCAATGCTCAAGATACCACATATCACGCTCATGTATCACCACCCTCGGTTTTAGATAAAATGTGTAACTTCATATGTCTACAGGTTTACTCACTTCTTGCCTTCCGCTCGGGAGCACCATGTTCAACCGGATGAACACCATTTATTCTATGGCTTTTATAAACACTATTCATTAATTCCCCTTACATAAGTAATTATTAACTAACACAACTTCCACTAAGCAACAGGCTTAACCCTTCCACCCTCACAAACACCACTTAGACTTTCACAAGCAACAGTCAAGTTCCCACTCCCATTCCCGATCCAAAACAAGAATGGCTGTGTCGCACTAACAGGAATAACCCAATTCTGCTGCACCGTATCCCAAACACTGAGATCGCGTCTCGTCACACCGATACTCAGCACTTGATTCCCACCCGGCACCAACGTCTCCGTCTTCTCGAAATTCCTTAACTGGATGACAGGCGTATCGTATGGAGAGTCCGACGGATGTTGCAGGAACACCATGACGACTTCTTTGCCCGCTACGCTGCCGGTGTTGATTACGGTCACAGAGAGCGTGAACATGATATCCCAGAGCGCCGGGTTTCCGCCTTCGTCACCGCCAGATGGGGGGTCAGGTTTAGGAGTCGTCGAGTATCCGGCTGGGTAGTTGTATTTTCCTGTCGCGGTTATGGCGGAGGGGTTGTCGATGTAGGGGTACAGGTAGCGCCAGATCCGGGGGAAGTTGCTGGGCCAGGCTACTTCTGCTGCGGCTGGGATGGCAGAGGTGTAGATTGGAGTGGAACCCTTTGGTGCGCGCGCCGGAGGGAGAGCGGAGAGGGGGATGTTGGAGGTGAGTATGAGGGCGGAGTAGGAGAATGTGGTGTAGGATAGTCCGGTGCCGAAGGCGTAGCGGGGGGCGATGGAGTGTTTGTTGAGGTAGCGGTAATCGATGTAGAGGCCTTCGGAGAAGGTGTCTTGGACTTGGAAAAATTGGAAGCCTTTGAGACTTACGGAGGCTGGATAGTCGTTCTCTTTCTTAGGGATCGAATAGGGTAGATGGCCACTTGGAGAGTAGTCGCCGAAGAGGATGTCTGTGAGTGAGTTTCCTGCTTCTTGTCCTGGAAGATGTGCAAAGACAATCGATTTCACGGACGGAAGATCTGCCCATTCTTCCACGAGTATCGGCCCTACGGTGTGGACCACAACAATCACAGTTGCATACTTGGCAGCGGCGGATTTTACGAGTGCATCGCCGTTGTGCCAGGCGTAGAGACCACTTGCTGAACGATCACCATTATTGCCTTCCACGGTATGTTGGTTCTCTCCGGAGTCGCTGCTTATGAAAACAATTGCGATGTCTCCGGCAGTGGCCATAAGACCTCCTGGGAAGGAGTCACTCGAGTAGTAAGTCACAGCTGAAGCTCTTCGCTTAATTGCATCTATCGGAGCATCCATGTAAGGATAATTTGCAGTTCCTGTGCAGTCAGTTATTTGGAGATCAAAGAATCAATCATTGAGCTTACCACTCCCCCAGCCCATTCCAAGAACACCTTTGTTGCAATTGCGTTGATTGCAAGCATTAGGACCGTCAGGGTTTGTCTGAGCATCTGAGCCGAAGACTTTTAGAGTAGCCGAAGAAGACAAAGGTAATGTTTTGTTATCATTCTTCAACAGCGTGATGGCTTCTCGAGAAACCTGTCGGGCGATAGATGCGTGATCTCCTTGAACATTGACATATTGGTTTACAGCGCAAGTGGGCGAGATAAGTGCAGCGGGGTAACACGGTCCTTCACGATCAGCAGTGTTGGCTGAGAAATTTGGTAGAGGATAATCTTTGTCTTGACCAAATTGAAACCAGGTTGCAACAATTCGAGTAGCCATGTCGTTTAAGCGCTCGAGCGGAACAGTACCGTTCAAAATGCTTTTAGAAAGGTCGGATGCCCAGTAAGACAACCCAAGGAAAGGAATTGCACCATCTCCTGCGTAAAATTAGTTTTTCTTTTTCTTTTCATTTACTTTCCTGGGCGAGGAAAATAATTTCCTGTGCATTCTTACCCGGCATTGACATATCAAGACCTGACAATGCTGCCGAAACTCCTCCAATGTGAGATAGCCAGTCACTCATGACCTTTTTGTACATTAAGCAGGTTGTACCAAAAAAGAAAAGCAAGCACGGATATTACTTACCAAGCCCTGGAAACCAAATTCATCTTTCAAGATACCATTGATCAACTTGCTGTTTTGTGATGCCGCACTTCCGTTCACATCATTGTAACTTGTCATAACTGCACCGACTCCAACTTTGATGGCATCCATGAAGGGCCAAGCGTAAAGCTCGTGCAATGTTCGGTCGTCGATATTAGCGCTAAGTGCTTTCATGGTGCCATGAGGAACTATGTCCATGCGATACTAAAACCGAATATTAGACTTACGTGAGCACTTACAGAACTTTTTGAGTCAAAGGATGTTACTTTACCTGCTCTTGCTCGTTGGCGACCCAGTGCTTGACGGTGGCTATCACACCATTGGCTTGCATTCCTTTGATGGTCTCAGATCCTCCAAAACCTTGGAGACTAGGATCAGCACCAAAGCCTTCCCAATTCCTTCCTCCTCGTGGTTGCCTTCCAATAGGACCTATCGTCGGGCCAAGTTGAATATTGACTCCCTTTCCCCGTGCTTCTTGGCTCAATGCGTCTCCCCTAGCATACATCAATGATTTTGAGAATGTAGCCCCAGTTGTGATTCCAGCTGGAAAAGCGGTGATGTTATCTGTAGCAGCGATTCCTAGCGCGGAGTCTTGGAGACAAAGATTCGGAATCCCAAATCGCGGAGCAGATCCAGTGTTTCCCACACATGGCCCCATCAAGAACCCCGTTCCAGTCGTCATATTGACCTTTTCGGACAATGTCATATTTCCAACTACTTTCTCGGCCTTTGCGTAGGCTGCACTCCAGCTTGAGACCCAACCCCCTTTAGGAGTGGGATAATATGGTGAAGCGACATATCCAGCGGGGACATCGTCTCGCTTTTCAAATGCGAATTCTTGTGAGGATTGCAGTTGGGTGATTTTCGCGTATTCTCCGGCGAAATCATATTCTGCTGATATTGCCAACACACCTTGACAAACCACGAACAGGGCCAAGCAATAACGTACAGACGACATAACGGACAGTGGTTGAAGTTCTCAAACGGGGATTTTGGAGGACTTGGAGGAGAATAAGGAGGCTCCGTAGAAGTTGTGCTTGTGGCTGATCTCAGCCTTAGACCTTTGTGTAAGTCTAAGACAGTGCTGAAAGGGAAGCCACTACCACAAGCATCAACTCGTCTGGCGTTACTCAAGACGAAGAAGGAGCTGAGAAAAGCAGGTACCTCTGCTATTGCTTTACGGAACGTCAAATATATACTACTTACGTGCTACCATCGATCGTGTCTCTAAGCGAGGGCATTATTATCGTTGCTATAACCAAAGGAGATGAGTTCCGCATCTGGCTGCAATCGCCAGGTACTCCGCAATGTCTATTTCGTGGCGAGTGAGGCGGTGTCTGCTTGTGGAACGATATCTAGGCAGTATGGCGATCATGTCCTCAATCATGAAATGCTGTTAAATGCAGAACCTGGTTTTTTCGCCATGCACCCAGGTTTCCGCCCTGCTTGTGTCGGTTCAGCTGCTACTTTGAGCTTCCTCACAGGGTCATTTCGCCGTCTTGGTGCAACGACGACATCGTGTAAAGAATTGGGACGGAGCCGAGGCACCTTAGAATGTCGTAATTTGTGACATTTGATCTGAAAGTTGCAGTTGCGAAGGACATTTCTGAAATGAGAGAAAAAAGAAAATCGCTTCGATTACTGCATATGGACTACAATTCGTGCACGTCTGGCTGCAACCCTATCACCTGGCTTTCTCATCACGTGCCGGTATGTTGACCTCCAATCTAGAATGTTGTTATTTTAGTCTAACCTAGCAATACGACAACTTACTGTTACCCTCTAAAACTCCTGCGTTATTGTTATCTTATAGTGGGGCAGCACATAAACACCCTCGAGACCTCTGGCGGTTTCGCTTAACCTCCTCGTCCTAAGTCGAGGTCTCCTATTCTCTCGCTCTTACCTTCAATTTCCATGGCATAAAAACGAAGAATTAAATTCTATCGACATTAAGATTTCTTCTGAGTTCATCCTAGAACGGATTTCCCAACCTATATATGGCATGTCTGCATTGCGCGTTCAAGAGCAGGCCAACATGGGGAATTTTCGGAGGAATCACCTCATTACAATACGCGAAGGTGTTAAAGTGCGTTAGATTCCTCTCATGATCTGACAGCAGCTTCAGTAGGGCTCTTCGTATCAGAACCCTTGTAATTTCTTTGTCTTTCGATATCTCTCAAGCTGCTTCCGGCGTTTTCTTTCTTCTTTAAGATCTACCTTATCTTTGTTTCAAAATATCATAAATGTTTGTCCTTCATTCACATCTTCGATAAAAAATCCTTGCATCTATCAAAGATTTTTATGTCACGAGTCTAAGCAAGATAATCCGAAATGGAGAATACTCAACTTGCCAGAAAAGTTGCTCGAGACAAGAGAGAATTTGATAACACTTGTAAGAAGTCGTGAACGATCACCCTTCGAGAATCTATAGCTGACTGCAATTTGTATAGATCATCCTGGATTGGATGCTGCGGATCTCGTTCACTTTGTTCATGACCTCAAAATCTCCGAGCCAGAAAGCATTCCAAAAGCCGAAGGATATGAAGACCCCCGAGATATAGACTCCGAAAGGGTCTTGTGTCATAACTGCGGCTGGACCGGCGGTAACGAAACTAGCAGCTACTACACCTCGCGTCTCAAAGTCATGTATGCTCACCGCAACTCCTGTATCTGGGAACTAAGTAAAGGCGGCCCATGGCTCTTGAAAGACTACCCTAATCAGCCTCAATCGCCTTGCGTGAAGGATTACGTTGCCCGCCAGTTCGTGCGGGAGAAGGCACCAAGCGTTCCTATTCCTGAATCATTCAAATTCGATGGCGTGGACAACAAGTTTACTTTCGAAATGATGGCTCGTGCTAAGGGGGTCCGATTCAGCGAGGCGATAGATAATGGTCTTTCCGATCAAGACAATCTGGATGTGAACTTAGACCTCGCAGAACACATAAAACAATGGCGCAAGATCACTAGTCCCCGAATGGGAGGTATAAACGGCACAGAGCTGTTGGACTCGTTGATCGGCAATTGTACGGGTTGGGGCTGTATTAATACAGGTGCCAATGAGGAAGATTGGTTGGAAAATCTCACTCCGGGACTCAAAAAGGGATTGTTGTGGCCAAGTTTCAGACATAAAGAATGGCGCGAAAAAGATGAGGCAGTCCTAGAATCTTGGAGTAAAAAAGCAGACGAAGAGATCGCCGAGCTCAAGGCAAACTTCCCAAAAGGTGGACCATACGTGTTAACTCACTGTGATCTCAACGCCGACAATATCTTTATCTCAAATGACAACAAGGAGAACAAGTGGAAGGTTTCGGCAATTATTGACTGGGAACTTGCTGGATTTTACCCTTGGTGGGTTGAAGTATTTAGGGGAGACTTTTGGGGGGTCCTGAGCGACACATTTCTCACGGAAACCGAATCTGAGAAACTCAAGAATATTCGGGAGCCTGTCGAAAAGGTCAGGCAAATGTGGGAGTATGGCGGTGGCATTAGTAGCTCGAGTAAGCATGGATTAGATGCCAACAACTGGTTTCGTAAACCATTTTGTGCATGTTACCCACATGTTGGTAATCTAAAGGAGAATATGTTAGGATTGGATGATCAGGGACATCTTGATATATTTGATGTTGACTCCGAGGTTTCGGATTCGGAGTTTGATGAAGAAGCGGATAAGGACAAACATTTTGACAGGCGAGCTAGATTGTTTCAAAGATGGATCAACAAGATAAGCAAAAAGACTGCAGAAGAGTAGAAGGTGTGGCTTTGCTGCAGACAAGCACTATTGAAAATCGGTCTTCCAAAGCAGATGCTTAGATTTGTTGTGCGTGGTGCTTGATTATCTTCTCCTCCTGAGCACGCTTTCGCTTTGAGCTGGTTCGTTACGTACTATAATTCTGTTATCACTCGTTATGCTTTAGTTATCGTAATCTAATAATTTGCTGTCTTCTTTAATTTAAGAAAACAAATGGACACCTTTTACCCCTACTGTAGAGTGTTTAGGAAGGGGCCAACATCCTTGGCAAGAATACTAAAGACAATCGAAGGACAAATAACAAATCCTTTTGCGACATAATGCCACAGAGTCTCACTCAATAAGGAAGCGGTATAATTACACGTCAAGAAATACGAAACAAATGTGTTGCTCTGTCTGCACTAGCTAACAAGCAGACTTGCACTAGCTAACAAGCAAACTTCCTCTGCTGAGGTGAGTTCCACTTCCATTCTCATGTCCATATTCGTGAAATGGGGTAGATGCCGATCAATTTCGTTGGAAAGTTGGCTCCAAAAAACTACCGGGTACTGTCGTGGTATGTTAGCATGAAGTTCTCAATTCTCGTTCTCTGAAATGCTTACTCTCGCCTACAATGTCGACAAACTGCTCCCATTCACCCTCAGTTATTTCGCGCCAGCAGCGTGCATTTGCACGTGCCTCATTCTTTCTGAAGATAGAAAGCTTCCTCTGCCCCCCAGGCCAGTGCAGAAACAAAACGGTCTTCATGTTGTTGTCCAAAGATTGGTATCCAAACACAGCAACGTGAAGGTCTTCGGCGATGGCCACCGTTGCACTTCTCATTGTCGTTCTTTTGACTGGGTCGCTGCAGAACGGGTGGATAACGAAGATGTTCCACTGAATAGCAACCAGATTACCAGATGTGTTACGGGCGTGAGTGGATTTCGTCACCAACCAGCAAACAACAGTGCAAAATCTTCTTTATATTTCAACCCCTCATTCCGCTCCAAATTCAAAACATCAATCGCCGGCGTGTTTCCCCACAAGTACTTGACTCCCCCGAAAGGATTATGCCAGTTCTGCGATGCCTCATTGCTCGCCCAGTGCGGTATTCGACCTTCAAGATCCCATGCCGGACGCCAGGACGCATTGCTTAGTGGTAATTTACACGATTTCTTGTGGTCTGGCTAGTGGGCTTTTTGACAATCGACGTCGCAGTACTGATGTCTGTGTCAGAAAATTCTAATGGTTGGAGGTAGTAAGATACTAACAACGACGAGCTTGCAATTAGCACATGATTTTGTGCCCTGTTTGGAGCAAACGGATATCCCGGGAGTCCAATTTGAGCAGGAAGGTGGGAGGACTGGAGGTAGGGTCATGGTTTTTTGGTGTAGATCGAGAATTAGACGGAGGAAAAGATGAGATTGAAATGAAAATGGAGATTGTTTCATTGCTTTTACAAAAGTGAAGACGATATCTGAAGATGAGGTTGTTGTGCTGCTTTATGTGAGATTCCCATGTATGTACCGATAGCAACCCTGTGTCACATACTTAACAGAGAGGATTAGCTCAAGTCTACTGCGTTGATGGCCAATAGATTATCATACCTTGACAAACGGAAATCGTCTCTACCTGAATGCCTCCGGCAAGAAGAATGAAAGTAAAAACAGTTGAGAATTATGCGTACTTGACACAAAGCTTCGCGTCAATTGATATCTGTCCTGAGGCGATACCGTCGAAAAGTTGATGTGATGGAAATACTTTGAAGAAGCTCAGATCATCACTCAATATAAAAGATTGAGATGTCACCTTAATAATGCAAAACTATTTATGATAACTATTTTCCGATCTTGACTTTGTTCCTACGCAGTATTCCATTCTCGTGACTGCATATAACTGTGCTGCTATTAAGCATTATCAAGCCGACAGGATCAGTTGTACTAGACTTTAATAAAGCCGAATCAAAAGCAGAAGGCAGAAAGAAGACTAGTGTTCTCTTTCTGTAACTCGACATAGGAAACGCTTTTAAAATCACTGACTAGGTAAGTATACTGATAAGAGACAAACTTCGTTACCCACAGCTCTATCAAAAAGAAGTAAGTCGGTTACGGATCTGGGAGTTGATTGAGGTTGTTGGTGTTGTGTGGTTCTGGCATGACAATAAAGACTAAGTGTTGCAAGAAACAGAAGAACTGTCTTCACAGGCTAGTAGCTTAGCTACAAGACCGACTTATGAGCCGAGTAGTCATTGTGGAGGCACTATAGGATGCTTCAGCTACCTACGAATCAAGCATCTTGAAGTATATAGAGGAACTCGATTGGTGGAACTCAACCAACCGGCCAGATACTCGGTGCCAACTTCACATCAACCAGACGCTGAAGCCATTCCGAACGGAAGATATCTTGCATCTGCAATCCTGTTTGAAATCCTGAACTCACACCAGTAATACATTTACACTCGGTCAATTCGGCAAGACCACAAACTCGGCCAGGACAATGTCTCACCGAACACCCAATAGCTTGTGCAGCGAGTACGTACCGCCGACTCATCCGCTAGTTCTTGCTTTAAGATTGTTTTCGTCGCTTGAAGTGAGTACGTGATTTACCTATCAAGAAACGACGACTTTCCTTTTTCATCATGCCACTTCTCGTTAGTGAGTTATAATATGAGTTATATAGGTGTTTCAAAACGCAATACGAGAAGCTGCTTTGACCAAACGCTCTCTGCACTGCCCATCTTTAAGCGCAGAATGGAATCAAGTGACTGTGTTTTCTTTCACTGAAACGATGCACGACATCGACATCTTATACTCTGTATTCATGCAGTAAATGTACCACTTCCTTGGTCGATCTTAGCTGTGGACCTTTCAGCTTAGCCAGGATAAATAGGTGAGTGCCGAATAAACGAATTAGGTATCTAGTCCGACTAAACACCACCAGCTCCTGAATCCGGGGGAATTCGCAGGTCTGCTCATGCGGTCATCACCAACTCCTGCGGCAACTGGAGGCGCCCTATCGCCTTCTCAAACAGGGAATACGATAAGCAAGTACCGGACGATAGGCTCGCAACCCAGCGTGCTCGTGAAACATGAAACAATGCTTCCACGACTTCAACCGGATTGCGGTGGGCGCCTAAGGGTTACGAGGATTCCAAAAACCACGGTGCTGGGAATGCGAAAGCCGATGTGATGCGCGCGGCGGTTTAGGGATAGACGCGCGGGGAGGGGGTTGGAGATGTTTAGACCAGGACTCCATGGGTCATATGGAGGGGTCTTGATTGAGTCTGTTTGTTAGTCAAATACGGAGTACTCCGCTTGCAAATGATATATCGGAAAACAAACTTGTATCGACAACGGCCAAGGTTAGATATGGCTCGTTGCGGCTGGTCGAAGTATTGGTAGAGTTTAATGCATTAAGCTTCTTTCATCAGCCTCACGTAACTGTGCAGGTGAGTTTCTTTGGGATAATAGGTCAAAGGACGGTCTCGTGATGACGACCTGGCCTGCACTCAAAGTAAACGTCAAGTGACCTTGATGAGACCGGTTTGCGACGGCGACTCTTTCCTAACTTGTTTGTTATACAAGCTTGAATGGCCGAGGTAGGTCTCCTTGGGTTGATTGATTCTATGGTTCCACGTTTCCTGGGAATAGCGGAGGTGGTCATGAACGTTGTTGGCGGTGTGGTAACTCTCCTCACCGTACTCCGTTTCTAAAGAATTTCCATCAGGTGTTTGGCAAGACTCGACGACCAAGCAGGGAACTTGATGGCGACCCAACCCTCGCTGCGCGAATCACGGACGGGTAACCCATTCTTGAAGATCTTCCCGTCAGTAGCTCCCGGATCCCGATGTCTTTTTCGTGAAAATAGAAGCGTTTTGCAACTCTGAATTTAAGGTTTGGATAACGGTACCGTTCCTAGAGTAGTTTAGCTCTATAGTTTTAATTAATTTATACTTTAAAGTCATCGGAGCTCCGATAATCTAATCTAGCGTTTTAGAGAGTGCAGTGCTCGAGTACGAGTACTGTGCTTCTTGAGGTGACCACGTCAACCCGATCGCAGGTGATCTGCCGGGTCTCATATACTAGTAGCCAGTACCGTTGGCGGTAGTTGGTGTTGGTTTTCGTCATTGCTGCCATTCAGACGATCACGGACAGTCCGAATACTTTAAAGCACCTGGACGGTGTGCATTGCTAAAAATAGCATTTTCGAAGCTACACCGCTGACTAAAATGATTTTCCTCGCTTGAATCAGCACCGCCACAGACAACTCACTCTTTGCCACAGACGCCTCATCATAGATGCGTTTGTCTGCCTACGCTGCTGCAGGACAACAAATGATCATGCCCGAACCAGATGAAAGTTGGTAATTTCATCTGTGCCTCGTGTGTTGCTCATGGTGTTGTTACGAGTACGGAGTATTCTTGTTGTATGTTGCACGTACTCGTACCTCTTCAACTTCCAGGTTAGCTGCACGTCCCAATGAGGAATGGCTGGGACTCGGGGACTAGTACCAATGGCTCTCCGTTCTCTACCCAATCACTGCCCGGAAGCGCCCATGTCTTTCGCAAGTGAACTCTGGTCAACTTCGACGTCAACGAATGAGGATATCAAATCGCCTTTTCATCTCACCTGACTTCCACCTAACCAAACCTCCAACAAGGATGACATTTTGGTGACAACCCATCGACAGGCTCGCAGAGCTTCTCATGAGTTCGAACCGTCCAGGGACAGCCGGAAATGCCTTGAGATGCGGGAATCCAGCCCACCACCCCCCAAAAGCATCGCGATTTGATTGATGTAAACGGTCATCCCCATACCGAGTTCAGGGACAGAACCGAAGCTATCGCTACGTTATGCAGGAGTCTCTGCTTCTGGCCTCGAGCTTTGCTCAAGAGATCCAGTCCAACGCGGTGCGCGACTCGACGAGAGACCAGACTGCAACACAAGAACGACGCGGCGCCATGCAGAAGCTTTTGAGCCCGGCAGAGGGGCTCGAAGAGAATATGATCAACACACAGCATCAATATGCACGATAGAGGAAATGTTTCACAATCCACCGACATTTGCTGCCGGTGCTGCGTTCTCTGCGTTCTTTGTGCGAACGTATGCAGGTCATCGTCGCGGCCAGCGTCACCAGGACGACTCTGTTGCCTCGCCGTGCGGTCGCCGCTTGCACATGGGATCAGGAAGGTTACCTGTGTCTTTGGGAAGTTGGTGTTGGGAGGCCCAGAGGGTGTAAGCTACACTGAGTGGTGTATTACTGTAGTACCCTGAGTCTACAACATTGACCCCTTCCTCCTCGGCATCGCTTTGCGAGATGGCATGGGCTGGTTATTTCAGCCTTAGCCACTCATTCAAGTCTTACCTCGTCCCTCGATCCCAGAAGAAACTTTATCTCGTCCCAATTCGGAAGTCTGACTTGGAGGGTTCTTCATCTGTAATTTGGAACCTGCTAGAGATGGCCGATGGCGCAGAGGTAATCTCCTTGCCACGCGAATAGAAGGTTCTCTCCTACAGATGTTGACATGACCACGGACCTGGCGAGTACTGCAATCGGCAAAAGCGCAACAGAGGTATCAAAACATATGTGGGGTCGATGTATCGTCGAGGGGCAATATCATGACTGGTCAAGGGGAAATACAGTAGTATGCGCGCATGAATGAGGATGGAGAAAGTCGCCAGTGATAGACGCACGAAGTGGGCAAAAGCACGACCTGCACGTCCTCAGCTACCTTTGTCCCGGGCCAGAGGTACTTTTGGTCGATGTTCTCCACCAGGTATTCTTTACTCGCTCGCCTCTACTTGCAAACCAGTTCTGCTGCTGTACCTTCCGTACTGTCCTTGCCATGCCGGGTTCAGTCTGCTTTGCTTCCCCTTTTCAGTGGGCTTCAGACTGCAAGTGCCAGCCTGAAGCGAGTATTTCTCCAAGCAAGGCTTTTTTTCTCGTTGACTGATGCCAGTTTGAAGCGTATATCGGAGTATGCACGTCTGCACGTATAGCCGGAAAAAAGAGGCGGTGTATTTTACCGAGCTCCACGACGACGCACCAAAAAGATCACCTCTGCACTGCTGCCCTGCTGCACCTCGACGAAGCGTCCAGGCGAACAGCCCCGGCTGCACAACCGACCAAGGGCCCACTGCCCACCTCCCAACCCGTCTACACCCACCCCCCGGCTCGATCAGCTGCCTGCCATATATCCCCCCGCCCTCCGCCTCACACAACTTTTCTTACCTCCTTTCTCTTCACGATCGTTGATCGGCATAGACATAATTCCCGTACGTTGGGACCCTTATATCTACTTATTACTTCTTTTATTTGTCGCCTTCCGTTTGTGTCCCTAACCTGTCCTCGCGCCGTCCCGATCCCGAATCCGAATCTACTATCCGCCCTCAATTGCCTCGCTCAGCGCATACCATTTGTCGCCAAAACCCCATCCCTTCGCGCTTCAGATCTCTACGATGCCTCCTCAACTTCTTCCTGCCTCGGCAGCAGCGTTCGCACCAAGAGCGACTTCCGTTAATGTCGTGTTAAGTTCAAAGGTCGAGCCGTGGTTAACTCAGACGCTCAAGCGCATCAACCGAGTCAAGCGTCCTCTCAACAGTGTACCTCAACACCAGAGATGTTTAACGGAAACGTTATCATCGTCAACCGCCATCTGGACTCTCACTTCACTCATGTTACAGAAAGCGCCTGAAGCGGACCTGCGCAAAGATTCAAACCCCCTCGTCGAAGCTTTGTTCAACTATCAACTCATCCACGTCGAAGCGTATATCGTGCATGTGGACATGGTCCTGAGGAATGAAGTCGCCTATAAACTCACACCCGACTCCATCGAATCGCTTATTGAGTACCACAAGGAAGTCCATTGTGTTGACATCTCCGCCAACACATACAACTGGTCCGAGAAGGAGCTTCAAGTCAAGAAGATACATGAAGAGTTCATCCAAGCCATCAACAAGTTTGTCTACCGCACGCATGTGACCGCACTAGAAGGATTGGAGGAAGACGGTGCTGGAGAATTGCTTTGCGGGAAAAGTGAAGAGGTCAAGAACAATATCATGGGTCTTTTTCTCCCACTTTTACCGCCACCTCCACGCATCGTTGACGTAGTTCGACCACAGCCATTGCTGCCCAGCTCGCCTGCAGGCGCAAACTGGTGGACACAATCAACCATCCAGACGTCAATTCCAGCGCCGGTCGATTCATGGAGAGTGTTGCCATCTAGTCCAAGCACTACTGCATCATCTGATAACAGTACTCTCTGGGCGAACATGGCGGTCAATGAAATTCAACTCCCATCACCCACTCCGTCTTTCAGCCAGCCATTCTCCTCAGCCGGTTACTACTACAGCTCTCCTCCGGTCAGCGCGCCTATTCCAGCTCTACCATTACCCAGCATGCTAGCTCAACAGCCTTGTGGCATTAGCGTCGGCTATGGTGGGTTCGGATGGGATAGTCGGTTCCAAGACTACGCGACAACCATGTGACAATCAAGGCCCAGTACTCTTACCAATTACTCTACTATCCAATACCATGGGTACTAGCTTGGGCAACACATCTCTTCCATGGTCTCCAGATCATTCCAAAAGCAATGGGTGGAACATTAGCATCAAGCAAGACTTTTAGCGGCATATTTTCATGATACCACATATACTCAATTAAGCGCTCGGGCATTCGGAGGCGTTTAGCATTCATCATCGATCAGCGATTCGAGCGACATTTTCAACTCCACGGGACACAAACAGGACCATGGCTTCAACCTTATTCCCCTTTTCTCTCTCCTCTCTCCAGTACATAATTCGGATACCAATTCCCTTTTCGTCTTTGATTTTTAGCGTAGCGTTTGCTTTTACATGCGGGTTGTCCTTTGTCCATATTTGCGAGATACCGGCTAGCTCGGTTGAAGATATTCTCTTCTTTTCATATCGTTTCGATTAGCATATGGCAGGACCGGAAATAAGGAAACTGGGGCGGGAATTTCGTGTTGAGCATTCAAATGGTTCTCCGACAACCTTTTCCTTTACCGAGATTCTTCACAAAGAAAGTACCTAAGAATGGGGAACATCGCAGCAATGCAGGACCAATGGCGCGCGCGGGCTTTTGATTTTTTGACCTTTTTCTTTTCGGATCCGAATCACCTTTCCTTTTTCCTCGGGTTAGATTTTATGAGGGGGAATAATTGTCTGCGATTTCGCGAGGATATACACCAACACATCACACGCTCTTTCGCTAAACACGATTTTCTTTTTCTCGTCATTTACGATTTACCGGAATACAACCCTTACGAAATCCCACGACCTGAAAACGACATTTCACCAAAACAACTATCGACGGCTTGATGTCTCTTTTGTTCTTTTGGGCATTTTTCGCATTTTCGGGAATATTGGGAAACATACAGGGATAACTTTTGGGTAGACAATAATGATGGATCAAGACACGTTTTACGAAGGATATGGGATATGGAAATTGGAGTATCGAATCGGGAAATCGGGCTGGGAAATCTCCACGACATTGATTGTTTGGGATCGACGACCTGGTAGAGTACGCTTGCGTACTGACAAAACCCTTATTCTCTAATCTTCTCTCGACGGGGATTGGAAGCCAGATATTCTCGCTGTGCGGGACTGGTGTAATTTTGCCCTTTCTTCTCTACTTTTACCACGCTGGAAAGGGTCCTGCTAGTCGGGACGCTTCGAAGAGCTGGCAACGGTGGAAGAAGGGGTTGTAGTCTCATACTCACTATATTCTCCACAAGACGCTCAGGAATGGGCGTTGGAGAGAGCTCTGTCTCGTGGTTGAGCCGCGGTCGGGGTATGGGTATGCTGGGTTTCTTGAGATGGGGGGTTGAGCCGATTGTACTGGGAACTGTGTTCTCCTATATACGGTTTGATACCGGGGAGAGGGGTTGAATAATTTGGGTGGTTGTGGTTTATATAGGTTTTGAAAACAGGAAAAAAAAAGGAAATTATTTTGAAATAAATGTGCCGCTGCTTCTGAATGTGCTGGTGATAGTGATTTGTGAAGCCACTTGCCTGCCTATTACCTACAACATACTCATTCAAGAAGTGTACACGATAACTCTGTACACACCATATCGAGCGCCGTAACCCGATTGTATCCTCGCCCGTGACGTTTTTGGGTTTGGTACCGAATATGCGGGGTGAGACGTGAAACCACAGTACAGTACACTTTCATCGTATTCGGGCCTTTCTCTTCTGGTGTAAGCGTTCTGGAAGGTCTTTTCGTCTGTTCGAAGCGAGTAAGGAGAAGGAGCCTGAGGAGGTGGGCAGGTGTGGTGGGGCTTTGTCTGTTGGTTTTGACGTTGGAATTTCTCATGTGAAAGAGCCATACTTCCAGAACGAATTCTTTTCGGATTGGTTACAGCAACCGGACGTGCCTGTATCGTAGGTCAACCAGACCTGGTCATTAGAGCATCAAAGAACCTCGGAGGCGTAAAGAGGATTTAAAAGTATTTGACTGTGTGACTATGTGTACGCGGAATCATGTCCCTAGGCTTACAATACGAATTAACACAATACGTGTTCTTTAACTGGAAAGCCTGATGAAGTGGGATTGTAGATGTGATTTTGTTTATCGAGATATAGTGATATGAAACACACTCGCGCGACTCTGGACCTTCGAGATTGTATGCTGTTAGGGCGGTGGGTGTTAGGGGTTCGAGATACGCGGGGATGGGATTAGAGGGGTGGATGACGGGGTTTTAGGGCGAGTGTGAGGGTTTTTTGTTGATAATGGAGGGAATTGAATGGTTTTTGGTGTGATGGGCTTGGTAGATAGATTTAGAGCTTTAATTGTTATGTTGAGTCGATGTTTTTAATGAATGGTTAGCCCCTGTTTTATAGGTTCTAAACCCTGAGATTTGTAATCTAGGACTTCACTTCCCCACAAGATACCTCGACCCCTTCCACAACGGGAGTTTTGTTTTGATAAATAATTCGCCGACCCAGAATCTCAAACGGGAACAGCCTTTTAGCTTAGGGACGGAACGTTCGATTTCCTTCCAAGATATGAATCTGGTTGGAGGGGGATGAAAGGCCAAAATTGGGACCGGGAACTGCCTTTCCTTAGCTCAGGCGACGGTTCTTGGATACTCGCAAACACGATTGGAGAGGAGTCGAAGACACTAAGAATCTAGCACTCCAATCCGAGCACCAATCAACTACTATTACCTAGCATGACCACCACAGCAAGGCGAGAACTAGCACATAACCAGATTCAGCTCTCGAATGTATTTTGAAGTGTATAGATGTAGTGTGCAACAACATACGTTTTGACCACCTCTTTACATGGTTTTTCAGAATTAGGAGACGCGTGGATTTGGGGAATACCGAGTGATGGTACTGTTAGAACGAGGTGTTGTGAATGAGGGGGTAAAGGGTAGGTACACCTGAAGAGGGGCAAGAAAGAGAGCAATTTGTAAGAGGAGTTTTTGAATTATATCATTATGTCTAGGCGAAACTCGCCATTTCCGGTCTGTTCTGGGAATCTACACTCCAGGCATCCCGATTACATTTCTCAATCCAGGGACGGCTCTTGGGAGGAAATAAGTCACGAATATGCCACTGAGAGCTACCAGTAATCCCGTAAGCTGTTAGAATGTTAGCATGTTTCAATATCTGCCATATAGAAAGGAGACATACCTTTTCAAACCACGTATGAAAATACGCTGCCGTCATCAACAGCATATAAACACTCAACCCCGCAACCCCCAACCCAATCTTCGCACCAATAGTCCATTGCGTCGGTCTCTGCACCGAAACATCAGAATCCAACGCAGCCTCCACCTCCGCACTTTTAATAGCCCCATCAGCCATATACACCGTCCGTTCCTCCTTAACCCGTTGCGATCTCAACACCACATGCAGCACCTCCTCAAAAAGAAACATACTACCAATTACCAACAAAAACACATGGCCCGAGATATCATGTCCGCCTAACCACTGCCCGCCCACAGCTTTACACGCAAACCCAGTGACAAATTGCCTTGTATCATCCATCTCAATATGTCCTTTATCAGCTTGCTCAACTAACTCACACTGTCCCCCCGTCAACCTAAAACTGCGATCAATAATCGCCGGGCCAAAAAACCACTGCGTGACGAATATCCACCACGTCGTCACGATGCTATATCTGAGTAACCCGCGTATCCTCTTCGGTGTGAGAGTGACCGACAGAGGCGGTCCGATGGACGGATGCGTGAACAGGAAGAATAGATAGCTGAATGTTATCCATGCCCAGCCCTGCTTCACGAATAGCTTGTTGAAGATATTGCTCTTCTTCGCGAAGTACGAGGGTGCGGTGTCTGCGACGTGAGACTGCGTGGAGGCGCTGTAGGGCGCGTTGCGGGCTGAGGGGTCGAGGAGGGAGAAGAGGGAGCCGGTTATGAGGATTGTGGGGTAGATGGCTAGGAGGATCTTCTCTAGGGTGCTGGGCATGAAGGGAGAGGGTCTTGATGTTATTACAGATCTCTGGGAGCTTGGTTTGCTGGGCGTAGAGCCATTTGTACTCGACGCTGGAGGTGAGGTTTCGGGTGCCATTTTCTGGATTCGCTGGGACCGTCGGGGGGTGGACGATGCGGAATCCATTGAGATGTATTATAACATGTATATGCAGTATTTGTACAGCTGAGGCGACAGTCAATTGAGGCGATGTGGTAGGCAGATAGATGAGGTGGAAGACAGCGTGGTCTGTCGTGACGATAGTTGGAGTAGGCAGGGGCAAGAACGCCGGCGACAATGACGTCTCTTGTTTTTTTCGCGACAGCAGCACAAGCTTCCAACCCCCTGTCAGAATACCTCGGAACCCTCAACGCCGGTACGGAGTACACCCAAATACAATCACGAGTACTTGCTCGATTCAGCGCAGCACATATACAGTGCGACAGTCCAAATCCTTCATCCATACATAAACCCCTTCGCGCTCAATTCCCACCTTTCTACTTATCTCAACACATCAAAATGGTATCAACACGCTCCCACCCCTCTGAATTCCCCGAAACCTCCCCCCTCTCCCCCGCCAAACCGCGCTCACGCAAAGGAAAATGGGCACACACGCCCTCCAACCTCACGCTCCTCTGGCTCTTCATCTCCCTCCCCCTAGTAATCTGGGACACCGGCTACGTGATGCTGCGCCCTTACAGCATGCCGGGCGGCATTCTGCACTGGCCGCTCTGGAAACCGTATGATCTGTACGGCCGCGTCGACTACGTGTATGGCTGGAAAGCGTATAACGAGCACAATGGCTTCACGGGCGCGCAGGGGTTTCTGAATATCGTGGAGACGGCCATGTATGGGTTTTATTTGTATGTGTTGTTTGTGTATGGAAGGCAGAGTGCGGCGAAGGGGAGGGGCGCGCCGGGACCGAAGAGTGTGGGGTGGTTTGGGGAACAGAGATATGTGGATGGGGAGAAGGGGGCATTGGCTGTGTTGGTGGGCTTTAGTGCGGCGGTTATGACGGTTAGTAAGACGGTGTTGTATTGTAGGTTGGGTTGATGTTGGATTGAGATTATATTGACTTGATACAGGGCTGAATGAGTATTATGGTGGGTTTGAGAATATCGGTCATAATAAGCCTTTTGATCTGATACTTTTGTGGATCATTCCAAAGTAAGTTATCATCCCCGTTCCAAAGTAGATTTTTGACAATATGTCCAGCGGTGCATGGCTTGTACTTCCAACATACATCATCTATGTGATGGGAAGCGAGATTCTGCAAGGGCTGACGATAGCTGCGGGTGGCACATCATCTTCTGATGATTCGTCAATTGTCAAGTCGGAATAGAGTGGAGCAAGATTGGGCAAATATAACAATTTACACGATGATCGGATGAATGTCATGAATTGCAGAACTTAGCGGCGTCTTTTTACTTGAATGTAGATACACTGGAGCTGAAGCCTTACGAAATACAAAAACAATTTATACGCATACAAAGAAGCACCGTCACGAATGCTCTGATTTCTCTGGGTATACAACACTACATGTCTATCTACTCCTACTATGGACTTCTAACATGCCCTAAATCTCGTTCTCAGCACTCTTCGCCTTGTTCTTTCGACTCCGCTTCTTCTTCTTCTTGCCCTCCACTACATCACCCTTGTCTTCCGCCAAACCTCCTTCTGCAATCACAACCTCAGGACCGTCTTCATTGCCGAAGGTGTCCTTCCTCCATTGCCGTAACCTGGCCTTCTTACCGAGATGCTTCTTGTCTTTCTTCTTCTTATCGGCATCCCGGAAAGCTGCCATCTTCTTTAGTCCGGCGAACTGATTAAGCGATGTATCAGGTGCCATCAGAATATCTCTCGCGGTGAGCCCGAATGAGGTAGGCGAGGTCTCACGATAGCGAAAGACAGCAGGAGCTTTGGATGTAAGTGGTAGCGTAAGGTTGAGTTGATTATCAACCAGGTCTTCGATTTTCTTGCGCTCGATACGGGCCGCCTTTTTCTTGTCGGCTTTTTCTTTAGCTCTATCCTTGCTGTTCTTACTCTTCTTTCGGGTAGTGTTTTCCATGTCGACGTCCGAGTCTTGATTTTCTTCGCCGTCCTGATCTTCGTCCTGGTCATCGTCTGAAAGCGTAAAAGCTGGTTTCTCTTGAGCTTCCTCCTCGTCCACAAATTCAGGAACCAGATCCTTGATATCAATATCGTCATCCCATTTCGGCTTTCTGACCTTTTTCTTCTTGCTGCCAGTTTCCGCCTCAGAATCAGAGCCAGCCTCTTGCTCGGCGTAATACTCCTCTCCAAATTTCGCATTCATTTCCGCCTCCCAAACATCATCGTCCCAATCATTTTCCAAAACTTTTGTCCACTCCTCATCCTTCAAAGTCTTTCCACGGATACCAGCGGCCTTCTTGATTTTCTGTAATTTTTCTTCCATCTCACCAATCTTCAACTGCCGCAATCGAGTTCGTTCAGCCTCTCTTTCAGCCTTTTCGGCTTCTTTCTTTTCCCGCTGCGCATCTCTCTGCTTCTTGCGGCTATTGGGCTCCTCACGACGGACGGATTTGGCGGCAATGATGTCTCTTGCATATGACTTCAAGGTTTCGTTTGCTCCTGCAGGGTTCTCGAATCTCATATTATACGCAGTCTCCCACGCCTCGGCACGGTCAAGTTCTTCATCATCATCAGACTCGAGAGGCTGGAAACGAGCCCCGTCACTAGGTACCCAAGCGCGAGCTTGCATGAAATTCGAAAGGAACGTTTCTGGATCTTTGTCGGCGGATTCGACATCCAAATCTACCTTGACTCTCTTAGCCCTCGAAGGATGAACTGCGCTTGTTGCTGGTTTCTCGTCCTTTTGTGGTTTGGATTTCGGTATTAAAAATCCGCCGTCTTCGTCCTCTGATTCCGAGTCGCCTGCAGCATGCATCTCCTTGACAATCGTTCGTTGTAAATCTTCTTGTTCCTGCGCAAAAGTCCTTGGAGCAGAGTCTTCTTCTTCTTCTACTGGATCACCATTGATTCCCTTTAGGAGATTTTCACGATGATAGTCGTGAAGATACATTGGCTTTTCCTTCTCAGCGCCCGCCTTCGGTTCCTTTGCCCCTTCTGCCACTGGCCTGTAAAACGTAACTTTCTCATCGTAGACACGGGGGTCTTTCGACCGAATTGCTTGCAGCGTAGCCGAAATCTCTGCGTCTAAATCCTCCGTCGCAAGGAATCCCTCGTCATCCTCATCCTCATCTGAAGATTCAGAATCTTCATCGTATTTGTCGCCGTAAGTTTTGCCATTGGAAGGCTTCGCAGGCTTGTTGTATTTCTCTTCCACTGTTTCAAGAGTTAGTGTCTGGTTTGAGCTGACGAAGAACTAAACTAACGCTTCGATAATTCTTCGCGTTTCTTGTTGTGCTCAAATCGATTTGCGAATTCCTGATTGATTTTGAAACCTGCATCCTCTACTGGAGCCCCGCCAACAGACTCGTCTTCGCTGCTGCCATCGCTATCGTCCAGCAAATTCTGTTTTCCGAAAGACTTTGATTCATGCTTAGGCTTCTTGACACCCGAATCCAAAGTCGCCAATGATTCAGCTTTTCTTTTCGACATTGTGACTATCTGTGGTATATGTGCGCGCAAAGTGCTGTGATTATTTCGAGGACAATTTTTTGGTAGAAAATTGTCGGCATCGGAAGATTCACGGCAAAATACCAACGCTAAACCACAATCAGGGCGCGGTCACGACGTCGTCATGGTCCCATGCTGGGCTTCAGGTTGCTTTCAGACGCATTCCTCGGTCCACCTAATTCATCAAAACCCTCAAGATACCCCGATCGCCAGCAGCTGGAGACTCGCAAGCCATAGAAATCGTGCATCACATCCCAGCGGCTTATCGAAGTATTGAAAATTTCTACTATTTTATCACCCTCCATTGCGCGGACGTCTTATACAACTCATCTACACCGTTACCTTTAACCCAGCACGATGGCGGAGGCAACAGCACCAAAGCCAAGTAGCAGTGTGAAGCTTGTATTGTTGGGAGAAGCAGCCGTAGGAAAGGTGAGACTGTTTCTCCTCGTCCATGATAGCGAGCTAATGATTCTGCAGTCATCCCTAGTACTGCGATTCGTAAACAACGACTTCCAAGAAAATAAAGAGCCAACCATCGGAGGTATATGACAATCATACTTGACCTATGTGGTCTTCGCTAATATGGTTCCAGCTGCGTTCCTTACACAGAAATGTAATCTCCCAACTCGAACGATCAAATTCGAAATCTGGGATACTGCGGGACAAGAGCGTTTTGCATCACTCGCACCCATGTACTATCGCAACGCTCAATCCGCCCTCGTCGTTTATGATTTAACAAAGCCTACATCCCTCGTCAAGGCCAAACATTGGGTAGCAGAGCTACAGCGGCAAGCATCGCCGGGCATTGTTATTGCCCTCGTAGGAAACAAGCTCGATTTGACCAACGAATCTGCATCATCCAGCAATAACTTGGGTGACGACTCGGAAGGAGATGCAACTGAAGGAGAGGCAGACGACGGGGATGCGCGAAAAGTATCAACGGCAGAAGCAAAATCTTATGCGGAGGAGGAGGGGCTACTCTTCTTCGAGACCAGCGCAAAGAATGGTACGAATGTGAGCGAAGTATTCACAGCTATTGCAAACGCCATTCCAGAGACATCTTTGAAAGGTGCTAGAGGTCCAGGTGCTACACAAGCAGCGAGTCGAACGGAAGATCAGTCCAGAGTCAACTTGACTGGACCAAGGGACAGTGCAGCGAAGGATACCTGCGCTTGCTAAAATGCGAATTGTGTATCTGGACATTTGGGAGAATTCCTCCTGTCAGTCATTGGATGTGAGGTTTTGCAGGCGAAAGGGTTTGTTTGACGATTGGGCTGAATACTGACTTTATGATCCACGATGTTTATACATTAGCCTTTCAATTTTAGGAGACTTAGCGCATTGACAATCTTCATAATGCCTTACCACGAAAATGACATTATCACGTGGTGTTGAGCTTGAAACCGGTCCAGAGAACCACAACTGAAACAACTGGCGTGGTTAACACACGGGCATTGTTTCACGGTATGACAATTATTGAATATTCGCATTACTCGAACCATGGCGGAGCAAAGATATCTGGAAAAAATAAGGCCAGCCAAGCCTAAATGCTTGAGCGGATCTCGAAAATCCGTCGCTCATTTCTCCACAATCCTCTTGCGAGGTGTGTTGCGGCTTGCGAGCTTGCTCTTTGTCCTCGACTTCCTTGACAAACGAAGTTTCGTTTGATAAGCTGATACAGTCTTCACTCGATGAAGACCGTATAGCAACAGCCAAGGTCTTTGGGGTATCTTTACACGGCTCGAGTGCCTGCTCGGACACTTTGAGATATTTGAGATATAAACCACAACCCCTTCGAGCATCCATGTTCCCTTTTGTGTTTCCTCCTCTACACCGCATTTTTCATTCAAGATCTCATTCCAGCTGGTCTGCTTTAATTCATATTTCCTTCATATCCAACATATTCATTTTTTAATACCACCATCATGCGTTCCTCCACTTCTTCCCTCATCTTGGCCTTTTGCGCCGCGCTTGCTGTTCAAGCTGCACCTCTCAACACACGAAACACAAACACTGCTCTGAGTGAGCTTGCAACGAGGGAGTTTGCGAAAGATGCTTACGGAATCCCAATCGAGGATGAGGAGCTTGAGAAGAGAGCTTTTGCTAAGGATGCTTATGGCATTCCAATTGAAGACGAGGAGTTGGAAGAGAGGGACTTCGCTAAGGACGCATACGGCATTCCAATCGAGGACGAGGAGCTCGAGAAGAGAGCATTTGCTAAGGACGCATATGGTATTCCAATCGAAGATGAAGAATTAGAGGAGAGGGACTTTGCTAAGGATGCCTACGGGATTCCAATCGAGGACGAGGAGCTTGAGGAGCGTGATGTAGTCGAGGATGAGGACGAGCCTTGCCCATATGACAAGCGCGACTTTGCCAAGGATGCATACGGTATCCCAATTGAGGACGAAGAATTAGAGAAGAGGGCATTCGCGAAGGACGACTACGGTATACCAATCGAGGATGAGGAGCTTGAGGAGCGTGACGTCGTTGAGGATGAAGACGAGCCTTGCGAATATGAGAAGCGCGACTTTGCTAAAGACGCTTATGGTATTCCAATCGAAGACGAGGAGCTCGAGAAGCGCGAGTTTGCTAAAGATGCCTACGGTATCCCAATTGAGGATGAGGAGATTGAAGAGCGTGATGTCGCTGCGGCTGAAGTCGATGAAGAGGATTGTCTTGATTTCTAGATACCGTTAAGTTTGGCAAGATCTGGAATGGGGGTATAGAAGGGCAGGGTACGGGGCTTTCCAAACATAGAAGTAAATAATATCTAAACACATTTTCATGTCACATTTTCGTGTTCTCCACTACGTTTTCGACAACTCTTCTCCGTTCAATAATTTCTCGGTCCCGAAAGCAAGTAGATCTTTCCGACCTCCTCATCCCTCTCCCAAGGATTCCTTTACCGTCAACTCACAAGGCAATGTTATTATGAGCTTATTGGTGGATGTATCAACGGAGATTAGGTTTGAAAACATGCATTAATCCCCTACGCACTCACAGGGGTTATTTCCCAGCAGTTATGTTACACAAAGCTATTCGCGCTAAAACTGCCATTGGGAAATACGTGGGCGCCCACGACTACTAAGGCACATTCACCAATTGACGAACGAATGCCTGTGTTAATTTCGGGCTCCGAATAATATTGCAGGATAATCCTATACGAGGCAGTACCAGAGTGTTCGGAATTTTGTATTTTCCCAGTGATACCAACAATCGCTTAACTCCGCTAATTGCGAGCTTCGAGCCTCCGATGGTTGTGGATTTTGATTTCATTAAATTTGGTAAGTTCTTTATGATGCTCATGGCAGCTATAATAAGAGTTGCGATCCCTTTGGAACGTTGTGAACGATAGAGCTTGCAGGTTCTTTCATTTGGGAGATAAAATATAACAAAAGTCAAGACCCATCAGATCGCTAATCACTTGCTTTTTTTTACCTTTTCAATCCGATATATTCTATACCTACGCAGGCAATTAAATCTAGAAACTCAGAAACAATGTCTTTATCAGTTGCAGGAAAGAAAGCTGGACCAATTGGGTTCGGGTTATTGGGTAAGTTACCTTTCTACTATCCCACACCTCAGCTCGAAACACTAACTGAACGAAAATCCAGGGCTTTCCAGACCTCCAGCCATCCCCTATGACCAAGCAATCAAAGTCATGAAAGCCGCCCTCAACCACGGTGCCAACCTCTGGAACGGCGCCGAATTCTACGGCACCCCCACAGAAAACAGCCTACACCTTCTAAACCACTACTTCACAACCTACCCCGAAGACGCAGCCAAAGTAATCATCACCCTCAAAGGCGCCTTCACTATGAGCATGTCTCCTCCCGGACCCCAAACCAACACCGCAGGCATCCGCCAAAGCATCGACAACTGTCTCGCCATCCTCGACGACAAAGTCTTCCTCGACGTCTTCCTCCCCGCCAGAATCGACCCCGATGTTCCCATTGAAGAAACCGTCACCGCGATAGTCGAGTACATCAAAGCCGGGAAAATCGGCGGCTACGGTCTCAGCGAATGCAGTGCTCAATCCATCCGTCGCGCCCACGCTATCCACCCTCTTTCAATGATCGAAATCGAACTATCCCTCTTTGCAACCGAGATCTTCAGCAATGACGTCGCAGACGTATGTGCAGAGCTTCACATCCCGATCATTGCCTACTCGCCCCTCGCTCGCGGTTTCCTCGCTGGAGGAATCAAGAAAGCGGAGGATTTGCCGCAAGATGATATCAGGCGCCGCTTCCCGCGTTTCCAGGACGGGGCGTTGGAAGCGAATATCAAGCTTGCGGAGAAGGTGAGGGAGGTTGCCGAGAGGACGGGGTTTACGATGGCGCAGGTTGCTATTGCGTGGGTGAGGAGACAGGGGGGAAGGTTGGGGACGGTTATTCCGATTCCGGGGTGTACGACTTTGGGGAGGCTGGAGGATAATATGAGGGTTGTTGAGGTGGGGGAGGAGGAGTTGAAGGTGTTGGATGGGTTGAGTGAGAGGATGAGGGTTGTGGGGGAGAGGTATCCGGAGGCATTTTTGAAGTATACTTATGTTTAGATGGTTCTGTCTTGTTCAAGTTTGGAGGGAGTATACTAGTTTTAGGAAACTGACGGGAACTACCTTCAAAAAGACGAAGTGCTTAAGTCGAAAACAAGTATTCGCTTCAATAAGCGAGAATAATTATCCATCATACATCATCATTGCTTCCTAATCTAAAACGCAACTCTTTCAAAAAACCTCCCTATCTAACCATCTAATCCCACGCTAAATCGCAACACTCAACATCTAAAATCCACCACACAAAATCTAGTACCAAAAAGGGCAAAACTACTCAAGACCGCGGAACTTTAAGGGTGTTAGAAATTAGACGCACAGAATCGACAATAATAGCATCTAGTCCTGATTCCGCTTGAATCTGCAAAAGTATTAGCACATCACTGACATCAGTATTTTAACAAGTGAGGCATACCAAAGCATGTTCAGGAACATCATTATTCCCACCCCAACTAGCACATCCTAGACCTTTCTCCTTGACATAGCCAATCAAAGCGGGACTAGCAACAAGCGGATTACTCTCTATGATGACACCCGGCAGTCCCCATCGTTTCGCAAAATGCACAGCCTGTTGTAGACTACTTGCCCGAATATCGCCGGTTGGGTAAAGACCCGACTCAGAGAGAAACATGACGGGGTATTTGGTTTGCTTGTAAGCGGCAAGTATACATATCTCAGGAGTGAAGGAAGCAAGGACGATTGGTCTGTTTCGTCCGTGTTCAAAGGTTGTTTTGAAGATGGTGTCGATGAACTTGTTGATCTCTATGCCGTAGAAGTCCATTTTCCAGTCTTCGGCTTCGAAGAGCATGGGGTATTCTAGACGGCCGTGTCAGCATTGATGCAAGGTTATTAGTTTTAGTTCGATATAGCTTACTTAGCTCGAGTATAATTCCGACATGCTCAGGTATATTGTTCAAGAGTTCGACCAGTGATGCGAAAGGGTGATGAATGTGATCTCCTCTAGTATTGCCCTTAAACCCTTTCGTCTTGTATTCGTGGGTTTTTCTCATTCGTGCGACGAAGTCTCGATTTCTGCCTTTTTCGATCAAGTCTACGGAGCGAGAGCGAGGTCTTGACGGAGTTGCATGGCCTGATGCACTAGAACTGGAACTTGATTTCTGTTCGAACACAGTAAAGGAATCTATGACAGATGTCTGCGTTTCATTGATGTGCATGAACTAGAATCGTCGAAAATTAAACAAGGTAAATGGCTTACGAGCAGTAGACTGACCTGATCAAAGCTAAGGTTGTAAGGTGCAAGATCAGCGCCACTCTCGCTGACTAGGATGTCATGGTATATAATTGGTACGTGATCTCGTGTAAGCTGAACATCTAAGTGTCTTTAGTTGTGAGCACTGTGCTAAATACACATAAACTTACCGCACTGGCAATGTTAGTGACCCTACGGCATGAGGGGATTAGAGATCCTTCTTACCTCAACGAAATTGACCCCTTGTGAGATGGTGCTCATAAATGACTGCACAAATTAGGACCAGTTATCGAACTATGGCAGAGCACTTACTTGAATCGTGTTCTCGCCGATTTGAAGTCGTTTCAAATTTGGGTTATTCTGACCGAACCCTGAACAACTTTTAGCATGTTTCAAAGTGAAGTTGACATTTTAGTACCTCTATGACCGACGATCTGCGTTGGTCCACCCATGCTCCATGGTTCTTGTGCTTTGGTAATTGTAGACTTAGGATGGTGAAAAGGTGTGACGATTAGGAAGTTGAATGTTACAGTCCCAATGAAGTCCATAAAGCCATCGTGGATTGGTATGGTGTAGTTTCGCGAGAAACTCTCCTGATCAACTCCAAATCCATCTTTTAGATGTTTGAGAAACGCAATAGCGGTTCCAACATGCCCTTTCACTCTCCCAGAATTATCGTAGAATCTGAACATGATCTGAACAGAGCTAGGATCCTTCGTGGTAAATATGGTTGGGAAGTTGGTGGCATCCTCAAGTACAGGAAGAGAAATTTCGCGACTCGATCCACAAGCATTTCTAGATTTAATCTCTACAGAATACCCAGCATAAGGATATTTGCTGCCCGATGAGGACTTCGCGTGCGGGTATCTCTGGTTAGATTCCGTGTCAAGATGAAGACCTAGATCCACCGCTGGCTTTTGTTCTCGTGTATTGAGCGTTCCAAGGTGCACCAGAATCTTGCTTTCATCCTTCAGGCATGGTGTAACGGAAGGCAGCTCCATGATAAACTTCTTTGGTACGCGAGAGGTTGTTTCCAATGTTGATGGCGGAAGAAGTTTGCCAATCTCCCAACAAGCCCGAAAAGCGGCGTGATCTTGGGCAGCCCACCCATACACGTCTTCATGCTTAGGATCCGCACCTGCACGTAGTAAAGTTTCGACAACTGGAATATGATTATTGATACACGCAACCATCAACGGTGTCCAACCAAAAGCAGTTTCGGGCATATCAAGCTCCAAATCATGTATTCCTCGGGAACCAAGCAGAATCCGGACAATCTCTAGATTCCCTTGCCGAGCTGCGGAATAAAGAGCAGTCTCACCTCCATGTCGTATATGGTTAACGTCTATTCGAGAGTTTCCCACCAATATCGCCACAATCTCCGTGCAACCTATATCCGTAGCCGAGATCAGAAGCGAGCCTAAGAGACCTCTTAACTTTTCCTCCTCTGATTCTTCAAATGAGCGACCATCTGGGCTTTGCAATTGAAGCAAGCTTGCAATCACGCTCGTACGTGCATTAAAAACGCCAAGGTGTAAGGGAGTGTGGCCTTCGATATCGCTGAGTCCTGCTGTCTGACATTGTTCGTCATTATGAAGACCCCATTTCCGCATCCGATCAACTATGACCCGACATACATCATCGAGGCCATATTGGGCAGCATAATGGAGGGGGATGCGACCAAAACGATCCTGGTCAAGAAGAGCTGATTGTTGATCCGGAAGCAGGTTGTCAAGGATGAAGATGAGAAGGTCCAAACCTTTCTCGAGTTCCTCAACGCGCGTGCTATCGATATGGAGATTGTCGATTTTAGGATATCTTGCCGATAACGTCAACGTCCGTCCCATAGCAATGACCAAGCGATGGATACAATTCTGCGCCGACTTGAACTTATCGTTCTTTATACTGCCCAGTCGTTGCAGTTGATGAACAATGCAGCTCCTTGAACCATTCATTACCGAAACATGCAAAGAAGCGAGGCGTGCGACACGAAGCTCTTCACGCGTTGAAGGAGGTCTGGAATTGTAGTCCTTCAAGGCGGCAAGAAGAGAAGAGGCATCGTCCTTCTCAATAGCATTGGAAACATCTTCTGTATACGGGAACCCCCTTGTCAGGTAGTTGTGTCCTGGAATTTCTCGGGCTTCTCTTTTCCTCACAGTGTAAGAAACGCTGATAATGTCGATTGATTCGTAAATTTGCTTCAAGAAACCACACGCGCTTGGATAAGTGAATTGGTAGTCATCCAATCGAGGGATGGCTGAGGCGGCGCATGGAATGCAATCCTTGAGTTTCCGAAGTAGGCAGACAAATCCATCTTTATTCACTTTGCAGTACCATTGCAATTTTTGAATAGCATCGCGTGCCTCGAGGAATCCAGCTAGAATATCCCTGGCTTCCCGAGGTTGTAAAAAGCACGGGTTTTTGACACTGTAGTCGAAAGTTCCAATCGACGGCTTAGGGTTGTTCTTATATGCGTAGATGTAGTTGCTTGACGATATACTCCCCCATGTCTCGATAAGACTGAGTTGTTCCAAAAAGAATACTTCTACTTTCTCAAGCTCCGAACGAATAGCAGAAAACAAAGCTGCGTTTTTGTTAGCGTCGAAATCATCTTATCAGTCTCCAACCAGCTCTCACCTGCCCCGTCCACTTGGCTTCCGTCATCTAGCGCCCGTTTGGTAGCAAATTTGATCAACCGTTTTAATTCGTTGTATTTCAAATATGAGGCGCTCCACTCTGGGATTTGGAAACGATGAAGGTCGCGGCCAAACCGCATTTTTGGGATTTTATGTGACAATTTCTTTTGATGAGACGTCAGACAAGGTTTTTGTCTTTGTTGATGATGAATGAGAAATGACGGGTCATCCCGCTCGCTTCGCTTAATTAGAGCTAGCGCAGCGGGTTCGCTCACAACCCCCTTTTAAAAGCAACGACAAAGGGATTTGACAAACGATTGCGTAAGAAGAAAAAGCAAGTTTTGCATGTTTGAAACTCATGAAATACTCAAATCAACGAGTTAAACTACCGGACTCAGGTTAGACAACATAGAAACATTTAAATCCCTCATCCTCATGACTCCCTCGACTATCAAATCAGGCACGTACGATTCACCTGCCCACCTAATGCGCAAACCGGAAATCCAATCTCTTGTTACCTTCATCAGTGGTGGTAGCTAGGTAGGTCACACGCTCATCTTCAGTCATGGCATCCCACTTCTTCGCCCGAGACCTATTCCTTGAGACATAGTACACCTTTGTCAAAGAGTATAGTGCTATGTTCGTTATGCAGATGGAAAGCAAAACCCGATTTCCCCGTTTGTATCGTGGGGCGTCGTCAGCTCGATAGATGTTGGAAGCGATGATACCTGAAGCCTGGACGAACATATTGTACAGGGCAGCGGAAACAGTTCTTGAACGGACGGCGTAAGAGTTCCGCGAGTTCCAAGCAACTTGTATTGGATGTGCTTCATACAATTAGCGAGCCCAAATCTAATCTCAGGGATGACTTACCAGATGGGTAGCTGAGAAGACCCGTCATGACTCCGAACGCTGTCCATTTATTGATCTTGGTGATATCCTTGACGTAAATGAAAATCAAGAACGGCAAGACGTAGAACTGGCCGAAGCTGGCTGTCAAGGTTAACTCGCCCCATATTTCAGCAACATAAGTCAGGAGCAACATCGTTATCATGTGCATGACTGTTGAGGGAATAACAAGGAGATTGCTGTTGAACGTGCCGAAACCCAGGCCTTTCAGTGTCAAGGTCAAGTATTGTGCCGGTGTGGTTTCCGGGATCTGGAACATGAGTCCAATAATGTAGAGAGGCCAGAGATCATAATCACACATACTCTTCCACAGAAGTTTAGGTGTAATAGGCTCACGGTTATGCATACCGCTCTTGGTAGGATCTTCGCGGATAACACGATTTACCATAATGATCTCTTCTCTGTCGACTTATTAGCGAGTGATCGAAACCTTAGGACAAGCTGACGCATACCGTTCTGTAAACCAACCCTTCTTCCCACGAAGCTTGCTGGCAGTTTGAGTGGGGCTTGGCGGCATGAGAACAAAGGAAGCCAGCCCGAGAAGGAGAGTCAAGACTCCTTCGATGAGGAACATCCATCGCCATCCGGAGTAGTTATGCAAACCTCTCAAATGAAGCAGGCCATAGGCCATGAAAGCAGCAATGACGTCCGCTATTGACATGGCGGTCCAGAAAAAGCCCAGCCTAAGCGACAGTTCATGATGTTTGTAAAAATAAGAAAGATATAGAATGATCTGCTGTCTGTCAGTATTGAAAACTCCAGAGTGGCTGATCACTTACATCAGGAATGAATCCGCCTTGTAGGATTCCGAGTAGTGATCTGCAGACTAGAAAGCTTTCACGCCCAGCCAGCCAGAATTGGCACGAGGCGACTATTGACCAAAGAACCATTTGAGTAGGGATCCAGCGATCAGGGCCCATCCACTTAGATACCAATTGAGATGGCAGTTCAGCACACAGAAACGAAAGTTTGAACACAGTATTTCCCAAATTGTAATCTATTTTCTTAGTCAGTTGATGCAGCTGATTGGAGGTTGTCTTACCATTTGTGGTCATGTGTAAGTCCTTCAGGAAATTGTCTGTAAGCGCTTGGTTGATGTTCGCACGATCTAGCTCCAAAGCCATGAACATGACACACGCCCAAATCTGTAGATATTTAGCGTGCTAGGTTTAAGGACAAATCCCCGATTGCTTGCATACCATGATTTTTAGGTCTATCTTTCGGATGAGTTTGTGTTCTTCTCCCCACGTCCACCGAGCGAGTGGGTTGAAGCGATGAATGTTCTCCCACGAATCTGGAGGCTGGTACTCCTTCAAAGTCTCTGGGTCGTCGAAGACCGAATGCTGAGTGGCGATGGCATTAGGATCATAAGTCTTGTTGCGTTGGAACCAAAATCTCTTTTCTGCAGCAGGGGCCCCGAGTGGAGGAATGGAAGGATACACCTCCGTAGCATGGCTTCGGACCTTCTTTTCGCTGGCTTTGCCAGCAAGGTCCTCCGATGAGCCTTGAGATGAAGAATCCGCAGTCGAAGGAGATCCTGTTACCACTCCTCCGGTACGAGTCCGGAGATCAAGCTCTTTGGCGACGGCTGTTGACATGATATTGGAATAATCTACCTGTGAAGCTGGCAGAGAGGAGGTGAAACTTGGTTAAGAAGTTCTAAATCATCTCGAGAGTAGCCTTAAGTACTTATAGGTGCCCTTCACAGAGCTAAAAAAAAACATTGGACCCACGTCCATGGTATTGGTATTTCTTGAGCACAACTCACAGAGATACACAATCCACCGTTGTTCATATCGTGATTGAGGCTTCTGATTCCATCAGTGTGGAAATGAGCTGATAAGAAGCCACAAATTATCGGAGACTTGCCGGACAAGAGCCACAATCGGACTAGGAAGCGCCATGGTTGGGTCAGCTTAGGGAAGACCTAGGACCTCATAGTTGGCAACGAGCGAGAAGTTCGCAGAATGTGTCGATCGAAGTGGCAAAGCCAAATTGAGGAAGGCGTTCTGCGATTCTATCGAAGCATTGCACTTATCATGCAGCAGCCAAGGGCGGGGTTGGAATGACGCGACAGAGTTCCCCAAAGTCGTGATGATAGAGAAACAACTCTCCTAACTAGCAGCAAAGCCCTCAATAACATTAGGAATGATCCGAGGTGGCGTATTCAGCTTTATTTAGGGTTGGGACTCCGATAAGGTTCGTCGTTAATTCGAAAAGCGGATGCAATTCTACGGATGTGAGTTGCCCATACAGCTATACTGGTGGATGTATGGAACAAAATTGGGAAATCTCGACTTTGGACTTAAAGCTCGGAAAAGTTGTGATATAGTTTACTATATCGGGTCAGGATAACAAACAAGCCACTCATCAATTGTATATCATTTGAAACTTATTATGATCCACGGTAGTAGTACCGTATCATAAAAATGACATGAAACAGCTTATATCTCCATATATGAGTATTGACAAAATAACCAAATGACGAGAAAGGTGAACATCATCCCGACGGATGTCCATTGGGACAGAATGATTCAGTATTAGATATTCATCGTACTATGGTGCAAAGGGGAATATAGCTTCAACTCTCAAAGGTAGAACAAATGCTTATCAACGGGAGTTGAAAGAACGACTTGACAGCTGCAAACGACTCGCCTAAGTTATGCGTAAATAAAAGAAAGCACTTTAACGGTAAGAAATAACAAATCTCATCTTCGACAAGTCTGTCTTTAACCACTGACGGATTGAGAGCAAACTCGGGGGGTCTGAATGCCACGTGATGCCCGGAGACACGCCATATCTTTTCAACTTGCGTAACTTCGGACATGCAGGTGCCAGTCTTCTCATTGATGCGACCCCCACCCTGCTAAGGCTCTATCGATAAAATCTGTCTTCGACATCAATTCAGCCACCGCCGAGTGGCGTAAGTGATAACACGTTCCAATGGATCATCTGCGATTTGGCAAGGGCAAAGTCTTCCGTTTAGACCCTCTATCCCGGCCTCCTTCATATCTAATGCCACTTGACGAGATTACTGTAGTGAGTGCCAAGATTACGACGCTAGTGAGTGATGTATAATCGGAGCAGTCCCAGAGGCTCGACACTTATAGTAGCCTTCGACGAAGGCTACCACACTGTGTTGATCAGAGTCCCTACAAAGGCACATCCTGACTGTCGACAACAGTTGATACAACTAGCAAGATCCTAGACCTTCAACCCCACCTAGAATGGTGGGCTGATATTTGAGGACTGAAGCTTTCTAAAGTATACCGGAAGAGAGGCAGTATGGGCGTTTGTGACCGCGACAACAGGGGCCATCGAAACATGTCATGTATTCATTGCTCGAGAAAAATGATCTCCGTTGTATGTCAGAGAAGTGGTCAAATGAGACTATTCGCGATATGTTGGCTTTGCGTGGGTTATTGTGGGAAGTTGCTTGAACAAATCTCGTCCACCTCGAGGTGAGGTTCGAGATAGTCTCCACTTTTTTCGCTTGACACCACCACTCACTAGCGACAGCGGCCACCTCTTGGTGTATCCCCATTGTACTCTTACAACGACATGATCAATCCGACCATACAGTCACACAACCGCACCGTGATAGTCCGTAATGGTCTTTGAAGGTAGTACGATGATATGTTGTACACCTCTCGGTCTTACACAATGTCCGCGCCCAATGCCGGCGCGATTCATTCCCTGAACGAGCGATCCTCCAATCGACATTTGGACGCGCTCAGTCGGTCCAACTAACCTTCAATCCTGGCATGTCTCCTGGGAGAAGACAAAGATGGTGGATCAGTCGACCTCTTCTTGTTAGGTACGTTTTTTCTTTGCCATTTCCGGTGTCGAACTGACCGGTACAACAATGTAGCGAGTGGAGTGCATTCTCTCAAGCATACGAAGTCACGGAAAGACACGCTCGAATGAAAACGGTAACCAACAGTTCAATGCGGTCACGAATCCCTCTCTGTCACAGAGACATCACACACGAACATCAATGGCAGAGTGTGTTACCACAGCGCTCGGAAAAGGGTATCAAAGGGTCTCTGCAAACCAATAGATTCCGAAAAGTCCGGCGAATTGATGTACAAAAGGAATGCCTTAATTATTTTCTCCTAGGAAATCCGTTCCAAGGCATAATGGCGTGTTCACTAGAACTAGCAAACCAGTGCCAGATCAGATGGACATTCCGTTCAAGATCAGGTGAGACGGAACTGAATTCTCTGGTCGAAACTAAAACGTAGTAAGTAAGCTGGCTACATTCACTATTGTCAATTGACGGGAGTTCACGCCTACGATTGTAGATACCACTTGAGCTGGTAGTATATTTTTCACTCTCCTTTCGTTTGGGGTTTGCCAAGAACAGATCCTCCTCAAGGATGGACCCCCACGAGGCAAATAAAGAATCTTCTCTCCGAATCCGCTCAATAATCTACGTCAAATTAATCCCTTCATTGGCGGTTGGGACTCGAAATTCTCCATTTGTACACGGCTAAAACGTATGCACAGGCTGATACGTCCGGTTAAATAGCCCGCGGTTTCCTCCCGTATTTGTGTACATCTGCTGACACGGGACATTCACCGTTTTTTTCGAGGGCTCCTTTTTATAGCTGGACACTTGCTGGGCACTGTAGGCCAGTTGCATCCTCTTCAAACATCACAATCAAAAGTGTACCCACCCAATCCACACTTTTCTATCACAACGCATACTTCAATTCAACCGGCAATGCTACGTCCCACCCATAATGGCGACCGCTATGAGCTTACCAGCCCAACGGCCATGCCCAAAGCAGCTGGATTCCTGTGGAACCAGAAAATGATGATTCAAATAACATGTCGTGGCTACGCAACAGCCCAATTCATGCAACCAGAACCAGCCAAGTACTCTCACGCACCAAATATCGAGGCCAAAACTTTCATGCAGCCTGAGCAGAACTATTACACCCACCACCCAGGACGTTTTGTTTACATCAAAGATGAAGAAACCAATGAGCTGTTTTCAGCGCCCTATGAACCAGTTCGTACCAAAGTCGACCGTTTCGTTTTCTCGGTTGGCAAGAGTGATATCGAGTGGACTGTGGAACACTTAGGCATTAGAGTTGAAATGACTTTGAGTGTTCCCACACACGATGTAGCGGAGCTGTGGACTGTGAAAGTCACAAATCTGTCTGGTCGTACTCGCAAAATCAGTGTCTACCCGTATTTCCCAATTGGCAACCTATCTTGGATGAATCAGTCGGCGGAGTATCGTGAGGACTTGAAAGCTGTGGTAGCTAGTAGTGTCACTCCATATCAAGCAGCAGAAGACTACTGGAAGAACAAGTTTCTCAAGGATAAAACGTACTTTGCGTGCGAGACACCACCTAATTCGTGGGAAACCATGCAGCAGGCATTTGAAGGTGAAGGTGGCTTGCATGCGCCAACTGCGCTTCAGGAGCCTATCTTGAAGGGGGGAGATGCGCGTTATGAGACGCCAGTAGCCGCTGTACAGTATCGCATCGCGCTAGAACCAGACGAGAAGCAAGAGTACCGTTTCCTATTCGGTCCAGCCTTTGATGATGCTGAAATCGCAGCTATGACAAAGAGATACCTTAGCAAGGAAGGTTTTGCTAAGTCTGCAAGTAGTTACGCCTCATATATTCAGCAGGGTCGAGGTTGTCTTCAGATCAAAACCCCTGATAAGGATCTCGATAATTTCGTCAACAACTGGTTGCCTCGTCAGGTGTTCTACCACGGGGATGTGAACCGTTTGAGCACCGATCCGCAAACGCGCAACTACCTGCAGGACAACATGGGCATGAGCTTCGTGAAACCAGAAGTAGCTCGAAAAGCCTTCTTGATAGCTCTTAGGCAGCAAGAGGCTAATGGTTCCATGCCCGACGGAATCTTACTGGCCGAAGGAGCGGAGCTCAAGTATATCAACAAAATTCCACATACCGATCACTGCGTGTGGTTACCAGTTACTCTTGATGCGTATCTTAACGAAACAGCCGACTATGAACTTCTAGATGAATCAATAACCATTTCGAACGGCGACAAATATACAGTCTTCGAGTGCTTCAGTCGCGCTGTGGACTGGCTGTTTTCTCAACGTGATGAGCGCGGTCTCAACTATATCGCCCAGGGCGACTGGTGCGATCCGATGAATATGGTGGGATACAAAGGTATTGGAGTGTCTGCCTGGCTTACCGTGGCTACAGGATACGCATCCAACTTGTGGGCCAACGTTTGTGAACTCAAAGGCAAATCAGAGCTCGCAGCCCACTATCGATCCGCAGCAAAAGAGATAAATGCAGCAGCGAATAAGGAATTTTGGGACGGCGATTGGTATGCGCGAGGCATTACTGACGACGGTGTTATCTTCGGGACCAAGGACGATCGCGAAGGACGTATCTGGCTGAACCCCCAAACTTTCTCTATCTTGGGTGGCGCAGCAAGCTCTGAGCAGGTTGCTAAGTTTTTACCGCAGATCGAAAAGCAACTCACAACTCCATACGGTGTGACGATGTTTGCGCCAGCTTACAGCGGAATGCGTGAGGATATTGGCCGTGTGACGCAAAAGTATCCGGGTTCGGCAGAGAACGGGTCGGTATACAATCACGCAGCTATTTTCTTCATCTACAGTCTATATAGCATTGGGAAGGGCGAACTTGCTTACAAATATCTGCGCCAGATGTTACCTGGCCCATCAGAAGAAGATTACGTCCAGCGCGGCCAGCTTCCTGTCTACATTCCCAATTACTATCGTGGTGCTTACCACGAGTATCCTCGAACTGCAGGTCGCTCAAGTCAACTGTTCAATACTGGCACAATTCCATGGGTTTATCGATGCTTTATTGAAGGACTTTGTGGCTTACGTGGAGATCCTAAAGGCCTTACCATCAATCCTCAACTTCCTGAAGCCTGGAGCCGCATCCATGTCACTCGCGAATTCCGTGGAGCAACGTTCAATGTCAACATTCAGCGCTCAGGCACGAAGACCGTCAAAGTCGTCTGTGATGGTAAGGATCTACCGGAGCCAAGGATTACTGGAATCAAGGCTGGCACCACGTACGAGGTGTCTGTCTACGTACCTGGCGGATTGACAAATGGTCATAGACATTAGAATCAACTGCATTATATTGGTTATGATTTTAAGATTTTAGAGCGAAGGCGAGCTAATGGGACAACAACATTTTTTTCTAGCGAGGGCATATGGGCGAGGGCAGACTAATGGGACAGCAACATTTCACTTTACCAAAGAGATTGGAACAAGGGCGAGCTAATGAGGACAGCAACATTTTCATTCAAGCAAAAAGACATTATTCTTAGATGGGAAAAATAAACCATTCATGAACGTATAAGCAAATATTGCATATGCCCCTGAAGGGTCGCTTAATATGGTGGCGCGGATTGTTATTCCGACGTTACTTTAGACTTTCTTACATTCTGTCATGAAGATTGCTTAGTGGCGTAAATGGAATAAATGTCCTGCCACTTAGAAACATCACATATTCATATAGAATGCGTTATCTTATGTTGTTGTTTTACGTGAAAGCAAACCTGCGTTGTGTGAGGTCACCAAGGCACACTTTATACCGAGAAGCACCTCGATGGATCTACCGTACTGCAAAAGCGTCATTGTCTGATGTTATATAAAGAATATATGCCTATTACGAAAGCCATCAGTCGGTATTTATCGATTTCGTACGCTCGAAGATTTGCAACCCAGTCTCTCAGTACCGGCACTTTCTTATGAAGTAAGTCACCAAGCGGACAAGCAATCTAAATCTCAGCAAATTCAAGATGACAACATGATATATGTAAATTAGTGATTGAACACTTATAAAGAGGACGATATGCCCTTGTCAACTTGACGAATTAGGAGGCAACGTTTCTTTAGAAAGACACCACTACAGGCGCCATTGAAACCCAAAAATAACACTTGCAATATATGGCATTGAATTCTATAGCTAAGTTGTGAAGAAAAAGTCTAGAAATCGCGACCCAGAGAGCCTAACATGTTAAATAGCCTCATACACAAGTATCTATCATCCGCGAGAACCACTTTCCTCTCCCTACGCTCAGACATGTCTTTCCTTGTTATTAACGCTTCTCCGGGGTAGGAGCAAATTCCGCTTGATGTCCACCAGGAAGTTCAGTAAGCCCTAACACACAAAAATGATTAGCAAGTCCTTCCCCCCTAAACGCCACATATTAAGCGAGAAACAAAACCACACTTACACCCATCAATATCCTCCTCCACAACCGCCTTCTGCGCACACTTGTTCATCTCCGCGATACTCTGCGTCCGCGCGGTATCGCAGTTTACATAACAAGGCGTGTCCAGGATCTTCTGCAGCGAGTCGTCTTTCCAGCCGAACACGTAGTCAGCGTGGTTCGCGTAGCCGGTGGCGTCGCCGAAAGACCAGACGAAGGGTTGGCTACCGTCGAGAGGCCAGTCGTCGGGGTTGTTGAAGGGGCGCGTGTCCCAGATTACTTCGAACATTACTTGGGAGGTGCGGACAGGGTGGGTGGATGGGCAGGGACCGCCGGATTCGAAAGTGCCGGAGGAGGGGTAGGACCTGGGGTGTGTTAGTCTGGCTGTTGTGATGGAGTGACGTGTGAAAATGGAGATATGTTTTCGGTGAGAGTTTTTCATCGTGGCCGATGTTCAAAATATCTCGGGATGGACTGGCGTGAAAAGGGGAACTTACATATGTGACAAATGATCAGGACTGTCAAGATTCTTACCATCCCAGCAGTTTGGAAAGCGTAGAGACGACATAATACCAGCAGGGCACACCTTCTTTGGAAGAGCGATTGTCTCGTGGTCACGAGTTGCTGGTGTTTCTAAACAGGTGTATGTCAACTGACGGAAACGAGCTGCTTCGTCCATAGTGCGAGCCTGAACGTTGCCGATGAACATTCGGAAACCCTGTTTGAGAATTATGTTTAGCATCTTTTTAACGCATGACTTGGAGATTTAGAGCTCACCGGTTGGAAAGCCGACACTTTCGAAGGCTGCTTTGTGTCATAAAGGGCATCTTGCATATAGTAAACAGTCATTCCACCGCCGGCAGCTCCGTCAAAGCCACTGTTAGCAAGTTGTCGAACACGCTTATAGGTACCATTCCTGGCTTTGAAGTAGAGGACGGCGGTCCAGTAGTTGGAGAAGTCGTCGGCCATTTGACCTGTTTCTCTTATTAGTGTTGGTTAAGATACAGAACTGTCGAACTCACATGTTGTACAGTCAGACTCTCCCGGCATGTCTTTCTTTGGATCCATCGTAGCATTGAATGAATTCTAAAACTTTCGTCAAATTGCAGTTCCAAGATCTTATTCGTTTTGGACTTACTCCTCCAACGATTTGATGCACATGAGGAGACGGGATCATTCCAGGCGTAACGAGAGGATCGAGCCTCTGAGTGACTAATTGCGAACATTGGAATCTAATGAGAGCCGTGCTGGTAGCAGCAAGACTCAGAAATAAGAAAGACCACTGCATCTTGATCGTAGACTCGATTTTGCAAAACAATGAAGAAGTGTCAAATCCTCAATCTTTCTTGCTGTCTAAAGAACATTTCGGCAAAAGAAGGCGCAAACTCTATGAATAAGTCCAACCCACCTAATTCAGGACAAACGAGCCCCAAGATCCCAAACAAGGTACCCGAAAATCCAAGCTCCCTTTCCTACGCCAAATCCCAATGATCAATTCTGCCATTATTAAGCTTATATTGAATGTGCCGAGAGACGAAGATTCCTTCTCGAATCGGTATTGTGCATTTCCTTGTATCACCCATCCTCAACGTTTTCAAAGACCGTATATTAAGCAAACCTCTTGGATTCGAGCGCTATTAGGTGTGCCATATGCCCGTGTTGATCAATACACATTAACCAAATGGCTATCCGGTGCGGGGGCGTTAGTGGGGCTGAAAATGTCGGCAGTGGGGCTGTAGGACAGGTAGATTGTTGCAATGTCGCTTGATACTAATCGAGATGTTCATTTAGGATATTTCGGACTTTGTTGAGTGTTCGATTATGTGAGGATATATATAGGAATCGTGGGGTCGTGAAGTGTTTTTGTCGAGATTTCGCAACTATACATCGTTAAGCGAGACGAATTCACTACCAGCAACCATGTATTTCTATTTCCGGGCTCTGACTTTCTCCTTCGCTCTCCTAAGTGCTGTTCATGCGTTACCAACTGCTGTGGAAGAAGATCTGTGTCCAAAGACCGAATACGCATGCTTCGATGTTATAAATTCTAGCTTGTGTCTGTCCCAACAAGCTACTCCTGGAGCTGGTGGAACCGGTGAGACGATGGCAAAATGCGTGGAATTTGATGGAGCGGCGAGTAACTTATCAGGAGGTGCAAAGGTTAGTCCCATCAACCTGACAGATATGACTAGGACTGATGGGCATCATCCTTTTAGTTATGTCGCTGCACCGGTTGCCACGAAGCTTTCATAAACGAGGCAATCAAGAGCTTCTTCCCGGCTCCATGTACGGCATATTGAGAAGCGAGGCTCTACTCGTTGGAGAAACATAATTGTACTTTTTGATCGGAGGTCGATAATAGTAGCAAATTGGTTGTCGATGATGGTCGATTGGAAGGAGCAGATTGTTTTCCATAGATTTCGAAAGACTGTAATTTTGTAGGCACCTTAAAAATTGGTGGTACGAGATCGACTATCAATAAACCGAGGGCGTATCTCGACCGTATCAAGGGAAATGGCCATATAATCGTGCTGTTGGTGTATTTAGCCATTGTAGAGTATACATTGAGCTTCTGCGGATGGGCACAACAATTGATGGAAGATATATCTCCTATTTCTTTTCCAATTGTGTTGACACTCTAGTCACAAAATCGAGCCGCCTCCTCCACTCTCATGATTTCATTTTCTCTGGGCGTCCGTGGTAGCCGTAGCCGAATGATCTTTAAGCTCTCGAGAAAACTTGATTGTTATTCATAGCTAGGGGAACCAGTCCCACCAAAGAGACTCATGAGGTGTGGTCGTACTCGTTTTGGTGACTAACTAGCCATTTGGTACAGCTTTACCTGAACTCAGTGTCGCGACGCGATTGTTATTGTCCATTAAGATAAATCTTGGCGGCTGATCTTAGAAATAAGTATCTGTTGTTGACTATAAACTAGCGTCGGTGTTTTAAAAAAAGACAAAAGCTTTCTTTTCAGCGAATCCAAACTCTACAATTACTGAGATCTGATATTCGTGGCGGAGCCAATGTCTCCATATGTCGTATCGTCCAGCGCGAATCTACGGAAAGATCCCACCTCAATCGAGAACCCGAAACCTCATTTAGAGCATGGTGCTCAAGATGATGATCTTAATATGACAAATTTCGAAGACGGTGTAGGGTGACGTGTATTTACCCTTTCCCGCGCGAGAACCCTTGTGTCCTCTTTTGCGAGATACTCAGCGATTCCCTCAGCGCCTATATCGAGAGCATCGAGGATCGCAAGATCGGCATCTGGATGAGCATATACTTCGACTGTATTAATATCCATATCACGGAAGCCGTTCGTCACAAGAACATGGATGACCTTACGTCCACGAAGTGACAATACCAAAGGTAGCTTTATTTGGCGTGAGTATCCCTCCGTATCGTCAAGTTGGAATAATGTCTCCTTGTCATAATCCAGTTCATATTGATGGAAAAATCTCGGAAAGCGACTCTCACGTCTATGAAACACGGTACGGGAACGCGTCTTATGAAAGAGCTGGTGAAGCGTTATTGCTGTGAGAAGGTAATCGTCTCGTGACATCTTCTGGAACGATATGGCCAATATTTTTGCATAGTCCGGCATTAGAAACTTCAAGTCTGAAATTGCTGTCATGTCGCACTGTCTACAAAGTAGCTCCATCAGGAACTGGAAGTAAGCTGTAGCATGTCTTGTGTGGAAAACAAGAGGGATGTCAATGTGCGCTAGCCAGCCATCCTTGTAGTCAGTTGAGTGGTCGACGAACGTTACCATAGACGGACTCGATCTGATGAGAAAGATTTCGCTCAGTATCCAGGGTCTTCGAACGGTTTCCCAAAAAATTGTTCCTTCTTTCTGGTAAGCGACAAGAACTGGGACTGTCGTGTATAGGGTCGAAAACAGCATCACTTGCTTTATCAATTCATCCCCCTCTAAGGACTGATCAATAGAGACAACGTCGATGAAGAGATACCGAATTCCAACCTGCTTTGCATATATAACAGCTCTCAAAATGTTCCTGGAACCTCGACCTTTGTGGTCCCCATCCCATCGCCACGAGAGCACTGCTACGCTAGAAGTCTCAATGGGGAGAGGTACTAAGCAGGACTTGAGCTCGCTTCCATGAGCATCCACATCGTTGATCCCAAGCTGGAGACTTTCGATTGATACGTCAGCTATCAATACCGCGAAAAGCGAGGAAATTGGCCCAGGAGTGTCAAAAGTCAGGGCGGCATTTGATGTCGAGCTCATTCCACGACCCTCTTCTGAATACTGCTCAATGAATTCTGGAATCCCGGGACCAGTCAGAGGAACTGGTACTGTGCTTTGAAGCTCTGTCGAATTCGATGATGCCATTTGATACGCCCAGGAAAAGTACGCTATCCGAGTGTTCTCCAAATCAAACTCCTCTTGAGCCTGAAGTAAATGTATTCCCAAGGCTAGATTCTTGAATGATGGTGACAGTTGCACTATAAAGCATGCTCGTGAGGCTGACAACCAGGTGGTACAAAACTCACGTGCTCGAACTATTCAACGTGACTTGCCTTGCGGTGGACAAGATAAGTAGTACTGCTATAGTCCGAACATACTAGTTGATTAAAACGATTAAAGTAATATGCGGTATTTCATCAGTTGCTCTAGGTAAAACGATATTGTAGCGAGAAGGATAATGTGTTGAGGAGATTGGACCATAGACAGCTGGCAATCATTTCGTCCTCTGCACGCCAGCGTACAAGCTTCGACCTGTTTAGCCCCGAAGAGATGCACTAAATCTAAAGCAAGTGCTGTAATGAGTCTGAGAGCGGGGTAAAATCGTATACAGTCTTCTATTATACTTTGTATCAGCGTATATCGGATCATAGTTAATTGTTATGAGGCCTTACCGAGGAGAGACAGAAGCAACTCTTTCAAAACAAGATCATACAACCATCGTGCTTAATCACAAGCCGATTATTGAGTTTCTTCATCGACCATAAACCTAGATAATAAAACATGTTAGTCGGTTATGCCTCTCTGGGTACTTTGGATTGTGACCTAGTTAGATCGTGCTCTAAGCATCCTGCAAGAACTGCAAATTGGTTTACTCACAAAAGTATGAATTTTCTGCCTACGTTTGGCTGATTTCTGCTTTAGGTTACCACTACCTTAAATCTGAAAGTATTTCGGCCGATTCAATAAATGTAACGAAAGCTGAAATCCTATAAAGGGCTGCACTAAGTGAGATACATGTAACATCTTTGGATAGCTAAAAGAATTCAACACCTCACAGAAAAAGTATTGTGTATTTGACCGTAGAATCTCATCTATACAACTCAAAGCCCTCCCATCTCAACCCCATCCCAAACGCCTCATAACCGCTATAAATCCAAAAATGCCAAGCTCCCAAACATACATCATCTACGCACCCACCGGATCCGCCTGCGCAAGCAGCCTCGCTCTCCAATCATTACAAACCTCCTCAAATCCACCGACTACTTCCCGGCAAACCCCCGCACATTCTCTCGCAGCCAATCGCTCCGACCAATTCCCTCTCTGCAACCACAGCTCAGCTTCCTCCCGTTCCTCCTCCTCCCGCTTCATCTCGGCGACTAGTTCTCTGGCGCTACGGAGACGACGTGTGGCTGTAGTGGTGGTTTGCCGTGACATATGGAGGGTGTCAGAGAGGTAGTTTAGGGTTTGGATGAGGTCTGCGGTGAGGCCGTGGAGTTGGGAGAGGGAGGTGAAGGCTGCTGTTGTGGGGCGGGGCATGGATTCGTTGAGGCTTGTGAGGAGGGGGAGGAGTTCGTCGATGGTGTCTTCGTCGGGGGGTTGAACTAGGGGGGAGAAGAGAGGGTAGGATAGGGATTGGAGGAGGCGGGTTTGGTGGTGGAGGTGGGTTGATAGGGCGGTGTGTGCTGTTATGAGTCTATTAGAGAGTTAGTATGTTTTATTCCAACTAGGAAGTGTAGATGATTTACCTTGAAGCACCGCCTTCAACACCGGACTGGCCTCCTAGATCCTTCAATCCCTCTATTACTCTTTTCACAACCCCATCACTCTCCGTACCATTATTCTCCGTTCCCCTCCTCGCCAAACTCTCAACCTGATCCATCCTAGCAACCAGTCCCGGAGGCATACCCGGCGACTCTAAATCCGAGTCCCCCCCATAATCGCTCCCATCATAATCACTCTGTATCCTCCTATGTCCTTTAGTAACAGGCGTTGGCGGCGTCAGGTTCGCAGACTTCAGAGGCGGCTCTATGGGCGAAGACTCCACATCCACACCACTATCCCTCGTCGGCTCTCCTCTAGTCTCCTGAAAATTCATATCCGGTTCCTCATAATCTCCCTCTAACTCGTCCTCATCCCACGCATCCGCCAGTTCATCCGCCAAATTCCCCAGTCCATTCCCCCCGGCGGTGGGTCCCCCACTGCTGAATACATCTATGCCTATCGAATTTGAACGATTCAGACTATGCCGATGACTCGGTGTTGTGGGGGAGTTTATGGAGGCTCTAGAGTTCCGCCGTGGGCTGTTGCCATAGGAGAGTGGTGTTGCGAAGGATAGATCGATGCTATTCGAGGTGTTCCGCTTATGCCGCGGGGTTTGCGGTGAGGACATCTTGAAGACGTGTGTGAAGGAATGGTAGTCGTCCAGCTTGAAGATAGTCTGCCGCGCAGAAGATCTATCTAAACGATCTTCGACCTAGAAGGGTTTCCAGCTCGTATTCTTTGTCTCCGTAATATTTTGCAACTGATAGATTATGCAAGACTTTCGGGCGAGGTGGTATGGTACTTCAGCTGAAGTATTTGTTTATAAATCTTGGGGGTTCGGATGTGATCTGTTATTCATAGACTTGTCTCGGGTCGACGTGGTGATGGTGGTGAATTATGGACTCAATGCCATAATAGAGGTTGCTGGTCAATATCAACCACATGGAATTCGCGATTGGCGTATCTCGGTGACCCCTGTCTACCCAACTTCCCTTTGTCTATGCCAAATATCATGCAGTTATATGTTGGCAGGAAATGCTTTTTATTAGCTGAAAACGGAATTTTTGATTTAGGACGTCTATAACAAAAATGATCACATAATTACCCCTACGTTGACGTGTTTAAGAAATCCGGGGTTGTCTTGGAAGTCGCGTCGTCCCTCACAAGCGAAAATATCCCGAAATCAACTACACCAATAAATCAACTACACCACCAAACCATACCACACCACCACAATAATTTCTCCCCTCCCCAATCCTCCCCAATCCAACATCTAAACCGACATTATACACAATTACAACCCCCGAAAATGACATCCCTCCGCCCCTTCCACGCCCTCGACATCTTCTCATTCAACCCCACCAACCTCGACCCCCTCACCGAAACCTACGACCTAAACTTCTACTTCTCCTACCTAGCACGGTGGCCACACCTCTTCACCGTCGCCGAATCCACGTCTGGAACCATAGACGCCTACCGTACTCCCCCTTCCCCTTGACTAAACCTTTCCCCCAGCTAACCCCCCCAAGTAATGGGCAAAACCGAGTCCTCCCCCCCCTCCGCCATGTACAGCCCACACTACCTCCCCTTCCACGCACACATAACCGCCTTAACCGTCGCGCCGCACGCGCGACGTCTGGGTCTCGCGCGGACGCTCTCCTCATCACTAGAACGGCAGGGCGACAGCAACGAGGCGTGGTTCGTGGATCTGTTTGTGCGCAAGAGCAACGGGGTAGCGCAGAAGCTGTATCGCGGGATGGGGTATAGTGTGTATAGGACTGTGGTGGGGTATTATAGCGATGATCCGACGGATCGGAGTAAGGATGGCGAGGACGCTTATGATATGCGGAAGAGTTTGGGGAGGGATGTGGAGGGGATACATGTTAGGGTGGATGGGGAGAGGTTTGAGGTTATGCCGGAGGATGTGTGGTGATGGGGATTCTTGGATTGATCTACTGAGATGAAATGAGATATTGAGGGAGTAATGGTGGTTGATCACTGGCGAGGCAAGGAGAGATCAAAAGATGATGCTTTGATCTACTGAGATGGATTGTGGTATTAAGGGGATAACGGATTGAATGAGCCACGAAGAAGGCATGCGACAATACCCAACATCTCACACTGTTTTGAGATAGAACCTCGATTCAGAAGAAATAAATTTAGAAGACCTAGAGATTAGGCCAGAAAGCCTGGTCTGATCAAATCACGCTGCACGGCAAGAGAAGAAAAATCATGTCCAACAAGAATAGAAGAGCCGCAAAAACACCACAAACAGACCTAGTAGAACAGAGCAAATATCGTGACCGGCACGATATCAACTAATACTAACACTACTTCAATAATGCCAATTTAGAATCCGAATACCAATCACCACCCAACACTATCCAATAACCATACTCAAATTCCAATTCCAATCTACAACCCGTCCCCAAACCCTACACATCACAAACCAACACCAAATCCTCCTTCCCCTCCCAATGAACCACGACCGTCAGACCCCTCAACCCCGCCTCCCGCTTCGCATTCCTCTTCTCCTCCACCCCCCTCTTCCCACCAATCTCAACCTCCCCATCACCACCCTTCCTAATGTCTTCCCCTCTCTTCGCCTCCATCTCCCGCTTCCCAACTTCCACACTCCTCTTCTCACCCCCGACCCTCCTCCCCTCCCTCTCAATCTCACTCCTCTGCTCCTCCAAAAACAGCCGTCGCCAAATACACTCATGCATATCACTCTGTCTCGCCGGACTAGGACTATACGGGTACCCATCTCTCGCTAGCCCCGCAAGCACATTCCGATCAAAGATCCAATGTGGTTCGAGAGCCGGGTTGATGAGTTTCATGTGTAATTTCCTCGCTCTGGGACAGGTGGTAGGAGTCAAAGACTTTTGAGGGTGAGAATTGCTTTCATCGTGTTGTGGACTTGATGGTGCGTGATCGCTATGATATGCGTCGATGATTTGTGATATAGCGTCATCTGTATTCTGATCTTTTCGAGTTTGAGTGTGTTTTTCTTCATGCTCAGAAACGGCGGCGTGGTGGTTTTGACACTCATCGGATCTCTCCTTGATATCATTCAATTCGTTCTCTAACCTATTAAGCTCTTTCTGACGGTGCTGTACTTTTATTGTGAGTTCTGGCACGGCAGCTGTGCTTCTCAAGCCCATTACTCTGGGAGACACGATAGAAGTTGAGGCCCGGCGCGCTTGGCGGGACTCTTCGGTTGCGGCACATGGACCTTGAATTATTAGAGGAGCTGCTTCACCTCTGGTGGCGTGCTTAGGACATATGGATGTCTTCCTCGTCGGTATGGCAGGCGCTGTTACTGATGGCTTACAAAGAGATGAACGGTCTGGCGTCGTTATATTCGTCTGCAGGCTCGGTCGGTGTGTAGAGAAGGACTGCAACTTTCCAAGTTCCGACTGGGTATCGGCACTGGAGTCTGTGTTTGGCTCGTCTCGCAGCGCTTTCTTGACATGGTCACCTATCGAGCTCCCAGGAGGTATTTTGGTCGTAGGCTGATTGAAGGACTGCCAGGGAGGTAGATTTGATTGCTCAGCATCTTCATTCAACAAGCTTGCAATACGCATCTTGGGAAAGTTTCGCAATAGCTCTGAGGCCGAATTACCGCTCTCTGCTGACGGCCCCTCATGTGATTGTTGCGAAAAGTGAGACACCGATGAATATCTACCACGTAACTCTGTCGCAAGCATCGTTCCCTTTCGAGAAGGCACTGCGGAAGAATTCATATGGCCTCGGCTTATGCTTCTCGGTGCTGCAATAGTCAGCCAGTGTTAGCAACAAACAATCATTTCGTATTCTTGATATGTGGGCTAAGACTTAGGGCCTTCATATAATTCGACGAAAGGTGATCTTGCATAATGCGCAACAGTCTATCATTGCAATTTTGCAGGCAACAAGAATATAGGATATACCGTGGAGAAGAAGAAACATCCTGGACAAACTCACCATGGTGCACATCACTACCCTCTGACAAGTGCCCCAAATCATTCTCAGACGGCAACTGAAATCGAGGCTTATGAGTAGCTTCATTGCCCTCTTCTCCATGACTTATATCCGCAGTGTAGCCTAAGTCAGTCTTTTCGCGTAAGTGATCTTTTTGCTGACTACAGGTCAATGTGTGACGACTCGGTTTATGACCGTTGTAGGCCGCTCGACAGCTAGGGCTTTCACAGGGCTCATCCGCAACAGTTGAATTGTCAGTACAATCGCATTTCCCGTCAATATGCTGTTGACTGTGATGTCTTTCAGGAGACAATGATTGTTGTGCTACTGCCTGAGTCGGCTTTGATTGGTCTTCTCGTGCCTTTGCATCTGCGACGAGGAAAGGGTTTTGCTTAACGCTCAATCTTATTTGAGATCTGGATGGTGGTAAAATAGGGGGCGTCATACGGCGGGGCGATGCCTTAAATTTCGGAAGTGCTCTGGAACTGGGTTTTGTAGCAACGATATTCGCATCGAAAGAAGGAAACTTGACGGTGGCAGTTGACTTTTTCCTAGCGGGCTTGTAGATCGGCTGAGACGGTTGGAAAATGCCTAATCCAGGTCTTTGTGGAACATATGTTGCAGGTACAGGTTTAATCTGTAGTTTTTCAGGCAGTCTGCCATGCTTAGGAGAATTGGAGCCGCCGTCAACACTTCCATTCTTAGAGCCTGGATGTGTGGCAGGCTTTGGTGTCTTCTGGGTAGCAGATGCGTCAATTTCATCGCGAAGTTTATGCCCACATCCTAGGCATCGATTGCTTTTCGATGTATTTGCCCACGAGCAGTGAAGGCAATGTCGAGTCTGCGTGGCAGGCCTAGGCGTCTCGTTGACATCCCGTGAAGAACCTCTAGAAGATACCAAGTGTCGTGGTCGTTCAACCCCGAAGTCGCGATACAGATCACGCACACTTTGGCGACGTATGTCTGATGTCGTAAGGATAGAAGAGTCTGAGCCACAGTTCTCCCTACGTCGGATGCTTATATTGGGCTGGTACATGTCGACTGATTCCTGGAACGGCTGGTGTTCGCTTCCCAGACCTCGATTCCGACTTTCATAAGGATTGTCCTCTTTCAAGACTCCTATGACACTTTCGCTACGGGATTTCCTGGAATTTCTTGGTGTCGATCCGTTCGATAAGACCGGCCAAGGGGAAGCAGCATCATATTGCACAAGCTGGACGAACCCTTGTGGTTTGAGCTGACCATGAAGACCTGGTGTCCGATCAAAGCTCACTCTGTGTTTTGCTATCGCATGCTCTTCCTCGTGATTCTTCCTTGCAATATTCAGACCCAAAAATGAATGCGCACTATCCACCTGCGTCTGCTCCATCATTCTAGTATTCCTGGATGCCGGCTCGCCAAAACGACTATTCACGCGTTGACACCAACCAGTGCACGACCTTTCTCGACGCTGGAATACACTTTGGGCAGTAATATTGGCAAGAGTTGGGTTCGCCACACTCTGTATATACGAGATGCGTGATGCCACAGTGCCTCTAGGAACATTTCGACGATCCTTCCTTGAAGATTGACGTGGTAGCGGCCGGCAGGTGAGTGGGGATAAGTCTGTAGTCGATATATCGCTGGATGTGTAGTCTGGGAGTCTCGATGGCCACTGATATGTCATCGCCGGGTTTAAAAATGGGTTTGAAAAAGATACTGGTACATGTCGTCTCCTATAGTCTAAAAACTATGGAGCGATTAAAAAGTAAACAAAGGTAGAAATGTAGCGAGTAGAAAGTTTGGATTGATTAACAATTGAGCAAGAGAAGAAGTATGAGACAAGGGAAATTGACATGGTTAGCGCTCCTTGTTCCAAAGAAGCCAATAAGGAAAGAGCAACCCGAGAAATGAAGATAGGTTAGTAGACAATAAGAGCTCATTCAAAGGATGCATTTACGACACAATGATATACATGGCTTCTGCTTCTAAAGTTAACCGCTCTCTAATACAAGCAGAAAATGCTTTACTTCAAAGCAGCTTGCAAGCTCTCAAGAACCTAATGAATCTTGTTAGTGTAAGGTTTGGAAAACCGGCTATGCAACATACCTCGAGCTCAATCTTCGCCTCAGCAATGTCTTGCTCACTTCCACTTCCACCAACGATTTTCTGTGCCTCTGAGATTTGTGATCGGACAGCGTCGGCGCTGAAATCCTCTAATGGGAACCCTTCCACAGCATTAATGCTCAATTCCGAGTTTGGCTGAACGATAGCAAAGCCTCCAGACACTGATTCCGTTCAATTAGCAAAGCTCTTGCGCTCTCTGAGTGAGGACAATCGTACAGAAAAACTGCTTGCTTCCACCGCTCTCCTCAATAACCTCTACGAGTCCTGGCTTCAACTGCTCAATTGATGGAACGTGGTTTGCGAGAACACCCATCTCTCCGGATTCGGCTGGGATGTTGACTTGGACGACATCTTGCGACTTGTAGACGGACTGTTGATAACCTGTTAATCCTTATGCTTTTGCCCAACTTCCTCAAGCAATCTGCCACGTCACCCGCCCTGCCCATCCAATCGCCCTTCCCATCCATCCTCAGCCTTACTCGCGTATCGAACGTACCTGATGTGGTAGAGCCAAACTCAACTTGATCTACGACAGGAGTTAGTATCCAGACGCTCCCAGCAAATTCTTCCGCGAGACAACCGACCTTATCCGACACGGCTTCAGCATATCCTCTACGCTGTAATGGGGCCCTGATAGCTGCAGGACGCGCTCGCAGAGCCGTACGGGCAATACGTAGGGAGTTCATGATGTGTTGGGGTATCAATTGACAATTGGCGTTGTTGACTGCCTCGAGGAGAGCTTTCTTGCGGTTAGGATTGGTTTCCCGGAGCTAAGCGGATATGGCTAGCTTCTGGGTTCACGTGCTCAAGCACAACTTCATTGAACGCTTACAAAGTTTTAACCATGCCCAGATAATTTAAAGCCATATTTTATGGAATACCTAACATCAAAGGGAAAGAGGGCATTTGATACTTGAGAATATATGATAAACGCGTGACATGCCATTGTTGGTCTCTTTGACTTACTGTATAGAAGTCAGCTGACACGTTTCCACAATAACATTGCGCCACAGTTTGGCAAAATATGAGCTGAGCCACACTCTGAAATCCCGAGGTCGACGATGAAATGGATTGATCACACCACACTGGAATATTTGCATCCTTCGTCTGACAAATTCTACGAGCATGTCATGTTGAAAAAGTTCCGATTTCTAGAATGCCCTTACTAAAACTTTCTAGCTTCAAATCATCAACAATATGTCATACACAGCCTAAGTGTTCCGAGCAGTAAGCTAATCTACTACAAAGTGTGCCATGGCTTTCGGATCGGTATATCAACGATGCGAAATTGATTCGGCATCTTCCTCTCAAGATGATTGTTAATTCCGCTCTTTGTAGCTAGGGGATACTCATAGGAAGCTATTCCAGAGATCTCTCAAGCCGACCGTCATCTTCTTTAGCACCAACAACTTGTTTCCTAAATGTTCAACTCGAGATCCCACTTATGAATTAAGCGAGTTCATGACGGTAAGTCGTGAATCTTCGGCACCATACGAACCCACGATGTGGTTTAGATGACGCCCTCCACTTCCAGAAAAATCGACTGGAAATCATTAATCCCTCAACGCGGACGTACGCTAGAAGGAGATGAAGTCGATGCACCTCATAACAACGTGCTGGTTAGCACATTCATTGTCGTGCATATGCAGTGAACCCGATGTGAACTTGCAGGCCGTGTGCATTGGAGGGGTTTCTACACCTGTCAACGGGCGCAGTACAACCTGTGGAGTGTATCCGAAGATGGGCTTCATGTTCGACACGGACAGAGAATGGGAAGAGTCGTAGCTCGTAGTTGGAAGAGTTGAAAGTCAGCAGTCTGACATGCCTTTCGAACTGATATGATATTACACCGTCTCACTCAGCTTTTCAGCGCTGAAAACTCGTGTGGCTATCATCAGGAGCGCGTCCAATACGCCATCTCACATCTGGTAATGTAGACCATAACTTGAATGTCATGATTGTTGGTTCAAGCCAGAATGCAATTGGCTCCTTCTTTGGTCGGCTACTGCATCCCCATGGGCGAGAGGAAGAATATTGCGATATATCAGGACGAAAGAGGGGTTGAATCCTGAAGAATGTGGGGTGCATTTGGCGGTAAGGATGAAAGATTTGAAGCTGCAACGACATCTCAGCTCAAAGCTATGTCCTTGTCGTATTGAGCCTGTGGCTGCTGGTACGGACCGCTTCAAAATGCTTCGATGGTGTCACTACGCACTTGGTTGTTGAAGCGAGTCTATGAGTGGCTCGATGCCTACATTGTAAACTCTCGAGGAAGCCATCGTCAAGCGGTGGTAGTAGGATGTACAACACCAAGCAGGGGAGCTACGTCGTTACATCAAGCATCGCGGGCCTTTTTAATAGCTACCCATAGATAGCCTCTCGCTTACCCGTGTGACAACTTTGAATTTGGACACAAAAGGACTCGTCATTTTGTATTGATACACCAAAACCGGCAGCTTGGTTAGAGCAGAGCCAGCAACGTGAATATTCCGTCGAGAGCTGTGTTACTCTCCGAAGCTCTCCAGCTGATGGTGGTGGGATAGATAGAAAGATGTGCTAAGCACCGGCAAGTATCGTATACAACCGTAATAAACAACGCTCTACGGCAATTGCGTTGTCCTCATATAAAAGTCTTGGGAAATTCATGTCGCAGTACACGGAGCATGGCATATCCTGAATAGGAGGCATAACGTGTCGTCCTCCTTCGTGTCTCGCTTGGACGGGCCTTCCATGAGATTGCCCCCACGGAAAAGAGACATGTTTCGAGAAGGACCCCGCATCGATGCAGGTGTTTTGGTGCTACTTGGCACATATGATTGACTTTCAGGGTTTGGCCAAGCAAGAGATGATCACGGCACTCAGAGAGCGGGTGTTGTATTTTTGGCGTAGCCGCGAGTCGCATCAGAAATGCCAATGGAAATAAACACCGAATGCTCACATGTGCTCTTCTGAGGAAGAAAAGGCCGTATTAACAGGTGAAGGCTTACGCTCCTGCGGTGCCGACGAAAAGAGAGGTTCGGAAAATGCAGAGAAGATGGGCTCGACGACAAATGATCGATTATTCCGGAAGCACAAGAGAACGCAAAAACGGTCGTCAGCCTTGAATTCCTCGAATCCCGAGAGGTACAAAGTAAACAGTACAAGGTAAGGTGTGTAAACTATTGGTAACTTATTAGTCAAAGACCTAAGAGACACCACAAGCGCCGCAACCATAATTCATCACTCATGGTGATTTCCGGCGGTGAAATGCCCGATTATTTGCTGGCAAAATCTGCATGATATGTGTGGGACCGAGTGAGTCGTTGGGGCGAAATGTATTGTGCGGTGAGACTGGGAAACAATGGAAACAAAAGGCTGGAAAGGGGATAGGTCGGCAAGTGCAAATCGCTGTTCGTGATGAAATGAATTATTGGACAGTAAAATGGGTGGCTTCACGGTAACGTTAGAGAGTATGGGAACCTGCGGTAGAATTTTCTCTTGCTTGCAGACGTGCGTCTTTCAGGGCTTTGTTGGCCGTCGAGTCTCTGTTCGGCCCTCTTTCTGGCTCATCTCATCTGGGAAAATCCACTTATTCGCCGGACGCAACAGTCGCGATTCGAAGGCGCTGGTGCACCCCCAAATTCGGACAAGCTTTTGCTCATCAAGCCCTCTCTCGCACCGCTTCTCGCAGCACCCAACACCCACCGCCCACCGCCCACTGCCCACCCATCAAATTCCCATTATTCACCACCACAACCACTTCGACCACCGCCCACCCACCAACCCATCCTCCTTCCCTCTTCATTCCTCTTCTTCCGCCCTCGTACCGCAACCTCGTACGGTCACACCCATCCTCCCAACTCACAGCCGCTTACACAACACATTATTCTCCCCTCTTTGCTGCGCGCCCAGTCCCACCTGTCCTTCGCCCAGCTCCTGGCGAACAAAACCACAAAAGGAACGTGGGCCCTCGACCTTCAGTCGCGCAAAAACCCAGCCAACAAGAATTTCAACGTGCCGTCAACCGGGCGTGGCCAAGTGCTCCTGTACTTCCTGGCTACGTCGAACACTCAGCCAAGCAGCTGTGTCTGACTAAACGGATTGTCCTCCAATCCTATACATTCGCATTCGTCCGACTGTGAATCTTGCGCTCTTCGCAAACCCCCATTACAGCCTGTCTCTGCGCATTTAACGTCATCCTCACATCCGCAGTAAAGATCAACCACCAAGATCACCAACACAACATAGTCTAAGCGCTTGCAACGACGACTCAACTATCCGCGAAAGTCTTGGACCTCAGTCCAACATCCGTCCTTTCTGCTTCTGCGAAGTAAATTTGGATAGCACCTTACCTCTACAACATGTCGTCTCAATTATAGCAATACGGTCCCTAGGGACGCCTCGACCAGACAGGTTCGACTTGACCTCCAGCAGGTCGAAATTTCACAGCAACGATCAATCCTTTCGATTATTGCCGCATATTAATCGATCTCGATATTCCTAGTGCTCGAGATAATTTGCAGTTTTGCAACTTCTTTCCGGACCGCGTCGCGATCCATTTCACAATACGAATACATCGGTCCACGCCACTTGCTGTGACGACCACCCAGCTCGACGATACCTCCCGGATTTAATTGGGATCGAATCGACAGTAGATACATTTAATTTACGACTCGTTTTACTTAATTACTCTTGCGACACCTCTTACATTTCGAGATGGGTCTACAGGATTTCTTCAACTGGCGGTCACAAACGGCCGCCGCCAATACAGATGCAGTGACGGACGACGAACCGGCTGCAGAGGTCGATGAACCACCGGATCACCATATTTCCTTTGAAAAACCTCAGTCTGATTTCCACAAGTCTGCCGTTCGTGGGAAGATGGACCGCAAGGAATCCCTCCTTACCAAGGCACTATTGAGAGGTCCTGAGACGGACGCAGACAAACCAGAGATACACGTCGCAACGGATCTTTCTCGTCGTCGTTCAATGATTAGCAATGCCAGCATGGCTTCGACTGCTGAGCTCACCAGTGATGGAGGTCTTACGAGTCCCGCACGGACGAATACACCAAGCCCACCCCCACCAGGCGCTTTATATGCCAGCTTCGCACCGTACTCCTTGGGGAAGAAGGCCATCCCTCCTCCCACTTCAGTCGCTGCCGTGGTAGTAAAAGATACATCCGACAGCGTTGTCCATAAGGATGTTGTCAGTGTTTCACCAACTGCTCCAGTTCGTCCTGAAATCCCTCGGAAAAGATGTATCAGTTTTGTCTGTGGTGGAAAGAAAGAGGCAACGCCTGCCCCGGCTCTTACTACTGCTCCCGCAATACAACCGCCTAAACCAAGAAGAATTACTTTCATGTGCGCTGGAGGGAAACCGTCGGTAAAAGATGATAAATCTAAAGCTGAGCCAGCCGTTGAAAAGTCAAGCGACATATCAAAAAGACTTAGCTCTCGGTCACCATCTATTCCCAGAAAATCCCCACGCTCGCTTCCTCAGTCTCCGCCGCGACCACGTCGGGATTCCCTTACCATGTCAAAACGAGGACCGCCAAGCCCAACCATCACGAGAGCAAAGCCTAAATGCATTATCGCCAATGAGAATACCTTCCAGTCATCCGAGGCTACTCGATTCCATGAGTTTGCTAGTGATGAGCCGCAGGAAGATGACTGGATCCGTGAAGAGGTCAAGGTCACTTCCAAGAAGATGACCATTAACGATACTTTGAAGATGGAGAATGCTATACGGAAATTGGGCAACGAGGCTGAAGAAGAGGCGATGGAAGAAGATGATGACGACGATGACGACGAAGATGAAGTCGTCAATTATTCCGAGGATGACGAGGATGAGGACGAAGATGATGAAGAAGAGGAATACGAAGACGAAGACGACGATGATGAAGATGAGGATGCTTCTGACGGAAATGAGACCGACAATGAAGCAGGCTTTGCAGATTCTGATGATAGTGATGTTGAAGGAGAATTTGCTTTCTGGACTCCAGGACGCAATATCCCACACATCCAAACTGGAGAGCCTTCAACCTACCGCCCATCAGCACATCGAGCTGCATCTGCATCTTCCATTGATTCCGTGAGCTTCATCGACTCCAAGCTTGGTCCCAAGTCATTGAGACGCCCACGTCGTCGCCCGATGAAGATCAGACCTGGAACTCCTGAATTACCGGATAGTACCGACTTTGTCTGTGGGACGCTCGACGAAGATAGGCCGATGGAAAATGCATACATCGCATGCATGAAAGCACGTGAGAATGCGAAGCACAAGCAAACGCCTCAGGACATTGATCCTAGCTTCCCGACTTCGGATTTTGACGAAGAGGATGACGACGATATCGTCGCAGCTGGAGAGGATAGTGACGAACATGTTTGGCTTCACGGGAACTTTGAGGAGTCTGACAGCGAGAAAAAGGGACGGAGTCGGCCAACAACCACCCGCCGAAAGTCGCCAATCGTCTCACCCAGAAGAGCTCACTCACCTGCGCCAACTCGTAGACTCCATTCTCCTCCCCCAGCTCGCCGACTTCACTCTCCTCCTCCACCTCGCCGGCATCATTCTCCACCACCGCCAAAACAACGCCACCGGTCACCTCCTCCACGGAAGCTGTTTGGACAATCCCCAAGGTGTATGCGTTCTCCACCTCCAGCGCGAACCATTCAATCGCCAGCTGTAACGCCTATGCAATCGACCAACGGTGTCGTATCATTTATGTCATTGGCATCCCGACCGGGGCTCACCCACACTAAGTCTCTCCCACGCGCACCAAATATCTTTGGCCGCCAGTACAAGGCTTCCCGTATTGAGGCCGCAGCTGGTAACGCGTATGACAACAGTGATGGTCCAGATGGACACGTCCGTGGAGCTATCGATATCGTCAAAGGGCTTGAACGAAAGCGTCAACGTCGCAAAGAGAAATTCCTACAGAAACACTGTAACCGGAAACAAAAAGGTCATGCGGAGCGTAAGCCTCAACCTGGCAAAGGCGCCGAGCGTATGCGTGAGCTTGGGCTCCTCATGGCCGGCAAAACTGGCGTCACGGACCCGTATATGATGTCCGCTTAAATTTGATGGAAGAATCGCCAAACGAGAATGTCCTCGATTCAAATCTTTCAATTCTTTTGTACATACTTCTTTTCTTTTACCCATCCAATATTCTACCCGATTGACAGGATGTGGTCGTTTGTATATACCACTTTTGTCCTATTTATCCAGAACAACATATTGGGCATCAGCACTCTGCGAGCATCGATCTCCTTACGTACGGATTGTTTCGCCAGTCTTATATTATCGTGGCCATCATTTGGGCCCGGGGAGCATTAGCATAGCGTCGGCAGCATTAGCGGCTTTCAGTGGAATCATATCCTATATTCATATTATGTGGAGGAGTCGCGACTAAGGGTTCTGAATGGATCCGTGGCAATCCTACTACCATTCTGATACCAGAATACCATGAGTTTCTTATGTCATATAACAGAAGAATCTTATCATAAATTACACAAATTACGTTTTACACTTGCAGTTTCGTGAATCCCTGCTGTGTCTGATTGTGTACGGTGTAAGAGACTGGAGTCATCGCTAATAGTGTGGTAATCTTTGTGTTAGGGTGCTTTGGAAACCGTTAATTAGACACATGAGAGTTATTAGTTGAGAAATATCAAAATTAGTCTTTTTTTGTAGATTGTAGACAAGTAGCCAAGTATCACATGTGTTTAACGAGCAGAGAAACTATATCCTAGGTCTTAGTTTACAGAAGCGGATTTAGCCGTTAGAGAATAGTAGCAACAGAAGAAGACACTAAAGATTAAAATAAGTATGCGATTGAAAAACCACAGCCCCGAATTGCATGAGGAAACATGTGTTCTATTTGTAGCTGCTTGGGGGTGACGAAAGAAAATGTTCTGCCTTGAACCCAAGGCATTCAGTTACTAGCGTAATCATCGACGCCAGATTGACACTCCGTATCTTGCTTGTTGAGGTGGATATCCAAGAAATAATAATTATTCACACTACTCCCGCTTGCGCAACCAGAAACCGAACCTTCAATACTCGATAATACTATAGCCACCATGTGGATTGTCAACTGGTGTAAGTATACCACTACAGCCTACCATAAATTCTCCCACGGGCAAGAATTCCAGCATGCTGACTTGCCCTTTTTCTACCAGTTTGGGATACTCTTGCCTCCCTCGGGCTTTTGAACAAGCATGCGAAACTCCTCTTTCTCGGGCTCGATAATGCTGGAAAAACGACGTTATTGCACATGTTAAAGGTGGGTGGTTGTGATCCAGGAGGCTACTCGAATGCCATCGCTGTGTAACACACGATCAAGGACAAAAGACCACGACTGACATTCTGGCTTTTCTAGAATGACCGAGTTGCGATTCTTCAGCCAACATTACATCCAAGTCAGTAATAACCGTCTGCTGCGGCTCTGTGTCAAATGGAGCATGTGTACTGATGGCTAGATAGCATCCGAAGAGCTTGCCATCGGTAATGTTAAGTTCACAACTTTCGATTTAGGTGGACATCAACAAGGTATGCGCTGTCCTGATGATATCAGAACACGGGCGAAGGCGTGGAAAATGGCTCACACCTAGTAGCACGTCGTCTTTGGAAGGATTACTTCCCCGAGGTGTCTGGCATCGTTTTCCTTGTCGATGCGAAAGACCACGAACGTCTGATCGAATCCAAGACCGAGTTAGATGCCCTTTTGAGCATGGAGGAACTGTCTAAGGTACCATTCGTTGTGTTGGGAAACAAGATCGACCACCCAGATGCGGTCAGCGAAGATGAATTAAGACACCAACTCGGTCTATATCAAACTACTGGAAAGGGCAAAGTCCCTCTCGAGGGTATCAGACCTATCGAGGTTTTCATGTGCTCGGTCGTTATGCGACAAGGTATGTGACATCAGTGTTTGTATTCAGACCAGCTACTAACATAACCTAGGTTACGGTGAGGGTATTAGATGGTTGTCACAATACGTGTAAATGATAAGGGAGATACAATTCGTGAGAGAGAAATGACCACGAAACAAGACAAGCAAGCGCCTCTCCACGGAGGGGCAATGTCACGATGGGCGGAGTACACAGGTTGATTTTCGATTGTGCTTTTGGCAATGTCTTTCCTGTGGGCCATTATGGGGGAGTTATCCGTAACGGCCTGGATCAAGCCAGACATAATTGTACCCTGCATATTTTCGCGATTAAGAATTTTAACTTTGCCTTGGATGTTTGTTTATGATGCTATATTTGGATCTTGAATTTGAAGTCACATTCTTTTGCGCCCTGTCTTCGGGGGTTGACAATATCCTCCGATTCTTCAACAACCGTAGAACTTCAAAATTTAAAGATATCAGTATTTGATTCTCATGATCTGTGAATTGGGAAAGTCAAGTGCAATAAATAATAGAGTTCGAATTCGCATCATTTTTGCTTGTCATGGGGGAGAGCGACGTCATACGAGGCACCTGGTCTCGGTTTGGAGCTCAACGGTTCTAACCACCACTTTAGCACTACATTCCAAAGCTATCTTCCATTCTTCGCAGCGCGCCAACACGTCGCGTATAAAATTACAAGAAGCCACCGCTGATATGCCTTCCCTCAAGCGTTATTCAGAGCGGTAACAAAGTGCACATTATTAGTTATTGCTGAGAAGAAGGCGGCCAATCTAGCGCTCTTATCCACCTATTGCAAAGACCACATAGCTTGAACACAGCACCTCGAGCTCGCCATGGCAGATCTAGCAAAATCTACGGACGGGCCAGAGCCATATAGCGAGGAGGGCTACGACGCATCGCTCCTCCCAGATTTCGAGCACGAATTCCTATCGTACGAAGATGTAATCGCATTCGCCAACGCACTCTCCGCACCAGAACAAAGTCCCAGCACCGATGACCTCCCCAGCACTGCCAACAGTGATTTAAAGAGTCCCGATGGAACACGCAGACCTAGTATCGCCAGTATTGTCACGGATGCCCATAGCGAGCGGTACGGCGACACGAACCGAAACCCGAATCGACGGGAAAGCATCTTCATCACGGCGCAGAATGATTGGGCGCCTGTCAACCCTCCACGGCGGAATTGGAGGAGGAGTAAAGAGAAGAATGAGGGGAAGGCGAAGGTCAGACGGCGGAAGCCGAGGAGGAGTAGGGATGAGACGAGGGAGGGGTATCTGTATGCGTTGCTGAAATGGCCCTTTCTGTTGATTGTTGGGGCTTGGGTTGTTGGCCTGGCAATCAGTTACCTGGCTACGAGGACGTATATATGGCTCTATGAGCATTTTGTTGCGTGGCGTGGAACGAGAGAACGGCTGAGAAAGAGGTTGCAGGAGGCGGAGAATTATAATGATTGGGTACGCAGAGCGAAGGACTTGGATCGGTATCTTGGAAATGATAAGTGGAGGGAGGATGATACTTTTGCATATTATGATAGTAAGACTGTGAAGCGGGTGGTTGATCAGTTGAAGAAGATAAGTAGAAGGGTTGTTAGTGATCTAGATGGGAGAGAGAGAGGAGGTGCAACATCAGGAGTGTCAAAGAAGAAGGCGATTGATGATTTGAAGATTTTGGTGGAAGCATGTGTGAAGAGCAATTTTGTGGGCATTGAGAACTCAAGGCTGTATTCTCAGACTTATTATGGGACGAAGAATCTGGTTCAGCAGTTCATTGATGAAGGTATGCTCTGTTATCTAACACTATTTGGATGGATACTAATCACTGTGCAGTCGAGAAAGCCGTTCAGCTACTTGTTGAAACCACTCTGCTAACTGTTGAGGAGAAGCGAACGCTCTTCAAGCGTGTGCATACCAATTTTGGTCGCACAGCACTCTGCCTCTCAGGTGGCGCTTCATTTGCATACTACCATTTCGGAGTAGTAAAAGCTCTTCTCGACGCCGATTTACTCCCAGAAGTCATCACAGGCACTTCTGGTGGAGCACTTGTTGCTGCATTGGTCGCCACTCGAACTAATGACGAACTGAAGAAACTTCTTGTTCCAGCACTAGCAGGTCGAATCAATGCTTGTTCGGAACCATTTAGGGTCTGGGGACCTCGATGGTGGAAGACTGGTGCTCGCTTCGATTCTTTGGAGTGGGCTAAGAAATGTAGTTGGTTTAGTCGAGGAAGTATGACTTTCAAGGAAGCATATGAGAGGACAGGGAGGATCTTGAATATTTCTTGTGTCCCGGCTGATCCTCACTCTCCAACGTATATTAACCCCAAATTCCGTCTTCATATGATACTGACATTCTCTTAGTATTCTCACCAACTACCTGACAGCTCCTGACTGTGTAATTTGGTCAGCTGTTCTAGCTTCCGCCGCTGTACCTGGCATTCTAAACCCAGTCGTCCTAATGATGAAGACTTCTACTGGCACAATAGTACCCTACTCATTCGGCCACAAATGGAAAGACGGCTCCCTCCGAACCGACATTCCCCTCAAAGCCCTCAACCTCCACTTCAACGTCAACTTCAGCATCGTCTCCCAAGTCAACCCCCACATCAACCTCTTCTTCTTCTCCTCTCGCGGCTCCGTTGGCCAACCCGTCACCCACCGTCGTGGCCGCGGCTGGCGGGGCGGCTTCCTCGGCTCCGCCACCGAACAATACCTCAAACTCGACCTCAACAAATGGCTCAAAGTCCTCCGCCATCTCGAGCTCCTCCCTCGCCCTCTCGGGCAAGACTGGTCCGAGATCTGGCTCCAGCAGTTCTCAGGCACCATCACCATCTGGCCACGCTCCGTCATCAGCGATTTCTGGCGTATCCTCTCGGATCCGAACCCGAAACAGCTGGCGCGGATGCTGCATGTTGGCCAGCAATCCGCTTTTCCTAAGCTGCAATTCCTCGCCAATCGGATGAAGGTTGAGAGGATGGTTGAGAGGGGACGCAAGGAAACGCGCATGGGTGTGCGGAGGGGCAGTATCGAGAGTATTATCAGTGAGGATGATATTCGAAGTCTTTTGCGCAAGAGCGAGGACGGGGAGACGGCGACGGGCGAGGATAGTGAGGCGTTGACTACGGGGGATGAGTTTGAGGATGAGACGGCTGTGGAGACGGCGGTGGAGCAGGAGTTACTTATGAGTAAGGTTGTTGAGGAATAGAGGCTCCTATTCCTGTTCAGAAATGTGGTTTATGTTCTGTGTGATGATTTCAACGCTCGTGGTTGAGAATGCAGGGTCTTGAATTACGATTTGGAGTTTGGCGGTGTGGTCACGATACCATGGTTTTCTTTCTTCTGGAATAGAGTGGGATAGGAGACGGGGGAGAGATTGAATTGTAAATATTCTATCATGGCTATGCTGTTTAGCTTATTTAATGGTTACTCGCTCGGTCGTTGGCTTTATGCCATTGTTGACGGGTGGAAGTTCTTCTTTAAAAATGTGAAAATCCGCGGTTCCTTCTCTTGAAGAGAAACTCGTCTTATAATCGATCTATGCTCGTTCTATGCCTCTTCTGAAGGTTTTTATTAGGGTTGTGTTGGTTTGTGATCTAGATTCTGCTTATCCATCTCATGTACGCAATACGTCCTTCACTCTTACGCTCTTTTTTTATAAACACAGTAGGTACTTGCCCCAGTTTCCAAAAGCTAGATGACTATATCAGTATCAGAATATTTTTATCCCATGAACGATCTAAGAAACAGTGGCGCTAAAAACATAGTATTGATATGCTTTTTCTCGCATAACGTCTTTAACGCTGGAGATATGAGAAGAAAAAGACTACGGAGCTCGTCGTTCGAATAGCTATGTCTTATTATATCCTTGTCATCAATGAAATGCCGGGGTGTTGATCATGTTTATTGTTATATGATCTTGCATCCATATGCTTAGGTTGGTGATTTGGTTTGCTGGTAAGTTGTCGGGGGATGGGAAGAGGGAAGTGTACATTTGTTTCCCCATTTCCACTAATTGTAGAATGGCTAAATTGATGAATTAAATGGCCTGGCTATGTCTTTTGTTTTGGGGTTAAGAGATCGATGTTAAGAAGTAATCGAAAGTTTAGATGAACTTACCCATACCGTAACCTCAGTCGGCAATTTATACTAGGGATTGATAAGGGAGCTGAGCTTTTTCTCTCTTGGTACTTGAAATGTATAAATGTTTATTTACATGTACATAATGGATATACATTCATATCTTTAAATACTTATAAAAAGATACAGGTGTGACGTAAACCTAGAAAGTGTCCTAATCGTAACCCTTCCCTCGTATAAATATTATGGGCACTCTAAGGTAACGAGTGATGAGTCGATCAAATAGCGAGTAGATTGCATTTCGGAACACACGCATATTGAGTTTCCTAACAGATGACAAGAAGTGAGACTATGGTATAAAGCGTACTCGAATAATTGAGATAACTCATGATTACACCTTCTTCTCAGCTATCAGTCTTTGTGGAGAAGTTAGTACTCGAATCAAACATTTTGTCGTACAATGTTTTGTATTGTCTAATACTACCAACTTGCTCCCGACCCACTCATCGGCAACCACTCATCCAAGCCCATGTCAGCTTGCATCCCATTCATGCCCATATCGAAACCGAAACCTTGCGATTGATCACTTGACGGGATTGGAAAGTTGTCCATCAGATTTGGCGTCATGAATGGATCAGCTACGCCAAAGCAATAATTAGCTCGTGTAGCAAGAGAAGAAGAGATAGAAATTGTTATGATGAGGGGTACCTACGACCAGAAAAATCTATGTGATCTTGAAAATTCTGTTGCAAAGTGTTTTCCGGCCTATGTGGGTGATCACCGCAAGCAGCTTCATCACCAACTGAATATGCGTCGCCCGCCCTACTGCCCAACACAAAATCTATTGTAGCAGCAGCCTTCCTCGCCTCCCCACTCCGCTTACTCCTCCTAACCCAGACTTCCCTCGTTCTCCGCAACGCAGCACATATCTCCTCCTGCCTCTCTATCGTCTGCTTCTTGTGCAACAACGAACACAGAATCATCGTAGCCGTAAGGAAAAGATGGTTCATGGATGAAGTCACTCGCCAACGCACCGAATGAAGTTGGCCACCTGGACAGGTTTCTTCTTCAAGCACATGTTGGATTTGGAAGGTTCCTAGGGATGCTTCTAGACATGCTTTCCGAGAGTAGGAGTAATCTGTATGTTGAGGGAGGGATGAAGACGGAGAGGCAGAATCTAGGTAGAGGAAGCGGTGTTGTAGGCGAATTTGACCTTTATACAAGAGATGGCGTATGAAAAGTTTGGACATGGTTATTTGTGGCGAATCCGTTATACTTGCAGTGATAGCCTTCATTCTCAGAGTTGGCGGGATAGAGTTTGCGGCTTCTTGCAGCATGTTATCCATGCGTAATATCTCTGCATAACTGCAAAGTTTTACAGCGTCGGTAGCGTCTGAGATCTTGCCAAGAACCATTAGCATTCTTCGACGGGCAATGATTCCTAAGGTCGTAGTATGCTCGGTTTCTGGACGGGCTGGGGGAAGTGAAATGGTGGTTTCGGAGAGGTCGGCATCGTTTAGATTTCGTGGTTCTTCGGTATCGCATTGTGACTCCTTGATTATCCGTGGCATGCCCATTTGGCTTGATATAAGGATATCGCTTAAGAGAACAGTGGCCCACATCCTACGACGCATTTCACCTTGCAGAGGTGAAATTCCCGAAAAGTGCCGAGGATCACGGTGATAGCCCATTCTCATAGCTAGGTTGACTTCGAGTGCAAGTAGGAACCAAACGTCCTTATTAGCATCCGTTCGAACGCCAAACTCAACATATATGTAATGAATCAGAGTTTCCAGTACAAACGGCCCGGACTTGGTATATCCACCCATTGTGAGGCATTGTACAATTTTTTCGCGGTATAAGTCGATTAGCTGAGATTGTTGATCTGCTTCATGGCCATGCAGGAAATCGGACGGTGTAGAAGCGAGGACAGCAAGACATATCATGCTGAAGAGCAATCCTATCCACATGACTGGTGCTTCAGATGGATTTGTCCAAAATGCTTCATACTGCGCATGTCAAAATCAAAACGATGGTAAACTGATCACAGGACGCATTACTTGCCTCTTTGAGAAAGCTGGGCCCATGAACGGCGGCTGAATTTGAAAACATTAGCTACAATTGTGTGGTAACAGGAGGGGATGTACTGGCAAGATGCAACGAGCTCCAGCTGGGCAAAATAACGTGCCAAGTAGCGGTCTACTTTGCTTCTAGGTGGCAATGCTTCGAGAATATCTTCCCGAGAAGCTGCTTGATTGTATCCAGACCCGTAAAGAAGTAGAGCATGAGGAGATTGAAAGGCAAGTTCACTGCTACTGCCATCGACACTATCACAAGGGACCGGATAGGGGCTGTCATTAACTCCAAGTTCTTTCTGGGCAAAATGTTCTTTGAGATCCGCAATATTTTCCAAAATCGTGGCCCAGTGGTCGTTGCCAACATATCGATGTTCTGAAGGAGAGACGCTCATGCTGCCGCATTCGGAATGGCCATCCATCGTGGCAGTTGGGTCCAGCAACGATTCCGGAGGTGTGACCATGGCAGACTCGGCACGTTCATTGAGATGATTGTGAGCGGAATTACGCATTAAGGTCATAACAAGACTCTCGAGCTGGGCAAGGCGATCACCAACACCCTTTGAGGACAATGTCGCTGTTTGAGTGTCCGGATAGGTGCAAGGTAAACGCCGTGACGCACAGCGAGAACATGGCTGTTGGCGATCGCATTTTGACCTAACAAATGGAAGAAATAGGTAGGTACTTGACCGTGAAAGAAGTAGTGATTATGAATAGACGAAAGTGCTTACTTTTGGCGTCGGCATAAAGTACAAGACAATTGAGGTTTGTCTCGGCGCCGACTTGGATTCGGGCTCGAATGACTATTGCTTGTGATCGACGACATGGACGAGTGTATCCCCTTAGATTCTTGACACTCTCGAAGCTCTCGTTCTAGTTGATCGTGAGTGTCTTGAAAGATAGAAGTGCGTCGTGAAACTTGTGGACTATACGCCTCGGATTATCGTTATTCCGCCGGGCTAACTAAACAGGTTACAGCGACCCCCTTTCATAGACGACAACCGGACTTCTTTACGTATGCTGACCGCGTTGGATTGCCTCATCTACCTAACTAGATGATTCACTGCTGTGAAAATCAGTCGTGATATGCATTTCAAGGATTTGAATAGCTACATCGACGCTTGAATTTATCCTCCGATCCTCCGTCCGATGTCGGTACAATCTACGGGGGGGACCATAGGAGCAGCCGTCCGACCGTCCTATCCTCCTACCCTCCTATCCTCCTACCACCCGATTTTTGCCCAGCTTCTCGCTGGACCCGATCATGCGGTATACCTGTAAGATATGTTGCTGTTCTCCAGCAAGAGATGGGAGAAAGACCCGTATTTCTCAATTTGTGAATCATGCCCCGGCGCTAGTTGATACGCTGAAGTATATGGTGTTTCTACATAAGCCACGTCAAGTATGATTAGAATCCCTATTCATTATATTTTCATAGCCTTTTTAACCCAACTTCTATTTCGTTTCGGGAGACAATCTTAAAGGTTTTCTTAGAGTCCTCGAAGTTACTCCACCTCTCAGTAATCGGTTAATCAACTTCTGTATTTGTTGAAAGTACATTATTCTTCCCAGCTTGCGGAAACATGGAGAAGGAAGGCAGCTCTAGTCATCAAGCCAGTCGGCTTGAAGCTGGCTCTCTAGAACATAACGACTTGGTAGATCCTAACATCGTTGACTGGTCTGGGCCAGATGATGTTGAAGATCCTCACAATTGGTCCAGCTCTAGGAGATGGGCGCAAATCATTTTGGTTTCTCTGTTTGCTTTGGTCACGTAAGTGTAGTCTCGTTCACATCAATATCAACTGTATTGAGAACAGGACGATCAGCTAATGCGCGATTCTGCTACAGAAACATGGCCCCAACTATTTGCGCACCCGCCATTGAACAGATCATCTCGGAATTTCAGATTGCCTCCCAAAACGTCAGTACTCTGGCCATTACCATCTATCTTCTCGGCCTAGCTGTCGGACCTATGTTCATGTCGCCTTTGAGCGAGGTGTACGGCCGTCAGCCTGTCCTACTTGTCGCCAATCTGCTCTTCGTATGCTTCATCGTAGGCTGTGCACTGAGTCAAGATGTCGGGGAATTCATGATATTCCGGTTCTTGTCAGGATGCGCAGGTGGCACTCCAATGACTTTGGGTGGGGGAACAATTGCAGATGTCACTCGCATGGACAAGCGAGCTGTTGCCATGGCTTTATTCAGTCTGGGACCTTTGACTGGGCCTGTATGTCATGATCTCCAACTTCTAATATCCACTTGTTAATCGATTTTTGCCTAGGTTCTCGGCCCTGTAATTGGGGGTCCCATCGCAGCTAGTATAGGCTGGCGTTGGAGCTTCTGGCTAATGTCAATCCTTGGAGGCGCTGTTGGAATTGCATCTCTGGTTTTGGGGCGTGAAACATCTCCCAAGATCCTTCTTGAACGTAAGGCAGCTTGTCTTCGCGCCTCAAGTGGCAACAAAAATTTGCGATCCAAACTTGCGCACCATCTCACACCCCAGGAAGTGCTCTTTCAAGCACTTTTCAAGCCGCTCATGCTTCTGGTCCGCTCACCGGTCTTGCTAATTATATCACTCTACGTCGCTCTGGTTTTCGGACTTATGTATCTTCTATTTACTACATTCCCAGAAGTGTTCGAAGGCCAGTATGGGTTTGGTACAGCTACATCCGGTCTGGTGTATCTCGGTTTGGGAGTCGCATTAGTGGTGTGTATGTTGATATTCAAAGCTTTTAATATGCGAGTTCAGGAGACCTGTATGAAGCGCGATGGAGTCCAACAACCAAAAGCCGAATACCGATTGGTCCTTATGATGTTCTTCAGCCCATTTGTCGGAGTTGGTCTTTTCATATACGGGTGGTCGACCCTATACAAGGTTCACTGGATTGTACCCATAATTGGCACCAGTTTGATTGGCGTTGGCGCATTCTTCGTCCTAGTAAGTTCTGTCTCTCAGTCTACTCCTGGCTTCGAAAATGCTCACTAGTCATAGATGCCTGCACAGCTTTACCTGGTGGACTTGTTCGGCTCCGGCGCTGCTGCCTCTGCGCTTGGCGCTAATAACATCCTTCGTTACTTGTCGAGCACATTCCTGCCACTTGCGGGTCCTGCCATGTATAAAGCTCTTGGTTATGGTTGGGGAAACACTCTACTGGGGTTCCTTTCACTGTGCTTTGTTCCAGCTCCGATTCTCTTCTACAAGTATGGGGAGTCCCTTCGCACTAGGACTCCCGTCAAAGTATAGTCTCGGTGGTCTCGTTGTGTACAAAGGGTGGAAAGATAAGCATTTTTTTCCTTTGGCGGTATGTGTTTCTGTGGAGGTTGTATTTTCATGCGTCAGTGGGTTTCATTGTTGGTATATACTGTTGCTTGAATCTGGATTGGATTTCTGTTCGAAGCAGATCTTTCGACAAAGGAAATGGTGGATTGTGTAATTGTGAATATGGAAGGAGGAAAGTCTCATGTGTTCTGCGCACACTCATTTCATTCCTGTGCTGTGATGTACGTTATTAGATAAAGTGTCATTATATGCAAGACCCTGTTGCGGACCGCGCGTCCGCAAACCTACGATGTTTTCTTTTCAAAAGGCTCTACAGACCCTTGCGAAAGAAACTCTTCATGGCAATGAAATCGAGTCTCGTGTTTTTGGCAGGGGATCGAAGCCTAAGCGGAGTAAAATGTGATTGGTGGGGACATTGAGTCGAGATCCTTCTTCACTGGTATCAACGATAGATTTAGGAAGAAAGCCAGGATGAAGTTCCCTGGCGTGAAATTTCTATTTGACTCCTTCCCAGACATCAGCAGGTCTTGGTTGACCTGAACCTAGATTTCTGGACAACATCTTCATCATCATAACTTTAAGTTACTTCGTGGTATGCACAGGCCTGCCTTGTGTACCGCGGGAGAACTTTCGAGCATGCACTTTCGCAATAACATCGCTCATTCAGCAGCCAATTCTAAGCTTTTTGTAACGGATTTCCTCCTCGTATGTCGCCCATGCCCCAACGCCTAACAGGGCTATTTCCTGTGTCGATCGCGTTGTGGTCTCAACGGTGTCGCTCGCTCGATCCTGTTCGGTTTGAGAGATATTGGTGGGAGTGGTGCTTGTTGACAAACATGAAGTGATTCTGTGGTGTGCGCGTTAGGAAGGCTTTACATTTGAATAGCGTGGAGAAGATCCGTACTTGTGAGAACTGCCCGAGAGACCAGTCGACGACGAAGACTGAGGACTCATCTTGAAGTGTATTGGTATGTTGTGTTGGATACCGAGTGTAATGAGGTTGATACTGACTAGAGACTAGGACCTGCCTAAACGTTTCGAAAAGATAATATACGTGAAAATGGAGTTATTCGTAATCTCGGGAAGTAGTGCTTTCATGCTGACCGTCTTCATTTTATACAATACAAATACCTAGTGGGCACAGCCATTGTCCACCAAGTCCTAAATGAATATGATCGCACGCCAGACACGCAGAGGGCCTCCTCGCTTATCCCTTACGGGTGGTCCTCGCTTTGTTTTGCAACCTTGGTCGCGCTCGCGACGTCCCTTTCTGTCACTGTTACACCATATTACTCCAATCAAGTCAACTACCGACGTACTTACTTTTCTACGCGTCGTAATTTTGCTGGATACGAGAGCGCGGCCCTTTCTGCGGGTTGTTCATAAGCAGCCTGACGTACCCGTTCTCTCAACTTTGGGTGTCGCTTGGCAGAGCCTGATCCCCTCAGATAAAAGGGGGTTGGTGTCCGTTGCGAGCCAATGGTTGGAAATGACTTTGCTGGGCGAGATAGAGTGCTTGCAGCAAGTGTCATCTTCAACATAAACTGCGTAGTTGTTCGAAATTTCATGTCATTTCCCAAGAACTTTCGAAACGAAGAGATTGTATGTTCTTTTGATGTTCGGAAATTTATCTTAACATTTGAGGACTACAGTCTATTAACGAGAAGCAATGCTTGATGTCGTTAAGATGGACTAGCGTAAGACTGTTGACGAGTGATGGCTAATTCGATTTACGTGATTTAACTCGCATTTCATGTAAAGCTAAAGACAGCTTGTAGAAAAAGGCTAGGCCAAAGATCGCTGTGCGTTTGGCAGTGACTTTGGCGGTTAACGTTGGCATATGGTTGCAGCAATACTTGCATCGAAGCAGCTTGGTTGGTCCTTGCGAGGATATCTCCGTAGTGCATGATGATTTGCTCAGCTAAGGTCAGTGAGCTTGGTGCCCATATTGGAAGCTCCAGTATTGAAGGTGCGCGTGACAATCTTGCTATGTCGGATTTTCCTACCTAAGAGACCTCTAATGCGCCGTTTGACCAACAATATACAGCTACCGAGTGTAACCCCCGACATAAAGTGTCTCATTGACTGTCGGAATGCGATGCGTACCTAGGTAGCTGTTGATTGTTGAACCTCTTATGATGGACAATTGATTCTTCACTAGATAAAACATAGCTTCCACAGACTTCGACTCCGGCTCGGACGGCGTATCGTTATCTCGCTGGTGCTGAATGTTCATCGCTCAGACTACTTACCAAAAAAGGGTGCAGAGAGACCAACCGATCTCTAGGTTATGCGGTCGACTAAACATTGCATTGCTATCTACCCGTTCTTCGCTAGCGTATGCAACACTGCAGTCATGTTCTCTCGCAGCCCATTGTACACCTATCCTGTGGGGAGAAATCATGCTTACCTACTAAAAGACGTGTTTGACCAATGCTTTCAGCTTCAAGATCGCGGTGCACACGCGCGTGCAGCGCGAGAGTGTCCAAAACCCCCTTCGTGCTTTCTACCTCAATGTTCGGGAGGCATTTCCGTAACATTTTTGTTTTATGTGCCTCAACCATTCTATACCCCAAACATTGAATGAAGTTCTGCACAACCCCTTGCAGTTGAGACACCAGTATGTAGAGAAATTATGTGTTTTCGGTTTTTAGGGGCAACCTGATGTAGTACAGGTCTTCATAGGTAGCGAGGGCTTCCCAATATTTTACAGAACTGCTAGAGATCTCTATTTTATAGGTTATAATGTACAGTAACATCTCTAGCATAAGGTTGTGGAAATTGCGCTGTTCGCCACTAACTGCTGCAGATAGTGTTCGCTTAGCGACTTCCAGGGGATTGGTGATCGAGCATCAGACTTTGCAGGATCGGTATGGACCGCTGGATGATGAGTGTATAAAGCTAAATATGTTGCATCTAATGATTAGTTGGCATATGAACAGAGATGAATCATATTCTTGCGCTTGATGTATTTTATTCAATCACTAAAGCACGATTCAAACCACTAATCAACCAGATCACTTGTCTCCTTTTCTCTGTCATCGTCTTAAAGTTAAGAGAACTTGATTTATTTCAATCCATACCCTTTTGTTGTGTCTATATAGCAAAAGCCATCGGGCTAAAACCAAAGTTGGTCTTCGAAGTTCTCCGCCAGAAGATCCCTCTCTCGAATTGTCTCGTCGTACTCCGACCACGAGCCAACACACTTAAGAGCTTCGATATGTGGCAACGGAGCATTGCTACTCTTTTGAACACATGCTTCTGTGGATTCCGTAGAGGACGAAGTATTGCCGTGGTATGCTGATGTTCCAGTAGAGCTCGGAGAGAGATTCCTGCAGCTAAGAGTTGTCAGCGACGACCCATGAAAGCAAATGGAAGTAGAATAGAAGTATTTGTTTCACCTGTTTGGATATACGGCTTCGTTTGAGGCATTGCTGGGACCGAGATGAGGCATGTTGTAATCTTAGAATCTGCTTCCGCAGACTAGCTTTTTGGAAAGTTAAGGAAGATTTATTCGGTAAAAGAGACTTTATTAACTAAATGACCTATATATCGTCAAGTACTGAAGTTTTGAAGATCTATACTAGTGGATTTCGAAGGTTACACAAGGTAAGGAGCTCAAGATATAGGTGCTCCTCCCCTGCCACCACCCCTCGACAAAACATATCTCACATCTGTCAGACGGGCTGCAAAACGTCCTCGTAAAAACCCTCTTTGGTCTCTTTGCATGTACAGACAATTGTTTTTGAAGTGGCGTGGCTGACTTTTCTCACTGGAATCACCGGGTTGACGACTTCCCATTCGCTGGAAGAGGCTCGCCTCACTTTTGTGTAACCTCAGAAGTCGGGATTCGCTCATTGGACTCGCCTCACTTTTGTGTAACCACGGTTGGATTGGCCGAGTACTATATATTAAAAGGAGCTCGTGCAATCAGCACCTTGCTCAAATGGCTGACCGCATGTGATCTGCTATGACACCGAAAATAGGGTACCGGGATAAATATCCAAGTTCTCTAATCACCTGACAAGAACCTTTTTGACTCGAGACACCACTCCAGAAAAGCTCGGTTGAGAGAAACTGAAGGAAGGTTAAGTCTCGAGTAGTGCAATATCAGAGAATTGTGATGTTAACGCAGTGTCTTTTGGTTCGAAGATAAGAAAGGTTTGATGGGTATTACGAATTGTGAATGAGCTCATATACATGCTTGAATTTAACTTTAATGCTGCCATATCTAACGCCTGTATCCGCACAGGTACTATCATCTTGGTGTTACAAAGTTTGAAAGATTCATATACTCTAATATCAAGCTACTTCAACAAGAGCGTGTTTGAGAATCCCGCTGGTCTTGTCCGTTACTCGAGCCTGATTGTAGGAAACGGTGACACATTTTAACCATACGTCTGAAGTGAAGTTGCCTTTGAATATGCAGCCTCAATTACAAAAGCTCTTTCTGGGGCCTCGGTTCCAATAAACTTCGGGGGGCTTTTCAATTTTAGGAAGTTTAATAGCTTTGAAATTATCCCTAATACATGATCGGGTTATGAACGAATTTATTACTCAATGGCTTATTCTGTATAAGAAGATCCTACCCTAATAATCTCTGAGTTTTCGGCAATTCCTCATATCTCAAGCATCTGGAGAGTAGGGGTAGTCGTATAACAATATACTGGCTGCGAAAGAAGAGAGGGGCGGGCCCCATTACACCAAGCTTTTCGCCGGACGAATGACTCCTGAGATATTTTAATATTAATGTTAGGGCCGGTTTCGCAAAAGAGTAAAGAGGTCCCAGAAGAGTAACATGTTATGTCATGGTCGTTTATTAATGATACAAAACCAGTGTATTAAATGAGTTGAGTTGAGTTGAGTTGCGGGTATAACTCAAACTCAACTCAACTCACGTAACTCATGATTTGTTTAAGTTGTTAAGTTGTACCACACACGTGATACTCTAGCCAATCGGAGGGCTAGGAGCCGGTGATTTGGCCCTACTTTAAAGAAAAGGGGGGCATCCCCCGGGGGGGAAGGGGGGAGGGGGGTTAGTGGCTAGTATCCGCTTTCTACTTTCTACCCCTATAACGTTAAATAATATTAAGGTTCTTAGTTATTAACTTAACAGTTATTTTAAAAGCTATTATATAGTGAATAAATAAGGATTTAAAGGTTACGCGAGAAAGTATATCTTCATCTTTTACTTAGACAAATATAGCCTTATTTATAAGGTATATAACTTAAACAACTCAAATAATTCATAAGTTGCGTAAGTCGTAACTCAACTTAACTTAAGGGGGTCTTTTACTCAAACTTAACTCAACTCAACTCAAGTAACTCATGACTTATTTGAGTTGTTTGAGTTGTTCTTTAATTCACTATACAAAACAAGTTCTTTGAAATCTCCAGGGAGTGCGGTCTATCTTTTCCACTGCCAAACTATACGGTTAAGCACAGTCCTCGAAATCGTGGTCGGTGCGAAGTGTCAGCTATTTCATCTCCAACCATGTGTTTTCTCTTTGGGCATAAAGGTATTTGTTATTGCAAAGCGGCATTTGACTGTGATGCGATCATATGGGATCTCTAAGGGTTGTATTTGAGTTCAATATCGGAATGGTTAAATGCTTTCGGTCCTCGTTCAATTTGATGACAATGGAGTTGAAATTCTAAATGTAAGAGTAAAATTGTTGATAGCGATACTCTCAGAGGAAAGCAGCTAGCAATTAACGTATCTGAAAACAGGTGTAGGTGAGTGTTAGAGACCGGTTACCTACAACTCTTCGGTCGTTTTCAATATATACATGGAATTTGAAGTTCAGTCGTGATTGAAGAAAGAACCCACATAAATATCAAAGAAGGCACATGAAACCGTTCATGTGATTCTAAAATCCGCTTATGGAGATTTCCCGGAGACTTCGCTATAATCAAGTCTGAAGTGCAGCTTCTCTCTATCTCCAGCTGTTGCCCGTAAATTCGTGGGCTGCTTGTTGGCTAGCATATTCGAGCTGTAACCACAGAACAGCCTTGATTTAAAATACAATTACCACAAATACAATAAACGTAATGGCAAAATAAACCGAGAAACAAGATCTTGGTTTGTTGCACATCGCAATCATAAGTCCGTCGGAGGATGGTCGGCTTTTTAAGTATGGTCCGCAACCCGCAAATTATAATCGCCGAAGGACAAAGTCATCCTCTACGGCAATCGATATAAGGCAACTTGGTTCGGAAATGACCGAAAGTAAACACATTTGGTAACTTGAATGGTCGTTTGTTGCAAGTCGCAATATAAGTCCGTCGGACATTGGGCGGCCATACAGGACAATCACAGAATCCGTCCGTACGAGATATAACCGGACGGCCAATCGCCATCAAATACGGTGCGACATCAGACAATTAGCGTGCCAACACACGCCACGAAAGCATAAACCAAACATTGAGCTATGAAATGTATTGTTTTAGTCGCTCTTGGTAATGCGTCCGAAGAGAAGAGGATTAGTGAACGAGCAGAAAATTCGGTGTTAAGAATTAAGCGAGATTCCTCATTGCGGATTGTGAGAGTACTCCCGGAAAATGTGAGCCGTGGGTTTGTCCGACCCCGCCTGAGTCTGGCATCTAGAGTCTAGATGCTGGGTTTACCAATGAAATTACAGTAAGTGATACTGTGATTGTCGGATCCACATGTAAAGCCGATGTGACTTACGTCCGAATGTCCGGATTTATCTCTTTTCGAGAAGAAGTACTGTATAACGGGAGGTTCTGGTAGCTGAATGATGGATCAATCAGCAAAGACTCACCTCACTGTTCTCAGACAAGGTGCTGCTGATAGAAGCAATTGTTATGACCATACAATGACCTATAACAGAAAATTTAGGGGGTAGTGTGTAGATGACCTACATCTTTGAACATGTCCGAACTCATGCCGCAAATTTCGAATGGCCCAAGCGATGAACTAATGAGAGGCAAATATTCATGTACTGATTCTTGACCATGGCGGTTTGGAATGTTCAAAGACCCAGGTGACATAGAGCATAGTTTTGGGTTTCTGTTTGACCCTTGGATTTGGGATAAGGTGAACCCAAAGGTTTCCCATCATTACCTTTTTTGAATGCAGTGAGTACTTGTTTTAATTGTATACATCATTTGATCTGCTGCCTTGATTTACAGTTTAGTTAGAGTGTAACCTTCTATTCCCACAGGTAACCTGATGTTCCATCATGAGGTGACCAGCCCCTCGTCTACGATAGTGGAAAAGAGACCTTGCAAAACTTGCAAAATTTGAGTCTCTAGATATCACAACTTTCTGTCTCCTACATTCTGACCAAATCATTTGTAAATTTAAATTACATGTTCATCGTTTTTTTTTATAAAGAGAAAGTATGATTAATGTTTATTCTTTACTTATCGTGTTCGGATTTAATATATGTACCGAACTAAGAAGCATTTTAAACCTTTTATATCACAATAATGAACTTCGATACCTTCCAGATTGGCACTCTCAACAGGGATGATCAAGCCAGTATTGAAATTTTACCACACTGCTCGAGGCAATCAAATACAAGCCATCATTGATGTTTCGGACTTAACCTACTCTTCTCGCTTATCTGCCATTGACTGAAAGGGGTATCCTCGGTATCTTTCGTACTTTGTGTTTGGCCGGCCGCCACCATATACAAGCTTTTGATCACAAACTCCATTCTTGACGATCTTGATAATATCTGCGTATTTTAAAATGGAGGGACTTCACCGCTTAAGTATCAAGTACCAAGTACTTCGTCACGAGAAATAACTCAAGCCGCAACATTGATGTGGAGCTGAAAGCGGGTCGGCCCTCGGGAGTGGGGTGAATTACCTGCATGCGGGGCCAGATATCGAGAACTGAGCATATATGTGGGTCTCATTAATACCAATATTTAGATTTCGAGTTTGATAACAGCTTTACTGAATGGGACAACTTGAAACATTCGATTATTGTGATCATGAGTGAGCGATTATCAATAAATGATTCACATACAGTACTCCATGACTTTTGATACCCAAGTCCCTGATATCGGCTATTCAAACCTGATCAGACGGTCTGATTCAGACTTGACCCGTCACACTGCAAACCAATTATAATACAAATGTAATTCTATCACGAGTCATCTTCTCCCTTACCTTGTTCCAAAAACCCTTATCTCAAAAAGTTAGTCCCAAATCCCTTACCGTAACATATGTCAGCCGGGTACTGATCCCCACCAAATCCTGAGTGAGACGAGTCAAGCCTTGAACCTAAACAGGAAATAGCAACGCCTTTGCTGCACTTCGCGATTTTGGCTTTATGTCAAATACTTTTCGAATACCCGAGACCCTAATCGTGAAAGTAGGTTTCAGACCAGAACTCACATTTGTTGCAATTCGCGGTTTCGATACCGAGGTACCTCGTGTCAGGTCATGATTTGTTATTCAGTGGCGAACTAAGTTTACGCCAACGATGAATCATGGTTTAGTTATCCACTACCCATGATCCTTTCTGAGCGACAGAACCATTGATTTGTGATTTGAGGTAGCGCAGAGTCAGTTGAGTACCAATATGTGTGTCGACCTTTAGAGCTAAATTCAGTCCACGGGAAAGAGAAGACGAAACTACGACAAGGTATGAGTAGTTTTGTAAAACTAAAACTTATGATTCCGAAGGATTGGATTCCCTTCATGATTGACCTCGATAACTCAATTGTGCTTATCTCGCTGCGACGCATGAGACCCCATCACCTTCTGTTTTGACGTTTCCTTTAACACTGTTTGGTATTCATGATAGAAATTCGATATGGTCCAATACTTATCAAATCCAATGGAATGAGACGTAGATGTATTTATGCCTGATAAGATATCGGAAGCAGGTAGCAACACGTGTAACGGGTGGCGGGTGGAGATATATTATACTGGTTATAGGCCTGTGAACCGGGTTGGCGGAACTGATTTTAGTTCCAGTCAAGAGGCCATTTGAGCAAAAGTGTACATACTTTTCGTTCAGCATATTACAATTTACATTTATTGGGAGTCAAATATGTGTTTCGTCAATTTTGATTTGTTATGCTTAATGGCTAATTTTATTCGGAGATGAGATTATTCCCTTCGCTCTAAATACTCTGCGATGGCGAAAATTTGAAAGTAGTAACAAGCGTATTGACCTAGCAGGAAGAATCTAGTATATTGATACTAACTACTTCAATTACTGGATACATTCTTCTTATCTTTGCGTGCGATGAATCATTTTAAAGAAGTACGTTTCGCAGGTTAATTCAGGCGAGTTGATGCAAGAATTGAATACAAGAATAGTACCTTCCTCGATCCACTACTAGAAGCAATCATTCAACAAGACTTGCCGAAAACACGATGAAATACGATTCCAAGGTAGTTAGGAGCTGGAGTATGGATCAATGGTTTACGCAGACGACGCAGAGTGCGTCGCTAAAGACTGTATCGTAAGCACATCATGCTGTGCTACACGTGGTCAACAGCTTCGAAGTCCATTTTCGAAGAAACCCTTCATCACATGAAGAGTGCAGGTTTTGATTACGGTAAGCATAAACTTCCCAGATGAATCGTAACTCTGGGTTCAGGCAGTTGCAGTGAAACCCACGATACGAGATGTTGGAAGACCTTTCCTGGTAAAAGTCAACAGTGGAAGCCAGTAAAGAATGAAGCAAAGTGATCAGCCAAATGCAGATACCATGAGTCTTTTGAACAATAATGCGACGACTGTCGGATGTGTTTCTAGTAGAACCATTCGTTTGTTACCATGGTTCGTTTGCTCGTAAAGGTGGGGTTGAGATGATATGATTAGTTGTGATACATAACAGGTCTGATATAGGATAGGATACCCCAAGGACCCTAGCAGATCGGATAATGCACCTGCAGCAAACATGGCGCCCTGCTTCATTGAACACTTCTTTTTGATGGTATTCTGTTGTACCAAGAACGTAATTATATGGATAGTAAAGAGCGCATGTACCAAACTTCAATTGCAGAAACTCAATGCTTTAAATGTAAGTGCTACTGCTACAACGACAGCCGAATATATATATGAAGAATGCCATGAAGCTTGCGCAAGCTGTACGAACCGAGTTCCTCTCAACTTCCTGCTCATTTATTACTTCTCACAGCACCAACGCAGGTACCCCACCTTCTGGTTGCATGCCGTCTGGGAGCCGTCAGTAATGTGCAACCTCAGCCTGCATTACCCTGCTGGTTGGACCGGTCTATCGGATCTTGCAGCCATCACCCCCCTCTACGCCCTTTGAACCCTCCTGTATTGGCGGAGCGAAGAATCTTGAGGCATTTGCACTTTTGTGGAGGTGATTGCCGTGCTAAAGACGGGAGTGATGGAGCGCTAAGGTGGGGGAGCTCACGCTCGGATGAGCGCCGTCTCTAGGTTATGCCTAAAGAGGTCGCGATGGTAGCCGTCTTTCGACGTCAGTGTCCCATGTCAATAACTGCTTCCAACAATACCGTATCCCCTCCTCCTACCTTTGTACTATTTCTCAATCAATTGCCGTGAAGTTCTCCGGCAAAGCGCTATTAGCAAGATTAAGGCGTCGGCGAGATTTGGCCAGAGAGTAGACCCGACGAGATGTACTCTGTAATTGATGGCGCACATAAAGCCACAGCAGCCCTTGTAGAGGTCGCTGGGAATCAATTGCCAGCAGAAATCCTCAAACATCTCCCCGATGTGAACTTGACGACAGCCGAAGATGGAACCAAGATTTATTTTCCATGCCCGTTCAAGGAGACCGAAGCGACGGTAGCACTGAAGTCAATTGAGGCGTGTGCAGTGGCAGCAATCGCGAATCTCCGATATGGAGAGAAATCGCGAAAAATCGAGGTCAACCTCGAACGAACCGCCACCTTTCTATTTTCCACCTACATAGCTACAATAGGCGGGAAAGGGAAACAAGATCCGGAGGCGAAGTCGAAGTTAAAAGGTAAGTTTATTTGGGATCGATTCGTAGCGAGTCTGTGCTAATTAGCCTTTTCGCAGACACCGATTTGCTTAAAGCACAATCGATTTTGTATCGGAGATTGTCAGCCAATCTGTATGAGACAAAGAACCCAGGAGAATACTTTCATATTCATGGATCTCTTGAGGCAGGTAAAACTTTGAATATGATTGGCTTGGAGTCGCACCGACCAGACTTGACTGATTACCGTCAATGTATCGACACTATCGAGAGCCACGTAAAGAAATTTACCGCCCAGGAGCTGGAGACGATGAATGCCAAAATAGGTCAGGCAGGTGTTTCCGTCCTAAAATGGCCAGAATTCAAGGAGACCGAGCATGTTAGTACCACTTAGAAATGTGCTTATATTACCAAGTCCACAACTAATGTCGTAGGGCCGAACATTACTTTCTCTGCCACCATGGGAACTAACAAGATTGCAAGATCCTTCACCCGTTGTTCCTTTTGATTCCAGTACATCATCTGGAGAAAGCCGGCAGGTGCTAAGTGGAATTCGTGTATTGGAGCTCTGTCGCATCATTGCAGGACCGGCTATCGGCCGCACTCTAGCAGAGTATGGAGCGCAGGTCATCAAAGTAACCTCTCCCAACTTGTCTGACGTTCCTTTCTTCCAAGTTGACGGCAACACCGGCAAGCACACTTGCGATCTTGATCTGAAAACTCTGTCCGGTCGACAAACTTTCGAGGGGCTGCTGCAATCTGCAGATGTCGTTCTCGACGGGTTTCGTCCCGGAAGCCTCGATAGACTCGGCTACGGACCTACGCAGATAGTAGAGTTAATCAAAGGCAGAGGGAAAGGTATTGTTTACGTCTCGGAAGACTGTTTTGGTTACCAAGGACCTTGGGCAAGCAGACCCGGTTGGCAACAGATTGCAGACTGTGTAACTGGAGTAGCATGGGCACAGGGTGAATTCATGGGACTCGAAGAGCCGGTAGTCCCTCCCTTCCCTATGTCCGACTACGGGACTGGATGTATGGGAGCTGTTGCTGCCTTGACGGGACTTTATCGACGAGCAACTGAAGGTGGTAGTTGGGTTGGCAGAACTAGTCTGAGCCAATACGACATTTTCCTTCTAGGTTTGGGTCTCTATGGCGAAGATGTAAAGCAAAAGATTCGAAAAGAGCACGACGAAGAGTTCTTCAAATTGCGACATGCCGATAGCGTCGACGAGGTCGGCGGTAGAGCGCTGAGAAGCATGAAGAGAGTTCATCCGGAGCTATTCGACGATTCGCTAATGCAAAAGACGTTCAGTAAAGGATTCGGAGAAGAAATAAAGTGGTGTAGAAGCCCGGTGACTATCGACGGATTGCGAGTGGGGTTTTCGAGAGCCAGCAGACCCAATGGCTACGACGAAGCCAGCTGGGAGGGTTGGGAGGTCGAGAAGGCAGTTGTTGACGGTTAGGGCACGCGATGCCGGAGCGAAGCAGATTGAATGGGTGACGATTTTCGAAATTCAATAGCAATATGCAGATACAACATAGCCTGCATTGAAAAGCTGCTTCCGCGTGAGTGTCGGTGTATGGCCCCTCCCCCTCCACTTACTTGCCGGCTATGTCTTCAGCAACAAGCTCACAACTTTCAGCTGGATAGGAAAGCAAAAACGCAAAGAAAGATTGCAGTTGAGCAGTGAATTGTGAAACATAAAGGTATCAGCGCTTCATGGAACCTCGGTCAGACGAAGCGTTCTTACCTTTCGAGTTAGTCTTTGGCTCATGCAAACCTCCAGTACTTCTTCTCTTTCAAGACACAAACCCGTCCGGGTTTTTACCTCTCACCATCCCGTCTTGCAAGTCCTCGATCCAATCCATCGTTCTCACAAACGCCCCCTCCCCACCTCCCGCACCCGTGCGCCAGGTCACCACCTTCCTTTCGAATTCTTCCAAGCTATACAGTCCCACAAGTGACTCCATTCGTGGTCCGTCCCATGCCGCCAGCAAGTGTTTGTTGCTTGTCGCACCCTTCAAGTTTGGAACCGAGAATCTATTCTCTTCGACAATCCCTGAGCACCACCTGGCATTCGCAATAAGCCGAGTATCCGGGGACCATCTTGCATGTGGTTGATTCAGAGATATTTTGTGTTTGGTAGCTGGCGTTTCTGGCGGTAGTGGCACGTTCCTTGTTGCGGTTCAAGGGGGCTGGGCATGTTGTTTCAGCGTATGTGGAGGTACCTCCTTCGTCATTTCTTGTGGCATGCGCTGTGCTCGAGGACGGAGTACATACAAACACCTATGGTCGGCGTCTCGCCAGTCTTATGTCTGATCATTTCTACTACTCTAAGCACACTACCGGTTCGCCGAGGATTAGATACACTACATAGTAGTGCTGTTTAATAACCCTCACTTGCGAGCCCTTCATCGTTGAGCCCTTCGATTTATCCGTCCATAACCACCCGAGAACCGAACAACCATATGTTTCCAACTGCAGCTCAATATCCTGGCGAATGCTTGGACTTCTTTTTTTTCACCACAATTTTCTTGGATTTACATTGCAGAGGATCGAAATAAATGAGGGGACAACTCCGTAAAGTAATACATGATTTGCTTTTCTTGTTGAACATGACATGGGTCGTGGGCCGTGTGAGACCATGGACAGAAGATACAAAGTACAGCCACAGCCACCATCCGCACTGGTCTCGGTGTGAGGCTGAAAATAAACTGTTGGTAACATTTATTGATCCTTCCGTCGTTACCCAGATTCTTGTTCGCTCTGTGATTGCTGGACATTTGTCTGTCCGTATGGAGGGGTCGGTCGGGTTTCGGGTAGCGACCCTCGTCCTTCAGGGGCAGAGCGATCGATGATACGAGCCACATCCCTCTTTGGCAATATCAAGCGCGCGGTCTTGAAAGGAGAAAAGTGCAGCTAATTCGATACATGGCTTCCCAAGAAACATCATGTTGAGACTGACGAAGGGGCTAAACATAAGAAAGATTTGCAATGTCTGTTTTATGTTCGGATAGCCAATGCGCGTTTGCTCGTGGCCGTTTGAATTGACTGGACAACATGCCTGCCATTCTGAGATAAACGCTGACCGCACGGGCAAGAATTGGGCGTTTGCAGTTTCTTGAAGTTTTGCGGTCTGTGATTTCGTGTCAAAACTATTTCTGTTATGTTTTGTTTGAGGATCAAATTGCTCTGATGCACATTGAGAGAGAAAAACTTCTAAGAAATCGAGTCATAGCTAAGATTACCCGGCTTTCTTTCATCCGTTCCCTCATTCTCCAGTTTCTTCACCGCGATGACTTAGGAAATCGACGTCGAGATTTGATGTCGCACCCTATAGTCGTTTCTTGCCAGCAGCTATAGACATGTACCACACATCGTTATTCGATCGAGCATGTCTATATGTGATGCTGCCGAAAACATGGTACATGCTTGTCAATACAGCCTGAAGAAATCCGGGGAACATGCTGCACGGGCGGCTGAGGCGCTGTTTAATTACAGCTTCGAAACGTTCACTACTATCACTTGAAGACTAAAACAATAAGGCTAACGGTCGGGCATTCGAATGACGCTGGCTCGCGGTGGATAAGATAAGTGGCAGTAAACACGATATTCTTCGATTAAGTTGACGAAATATCTCAAGTTAGTGGATCGACTTGGAATAATAAGACACATTCCGTCAATTACTTTGAGTAAATAAGACTTTTTAAATTCGGCTCGAAGTCGACTTATTCAGTCTAAATATTAGTGGGTTGGTAACTGACATTTATTTTGTCCACCGCGAGGCTGGGTCACCAATGAAGTTTCGGTATTTTTAGAATGCCCATAGATTGATTGGTTGCGTGAGGTTCCTCTAAGTACCTAGGTACCGAGCATCAAACTAAGCATACAACTACCGACGAGGTACCTAGGTACGAAGAGAACTGGGAAGGGTTCTATCGCACGCAAACATTCATGGTAAGTGTTTCCTTCTGATCTGCGGAATTCATTAATTCTATTATTGACTAGACGAACTAGATGAACATAAGTTTGTATTTCCATTATCACCCCAGTTCAGTTTGACCTTTATGGTTTCCTGATAGTGTAAATTCTTTTGCAATCAATTCGAACATCTCATGCCTCAAAAACAAACCTGGGGATTCTTTAATCCGACACCTTGAATCAGCTGCATACGTGCCACAAGTAATCCTCGTGAGACTTGAGATGTGCTGAGGTTGTGATACCAAATATCGCAAATGAAGAAGAATGTCGGAGGACTCATCCTTCATCTCTCTGCGTGCGATATAAGAATATGGCTACCAGGACTCTTAGCCACACAAAATGATCTGGTGAAAAATCGATGACGTTGTAGGAAAGGGGTCGAATAGTTCTCGCAGATCTCCATGCTAGTGTTCAACATTAGAGCTTGAAGGATGTTGGCAGATGCTATGCATAGTATTCCATACCCATCGCACCTGAGATAAGCCAAAAATAACGCTTCATTTTGCATTGACTTTTCCAAACAAAGAGATCTGCTCCTCGTATGCACCCTCGCGAGAAAACTTTGACTTCCGGTTTCTTATTGATTTAAAAGTAACTCCTTGGTCAATTCGTCCATTTGGTGATCTGGGTATCTGTTTAAATCTTTCTCGAGGTTCCGAAATATTCAACGGCTATTCTTCCAAGTCATGCCATGATCCCCGATCGACTTTTCTGGAGAGATCAGCACGGCATGACATTCTTGGACGCTATGCCGATGGAAAGCACCGGAGGTTCAAAACGTCGAACTGCATTCGTCTGGTCAATTTCTTGCTGTACAACGTTTGCAAGATACCAACATTAAAATTCAATGATGCTGAATAATAATGTGGAGGGTGGTCTACACTTCTTTGCAAGTTGTACCAATTCGACCACAATCACTATCATTCCTCAAGCAAGCCAAACCACTCAGGGATCTCCTTGATAAGAGTCCACATGTACTTCTCTAACTTGATCGCACATTTAGTATATACCGTCGTTTCGTCGTTGTAAGTCCGGCAATTGGAGAATATTAACTTGAGGTCGGCGACAAGATCACTTGGAGTCTGATATCTATCCTGATGTAGTCTCTCTTCCACAGTCGATAGATCCATTGGCGTCGTAATGGTAATGTAGTAATCAGGGATTTCGTCTTTGTTGACAGGATTGAGGAATGGCCAGGCTTGTTTGTGGTTCTGAAGCTCACCCAGAAATCTCCGTAGCTCGTTAAAACGAGGACCATGCCGTGGTTGTCGTGATAGTTCGTCCATGTCTGGAGACCAGCCTGTTTCTCGGATGGCAGACACAGACAATGGGTCGATTGGAGTAGCATTTCCATTGGCCCACTGAGCAGGCGGTTGATGAACTACGTGACTTTTACTCACAGTCCGGATTTTGGCAAGCACCGCTTCTTTCTGTTTGAGAAGCATTCGACCAACTTCCAAATAGCGGATCCGAGGCACCATAGAGCATTGCATGATTGTTCCTCCCTCGTAGTCCTTGATGTACCCCATCCAGAGAGACCTATCGAGAGTAATCTCTTTAGTAAATCCCTGCTTCTGGAAGTACCCCGTGGCGTAATTATCGGCATAGGTTAGGTAATGCATTACTGGCGATGTAGCTCTGACATAATCCTTCAAATGAGCCATGAGATGCGCTCCGTATCCCTTTACTTGCTGATCAGACGACACTGCACAGAAAACAATTTCCGCAAACTTGCGGGCACGGAACTCTCTGTAAGATATTCCCGCAATAACTTCAAGTGGCTTCTTGATAATGGCAATAGACAGATGCGTTCGATCATATACTAAACGTGCAATGTATTCCTTAGGCATTTTCGGCAGCTGCTTCTGGAACAGACATTTGAGGCCTGAGAGTATGATATTACTCTCTCTTTCCCCATCGTTATTGACAACACGGAATTCAATTTCACCATTTCTTTCTTCGATCACTGCAGGCTGGATATCCCCATTAGAAACCTTTTGGCAATTCAAGAAGGATAGTAGCATACCTTCTCCAGGAAAGGGATTACCGTGGCTGCATGTACTTTTGGCGCCCGATCACTCACAGCCCCATCACTAGAGAGCTTGACCCTCTTGGTGTTTGACGGAGTATTTCTCTCTTCAGACGCCTTGCGCTTCGCGATTATGATATCATGCTCACGGCTGGCTGGAAACGACGCCGGAGCCATAGCTAAACTTGTGTAATAGTTGCGTCTTTGCTTCAATTATGGAACAGACCACATCGACTAAAGATGTTGGAGGATGACAATATTGCGGTTGGTTTGTTGTTCGTGTCCCCCTGATCGAGGGGGGCGGGAAATTCGGGCAAGCTTCCGCCCGCTGACCCAAACGAGCGGTTCTGCCATTTTTCTGGGGTTCATAGGGCTGAGTACGAACCACGTGAGAATGTCAATACAGTATCTCGTTAAGTAAATAGTAACCTGAGTTTTGAGCAAAAGCTTCTTTTTGAACCTTTATTGGATTAAGAACATTTAATGAGCAAATCTGACTGTTGCTCGTAAAAGAATAATTTATTAGATGAGATTCAACCAAGAAATATCACGTGATTATCTTCGAACTCGAACTACTGTACAACAATTTAATACAGTGAGTGGAGTCCAAATAGATTTCGCGTGGTCAAGTACGGCTGTGAGTCATTCTAGAGATTTCTGGTGTAAGATTCCTGTTGTTTAACCCTTAAAACTGTTATAGATCGACCGTTAATATACAGTAATCTATTGACAACTAGAGTATAGAACCAAAAGGAAAAAGGAAAGATCATTAAGATCATGTAACTACTCCAAGAAGAAAACGACAAAATAAAAGGCCTATATCTATATGTACACTACTATAGTGATAATAGAGCCACGATATTCGTTGTTCTCGCTTATGTGATCCTACTCAACCCTGATGAAATTCTAGCCGCTGAGGTAGGCGCTTATATGCTACTCGGTCGGCATGTACCAACATGATGACTCACGTCATGGCGGTATAAACCAGTGAAATCGGAAAATATCTTTTGGTTTTGTCCAGATTTGAAGTCTCAAGGATTTTTCATGGCTCATTTTGACGTTGCAAGAAAAGCCAACCTGGCGCTGGTGTTGCCAAGTCTGTTAACAGCAGTCCATCTTCATCGAGAACAACCTTCGCTATTGCCATATGTCACGAAAACTTTTCATGATGGAAATACCCTCAGCGATACAGAGTCAATTCGAATGACATGCAGCGATGGGGAGACTTTTGCAGGGAAATTTATCGTTGGGTATCTTGCAAAAGTTGCGAACAACAACGTGATTAGCTCGAACCAAGGAATATCTGTTCGATTATTACTTTCAAATTTCAGTGGATCTTTCTAATCAGACTAGCAGCAGATCTTACAATGGATCGCTCGAAGTAAACGATTCCTAGCCTCTGACTACAAGTCTCTGCAAGAATCAATTTTTGAGCTCAACATCCATCTCACCTTGCGGTCATTTTTAGTGGGACATGCTACAAGTATCGCGGATATTGCATTTTGGGCCACCATTCGTGGGAACCGAGTCGCCCACTCTCTAATTCAGCAACAACCAGTCCAAGAAAATGCTCTCCGGTGGTATACCTACATCGAAGAAACTAACCCATGGCTTTCAGAGACTGTTGCAGAACTCACAAGCTTCGATTCAAAAGCGCGAGCTGCCGCCAGTGCTGCTGGTGCAAGTTACGAAATTGATTTACCAAACCTTAACAGGCCTATGACAACTCGATTTCCGCCCGAGCCTTCTGGATATCTTCATATCGGTCACGCAAAAGCAGCTTTGTTGAATGACTATTTTGCCCACAAGAGCTCAGGGACATTGATATGTCGCTTCGATGATACAAATCCATCAAAAGAAAAGATGGAGTTCCAGGACGCCATCTTAGAAGATTTGGGTCTGATGGAAATCGTGCCGGATAAAATATCGTATTCTAGCGACTATTTTCAAGTAATGTACGAATTTGCTCTGAAGTTGATTCAAGATGGAAAAGCTTTCGCGGATGACTCTGAACTTGGCAAGGGAGACGAAGATCGAAAGATCAGGCTTCCCTCTAAACGCCGCGATTTGAGTATCGAGGAAACTTTAAAATACTTTACGGAGATGAAAGCAGGATCTAAAGAAGGCTTGAGATGGTGTATACGCGCAAGAATTGCATATGACAGTCCTAATGGTACTCTAAGGGACCCGGTTATCTACCGCTGCAATCCAATTCCGTAAGTCAAATTACTACCCTGTTGAAGTTTACCCTCGAAACTCATTCAGAGTGAATAATTGAGGGGGACTCTTCGGATCATTTGTGTTCAAGCTTTCAAATATCTAATTTTGTATCCAGGCACCATCGGACAGGTACACAGTGGAAAATATATCCGACTTATGACTTTTGTGCCCCGATATTGGACTCTTACGAAGGTGTCACTGTGGCCTTGCGTACGAATGAGTATCGTGATCGAAATGTTCAGTATGAATGGATGCAGGATGCTCTTGGGTTACGTAAAGTGACAATCTGGGACTTTTCGGTATGTACCACTTGACACCTAGTTTCCTTCCGTCGCTCTTTGGGGGAACAAATTGCAGTACTTTCTCTACTCGCTTACCTCATGCTCGAAACTGATGTACTAACTACATATGCAAGCGTATGAACTTCATCCGGACTGTACTGTCGAAGAGAAGATTGACAAGGATCGTGGACGATGGAAAGGTGTGGGGTTGGGATGACCCGCGAATGCCAACAATCAGAGGCATTATTCGCCGGTACGTTGTCAGAACCTGCAAAACATTTCACTTTGGCTTTCACTCCTAAAAAAGATCCCTGCTTTGCTAAAATGTTACTGATCTGATTTTAGCGGTATGACTGTACCCGCGCTGCGTGAGTTCATCCTCAAGCAAGGACCGAGCCGTAACATCCTCAATCTCGAATGGGGTGCGCTCTGGGCTCTCAACAAGAAGTACACCGACCACGATGCTGCTCGTCATACGGCCATTGTTCAGGCGGATGCTGTAACCTGTCGTGTACTTGGTGTTGATGATCAAAATATTATATCCAAGCCGAAATATATCAAGAACCTCGAACTTGGTACTAAGAAGGTAGTTCAGAACAAGGCGGTACTGCTCGAGCAGATAGACGCTCAAGGTCTAGAAGAAGGAGAAGAGATTACCTTAATGAATTGGGGTAATGCATATGTCCGTCGTATTGTTCGAGATGAGTCTGGGCAGAAGAGCGTCACCGAAATAAATCTAGAATTACACCTTGAAGGCGATGTCAAGAAGACCAAGAAGCTCAGTTGGCTTGCAGCAGTCGAGTCCAATCTTGTTCCGGTTGATATTGTGAGCTTCGATTACCTGATTACAAAAGACAAGCTGGAGAAGACCGACAAGTTAGAGAATTTCTTGGCAAGCAACACGGAGCTCAGAACGCAGGCTTTTGCGGACTGTAATGTGAAAGAATTGGCAAAGGGTGCAATTATTCAGTTTGAGCGGAAAGGTTACTATAAGCTGGATGTCGCTTACGGCGAAGGGGAGAGGATGGTGTTTTTTGATATTCCATCTGGGAAGACTTGATGAATGGAAATCAAAGTTAGATAATAGAGGGTATCTCGTAGCCAAACTTAGACTCATAAACTGGATTGCGAATTCACTTTTCGGCTCCAGCTTCAAATATTCTCTGTTGACCTGAACGCCGATTCCACAAGCCAAAGCCCCTGACCTTTGTCCAAATCAACTTCGTTAAAGCACACATTGCTAATTCACTCTTCCTGCGACATGCACCAAAAGCCTTCAAACTTCCCAATTCGGGCATCCTTTGTTCGTCATCAAGATGAAGGTATTCGCAACCGGGTACACTTCAATGAAATCCACCTCCATCATCTGACACACACGCCTTCACTGATCTCTTTATCCCCCTCCACCTCTCCACCGTAAAAGGCAATCCAACCCCTCAAAATAATTTGTCGCACGTCGCAATATCTGAGACACGTAAATACAAAGACCTGATAATCCCAACTCTTTGTCAATTAAGCGAGCCCTGACCGAAAACGGATATTTTCGTAAGATTTGTTGCATGTCGAGAGTTAAACACGCGTGAATTAACCTCACGAGATTTTATGTTTTCTTTGTCTGAGGGTATTATGGTATATTTGCCGGTAAATACTTTGAAAGAGTCCGCCACATGGGTTGCCACGTGATAGGAAGAAGATGATTTTCGTGCTTTCAACTATTCTGGTGGTGAGCACACAGGTTGTACTTCTTTGTTGAATTTGATGAGTTTGCCACTCAATTCGTAAAAACAAAGACTATTCCGGATTCGACCGCAGAAAAGCATTTTGTTGCATTTCGAAGTTTGTGACACATCAAGCTGGATCCTCGACGTTCCGGATAAGGAATTCCGAGTGGCAATATAGTTTTTAGTTTCTGCATACGGTTTGCTTTGATTGGATACAAAGAAATGCACTGGTGTTGATATGAGGACTGACTCGAAGTAAGCATTGGTGGCTCTTGTACTTGCCGACCCTAAAGGCTGTTGGTATCATGGTACTCACGCAAGTTGATCTTTCAACATACACAAGTGTCGTTTGCCTCGAGGAGAGTCGAAGCTCACATTGTTAACTTCCTAGCCTAAAATACTGTGAACCACCAAATAAAAAGACGACAAGCCCATTGAGAACAGCCAAATTTAAATAAATAAAGTAAAAAGTGAAGTACAAAAGGTTGAAGACCGACGCAAATGTGCTGCACAGACTACATCCAAAAACCCACAAACTCTCCTCCATAAGGTCTGTCTGACAAAAGGCCGAAAAAGTTGAACGATTTGTGGCTGCAGTAACAACTGACCACGTCTTGCGCACCCACCCTCGTTCTTCCCATGTCTGAACGCCGTCCAATTCATCTCTATCAAACAGATCTGATATCAGTAGAAGCCTGCCAAGCAAGCTTGTGTAAAATTCTATCAAGAAGTGCCCTCCAATCCGGTGATAGTTTATGGATTGCCAGCTACCGAGAAACGTTGGAAACCATTCTGGAAGGCGAAGGAAAGCTGACAATGCAAATTTTCCAGTGAGTATGGCGCAATACGAGAAATAAATTTTGATCATAAGAATTATGGCATAGTCAATTGTGCCTGCGCTGAAACTCCGCATCGTGACAATTGGCGGCAGTAAAACAAAGCTTAAGGCGCTAGAATCAATATCGGGTAGATCTAGACAGGCTCGAAGCATGTATCCACGTAATTGAGCAGGAGTCAGACCAGTGTTGGTCTTGGGGATACGTCGAGCTAGGTCAGGTGAGAGACCAACTATAGCCCATATTCTGTCAGCAGCGTCAGTGCACTTCTGCCGCCGGCCCATCTTTATAGCGTCCCATATCGGCAATCCTTTCTCTGTGAACTGGAATCTTTCCCGTAGAGAATTAATTCTTGATGCTCGCTTGACTGAGCTAGGAGGATTCCGACGAGAGGTCATAATGTGTTTTAAACCTCTAGCAAACGTTTCCTAGGCCAGTGAGCGTTGACCGCATAGGATCGTTACAGTTTGTGCCACAGCGACCTCTTGCAAGACCCAGAGGCGTTCGAACCAAGACCGACGAAGAAGATTATCGAGTGCCATTAAAAATGAGGAGTCATCTTGTAAAAGGTATTCAGGCAAAGGTTCCTGTGGCAGTTAGTAATTCAGAAGCTTGAGGAATTGTACTGATTATTACGTTGTGAGCGAGAGGCTGGAGTGTATTGTGGGAAGCTTTCGCCGAGAGAAAAATGTTCCTTTCCTCCGCTGTTGAGAATGTCCTAAGTGTGTCCAAGCAATATGCTGCATCCGTCGAATTACGTCCGAGCCAAACGATAGTGGCTTCGGCCTTCTTGTAAATTTCGCACATCAGCCATTTCTGGTGCAAATTCGGAGACCGAAGAAGTGCCTGTCTCTTGGTTGATACATATGGCGTCTACCCACAAGAAGATTGTGTTTTGCAAGTTCTTCGAGCGACTACAAGCTTCTTGTTTCAGATGATCAATGGCAGCTTTGCAGTTCCGGGTTACTCGAAGACATTTATCGTCGACGTCTATTAACGTAAATCCGTCATTGGATTCCCATGCATAGGAGAGTGCATAATATGGCGGCGCATTGTCTAAGCTATGCTCTCTAAGTGAGAGCCGAACGTCGCAATCTGTAAAACGGCTTGTGGGCGCCTTGAACTCGATAAGCCTAATTGAGCGATGGCCGTGTAAATCTTGGTATCGGTAAGTGTGATCCATCACAAACAAATATATGAAACGAAGTCCCAAATACTCGTCTCCGACCTTTTTTTAACGACTCTTCTGTCTGAATGGCACTCACAGGATGCTTCTCTCGTCGATTGAGGGAGCTGACAATCGCCCAAGACGAAATGCGGGAAAGTGACGACCTCCTTGTGATGGGAGTCCCAACAGAAGCTTATGATAACGAATCAGGGTCTCTAAAAACATAAAGAAACAAGGAATGGATTTCGGTTGCTCTCAACAGCTGTAAGCCTAGTTATGGGCTGACAGACAAGATGCCTCGTGGCAGCCTGCAGCAGGCTGGGGAAGCTGTACGCGTAAGCGACCAATGACTGACCACGCCCAACACCCAACTCCGTAGTAGAGATGCGACATGCAACAATCTGGAGAAGGGCATTTCATATGAATAAGGCTGAAGACCGCCTGTGTTAGACCATGCGACAGCCGTAACAGGCTTCTCGGTCACAAAACAGAGACAGGAAATAAGCGAGCCTCTCGTAAAGTATATATATCGCCACATAATGTCGTGCCGTCCCCAGGAAATTTTGAAAAGTCAGCGAAATCATGGAGATGGTATCCATCAAGGTGTTTGAGGCTCTAAGAATGAGCCCAGAGAGCAGTTCGAAAGAGGTATATCTGTCGAGTGCTTTTTGTGAAGTCTGGGAAATCTTGATAGTGTTCAATCATTACCTTCGTGGAATATCATATCATCTTCGTAGAATATCATAATTATCTAGCAAGATGTCCGCCTGCGCCACGTGTAAAGACATGACCTTCAATCAAAACCCTTGGGCTGATATTGACGATACAGAGTTCATCGAACAAGAATTGATGCTAATTGAGAGATGTGAAGATATCAATTACAAAACGTTATTGGGTGTAGAAGGTGTCAATTCGGAGTCGAGAGACTGTTCTTACTGCACAGTACTTCGGAAGGTGCTTGAACGTATTCGTCTTCGACATGCTGAAGAAGAACGTATCCGTCTTCAACATGCTCAAGAAGCTGATCCAAAATGTTGGCTTTCTGGTCTCGCATACCGATGCGTAAGAGAGTACGGGAGTAAATCATCTTTCGTGGAGCTCCGAGTCCTTCTTACCGCCAATCCACGTTGGCGGAGATACTATCTTCTCGCATCTCCCAACACAGCTACCGACTCATGCCCTTGGGATTTGGAAATCGCACCCAGGATATATGGAGCCAGAAGACTGGACTCCGCCGTGAAACGTATTGAAAGATGGTTGAACGACTGTACCAGCTCCCACAGAAGATGCCACTCTTTCGGTGCACTTGACCTGGAAGAGTCGCCAATCCTACCCTCGCGCGTCCTAGATGTGTGGCATGGAAGTAAATTCGTCAAGTTGATTGAGACAAGCGAACATCAACGCGGCAGATATATCTGTTTAAGTCACCGATGGGGCTCCAAGTCGTGTCCGGAATTCAAAACAGAAAGATCCACACTTGAAGCGTACAAGCAGGGAATCGAGTTTACTCGATTGCCTAAGCTATTTGCAGAAGCGGTGCTGGTTGTGCGTCAACTTGGCATCAACTATCTGTGGATAGATAGTCTCTGCATCGTTCAAGACGACAGTGAAGACTGGAACAGAGAGTCAGCTGAGATGGGCTCAATATACAGAAATGGCCATTTGACTATCGCAGCCGCTCGATCACAACATTGTGGAGATAGTCTCTTCTCTCCAGCATCAGCTTTTGAAACTATCCATGGGAGTTTGGGGGAAGAGAAGCCATTCTCTTTGCTCCTTAATCCATACGGGAAATCGTTCGCACCTTCGAGTGTACACCATCCTCATCAGGAAACGGTAGATGAGCTCAACCCATTATCTTCGAGGGCTTGGGTGTTTCAAGAGCGGTACCTATCTAGGAGAATAGTCTACTTTCGCGAACATGAATTAGCATGGGAATGCCAGAAAGAGATGTGTTGCGAATGTGGGTTTGAGGAGAGCGGCGTTCCAGATTGGGAGCAGTTTGTAAAGAAAGAATTTTCATACGCAGCGTCTAGTTCTGACTTCTGGCACAAGATTGTAAGAATTTACACCCGTTTAGAAATGAGCCATGCAGAAGACCGACTTAAAGCTTTGCTGGGATTTGCGAATGAGGTGCAAAGGGTGCGAAATGGTCGATATATTGCTGGACTATGGGAAGACTCGCTACTTCAAGATCTATGCTGGGTATGTCGCGACACTGATGCACCTATTCGCGTTAAGAGATTAGAAAACGTGGCTCCCACTTGGTCTTGGGGATCAATCGAAGGCCAGTGCTCGTACAAGTTTGGTTCAGAGCTCACACCAAAATGCGAGGTATTGGCAATTGTTTCACCGAGTCGCACACCAAATCAGCAAACGAGAGAGTTTTCGGGTTGTATAACTTTGCGCGCTCCAGTACTGCCATTCATACCCAAGGTCAACCCTAACAATTATATGGCGCTTCCTGGGGTTAAAGTCTTATGTCTGGAAAGCGACGAAAGCTGTGCCTTTAAGCCTGATCGCGATTACTCGGCAGATGAGAGGGCTGACTTGTATTGCGTACACATTGCTGATTTCCCGTGGTGGAATAATGATGCCAATTGTAACGAAGTAGCGCTTGTGGTCAAATGTGTGGACAGTGGTCGACAATTGTATGAGCGTGTGGGGCTCTATTACAAGTTCTCTGGCAAGAATGCATTCAACGACAAGGATAGAAAATTTGTTGTACACTTGGTATGATGCAGGAAATAGTTGCGAAAAGATGTATCGTATTCGATTTAGTGCTTAGCTTCTCATAAAATATATGCTATGCTTGATGAATCTCTACTGTGTCGAGAGATTCCAGCCTTTCAGGAAGTTTCGGTACAAGGTGATGCAACTGTCATGACCTGATATTGTATACAAGTTCTGTGTTCGACTGGTTTGTTCGGTGATCAAGACACCGAATTCAATTCTTCCCATTGACGCCGTTCCAGTCGGTATGTATGATTCAACTTCCAGAGACAAGGCTCTGCTCTGCACCTGTAACACCCCACTTCTTCATGACGATAGTAGCAATATAGATACGCGCTAAATGACGGGTTTCCCATGCTCAACTACTGATTTTCTACTTACCTTCAGTCGCTGGAATCATCAATATTGCGGAGTAGATGAATCTGAGTCTTTTGCTTGGCTCACTTGCCGGCACCTAGAGATTCGAGAGCATCTTTAAAATCCGGAATGTCGTCAGCAGCTTGTGCAACTCTAGTCCACTTCACGACTCCGAGTTCATCGATGGCAAAGCTCCCAGACGTTTGCCATCGATTTCCACTCTCCGTAGGCTTATTCCATAGGTTTTCCTGCTTCCCAAGTCGATAGACAGAGTACATCGACCATGGATTTAGAACGTGCCATGCACTGGACACTGGGAGCCCCCATTGTGCATACGCTTCCCGATCGGCATCAACGATGACTTGTACGTCCCATTGCCCGCCAATTGATATGACCCATTTATCCGTTGCTTCTTGGTCTGAATGAGATACCGCTAGGAAGTTGATTTCGGGATGTTTACTCGCGAGATTTCGTAGCTGGTGGAAGGTCTTTTCCGCAACTAAACATATGTTAGACAAATGAGTACATACAGGAGAGCATGAGTCTTACAGGGACAGCCGCAATGGCGCAGAAAAGAAATTATCGTTGGTTTCCCATTGGGACGTGGTGTCTCAAGAATAGCAGACGTTGGTGCTCTTTCGCCCACCTCAGGAACGGGATAGGTCGTGAGAGCCTTGGGAGACAGCCACGAATTCAGTTCCTGTTGGAAAGTCATGATGGGGATTGTCGAGGTCTGCGTCTTCGAATTGGATATGACACGATCGCGATCTGTTTAGAAGGCATGCTTCCTGGAGCTTGCAAGGCAAGGTGATGTAGGTGGTGTATGGGCGGGGAGGAGCTAATCAGTTTGGTATCACAGAAGATAGCTCGGCCCGAGTGAGTCCGATGGTGCGTCGTCACGGCCCGGTTGATACGCGAAAACGGTCCTGAATATTGGGTTGTTTGTCATGTCGTAAGATCCCGAACTACCTTAATGAGATAAACTACATGCAACCTTTCTAAACTAAAATTTAACAACAAGGGCTTCACTCTGCTGGTCATCTTATACCCGCATAGTCACTTATATCCGTGACTGGTTTTGAGGCGCCTCCGTTGCGAGTCCACCCGAAACACTGGGAACAATTTTCGTAGGTAAAGATTGCATGATGAGAAGCCATCTGTAACTATTGTTCTAGTCCCTGGAGGCTACCTTTGTTTTATTTTCATAAGCTTGCTACCTCGATTTCGCTGTCATGCATGAAATTATCACCCTCCAATTTGGCCAGAAGAGCAATTATCTTGCAACCCATTTTTGGAATACTCAGGTATGAGACACAATCTTCTCGTCTCAACGGGACTAAGAGAGACAGGAATCGTACTTCACATACTCCGCAGAGGAAGAATCTTTTGTCGATCATGATGTACATTTCAGACCAGGAATAGGAGCTGATGGCTCCGAGACGTTCACTCCGAGGACTTTGATCTATGATTTAAAGGGAGGATTTGGAACGCTGAGAAAGATCAATGCGCTATATGAAATTGAGGAACCTACAGCCTCTGAAGGACTATGGTGAGCAGTTTTGAATCATGCTCCTCGCATTCAAATTGACTCGAGATAGGAACGGACCAGCGATCATCCAACGACAAGATGTCATTCAACAGCACGAGTACCAAAAGAGTCTCGAGGAGGGTTTACCCCCACCCAAGCTCACTTCACACTCTGTGAGATACTGGTCTGACTTCAACCGTGTTTACTTCCACCCAAAATCAATCATCCAACTGAATGAATATGAGCTGAACTCATCGTTGACGCCATTCGAGAATTGGAATGCTGGCGAAGAACTCTTCAACTCCTTAGATAAGGAGCATGATCTTTTGGATCGCGATTTGAGATCATTTGCCGAAGAAGCAGACCAGATGCAAGGCATCCAATTAATTTCAGGAACCGATGACGCGTGGGGAGGATTCTCTGCACGTTATCTTGATCGGATACGTGATGAATACGGCAAGACGCCTGTGTTATTCTGGGGACTTGAAGACAGTGTTAGAACTATTCCACGAGTATGTACAACTCCCTCTCATATCTTGCAGGACTGACAGGACAGGAAAAACGTTTCATCAAACTCTCCAACACATCACGCTCCCTCTCAGAAATCGCAACACAAGCTTCTATCTTCATTCCGCTGACACTTCCATCCAAAACCATACCATCATACTTAGAACTCAACCCCAACTCCGAATGGAATATCTCCGCTCTCCTCGCCACAGCCATGGAAAGTATATCCCTGCCCTCCCGCTTAAAACTCTCCCACGGAAGTCGCGAAAACTATAGCGTGCTTTCAAATTCCATAAACATCAACGGAAATCAAACAATCGCAAATCTCCAGATGAGCATTGACCAGCACACATCCGCCGACAACTCAAACAAGGAATCAAACACCCAAGCCACAGACTCAAGAATCGCCGCGTACAACCTTTTCGAAGAAGACTCCAACTCTGAGATCCGCCCTCTCGATATGGATTTCTCTCCCCCAGACGCGCCAGATCAGTCTAATCGCTTCAACCGAAACAGGAAAAGCCATATCTTCGGACAGACCGAGATTGTACGAACATCCACCAAGACAAACACATCACAAGCTCCGACTCTCGATCAAAGCTACGAACGCGCTCGTAAACGCGCCGCTGGTCTTACAATATCACAACGGTACCTTTCCCTCTCCCTTCCCTAACCCACCTCCCACTAACAACCCCCCAGGAAATCCATCCCCCTCCCGTTCCCCCTCCTATCCTCTTTCCCAGGGATCTACCACCACATCCAAGACGACTCAACCATAAACCTGACCACCTCGCTCTCAACCACCACCGCCGTCGCCAGCCGCCTAAAAAGCCTCCAGCACATCGTGAACCGCGCTGTTGGGGTCGAGGAACGAGAGGCGTTGAGCAATAGTTTGGGCGAGATGGCGGAGGCGTATGAGGAGGGGTGGAGTAGTGGGAGTGATGAGGGGGATGATTAGGTTGATAACGGGGAACGAATGGTATCAGTCTTGAAATTCATTTAAATAGATGTTGTTTAAATAACGCCAACTCCTCACAGCTTGACGTCTACCGTCGATGTCTTAAACAACTTGAGTTAAGTCAAGCAACCCACTCTCGTGTAGCCCAATCCAACCTATCTAAAAATGGCACATGCATAAATGGAGTTTTCCTCGTACTCTATGTCTCAACACCCTCCGATCCTAAGATCTATTATGTACTCAACCCCTCAACCCATCAACCCCCCCCATACATAACCCCACCTCCACAGTCCTCACCCAAAATCCTCACCCCCCCCCCCCCACCATACACACATACCCAAGAACACTCCCCCAAAATCACAAACCCCAGCTCTCAAAACCCTACCACACATTCGATATCAAAAACTCAAAATAGCCAAATTGACAAAACATCGACATGACGAAAACAAATTATGGAATATTGACCTTACTACAAGATTATAAACCGCCGAATAGATGACATGAAATCACGTACACTTGAAGTCGAAATAAACTCCCCCCCCCTAAGTAGCAGTCACTCTTCTCCGTAAATCTTCGACTAAATAACAAAAACCCTACTTCGAACAAAGCCTAAAAAGTCTTATTATTTACTTAAAAATAGTCAACGGAACAGTTATAACGTTCCAAGTTAATCCACTAAATTACGATATTTTCGTCAACTTATTAGTCGAAGAACTATTCTAGTTCGACTGTCACTTACTTCCTCCGCAAGCCCCCACCTCCAACAACCTACAAAGGCATTAAACACGGCCCCCTCATTTCCTAGAAAACTTCCTCATCAACAAGTCACAAGCCACAAACCCCCTAAGGATATTTCATCTATTTCATCATATAAAATCCCAATAAAAAATAAAAATAAAGAAAGTCCCCTTCCACACCAATGCCCTCAATCCCCACGAAATCCTACCACAAAGATAAAGTTACCATATGATAACCTTCAAAACATACTATAACAAGTGCCTTACATAAACATTGGGGGGTTGAAATAAACTTCTGCTCCCGATCCATGGATGTTCGGGATCTTCGGTATCGTTCCCCACACACACAACGATGCGCTGCGGCGGGTCAGCCATCTCATCTCACCTCATCTCAGCCCTAGATCGTGCATCGATTTCACTCGTCATCTATGGGGTACTTATCTAAAGAGGACTGAATGACTAATCACTATCCCCCGCAGTTCAAGTTAGTGTCGGTGATGTAAAAGTTCGAGATTCAAGTGGGCACAGCAAGAAGCAGATGAGGATATTCCTTGGTCTTAGACTTAATTTGATTCTTCCACTGATAAGTGTGACTATAGCTAGCTATCTACCAAGGTCCACGGCCGAAGACCGTCCCTTTCAATACATCTCAATCAAAGCACCTTTCTTTCCTTCGCTTCATCTTCAACCTCCCCAAAATTATCCTGCAAGTCCAAACCAGCTCCTCAGCCTAGTTCGAAAGTATTATTCTTATCGCATTAACAACCTCTCTCAAATTGAGTTCCCGACTGATCCTCCAAAGCTCGTCAATGCATGATGTCGTCGAGTAAGAAAAGTAAAATAACAACCCGTGAGGGCAAATATGTGCAAGAAGCAGAAAGGCAAAGGGTATCGACACTCGCACATCCATCCCATAAGAAATCCCCGTATTAGACCATTATTAGCTCCGCTCTCATTACTGGTTTGACCCTCTTTTTTTGTACCGAAGAAATCTAATCGTGACTTATGTTCTCGAAATTGATGGAAATTACAAGACGAAAGCGGCGATACCGGCGAGGGCAGCGGCACCAGCGAATGCGGTTTGACGAGCAGCACCTCCAGCAGATGTGGTTGAAGTGGCAGCAGATCCGGCACTGCTGGCTCTTGAGACGACACTGCTGAGACCGGAAGCGGCACTTGAGGCAACGCTGGAGATAGCAGAAGAAGCTGCAGAGAGGACAGAGCTAGCATCGGATGCAACAGAGCTGGCGCCGGATGCGACGGTAGATCCAGCACCAGCAAGGACTGTGGAGACTGCAGCGCCATTGGAAGAGATTGTGGAGATCGCACTGCCAGCGGCTTCGGTGGCTGAGGCGGCAACGGATGAGAAGACAGTAGAAACTGCAGCTCCGTCTGAAGAGATGGTAGAGACGGCAGCAGATGCAGCCGAGCCGGCAGATCCTGCAGCACCAGCGAGAACAGTCGAGACTGCAGCTCCATCAGAGGAGATGGTAGAAATCGCACTTCCGGCGGCGGAACTTGCAGATCCAGCAGCGCCAGCAAGAACAGTTGAGATTGCGGCACCATCAGATGAGATGGTAGAGATCGCACTTCCGGCGGCTTCAGTTGCACTAGAGGCAGCAGATCCAACTGGTGCAAAGATGGTCGATTGACCAACAGTAGCAGTTGAGATGGCAGATCCTCCAGAAGAGATGATGGATTCAAGGGCAGAGGTTGAGATAGCAGATCCGAGGGCGGATGAGGCAGCTCCGGCAGCTCCAGAGGTTGCGGATGGAGATGCAGTTGTGGTTCCAGCAGATGAAGCTGAACCAGCATCTTTGAGGTTGTTAGTAAGAAGCCCAGCTCAGAGGATCCATGATAACTTACTGGCACAGTAGCTTGCAGCGTAGGCGAGAACGGGGGCGGCAGCTTCAGCGCTACCGCAAGCAGCGACGGAGCAGTCACGAACACCGTACGAGAAGTTTGGGTTGGCACAGAGGCATGCGGCGTCTGGTGTAGCACATCCAAGAGATGGCGAGAGAGCGAGCATGTTGCTGATACATGTTTGCTAGAGCGATGTTAGTATAAAGTTCCAAGAAGCAGTTTCCATCGATCTATCCGCCATTGACTTCAACAGAACCCTCCCAGTATGAATCTCATATCCCAGGACTCTTCGGCCAACACAGAAAATAGAGATCGACTTACTCCGCAGGATGGAAGTTCGGCGAGCTGCTGTGCGACGACAGTGACGGCGAACGCGCCGAGGGTGATCATTGAGTATTGCATCTTGAAGATTTGTTGATTTCTCGAATTATGTTTGGATCTGGTATAGATGGAGAGCTAGATGCTTCTGAGAAGATGAACGTCGAGGACTGCGGCTGATGAGAGCGGGAGAATGGGATGGAGGAGGAGGAGGTTGTATATGTGTTGCTTTTGGCTGTGAATGTGAGTGTTTCAAAATGAAAGGGAGGAGATGAGATGGGAGGTTGATGGGATCTTGTACCTTTGCGACTAGTGGGGCGCTAATGCGAGAGGTGGGTATCGAGGGGAAATTGGGTGCTCATGGAAGCTGGAAGCTTGCTTCTTGGTGGTCGGAAGGGAAGTGACGAAGTTGGCCAGCCTCTTTCATCTTCACCCGGCCTCCACCATTCGCCTGCTCCACAGCCGCCAACCTTATTTTCTAATATCAACTATCCTGGTCGCCTTTGACTTTCTGCGATTCCTGTTTCTGCACAGACTGTACGATTGGTGGAACCGAGATGATTGTCACTTGGATCATTGTACTTTAATCACTTTACTCATGGTGTTGCGCGCACGGTAAAACGAAAACCATCCACCCAGCAATTCTCTCTTGTGGCCGTGTTGACTCTGGTACAGGTGTAGATGTTTTCATTACGCAGAACCTTCCCCAAGCGTACAGCTACAGAGACACATTACTCCGTATGCTAGGCCAGACCGATGGCGAGAGCTATGATATCAGCTGTCCTAGACCTGAATCATCAATACATCCATGGTTCAACACCGGGAAAACGCATGCGCTGGCAGCATCGTGAACCGTTCGCGGAGACATCAGCGGCGATGGACAGGAACCAACACACCTCTCAAGAATATCCACGCCAGGCTAGGGCCCGTCATGCACAATGCAAACTTGGGAAGCGTGTTCCCCTCGCGCACACGCACAGAATCAGGGACCGGATCTTGAACTAAGTCGGCAAGTTTACCCACCCAGCCACATCTCGGGACTGTCGATGCAGTGTGATAGGGTCTCTGCCGCTATGCATCGATCGGAGGCTGGGAGGAAGTTCATGAAACCAGGAAACCCAGAGACGGAATCGAGCAGAGGAATTGGAGAAAGCACCAGGCATGATTTGCCTTCAACCACGCCGTACAGACTGACATCACAGCACAATCGATCAAAATCGGTCTCAAAATCGTTTGCAGGCACGGCTTCTGGACGCTCTTTTCTCTTCGCTTTCAAGACATCCAGGTCTCATCCTCAATTCAGTAAATGCGCACATACATCCAAATCACACCGCCAGCAATGGTCTGAGATATCGACTCAAAAAAGAAGACTAGTTCTAAGACCTGCCTCCTTTTATGGAGACAAAGCTTGAGTCGTCGACTCTCGACGTTCAAGTGACGTCGCTCGGGCATGGTTGAATGAAGGCCAAGCTTTTCGATCATTTCGGACGAGTGATGATTGCAGGGAAGCGTTGTGCCTGCAATCAAGATACGAAACACAGCCAACAGGAAAGGGTGATGAGTCCACCAACCACGACGATCCAGCCACTATTCCCCAGACACGACAGGGCAAACCCTTGTGGGATCAGGTCCTCGGGACTTGGTTGTCGAGGAGATCTCACTCCCTTGTTCAGCTGAGAAGAAAATAACGAGGCGGTTGATATCGCTTGCGATTGTGCTGGCAACGGTCGCATATCAAGCACCATGAATAACCCAAATCAGCATATCTTCTCGACATTTGCATTGAGAGTAATTCTTCACATCGACTTCCAGTTTGATCACATCGAGTTTCATCCCTTCCATGGCTAGTTAATCAATTTCCTTTCTGGCGGTAAAATCTAGAGCCTACACCAACCAAAGCATTGCGATGCGCATCGTGGTTGTGGCTGGAGGGCTTCGATAAATACCCATGAGCATCTAGAATTCGGGGTTCAGGTCGACAGGGTGGAGTGATACGTACCCAGCCACTCGCCACAGCAGGACAATCGGCGAATCCTGTGCAGCACGAGCAGAATAGGTTTTCGCAGGAAGTCTCTCTGAATTTAATTATCATGAGCTTCAAAATGGCCATTATTGACCGACCTAGAAAAGCTTTAACCACGGCCAACCGATGAAAAAGGTCGGCACGCAACGGCCGTGCATAATGGATTCGTGGATTTGCCCCAATTCAAATGAATCTCCCGTTCGAAAACTTGATTTTGCTCACGAGAATGAGTTGGCAGCTTGGCACATTACCTCACGGGCCACGATCACATGTTGGAAGGCATGACGAAACAATGATACCACCACTGATATTATTTTATTATTTTATGTTTCAATTGCTTTGCCCATTTGAGCAAAATTGCTACCCTATTCCATCTGTTCAATTATCTATTAATAAGTATACATCCGGAGAATTAATTGACACGGACACTGAGCGATACATTAAGAGCGTCTCCGCGGTTAGAAATTGCCGCGAATGCGCAAACTTGGCTATGAAGCATGCGAATCAATATGAGCTTGCAATGTAATGATTCACGAGATTCCTCTTTCTCAATTACTCACGAAGTAAGGTACTTGCGCCACGCATGTTCGCGTCATACAATTTTAAGGGTTCTACAGTTTCGGGTACGTCAATCATGTTTGATCATGAATGAGAAGCGCCATCTATGGCGACTGTATATCTACCCCGCGCCTGGACAGTTTTGGCGCAATGCCCTAAATCATCGCTGCCGCCGGACTGGCAAGTACCGGAGCTGCTTATTAGGGTACCAAGGAAAGCAGTTCAGGCGTGTCATTGATCGTGAGGCTCTCACGCGTGCATTCTTCGCGTCATTGCGGAACGATTATGACGGCCAGAATTGGACTTGGTGTTGAAAAGTGACCTAGGTGGTGGGTATACGAACCTAGTGATTTCAAGATTGGTTTGCACAGAGGTTTGCAGGATGTTCACTTTCATTTTCATTGTGTAGAATGACCCGTTGTGGATTCAAGACACTAACTATTTGCAATAGATACGTGGAAGTCATAAGACGACATTTGGAAAGATAACAATCACAAGTTCTACTAGTTTGGATTTTAAATGGCAAATAAATCATGTTTGTGGAAACAGGAGACCCATCTGATCACACGAATCCAGATTCCCATAGTAGGACTAACATAGAGGGTCGAACAGAAATCTGTTACATTCCAATCCAGACACAGACAATTCTTCGACATACCTTATGCCAACAGTTGGCCTGCGCGTACGGGTCTACGGGTTTGATAAAACCTCCTTAGTATCGCGGATTATATAGCATTCTCTCGAGACTGTCGGAGATCCGGTAGTATAAGAGAAGAGCAGCTTTCCGGATGGCGCTTCGGCCGGTGTATCCCTTTCAAATCCAAAATTTGCGTCTAAGAAAACCGAATTGAGATGGTTCTGGTCCAATTACAAATAAACATGTCACATGTTGGAGTCAGTTTCCTTATCGCTGAGCGGCTCTGTTTTCAACCGTTCGTCTCAGAGACGAGGAATATGCAAATCTGAACATGCCGGTCAGAGGACCATCACTAGGAACGGCAAAAACGGGTATCCGCTACGTTTGCGGGTGAAAAAGAGTCTATGTTGTAAGTGTGAAAATGTTATACTTCGTACATGACTGAAATAATCAGCTTTCGCCGCCGCCACCCTGTACAGCAACCTTACCAAATAAGATAAAGTCTCATTCAATGTTAGACAATGTTTCGCTAGATATCTCTAGTTTTGCACTATTTTAGAGGAGTGCAAGGATGTGGAAGGCTGGTTATTTCAGTCATGTACGAAGTAACATTCTTTTCAGCAGCCTCCAGTGCTTGTTCTCGGCATACCTTTGGCGAGATGTGTTGAACGAGAGTTGGAAGAAGGTAGGCCGTGGAATTTATATGCAGATTAATCCCATTAAACAGGTCGGAACAGTTTACAGAGTCGACTCGGCAGTTGCGAGCGAGTCTAGCTACCTATGTTCGAAGTCGAAAGAAGGTGTTTGTAGTTCGCTGATTTTGAGACTTTCAGATTTCTAAATGCGTATTCAGAAGCTCGTCGCATTATGCAATGCTCATTTCAGATTAGGGCACGAAATGCGTTGAGCTCGAACAAAGTCGGGATTTATTGAGTCAGATTTGAGTGGTTGAGTTGGGGTTGATCGTAATCAACTTAATGTCAACTAATCGTATTCATTGAGTATTCTCAATGATAAGCCCAACTTCATGGTTTGCGAGTTTGAATCAGAATATTCAGGCGATTTAAAATTTGAGGAATCAGCCTTCGATTAGCTAGAACAGGTTGAATTTTATTGTAGCTGTTTCGGTTAAATAAGTGTTAACCGAAATGACAATGTTGAGCTGATTTCATGGTCGGAGCAGGTTAGATGTAAGCATGCTGCTGAAGATTTCAAACTGCGGTACTTGCTCTTTCCTTATGCTCAAACGATGATGCATTCTGGAGGAGCTTATGGTTTGAGGCACTGTTCGTAAGCTGGAGAGAAGGCCTCAGAAGGCGTTTATTGAGTGCTGAATCCTGACCTTGTTGTGGCATACATGTAAGCCAGATGCTAAATCAAAGCAACAAAATCGATCTCTACACTGACTGATTAGTTTCTCGATTCTCATTGTTCACAAATTATCCAGCAGTGGTCATACTAACAAAATATCAAGATATCAAGGTTTCGGCTACGATATCTCATATCCCGCCCTACACACGTTGATTTGACTTAACTTTCAAGAACTTCGATACACACGAAAGTAACACAATACCTCCGCCACCACTTGTCGATGGATGTGTTATTTCACCTTCTACACCACAATCTAGGAACTCATGAATGATAGAGCCAGGATCCGAAAATATGAGATTTTATTTTCCACGGTCAAATGTGCCTAGTGTGGTAATAGCAAGATGCGGAGTTGAAGGTTCACGGGTGGATGGATGTATCACTTTAATGGAGGTGAGATTAGATGTGTAGTTCAAGATCCGCAACATTAACTAACGTCATTTCCGAAAAGGAACCGCAAAAATCATTATGGGTACGAGGTTAAGCGATTGAATCTCGTCTATGGGTACGAGATCAAGCGAATGAAACTCATCTATACCTTTCCTTGCTCCCATACCTCTAGTCTCATTGCTATGGATTAAAACTTGCAGCATACTTTCCAACTCCTCCTCCACCCTGCAAAACATCCAAACCTATAAAAAAGGGGCCGAGAAAACCTCAAGGACTAAGGCCCCTCCGACCCATCTAGCTGGCTACTCAATACATGAGCGTAGACTCCCTTCTCTCGTTCTTTTTGTGCGCGAGTGACAAGCCATGGAAGATATTGTAATCTCATAATTGTCAATTCGTTGTCACTTACAGAACACGGTATATTTTGAAGGGTATTGGTCGGAGGACTCTAAGGTTGTGTATTTTACACAGGATAAGACAAGTATTGTAAAAATTCCTCCACGAGCTTTGGGACAACTGATTCTTGCGTACAATTATTTCTATCAACCCACATTCAAATGTCTGAGGAAGCTTATCTGCTCGCCATTTTATTCTTCTTTTACTTTTTTCTCACACCGAAGTCTTTCTTGGGATTTAGTCTATTGTTTGATTATTTGAATAAGAGGGTTTGGGATTGTGGTCTCTATTTAGGGATTTAATGTGGATGTTTCGATTCAGGTTACTATCTATCTAAACACTCTCTTGCGTCTTAATTACTCCTATTTTATAAACTAGCTTGTTTTAGCAAGAGATTTTTACCACTTTAACCTCGACTCGTCTTAAGATATTGGTTCTGAGTCGTAAGTGAATGCGTGGCATCTTTTAGAAGAATGGTTGTTTTGTAAGAAACGACTTTCCAGAGCTACCTTTGCTCTTGTTGCATAATTAGAACGTCGAAGGAATTACAGTATTTTTAAATTGTACCGTGAGTAATAGTCGAGAATGACTCTGAAGCCCAATCGTATCAATATAATCTGCAGGATTTACAAAACAAATGAGAACTCAAAAATCCAAAGGTGACATTGGTAAGCATGGGATGCTAATGACGGACGCAGTTTTGCCAACCAATTCTGGTGAAAATAATGGAGCGACTATCTTCAGCTGTCCTTTTGTGTTTTGTTAATAAATTACAAAATACCATGTTCGTTATTTCAGGCGTTCCTCCGGTGCCTAAATTCTACCAGCTCACTACCTTTTTGAAAAGAAGCACTTAAATACACGGAATATATAGGTAAGATAGTTTTTATTAGATACCATTTCAGTGGGTGAACTGCGTGCCTGATTTATAGGTCTTCGCTATATCTAACAATTATTTATTATCATTCACACAGTAGCTTTATGAACGATGGTACTTTGTTAGTGATATTAAAGGAATTGTTTGTTTAATAGTAGTACTTTACAGCTCAACAGAATTTGCTCATCTCGTCGCTCAATTTCCTGCAGTAGAAATTAGAATGGCAAACTGGCCAATACCACAACCGGTGCATTGAATACTGCAGAATCCAAGTGGTACCCATAATTCTCAGTGCCACGGACTTTAAGAGTGTAACTCAACCTCGAAGTTGCCGAAGTCAGCAGAGGGTAGTCTCATCTATTCTCGAAAAGGAAACATAACAGTTAATCCAATCTCTCCCTCACATAGCCATTTCTACCTTACCTCGCGGAGGACAAAATAAGCGTCAGTCACCTGCCCACCGATCTTAAACTAAACAATAAGTCGACTTCGAATAGAGCGTTAAAACTATTGTTTACTTATAATAATAGCCGGAGTATATCTCATTGTTCCAGATTGATCCACTGAATTTACGCTATTTCGTCAACTCAATCAAAGAAATACCGTGTTTCGACTGCCACTTATTTTGTCCACCACGAGCTTACACAATCTCTCACGAAGGTTTCCATACCACACACCTCCCGCAGCTCTATCTGGTCTGCGGGGAAAGGAGAACACCAGCATGCAGCGCCAAGAGTGGAGGAAAGTCCCCTCCATCTTCCCCACCCTCCTTCGGCATCTATTATCGTCGGCGCTAGGAACTAGTACAGTACGTGGTTGCATACAAGCTTGTTCTGTGCACCGCGACTTAGGTCATTGGATGCATTGGCTTATCCGTCGATGTCATGGTGGCGGGGATTTGCGATTGAGGGGAGGAACGAGATTGGGGTAAAGGGGAAGAGGAGAGATTTTGTTATCTCAATGTTACAATTGATGGATGGGTCTTGAGATTTCATAGTTGATCGCTGGGTATAGTTCTATTTCATGAGTTGGGAATTCCCGATGTGAACTCGGGGCTTATCTCTCGTCGTACATGCTTTTCGATGCTTGTGATCGAGATATGAAAACAGGAGATAACACGAATATGTTTGAAGTCTCAAGTCTGTTGTAAGATCTTTTTATTCTCGTAGTCATAGTTTCAATCCATTATGGCTCCAATAAATGTAAAACGTCAGATCCATAGAGATGATGGATCTAAATTGAAGGTTCGTCAAGTTCATTCTACCACCATCGACCTCGTCTAATATCAAGCAGATCCTAATAGTTGGAGCAGGTCTCGGCGGCTTAGGCGCAGCAATCGCACTCCTCCTAGCCGGTCACGATGTAGAAGTATTTGAAGCCGCTTCAGAAATAGCCGAAGTATGTCCTTTCCACCCTCCCTCTATTGTCGTTAATTATTAAACAAACGCATAGGTAGGAGCAGGCATCCAGATTCTCCCAAACAGCAACCGCGTCCTCCAAACTTGGGGCATGAAAACCTCCCTCGAAGAATACGCCACAAAGCCCTCCCAAGTAAACTTCCTAGGCTGGAAAGGTAATTCCATTACTTCCATGTCCTTCGCCGAGTCAGCTGCGCAATACCCCGGGACGTTTTACTGGGATTTCCATCGAGCGAATCTGCATAAATGTTTGCTTGAGCGAGCGGTAGAATTAGGTGCGAAGATGAAAGTTAATGCCAGGGTTTCTGATGTTCGGATAGCAGAGAACTGGCATACTGCTACTGTGGTTTTGCAGAATGGGGAGGAGTATCAGGCGGATTTGGTGGTTGGAGCGGATGGGATTAATAGTCGACTACGAGAGATTATGTTGGGAAGGGAGGATCCACCGATTTTGACGGGGGATCTGGCGTACAGGCTTTTGTTGTCTACGAAGGAGATGTTGAAGGATCCTGAGTTGGCGACGTTTGTGACGGAGCCGCAGGTTAATTATTGGTTAGGTCCTGACGCGCATGCTGGTAAGATAATGCGTATTCGAATTCTGGACTTTAATAGCTTACCTTGCTTAGTAAATTACGTACTTCGAGGAGGTGAACTTTTCAACATCGTTCTCCTCGTCCCAGACGATATACCCAAAGGTCAGAATATAACCGAAGGAAATGTAGAAGAGATGCGAGCCCTGTACAAAGACTGGGATCCTCGTATCCCTAAACTTCTTAGTCTCTGCGAATCGGTGTATAAATGGCGACTCTGTATACGGCCCGGAATGGAGCAGTGGTCTCATCCCTCCGGCGCTTTCACCATGCTTGGCGATGCAGTACACGCGACGCTTCCATACCTCGCTTCCGGAGCAGGCATGTCGTTGGAGGACGGCGCTGTTCTCGGGGAGTTGTTTTCAAGAGCCAGAGGCAAATTATCTCCAGCGAAGAAGAGGCGGTTGTTGGACATCTACCAGAAAATTCGTGCGCCGAGAACAGAGATGGTGGTTCAGCGAGGGAATCTTCAGCAATATTTATACCATTTGCATGATGGTTCGGAACAACAGGAAAGAGATAGGGTTATGAGAGCTAATGAGCCAGGTGATGCTCTGGCGTGGAAAGATAAAGAGTTTGCGCCGGGTCTATTGGGGTGGTGTTGTGAGGAGGAGGTTGATAAATACTGGCCCATCTTTGACTCCCACGAAAAAGGCGAAGGGAGAGGTTCGTCACGTCTGTAAGGATATTTGAAGATCTTTGCGTGTGTGGAATTCATGCGGGTTTCTTATGGTTATATTCATTGTCTGGGTCTCTTTTAGTTTTATATGTCGCTTTCCGTCGATAGTATCTGAGTAACAACATACCTTGTGGATGATTTTGTTTTAAGCACTTTGCTTGAGCGTCTCCAACTGATTGTAGAACCTGGGATACAGATAACTTCCCATCTCGGAAGACTGTCTTACTCATTACTCCTCCTATCTGCGGCCAACCCCCGTAGAACTTTCATGCCTTCATGCACGACTGCCCACTGTATAGTAGCCAAATGTTTGCCCATCATAGCAGTTAAGCCAGAAGTGGCATATTTACCTGCCATCTTCCGCAAACTCTCAGGAGTTCCACTCGTCATTCCGCTAACAAGGGTATTCATTTCTGTCTGTGCATCCCACAAATCATCATTTTGTGCCCCCGTAGATGTGACACTTCTTTTCGCGTCATTCAAGTCGTTAGTAGCCGCGTGAAATGCCCAGCATGTCAGAGTAGCTAGGTATAAGCACCAAGGATAATGGAAAGCATCATTGACATCCCAATTATCGAGGTTCATGATTCCATCACGGAGTAAATATGCCGCATGCCATGAAGCATTGACTGCAGCCCGTGACTTGCCTGGCTTTACCCATTGTTTGAGGATCTGACGTGATCGGTCGTAATCTGTTCGAGTTACTGGACGTCCAATTATATGTCGCGCGCCCGCGTATATCTGGAGATCCAAAATCTCGACGTCAAGGGTGATGTGGGCAGCATGAAATATAGCAATACTGGATGTGCTGAATTGTACGAACTCCTTTTTGCGGGCAGTATCATCTTTCAACTGGATGGTCATAGTCATACAGTAGTTATCAAACTCTGCCTTCCACATATCGTATGAGTCTGCGAGACGTGTCTGACGATCGAGAGCAGTAGAGCCGGCAAAACCAAGAGAAGTCTGCTCTCTTCTTTTCATATCCCAGGAAATAGACATCAAGCCGTGGAGAATTAGTAATCTTGATAAAGCATTGAGATGTGTCGAGGCCGTTGCGGAGCTGAGATTAACGTAGCCTTTCAGCACCGGCAAGAAATATATTTCTGTCTCGTTCTTGAAACTGTTGTACCACTTTTCAGCTGAGTCTGCTTCCCATGAGGCTGGACTGCATGGTAGTGATAGCCGTAATTCAAAGGCCGACATACAAAGTGATTGAGAAAATAGCACTGCATGCTGCGTGTCCCAGAGAAAACATAATAGAGCAAGCCTGGATGTGTAAGCTGTTAGGCTACGAAGTACAAAGCTTGTGATCGCCATACCTTTTTCGATGTTCCACATCCACGAAATATTTCCAATGTGTCTCTTTATCCTCCGACACATCCTGTACACTACGATGTTGAGCTGTTTGGCAGTTGCTTCTTCGTATGAGACTTGGGAGTGTTAGTGCATACGAGCAATCATTGGAGAAATGCATTTCAAGTGCTTACTTGATAAGTAATCCGTGGAAAAGATGAGACATATCATGTTGAGTTTGTCCTGCTCGGGATTTTCCAAAGCATTCCACCAGTAAAATTGTTTGCAGTATCCAAAGGTCTGGCTGCGCTGTAAAGGCAGTATTCTGAAATATTTGGGCTCTGAGAACATCGTGTATACATACTGCTAAGCCGTGGCCAGACTTATCACCGTATGTCGCGCCCAGGAGTAGTATAGAAACGAGTAATAACGGCTCAACTTGAGAAGGTTCGAAAGTGGCTTGATGAATTAATGGATATGTTAGATTGAATCGACAGAAGAATAAGTCACAATAATTTTGAAGAGCGGGAAGCGACAAAAGAGGATGCTGTCGGGTGATCAAAATTCCTTCTGGCGTTTTTGGGCTGGCTTGAACAATAAGATCCAGAAGATGATAGCGGGTAACCTCATCGATAATGGGTAAACTTTTAACATTGCGAACATAACCGAAAGTTTGGAGTGGACGGGATGGAGTAAAAATGGAACTTCTGATAACTGGCCCTTTTTGCATCGTTTCAAGTTGAGGTTCAAGCGACGTAACAGTCGACGCTGGTGCCGAGCTTTCCCGATTTGGCGTGGCGTTTGATCGAATGTAAATGGTGGCTGTGTCGTTTGTGCATAATAATTCTGATTGTCTACTAGTTCTGGAATGCTCAAGATGGTTTGATGTAGATGCTGCAGGACGTTGACTCTGAGATACGGAGGTACCCATTGGAAATGTCGTGTCATTCTCTAGAATATCCACGTCAAAAAGCCAGCTGTAATTATTCATCGTTGTGAAAGGCATGTTGAAGGAACTCGCTAGCCTCCTGTTAGCGTAGGTTAAGATGAATATTGTTGGGCGAGATGTTTATGGGGTGTTCAATCATACCAGTATCGGGATTAAATATATTATCATCGACTCCTGGAGCAGAAACCAAAGACTGTGATCCCCACGAAGAATTGGCCAAGAAGTCATACAGCTCTGTGGATTCGTTGCCATCAAGTGGCCCAGTCACTTCAGGATGCCAGTAATTGCTTACATGATTCACAGGGGGATGTCCCTGTTGCTGTTGTCTGAGACTCGAGGACGAGCTCACTGGCGGCGAAATTGGTTCTGAGTATTGATTCATTAGGTCCGTAGCATGGTAAGGTATCTCCAAAAAAGGTTGATCCGATGGAACGTATTCCTGCATAGACGAGGAGGAAGGATTGTTTTCAGGTAGTGTTGGTCGCTTGGAGACAAGGTTCCCTTCAGCATCACGCCACAACCTTTTCCTGGTCTCTACGACTCCCAAACCATAACCTCCGGCTTCATCATCCCTCTGCTTGTGGCGAGCCAAATGCCGGTCGAGCAAGTCTTGTCGATAGAAGTGAACTGAGCATCTTGGACATGTACTTTTTCCTGTGGTATGGTTTAAATTGTGCCTTTTAAGATGATCTGACCTGGAGAAAGACTTTGTACATCCTTCATATTTACATATGTACCTCTTGGTGATACCATGCGTATGTTTGGATGAGATATTTTGGCGAGTTTGTTCTGGACGCTCCTGTTCAGACATCACAACCACTATCCGAGGGTCGATTTGACGAGAGAGCAAAGTCCCGGTTAGAGGATGAGTTAATCAAGGATGGCACATTGCTTGATAATTTCAATGTGATTGTAGAGCATAATTTCTATGCGTAACAACAAGATGGCGATGATCGAGACTTGAGACGACTTGAAGAGAGCGAAAGTGGGGTGGGGAAAGGTCACGTGGTAATGATCGTAAATCTCCGTCGCGACGCGTTGGATGAAATCTTCTTCGCAACAACAACATCTGAAGCAACGGAATCCGCGACTCACAGAGCAAATGAGGAATTAGACGATTCGATGGCGATTTAAAATTGCATTCATTTCTATCTACGTTTCTGTCTAATGGCAAAGAAATTCTCACGATTTACAGAACACAGACCTACGCTTCCCAATCAACTTCACGCGGGAGTTTTGGCCGCGAAATACGGATAGTCAACATATCCTTTGCTTGGTGGATCTGCGCCATAGAAGGTGTTGCGATCATAATCGTTCAGTGGAAGACCATCTGCCAATCTGATGGGCAGATCAGGGTTTGCAATAAACCATCGCCCGAACATGATACCGTCCGCATCACCAGCCTCAACCTTTGGAGCGGCATTATCGCGCTTGAAGCCACCGGCTGCGATAAACTTGATACCCCCCTTTTTCAAGATCCGTTGGAATGGTACAAGAGACTGTGCTTTTGTGTCCGACTTCGTCTCAACCGCCAACGAGTCAATCTTGGCTTGTTCGTCAAGAACTTCATCAAATCTTGGCTCGACCATGTGTACATATGACAGTCGGTTTTCTTCTGGTGATGAAGCGAGTTGCTCACATAGGTATGCCCAATGCACATTTGGATTCGAGTCCCGTGTGTCTTGAAAATAATTGTAGGGAGATAATCGCATCCCGACCCTATCCGGCCCAACGACATTGGTTATTGCCTTTAAAACCTCTAAAGGAAAGCGACATCTGTTCTCGATGGAGCCTCCGTATAAATCGGTGCGGATGTTAACGTTGTCGTGGAGGAATTGGTCGAGGAGATATCCATTTGCGCTGCGAGGTCGTTAGTTTGGGTCTCACAAGGAGAACGCTGGTCTCACCCATGAATTTCTACCCCATCGAATCCAGCTTCCATAGCCCTCTTAGCTGCAGCAGCAAACTCTTCTACAACTTCACCGATTTCTTCGACTGTTAAAGCTCTAGGGGGCGTTGCAGCATAGAGGCTTCCATCCAAAGCATTCCCTTTTAATGGAACATCACTTGAGCTCACGCAATCTTCCCCACCCAAAAGTCCAGGCACAGTTGCTCGCCCAACATGCCATAGCTGACAGTATATGAAACCTCCTTTCGAATGGACCCCGTCGGTGACTCGCTTCCAGCCTGCAATTTGGCTTGGTGTAAAAATGCCGGGAACGCCTGGATAGCCGCAAGCCTAGCATGGATTGATTAACTTCTGCCTACGAAGATTTCCCCAAGTCTTGGAGTCTTACCAAACGGCTAATCGGGCATGCTTCTGTCAATTGTAAACCACCTTTCGAAGCTCTTTGCGAGTAATACTCAACATTCAAGTCACCAGGTACCCAGACACCTTCCGACTCTTTTGGTGCACGCATTCGTGTCAAAGGGGCCATCATCACCCTATGCTCGATTTGAATCGCTCCAAGTTTGAGTGGCTTAAACAAAGCGCTATCACTGAGCTCTTTGAAACCCGAGGGTGATATTCTGGAAGGCATGATAAAAGTAGTGGTTCTGCCGTATCTCAATTCGAAAAGCAAGTTTGCTGGATGTCGCGATCGGTCCAGAAGAGATAGAAACCAGAAGGTGTGGACGACAATACTTTACTTACAAACAAAAACGCAGGGCTCAAAAAGTAATTGGAACTAGGAAACTGTCAAGGTGTGTCCCTCTACCCCACCATGCAGAACCTGACATTTGATCCTTACACGAGCATAATTGTACTATCTTCAATGGCATTGAACAGCACCATGTGTTGAACAATTGGCTCTTCCAGAACTGGAAAGCATGAAGGTGGGTGCAATTGGAGGCTTCTTGCCAAGAGTGGAGGATCGCTCTCGTGGACCCACCAACAGATAAAGGGCGGCTCACAGAGGACAAGAAAAGTGTCAGTCACCTGCCCACTAATCTTCAAAAAGAATAACTTAATTTCGAACAGAGCCTAAGGTGTTATTTACTGGAAAGAGTAGACGAAATATCTGATAATGTTCCAGGTTAATCCACTTAATATGCGATAATCTGTCAACTTAATCGAGGAAATATCGTGTTTCGACTGCCACTAATCTTGTCCACCGGGAGGGCGGGAGCCTCCAGTAAACTTCAGTCTAATTAGGATAGCCTAAACTTCATTTCTGTGAGAGAGACACTGAGTCTCTCTTCAGCTGCGATACCGAGATATTCGTGATTTTAGCGGCTGTCCGTTTCGAACAAGTGTCGCTCGGAAAGGACTGGAGTTGCTTGAATAGCACTACTATCAAGCAAACAGCCGTTTATGCTGCTACAGCCAGGAATTTGTTGACTTACTATCGCTTTGAAGTATGATTCGGAAACTGGTGAACAGGTTGAAAACAAGTGTTTATTCAGCAAGTTGTCCCATGGTACTTTGAGTGAGTTATTCATCTATTACTTCTCATGCGGTCTTTCACTCTACGCAACACTAACAAACCACCCCTTTTCGCCCTTCTCCTCCACCCATCCCAACTTCAAAATCTCATCCCCAACTGCACCCCTCAACCTTTCCGCAGTTGCCGGACTATCTAGCACCAATCTCCCCCGCACTCCATTCTCCCTACTCGCATCCCGAACTGCCTCTCTCAACGCAAAAAACACACTTGCTCCCAGAAAGACAGGTGGCTCGCCTACCCCCTTACTACTTTGGACACTCCTTATCCCCTTCCATCCTCCTTCTACCCCCTTCAAAAACTTAACGTTAAAGACCTGCGGTATATCCCCGAAGCCCGGGATCTTGTAAGTGCTAGGCCCACGCGTAGCCAGTTCCCCAGACCTCAACCAAAGAGTCTCTTCCATAGTAAAGAGACCGAGACCCTGGATAAACGCCCCTTCGATCTGGCCATAGTCAATCCCAGGGTTGATAGAGCGGCCGATATCCATTTTGATATCGGTGCGAAGCACGGTATGCGACCCGGTTAGGACGTCGAGTTCGATTTCAGAGCATGCCACGCCTTGCGTGAAGTAGTAGTACATCGGCTTCACCCTCTCCGTATCGTATTCTCCCCAGACATAGCCGATGCGCGGCATTTTCCAGAAGCCTGTCGCAGCGAGATTGACGCGGGCGAGGTAGGCAGCGTGAGCAAGTGTTTTTATTGGGGCGGAGGCGCCAAATTGCGCGCGGAAGGGGGCGAGGCGGGTGTTTAGTTGGGTGCAGGCGTCTAGGATGGCCATGCCGTTTAGGTCGCTGCCGGAGGAGGCTGCGGTGGGAGAAGCGTTGGGGATTTGGTGGGTGGAGGTGTCTTGGGTGTAAATTGCGGAGAGGGGAACGGAAAGGGCTTGGGCGCAGATTTGGGCCATTTTGGTGTAGAGGCCTGACTGTGTTAGTTTGGTTTGGGGTGCTGAGGGAGAGCCTTACCTTGACCCATTTCAGTACCGCCGTGATGGAGTAGAATACTTCCGTCTGCGAAGATCTTGACGCTGGCGCCTGCTTGGTTGAGATGAAGTGCCGTTGCGAAACTTAACCCAAATTTCGTTGGGAGCATTGCGATTCCCCGTTTCCTCCATTTATGCGTCTTGTTAAATTCTGCGACTGCCGCTTTTCGTTCTTCATACTTGCACTCTTCTTTTATCTCCTTGAAAAGTTGGGGGATGTGCCAATCCTCGTCTACTTCTTGGAGGAAAGGAGTACGGTCACCTTGTTTGTAGAGGTTCATCACACGAAGATCGTCGATAGACATGTTGAGTTCTTCAGCAACTGCCGTCATGTAACTTTCTGCGATGAACATGGCCTGTGGCCCACCGAAACCTCTGAACGCGGTGTTGCTATGCGTATTTGTTTTACAAACATGACCGCGGACGAAGACATTTGGGATCTCGTAACAGTTGTCGACATGAGTACAACATCGGTCCATAACGGCTCCAGACATATCATAGGAATATCCCGCATTATTATATATGTCTGCATCGAGCGCTACTAGTTTCCCATCATTCATAACACCAACTTTCCAACGTGCTTGGAAAGGATGGCGTTGGCCCGTCGTCATCATATCTTCCTCTCGACTCAACATAATACGAACAGGTCTCTTCTCTTTCTTAGCAGCAATCGCGCAGATAGATGCGATAGGCACGCTTCTCGATTCCTTACCACCAAAAGCACCGCCCATCCGCTTTACTCTCGCGTTGATTCGGTTACTGGGGACGCCCGTGACTTGGCTTACGAATTCCTGAGTCTCCATGGTATTCTGTGTAGATGACCAGACTTCCATATGTCCATCTTCCATATGAGGTATTACCAGTGCAGCGTTGGTCTCGAGGTAGAAATGTTCCTGTCCCCCCATTCTTGTGACGCCTGTGACGATTTTATCGCATTTGGCAAATGCATCTTCAATTGATCCGTCGATCGCAATACCTTTCTTCAGCATACGCCCGTGTTGACAAAAGCTCTTAGCTTCAATCGCTTCGTCGATCGTGAGAATGAATGGAAGTTCTTCATACGTGATCTTCACTAATTTTGCTGCCTGTTGCGCTTGCAATGCCGTCTCAGCATATACCATACCAATAGTCTGACCATGCGACTCTACAAGCCCATCCGCAAAAAAAGGTTCATCCTTTCTAACGGACCCCCACAAATTCTGTTCGGCTGAGATACTGTGCACATCTACATAACCAAGAGCTAGTCCCGGTCCAATAGCTGGTGTCCAGTCAGCCTCAAATCTGGCGTGAGCCTTTGCAGAGAGTACCAGTGCACCGAAGAGCTCTCGATCTTGGCGTGGCATATCGTCTAGATATTCCGCCTCCCCGGTATTTTGTTTCAAAGCACTCAAATGAGGTACTTGTTTACCCACAACTCGTTGCTCATATGGATTATGATCATCTCGACCCCCAGAAGAGATACCCCGATGGATTTCGGATATCAGGTCTTCGTCGACAGTTCCTAGATTTAGCTCTTTCACGACTTCATGCCAAAATCGGAAGAAGAATGAAAGTGCGAGTGTTTTTCGATAGGTGGCCATTCCGCCAGGTACGCTGAAGGGAAGATTAAAATCTTGACGGAGGGCATGTAATCCTGCGTCTAAAGTCCTCGGGTCATACCATTTCAGACCTCCTAATGCCAGCTTCGTCTTCTCCGCTTGGACGGTAAGAGGAGCCATACCTCCATAAGCGAGGCAGATATCCTCAACTTTGCCATCACCATCTAAACGCACCCGAAACGCCGCTGTAACAATTGCAATATCATCGTCTTTCCGTTTCGCCTGTTTATAAGCTTTAACAACTTCGGCCACATCATTCGGAGGAATTGGGATGCGAATCTTGGTGATGATGGCATCAGATGGTAAATTCGTTTTTCGATATGAAACGAAGAACTTCTCAATAGGCAGCGCAACTTCTCCTCCATTGATACTCTCGATCACAATCTTAGCGCCAGCCGCAAGTAATACTGGATTCATGTCCGATATAGGTGATGCCGTCACGAGATTGCCAGCGAGAGAAGCGGTATTGCGAATTTGACGGCCTGCGAAATACCGTAACTGCTTTCTGCAGGCTTCTAAAACAAAAGCTCGCTTCCCAAGTCTTGGGTATAAAAGTTCGCAAGCATATCCTAGTTCTGTTAGGTTAGTATTGGCGCCTATCACAAGCTCTGACATCGCATTAATCTCTTCATCTGTTTGTGGGATAATCATTTCTGCGAGCTCTGGGATCTCGGAAATGTAAACGCAGATCGCATATGGTGCATTCTTGAACTTGACTTCGATTTGCACCTCGCTTGCGCCGCCGACAAGCTTAATCGTAGGATCTAGATTCTTGAGCTTGAGGAGCTGATTAATCGTGGTAGGTCGAAGCCAGATCTTTTTGGATGTTCCATAACATATTGGTTTGTGATCGAATTTTCGCAGTAATGGTGGGTAGATGAGCTCAGTTGAAGGTACGTACGGTATGAATTTTATCTTCAAGTCGTGCTCTTCGATCGTAGGAGGTGGTGCTTCTAAATTTGTTTCGGTTTTCGCCCCTTCCCCTTCTTTTCCGTCCGGTGGATCTCTGGCTCTAGATTTAATTGGCATTCCGAATTCTGCAACGCTAATTTCTGTCTCTTCAAACGTTGGACTACTCGCTGAGGATGCTCCATCAGATGCGGATTCTCTAGAGCTTGAAGTATTTTCTGATATATCTCTAGATTGTGATCTGGACTTATCCCTGCAGCAACCTCCTGCTCTGCCACACGAATTCGTTGGTTGATTGAGAATGTCTTTGGGAATGCAATCTGATCGATATGGAACATCACTTCCATCCTGAGCGACAGCCATTTCAAGAGTTCTGTCAGCATGACTCTCATCTACCTTACCATTCAGATCTTCTATTATGAAGGTTTTGGCGGCTGTTAAGATAGGCTTGTAACCAGTACATCTACATAGATTGCCATCCAAGTGTCCTTCAAGCTCGACGTCGCTAGCTGAGAGCTTGAATACCTTTGAAATGGGATCATATGAACTTCTGATAAGTGCATAGAGTGACATCACGATGCCTGGTGTACAGAATCCACATCTAATGATCGTTAGAATCATACATTACTGAATGTCGAAATCTTTTCGACTTCATCTCAATTGGACATAAACGTTGAGATAATCGAGGAGTGTATACTAAAATCAAATATTGAAAGAGCGCTAGAACGCTTACTGTGACCCATGCATTTTGGCAATTCTTTCTTGAAGTGGATGCGGATTTTCGACATTGCCAAGCCCCTCGATTGTAATCAAATGTTTGCCAACAACTGACTTCAACGTTAAAACAAATTACCCTTGATGGGAGGGCTGAAATACCTCCTACTAATGGAAACAAACAAGCATTTACAGCCATATGTTTCAGTTTCCCTTTCTGCTTCGTGTCTAACGTTTGGAGGACCACGGTACAAGCACCACATCCTCCCTCACCACAGCCCAATTTCGTTCCTTTTGTCCCATGTTGTGATCTGATGAAATCGAGAAGAGTCCAGTCTGGATTCGGATTCGGCAATTCCACTTTTGTGCCATTCATATAAAAATGCAAAGTCGACTCGGTGAATTCAGATTCAATAAGTGATTGAAGCTTCTCAAAAGCAACAGGAACCTCCGGTTTGCTGGTGGTGAAGGGTAAAGCCATGGCCGTGAAAGACACAGAGTTATTGTACGATCATTTCAAGGTCGTAAAAAAATTGATGAGCTGCCACACGAAAAGTAATCTATCATGTGGTGGTCCTATGCTTGAGGCAAGGGGGGTGGATCTACAAACAACCTTGTCTAGTGAGCAGCACGTCGCCGGGCATCAAGAGTGGAGGAGGGGCATGCGAGGCGCCACTAACCTCCCCCCATTCATTCCCTCATCTGCATCCCCACCAGAAAATTGGCTCTCGTCGCACCAGTGTAATCGAGCAATTGCGTTGAACGCTAAACTTGAGATTTCGCATGCAAGGAATCAATTTGACCCTCTTATCCAAAGCAAGAGCTTTGGAGATACTCCACCCTGTTCTGGCAACGGTACGGGACGCGGCCGGGCTGGTGTCATTCTCAAGACACCCTAACGGCAACTGACATGGCTTCAAAGTAAAGCTTACTGTATCGTTGGCCACGAGGCACTTATCAATTCAAGAAACTCTGTTTTTGATACTCACGCCCTTCAATTGATGCCCGGTGAATGCAAGAAACCAGATCCTCTTGACACATACGAAGCGAATCAAGGAGCCAACACATTCGGAATTCTCAGCAATGTCTCCAAGTGCTGCCAATGATTCTACTGGAAGTGGGGTTGACCCGGTAGTAAACGGCGTTAGTGAGATCGAAAATGTGATAATCGTGGGAGCTGGCCCTGCTGGTTTGATGCTGGCGCAAGTAGCTTGCCATCTTCATACTGTTACTATAATCTGATTTTGATCAAGGTCCAACTTAGCGCGATACGGCATACAACCATTAATAATCGATGATAGACATGACAAGACCACGACTGGCAGAGCAGATGGTCTCCAGCCAAAGACAATCGAGACGTTCAAGCAATTGGGAATAGCCGAGTCACTGTTGAAGAAAGGGGTTAAAATTTATGATATTTGTTTTTGGGTATGTTGTTTTAGGATGAGATGTTGAATAAGCATCACTCATTAAGTGCAGAACTCAGACGCACAAACACCACTTCATCGTACTCGTCGAGAAATTCATTATCCGCCTGAAGTCGATTTGAAAGATCCCTTCGTTTTGTTAGTACACCAGGGTATGATTGAAGATGTATTCCTCGAAGATCTTCGCGAAAGAAGTGTTGACGTCTCGAGGGGTACTCCATTCGTTCGGTACTCATTTAATGACGACTTGAAGCTGCCACTCAACGTAGTCTGTCAAGATACCAAATTTGGTGTGGAGAAAACGTTGCGTTCAAAATATCTAGTTGGTTGTGACGGGGCGAGATCCATGGTCAGAGCGAGTATTCCTGGTGCTGAAATGATAGGAGATAGTACGAGAGCTCCTTGGGGTGTGCTTGATGGTATGTATACCTGAATCTTTTCGTCATATTTACAATATTCTAAAAGCTGCGTCAGGTGTCATTGAAACAGATTTCCCGGATCTGTGGAGTAAAGTTGTTATCCACTCTGAAGAGAAAGGAACGATTCTTTGTATTCCCAGAGAGCGAAATATGACTCGCTTATACATCGAATTGAATCCACGAATGCATGACGTTCTGTCGTCAGAAGCTTCAAGCCAAGAGTTTGTTATGCAACGAGCTAAAGAGATTATCGCTCCGTTCAAGTTATCGTGGAAGAGTGTTGGTAAGTCCGATCATCTCAAGATGGGTTTGGATTTTAAACAGACTGATCTCGTTATTACAGAATGGTTTACTGTGTACAAGGTTGGCCAAAGGGTCTCAAATCGATTCAGAGATGAAAGTGGAAGGATATTTATTGCAGGAGATGTTAGTCTATCATGGCCTGTCCTTCATCAAAACTTTTATACTGAAGATTCTCACAGGCAGCTCACACACATTCCCCAAAAGCAGCACAAGGCATGAACGTAAGCATGCACGACTCATTCAACCTCGCATGGAAATTAAATCTCACAATTCGTGATCTCGCCCTCCCCTCATTACTAGAAACCTACACCTACGAACGAAGGAAAATCGCAGAGGACCTTATCAACTTCGACTTCGAACATGCCAACGCCTTCGCAGAAGGCGATTCAAACGCTCTAGCTGCCAACTTCGCCGCTAACGTTGCTTTTATCTCAGGCATTGGAGCAAAATACGCGCCCAATGTCCTCAACAGCGGGATTTCAAATGAGACCGGATGTCTTCAACCGGGATCGCTGTTATTGCCAACGAGAGTTACGCGATATATCGACGCCAATCCTGTGGATCTCCAACTTGACATTCCACTGCTTGGCCAGTTCCGGATTTTCTTCTTCACTTCGAATCCGCACTTCTCCAAGGACTTTCTTTCTACCATATCCTCGCATCTGACTTCAACGAATTCTGTTCTGGGCCGATCATCAGTTGCGGCTGCCAAGTCGTATGACCTGCTCAACACCCATTTCTCCAAATCCGATGAATTCGCACAGCCACAGCGATACACAGCTGTGAGCAAGATATTCACACCCGTTCTTGTGACAGAGATGAGGAAGGAAGAGATCGAAATCGCGGATTTGCCGCTAATGTTCAGACGAAGTTGTTGGACCTTTTACATGGACGATCGTCCGGGAGTGAAGCAGAGCTGCACTGAGAAGTGGGTAGGGGGTGTTAATGAAAATGAAGTTGTGATGGTGAATGTTAGACCAGATGGATATGTTGGGTTTATTAATAGGTGGGATAATAGTCAGGGTGATCGAGCGTGCGAGGCGCTAGATGTGTATTATGGAGGGTTCTTGAGGGGATGATCGGGGAGATCAAGTATTTTTTTTTTCGGCGAGAAGGCTGAAATGGAAAATCCCAACTTTATGGCTCAAAAACCCATTCATAAAGGAGAAAACTTCTATCTTCTGAGAAGCAATATGCTGCTCGGCAGGTTTGTGGTGAACAGATTTAGCGAGCGACCCCCTATCCCGCAGCATTTTCAGTGGCTGTATGTACCAATAGTATTCTGTACAGTGACCTGGTAAGTTAATATCTTTACTTTGTAAACTCATGTTGAGGGCAAGTTTATGATAGACAGTACAACATTCAATAAATTCCTCAACGCTCGAAATTCTCAACCTACCCAGTCACACAGAAGCTTCTAATCTAAACCCGTACTCTGTCATAGCGCTCACAGAAACCGAAAACTCATCTAAATATTCTAAGCACAGCTTTGAGAGCCAAGCTCCTCGCTCCCCAGAGCGCTGGCCCGCCACAAAGTCAACAACAACACTTAAGGTTGCCCCAACCTCATCACCTCCTCAAAAACCCGACAAACACCCAAAACCTTCTCCTCCTCGAACCTCCTCCCCACGATCTGCAATCCAACAGGATGGCCATCCATCGTCTCAGCATCATAAAGCCCCCAATTAAACGCATCTATCTCATTTCTCGGTTCATACCCCACCTCAGGACTCGCATCCAAGTCTTTAGATATCACACCAACTGGAAACGCAAGCGCAGTATAGTCAAGCAGATTCCAGACTTTCGTGTATCCCACCCATCTAATCAAAGATTAGCCGCGCCACGAAAAGGTGTTGACTTGAACATACCTGCAAGCACGATGCGGAACAGCAGCATGCGGCATCGTCGGCGTCAACAACACATCTACCACCCTGCCCGATTTCGGACCGCGAATCGCATTCCATTTATCTAGATACGCTTTCTGGATGGCGAGCTTGCGTTTGTTCAGCTGCCAGTATTCGTACACTGAAATCGCCTCGCCGCGGTTCACGAGCGCTTCAACATGCGGAATAAACGGTTCGCCGCCGGATTCAATCGCATCGCGAATGTCTTGTCCGCCGTCTGCCGTGTAGAATCCGTCCTGTGGCGTGTTAGGTAGAGGAGTTGTGTGGGCTGAAAGAAGAGCTTACCATGATATCAATAGATTCTTTGTGGAGGGAAGGCTCCCAGTTTACGAGTTCGTGGCCTGCGGCTTCTAGTTTTGCAGCAAGTTCTTTCAGAGCTCGTTCGATAGGTGGATGGGCGCGGACGACTCCGTCGTCGAGCATGATGCCTATAACGAGTGGGCGGTTTTGCACTGAGAGATACTCATCTTCGCGCCATGGAATCGGAACGACTCGAGGATCTAACATCCATGGTTGGGCGGTAAGTACCGCTTTTGTGACGGTAGTCATGGAGGAGAGACTTCGCGTCATGGGTCCGATAGCTGAAGGTACGTGTTCCTGACCTTCTGTGGAAACGGGAACGCCTTGGTAGGGCAGACGTGCGCTCTACACATTATATTCGAACCGGGTTTGGGGATTTACGGCGGTTTAGATGGACTTACACTAGGCTTCAACCCATATACTCCACAAATGGAACTCGGAATCCGAATCGACCCCCCAATATCCGTTCCCCAACCCACCAGCGACCCATGTTCAGCCAGAAGCGCTCCCTCACCCCCTGTGGACCCGCCAGGCGTGAAAGCTGGGTTCTTTGGATTAACCGTGAGTCCCCAGAGAGGATTCTCAGTTTCACACCACTAAACACCTCGTCAAATGCTACCCATATAATTAAAGCGGGAGGGGGAGAAACCATGATACTCTGCGGCAAATTCGTCTTCGCTATAACGATAGCGCCTAAATCCTGTAAAATCTTAACGATTACAGCATCGTCATCTGCGGGCTGGAATGCTCTTCCTATGTAACCTAACGTGGTATCCAGACCTTTGATATTGAACTGGTCTTTCACTGTGACTGGGACACCGTGAAGTGGTCCGACGAGTGCATGGTTAGTTTTGAAGTATGTATCGAGGGAGCGTGCTTTTCCGAGGGCTGCGTCGAAATTGATTTCGGTTAGACAGTTCGTCTGGGGAGATGTTAGGAAGTTAACGCGGTGTGGGAGGGGTGGGGTACGGTTTTGTGGACTTGGGTTGCGCTTTGGAATTTGTTAGCGAATGTTGCGAAATGCTAGGGAGGTGTATACCGATGTATATACTCTCGAGTGACTGTCTCAGCACTGGTCTCACCTGTCGCAAGCAGGTGTATGAGTTTGTCGATATCATCGATATGGGTAAGCGAAGATGAGAGCGTTTTGTCAGCGTAGGGAGATAGCTCTGTGGCTTGTAAAGCACGTTTACGTTCAACGACATTTCTCCATGAGGGAGGCATATTTCCAGATCTTGTTCTAATAAGCGTGATTGTGCCAAAGTCTTGTGTTGTTGGGATATTGTTGTTGGAGAAGTGTAGGTGATGAGATATTAGCGAGGGTGGGGGTCTCGCGGAGGACAAAATAAATGGCAGTCGAAACACAATATTTCCTTACTTAATTTAGCGAAATATCGTACATTTAGTGGATTAATTTAAAACATTATCACTATTCCGTGAATTAATTTTTAATAAATGAGACTTTTTAAACTCTATTTAAAGTCGACTTATTGTTCAGTCTAAGGTTACCGAGTAGCTAACTGACACTTATTTTGTCCTCCGCGAGGGGGTGTAAGCGGCACTACCGAGTTATTTGACGAGATGACAAATACTTTGTGGAGAAAACAGTGGCTTTCAATGGTTTGATAATTTTGAGGTGTGGAAAAATTGTCGTATTTGGGTTAATGTCTGAACGATAATTCTTTTTTAGCGTACTTTAGGGTTTTGCGATTCATTCATCGACTCCGATGATTTCCATAGGGTTAAATATTACACTCATTCATCTGAGCAAGTTGGCATTAACATCAAAGACTCCTTTTCCCTACTCAGTATTCCTACCCGAGAAACGACAAGTATCCTGAATGAAATCCCCCAAGCTTCTACATCCACCTCAAAACCCAATCCCTCTTCCACGCCCCTCCCACCGTCGAATTCCCCAAATTCTTCACATCCAGAACTTGACTCGTCTCATTATACACCCATCCACCATACAACATCGCCCCATTAAACGTAACATTACTCACCGCGTTCTTCACGCCCAAAATAGTAACATTAGCGAGCGGATTCGTATCGTTATACGTTCCTCTTGCAGAAGCGTAGAGGGCGGAGTTGGTGATAGAGAACTAGATACGTTAGTTCTACATACGGAGAGAATTAGAGCGGGAGACTTACATCTACAAAAAGCGTCGAATTCTGAACGATGCTTTCGCCATCATCAACATACAACTGGCCACTCGCCGTCCCCTCAAGACTCGTCGCTGCGATCAAACCCCAAGGATTCTTGCGACTCGCCGTAGTAGTATACCCCGGTTCTTGAGTCGGTAGAATACTTCCTCCGCGGATATAAACCGGAATATGCCCCAACGGCGCCTCGATCGTGATATTCTCACCTGGTCCAGCCTGGATTGCAGTTTGGTTATACCAATCATACCAGACCTCGCCCTTGCCGACACCAGGGAAGACACCACCAACAGAAGAAGCGCCTTGTTCGAGTACGGGTGTGATCATGAGGCTGTCGCCGAGGAGGAATTGGCGGTCTGCGGAAGCGAGGGTTGGGTCATTTGGAAACTCCCAGGAGAGCGCGCGCATGACGGTAGAGCCTGAGGTGTGGGCTTGGTAGAAGAGGGTGTACATGTATGGGAGGAGGAGATAGCGGATGTTCATAGCTGTCTTTGATGCTTCGGCGACGGAAGCCCAGCGATATGGTTCTTGGGGGATGGCGCTGAGGACGTTGTGGTTACGGTAGAAGGGGAAGAAGGCGCTGAGTTGCATCCATCTATTGCAAAGCTCCTCGTCAGAGTTTCCGTTGAAGCCGCAGGTGTCTACGCCGAACATGGGAATGCCGAAGAGTGCAAAGGATAAAGCTTGTGGGATGGAAAAGAACATGTAAGCCCAGAGAGACGCGTTGTCACCTCCCCAATGTCCAGCCCATTTTCCGGATCCTACGAAAGTGGAGCGTCCGATGATGAACGGACGCTTTTCTGGGTATACTTGGAGCAATCCATGATATGTCGCATTCAGAATTTGGTGTCCGAAAAGATTATGGTAATCGTATTCCTGAGTACCGCCATGATGGGTTGCATTTGGACTGACGGCATGTACATCAAGAGCGCCTTGAACATTGTTGATGACATACGGAGGATATTCAATAGCGCGAACTCCTGGCGTCGGGATAGTTCGGACATAAGGAGTAGTAGTGGCAGTTGTCGATATAGGCTGGTCTACACCTCCCGCGGATGATGCTGAGGTTGATACAGCTGCCGCGGCGGAAGACGAAGCTGCTGCCGATGCTGACGAGACCGACGAAAATTCTGTAGCGTTGGTAACATTAAACCCCTCTGGGTAACCGTACACGATGTTCCCAGGCTCACCGGGAAGGCCGAATGGTGGATGGACAGGGTTGAGAGTGAGATTTCCACTACCACAAGAGCCAACGCAGAAAGAAGACACCTCGCTCATGTCAATCCAGATGCCATCGAATTGAATCTCTTTGAAGTACTCTGCAATCTCGTTTGCCCACCAGGTCAATGCACCTGTACCATTGAGAACGGCTCCGATAAAATCCGGGAAGACTGTTAAGTGTTAGCAATTGCGACTTGAGGTAAGAAACGGGGAGTTACCTGTATAACCAGGCCACACCGAACCAATGTACAGACTTCCGTCTGGATTCAGCATGAAAGAATTCGTCTCATTACCCCGTTGGAATGGTGGGTATGCATCACTGGCATTCTCAGGATTTGGTATGTAAACCGCAGAGTCAACGATGGGTATATAATGTTGATTATTTGTGTGAAGCTTGGTGAGGAAATCTCTTCCTTCAGCGTATGGAAAGGTATTTTGGTCGTTCTCAAAATCTCGGTATTGATTCATGTAGTCGATATCAGTCCTGAATATGCGTAAGTAATAGTTTCAACAAACGAATTGCAATTTGGTTTGCACATACCAAATGTTCTCAAGTGGAATACCAAAAGCAGCAAACTCATCCACAACCTCCTGAAGTTGAGTCCAATTGGCGTATCCCCAACGGCATTGATGGAAACCAAAAGTGAAATATTGCTGCATCGCTGGTAATCCAGTAGCGGTCATTTGATAAGACTTGGTCACTTCCTTCTGAGTTGGACCAGCATAGAAGAAGAGGTCAATGCTACCACCCAAGGTCCTCCACGTGATGTTGTCAGATCTCATCAATGCTTCCTGACCGTGAGCATTGCGGAGGTAAACTCCATGGGAGTATGATACGTATTCGGCACTAGAGTTGGTTGCATTCGCGGCATAAGTGAGATTCCCAGTTGTCTCGTCGACTTCATAATATCTAGTGTCAAGATAAAACGGATGATCGCCGTAGATATTGTAATCAATTGGATCTCCAACATCTGCTGCCCAGAAAGTTCGGGTCAAGTTGTTCCCCATTCGAAAGCCATGGATGACCTCACCCATACCATATAGATTATAGTTCTCTGGAAGCGAGCTAGCGAATTCGATGAATTGGTTTTCGAACACTAGTTTAGTGCCTTGAGTAGAGAAAATAACATCTCCTGTTGATTGACGGATGACTGAAAATCCAAAAGTCGGGTCATTGCTCCAGACAAAATCCAAGTCGTTCTGGGCTGCTGTCTCTTCGGCATCCGCATCTAACTTGGGCGCAGGAACCAACTGCTCCGGAAGTACGAACCAAGAGCTGTTGGTTGCATCAACGAAACTTGGTGTGATTTGGACATGAAGTCGATCGGCGGATTGGTACTCGACTGTAAGGTTGAGATAGTTGACGTCAGTTCCGTAGGTGTTGCACGCCTTGCCAGCGAGAGCGAGTGAAGCGGTAAATCCGTATGGATTTCTCATGACATTGGAAGCAATATATCCGGGGCATACATCCTGAACGTTGACAGCTTCCGAGTCGAGAATATTGGGTAGTAACAACACAGATGCGTCTGCATCGGCGGGGACAGTGAAAATGGGACGGTAACTTGTGGTGGCATTTGGTGTATTTGATGTGGTATTTTGAGCATGTGTAGTTGCCAAAAGAGCAGACAACAGGCCACCAAAGGCCAAAGCTATTCTACCCGCCATTCTGTGTCGATGGCAGAGATAAAAGCAGAAAGCAAGAAAAGAGAACAACAATGAGCTCAAGAGCAGACGATTTGAAACTGTTGAATAGAATCCATAGTTCCGGGCAATTGGCTTTATATACCCACCTGTCATTGTTGACAGGAAATGGGGGAAGCTAGCCATGTAGATCTACTAGGTTGCTCTCACCCCGCACATCGGTTACACCAAGCTCCAGTACTCGAACTGGGACGAGTCCCACAATAGACTTAGACTATAGAATGTCAGTTGAGAGTTGACAGTTTCGTTACCGGACTAGTACAGCTGATTGGATTTTGCTTTTAGTGACAGGAATAAAACCATTGGACCCTTCTTTTTGTTTTAAACTCTAGAACGGCTTTTTGTCATTGAAATCCCAGATATAGCAACATCATCAACAAAACCTACATCTCCAATCCGAAGAGCAGCGGACCCCTCAATTCTCGCTGGAATTACCAAGAATCAGAATCAAACAAACTTTGGTAGCTGCAGAATGCATGCAATCAAAGATGGAAAGATGAATATGTCTTGCCTTCTGGGGTACCTTTTGGCGGCACCGGAGCCATGCGGATACGTAGACAAAAGGGCCGAGAAAGCTTCGGTCTTGAATGTGGATAGCGTTGAGGTTGAATCAAGCATTGAGTTTCCTGGGCGGGAGTATTATCGCGGGTGTATTATGCGTCTCCACTTTCGTGTTGGGGATGGGGGTGGTTGAGCTTCCCCGGATGGAGAATGCGCTAATACCGGCAATGGAGAGATATTCGGTGTTTCGTCTGGTTGAGAAGCTGAAGGAAGATAATAGCTCTTTGCTGAGAATAGCTAATTGCTTTCAGTATCAACATTTATTCAATTACAAAAGGCTCTCCGGTTCTCTCTTCCTCCCTCAATGTTGGTAACCAGTTGTAAAACCCCCTGCCAACAGCTTCGCTAACGCAGACTTTTCCATTCCCCGCATCCCCACGTATGGAAGCTGGGGCTGGCGCCATCAACGTTCCTGCGTGCCGTGTGATGTCATGGCACAATTACTAATACCAAAGGAACATAGAAAGTCCTCCAGAAAAGGGCCGACGACGGTTGTATTATGAAGTTGCGCGAAATACAAAGTAGCAGGACGTTGGGAGTTTGGGCGAAAGTTTGGGCGAGCAAGAAGCCCTGTGCAGATCTTAGGGCAATCGGCACCGAAGATGTCCGAGATTCGGGCCGGCTGTTTTGATTTTGACCGCAACGGCACATGAACGGGATTGCAGAATCCGGTCATCGACAAGAGATAGGTAACTTCAGATTCACACAAACTTTCCGCCAGACTTGGTTCCTAATAATCCATCAAAACGTAAGGATCCGGAATCGAATGGCACAGAATCAGTCTCAAGGCAGAAGAGAAAAAGACCGACGACAGTTCTGGCAAGACCTTCATTAACTTGTCCGTGGGCGTGGATTCTTCACAAGAGATCGTACTTTTAATTGAGATCCCGGCTTGCGTGAATTACGTTCAGAATGGCTGACCGAGATAAATACTTCGAGTTTTCGAGGTGACTTTTTCTGGATTTTGTTTTGGAGACGACCGAGGAAAGGCAAGATGTGCTGGTTAGACAAGACACCTGTATCAATCTGTTTGACACGAACGGGTAACAAACAGTTATCAGAGTCTCGCAGTTCTGAGTTATCAACAGAATTGCAGTGACATCCTCGTTAACCATCCCCCAAACCAACAACACCCTCCTTTCTCACCCAACAACCAGCGTCCTCCCCCACAACCCCTCCTCCTCCTCAATACTCCTCCTAATATTCTCACCCCTCTTCCACCCATGTCCCTCGCCCTCAAACACAACAAGTCTAACATCCTTGCCTAACCCCCTCATCACGCTCTCCATCTCCACAGCCTGTCCCATCGGCACAACCCTATCCTCCCTGCCCTGCAACAACACAAGCGGACTCTCAATCCTCTGCGCATGAAAACAGGGACTCCTCTCCCTCATGATCCGCTCTTTATCTTCGTCCGAGGCGTCAGGCGGGAAGATGAGATCCCAGAGATAATGACTCTCGAATTTATGCGTTTTAGCACCGAGATCCTTCAGGTTGCCGACGCCGTAGAGACTGCAGCCCGCGGCGAAGACCTTGGGGTGAGACACTAGAGCTTGGAGAACAGAATACCCGCCTGCGCTGCCGCCGCGGATGCCGACGCGGGTGCGGTCGATGAGGCCTTCGTTGGCGAGGTAGTCGATGCAGGAGAGTGTGTCTTCGACATCTTTGACGCCCCAGTTGGAATTGAGTTCTTGGCGGTAGGCGCGGTTGAAGCCTGTTGAGCCGGTGTGGTTGACGTGGACGTAGGCGTAGCCTCTGCTTGTGAAATATTGGGCTTGGAGATCTAGAGCAGGTGATTCGTGTGAGGTTGGACCACCATGGATGGAGACTATGAGGGGTGGTCTTGTTCCTTCGATACCTCGGAAGTCTGGGTTTGCAGGTGGTGCAAATATGGCGTACGCTGTTCCTGCGTTGCCATGTGTTTTGGGGAAAGATATAGATCTTGCAGGGGAGAAGATATCGAGAGGCAATGGGATACTGGCCGAGCTCTTTAGCAGTTGCTTTTCAATTGGCTTGGTGATGTCAATGAGGTAAAGTGCTGGTGGTGTCTTAGCAGTAGATCCAATGACTGTAAACTCCGCGTCTGAGACTCTCGCAAGTCCATGAAATTCAACGTAAACCAGCTCGGTATGTAGCTCAGTTACATCCTTAGTAACTGTATCGTAGACAATAAGACCATTGACAGCCTTCCTGCAATACGCAATGACCCATTTGGTGTGAGTCAACTGAATATAAGTAGTACTAAATCACCAGTCAGCGTTCACTCAAGATCCAAACCTGAGCATTTGAACTCACTTCCCCAACTTAAGTTCCCTAAACCCAACCTCCACATCCTGATACCCCTCCAAAACAACCTCCTCCACCCCATCCGTGGTAGGATCCCATTTATACAAATTCCAAATCCCCTTCGGATCATTAACAAACCACAGACTCCCATCCCACGCCCATCTAGGCTGGCAAATAGCCTGTTCCCTCGTCTTGCCAGCGACATACTTCCCTTGCAACAAGTTCCCATCATTCCAGTCCGCAACATAAAGTTCCGACCCCGTCCACGGCATATCAGGATGATTCCACTGCATCCAACACACGCGCTTCCCATCCGGACTAAACCTGGGATGCGAATAGAAATCCGCTCCCGTCACCACAACCGTAGACTTGCTCGCACCCCCCGAGCTAGTCTCAATCACCACAATCTCATTCCTAACCTCCGTCCCATCCTCAAAATGCGTCTCGCGAACCGCGAGCGTGCCCGTCCCCACCTCAGCATGAAAATCCGCATACTTCAACACCTTGCCACTCGGATCCGCCGTGACGACCTCCGTCACACTCTTACTTGAAACATCAAGATTATACACCAAGTTGGTCTTCGGATCGTTGAAGATGATGTTGCGACCGCCGTGTGGGACGAAAGCCGCACCACCACCATACTCGTGGATTTTCCCAGCGGCGGTATACTCCTTGGGGAGAATCTCTACATCTTCTCCTTTCTTGCTAACACTCAGAATGGTAGACCGTCCATTTTCAGATGGTCGTCCTTCCACCAGGAAAATTTCTGCTTCATCTTGTTCGGTGTCAGAAGTGGGGTTTGGCCGAGACGCGTTCGTATGGACTTCCTTGAAATCTGTACTGCCCGCAGCGATAATTTTTGAGGTTATAGGCGATTTCCAGGTTCCGAACGGAGCAGATTGAACCATGTTTGCAATATCGTCGTGTGGTGCTGGTCTTGTAACCTACGAGAAGATTGTTTGAGGTTATGAAATTTGCCCAGCGAGGTACGACCCTAATAGCCGAATTGTCTCCATCAAAATTGAAATAGAAATCTCACCTATGACTCTTATGAAATCCACTTAGTGACTCAAGATTTAGGTCATCACGTCAATTTCTTCCAAATCAGGTAGTTGACTAAATTCTCACTCATTTACTATTTACAATATCTCTGTGGCGGTACACAGACAGTCGCTGCCCTTGAGCATTAAGGAAAGCCACACACCCAAATTATTATGTAGCAACCTCTTATGGAGCCTCAAGCCTTGTTTTGTGAAGCTCTGGTATTAGGATTTAAGACTATAACTGAGCACAGAACGAGATTAGTAATACACGAAAACTCGACTCCAAAAGACAACCCCATTCTTCAGACAACAAGGCGCGCCAGCCATTGAAGTTTCTCTTTGCCAATCTGTCACTCTGTCACTCTGCTACCAAGTTACCTTCATCACTCAACCATGGAAACCATATTACTCGCCAATTGAGTAGTGGAGAATCATCGAGGTAGAGACTCATATCCGCCGGTTCTTTCCTCGCGGGTTGTGCTAAGCCTCTCGCGGATAGCGGTGAGAACATAGGCAATGAAGAGGGCTATTGTGTTAGCTAAGCCAGCGCCAAAGTGTTTCCTAAACTTACCAAAATTTGCTGCGCCAGCAAATGCCATAATAGAAGCGCTTGCATTGTCCCATCCCTCGACCTCTGGATCCAAGAAGTAATATTCGAATCTGCCTGTAACAGCATTTCCAACATAAGCCCAACCAGTGTAAAGGAGTGACAAAGCCGTGATGCCGAAGATATGGGCCCATAGCGCCTACTAAGATTAGTACGGAACTGATAATTTGGGAAGCAGTAACTCAATCTTACATCAGCACGTTTGATACTGCTAAACATCGTAATCTCCATTAGTGCAATGAGAGAATTGACAGCGTATTTGGAGACAAAATAAAACTCCCTGAACCGGCCGTTACCGAAGATTTCGTTACCTAAATCGTATTAGAAGACAACGCGACAACAGTTTCAGTTGGTCATACCTGGAACAACAGACTGGTTGTTTGGAATCAAGACAAGCCATTGGACCCCAGCGGCAAGAAACGGGAAACTGTTGACAGCGTAGTAGAAGATACTGAACCAGGCTCGATTGTGGGTCGTTTGATTTTGTCGGGGTGGCGAGAACATTGCCTGCAGACGAGTAGAGAATGATCGTGGTTGCGTGTCATGGTGAGGATAGTGAAGATGCATAAAGGTCCAACTCTGTGGTCAAGATTAGTCCCCGAGGGAATGGGCGCACCAGATGTGGCGATCGATCAGCAATTACGAGAGCACTTACAAAGGCGATCCACGAATAAAGTGCCTGCATGAAATACGCAATATTGGAAAAATTAAACACAGTCGACCATCCAATCTGGTTTTGCTCAACATCGTAGTTGGCGATCAGGATAAGACTGCCGGTGAGATAAACGCTGACGATAAATTGGAGTGAGACCAAGGTCTTTTGGTCAATGATGACCCATGGCGAGTGAGTAATTCGAAGAAAGATTGGCTTCTCGTGGTCAGCAAATTCCTGAGGAATGTCTCTGAGGACTTACATGATCAGTCTTCTTGCGATCCTTTGGGAGTAGAGCAGTTGAAGAGGACATCTTTTGTGGTTCAAGGTGACGAAGCGAACAGAGAGGAATTCTAGGGAACGAACGTATTGGATGCGAACTTGTCAAAGCCAAACCCGAAGGTTTACGAGCAAACGTCCTGTGTAAAGGAACAACGACGTGGAAAACGCAGAGAGGTCTAGATGTGTGTTGAGAAAAAGAGGAAGAAGAAAGAAGGATGAGAATGGTATGTGAGGAAGGTTGAGTCGCCATCTAGCTCGTCTTGTCCTATAAAGGAAAGTGCGAAGGAAGCTACATCTTCGCAGCACAGAAACCTTCGGGGAGATGGATTGTAAGATCTAGATCTTGACAAACTGGAAGGACCCAACATATTGTCGAGACAAAAATGCTTTGGTGTAGTTATGTATAATAAGCACAGAACGGGCCCATCCGACCATTCTATAACTAACCAGCTACGAAAGTCAACTTGCCATTGTCCGACAATTGAGAAGATCATGAAAGACCTCGCGAGCTAGTAATTAGACAACTCAGTAGTCCGAAGAAGATATAATCAAAATATCGGCAAGAAATCTTCGAAGAACAGGATCTTTTCCTAAACAAGGTACGGGTAACTCCTCACCAGAGCTGGCAGTGTGTGGCCACAAAGGGATGTGAAGGGCATCTGAGGTTTACGTGTACGCAAGAGAATATAAGACGAAAAAACGTCAGTTTGTAGCTCCCATGACAGACAATGCGATATTCTCCGTGGAGTGTTGGATCATGTTGTTGTTGGAAAAGGATGAAGGTCGACACCTGGCTCGCGGAGGACAAAATAAGTGGCAGTCACCTGCCCGTAAATCTTAGAATAAATAATAAGTCTACTTCGAATAAAGCTTTAAAAGTCTTATTTACTTAAAGTAGTTAACGAAACAGTAATAATGTTCTAAGTTAATCCACTAAATTATAATATTTCGTTAACTTAGTTAAAGAACTATTCTGGTTCGACTACTACTTATTTTGTCCTCCGCGAGCTAGGCTCGCGGAGGACAAGATAGGTGGTAGTCTGTGTATTTCCTCACTAAAATATATAACTTTCGATAAGTATTATAATAAGGAATTTTAATTGTACTTTCTTAAAAATAAAGATACTTAGAAATAATTAGTTAAACTCTAGTAATATCTACTTTATTCTAATTATAATCGTTAAATTTCTATAGAATTAAAGGTATATACTCGACGTCCGGTAAAACTATAGTCTTTATATTAAGAGAAGAATAACTTCTTCTTTTATTTACTAAGTACCCCTTCTTAGATAAGTAAAAGATAAATTTACTTATAATAAAGTTAATATATCTAAAGCTAAGGTATTAATCTCTTTATATTATAAGTTATAAGAATATCTAATTAGTATTTTATTTATAATAAATTATAGAAAGTTGTGTATTTTAGTAAGGAAATGCACGGACTGCCACCCATCTTGTCCACCGCGAGCCTGGGCAGTCGAGACCCTTGAAAGTGGGGCCGGATTCATGAAGCCACAACTTTTGTTCGCGTCTCCCAAATCCAAGGTGTCCACAACTCCAAGCTCCTTAAGGTGCACAAGACAACTTCACCAGTTCGCGACAACCACATCGCAATCGCGCCCGCGACAACACGAATCCCGCGATCAAATCTCTCACCATCATATCAACCACCTCTATCTCAAGACCCTCCGAATCCCAAACCTCTCCATCGCGCATCCCCAATCAACCTCCCACCATGCTCTCCGCCCTCCAAAACCCACGGCAAGCCGCCGCGCAGATCCTCAACTTCGGCCTCATTCTCTCAACCGCATTTATGATGTGGAAAGGCCTCTCCGTAATCTCAGACTCCCCATCACCGATTGTCGTCGTGCTTTCCGGATCCATGGAGCCTGCGTTCCAACGAGGAGATCTACTGTTTTTGTGGAATAGGAATTTCATGGAGGAGACCAAGGTCGGGGAGATAGTGGTGTATAACGTGAAAGGGAAGAATATCCCGATTGTTCATCGGCTGGTGCGGAAGTTTGGCGTTGGGTGAGTTGGAGCTCTGGCCTCGCTGGTTTGGGAAGGTCATGCTAATATATGGTATAGGGAGGCAGCGAAGTTACTTACTAAAGGCGACAACAACTCGGCCGATGACACTGAATTATATGCCAAAGGACAGGATTACATCGAGCGAAAAGACATCATCGGAAGCGTGGTGGCATACATCCCTTTCGTAGGGTACGTAACCATCCTCTTGAGCGAGCACCCGTGGTTGAAGACGGTGATGTTGGGGATAATGGGACTGGTAGTCGTTTTGCAGCGAGAATAGAGTGGAATAAAAAGTTATTTAATCACCTCTTTCCGTGCAGTATCCAAATTAATATCTTCTCCTTGGCTCTTGATCTATTAACTCAAGGATATAGCTTCTAGATGAACGCCTAGGCTAATGGGAAAGCATAGATATCCGACGTTATTTCGGGATGCACTTACACAGTCTATGTTTAGAAGGAAGGGCCCAAGGGGTTAGTGATACCCAAAGCGCCAATGTTTCTTATGTGTTTGATAGAACGAGTATGCAGGTCGGATGTGCTACATACTTCCTCGGACTACAAACCCAATATATCAATTCTTCAGAGAGCTGAGCTCAGGGCGTGAGCGGTGGGACTCTTATTTGAAATTCGCATGTGACTGCGTGAGCTGCCTCCATTTTAAGATCATTTTTATCAGTACATTCAAACTCGTAGACAAACAGATAATATCCTCATTCCACTGTCGAAAATGGCGTAACAACGCTCGTCGCTGATGACCTGCTAAATCCTGGAATCAAGCCGGGAAGTACACCCGAGGCATCAAAAAGCCTTCCTCACAGACCAGAAAAGAGGTCTGACAAAATAGTAGTTAACGGTCACTTACTCTTAAGCCAAACCTATTATACAAGTCGTAATAATTTCGATTCAACTCTCATAAGACCTCTCATAGAAAAATTCCAATATCTCGATTCAAAAACGCCCTCGCTCTAACACCTCGCCAATAACACAAGAAACCGTCTCAAACATTAACACAAGGTATGTCCAAAGAAACACCACCCACCCAAACACCCCAAAAATCCTTGACCAAGCCAACCCCTCATTCCAAACCAAACCTCACAAGCCCTCCTCCTCCCCTTCCCACCTCCTCGTCCCCAACTTCCTCACCTTCTTCAACGGACTCCCTTGCTTCACCACCGGCCCCTCACCCCTCCCACCCCACTCGAGCTATTCAAACTCAACCTCTCCATCTCCCCCATCAAATTCCGACTCTCCCTAAGCGGCTGTCTCTTACTCGGACTCCTCCCCTGCAACTCTCTCCTCAGACTCTCAACCTCCCTTCTCAACCTCTCATTCTCATCTTCCAAATCCCCAGTAAACCCCCCATCACACCCAGCATTCTCCTTATCATCATCCCCAAGATCAATAGTCTTGGTAAGAATTTCTAATTTCCGATCAACATGCTCCTCTTGTCGCTCTTGCTCGCTCGCAAAACTAGCTTTCCATCTCCGCATTTCCGTTTCCATCTGTTTCTCCATCTCAGAGAAAACTTCTTCACGGACGTCCATTTCAATTTCCACGATGCGGTCACGCAGGCTTTCAAGATGGGCTTCGCTTTCCAAGCGACGGTCTTGTTCTTCTTTGAGTTCGCTTCGGAGTCCGTCGATTTCTTCTGACATGCGAGCAATTTCCAGCGCGGCGATCTCCATAGTTTCTCGTTCCGAATCGGTAGGTGTTCTGCCTCCACCCCTTCCTGGTGAAAAGTAATGTGAAGCTGTAGATTGGGCCATTATTGTAGAGGTGACCGAGGGTATCCTGGGAACTGTAACTTCTCGCGCAAGAGCTGAATAGCGGAGGATTTGAGAGGTTGCATTGAAATCACCGACCGGATCTGCCGTTACTATCATGATTGCCTTTTGAGGATTGCGGTGATGGGAATGTGACTGTGAGTGATGTGAAGGCGTTGCTGAGGATGAATGATTTGGAAACGAATTAGAGAAAAGGAGTTCGGTTAATTTGCATTGTCGGAATGGCACAAGATTTGGCTGTAGATTGTTAGATGGCGTCAAAGAAGTTACTGTCAGTACGTACCTTAATTGAATTCCCAATATCTGACTGCATCTGTAAGCATTGCCCCAGATACATCAAACTCTCATTGATCTTTCCTGCTTCTTGCAAAGTAGCGCCAGCAGTCTTTGCATCTCGAGCTCTTTCACTTCCTGCCAAATCAACAACGGTAAGAGCGCTTCCGCCCCAAGGACCAGGCATTCGGTTCCTTCGTCTTTTCTTGACTTCTACACAGAAGAAGCCATGAGATCTTGAGCTCACACTATTCGAACCGGTACCCGCAACTCTTCGCTCGTGAAGACCAGCCTCTAAAACCATCAAAGCCTCTTTCATGGTTCCACAAATGATCTTTCTTAAACCTGCGACCACCTTTCTATCTGGGCTCTGCTCGGTCGGTTTGAAAAGCAAAGGCCGTCTTCGGTAGTCTTTCGTCGACTTGTTTGGAATTGCTGGAGTGAGTAGATCAAAGATTCTATCATTATACACCTCATACATGCTTATAAGAATCGCATATTCGGCATGTTCATCAACATTAACTGTGAAGTTCGCGATATCGGGTAATTGCGGTAGGACGGAGGGTCTCTGTAACATATTTCGTCGCGGTGTAGGTGGTGGTGCATACGATTCGCCCTTTAATGGAGATTTAGTAACGTACTTTCTTGCTTTCGCGACTGTAGATTGCATATAGGAGGGGATTGCATGGAAAGTCGACACTGTCGCTTCTAGAATACTATGCTCTGTGATTGTATCGCGTACTACTCTGATACCTCTAGGACTACCTGAAGAGCAATCGGAGAAGGGATATGATCCTGGCATGTTGCCTACTTCAGAGGAATTGTCATGGATTGAGGGGATTCGTACTACCATTGGTGTTGGCGCTCGAGAGCTTGCTCTTGAAGGTGCTGATTGATCGCCATACATCGTGTCGAGGAACATTTGAGCAGACATTACCTGAGCCTCAGATGGATCCGAGGCTGCTACAGTCGCATGTAGAGAAGTTGAGGTATTAGGGTCGAGTATTTGGTTTGAGATCGATCGAAAGAGTACATCGAGCGCGAGTTGAGTGAGACCTCTTTGCGTCTTGGATCCTAGAATTGTATGACTCTGATCGCATCAGCATTTTCCGCTTTGGTGATTCTTGTCTATGGCAAACCTTTCCAGACCCAGTAACTCCAAGCGTCGCCAGTAAGCCATCTCGTCCTTCCCCTCCTCGAGGTCCAAGTACACCCTCAACAAGTGGAAGAACGCCAGTACCTTCAAAGATGTCGAGTTGGGACGCGCTCTCTTCAAAAACTTCTGTAAACGCAAACTTTTCTACAGCGCGCCTTCTATTATCGTTTGGAGGATTTAGTGTGATATGTGTTGGGAGCGCATTTTCGTCGGCGGCATCTTCCACGGTAATAAATCTGTCGCCTGTCGCAAGAGTTGGATATAGAGAATTGGATGTTGGAGGAGGGCGCAATCGCAAGTATACTTGGAATAGAGAGGCTTGCGTCTTTGATTGATCCATTTTTAGCTGGTATATGCCGCGTCGAGTTGAGTATCCTAAAGTTCTCACAGATTTTGGGAGGTTTGTTGGCGCAATATTGAGTAAACACTGTCCGGACCCACTTCCTTGGTTGGCACAACAACAGCAAGGACTTTCCATCACCAACCCTTGTCAACTGCAAATAATGGATGTATCACGACAGCGAATGCAAGTACTAGTAATTAAATCTATTTCATAGGTACTATGCTTTTATGTATCTATACAATCCAGGATTTATGCTCGTTACATCGTCAAATATGCGACACACTCTAAGGGGTTACGGCCGTGATTTCGTTAATAAACGCCGAGTTGAAGTATCCAATATTCCAGAAACATATTCGCTCAGCATGACCTTCAACCACCAGCAGCATAATTACTGCCTCTCTTTCCGTCCCAAGAGTGTTTTCTTCCTAATAACATTCGTAGTTGCGATTTCCCCAGCAGCCTTCGCCCTTTCATCCGCATAACCTTGTCGTCGCTGAGCTCGACCTCTCTCAATTGTTTCCTGGCTGAGATGTCCAAATCCATTTCTTCTCTTGAAACATGCTTCCAGTAACACGTTTGCGTCTATCAATCGTCTTGGTATTGTTTGTACAACCTGGAAAATCTCCATTGGATCAGTGACCGCTTTGATTTCCGCCTCGCCGAGCTTGAAAATGGTAAGTGCAATTCGAAACAGGGTCTTGCTGCCCTCGTAGAAGAAAGAATCCCAAACGCGAAGAGTCGATTCGATAGGAAGAGTGCCAATAAAACATGACATGAACCAAGCGGTAGTACATAGGGTAATTGGTGGTAATCTCATGGAGACTCGTCCATTGCCTGCGGTTCCATCAAGCTCGCCGCCGATTTTGGCCCAAACTCCGGGCATCATATCCTTAATGGCTATCATCAATACACCCAGGTCAACATTAGCTCCTTCGAGATTGAGTTCGTGGGTGCCTGGTAGATAAACACGGGTAATAACATTGAGCATCCAGAAAGACTTTTCCTCATCCATGAACAGGAGTAATAAGCCAGCCAGGAAATTAAGTGACTGACAGTATCCAATCTTTGGATTGTAAATTGAGAATGCTTGAAGAACGTTTCGTAATGATTGAAGGATGGGAGTTTCTGCGTCTGGTGCTATCTCTCCAGGAATGGGATCCGGCTTGAATTTGATATTGTCCGGGAACGTTCGATTCAAATCTCTTTCAATGATCTCGTTATCTGTTTCGCTAACTTCGCCATTATGAGCCTTTTGTAGAAGGTCTGCATAGACACCTGGATGTTTTTCTAGCATCGCTGGTCCACCAGCATAAAAGAACCAAGCCGCTCCTCTCCAGTCTGGTGGTATCCCTTTCCGGACAAATCGTTTGACCTTCACAGACTTGGCTGGAAATGTTTCTGGGTGATCTGTCGACAGATTATCACTCCTCAGGAGCGCTACCCACTTTTTCCGCCGTCTCGCAAGATGCTCATTATATGGGCCGTTCCAAGCCTCAAATTGTGCAACCGGGACATGTTGTGTATTTTTCCTAAATCCATAACGATCCCGGGTGTCATCCCATGTCGTTGGCGCAGCTCGGGTAGCTGGCCTGCTAGGTGGTTGTGGTGTGAAATACGAGCCCTGGACGTCAAGAGTTTTCGGTTTCTCGCTACTCTCATCTGGGGATGCATCAATCGTGCTCGCTCGAAACATTGCAAGAGAGTCCCTTATCAGTGGTCCCGTTGGCACGTTCAATGAATCATTCCCGCTCTCGTCTGACCGCAACCCCCTTCCCCTCTGCTGAGATTCAACACTCATCCGCCTCCTCAAATATGGCTCGTCAGTTCCAGAATCTTGAAAACCGCCCTCGTACATGCCAATTGCATCATCCACACTCATACCCTCGTCTTTGCCATAGATTGAAGTCGCCGAACTACTCTTCGTCATTATGCTACTTCTTTCCGTTCCGATTGTGCCCATAAAGCTTGAATTGGTCGTTAGAGCAGACCGAAAACTCGCACGAACTTCCTCGTTATCATTTGCGGCCGATCGAAACATTGGATCCCGCCGGTGGGCAGAGTAATTGCTATCCGGACGACTCATAACCCTTCCTGGTCTGTATGCGGAGTTATTTAGGTTTCTTTGTCTGGTGTAAATTGACTCGGCTGCTTGATAGTCGGGGATTGAAGCTGCTGGTCGTAGCGGTACTGAAGGAAGATTGCTGGCAATTGATCTCGACGAACTCGCGGACAATCCTCTATGTCGTGGTGGAGACGCCTCGTTCAAGGTGCCATGCTCGTTGTATTGACTCCCAGAGAATGTGGACACGCCTTGTTGTGTCGCCCTTGGTGAACCGTTCCTTCCCGTTCTTTTGATACTTGGTGTCCTAGGTCGGGAGAAATTCGCAACTCCCTCAGGTGTCTTCCGCCCCTCTTGTGACTGTGACCTATACCCATTATTCAGAGCCCGCAAACGAGAAGCTTCCGAAGGCTTTTTGTGCAACCCATGATTCGATTGTAAGGGATAAGGATTCGGTGAAGAAGACTGGGTTTGTGGGGAGGAGTTAATTGAGCGCGGGGCTTCGCGTGAGGGTGTGTGAGAGGTCGAGGGTCGTTGGTGGTAAGCTCGAGGGTCAGAATTGGGTAGGGAATCCTGCCTGTGTGGTCTATTATTTGCGAAGAACGATGGTGAAATGGGCGACGGAGGGGTGCTCCTGTTTGGTGCTGTTGGTGGTCTTGCTAGTGGTTTGCCTGGATAGAGGCTGAACTGTGAGTTTTGTTGGCTTCTCTGCCTCCTCACATGTAAGTGCTCAGCATCCAAATGTCCAGACGAGTCGACGCCATTGACACCGTATGCCAGACTCATCATCTCTCTCCTTTCACTCTGCGTAAACCAGCGAGGTCTCCACCACAGGCGTCAAGACCTGGATTCGTAAAGGCTTTGCTCCTATGTTGCCCAACATGTATTATTTCGGGACGTGCCGAGTACGATCATTAAAGAAGTTATGGATGCGAGGAATAGGTGCAATTGTTGGTGAAGGACAGTCTGCCAATTCGACCGGTTACTTTCTTGCGAGCAGTATTTTGTGGAATTGCGTGAGGTCAGTCGTCGAGACGGGGTTGGGAGAGATGTCGCAGATATTTGTTCGCCTCTGCGGATGTTTCAACGGCGTCTTGATGATTTCAAGGGAGTGGAGTGAGGTCGCCTACAGTAGAGATCAGATCTCGGTCGAGATATCCACTGTCCCACACCAAGTCGGAACGCAATGGTCCAAGCTGCAGTAATCCCACCTCGACCGTCTGACCACCATGAGGAGTTCGAGGACTAAGCGCACCCAATCTTAAGATTATAGACTGACGTATGCCATTATGAGGGTATATTTGACAAAGGGGCAACGACTATTACTTCTGCTGTGTTGATTGAAGCTAGCCGAGAAGTGTAAACACAGAACGTAAGTGTAAACAACAACAGCAGCCAAATGTTTGAGATGATACACTCGATGATACTGTACCAAGCGAAAAGTCGCAACACAGCAAGCTGCAGCATTAATGGAACAAGCCGCCAACTGAATCAATCACAGAGAAGACATATCACAGCGCTTTCTTATTCAGGACAATTCAGACGAAGTCGATTCATGACAGCCGCGACTAAACACTTTAGATTTGCGCCTCAATGATCGGTCGCGGATAGCTGTGTTGGCGCGTTTCTACTCACAAGCCTCATCGCGTTTGCTGACACGTTTGCAGCGCTTGAATCAGGGCATTCTAGACGATCAAACTCCCAGGATACGTGAACGATTCAAGGTTTATTTACTTCTGGAACCCAATGATTGTTGTTCTTTTCCTCCGAAATGACGAGATTACTTAGCCCAACGTGCCCCAACCCAGGACCAGGTCGCGATGTCCGGGTCGTAAAAAACTAATTTCGCGTCATGGTCTTGGGGGATCTTCGTTGCCGTGTTTTCCCTGTCGTAAGGATACGAACGAAACGAAACGAAACGAAATGCTGGAAACAAATAACACTCAACGGGTACCGCTGAATTTTGAAGAATGTCAATAACCTCACGAACGTCTGAATTTTATGATAAGAGTCATGCGGAAGTCTGAGCTTCCCCAACGGTTTACGGACGGTCCATCAGTTCGTTCACAATTCGCTTGGGCCTTCTATTGATAAAAGTCAGGTGCGGGATGAGAACTAGGATGGAGGGTTGAGTGGGAGATGAAGATTCGCGAGAATTGGTGTGTTGTTTATTGTCATTGGTCTAAACAAATGTGCCAGCCCATCTCCTAAGGACGTACACAAATATCAGCCAGCATATAATAATCTGTGCTCTTTCCATGCGAGACCTTGAACGCCTTTATGAAGTGTCTGCTTTCTGCTCTGTTGTCCGTCCTCCCCTTCGCCCTCTCGGCCTATCTAATTCTCGGCATATGTGTTGGTCATGATCTAATATCAGAGTCATTTTCGCATCTCACTTCGCATATTTCCTGGTATATTCTCTAGCCTCTCTGTTGAATAACGGTCGATCGTTCTTGAATTTCTCTGCGGCGCTCGTCTCGACGGCATCATCTGGTACAGGCTCTGCAAGTAAATTCTGCGTTGCAGTAAGAACAGACATAATTTTGCTAGATGGCTTCCATGCCTCTGGTTTGAGGATACCAATACACATCGATCCGTGCTCGTCAAATGTGACATTTGGATGCCAGATTCGGGTCTTGAAGCTGATCTTTGGGGGTTTGAAAGGGTAATCGGTAGGCAGCACGAGGAGGAGTTTGAATTTGCCGCCCTGTCGAAGCATGTCAGTTGCGTGCAGTGTAGAAAAGAATATAGAGCTGCCGACCTCATATGGAGAGCCTTCTGGTCCATCCATCACAATGTTCCAGTTATGCACGTTCCCTTCGTCAACTAGATTGACCGCAATGCCTTCCGGTGGGTTTCCCAGCACCTCTGCCAGCTCCTGTGAACATGTCAGTATATTGCAGAACACACTTGGAGAACCTGAGACTGGAGGCTCACTTTGGTGATCCTCTTCTGGGAGCTCGCCATGATGTCTGCTTCTCGTTGTGGGTATGTTGGTGGGGTGAAACTGGATGCTGGTTTGTTGATATTCGAAGATTCTACCGCCAAGGAAGTGCTAGCTCAGGATCGAAGTGTGCTACTGAGAGTCAGGTACAAGTAGTTTCGCGATGCAACAACGACTTGTATTCTCTGTGACGTCTCGAGCTCGAAGTTCTGTATGGTGTTGTGAAGCTCGAAGACGTAGCCATCAATTAGGTGGGCTACTCGTACAGCAGGGTTGGTGGGGAATCCCTGTCAGTTTTGTTCCAGAAACTATAAGCGGGGCTGGGCTGGGCTGTGAGTTCAACCTACAGTAAGTTGTCCCAACTCCCACCTACTTCCATCGCTTTTCAAAGACAAACTACCTAGGTATCATTTTCACTCTTTGATGATTGCGCCCTCCAGACGTATATAAAAAATGGCACTCATTGGGAGAGGATTTCTTAGCAAACGCAGCGATTTATAGATCCGAGGCATTCGTGGCCTCGATAGGCCTTTTTTCTGGTTATCGCGTCGTACTCCGTACTGGGCAGCCGTCTCTTCAGAGCACAGCTGCATCAGCATCAGTGGTAGGCAAGTTTTCAGTGCGCGAATTTACTCATCATGGTGGCTTCGCCATGCCTATGGTGGAGGTCGTTGAGGGAATGGGGATTGCTTCACCGCACCAGCAGCGACCAGCACAACTTCCACCTACGCCTATTCGTATCGGAGGCAGAGGCCATGTTCTAGCTAAATTATGGCTCGCAAATGCTGCTATGGATTTGGAGAATGTACTGGATACGGGCGTTGAGCCGTTTCATCCCGCTTCTAAGTGCAAACAAAGTCACATCAACAGCATACTAGAGCCGACGCGTGATAGTGAACGTTTGAAAAGAAATCATACCGGTTTTCAACCCCGGGTTGATGGCGGCTATCATGTCGTGGTCATTGGCCTTGGGCTAATCGTGCCCCATCCTGTCTCAGCTACAGCCTACTCCAAGAACATTCGACCTCAAAAAACGCACGTATTCAGAGTCAACTTGCGTATTCAAATGAGACGCAGTAGTATGCTCATGAGTCGTAGCCATGGACCCATTATCAGCGCTGTCTTTGGCTGGTAATGTCATTCAGTTCGTCGACTTCGGATGCAAACTACTCTCATCTGGGCGTCAACTTTACCAGTCCAGCTCTGGCCAGCTCAAATGGGACGAGGAGATCGAAGTTATTACGAAAGATCTCCAATGTCTCATTAGCAAATTACAAGAGTCGTTTCCAAGCCTCAATCGAAGTGGCTCTGTGACCAAAGAGCAATTTGAGGAAAGAAAGTCACTCGAATCTATTTGCAAGCGAGCATCTGCCATTGCTGAAGAGATCATACAGAAGCTCGATGGACTGGTTGTTCCAGAGGCTGCGAGACTCGACAAAATGAGGCGCAAAGTGATCAAGACACTACAACAGCTGATTAAAGCCAGTTGGCAGACTAGCGAAATCAAAGACTTAATGTCGAGATTAGAAGAACTGCGGAAAGCTATTAATACCAATATCATATATTTCACGAAGTCAGTCTCCGAATTCAACGATAACACAGACAATCTAACAAAATCTTGAAGGCAGTCTGTCGACGCTCATAGTATTCAAATGTCCAGGCGGTTTGACGAGCTTGACAGTAATACTCAGGGGATCCTCACATCTCTACTAAACAGCCAGCGCGAGACCAATCAGGGAACGGTGACAGCTATTGCCCAGATGATGAGCCGCCTGGAATCGCTGAACTTGGAAGAACACCGTCAAACAGATAATATCCTAGTCGAGAAAAGCAACATACCCATTTTGATTGAGGTAAGAGCAGGCGAACAGATGTTAGCCGTATCTTCGGAGGAGGAGGAAAGACTAAGACACGAGGTTAACCTCGCGATCGTAGAGGCATTACAATATCCAACCATGACCAACCGATATGAGGACATCGGAGAAGCTTTCCCGCAAACCTGAGAGTGGGCATTTGAACACCCGGCGGACAAATCTCTCCCACGAACGAATCTAGCAGGAATGGCTCACGACTGGCGAAGGCATATATTGGGTCAGTGGAAAGCCAGGGTCCGGAAAGTCAACACTAATGAAGCATTTGTTTGACGATGAACGGACGAAGAAATACCTCTTGCATTGGGCTAGGAACAACCCACCGGTGGATTCCCCATTGCACCTTGCTACCTTCTTCTTCTGGAACAGCGGTACGGCGGAGCAGAAATCGCAAGCTGGCATGTTACGTGCCCTTCTACACCAAATATTGGATCAGTCGCCTGGTCTCGTCCCAATCGTCTTCCCTGACATATGGGCAGCCGTGTATTCACGATTCCTGGATAGAGAACGACGCAAGACGAAGTCACTCCCAATGTTAAATACATGGAAATTACAAAATCTCAAACTCGCGCTTAAAACGCTGGCCAAACAGACTCAGATGCCTCTCAAACTGTTGTTCTTGATTGATGGATTGGACGAATTTGACGAAGATCCCGAGGACCTAATTGGGATGGTCCGAGAAACAATAGCGTGTGGTAAAGGCCGCATCAGGTTTTGCTTGTCTAGCAGGCCATGGGTAATTTTCGAAGATAGCTTTGGGCAATTTGCAAATCTGAAGATGTCGAACCTGGGTAAAATGCGTGCAAATACAGCCTTTCAACGACTCGCAGAAGCCGAGCCAGAAACAACAGATCAACTTGTACAGGAAATTGTACATAAAGCTGAGGGTGTGTTCCTCTGGGTTCGTATTGTCGTCAAATCACTATTGAGCGGAATGCGGAATCTAGACGACATGTCAGACTTATGGAGGCGGTTGGAGCTACTGCCAAAGGAGCTGGAGCCGCTGTATGAACATCTGGTGGTAAACATAGAGCCAGTATATCTGGAATGGGTCTCCAAGGTATTCCGAATCGTTCAAACCTCCCGTGGCTTTGATTACACCACCAATTATCTGGAAATCCATCAATCCAGATCGCCAGCTCGTCGCAATCCCCTCACTCTGATCGCACTACACTTGGCAATCGCCGAAAACTTCGATCTGAAAGCAGCACGAGCTGCGAAGCCCGGCCCATTGAGGCTAGATGCCAAACCTTGGCAACACAACTGATAGCACGTTGTGCAGGATTCCTCGAAGTCACGACACATGGCGTACACGACACCGTCGCACCAACCTCTTGCGTGTCATTCTTACACCGAACCGCTCGAGACTTCCTAGAAACAAAAGAGGGTTGGGATTATATTGTTGCACCGACTCTAGGAACGGCGTTCAACCCCGTATACTCTCTAATCAGAGGTTGTAGTCTCTGTGCGGTGCTCGACTGGCACCTTTACGGCGAAGGACACGCGTATCGAGTAACAGCAGATCTGGTAGCCATGGGAGCTTGCGCTCTAGAGCTGGTTTCGCACGCAAATGCTCAAGGAATCGATTTGAATAGTATGTATAAACTGTTTGAGGAGCTAGGCAAGGCGATGGGCTGGGACGAAATCGGACGGCAGAAATTAACGGGACAGCTCATTTCTCAGAGAAATTCCCAACGGGCATTCTCCTTCCTCGAACTTGCGGCGCTGTTTGGCTTATGGCAGTATGTTCTGCCGCGGATAGTGAAGTCTTCACACGACGAACGCAATTCGCTTCTGAATCTACTCTTGAATGTAGCGGAGGAAGTACCTTTACTACCATCTTCCAACGAGGTTATCTCTGCTTTACTACATCTGGGCGCAAAAGCGGACGGTAATATGACTGTTAGGACTCGCCTGATCATGTGTAGGGCTATGGAAGACACTAATTTGGGGAAGAGGAAACTTGAGGAATTCGAGAGCGGATTTTCTGATGATGACCTTGACGAGGAGAGCGAGGAAGATGAGGTCCAGGAAGTTACGAGAGCAGAGTTTATTGCCAAAAGGGTGAGGTACGCGGCGGATTAGAGAACTTTGGCCATTCGGGCTTGTCAAATTGTTCGACTTTGATTTTGTCGATGCACCACTCGATTCTGCGCTGTTTGTGTGCTAGTCCCCGAAAATGGTCATATTATCTTCAAGGATTCAGGATGCTCACTTATTCTAAAACACTACTCGTACGTAGCTCCTCTCCGACTGATGAAAAATGTCACTCTTATATTTTAGATGTAGGGGTAATTTTGGGGGGTATCATTGCATTGCTTATGTTTAGGGTGGACCGCCATTTAAGACTTCTGGTTCGGAGTTATTCTATGAAGGTTTAGATCCGTAGTATATATTTGTTTGTACACAGTTGGTTAGGCTGGAGCGAGTGGACAACGTTTTAGTTGATGTGAGTACTGTAGATGACGGTCCGATTATCCCAAATTGTAATCATTCTTCGGTGTAGCAGGACGTTAATTTTGAAATTATCTGGATGCTATACAAAGATCGGTATTGGCTTCTAATGCTAGTAGTTTGTGTATGGTATCGCAGAGAGACTCAGATTTTTCGAACGCAAGTAACTACTGGTGCTCGGCTGCTGAGGTGATTAGGCGACCTCGGCGACCTTGGGAATCCTTCGGCTGGCATCGTAAGGAAGTACATTGAATGTAACCTGAATGTTAACCCGCTATATTAAAATGATACAAGAGGCGTTATGATTTCTCTCTTGGCACAGTAATAAATATAATAAGTCGAAAGTGACGAAAAAATAAGTCTTCCGATTCCAGGTTATATAAGCTTTAAGCGACGTCGGCGACGTTAGGATCCTCCTACTTTGAATGCGGGGAACTTTCAACTTAATGTAACCTGGGAATTGGTAATTCGATATTGAAATGAGTACGCGGGGTAAGAGGTGCTCCAGCGTTACAAGATTTAGGTATTTCCAGAAGAAGATGGCACCGTTTCACCGTCGGTCAATTTTTTGCGAATGAAAGGTACCAACTCGCGGGTATCGGCCTCGTGTAATAGAGCAGATAATGCTGTTATTCGGGATTTTGATCATGCTATCGTTCTTTTACAACACAGACCTTCAAACTGCTGAGCCATTTAATCGATCATACAAACGTCGTACCTCTCAACCTTCAATTCAACAAGCATATAAACATCCTCCAAATCCCAAACTCGGGCCCAACTATCTTTCCCATTAACCGAAAAAGAAAAGAAAAGAAAACATGCAATTCTCACTCGTCCTACTCTCGGAACTCCTCGTCTATGCCCTCGGCGCCTCCGCCGCTGCACCAATTAATCTATCCAAGCGAGCCGACAACATCCAGTTCCAAGTCTGCGAAAATGTGGGGTATACGGGGAAATGCGTTACTTTCCAGGCTGAGCGAGGGGATTGCGGTTTGTTTCCCAGATCTTAATTATAAAGTTTTTTTTGGGTGACGTGAGACTGATGGTATGGAAAGTGGATATCGATACGTTCAACGATCAGGCTTCTTCGGTAAGGGCGTTTAGCGATACACATTGTTGTATTTATGCGTAAGTGCTCCGTCTAACGGTATGGTTGAAGGAAGATGGCTGATTATGAGGATAGGGATTATGGATGTAATGGCAAGAGATTGTGTGGGGTTAATGTTAAAGGGATTCCGAATTTGATATCGTATAATTTTAACGATATTATGAGTTCGTTTCGATGCAATTAGTAGTTGGGGTTTTGGGATTTTCGGGCATGAAATATTGGCTGTGATTTATTAATAACTCGGTTGAAAATGAAAATTGATGGGAATTAGTGCCATACCTCAAACTAATGCGAGTTGATGGTGATGGGGAATTTTCATTCGTTTGGGATGACTTTCGAGTGCCGAAGTTCAAGGAGGTCAACAAGAAGATCAAGGTACACGATGTAGTCATGCTCCAAAAGTTCGTCCGACTTGCATTTTTTGGTATTATGCTAGAACATATCGATTTCTGACCTATTCAGAGCTCGTGGAATCGTCCGAGCTTCAAAACGAGCCTGGACGTATAAAGAGGTCGATGGTGACTGTGATTCAAAGTCAACTCAACCATCCTTCAACCATCCTTCAATCATCTATTTACTCATATCACCAATTACAATCATGTATGTTTCCAAAGCATTGCTCGTTGCTGGTCTAGCTGCCGTGACTTCGGCTTATCGAATCGATCTCTGGAAAGATTACAATTACCAAAACACTCAACGATCATATGTATGTTGACTGATTCATTTCCCTGTTACATAAGTACCCCGCTTTTGTGAAGTTCTAATTTGTCTTCTGCTGGGACAACGTGTTGTACATCGTGCTCTCACAACTGAGTCGTACTTAATCCAGAGAATTCTTCCGCTTGATCATGTTACGAATCTCTTTAGAATTTGAACTAATCAGCAACTAGACTACCGCGTAAGCATTCTCCGCCCTTTCGCACATTTAATGGGAGGATACAATAGTTGACAATTAACAAAGTGGAACTCACTCCCTCGGCTTCTCCGCCAAATCATGGATCTGGACCAGCGCAGCCGGTGATGGCTGCTGCGTCGTCTTTTGCCGAGGAAGCACAGTATGACCTCCCGAAACTCTCTGTGTCTGTTACTGACATGTAACTAGAATGTTGGGAAATATTGTGGTGGCGCAAGGAAGGCCGAGTCTTCTGCTGGGACCACAAAGGTTGTCATCGGCTGTGGAAGTGCTACGTTGAACTGTTAGGTTGGGAATTGAACACACGGAGGTTTGAAATGCAACTACATGACAAAAGCAGTGTTGGAATCTGTTACGCGGGGGCATCACATACACGAAGATTGGAGATGTAGTTACATAAGAAAAACACGGTCGATAAAATTCACACTCATTTCATTTGAGACTCTTCTGCCAAATTTACAAAGTGAACATGTTTTTCAGCGTACTTTATGGCATTGGAAAATTGTGTTATTAACTTACCAGATGACAAGTGTATGGATGTCTTTCAAAACAATAAATTGAACTAAGAAGTGTTGTTAGAGTGAAACCTTACTCAAAAGCCTTTACCACTGTCAATCTTATTTCATTGTTTGATCAATCATCCTAGAAAGACTATGTATGTGGACGGGGAAATAACACAACAATCATTTTATATTTTAGAGATTTATGCACTTGGGACTTGTGTATTCGAAGGTTGCTTGGTTGAATATTTGGTGTGGTTCAACAATAGCGCTTGAATCCACAGTTGTGAATGAAGACTGTTTGTGTTTCCAGTGCAGGATGTAACTCACAGGCATTATAAATTGTGGCCATCTCATTACCAATGACATCTCGTAGCTTATGAACTCAGAATGATAACATTTATGATTTCGTACGAGGAAGATATCATTGTAAAATCATACGCGAGACTGTCATGATACAAATGTTGCCTAAAATGGGTGAACGAGAATTTCCGCTATAGAAGTGATTAAACTAAATCGAGGTTGCTTGCCAAAATATAGTGCAATCCTAGCATACCAGACTCAACAGAAAAGGAAAAACTCATTTTAAAGTATTTCAAATAGATTCGGAATAAAAAGTGAAGATCTTGCTACGAGTCGGATTCGACCCGACGAAATCAAGTTAGCTATATGGACTTGCCCGTTAGACCACTCCGGCATCGTAACTGTTTATTTCAACATCACTTATGATTGGTGTTCATTGAAGCTGTTGATGTTTATATATTGAATCCCTTGCATAAACTTCGGCTAGAAATGCCGTTTGGTCGCTCGAACCGGTGAATGGTAACAAGCGGCGAGCATCATTATTCGGCACATGTCTGGGAATTACTCTAAACGTAAAGTCTACGAAGAAACTGATCGGTAGTTGATAAAAGGAGTCTAAATAGAATTGAGATCATTTGTCACTCGAGTCCGCAGTCTTTTAATCAATGAGTACGATCTATCAAACGATCAACGGTCATTCATATGGCATATTTTTCCATCTGGACAACAAGTATACTCGCGGTATTTGTGAAGATTGCATAAGGATTACCGGCCGTGCATTATATCGAAAGTCGGGAGATTGGATACAAAGCTGAGTACTATTCGTACTCTTCTCCCGTGTGCTACGCGCCTGCTTTGTGTACTTTTGCGACTTTGCTTGGTGGGGAAAGATACTGGTGTCCTGTTACACCTCTTCAAAAGAAACATCGTGCCCGGAATTTCTCCCTTTGCTAAAGTCACTTAGAGAGTACCAAATCCCTTCGGGTTGTCATGAATTCAAGCCCGGCGCCAAGAATCAGCCAAAGAAACGCGTCGAAGAACTAAAGAAGAATTGGCTAAGGGATCACAAGATTTCATCTTTCTTGTTACGGGAGTTAACATAGCCTGACCTGGGCCTAAATTCCGTAAGTCTCGACAACTCAGACTCCAATCCGTCCATTCGTGGATAATAACTATTTTGATGGTATCAAAGGTACTGGAATTCTTTTCAATTGATCTAAACAACATGTCAATGCGCAAGCAGACATCCTGCATCAAGTAAGTGTAGGTAGAGCTTCGGAGGCCTGACTTTGTTGTGCATAGGTCTCAAACTAACAAAGCACGTCTATCACGAATGAGGTACTCGTATCTAATTGTTCTTGGGTGACAACTCGAGAGATGGGTATCTGATGCTTAGGGATGGCCCCAAAGTCGATAGAACAGAGACTTTTGAGTGTCGGCTCGAAACAGTGTGGCATTTTCGCGGAAATGCAATCACACCCATTGCGAATATTGTGACCCCAGACAGTGGCTGTAGTTTTGGGTGTTTCTGTTGTCGACCAAAAGTCTCTGCAAGATACTATAACCAAAGCATATCAATTTTCTTTCTTTGTACTGCTCCGCTTTCTGCTCCGAGTTGCAGATTACAGACACGCCAACTCCACACAGTAAGCAGTAATTGCTTCAATATGCCTTAAAAAAGACCAACTACGCACACGATTAGTATTGAAACGGACTCTTTGATAGGTGAGCTGATGTTGGGTGATGATTTTCCCAAGTGAAGTTGACGAATCCTTTTCGGATTAGCGTGTGACAAACACGCTAGATCGAGTCATGTGATTTAAGATGCATCATCCTTGTCGCGAAGGCAAGGGCTCTTGCTCTGATTGTTACATATCGACATTTCAAACTCAACTTTATATCTTTCGTTGGTAAACGGACGATAACAAGTATAGATGGGTTGCAATTGACCTCAACTAGAACGCTAGTCAAATATAGGGCGTATGATGATTTCCAATCATCTTGATTCATGTCCGTCCAAATCGGCAAAGACGGATGGATATGCAGCAGTGAGACCTCGCATATCTTCTTCAGCGGTATGTAGATTCGAATCTGCAGCGGAAGACTGGAATGTTACGATCGAGTAACCAGACCTCACATCTACCAAGTACCTGGGTATTGTCTCTTCTAACGAAAACATGTTCAGCTAACCTTACCAAGACCCACTAAGAAAAAGTCCATGGAGTTCAATTCATATCGCGCAGAGAACAAATCATTTGTTAAACTCGCAGGATCTCTGGAATATGCGCGATTTTCAAGATTGGCGTCTTCTCTGGTTGTTGCTTCAAGGCATTCCTGACATGAGGTTTTCCACGTGGACTTCAAACTGCTCAAAGTCAAGTACCTATTTAATTTCAGAGCTCGGAATTCCATGGCTCAGCTTCGAAGTCTCGGGGCATGGTGCATGTACCCTACCTCCCAATCATAGTGCTTCATAGTTATAGATTTTTTTTTTTATGGAGGACACTTTCGAGCGAATAAAAGTGCTGAAATGATGATTTCCGAGTACTCTGCAAGTGCGTTCAACATGAACAACCGTATTCATTCATCGCTAGGTACAGATTATCTGTTTCAAGATCTTACTTCAAAGATCTTACTCAAAGTCTCAGTGACAGATGAGATCCATCGTTGCGATTGGTGCCTCCACACTCCCAATGGAGCGCTTTCTACTTCCGAGAACAGGGATTTTCATGAAACTTTACATAGTCGTAAAAGGAGGTACACATTCTCAGTCTATTCTGAGTAAGTGGCTTGCTCTTGTTTCTCCCCCTTCTTCAATACTCAGACTTAGTTACTTGGTACAAATGCTTGAGTTATCCACATCTATCCTCTCTACAGCAAACGTACACTCATTTACATATATTATATTCTACATTGGTGTTGAACCAGTATCAAACCGCAGTCTCACGGAATTGGCATGATGTTGTCAACTACACTACTCGCCTCCAGAGGTCTACTTCTTTTCGCGGCCGTTACTGGATCCCCGATTTCATCTGGCACAGACCTCGTCAATACACTTGCGCCTCGCACTATTTCTCCTCGTGCTGTTTACTCATACAAAGGGTGCTACACTGAAACCACTGGTCGAACACTGAAATACAGACAATTTATCAGCACTTACAACACTATTGAATTTTGCTCGGTTGCCTGCTCAAACTATTTGTATTTTGGTGTTGAGAATGGGAATTCGGTATGACTACTGTAGCCTCCCAATAGTATAACAGCTAAAAGTCTCACAGTGCTATTGCAGACAATCGATCAGCAAAGTGGCACAGGTTGCTCCCGCTAGTCAATGCAATAAGCCTTGCACAGGAAACCCTTCTCAAATCTGCGGTGGTTCGAGTCGACTAAACATATATGTTTTACGAAGCGGGGATAGTTTTCCGGGGCCACCTGGTTAGCTTTTCATCTCTTTGTCTTTCATATAATATAGCTAACGTGTGGAAAGGTCCACCGGGCGTCGTCAGTCATGTCCAAGAGTGTCTTGTGATACGCTAATGAGATCCCAAAGGCTGGCCCGAAAGGTGATAAAGGCGATAAAGGAGAATCGGGAGTTCCTGGAGTGGTGAGAGTTCTTCCTGAGAACAATATGTGAAGAAGATCACTAACCTAGATTCTATAGCCTGGAGTGCCAGTGAGTTTACTCTCTTCATATCTTATTAGACGTGTCAAAGGTATATCGAGAGGATTTCAATTCTTCATGTCTTACGGAAGTAACGCAATTCTGTTGTCGATTTTGTCGAGACTTGTTTTCACGATCATCCAAATTCTGATAAATACTTACTGACGTACCAATGATTAGGGCGTTGGTTCGAAAGGAGACAAAGGTGACACGGGGACATCGTAGGTGGCAAGCAGGCGTTCGGTTATGCTCACCTTCGTGGCCAATTTGCATGTCCAAGGACAGCTTTTGTCGGCCATACACGCAATGGTCGACGTCCTCGTGACAGAAGATTTGCCATGAAGATGAATGGGAGATTGATCTAACTGCTGACGTGTAAATAGAGGATCGCAGGGTGTTCAAGGCGCGCCGTTAGTACACCAAATTTGAACAAAAGATAGACACAAAAAGCTGACTGATTGTATTTAAAGAGGGGCGATGGGATCTCAAGGTCCCCAGTAAGTAGATCCTAGAGCTGGAAATATTTTAGACATGAACTGACATGTGTCATTTAGGGGGCTGCAGGGATTGTTTTTTCTGTCAGGCTTTTGTCTCAGTAACTCGCTGACCTTTTTACAGGAAACTCTGGTATTATTCGAATCCTCAATGATCCCAGTGTTTTATTATGCTAATTCTAAGCCTAAGGGACACCTGGAAGTGCTGGTTCACGTAAGAAAACCCAGTTTCAACCACAACAAGCGTGAAGGAACCAGATGGCGACACAAGACCTGAAAGGGTTGCCAAATTGGTCGTTGCGCCGAGCTACATTGAACTGAGGAATGCTAACGTGTGACCTAAAGCTGGTACTAATGGTTCACCGTAAGTTCGTCTTTTCCTTTGCAATCAAGAAAGAACTTTGTTTTTGAAAAACTTCAAAGTCTGGATATTGTAATTAAATAATAGTGCTTTTGAATGAGCATGGAGACAATGCTGACTCTTCAATTATGTAGTGGCGTCCAAGGTCCGGTGAGTGAAGAAGAAACTCCCTTCAAGGGCCAATTTTCCACGACTTGCTTCAAACTAAATCTTCAATGCTAACTATCTGCCAATAGGCTGGGCCATCGGGAGAAACAGGTTAGTATACAGTCGATGGTACAAATATACAATGCTGACACAAAAAAGGCCCTCAGGGAGAAAATGGAAGTGTATGGATTTCCTCACGATATTTCGTCCGCTTAAACTGACGTTTGAAGGATGGGAGCGATGGAGTAGATGGCGTAGCCGGCGCCGATGGACTGGTAAATCAGAACCGAATGCTGATTTTGTCATTATTCTAACAGGACATAGGATGGCGCCCCTGGAGAAGACGGGATTGGAATTCAAGGTCCTAGTAAGACTCCGCAGTGGGGAATTGGTTTAAGAAGAATCTTATCGCTAACATATATGCTCAGCTGGTCCGGTAATGAGACACTCACCAATTTTCTTTCCGATGACCCGCTCAAAACGGGCAACTGAAGAAACTATATGCTGACATTCGAACCTCACAGGCTGGTAGCTCTGGGGCAGAGTACGTATTTTTCCTTTGTTCCCTCCTCAAACTCTGGTTCCTAGTGGCCGGGAGCATGTTTGATCTCTAGATATAGCTCTCGGCTCCGGAGCGAACAAGGAAAACGCATGCTAATTTTTTGGATAGTGGAGCGCCAGGTTGGATTTTCGTTCTGTATTACGAAATTTTTGACTAATCCCAATCCTAGGTCCGCCAGGAACCCAGGTGACTTTTACCTTAAACTTCAACTCTGAGACTTGACATTGCTAAATCATAGAAATAGGGCACGAAAGGAGATACAGGTGGATGATCCTCACTCCAACATGGGCTCTAACTCTATCTAACGGGTTTGAATAGGTTCACAGGGTGCTGTAAGTATTCTCCATATAATGGGCTGCCATGGCTGCAATTTGAGAACGCACATGAATGCTAACTGATAACTAGACTGGTCCAGTACGTTGTTCTTCTGGAATCCTCCCCATCCACGCGAGATATCGTTGTTTCTCGGTGCCTGTTACCGTTTGCCAATGGTTTCCACCCTCTCGAATCCATTTATCTTCAACGGTGACCCTATCTTCAACATTTCTTAATGACACAATCATTAGGCTGGAAGTGCTGGCGCCGCTGGCAGCACAGGTACGAGGAACACGCATCGCGGGCCAATGCCGCTGAAATAAAGCTAACCACTGTTGACAAAACTAGGGGCAACAGGGCCCCAGGTAAATACTCGCTCTCATTCTAATCCTCGTCCGAACCCATTACTGACGTTAAAATAGGGTGCAAAAGGAGATACCGGTAGTATAGGCAAGTAGAATGAAGTCTAACTCGTTATTTCGTTCGCTGACACATCCTAGGTCTAGCTGGCGCGGTGAAACACAATATTCCCAGCCCCAGTGCCTTCACTCCTAGTGAAGACAGAAGTACATTCTGCTGACAATATTAGACTGGTGCTCAAGGTCCGCAAGGCGTAAGTCTACAACTCGATGCTTCTCGAACATCTCGAGATCGTGCCTGAGAGTCGTGAACTAACTGGATATCTTCGGCTGGGTAGATTCAAGGGTTGCAAGGAAGTTCTGGTAAGTCTTTCAAGTCTTCAAAGTACTTAAGGAAGCTGACAATGTGTACAGGATTGCCAGGTTGGTGAAATATCTCTTATTCGTTATATCAAGACCGCCTACGGCAGTTGTGCTTATAAAATTCGCGTGCATCATTCTTGCTGAGTCAAGCATGTCGTTGCCCTCATCTATGCCACCCTGAACTTGTGGTCTCTGACGATCAAACGTCTTCTCTCCGCACCATTACCACAGAAACAGTTACAACCATGCATCCTGTCGATGCGAAGGTTCTTTTTCCATCAAGCTAAGTTTGAAAATAGGTGCCACAGGTGAGCTCACTTCGTCCCTGAGAAGGATGATCGAAAGCAGAGAATATGACATCGAGCTTTGTGTCATCTGTAACTAATGGCTGATGACTAAATCATGAAACAGGTGCAACAGGTAAGTCTCCTGTTTGTCTCTGAATATAATCTTCACCCCTTTTGATCATTATATCAATACTAACAGAACGTAGGCGCTACGGGACCCACGTCAGTTCTCACAATTTTCCCTTTCTCCCCGTGGATAGCACAAGTACGGACATATCTCCAGCAGGCATCTATCGACTTCTGAGAACCATCTCATAAGAAGTACATTGGCAGCCACTTTGCTTGTCAACGCAAATCCTCCAAATATATCATCATAGCATCATTTTCCACCCCCACAGTTGCGAGACGATTTTTCAACATGCTAACCTCAATCGCAGTGGTCCACAAGGAGTCGCCGGCCCCGGCTGTTCAGCCAGAGGAGTCGACCTAGGCTTCGAAGCCATTGGCATAACAGGCAGCGCCAACGTCCCATGGGAAGTATCCAACACCGGACTAACAGGCGTAACCTACGATTTCTCCAGCACCGCGACAGCAGCGCGTCAAGGCAATCAAGTCGGTCTCGTCACTTACGGGGTGCTCGCAGCCAGAAGTGCAGGATTCGATCTCCAGCACATCTTTGTGTGTCCTAACACCGTTTACACATTCAGTATCGTAAGTCTAATAATAACTCTCATTACGCCGTGTAGTTGAGATACTAAGTTTGTGCAGTGGACTCACATCCAGGGACTTACGAATACGAAAGCTAACTCCATGAGCTGTACTATCACGTACTCGATGGGAAATAACAATGGGCAATTGGATCTCGTCGCTACTACCAATACGACGAATGGGTTCAACACATTCTATCAACAGACGACTGGGACGTTCAGTTCTGACGCTCGCACTGATGTGGTTTTATACATCTTCGTCAATTGTCCTAATGGTGGTGTCGGTGTTAATCCGAATGGCGCGCAGATTGTGTTTGATGATATCACGTTCACAAACTCTTAGAGTGGAGGAGATTGATTGTGGTAGGGGGGAGGTAATGAGAGGGTACTTTCGTGTATATTTTATCAACTAGCAGCTACGGCTATACTGTCAGGTGGTGTCCTTCTACAATTCTATTCTGATTAAACCCTTATCTTCCCGACGATGACACATTCGAGACGACTGAAGCTCCAGCTTTGGCCCTTTTCTCAATTCTAATGACGCATCCAGTGGCATTTTTGTGATTGCATGTTGAGAATTGAAAAAATTCAATTTTCTTCAACCCACAGCCAACCATCCCAAATCACTCCACTCTCCGTGCAACCTTCTCCCACATCAGAAAACAGCAGCAAAAGCCCAGACCAGTCATGACTGCAAGAAACCAGTTCTGAGTCCGATATCCCTCCGCAAAAATCCGACGCACCAAATATTGCTGCTCGATCGTCAACATGTCTATCGCAGACATGGTTTCAGCTATGGCTTTCTCTTCCGAGGGGGTGATGATGCCTTTAAGCGAGGATGCTAAATGACTGTTGAGAATTGCGGAACTGTATTGTATAGTCAGTGTTTATCATCTCATGAGTGGCTAGGTGAGAAAATGAAAATGTTGTACTTGCCAGATTGCGAGTGCGATGGTTCCACCAAGAACGCGTACTTGGGTTAAGGCTCCCATTGTAACAGCTAGCATGCTTGTTAGTCGCGAAATATATTACGAGGTGTTGTAACGCATACGTCGATCTTTCTCCTCAACAACCAACGGGACAAGCACGAGTAAGGTACTCAATCCCATGCCAAAGCCCAGACCCATCAAGACTTCAAACACGTATTGCATTTTCGGCAACTCTGCTATGTCAATACTAATGCTGCACATTAATGCAACACCGACGACTTGGAAGACAGCCCCGCCTAGTATCAACCACATAGGAGGGACTTTGAGTTTACCTGTGAGAAAGGCTGATAATGCTGTCGCAAGCGGAGACGTCAAGAGCAGTGGGAGGAGGTGGAGTCCGGCCTCTGCGGGTGAAGCACCGTAGACCGCTTGGGATCGTTGTGGAATTGAGACGACGATGACTACAAATGGGAAGCCGATAAGGAAGGCTGATCTATCTTTCTATTAGCAATTGGCCCTGGAAACTAACGCATAGATAATGATACTTACAACATCATCCCAGCCACCACCCTGTTTTTCAGAATACTTAGCGGAAACATGGGTTCCCGCTTGCTATCCGATCGTTCCAACAGAAACTCCCATGTGACGAAAGTAATACCGCTTACTATGGCTAGTACCAGGGTAATTGTTATAGTCAGGCTGCCCCAAGCATATCGATACCCTGCTTCTTCGAGCGCAAAAACAAGGAGGACTGAAGCGGATAAGAGTAAAATAGTACCACCGATATCAATACGTGAGAGTGCTTCTTTGGCGAACTTCAGGCGAAAGTGGTTTCTCGATGTAGTGTTCGCAGGTTTAGAACTTGGTAAGAAGACTGCGAGTAGTACGAATGCGAGGACACCTGCTGGGGCGCTGTTTCGAGTCAGTTTCATGCGGTTTTAATTTTGTTTCGCGGATGTGTGCCACAGTGGAATTTTGCTTCACTTACTTCAACATGAAAACCCATCTCCAACGCCAATTGCCACCCTTCTCATTTATAACACCACCTAGAACAGGACCTAAAACACTTGCTACAAGAAAACAAGCTGCAATGAGGCCCATGTATATATGGAATTTTGACGGAGGAATAAGAGTAGGTGCAATAACCATGATTAGAGCATAGATCCCTGATGCTCCCATGCCTTGAAATCCACGAAAAATGATTCTAAATCGTGAGCCATGGTTCTGAAATACTTGAGTTTTGCTCGAGAATTGTGTAGGTTACGATCGATGAAATGTGAAGAGAGGAAACCTACAACATAGTCATGTTGGTCGAAACTCCACAAAGTACAGAGAAGATAATGAAAATGGCCAGTCCAACGAGCATCATTGTCTTCTTGCCAAAGAAGTCGGAAAATTTGGCGTATATAACCAGGAAGGAAGTGTAAGTAATCAGATAACTAGTGACAACCCCTTTGTAAACATTAGCATCAGATCTCAGATCGTCGAACTCGGACCCAAGTAGTCATTGGGTGGAAGAATGCCATCTCACAATCTCTCATGTCAAATCCTCCAACTGCATTCGTGATGGAAACAAGACTGGTGCTGACGATGGTGGTTTCAAGCGTGCTCAAGAAGAGCGCCAACCAGACGCCTACAGTGAGAAAGTGCAATTTCCATCCTGACATGTATTCGTGTTTGTTTTCTTGCGCATCTTCCGTAACGGCTTGAGTTTCGACATCAGGCTCGGATCGAGTATCGGTTCGGATCGATGCTTCTCGACTTCGATCATCCAAGAATTTCAAGGGAATGACAATTTCGCGTCCTCCACGACCGGATGTCGCGATCGATTCGACATCTTCGTCTTCGAATCTCGTTCGTTTGGTGCTTGTAGACATAAGAGTGTTTTGGGACGAAGATTTCGTAAACATGTTGCACGTAGAGCAGTTGAAAAAGAAAATTGTATGATTTTCGAACTTTACGTCGCCAAAGAAGGCATGAAGAAGTTGAGGAGCCGGAGAACTGAAGAACTGGCCATGGTTTTGTGTTTTGTATGTTTTGGCTCTCCCTCAGCTTTGAAATCTTCACGATCTCGGCAAGATAATCCATCCGAAATCGTAGAGACCTAAACGCAACCAGGGAGGCATAAATAAGCGAGAGCAACCTCCAGTCAAGATACCTTGCTGATAATGTAACTCGATATAGTAACTTTGTATCTCGTACATGGTAGTGCCCAGGTCATTACTTGTTTAGAAACTGACACAGGAATCTTAGTCAATTACTGTAACTTGGTTAGATTGAACAGATATTAGACGAAAAGAATTGGCGGACCCTCACCTTCAATGTCCCTACTCTTGTTTTGGTCTCAAAGTCAAGAGTGTATTTATTGTCAAGCAGATTAAAAGAATGGACGGAAACGTCAAAGGTGAAGAGCCAATGCTTCGATTTGGTTGTCCCATGAACATCACGATCTTTCCAATGTAGAATTTCCGACGCGCAACATGAACCTAGTAAAGCAGACAGAAGTGTATACAGTACTGTACGTGTAAAAAGTTAGCTGTGATCTTCCAATAAATTAGGAATTTGGTGCGATAAAAGCAGCATAGGTGTTATTACTTACAATCAGGAATTGCCAGGATAGTAGAATCAAATTCATTTAACTTCTCAACTCATCGAACACCTACCTAGAGGACATAAAGGGCCATAGGTAGAAATATTTTAATAAGATTTTGGCATTTTCCAACCCCCACCCCAGTAAAACAAAACCTATATACAAAAACCGCACCGAATCCTGACTTGAAAAAACCAAAAACATGACGTCCGCTCCCACCTAGCTCATCATTTGAGATCCCCGACTTAGCCAAGTCAAATCCCCTACCATGCCGACCCCAAAGAAAACACCCAAGTCCTATTTTGTTGGAAAGAACACTTTTTTGGCATACCACCTAAGCAGCGCCCTGGCTTCTGGTCTTCCTAGCCGCCCTCCCAACCGCAGGTTCCTTCTTCTCCTTCTTAGGCGCTGAATTAGGACCCTTTGGCCTTCCTGCCTTTTTCTTCTCCGTGCCATTTTTGGCACCCTCTTCCTTCTTCTCGTTCTTGGTAGTGCCGTTGGCCTCTCCATTCTCGGTTTTTTGTTTCTTCTCGCCTTTGTCTTCATCCTCCTTCTCAGCCTCGGCATCGACTTTCTCATCAGCTTTGCGCTTGTCGCCGGTTTGAGCTTCATCGGAGACTGCTTCTTCGTTCTTGTCGGCGTCTTCGTCCTCTTTCTCGCCTACTGCGTCTTCATCCTTGTCTGTGGCAGGTTCATCTGCTTTTTCAGCAGCCTCCTCCTTCTTGTCTTCAGACTTGGAGTCTTCCTTCTTCTCAGAGTCACCGTTCTGTTGGGCTTTCTCCTCGATGTCTAGTTCGTCCGCAGTCTTAACAACGTCATTTCCGCTGCGCTCAATGTGAACTGCGGGATTGGATTCATCGCCAGTCTTGCTGATTTGGTTGCCGCGGTGAGATGTGACTGTCACCTCGCCGGCTTTGACTTCGCCTACGGTACCGGATGGATGATTACCATTCCAGTTCCAGGAGACTAGACAATCTTTTAGTATTATACTTCGAAGTGTTGATGCGATTTGAATGCGCCGGGGGATGTTCGGGGTCAACAGCTGCACTGAGGAGAAGATATAGCTGAGGTTACAACAAGCTATAAATGATGCCATACATAAACCGCAGCTGTTGGTAAGGCATTGACCTGCCGTAACATGTATGAAAAACCAAAGAAAAGGTATTCCTACCTTTGTCACCTTCTTGTACCTGATCAGACATCTCGATGACGTATGAAGCTGAGCTTCGGTTCTTCCCGTACCAAAAGTGTTAAATGTGATTTTAGAAGATAGATAAAGGTCTTGAGATGCAAGCGGTTAATCTAGATACGTTGCGCCGACACAATTATGATGTTGCGACAAGAAAGCAGATTTGGAAGTGAAAGAGGAGACGGGACGTCGTTGGGGTTGGCAGGTGGGAAAATGACGCTTGTGGAGCTGGCTGGATGTGCCTGTCCCGACCTTTACTCGAGCATGCAAAGTGGAATCAGATGCTGCTTCTTGTTGGTCCCAGCAGCTGAGGTAATAGATTCGCCTTCGAAGATCTACGGAGTACGGGATATTCCCGATTTACCAGGGAAGCCATGTATTAGGTGCAATTGACCTATGGGAAGGCTGCGTCAGGCCAAGAGAAACAATGTGGAGAAGTGGGGAAATAGCCTTGATCCGTGGAATGCCACAAGAGTCGTACCGGTCCGACGTAGCATATATCCAGTTACTGTTAGACCAGGAAACAAGAGAGATGCGAAGAGCGGTATATGTTACATCGGACACGAGAAGTGTAGTGATTCTTCGTAATTGATTGCCATCCGCTTTCAACAAATTTAATCCACGCATTCATGCTGTATTCCAACTCCATCCTCCAAGTGCCAAAAACGCCGATTCAATGCAGATACATCTAGCACCAGCTAAGCAATCTTCATATCCAAAGCCCCCAATAAATCAAGAGAGGAAATCTCGCTAGTAGCATCGGCGCGTTTCTGGGTCAATTTCTTGCTTACACCTAACGCTGAGGGAAAGTTGCTGCTTAGATATTCCATCACCCAGTCTGCTTCATCAATACGATCATGCGTTAGCAAGAAGTTCGTCAGATCGAGCCCGAGGTTGATGATAATGAAGCGCTCTTTCTTAAGTTGTTCATCCGTCATATTGCCACGTATTTCTGATGATGGCTGCCATGTCGAGAGTATATCCATCGCAGGTTGTGCAGTAGGCTTTGTTGGATGAAGAAGATGCAAGTGAGCCTTAAAGATAAAATATTTTTGGTCGTTAGGCTTATTTGGCAGTGAACTATACAGAATATCATAAGACTCTTCTGTAGCCGGACTCATTCTAGAGTGATATTTCAGGTAATTCCAGATAATGGAGTCTCGTGCAGAGTAGATGATGTGGTCCTGCAGTGGGCGCGGGAAACTAAGAGATCTCAATAAAGAGGAAGCCTTTCTTAGTAAAGTACATGCCTCCGTTATGCCCATTTCGAGACGAACTTGTGCGCGAATCAAGAACTGTAGGGGAATTCGAAGTCGATTCTCTGGGATACTAGGTGTAGGCTGGGATGAAGATATGGTAAGACTCTTGGCCACCCACGCCCAAGCCATATCTCCTAGACCTTCTGCGACAAGGAAGCGCATCAGAATACGAGTGAATCTGTCGTTTTCGAGAAATTCGAGCCCGTTCGAGAGACCACTCGACCGTAGCCACTGCAACACCTTTAAGCCCGCTCCAGAATTTTTCAAATCGGTTTTCAAACATTCTATCGATGAAGAAGTCTTCACCGCCTCTACGGATTCCAAGTATCGCGTTGCCAGCTCAATGTTCATCCCTCCTGCAGCTACCGTCTGGTTGAATATCTCATGACGATTGCCTGTAAATTTCCCTGGGACAACCGCGTGGGTGAAAAGTGGATTGGATAGCATAGCATGGAAATGTCGATCTGCAGGATGCTGACGCGACCCTGGTTTTAAAATAGATGGTGCTGGGCGAGAAGGGTTCGTCAAGCTGTCTTCTGCTGTTGATGCCTCCGACGGGCCATGTTCTTCATCAAGATGTTTCCGAAACGACGTCTTCAATAATCCGAGAAGTTTATGGGCGTCGCGACTAGAGAGTGGAAGAGGCTTGTGAATGCCTAGCTTGGATAGCTTAGATGCGAGTGTAGGAGTTGGGCGAAGCATTTCGAGTATGATGTTGGGCCAACGGCCCTCGGGGAGATTGCTCGGAGAAGTGAGGAGGCGGATATCGCAATGGAGGTGTTAATTGCTGGTCACCAGATGATATCGTTACTTAACAAGTGTGCGAAGATTCCAGGTGACTATGATGATGTCAGATACCCGTTTCTTTGGGAAATTCAAAGGTTGGGAGCGGCGTGTGGTCGTTTTTCTATCACAATTGCATGAGGTGAAGTCACATCGTGATGGTCAAGATTCATGAGCGGGTTCATGATCACGTGTAAACATTCTAATACATGTGGGGAACTTTCCCAGGTTGCATGCAGCCCTGCGCGAAAATGCATCTTCTACGGGAATCGTTTGCATACTGTGAAATGGACGTATTACTTATAGAGCCAAACTCAAGGTGGCAGCGCTCGAATCTAGTTTCTCGAACAATCATGATATTATATAATATCTACATTAGATTTTTTTTATCAGTATACCAACGCTACAACTTAGGTACGTCAGGGTCTGATGAAGCAGAGCTCTAGTACTGATGAAGCTTGGTGAAGAGCAGCGCGACGCGAAGATACAAGTCGCTAGATCCTAGAAGCGGCACCCAAGTTGCATATGGAAACGTGATGCGTTGTTCTGAGTCTGCAATACTCTTTTGTGCTAGCATGTTCAAGTACCATAGCTAAAGTGCTTTGCAAAGTCGTTGGTAGTTGGTAATGAGGCTCAATAACTTTCTTTCAAATGGTAGTGAATGAAAGAGGCAGTCAGGGTCAAGATATTCATACATCAATCGTACCACTTTGAACGCTAATACAACTCATGGATAATTCTGGCACACAAATTTGTAGTTACAAATTAGAGAGAATGTACAAGACCAGATCAGCTTTTTTTGAGAGAAAAACGAAGGTCAGTGCCTAATACTGATCTTGCCATCGATACCCTCGACCTCGAATGGTAACTGTGGTGGTATCACGTGACTCTTCGCGCCGCTTTATCAGACCGATTGCTCCCGTCTCCGCCAAAAAACTGCGCTAATCGTCAGACGCCCTGAGTGCTGTAAGCGCAGATTATCCTTCGCAAACTCCAAACCCAAACCACCTCACATTTTCCTAATCCATTATTCTGTCCACGCATCCATTTCTCCTTCTGCCTGCTTTTTCTTCCCAATCACATCGCCCTACAGCACAATGTCTGAGGTGCAATCTCGTCCTACCGCAACGCGCGGTAGAGGCTCAGCTCGCGGCGGTCGAGGAGGGTTCTCATCGAGAGGAGGTCGTGGTGGTGGTAGAGGTCACGCAACCAACGGAGATCATGCCACACCAGCCATTGAAGATGAGGGCGAGGTCGGCCAACTAAAGAGACAGTATGGCAGCAAGGTCACAACCATCAAGGAGATGTTCCCAGATTGGACAGACGAAGATGTAGTATTTGCTCTGCAAGAGACAGACGGCGACCTTGAGACCACTGTTGGTCGCATCACGGACGGTATGATTCATACGAGATTTCCTTCCAACTTTCCCATCTGGTCCCTGCCAATGTCAGAGAAGCTGTACTGACATTATTGTAGGCACAATCGCACAATGGGGAGAGGTCTCGAAGGGTAAGAAAGATCGATCTAGATCAAAGGCCAAGGACATCTCAGCAACACCGTTTAGCGATTCTACAAATCAATCTAGACCATCCCGTGGTGGTCGAGCTGGTTTCGACAGCGGTAGAGGAGGCCGCGGTCGAGGCACGGATCGAGGCAGAGGGGGGAAAGCCCGTGGAGCTTCGGTCGCACACACAAATGGATCACGCAAGGAGAACGAGCCAACATCTGCCGCTCCAGATACCACCGCATTGGATACTGAGAAGACCGCTGAAGAGACTTCGAAGCCAACCGAATCTACCACAAATGCCACCGAGGAGCCATCGTGGGCCTCATCGGTCCCAGAGCCCGTTGCTGCTGCTGCTAGCGCAGCTTCTAGTGTAATTCCTGCTGGCATCAAGAAGAGTTGGGCTAGCATGTTTGCAGCCCCAGCACCTACTCCTAAAAAGGCTCCTGAGAACATTGAGAGGTACGATTTGCTTCTGTCCAAACCCCGACCCTTTACTAACCTTTGTCCAGACCTGCAGAGTCCGTCAAACAAGAGAAACCAGCAGAGCTCCCAGTGGAAGAGCCAGAAGCCCCAGCTCCATCCGAGCCTAGCCCTCCTATCGAACCCGTCTCAGAACCTACCCCTGCTCCAGCTGTCACTGAGGAGGCCGAAGCCTCTATCACGCCTTCTCATGACGAACTCACAGAAGATAACCTCGAACAGGTTCTCGATACATCAGCCCCCGCCCCACCGCCACCGCCGCAAGTACCACTGCAAGTTCTTGGGATCCTCGAGCCAATGCTACTTCTACACCAATCTCTGCATCACAACAAACACATGCCCAGCCAATTCGACCTCCACCAAGTAGTGGGTTCCAAGCCTCTGCTCTGAAGGCTACTGGTTCTGGAAGAACCGCAAGTTACCAACGCCGTGTTCTTGACCAGGAGGAAGCTGTGCGTATGCCTGGAAATAGAGAGGTCGACAGAGCCGCGGTTCAATTTGGCGCCTTCAATCTTAACGGATCTGGGGACGAGGATGTTGATGGAGACCGTGAAGAGCCTGAGACCCGCGGCCAGCCACCACAGCACTCCCCTGTTGCTCCGCGAGCTTCATTACCACCTGCGACCGCAACCCCTCAACCAGCTGCGATTCCAGAACCCGCCCCAAAGCAACCCTCAGCTGGACTTCCCGCAGCTCCTCCAACGGGTAAGTATTCGCCAATCGAGCATGCGCAGCCGACATCTAACACCATCAAAGCCGCACCTGGACTTCCAAGCCCACCTTCATTGCCAAGTGCTCAAAGTATGTTAAAAAGTTACATGTGAAAATAGGATACTAACGTTCTGTACAGGCGCGTCCCAGCAAGCCCCTCCAGCAAATGCTCAATACTCCCAGTATGGTCGATTTGGACAGACTGGAGCACCAGATCAGCCAGCTGCCCAAAAGTCATATGATGCTTTCAGTCAACAAGCACCATCCACACAGAGTCCGTTTGAAGGGTACCCCAACCAAACCTCCCAATCCCAACCACAACAAAACCAATCCGGTGCCTTTTCCTCCGCCCCCAACGAATACTCGCAGTATTATACCGCAGATTCTCAACGAAATGCTTATAATGGCTTCTATAATCAGCAACAGCAATACGGTCAGGGTCAGGAGGGACCTGGCTCTCAGCATCGATCATATAGCGGGTTCAATGGACCTCAATCCGAGAGTTCATCGCAGTTCCCACAAAGCGCCGCACAAGCAAGCCAGTCACGATATGCCACTGCTGGCGAGGGTCAGAACAGTGGACATACTACGCCAAACCCAACCAGTCAGCAACCCGGTGCCAATCCAGGAGCACAACCCCAGCAAGGTCACCCTCAACAACCTCAGGGTGGAAATTACCCATACGGCCATCCTTACTACTCCAGTCCGTATTATGCTGCGTACATGAACCAATACCAGAATTATGGCGGCGGAAACTACCCTGGAGGACCTTATGGCGGTAAAGGTGGACTCCATCAACAACCATACCAAGGTTACGGAATGAGCCCAGGTGCACCATACGAACAGCACGCATCGTCTCCAGCCGCTGGTGGATTTGGTGGTTCGTCTTTACACGGACGGGACAGTGCTATAGGTGGTGGACTGGGTGAGTATGGTCGTGGGTCCACTCAGTCTTCTCAGACTCCTCAAGGACTCGGGGCTAGTGGTGCATTCGGAGGTGCAGCGCACGATGCTTTCTCCCGAGGATCCCCGTACCAAGGCCAAGGTCAACAGCATTATAGTGGCAACCAAGGTAGCCAGCCAAGTGCAGGTGATGATTTGAAACCTTTTGGTGATTCCAAAACTGCCAACGGACCAAGCCCGTCACTCTCTCAAGCTGGACGTCCAGGATCTGCAACCAACGCAGCACCAGGGTCTGCACTACCACCATCGCAGTCTCAAGGAGGATATGGAGGCTACCCAAGCCATCACCAACAGGGGGTGCATGGTAGTCAAGCCGGAAGTCAGTACTCTGGCTTAGCAGGGGCAGGAGGCCACCAAGCTGGAGGTCAAGGTCACCAAAACAGCCAGTACGGCGGATATCAAGCTTTTGGCGGCAATTATTATGGTAACAACCAGCAACGCGGTGGCTGGGGCGGCAACTACGGACACTAATCGGCCACACGAAGTAGCTACACGTCCTTGGTAGTTTGTCGTCCCTGGGAGGATAATATTCAAACCAGAACTGTGTTACTACATTCAATCCAACTCTTCTTCTTTCTTCTCCTTGGCTCATGTACAATCCAGGCAAAGAAGGAAATCGTTGGAGGTCGCATTACTGGTTTTATGGTGGCTCGATTGTAACAACGTTCATCAATGCGTTGGCAGGCGAGCCAACGGCTGCTTAGTCTGTAATTGTTTCCTGATGCTACTTGTTTTTTTTTGTTTCGCTTGACCTCCTTGGGTTAGGGGGTCCCGATGCATGTTTTCAAATAGGTTTTTCCTTTATTTCCGCCACACCGTCTTGCGACCAAACACGAATCACCATACGAATTCGTCGCCAAGAGGACCTACAAATTGGAAGGGGCGATATCTTTTGTTCATCATGCTACTTTGGACTTTTCTCATTTCTGGTAGAAATTGGAGAGAACGGACGCATGTGGAAATTGGGCAAAATATCTCAAAAGATTCATAATTTGATATCTGGTGCAGGAAGGACTCTACTCTACTACAAAAAGGGCTGTCTAATGGGCATAGTTGGGCGGTCGTAAATCTGTACGAAAGGAGAAGATTTGATAGTTAGGAGGCAATACGAATGACTTCTGATACATTTTTCACATGGTTTTGACCGGGTCATGCTCGTTAACACGGTCATGTGATTTCACAATGTATCCGATATTGTTGTCGGACTTCCCCTCCCCCTTTCTACTCCGATAAATTGAGTTGAAATGTAACATTAACAAGAGCAAATGAACCCTACGAGATTTTCGCAAAAGCTCTTCTCCTCCTTCCCTCGAAAATCAACGTTTATGACAAAGACATCGCACTCACAGTATTCCCAGCCACCAATTTCCAGTTCCTTCATACTTCTCTGAAGATTACCTAGCAAGTAGCAACATCCACCAAAGTACCGTGATCATCTTTTCACAGGCGTCAACTTGACAAGCAACTCAGGTTTATCATAAACCAACCAAACCTTCTGTTTCTCCGCCCACCCCTCCATCCCCTCCCCAAGCTCAACATTGAAATTCCACACAAACCGCGCAAGAATAAGTCGCATCTCGGCATACGCCAGCGATTTCCCCAGACATCCTCTCGGCCCAACACTAAACGGCTGCATCGCCTTCCTCTTATCGCCCTCGAACTCTGCATCCCCGAGCCAGCGCTGCGGCAGGAACTCGTACGGTCGAGCGAAGTTCAGGGTCGAGTGGTTCGCCGACCATTGGTTCACGGCTACGACGGTGTTGCCGGGGATGTAGGAGCCTGCGATGGAACAGCCTGAGGGAGGTGTGACGCGGTTGAATGATGCGGGGGCTGGGGGGTAGATGCGGAGGGTTTCCGAGAGGACGGCGAGCATGTACGGGAGGTGGTTTACGGATACCATGTCGATTTCTGATTCCGAGGTGAAGGTGCTGCGGATCTCGGCGGCGAGGGCATGGAAGATGGGGGGGGTTGGCGGCGAGGAAGTATATGCAGCCGCTTAGGAGGGTGGCTGTGGTTTCGGCGCCAGCGAAGATTAGGGTTCCTGTTGTTGCGTGGAGTTCTTCGATGCTGACGCCGTTGGGTTGGTTGAGTTGTTTCATGGTGAGTGTGAGGCTGGGGGGTGTTAATTGCGGGATTGGGAGGGGGGATTGGAACTTACAAGTCTTGTCGAGAGGATTTGGATTCCATTCTTGTTTTCAGTCTGTTGGCTGTCACACCTAAGTGATCTTCAAGCTTTTGCTGGACAGACTTTGGAGTCATTGCGAAGAGGATCTTGTGAAGGCCATATCCTTTCAAGATGCCCATGAACAAGATTGACTTTAAAGCAGTCAAGATGGTCACTACGAAGAACTGCAATGCGTTAGTAAATTTGAGTACCCAATTAGAAGGATTCATACGTGAAGTTTGGAAGTCTCTAGACAATCGAATGATTCGCCAAAAGTTAGATCCCCGACTATGTCGAAAGTGGTAGAATTGAACCACATCACAGCATTGACTGGCTTATGGCAGTTCTCACGAAAACGCTGCATGAGGAGATCGACGTATTTTTTGACAATGGGTTCTTGATCCCTAACTGCCTTGTCTGAGAATCCAGGATTCAAATTTCGTCTGTTAATTCATAATCAGCAAAAATACTTTCCAAAACCGTGACAAACCCACCGAATTCTAGCATGTTCATTATCATCCGGCTCCATAAGCAATCCCGGCGCACTATCACCAAGCGGAACGAATTGCGCATCATCTTTAATCAGTTGCGTGTTCCTCGGTGCAGGTCTCCCATAGATATCGGTCCACGCATCTTCGAGTATATACGTCAAGGTATTTGGCGCCAAACGCACGACTGGTCCGTATTTTTCATGTAATTCTGCTGTTCTGTAGGTGAGTGTGCCTTTGAAGAGGTGGTATTCCTTGGGTAGGTGGCTGATCTTCCAGAGGAGGGGCGCGGGATACTTGGATAAGGGGTGGAGGGTGAGTCTGTAGATGGAGAGGAGGATGATGTATGTTATGCTCTGAGAGGATGTAAGTATGAAGGTGTTGAAATAAGCTGTTACTGGGGTTTTTATGCTTATCTCTGGTGTGAATATGCGGTGAGAGTGGAGATGGAGGATGTGATACTTACAGCGATTAGACCTCCAACAGCGACGGCCACAGGCGTCAGAGACTCATGAATGAACACCATCTTGATACAAAGATGAATTTCGAGGGATGAGTCTTTGAGCAGACGATAGACTTGCGAAGTTTAGAACCAAGATGCGAAGTTTAGTGTTCAGGTCACACGAAATGCTCCTCTTCTAACCGGATAAATACCCCGCGTCTTATGTCTCACAAAGTCATTCTTATGTAGTCACTTCGACTCATTCGGTGTAAGTACTCTCAATTTTGTCGAAAAATCTTGGAAAATGGTGCATAATACAGTTCATACTGCACACAGGTCTTCGAATTTGTTGGTCTCGAAACGTCATGTCCATTTGTTGAGGAAGGAACGTCGGAGATTGTGCAAGATCCAACATGTGATTCTGATGTTGTAAGTTGGTGATATTTATCTAGTATTATTCATCTGATGTGAAATGATATCTAAGCCTGAGACATAGTACTCTGGACCGCATAATTCCACTTGTCAAGTTTGAAATGGTGTTCGTTGGTCCCGTAAGCTCTACGGGGTAATAATTTGATAAATGGGATCTTAACGGCCTATGATCTCATTCCAACAGTGATTTAAGATAGTATATACTGAGCTAAGAGGCGAAGAGGGGAACATATGAATCAGCGATTTTCTGGTAGGTATAGGTGATTGATCCTCGGTTGCCACATTTTTGTACCCTGTCGAGTAATGATTCTATGCAACTTATTTTCCGTCGACAACAAAGACTTCTCTACAGACTCACCAGCTTCAGGATTCCAATGAAACATCCAGAAACCTCGTCTTTGTCTTACTAAAGATTTTATGAGTTCATAGAATAATTCGACTTATTCACAACACCCCCCAAGACAGCCATAAAAGAAGGAACATACTCCCAAGTCATTCTATCAAACCAAAGACCCTGCGATCCAGAGCTCAGAAACCTTTTTAGACGGAACGATAGATCTCACACTCACCAAAATGAAATCCTCATCTGTCTTTGCTCTTGCCGCCTCTGCCGCTCTCTTGCTCAGTCAAGGAACAACGTCCGAATCAACTTCCTCAGCACCAGCAACAACACCTACGACACCACACTTTCTAAATGCCGACTCGCTCATTGGTCTTGAGGACTCCATTGAGAGTAAAGCAGCTTATGCAACATTAGCAGCAATCGCGATACCACATCTTCCGCGCACTGATCTGAATATTGAGCTTGACGACTCCGACCACGTTGAGTTCAACCAGACTGAACGTAAAGGAGGCGGGGGCGGTGGTCATGGAGGGGGAGGTGGTCACTCAGGTGGAGGCCATGGTGGAAGTAGCTCAGGGGGTACGGTCGTTGCTGGTGCTGGCGGGAATGGAGTTAAGAAGAGTGATGGTTCATCTTTGAGCAGTAGCACCGGACTATTGGTTGGTACAGGGGGCGTGGTGGTAGCGGGTTTGTTGATGCATTAAGGTAGAATACTGCAATGCCTTGGGATTAGAGGTACTGAAAGAATGAAAGTTAAGTGAACAAATATGCCTGATAGTTTCTCTTATTGTTATGTTATTTGTACTTTGAAGGAGTTGTGTGGTATAAGGGGCCTGAACCTAAAATGGTAATCATTCGTCCATAAGCGTGGTCGAGGGCTCGCGAACATTATATTTCCATTTGATGTGAAATTAACATACTGCGCGTTTTTCAGATGAATAGCACTGCACAAGTAGCATTATGACAAGAATAATCAACAAGTGCTCCTTTGATATACGTCTTCGACCACTGGGTAACGGACATGGAGTGGGTAACATCAAGTCTTTCTAGGAATTCATGAGCTTTATGTCTTCCGTGACACACAGAGCCCGCGTCTTTGTTTCTCATATGAATTTGGATTACTCACAATAATTCAGTGCTATTCACAATAGCTCTCCAAACAACTATAAAAGGTAGGGAAAGGTAGAAACTTCCCGTGAAGCTTCTCAACTAAAATAGTTCAAAACTGAAAATCGTACAAAGACCAAAAGTGATACACAAAAACAAAAAATGAAGATTCTATACCTTATTACCCTTATCGCTCCCTTTCTCTCTCAACAAGCGCACTCCGAATCAACCTCATGTTCCACAACATCACCCTCAGCACACACAACACCACACTACTTATTCGCCAAATCAGTCCTCGGCACGGAAATCCCCATCGGAGCCCAACCCTCGGGCAGAACTTCAACTTCAACCTCAACAAGAACCGTAACGATCCAGCCTACAGCCTCCGAACTAGTCTCCGATTTCGAAAAGGTCATTGAAGGAAAACCCTCAACATCACCATCAGCACACGCGACGCCATACCTTCTAAAAGCCAGATCACCCCTGGAAAGCGAAGTCCCCTTGGAGGCTGACCCCTCCGGTACAACTTCATCCTCATCAACCACCGCGACACTGGAGTCCTCAACCGGTGACTCACCCTCCAATATCGATAGCCTCAATGAAGGAGAGCCGTCTATCTCAAATTCGTCATCACCAACAACAACGATGCATCTTCCAGTGTCTACTTCGAGCGTCGTGCTCGGTGATTCTGATAGTGCGAATTTGAATGGGACTGAATACCCGGCTATGGCAGCGAGTGCGAGTGCTCTTGCGGCTTCAAGTTCATATAACACCAGTTATATGACGTCTGGAGGATCCTCATTAAACAGAACCGTAGGGCTTTTGGCTGTTGGGACTGGAGCGTTGATGGTTGCTGGGTTAATGTTGGGTTAGGATGAGATACTGCATTTGTGAGAGTATACTGTAAATTTGGTTGAGGGTAGAGGTGCTGGGCATAAACTGGGGAAGATATGTATGAAGGTTACTATTCACTGTTTTTCTGGAATACCTAGATGCTATAGGAGTGAATACCGGCTAGCGTTCCCCGTGGTATGGATCATATAAATTATTCCTCGTCTCTAGAGAACGAGCATTATTGAAGAATGTTACTGTCGAGAAGTTAGATGATAGAAAAATATACAGATATCTTGCGCAGCTCATACAAAATAACTTTTGGGTGCACTTACTGTCTCTATTTTATTTCTAGATCAATCCCGCCGCACGTTTGATGTCCCGTCTGCAGACAGGAAAATGTAAGTTGAGCAAGTTGGTTTCAATCAACCTTGGCAGTCGCAACACGTAATTCGGTATATCACCAACCGTGGGTATGTCTGATTTAACCACCCCATAGAACGTTCTCATCTCTTGTTCTCCACCCCTCACATAATCCTGACCTGAGCACAAAGTATCCTCTACCACAGGTACCCCCGACACTTCCTAGATCTACATAGACATTTCGTCATCTCTTTCTTCTGATTCGGATTCTTCTTTTCCTCTTCTAGTTTCTCGTCTTCACCATCAACATAATCGAAAGTCAGCTCGGTATCAGCCGGGATATCTCTGACAGCAAAGAAGGCCAGATCGTGGAATCGCTTTGTGGCGTGATCTCCAACTCGGGCGAAGATGCGAAGATTTGGATCACAAGAGTGATTGATAAAACGACTTGGTCCGGATGCGTACTCTCCATCAACGAAGACCGTTTCGGCTAAGGTGGGATCGCGGTCTGCATCATCCTTGAACTTGTCAAGCTCGAAGAGGTAGACGTCCTTCTTGGCAGCGATATCTGATCTTTGGCGTCGTCTCTCGGTCTCCTCGGCGGTAATTAGTTCTCCTACATATCTGTCGACGAACTGCCCCTTTCTTATGTCTTGTGGCGAGCGAACACCTGCTCATATTTAGCAAGGGAGGATTTTTAGGATAGATGAATTCAACCCACCCCATCCGCGTCCATCATCAGTACGGAAGATTTGTAACGGAACAGTTCTCCCATGCTCCACTACTCTATTAGGACATGCGGTGTCACAACTACAAGCTTGGTGACACTCGTAAATCGGATCGCGAGTGTTTAGATACTGGTGGCTCATGAAGTTCTCCCCATCAATGGTCTCGTAAACGTGAGCATCAGGGTTAATCATATCTTGTAGACAATTGCATTTCGATGTCTTGCAATTGCTGTTTCTCTTACACTCGCAGCCGCTAAAGAATTCAGGATCAGGGAGCTTGATCCCTTTCCCAGGCTGGCAATTTTGTATGAAGACGAAATCCTTTTGGAGAGACTCATTATCGACTTTATTTATGATTGAGATATAGGCCGTTGAATGTGTTGTGAATTGTGCGATTTGACACCAGTGGCAAGCTGGGATGTCCTGTATGAAAATGGAATTAGAAATTTGCTGGATATCTTGAAAATGAACACAGACACTCCTATAGTTTAATGAAATAGAACCATGTGATGGGGAACGAATTTAGGATATCTCAAGGACGCCGATTTCCCATGACTCTGGAGTAGCGAGAATCTCCTTCAGGGACCAAAGATGAGATCTGATCCAATAGTCAGATATCTTACATTTCAAGGCCAATACTATTTTCCGGTATCGACGTGAAGTAGTATAGAAACATGAATGAGTGTTTATCTGGGAATAAATCTCAAGCCGCTGCGACACTAAATGAAAATCTTTGAGACTTGTTCGATACGCGTCACGCGTCGTGAATGGAAACTGAACACAATCTTCTTGGAAAAGCAAATAAAAGCTCAAAACAACTTACGGGATTGTTTGGGTCTTCGTGGGTCTCAAAATGAGCTCGAAACGTTTCTCTATAAGTTCCCATTTTGCCGCCAAATCTGAAGCATTGAACTTTAACATGGACATGAGATGCCAACCGATATACAAACGGTTCGGGTGGGCCACGGTTAAACTCTCGAGGTACCTTTCGTGCTCCACTAGTAGCCTTGCATAATTCCAACCCGCATCTGCAAGATCCACATCCAGCCTCGTGCACAGACCCCATCAAAATAAATTATTTCTCCTCCAAATCCCAGGCTTATCGCAAAGAACCCCTCCAAACAGCTCAAATCTCCATTTCCAACCGCAAAAATGGACGATCCCTCAATTCAAGAGACACCCTTCGTAAAACAACTAGCCGCAAATGGTACACTCCCTCCTCCCCCCTGATAACCACATCTAACGTCGCCCAGACCGACCAACCCGCGACGCAGCCCTCGACTCCCTCCGCACCTACCTCTCGGGCCGCCGCACCCTCACACCCCTCGACCTCTTAAAACTGCACAAAGGTCTCTTCTACTCCCTCTGGCTCTGCGACCGACCCATCCCGCAACAAAACCTCGCGACAGCCCTCGCAAACCTCCTCCCCATCCTCCCAACCGAGACGTTCATCCCGTTCTTACGCGCGTTCTGGGCGACGATGAGCCGGGAATGGAATAACATCGACGTGTTACGGATGGAGAAATTCCTGTTGGTGGTGCGACGGTACGTGGGGTCTACGTTTAACGTGTTGAAGGACGGAGGGTGGGAGGCGGGACGGGTGGAGGAGGTGTTGGGGATGATGGGGGAGACGGCGTTGAGTGTGGAGGATATGAAGGTTCCTATGGGTTTAAGGTTTCATGTGATTGATATTTGGGTGGATGAGTTGGAGAAGGTGGGGGCGTTGGAGGATACTGAGGAGGATAGGAAGGTGCAGGATATGATTATGGCGCCGATTTTGGCGTTGAGGGAGAGGAGTCCGACGAAGACGGTTAGGATGAAGGCTAGGGAGGCGTTGAATGATGAGAGGATACCTGGGAATGAACGGCCGGTGGTGGAGGAGGAAGCTGCGGATGGAGAATGGGCTGGTTTCAAGGACTAGAAGGAGCGGGACATCAAAAGTGTTTTAGGATCGGGATAGACATTACATGAGCAAGGCGTTTGGGGTGTGGTAAATACCATGTGATATTGCGCAAATATACAGGCAGATTAAACTGATTCATCTGAAATCGCTTCAACGATTATATGTGCCACCTTGAGGGGTATCTTTTGGCAACCAAGAACTTGCGAACTTACATCTCGCCTTACAATCTAAACACCAAATAAGAACGCCCCCATGCCCCTGCTTTTAACCCAAGAGATAAGAAAATTAGATATACTTCCATAGCCCTTTACAACGGCCCTGGCGATTCGTACATGTGTCCAGATTTCGATAGTACGGTCCCAAGACCCTTATGTACTTCTGCTTGAAATGGTTGGAAAGGAACTCGCTCGCCGTCTATGCTGATGTAACCGTCTTTCTGATCTTTGGGTATAATGCGATATCCTAGAACTTTGCGATATGATACATCCGGATTGTCGAAAAGCTTATTTGAATGTACATCTACGCTGAGCATCATCTTAACAGCAGATATACGACTAATATCGCCGTTGATGCAGATGAGATCCATGTACCCATCATTGGGCAACGCAGTCGAAAAGAAATTGGCGTCAGCTGCCATGAATGCCATCTAAGAGGAGATCAGTATGAGGAGGGAGATTGGACTCGTAGTTCTCACATTGCCACAGTAGAAATTGCCCATCTTGTCATGCGGAATCAGCTCCCAGCCTTCTGGCAATTTGTCATTAACTGTTCCGTATCTCAGCGGTGGGAGGGCATCGTCATAACCACTACTCGCGGAAGCGTCATCGTCGAGAAGGTGTCTATAACCTCTTCTTTCGCTGGCTGGCTCGAAATTGGTCTTCTCTCTCTTGTAATGCGCCTTGATTGAAGGTTTATCCTCAATCGCAACCTTCACCGCAATATCACAAGGATATACCGTTTTGCCGAACAGTCGCGTGAGAAATCCATACTCAAATCGGATAGACCCCATCCACCTCAAGTGCTCCGTGGCAAGGTCAGACTCAGCGACTATACCAACAGATTGCGACAGAAAGCTCAACGTCCGGGTTTCTCCTTGGGTGATTGAAATCAGATCTAGAGGTGTCGGGATTCCTTTGATTATGGCCAAAGTCGCTAGACTCGCACTATCCGTCCCATTTAGATTGCAGCTCATGGCGTTGCCGCTGCCACATGGTATGTTGACAACAGCGAGTTTTGACAGGGCTTTCTTAGCATCAACTCTCTTCCCCAGCCCGTTGAAAACCTCGTGAGGTAGTCCATCACCAGAACAGCACGCTATGACATCGTATGCATCAATATCGACAGCTCCGGCGAGTTCTACGGCTTCCCCCATATATTTGGTCTTGACCACATCCACAGCGCATTGCGCGGCCTTGAAAAGAGGTTCTGCATCTCGATAATACCACTTCTCTGCGCTTCCTTTTCCACTATGAGGATTGACCAAGGCCTGGACCCTCTTCTTCTTCTGCGATTCGCCGTACGACCTATCCAGCAGCTTATACACCCACTTGTTCACCAACTCAACTTGCTGATATTCGAAAGAATAGCTAAGAGTAGCCGGTCGAACTACGGTTTTCGATAGGGGCGAAGCATACTGGATCGTAAGTATGGAGTCTCCAATCTCTGCCCAAAGAACGTTGTAGAAGGGAATCGCGCGTGTGTTAGCAGTGCCTAAACCCTGTTAAATCTGACATTATCACGGATGCGACGGCAAAGGTACCAGAGGGCCACAACCCGCAACAGGTACTGCGATTTGTGTTTTCGAATTGCTCGTCTGTAGGTGGTTAGCTAAAATAATACATGTGTTCAATATCCAAAAGAGCTCACCCAGTACGATCAGCGAGTCGGTTCCCAGAGTCAGGGACGCATTCCTGCCCACTGCCAGGGTCGCATCTACCGCGAAAGAATTTCCTCTGGCATTTTCTTCAAACGAAGTCGCCGGATCCACAAATGGGTTATCGTGATAGTTAGTGGAAGTGGTCATCTCGAAGGAATGCGTAATTTCATGGTCGTCGTTGCTACAATGTAGTAAGAAAAGAAGTTCGAGTGTCTTTGTGTCAGAAACAGGTTGGCGCTCCTCAACCAGAGGAGGTCCATGTCCATGTTCCCCAATTATCGGTCCGACATGCCCAATATGCCGAGCAACGTTTAGCATCTGATTCCGTTGACAGCTGACCAAATAGGCATACTGCCCGTACTGGATTAGGCTTAGCCAATAAAGTTTATATTCCCGTACCATATTGGGAATAAACTCTACGCTGTATGCTGTGTTGTGAATACACGGTGAACTCACAGAAATACTTTATCGAACAAGTGATCCGGGCTGATACCCTGTTGCTCTGGATCAGTATGTGTGGAAAGGTTTCCGCTCTGCTTTTTAGCACTTGGTTTGGAAAAATAGCTAGCTACATCTTGCACCAGTTGCATATGCAGGGACTGTTGGGATGCTGGAGATTCAAAATATTTTGTTTGTAGCCCGACTGAGATCTAGATATAACCCCCCATTTTGCTTTTTCTTCGCTATCCATGCTATTGGCATAGATGCTCAGTCCCGACATTGGTCGAGATCTGGATGGCCTGGGTACCTTTGTTTTCCATCACTCACTCCACTCGCTCTAGTTCTCTCTTCATCTTTCGTAAAGAAGCGTAGCAGTCCAGCAACGCCTCCGAGGGGTATGTAACACAGATTCTATCATGATCACATCTCTACCCTTAAGCAGCTTCTCCTACTTTACCCAAGCCTTTGAGTGATCCGAGACTCAGCGCAAGGCCTTGTGACCTACTTCGGATGCGCACAAAACCGGTGACTGGTCCATCCTCGCCCTCCTTCTCAATACTCAAGTTTGCAAGTGCATCCTCCCCTACGCGCTGTTAGCTTAAGGTAATGGATGTTTTTGGAGAAAATGAAATACTTACCAAACATGCTGCGCGCATATAAATTCGCGCTCAAAAATTGACAATCACCCTTGAGCGAAGCTTCTGGTGTCAAACAACTCATATTTGTACAGGCCATCAACTGCGTTAAGAATTCGCGTAATGATTTGGCTTTCGAGTTGATGTTGACTTTATTCTCCCACTCGAATTCGGCCCACATGTCACGGAATTGCGTCTCTGTGCAAACTGCGGGCTGTATGTAGTCCATAATATCAACATGGACATCATTGAGAATCACAACATTATTCTCTGTTGAGCTTGCTCCATCATAAACAACGTTTCCAAAAATGACACCAGTGTCGGTCGATGATACTTTAATTGTCGTCTGCACGTTCTGGAAGTCGTGGGGTCCAAGGTTCTGAGTAGTTGGCTTTTCAACAACCTTGAGATCGCCAAGGGTTGCAAACTCTACTGACAGGTTCTGGAGAGTCTCAGTTGTTTGATTAACAAGAAGGACATCCAAAACGATATCAAATTGGTGGACCTGGACGTATGCTTCGGCATAGACAGGATCTGAGAAACCTGTCAATTGAACGACGCGGCTGAGCTTGGATGAGAGATCGTCAACGGCATTGTCACCGCCAGTGGCTTTCTCGAGATCGAGTTCTATCTCATCAGTACCATCTCCTGCATTCTTCTTTGCCAATTGGCGGATTGACACCACGTCGTCAACTTGTACAGCGCTCTTGGCTTTTGCTTGTGCCACCTTTGCCGCGCGTTTCTTCTCTTCGACTTGAACCATCGCACGGAATGCCTTGCGGGTGTCGTCTAGCAAATCCTTCTCCAACTCTTTGTTGTTCGCGAATTCAGCTAGGGACCTTACACATGACATGATCCTGTCTACTGAATCTTCATCAATAGGGGCCTTGACGAATTGCGATTGTCCAACACGAATGATTGATATCATGATCAGCATAGCCTCAGCACGAAGAGCATTTGTTCGCGCTTTATCTTTTGAGATTTCCGAATGCCGCATGACAAGTTTTGTGAGTGTGGACGAAAGAACTGATGCAAGAAAGTAGTCTCCATCGAGAATAAGCTGTCGGAGCGGCGGTTTTTGCGCAGCTTTCACAGCTTCCAATTTCGCTTTGACAGCAGATTGACTTGTAAGTGCGCTTTCTGTTGCATAAGTACCATCGGCAAGGACTCTTCGCGATCCCGTAGGTGCAGCCTTTGAGTGGCCATTTACCTGATCATCTTTTGGTGCTTCCGTATCATCAGCAACATCGTCTAATAAGCGTTGCTCCGAGGCGAGGATTGGAATTTCTCCTAAACTCGCACGAATGCGCTTCCACGCATCTCTAATATCGGTTGCCTCTAGAGAGTATTCTCCGACGATCCATAGCGCACCACGGTACACCTTTCCGGCACGAACCTCGCTGAGGGTAGATACTAGACGCTCGACTATTGTTGGTCGAAGGGCAGGGAATTTCTCAACCACTTCTTTTACGAACGAAATGACATCTACAGCCGAAGTGCTGTTGAAGTCGGCGATAAAATCCATTAGTAGACCAACCACACTAGCCGCAACCTCGGAGAACTTGATGGCGCACTGATGTATCGAGTGGATAAGAAGCCGTCGGTATTCGTTGTTCTTTTCATACTCTTGATCGATAGTTTTGGTCAGCTCTTTCTTCAACAGTAACACGACTTCTTCAACATTTTTGCTTGATACCATTTCCAGTGCGATGCCCAATGCTTTTCGGCGAACATCGATATCTGGGCTCGAAAGAACTCGGAGCATTTCCATGGTAAGATCATCCAAGACGCCCTCATTCTTTTGTCTTAAGCTGTCAACTCGATCCAGCACTATCAACTTAACATTATTATCCGCTTCTTTTATACTTAGCTCTATGAACTTGGTGGCTGCAGCCTTTACTGCGATTGGATTGCTAGTGAGCGCAGTAAGTGACGAGGCTGCTTCGTATACCACTGTGCTAGCGCCTGCCTCTAGAAGGTCAAAAATAAGACGCAAATAACGGGCCTGATATGATTAGCACATCACTAGGTGGTCTTTTTGGGAGATTGTCGTACCTTGTTCTGTGAATTCTGGACGGCATCCTTGCGAATGAACTCTAACTCAACTAGCTGAAGCAGCTCGTCGGCGTTGGGGATACCATCGAATACACTGCTAAGATACGCCAGCGCACTGTCATGGCTGATGCTGACCAAAGCTGCAAATGCATTACGCTTGCATGTGTGATCGGTTTCGGTTTCCAGAAATGTTGAGATCAGTTCTGGGGCATCTGGGATGAGACTTTGGGAGTGCTGGAAAATGGAGGCTACGGCAAATACAGCATTTTTTCGAACGTATGCGTGCCTATGTTCCAGACAGGATCTAGCGGAGGAGAGAAGAGGTTCGATGAGCTCGGCTTCACGAAGCTTGCATAAGAAGCGCAAGGTGTTGCCCCGAATGTATTCGTTAGGGTGTTGTAAATCATTTCTAATGCCGTTACTATAAGACTTTAGTGAGGGCTCCAACCAGTTTCCACGATGTTCCTACCAGACCAGAATCATCTCCTGCTTAAGCTTTCCACTGGCATCCAGTTTTGGGCATATTTCGTAGTAAAAGTATAGCAGCTTTTTCAAAGCTTTGTGCTTGGATGGCATAACGAATCGAATGATATGCATGAGAAGCTGGGGCATTGGATCCCCATTCAGCATAACTGTCAGGATGCGCTTCATTGTTTCCACCTTGCTCTCATCTGTGCCCTTTTCCAACTGTGTCCGTAATTCGGACATGGAAGGCACGTCTGCCGCATTGTCCTGGTGTACCAAACTGTACGAGCCCTCGAGAAAGGTAGCCATGATGGCTGGGTCTGTGGAAAAGGTCGCAGAGCGAGGTGTTTACTAGTCTAATATGTCTGATGCGGAAGGGGAGTTGTACGTGGTCGTATTTCTCGCGGGAGGGGGGGTTGGATTGAGAGAAATGGACAGGTAACTTGGTATTTCGAGAGGGTAGATTTCGCGCAGAGGAGGCGAGGAATTATTGCGGCGCATCAGATGGGAACAATACTTCCCACGGATCTGGATCGTTGAGTCTGTCTCGCAATGAATTGAACAGATTCGAATTGAACGTGCGGTGGGAGCCTGACATGACAAGGCAGGAACATCCCCCACCAACCAAGGGACGCGTCCGAGCTCGACTAAATAATTGTCCTTCAGCCTCCTCCGCGACGACAGGATAATCTGAATAGCTGTAACGAGCGCACGCTTTGAAAATGTCCGCAGCCAGTGATACTTTTTATATTCGCTACTAGTAGGAAGCTGACTTCTTAACTTGCTGATTTCAAAAAGCTAACGGTTGTCCGTAGCTCTGGTCACCAAGGTCGACATGGCCACGAGTTCCTTGGTAAACCCCTCCTAGAAAGGCTTCTGGTCTCAATGTCTAATGCAATTATTAGAATTCGATTTTCGAGTGCTAGGGGATGGAGGAAGCGCGTCTGCACGATATGCGAACAATTCCAATTACCGCAATGACTCCCTGATTCGGAAAGAGAGTACGTAGCAGATATCGCGATCGCAATGGGTGTACTGACGAAAGGCCTCTCAGTGTGTGTGAGCGCGCTTCTCGTCGACGAAATAAAGCGTATCATCAAGACCAGTGAAATCATGAAGTATGTTAGGACAGATGGGAATAGGCCCGAGCAAGTTTCTAATGGTGCATCAGGGAAGACGACAAAAACTGGCCGCAGAGGAACAAGGATGGACGACAAGAGTTGGAAATAAAACTAGGAGGAGAACACATTTCTTTCGAGGTACGGTCTTCTTCGAAATTATTGTTCCTGGTACTGATTCGATTGTATAGACTGCGAAGATTGGCTCTCTTGTCGATGTTACCGAATCGCAAGATCCTGAAGGACTTCGTGTGTTTTACTATCTCGTACAGGACTTGAAAGCACTGGTCTTCTCGCTGATAGCACTTCACTTCAAGATTAAACCTATATGAGATACTGATGTATCGGAAAGGAGGAATTGGGCGTTGCAAGTCTCGCGGGAATGATACCACAGCAAGATTCATCTTCAGAATATGACACGTATGCGGTACACCAAACTCAGAGGAATGATTTAAGATGATGATTGTATTGTAGTGTGGAGATAGCTGGAGGAGAAAACACTCACCGCTGGCCACTGCGGCTGCGGCCGCAACCCCATACTGTGCGGTGCACGCAATATGTTCAGGTCAAAATTTTCCAAGGTGTTAACAGCAATATGATGCCCATTACTCACATTCTACTGACACTGAGTCAACAGCGCATATCAGGCCAGATTGTTTCCAGTCATCCAAGATGTTGTTGTGCTCACAAGCATTCCTCCTGTGGCTTGCCGTTGTGCCCCCCGCGCTTTCTCCAGGTGCATCTCCACCCGACCGACAAGGGTTTTCCACGCCACGCTATTACTAGCCCACCTCTGCTCGCACGAATCGCCTTCTCTCTCCATTCTCCCATCGCGACCCACCATACAATGCTTTACACAGTGGTCGTCACTTTCATCTAATTGCTTTGCGCCTCGTCCTCTTTTCTCTTCCTGTATCAATAAACTCTCTCTCTCTCCCTTCTAGCCTGGCCAGCGCGGGCGCAGCCCAAATGCCCACCCCTTCCACCCCTATCATCGACGATAGTGCGAGCCTCGATCAAGTATTCACACCACCTCATACCTCATGCCCTCCAGACGACGACCGAGCAACTTGGAGGAGTCTAGGTATTGGTGAACCATACACGGAGGCTGTAGTTTCAACGTCCGAAGTTCTACAGCAACCGACTCCTCCATCAGATTCAAACCCGAATGGCCAGAACGGCCCTCAAGATACGACGACACAATCAAATGTCAAGCCAATGGATATTGACGAGGGAACATCCGCGACACAGATGATGTCGCCTATTAGTGTTGAGGGGGAGAAGTCTGTTGAGAATGAGTTGCCGGCCGTGTCGAGCGTTGATATGGGCTCACCTGCGATGGGACACGACTTCTCCAATGTCCGAGTATGTCTTGCCGTGATGGGAACATACTTCCTAGCTAACCATGCATCTAGCTCATGCCATCATCTCCCTCCACATTTCTACGACCTGGCAGTAAATTTGTAGGGACACAGCAATCAGAACGACAGGTCTATGAGGTTCAGGTCGAGATTAAACATGTAGATATGCGCGAGTCCTTTCTCTGTGGCTATCTGCGAATCCAAGGTACTATATCCTATAGCTGGGGTAGGGGGGCGAAGTCAATGCTAAACTAACCTGATGACCCTCTAGGCTTGACCGAAGACCACCCTACGCTGACTACATATTTCGAAGGTGAAATCATCGGTTCCAAATACACATTTTTGACACAGCAAAATGCTTGGGGGTCGAACGATAAGGTGGACTTGCAGCACTGGGCCAAATTCTCCGCATTCAGACCTTTTCAGAAAGCTGCGAAGAGAGGGAATTTCCATATACCTCAACTAGCACAGCGAGAGAATATATTCATGAGATGGAAAGAACAATTTTTGGTTCCAGATCATCGAGTACGGACAATTACCGGAGCAAGTTTCGATGGTTTTTACTACATTTGTTTCAACCAAATACAGGGGACAGTTAGTGGGATTTACTTTCATGCGAAGAGTGAAAAGTATGTCCAATTCACCCCCAATGAAGGAATGCATGCTGATGCTGACAGTCTGGACAGATTTCAGCAACTAGAATTGAAGCACGTCGAAGATCGTGGATGCTTTTCCGCGATGGAGTTTCGATGAATAAATAATGACGGAATGGGGTTGGTAGAGGCATATTTTATCACCGGGCGCAGATATCGGAGCCAAGATATCAGGATATTGGCCGGTTTTGGATCCAAAGGGTGGAAAATTGACATAGGTGTCAAAGGTCGTGGTACGGATGCATATGGGTACTTGAGTCTTCTGGCACAAGTTAGGAGTTCATTTGAGGAATATTTGATTTGATTCGTTGAACGAGGTTCGAAAGTTGACCGCTGGACTCGTTCTGAGCGGTTAAGTTCATCATATAAATATATAAATATGTAAATGCTGGAAAATCTGCGCATCGGATCATATGCCTGTGAATAAACTGAGCCGGGATCCAGTGCGCCGCTAAAGCTGTCAGGCTGTCACCCGAGGCTGACAATCGAAGCACGCGACAACCACATGGCCGTGATACCTAGAACCACAATTCAAACCACAACGCACCACGACATCCACCAACTAAACCCTTCCCTCTCCCCAACACCCGCAGCCATGGACTTCGCACCCTACCAAGACCAATCCCCCGAAACGACCCGCGCGCTCTCCCCACCCCCTCAAGCCCGCCGTTCCATCTCCCCCGGCCGTCGCTCCTTCTCCCCAGCCCTCCAATCCCCCACCAAGGCCTCACCCACGAATAATCCATGGGCGCCGTCCCCGTCCGCGGCGGTGTTCAGCAACGATGGGATCGCGGATGTGGAGAGTGGACGGACCGGGAGATTGAATGAGTTTGAGACTAGTTTGCCGATAAGATTGGATTATGAGGCGTGTTTGGCGTATTTACTACTCCCGCCTGCTGGGGGAGTGTTGTTGTTGGTGGCGGAGAGGAAGAGTGATTATGTGCGGTATGTGGGTTTCTTTTGTTTGTGATGGAAGGGGAAGGGGAGTTGGGGAAGGGGAGGTTGAGGGGATGAGGAGACGGGTGGGGAGTTGGTGGGAGATTTACTGATGAGGTATAGATTTCACGCATGGCAGTCCTCGTTACTATTCTCCGCGATATTCGTCTTACATCTGATATTCTCCTGGTGGTCATTTATCTCGTGGGTGCTGTTTGCGGGGGATATAGCATTGATAGGATATTTGACTTTCAGAGCATATAGAGATGGTAAATTTCCCAGATTTGGAATAGGAGCAGTTGCTGATAGTTACAGCGGATACACTTGATCGATGCGAGGTACCATTCTTTGGGAGACTGGCGAGTAGTATACTTGATGATGAGTAAGGAGATTGGTGCATGAAAGAGCGCTTTGCGAGAGAGATACCCATTTTGCTGTTTTATATATGTAATTTTATGCCCAATACGTAATTTATAATACCCGACTATTAACTTTGAAAATCTGCTTATCCATGAACTTAGATGCGTATCGCACTATGGTTTTGTCATTTCATAACATGAGAAGTTTGTGTACTCCTTTGCGTAATTATTTGCGTTATTATCAACTGCTTGTGTTACTCTTAGCCCCTTGAGTTGCCAGTGCTAGCTGAATCAAATTGGTCGTTTTACATTTTCAAAAAACCCCTTTCCAAAGAAACCCATAAACTCCATTCAGATCAGACATTCACATATAACGAGGCATACCTCCCTGATTTGGAGTATAGCGAGGAATGTAGCATCCATCAGGTCGTTGTCCAGCATAATTTGCACCAAGGAACGCTTGATGCGCTCCGGTAATGTCAATTGGAAGTGCTGCTGAGCTCCTCTCCATAATACCACTCATTGCTGGGAGAAACTGGCTTGCCATGCTCAGGTTCGCATCATCACCATCTTCTCCGTCCATCTCGTTTCTCAATGATTCGATTTGCTTCTTCAATTCTTTCCACAGAATATTACCGCTAAGGTTATCCTCGCGATGCTTATTCTTGTACGAAGTGGAGGTCCTGGCAACAATGACGAGCAGAGCGGCGACGAAAGCTTCCTTCATGTAGGCAAAGCTGAAACCGGCAGTTATATCCGCGACTCGTACGGACATCTCTGGAGGAAAGTCGACTTTCTTGTTGTTGCGGAGTTTATGACGCCAATAATCAGCATACTGGATTCTCTCATCCTTGGTTGGAACATCGAAGAAGTATTTTCTATCGAATCGACTAGGTCTCTTGGCGATTCCTGGATCTAAACGGTCTAGGTGGTTGGTAGATCCAATCATAAGGATACCATGGTTGGATTCCAATCCATCAACTTCGTTGAGGAAGTAAGATCGAATCATTGGACTGACAAGGGAGTCGATGTCCTCGAATATCAAGAGACACGGTGCCATTTGGCGTGCTTTGAGGAAAATCATTCGGATTCCGAGTTCTGGGCCACCATATGATGAAAAGGATTTTACGTAAAGTGACTCTATGGTTGGTGACAAGCGTTTTGACACATCGTGCATGAGTGCTTTAGTTGAAATTGTCTTTCCATTTCCTGGAGGGCCGTAAAAGATTACTCCTCGCTGAGCTTGTATTAGCAATGTCACACCACAGACAAGAAACCTTTACCTTCCATGGAACACCAAATTCTGAATATCTTTCTTGGCCATCAAAGAAACCTAGAACGTCATCAATGATCGCTTCCTTCTTCTCCTTTTCCAATATAACATCTTCCCAATTGGCGGTTTGGACGTTTTCCCAAAGCTCCCGATTCTTTTGCCAGTAGCCTTGGTCAAATACAAGCACCTCTTTGTGAAGGTCGTTTCCCCATTTAGTAGCCTCTCTGACTAACTGATCAGTTTTGCTCTGCGCCTGTACCTTCTCGGTAGCAATCATGTCGATACCGTCGGCTTCAGGTGCTACAAGAATGTAGTTGTAAGTTGTCTTTCCAAACATGCCATCAGCGCCGGTGACAATATAAACCAAAAAGACATTGCCCTGAAAGATGTAATCATAGCAGCCCATGACTACACTTTCGCCAAAGGCACCGCCATTCTCATCATTGTATCTCCGAGCAGGAGGAAGAAATTGTCGTTCAACAAGATCACCCCCGTCTCGCAAAGAGTAGCTAGCATCATCACGAGAATTGGCGAATCCAAGCAGACTGGTAGAGTAGGCCGGATTGATAGTAAGGAGGTATTTAGGGTATTTTGCACGCAGTGATTCGACGATCACTCCCTCTGTGAACCATCGCTTTCCCTCCGCATTATCATAGAACGCATTGGTAGGCGACCCCGACCGGGCTGGTGAGGGCCCAGTGGAAATATGAATGAATTCGTCGCCAGAAGCCATGATGATTGTTGTAGACGATCCGTAAATAATCAAAGGAACAATGGTGAAGTGGATGATCAAAGGTTATGAAATAAAAAAGTAATTGAGGAGTTGGTAGTACCTGAATGTCGTTGCCTTGCGCTTACTTACTTCCCCTCAGTGATACGAGCGGCAAAGCATCAATACGCTGGGAGCCTCAAGCAATGCTGACGAAACAATGCGGATCGTCAAGGCTCTAACGATATTGAGAAGATTCATTGCAGTCTCACGCGCCAAACGCGCTAGACTTTCAAGCAGCAGTTCACTACGCATTTAACAAGTAAACGCATTGCGCCTGAAGCACAAATGAGAATGCCATCGGGTGGTGGCAGAAAGGAAAGATGCGACCCAACGACACAAGACCAGTCACGTGATTACATGGCTCCTTGAAACATGCTCGCGGTCCCCCCTGAAGCCATCCCTTCTTTTTCCTAAAAATCATTCCAATCTCGTTATCATGACATTCCCAAGACAAATAAATGCGCTCAAATATACCTCTGTGGGGACCATACGAAAACTTCTTCTAGGTCATTGTTGAGGTAACTATCATCGAATCCCGATATTTCCGTTGCCGTTACCACACACTCAAGAACCTAAGCTGTAGGTGGCCATTGTTCTTGTTATATTTTTTCATCTCCTCTCGAACAATGGGTCGACCCAAATTTGCGCTTTATGTCGGCCATTCGCATTTGACTTCAGGTGAGGAGTGCGCCTATCGAAGCTCTTCCTAGTTCACAGCGGTCATGGTGATGCTGCACAGGTTTAGTATAGAAGGTGGGTTGTTGAACCCAGTACTTCCAAAGGATTTCCAAAAGCATGGGTGGTTTCTCTATGATTTGGTCTACACACGGCTTAGTAACATCCTCTTCAATCACATTCTGCAGATGGTCATATGACTGACCCGGTCTTGGGATAGGATCGATGATGGTGTCCAATACATGGCTTGTGTGCAGGGCTTATATCCCCAACACAGGTCATGGCCAGGCTCTATTCATGTTGATAACGAGATCATGCAACAAACAGAAACTCAGGCCTTGAGAACTGTGGCAGATAGCAAAAGACGAAAACAGGGTCATGCTGCTTAACGCATCTTTCTCGCATGTTCAATAAAGCATGGCTCTTGTTTAATCCAAAAGCTCAAGCGAGGGTGTTACCAACTGTTTCCAAGACCGTTTTGGCTTTCCCTGCTTCCGTCTACGCGGATCTGGGACATTTTATGTCGATCCTCCTTGCACCCTACATTGCAGCTCGGTGGACGAGATTTCTGGTTGCATCAATTCTGGCCACTTATTTCAATCTTACTGGGAATCCTATGGCACCAGGCACTGGAAATGCTGAAGCGTTCCTTTCTAGTGGGGCTTACAGATATCAAAAGCCAAGGCACTGGGATATCGCATATGCAGCATTTACCCTCGGCCTGTCCAAATGGAGGTGCAACGTCGTCGTGTGTTTTGAAGTAAGGATGCTCATGAGCATTCATATCTGAGGAATTTTTGGATGTCACTTTACGATGTTGCCTTGGATCGGACGACACTGCGTTTAAGCCACGAACCCCACAGGACATATAATTCCAAATTCTACTCGATATGGCCCGAATGTTCAAGGTCATGCTCAGATCTTTGATTGGGGTATCGGGTTAGTGTGCGGCTCAGACAATTACACTCTTGCTCTGTGTGGTGTCACTACAGACAATAGCCTCGTCGTCCGGCTTGAATCGAATGAGTACGACATTCGATAGCAATGTCTGCCTTACGTCCCGCTATTGTTTGCAGCAATACTTGAATAGTGCAACATGACGAGAACTCCAAGGTTCTTGGGTCACTCACTATTATTCAGAAGCTCGAAGCCCCCTGATCTTATAGCTCATAGATGAACCGCTGGCCATGATTGGATTTGCAGCGAAGTTCAGCACACCTTTTCGGATGCTGCCGATTCTTGGCGAACTACTTCATAGTTCAAGGGACTAGATACGCAATAGCTCCGTTCAAGTGCTCTGTAGAAGGTGGCAAGAAAGTAAATGCATTCGTACATACTTGAACGATCTACAGCAAATGCTTCCTTTCTTGTTCCCCCAATCTATCATACATATTGAGGTTGGCGGAGAATTCGTTTTGCGGGAGCTACACCGTTTTGCATCCCTTCTTCCACTTTTCGAAGTATAAGAAGGAATTAGGTATCATCTTGAGACTAGTCATTTATATTGTCGTTGTTTCAGCTTGTCTTACGTTATCTGAGACATTATCTACCCAGAAGAGATTATGCTTCTATCGTATATTTTATTAAACCTAGTGCTGGCCGCAGTGACTTATGCGGTCAACTTTCCTTTCGAATCTATTCAGCTCAACGGTAAGGATATCGGAGACTTCGCCCAGATATCTTTTGGGCGAGATTTCAATGGATCCTCGTCCAGTGATGCGTGCAAAGCATTTCCAGGGACTAGTCAATGGCCACTCAATGCGATATGGGCACAATTGAACACCTCACTTAATGGAGCACTACTACAACCTGCCATACCCGCATCGGCTTGCTACGATGGTCCTGAGAAAGACACTGAAAAGTGTAATTACCTCCTATCCAGGGCTTCTGGTTCACGTTTCTATCTTGACGATCCTATCACTGTATTAACAGAGTGGCCCACTGGAGACACCTGTCCAACGATGGCCAAGCCCACAGGTAGCTGCACACGTGGTGGGTTTTCTAGCTACGTAGTGGATGCTACCACTGTTAAGCATATTCAAACCGCGGTCAATTTTGCAAGGAATCAGAACATTCGATTGGTTATGAAGTAGGTTTTGCTCCAGCTTCCGCCTCTACACACGAACCAGATTCTAATCATTTCTCTAGAAATTCCGGTCATGACTTTGTAGGGCGAAATACTGGAGCGGGAGCCATTAGCATCTGGCTTCATCGCCTTAAAAGCTTCGAATTCTTACCAGTTTACAGACAAGGCGAGTATAATGGTCCTGCCGCGAGGGTTAGTACTGGTCTCGAAGCTTGGGAGGTATACAAATACATGAAGACATACAACATTTCTATCGTAGTGCCAGCCGGTAGCACTACGGTAGCGCCATGGGGAGGCTGGATGCAAGGAGCTGGGCATTCAATATTGGCTTCTAAATATGGACTAGGAGCAGATCAAGTGCTCTCTTTGCAGGTCGTTACGGCCGACGGTAGTTTCGTCACTGCAGACACGGAAACAAACCAAGACCTATTTTTTGCGCTTCGGGGAGGGGGTCCAAGTGAGTATTTACATCCTTCGAGGCCACAGCTAACCGATAAAAGGCACTTACGGCATCGTTACTTCCGCCATCGTCAAGACTTATCCTGCCCTAGAAGTTTCAAATGTCCCACTCAGCTTTAGCGGTGGAACTAGCGCTATTCCCATCGAGACTTTCTGGGCAGGTGTTGACAAATACCACCTCATCGGGAAGAATGTCACAGATGTTGGCGGCTCAGCCTACAGCTACATCTCATCATCGAATAACGGCAGATCAGCAACCTTTAGCACAGTCTTCGAACTTGCGGGAATGACAAAGCAGCAAGGTTTTACTTACATGCAGTCTCATTTCGACTCACTTAATGCAGTCGGAATCCCTGTAAAGAACACGATGCCAATCAGTTCGCCCAGCTGGATGAATGCTCGTGATGGTGTTGGAGATGCTCCAGGTGGAAGCTCACAGTTCTCCAGCCGTCTCTTTCCAGTGCAGAACTTCGACGATCCTGCACTATTCAGACCTACAATGGCAGCTATCCGTCAATCCGTTGAAGCAGGCTACCGATTCCACGGTCTACACTTCCGGCCTTCTCTAGATAAAGCTGGGTACCCAGGTACTGCAGCCATCATCCCAGCGTGGAGAAACTCAATTATGCACGCCGACTCTTTCGACAGCTTCAGCATGCGTGGAAAAACAGCTGTGGAAATTGCTGAATCGCGTGCCAGACACAACATATACATGGATCGAATCCGAGCGGTCACACCTGGTGGCGGAGCTTACATCAATGAAGCCGATGTACAAGAGCCGAATTGGCAAGACAGCTTCTTCGGCGGTACATACGAAAGACTAGCCAAGATAAAGAAAGAGGTTGACCCTTGGAATTTGTTCTGGGCTCCTAGTACTGTTGGGAGTGAAGCTTATGCTGTGAGGACTGAGGACGGGAAGTTTACACAGAATGGACCGTTGTGCAAGACCTGAAACAGGATCGGGACGGGTGGCTTGTGCAAATAAGCTACTCCAGGAATTCTGGCCCCGGAAGGAGGTACTATAGCTCGCGGCTGACAACAACTATGGTACATATTGCAGTCGACAGTCGAAGGCCGATATACATTTGACTCGGTTGATGAAGTGGTGTGGTTGTGTCTTTCAACTACTGTCCCCGGTAAATATGATATTTTTGGGCCCTTTTCAACACCTTAGATTGGTCGAAGCACGTCGTACGTTGATAACTTGATGGTAAGTTGACACGGTTATTACGAGGTTAACACCAGTCTACCACCCATATTTTCTACAGCGACTCTGGAACATTGGGTCGTAAGTCCGTCAACAAGTCGTGTGACCGCCTGATGTTCAGTCCGCCCAGTCCGCCTTCTACACAAGCTTCTGGCTTCTATCGTAAACTTTTCATACATTATGTCTTCACTTTGCAGTTCAAGAACCTCGATGTCAATATTCTTCTTATTAGGAAACGACCTTCTCTTGATTCATGAGTCCATAAACTACCATGATATCTCTGGCAAAACCCAACGTTTATAAATCCAACGTAAAATTCCTTAATATTTAAACTCGATCAATTTCGGAAGATAACTACCGACGATATCTACCATCGCCTATCGGGGCCCCATGCCCGAGGAACTCCTTGGTAATCAGTCAAGCGTCGCTCATATGGATTTTGATGGGGCTATTGGTATTCTCGGTATATCATCATCGGAAGAGTCCGTGATGGCTCATTTGGCCCTGCAATTCCTCCCCTCCATCTTGTCACATCTACGGATGAATTCCTACTGTTGTTCCACTCCATGTTGTAGTTGGGGTGGAGATAAGGCGGAAGGCCACCACGCCCATTGTTCATTGTGGAAGCTAGGGATGATAAGTGTTCGGTGTTAAGGTAGATATGATCGAGGCGATGTTGTTTTGTGTTGTTATCGTTCGAGACTGTGTGGTAGAGAAGATATTTGTTGAAGATGATAAGTGACAAAGAGGAAGACTAGTGAGACTTTTATAGTCTTTTGCGGCCATGTTCTATGGTGACGAGTGTGAACAAATTTAGATCTTGAGAAGTGAGTGTACACACTTCTGGTGTAATAGTCATCGCGCTCTGGGTAAGTATTAACACTAGGTGGAGTGTAAAAGGACTCTCGAAATTGCATGACTTTTTGAAGACTTCGGTCACTGTCTTTGGTTGAAGGTTCACTTTCGCCATCAAGATTCAGGGTAGTTTATGGATCACCGCATGCTCAACTCTCTAGTGAAATTTCTGGTCCCCATATTTGGATCAATAGTACATAGGTTATTGATATATTGTTTTAGCTTTTGTGCTCGAGTCTCAGGTAATTTAAAGTGATTAATCTGGTATAAAGTAATTTTGTGACATTAACAAAAACAGGTTGTCCCCTATAATTCCAGCGACTGGCCATTACTCGACTCACAGGACTACCACTGAAATCCAAAATTTCACAGGTAAATACACATCTTGAATGGATAGGTAAATTAACATGATAGAATTGCTTGAGCGGATTCGTCTTCCACGATTCATTATTACAAAATTCACACCCAAGATTCCAGAATTTGCCATAACCATATTAATCTCCCTAAAAGCTTCCCTTCCCTCTCTTTCCGAAAGTACACCTATTACATAACTTCACATCTCTAAGAGAGATTCTCAGCCACAGAACTTCAACACAATCCATAAGAATGAGTTACAAATACTTACCCACCGCAGAACCAAATCCATGGGAGTCAGATACCCAAAGAAGAGTCCATTTAGGAGGTGAGCGTCGAAATTGATTTCAGCCCCCTTCGGTTCAACTGCGACATCCACAAAATTTGAATTATCCCCCAATGTGGCCAGGAAACCAGAGACCTGGGTTTCGTCCCGGTCGCCTATCATGGGGACGAATGGATGTAGATAAGCGAGGAAAGCCAGATGCGTGGAATCGGCCGGAGAATTTCAGGTGGTAGATTTTGAGTGAGGGACTGAGGATCTTTGGAGATTGAACAGACACCTGACTAAACTTAAGGAGGAACAATATACATTGTTGGCTTTTGAGACCTTCAATCAGAAATGAACATTTGACATAGTAAAAGCTCCGATATATTGTTAGGGGAGACAAGTGAAGCTACCTACATCCAAATGGAACATAAAGTCAAAATAAGACATAAGTGAGTCAGACTATATATACCAATTTTGGGTTTGTCTTCTTGAAAGAAGCATTCTTCTTACAACATTACCAATTAACAGAATATGGCTATTTGACTGGCTTAAAACGATGAATCAGTAGGTCCAGGAATCAATGAATAAAAATGGGAAACCAAGGAAACTTCCTAGTATAAACCCATCTAAATGAATAGCTTTGTTTGAAAGATACAATCACGATTTGCTCCACATTCAAGGTATCCTATGCATGATAGTTATGAAGAATAGGCTTAGTTCGACTGATGAATCCTCTTGATACAGAAGGCTATAAATATTGACCAAGCCTTCTTCACCTCACTTTAACTTCAGAAAATTCGACTCCCCACCATCTCCATTGTTGACGACCAATTACACTGATTATATTCGCTCCTTCCATAACAAAGCCACGTCAATATTACAAGATGAACAACCAGAATCCAGCATACCACCCTAATATCCACAGATATAGCTCTATTGCAAGACTGGTGCCCTCGTAAGAGTACCGTTTCGAGCCAGCACCAATCCACCAAGATCCACTACGAGCTCCATTTGGCACACGACTCCCGAATTTTCTCAGATTGGACAAGGAAATCTGAATTACCGAGGTGTTTATGGAGTATATCAACGTAGAGATTGGAATCCATTCAGCGGGCAGCCTTATGAGTGGAACCGAAATCTCTTCCGCTAGTTTGCTCGAGCAAGATCGTTCTTAAGCCACGGGCGGAAGGGAGATGTTTTTGATGGAAGAGATATGGTCGTTCTGGACATCTAATATGAGTATCGTTGATTTCTAACGAGAAACTACTCTTTCGCATGTTGACATAACTTGGGGCACCAATCGTCATCACTGTTCGCTGATATTGAGATGTGAGCAGGCTTTTACAGACTTGCTCAATTCCGAGTTGATCGGGAATTTTCCATAACCTCAACACAACCATTTATTGCTTTTGAGCACTCGTTGAGCTTGATGATTCAAAAGCGAGTGAACTCTCAGGAAAACACTCTTAATCCGGGAAATGATATTTCTGCTCGATCACGATTGTACTCTATATTTTCAAGTGACGGTCGCCAAGCCAGCCCTTCCCTACGAACAGAGAAGTGCGAAACTGAAGATGACCGATTCTTCATTGCATTCCAAATGTTATTCCAGTAACATTCATCTGTTATTTTTGTAGTATGTTTCTTCGACATAAAAGTATCAGATCATTATTGAGTATGGTGTTTCGTCAGGTCTCCTTCGGATCCACTCCTTTGGCGTGGGTGCACAACTTTGGCAGTGGTTGGCTCGATACTAAGTGGCTACAATTCTCTACGAGTTTAGCAGAAAACTAGCGCTGATGGGAGATCGAGTATTTATGTGTCGGTTGCTTCGGAGTTAGGACTTTAAGATGTCTCGCAGTGGACAAAAATTATGCCTGTGTCGTTCAGTACCGACGAACTTGTGAATCAAGAAGACTCATGATTTGAACCCTAGGAACTTCTCCTCTGATCCAATTTCGCGAAGCAGGGAAAGGACTTTTTTGGTCAAATTGCGAGACAAAATACACGACTTTGTGTCAATTACAATGATTAAATATCGTGTTTCGACAACCACTAATTCTCCGCAAGGGCGTTGCATTTGCTCAAGGAAAACAATTAATATGTATCGCATTTCGGGTCTCCCTTTCCCCTCTACCAAGAGGATGCCCAGACGGAAAGATGCTTGGGTGGGCTGAGGTCGGACGGAGATGAGTCTCGCAAAGCACCCAGGACCTTTGATTGTGATTGTTTCAAAGCTAATGATGAATGGGTTTCATCTTTCTTCGGAGATATTTACACAAGGCATCAAATCAAATAGCAATCATTCGTGCGGTTAACACATCTTACTCCTTCTCTATCAGGTTAGAGTTGTAGGGGTTAAGATGATCTAGCCTGAAGCAACAACTCCCGGAAACTCGCTTAGCTGCCGGTATTACAGGTGGAGAATAGTTTTATGCTCCCCGCATCCGCTAAGCCTAGAACTTTATTGTGGGCTAACCTTATCTTGTACTCTAACTGCGACTTGTTACTTGTAACTTCAATAACCTCATGCTAAAATTCGGTTAAAACATTGCGTCCTTCTCCTCTGAGATAGCCGTACACGTGCCACAGCAAATGGGAAATATCGAAGATGCTTCCGGCGGAGAAATTAAACTTCAATTACCATGAGCGGACCCAAGACTAGCAGTTGGTGGGAAATAACAGGACGATCAATTCCAGATGAAAGCAGTTGGATTTGTATAAGATACATTGGATGTGCCCAAGATGTTGAGCCTGGTTGACAGGCAGCCGCAATAGTCTCGTCACCACTCTTTCATTATACCTTCGCCATGTTGTTCTTACAAACCCTCGCCATTGGCAGTATGCTGGCCTGGAACGCGAACGCAAATGCAGTGGCAGCTCTTGTTCCCCGGCAGAACGTCAACCCTGGTCCCGTCAAAGGGGATACCTTCATCCACGATCCAACGGTTGTTAAGACTCCCGGCGGTTCGTATATTGCCGCATTCACGGGTGATAATATTCAGATGAAGCAATCCAGTGATAGAACAACCTGGCGAGATGTAGGAGCAGCCTTTCCTAGCGGCGCATCTTGGACTACTCCTTACACCAACGGCGACAAGAATCTCTGGGCACCAGACCTTTCCTACCACAACAGTCAATACTACATGTACTACTCGGCCTCCTCTTTTGGATCTTCCAAGTCAGCTATCTTTCTTGCCACAAGTAAGAGTGGTCTTCCCAACACATGGACCAACCAAGGTCTTGTCATTGAGTCCACAACTTCAAGCGGTTACAATGCTATCGACCCCAACTTAATCGTTGATGCATCGGGGAAATGGTGGCTGTCTTTCGGTTCTTTCTGGTCCGGCATCAAACTGGTCCCTCTAAATGCTTCCACTGGCAAGCCTTCAAGTAGCACACTCACTTCCCTCGCGTTTCGTCCGACAAATGGCGGAGCCGTGGAAGGCCCATTCATCACACGAAAGGACAGCTACTACTATCTTTGGGTTTCCTTTGATGCTTGTTGCAAGGGTGCAGCTAGCACGTACAACATCAGAGTCGGTCGCTCTACGAAAGTCAACGGTCCCTACGTCGACAAGGCAGGCGTAGATATGATGAAAGGCGGTGGTACTCTGATGATGTCCAGTCATGGCTCCATCCATGGACCTGGCCACAACGCCGTCTTCACCGACACCGATGGCGACGTACTAGTATATCATTATTATAGAGATGATGGTGTTGCACAGATGGGAATCAATTTGATACGTTACGACAGTGGCTGGCCTGTCATTTACTGAAGGCAGCTTTGGATGAGGTGTTTACTCTTCATACGGAAAAAGGTTGGAAGTTACGTTCCGTCGCGGCACACAGCGAAGGCTACAGTACTTAGAAGGGATGAATCAGTGGGACGCTCATCACAGGTTTCAATGATTTGCACTTTGCCAGACTTCTCCATTCAAAGTATGTAGATATTCTACTTAGGGGCTGCAAATAAATCTCACATCCCTTGATGAGCTAAATATACAGAGTATTACCCTTCTTCCTATACACCAAACTTTTGAAAATATTTGCCACTTGTAGTTCCAAGGCGCGTTGTTGCATATCTGAAGCTTATTTGGCGTTGAAACATGTCGCTCCATTTCCTAGACCATCAAATTCTAAACACTTAATGCGGTTGCAAGCCGTTGGTAACAAACCGTCTACAAGATCGTCGATAGTGCAAATGGTCGGGAGTAACTGTCGCTTCTTTGAACTTGGTTAAATTTTTTTGTCTAATGTGTTAGGACAAGGAGAAAACTTACATTTAATTTTTCAGCTGTGATTCTAATTGGTTTTCCGGGAGATGCTATCGTTTCTCCAATGCTGATATCATCAGCGGGCTTCTCGTCCTCCGACTCAGGTTCTTGCGGAAGAAGAAACTCGGCTCCCAACTTATTGTGTTAGCTCTATCGGCCGGTTTAAATGTCATATGACAGGCTTACTGTTTCTTCTCTTCTGGTCAATTCATCGCTTGCAGAGGGAAACACAAGATCGTCAAAAATTGGCTGATCTTCTTCTGGATCTTCGAGTACCACAGGGTTCTCGCCCTCGATTGGTATGATTACAAACCGTTTCTGTTTTATTTCCTCATCAGAGCCGGACCCGGGTGAGGGTTTGTCCCCTTGTGTTTCATTAAAACGAGTCGTACTGTTAGCGGCGCCCCTGTTCATCAAAACCTAGTTTTTTCTTAGCCATCAACTCTCTACCAAATTGTTTCTGAAGAGCTGAAATAACCACTTACATCTCTTGTTTTAAAGTTACCAAACAGGCTTTTGATTTTGTTGCCAAAGTCGTTTATTGCTCCAGTTAGCCCACCAGATTCTTGATTAGGCTCCGGTGTGCTGTCGCCATCCTGCTATTTTATCATTAGCGTCGTTCGGATTCTTCTAATAAACCATACCCCATAATAACTTACCCTTTTAGTATTCTGGATATTGCCAGCATCGTACTGCGATTCGGCAGCGACTTTTTCAAACGTGCCTCTACTTTGCTTTTTCTTGCCTTTTTGATTGTTCAATGCATCCTAGATTCATGTTAGTAGTATTAACTTAGGCTATTTTTCAAAAACTCTTATGGCCGTGAATGTAAATTAAAACAATATCTTACTTTTATTCCATCTTTTAGCTTGTCAGGAATTGGAGCCAATATGTCACCTAAATCGTTACGGTTAAGGGTGAACTCGTGAAGGGCTTTTCTTGTCTCCAATTCCTGGTGGTTTATCAGCCTGATTCTCATCCTCGCTCTCGTCTTTACAGATGATGTACTTACCGCTGCCTTGGACTCATTCTTATCGCGTCTATCCACAAAGACCAATCCCTGATGTGCGGATCTTGCCTGAAGTTCAGCAGATGTCGTGGCGTTGTTCACTCTTTTCTCGCTTCGTAGGGATCCTAGAGTACGCCGCTTTTCAAAAGCAGCAGCATAAAAAGAAGAAAGGCCAGAAAAGTCTCCAGAATCTCTTGCGATTGAGCCTCTGGGGATTGGGGAAGCATCAATGGAAAGAATTGACGAGAGTAACAACGCAGCTTGGGAGAAATGCATGATTAAATTGCTTCGGGTTCTGTTTGAGATGCGGAGGGAAATTTTGATGTTAAACAAAAAGCTAAGAGGAAAAGAAGAAGATCAGACCAGCTGATAAAGAAAAATAGGTAATTGGAGTGAAGAGTACGAGAATGTGTTGACTATGAGGAAAAGAATGTTCTTGGATTGAAGAAACGATTATCTTATATTCCTTGAATCTCACTACTTCGAAGTCCAGCATTAGTTGAGCACTTCCAGAGTCGTATAAGCTGAAATAAAACTTGTTTGAGATGTTCGACTCCAATTAGTCAACCACGGAGGACTCACTACTAGTACTGCTCAACTGCCAACATAAAACAAGGGGGAAGAACTGGAAGAGTTGAAACAAATTTTTTGGTCTTGATCGAACATCTGACGAGATATGGACTAATCCAGAAGGATAGCGCATCCGAGTTGGTAGCGTGTACGTATTAGCATCGCGACGAGGGTCACTAAAAGGCAGTTGAAGAAAGATTATTCGATCAAGTTGACGAATTATGCCCATTTCGACTATTATTGTGAGGAAATAAGAGCGGGGTTCAAAGTCCGTTCGATAAATCAACAAACAAAATCCTCGCACAATTTTACTTTTGAGTTGACAGAAGTGCTAGGTGTTGCTGTCAATGGTTTTGTCATTGACTAATTGGATCGCGGTCTGGTGTCGTTGCATGGGCACATTCTCGTGTATGCATGATGACTGTGAAATAAATTCACACCATTCACCTTCCTTCAGAAGATCGTTGTGATACATTGAATCGTTAGAGAAAAGAGTGAGTGTAAAATTCTCCAATCGATGATGATTTATGCTATTACTCTGATAATATCAGAAGTTTCTCGCACTTGCTGTTTTTCATGTCGCCCCCACCCTCACCTCCCCCCCTAATTAAGCGAGATTTAGCTCTCGTGCGAAATATCTGTACTCTTCCGAACCAGGCATACAGGCCCATCTCTACATATTGCAGAGCAACACATATCAATCCAAACTCAACTCAGTGCGCATGCTGTATCATCGATCTATCATTTGTTCAGTACTTGTGAGGGAAGCCAAAATGAGAGGAATTTTGAAGGGATTTTACTGGCATCCTATTAGCTTGGCACAACTCCTACGCCACTATTTAATCCTTTCTTGAGAACAGTAATCGCTCCAAGTTTTAAAGATACTTACTCAATGTTTCCAATCTCGGTGACTGTTTATAAGGGTTTGGAAGATTTCTCGGGAGTGTAGGAGCGACGATGCATGTGTGAACTTTGATGACCGTTCCAAGCTCAACTGAATGAAACAGAATTTAGCATGAGAGAAGAAACGCGTAAGTAACATTCACGGTAACATATTAATGGTCCACTGGTAGTGTAACTCACCTGTTCAGGTGCTAGATGTTAGTCTTAATATGGAGAAATGAGTACAATCTGGAAAACATCTCTTTATAAAGTGCAACTATGAAGCTTGGCAGTTCTGAAGCGGATAGTTACATACAAATTCTGACGGCTTATCCAACCATGTCGTTTGTTCTCGATCCAGCTTTGGTGGACCTACAAAGTGGAAGCCGGAGCTTTCGCAAAATGGTAGAGAAAACTTTCACTCACAACTGAAGGCTCATGTCAACTCTATAATAACACAACACCACGTCTTTCTGGGCTCAAAAGTCTCATCGTCACCGAGTTATCGCAACTAAGTTGGCCACAGAACAAATGCTTGGCATTCAAAAACACAATATTTATTAGACCAACTTGACACATTGTCGCATATTTCGTCTACTGCATTGGATAAATGAGTCTTGTTTAAAGCTTGAACTTTGCGCTTGTCTAGCAATATGAAGGGTTCTGGTGTATTAAGGATCTTGCGGTATTTTTAACCAGAATCCAAACATTCAAAGACAGTTTTATAATCTCCAATTTAGAGTTTCTGCAGTGGCTTGATTTCTTGACAGCCCTTTATGTCACTCAACCCTCTCATATTTGAGCCGCTGACAAGGAAAAACCTCATCCTAAAAAACCGACTCGCAATAAACTATCCATATGTCCAACACTTCGGGAGTCGGTTTGAATCTCTTGACTCAAAGTATGATGATTGTATAAGGGATTCTTGAATGGTGCTCATATATCAAATGTGAATCTCAAGATATCAAATATAGGACTCAGCTCTAGAATCATACCGCTAGATTGATCAGTGCAGGTAAATTTGAAGGGAGTGCTAGAAGCATTTAAAGATTTATTCCTAGCCTCTCATTCCGTCTTCCTTTTCTTCCAACTTACAACCAAGGCGACTCCACAATTCAACTCTCAGTACTCGAAGAACTAAACTTCAAAGAACCCTCCACCTCTATATCTAACTCATATACAAAACTCCCGATATGGGAAAATACCAGCACCCACAAGGCGGACTTCCAACGCTCCACCCATACAATGGTTGCAACCGAAACATGATACCAAACGACAACAATCGTCGTTTTCCTGCCAATCAAGAATACCCATTCAATCCGCGTCCACTTCAAATACCAAATCAACGTCGGAACGTTCCTGTGATGCGCCACCTCCCACCGAGACAGAGAATATCTCTCGCGAATTATCCAGGACAAAATCCTGCGAGTAGCGGCGTTGATCCACGAGGAGTCCCTCTTGTGTGGAATCGGAACTTTTTGCGCTAGTTGTTTTGTGCTATTATATGGATTTTGAAGGGTGTAAACTGGGCACGGGGCAACAAGAGATGGCATAACTAAATGAATTGAGGAATTAACAGAACAATCTAGATTTTAGTGAAAACTTTCTTGGTTGAATGAATCAAAGTTACAGAAAAAATAAGAGAAGATCCATACCTACAAACTTGATATATCACGCCAATGGTCAAGAAGTGTATTGCGGCGGCCTTTCCAACTGTGACTTCCCTCAGATGTGGGCAACAGCGTCGATATTATGACCCTTGATCAAAGGCCTCTGCATGAACGAAGTTTGGAATACCTAGCATGTTTCATAGGAATCTTTGAGCCCATATTCACGGCAACTACGAATTTCTTGCTTCTTTGGTTCAGCTTGGCTGCCATAGAAAATAAGACTTCTCAACTCCAATTTTGAAATATTACGACCACATCCTGCGATATCTTAATTACAATCTAGATAAGCACATCATTTCAACATTAATACCGCTTATCCTGTCCACTTTCAGGCGACTTCAGAGACCAAAATTCAGCGTCTTGAAGCTTATGTACGGCTAGCGAAACCGCAAGGTTCGATCCAGTGGTTCGGGACTCTTAACTATACAAATTAGTCAAACCCAAATCCAGGTTATAAATTTCCTTTTGACATTTCTGGATTTTTCGAATTACATGAGCAAGTAGTCTTCACAGAGACAGCCTCCGCATCGCCGATAGTTAAGAATAAAATTTATTATTCAGGGGTCAATTAATAAGCAAAATCGATATTTCTGCTACACTCGGTGATTCACCAACTTCTTTAACTCACAGTATAGCTAAATCATCTATTTATAAATAGTGATGATATCTTGGTGTCTGTGAATCTCGATTTTAGAAACGCTGATAATCATCACCTCTTGAGTTCTCTCACTAGATTAATTATTCAATGGCTGGGAGTGCTAAATGATCTGTAAAAGCATTTATACACCAGGTATCTACTTCTTCGTCCTACTTTTTCTCCAACCAACAGAACATTTCAAAGCTCTAGCATCGACAACATCCCAGACTATAAAAGTATCAACCACCTTCTTCTACACATCAACGTGATATACAAAAACTTCAAAATGCCACGAGGCCACCTAAAACCATGGGTCACGCTCCCGACTCTCCATCCAAACAACCAAAACTTAGATGCGGTATCCCAATTCAACGATGTGCGGTATCCTCCTCACTACTACGAATGGTCGCCAGCTCCAGTTCAAGTACCCCACCGACGAACCCGCCAATTACAGCCGATACAAGAGCTTCGACCGGGGCAGTGTATACCAGGGCTAAATCAACGGCGACAGAGTGCTCCAGGTAAAGAGTTGGACGCGCGTGGAATACCTCTTGCGTGGAATCGGAACTTTTGGCGTTGAGTAGTTCATCGTTCCTTTTTGCACAAAAGTGTAGGGATAGGATGATAAGAGTTGAACCTGAACCACCTAAAAGGTCAGGTAAATAAGAGACACCTTTTAGGATTTAATGTAAACACCCTTGGTTCTATGAATCAAAAGTCAGAAAATTGTACATGTTTCTCAAACTGTGAATGAAATATATGAACAGTGTCTAGAAGGCTGTGGATGACAGTACGGACCCTTACATGAGTAATCTTGACCTGATTATTCTACAATAACGTACCAACGTATTGACTATCGACCCCGTCGCCTCATTCTTATCGCTCTAAGTGTTTCGCTTGCCGTCCAGTCTCTCTTCTGCTCTGAATAATTCGTTTTTGTGCTCAATAGAAAGGACACATTTTTAACATGCACGTCTCCATGTTAGATGCCTCAAAGTCACTAAGAAAACCGGGAACATTTCGAACAGAAAATACGCAGAGGGACATGGTAACGACAGTATTTTATTCATTTGGTTAAACCCATCAGCACGAGGTTTCGTAAACCGCATTCAAGCATACAGTCCCGCCTTTAAATGCGTATTCATGTGTCTTTTCAAATTATCTTGACGAGGAAATCCACTGCCTCCACTCTCAAAGGACTTCTTGCAGTGCGCGTGAGGACAGAAGTACCGTTGAGCTCCAGGAACCGTCTCGGGGTGTTTAGTCGCTACGTGTCGGTCGAGATCTTTTTGAGAGGAGCAGCCATAATTCTGTTCAAGACATGCTGGAGCTGAGCATTTGTAAGGCTTGGTATGTTTTTTGCTATGTCGGCTGAGTATATTCTGGTCAGTATTTACGTGTCAAAATATAAAAGCTCTGCAATCGGACCATAAACTTACTTCAAGTCACCTGGCGTGCGGAAAGCTAAAAGTCTGCAGTTAGCAACGAATTTTGATACAAATTTCCCATTACAACAGAATGCAACATTATGAAAAATGCTTCAACATTCGTATTATTTTCAATTCTCAATGTACTTTGCTCTTAGGGATGGGGACTTTGACTCACATTCATTACATACATCGCACACGGGTGGCGTATTAACACCATGAACCAGGGGAGGATGAGCTTGTAAAAGCTCAGGAGGTGATGCGGGTTCCGCTGGACGGTTTTCATTTTCATTAAAGAGAGGTGGAGGTGGAACAAATGGTTGCTGATTTGGCTGACTAGAATGCTCTGCCGGAACAATGGGAAGGTTCTCTGATGGCAAGGAATCGTTCTGCGAAACCGGTGTCTCGACAGAAGATTGGGGGTTGTACCTGTTGTCTAACAAGCGAGGATCGACAAACTCAAGAAGATAGTGTTGTTGTTGGTCTGAACTCGACTGATTTGAACTCAAGGTACGAAGTTGAAGCTAGAGGAGGACCTGCCTCCTGTTGCGACAGAGAAAAGCGCCAATCGCCTGGGAAGGAAGATAAAAGAGCGTGTGGACCACTTGACTGAGGAGAAGTAGACCTGGCCTCAGAAGAGACCAGATGGTGGTGGAGAGGAAAGGAAAGGAAAAGAGAAAGCAGCGAGGCTCTGGATTGCCTTCAAGTAGGGAAGAGAGTTCTCGCTTAACCATTGGAGCTGAGCGCTGGTTGGTGCATGCAGCTTTACCAACAGACTGCATGAGTTATGCATATAAGTTTGGACCCCTGCTGGTATGCCTCAATTTTAGCTTCTTTGTGGCTGAAGTGTTCCAACATGATTTGGTCCGCTCGTTTGAATGATTTTCCATTGGCCAAGTCTTCGATGTTGATCCTCGAATCTCCTCATGTTTAATTTACAGATGCCTCGATAATTCCTTGGAAGTTGGAAAGCTCGAAATGAGAACATCTGATTGGAAAACCTTGAAGATCAAAAAGGTCTTTTCGGCGGGGTGCATTGGTGTACGGTTAGCAGAGTCTGAAGAGGAATGGAGGGAATGAGTTCAGTTATTAGTCTTACCCGGGTGATACGCATCACAGATCAAGAGCGCTATATATTCTGCCTTCTTTCCTTTGAAATTGAAATCTCTTTTGGTCTATCGCTTTGGGTGATTTCGCATCCCAAGCCCATCAAGAAGCATTCATACCACCTTCTCCTCTTCAAAAAGTCGTTAGCCAAAATTCTTTCAAGACACCAACCTCACTTCACAATGGCCCCAATCTTCTGCTGCACCCAAATCAGCCCATTCAGACCAACAAGAACAGATCATGATGCCAAATTCCAAACCTTGCTCACCTGGGCCAAAGAGGCAGATACCACAACCGAACCTGACGCTGATGTCCTTGATCTTCTCGAAAACCAATCAGCATTCGTGATTCAGATTGTTCGACAAGTCAACTATGGCCCCTTGGAATTCAAACGATACTTCACGCCCTCCAAGGACGGATCTGGTTTTGTAGAGCTCACCGAGAAAGCGTTGATTGACGCAAACTTCCAAAAGTTGAACTCGTAAGACATAACTTTTCAATACCCTCTCATGCAACATGTATTCAGGTGACGCTAGCTGATCAGAAAATTCATCGCAGTTATAAGAACTATCGCTGCTCCTCGCACGACAAATTCTTCGAATTCAACCTCTACCAAAAGGATCCAGTTAATAAGCACCATTGGCGTGCCAACATCGCGCGTCCAGCTACCGAGATTGATCTATGAAAGGGTACAGGACTCGAAGCTCTTGAAAGCTGCGAGAATCATAAAACTTGTGAGATTGATATCGTCAGTCTTTTGCGTTGGGCATCGATAAGTGTGTTGTGCTCTGGAATTTCTGAAGTGCGCGTTATGCAGTGTCGGATCGATGGATGTAGTGGAAATGAATGAACTGTGTGTTTTTGCAGAGTTCCAATGAAATTTCGCTCTTCTTTTCTCTGAACTGTTTTCCTCACATACCAACACATTCCTCAAACCCTTTAACACCAGCTCTGAACCCTTGCTCCCACTCCCAACTATACTTCCCTCTCTGCCCACTCTCAAGAAGTCTCTTCTTGACCCAGATTTCCAGACAACCAATCTTATCCCCGCCTCCGCTACTCCCATTAATCTTCCCCTCAACCCTCGCACCATAGAATACTGCCGCATCCGAGAACCCCACATTCCATCCTTCGGTATATAAGTGATGTTCAAAATGTTCTTTGGGTGAAGTACTATTCCAGTAATTGCAATGGCCACTACTAGCTTGATCGCACATCTCCACTCTTTTTTGGTGTGCATGCTGGAGTCGTCCTTGAATATCTTGAGGTGGTAGAGACAGAAATTGGGGAACGAAAATGTTCGATTTCTTGGTTTGCTCGACGAAACCCCATTCACCGCCGTCCATCCAGTCCATTTTATAAGTCCAGAAGAAGCCGCCGCCGGATTTCTGGTACCATTGGTGGGACTGAGCTTCGCCAAATTGATGGACCAAAGCGTCTTTGTCACCTGGGTTTGAGCGGCCCCATGTTTGACCGTCCAGTACATTCGACCTGAATATTGGTTAGCATTCTTCCGTTCATTTGCACGGTTTGATCATACCATTCTCCAACTATAACTTGTGCTTCACCCCTATTGCACAACTCTCCAGCATTGACCTCACCCAGCTCTGATGGAATTCTGCCTATGATTTCTTGAGGACTGCAAGCTCTATCTTTATCACTAAATGTGAAGTACCGATGAGTATCAATGACGATAGGACTTTTTCTGTTGTGATGCGGATGTCGCGAGTTGGTCCACTGAATGCAACGCGGTAAGTCCCAGCCATCACTGATATAAATCGGAATGCTTTCATCAACACCGCCAATTATGTCAATAGCTTGCGAATAGAACTCATACATCCCTTTGCCATCATAGACAGACTCGTTGACTATTTGCAGACCTACGACGCCCTGCATACCATTCCGGATTTCATTGGCCATGAAGTGAAGAGACTGCTTTGCCAATTCAAGATTCTTCTTGTTTCCCCAGAGAGCAGTTTTATGACTGCTTGTTCCAGAGTGATCTTCAGCGTTTGCTCCACCGGGTAGTCCGTGAAGGTCAAGAAGAACTCCGATGCCATGATTCTGAGCTGCTGCGACGAATTCCCGAACGATTGCCTTGAGAGGTCAGCAACAGATAGGACAATCCACTGAAGCACCACGCCCCGCAGAGGGCTTGGGTGGGTACTTTGACAATTTCATGAAGGAAAAGAAAATGTCACATGATTTGCCTCCCGATGAACTTCGCAACATACAGATCAAAACATCACCAAAGACTTACCCAAGCTCCACTGTACACACCTTCCAAACCCTTCCACTCTGTACCGTGCAATCGTTCACCTAGTTGCTGACCTCCCATTATCCACCACCCAACTGGCAACCTGATACTGGTGCATCGCGCCTCATTCTTAAGCCACGCCCAGTCATCTTCGCTGACGGCACTTCTCCAATGCTTCTCCCAAATATGTCTCGTCTCATGGATTCCCTTCTCTTTGACACTCGCTGTCACGGCATCTAACTCACTTTCTCCCTTGGCTGATTCCGGAAACATGGAACCGGAAAGCCATTTTTCGAGAACGAATATAGAACCCAAGTTAGTACCATGATGATATCGATATCTGAAGATATCATCTGGGGTGGGAGGACCAAGTGTTGAGGGCTGGTTCTGCTGAATGGACTGTTGTCCACCCCCCGATTGGCCACGAAAGTCTTGTGTAAACGAGTCTGCTTTCGCCTCGAGCTTGTTGAAGAATTTCTTCATGGCTGAAGGATAATCGACGCGAGACAGATGAAGGGAAGAAACGTATGGTGAACCTCAACACAGTGCAAGTAGAAAAATGGGATGCTGGAAGCTCTTTCCATATGGAAAGCCGGTTTACAAGGCTTTTAGTAAACCACTAATTGTGGATAAGATATCGGTAAATCAAACCTGCATAACGATGATCTCATGCTGAGGGGGCACTCTCGTTGGACAATCTGTTCTCGTATTTCAACACCACACCTACAAAATCATCAACAACAACATCCAGTGCCTTTCGGATCGCAACGAGACGGTCAAAGCAAAAGGGGGCGGGGTTGCACACGTCCGCACGTGACCCGGAACAACCTCACCATTCCATTTCTTCCGCTCCGGGAACGTGTACCAGATTCGCAAGCTGAGTGGCTGATTCCGTCTTGAACTCACCCCAAGCTCTGCCATCCAATTGAACCACGCACGCGACACTTCACTCGACTCAAACGGCTTTGCGGGTGAAAGCGTTTTGACTTCGAGGGAACGGGTTGACATAGTTCTCGTGCTTGTTACTAGCATTTACAATGGCTCTCCGGATGGCGCTCCATGTGGGATCGAGGAAGAAGTATACATCTCTCTTGTCACCTTGAACCTCCCCTCTATTCTCTTTTCTTTTTCAACAAGTCTCTTCTGTCTATTATCTGATCTCGTCTTCGCTACCTCGGAGACCTTGCCTATATACTCTTTTTGCCTGTGCTACGTGGGGGTACAACGGAGAGCACACGAGACCTTCAGAAAGTTACCATACCAAGTTCACGAGATGCCTCGTCCCCAGCATCCACCGACGCCAGCCTCGTCGACCGAAATCAGGAGCAAAGATGGCACGCAGTATTCTTCTTTACAGCTGTCCTTCGAGCTACCACCTCCAGCTGTAAATGGCGCAGATCCACAACCCACATCAAGTCCCTCCTCGAATTCATCGTCAGCGTCTTCTTACCATCCTGAACCGACTTCCCTCGTATCACCCGCGATACCTGCCAGCGAGGTGGTGAAGACCCGTAGGAGATCTTCGGTGGCTCAAAAACCGAATCAAGACACCTTCGCGTTGCCTCCACCGCCCACGAGATCGAGAAAGATCATTCAGATGAAACCCAAAGGATCTCTGACGGACGTGGCAGAGGCGCCGAAGGAGGTTGAGGAGACGAAGGATACAGCTATCAAAGCTACCCCTGCCGCAAAGAAGAAACAGCCATCTTCCACAAGTGTAGCGGGGCGCAAGATTGCCAGGAAGACGGCGCACAGTTTGATCGAGAGGCGGAGGAGGTCCAAAATGAACGAAGAATTTGGTGTACTGAAGGACATGATACCAGCATGTACAGGAGAGATGCACAAACTTGCCATTCTACAGGTTGGTCTTCCGAACTATCCTTCATTATCTCTCTAACCATCACCAGGCCTCCATTGACTATGTTCGATACCTTGAAGACTGCGTTACGAAGCTGAAAGCCGAAAACAATAGAACAATCAAAACACCAATCAATGAGAGATTTGTACTTCCTCCACCGGCCAGAGCCGATTCACAAAGCACTCCGCGACCTTACGCCGACTCACATGAAGAAGACGAAGATGTTGAGATGGGAAATTCTGCCGCTGTATCACCAGTATACTCTGCGTACAAGCCACCGTCCAACCGACCTTCGGCTTCCCGGCTCTCATGCCACAAGACTCTCGAAATCGACAGGATTCTTACTCTTCGGTTTCTACCGATCAGCGGCATTACAGCTTCAGTGCCTCATCTACAACGTCTCCCGCGTTGGGTCCTGGCGCCTATGAATTTTCTCGCAATCTGCCATCGGTCGGATCCGCGCTCACGAGTCCAGCTTTGTTGCCTCAGCGAGATCTCGATCAAGAAGCTACCGCTGCGTTGTTAATGTTGAATACCGATAGGAGGGGCACACGTGGAAGTATTAGTGGGCGGGGAGGCATGAGTGTCAAAGACCTTTTGAGCACCTGATCACGACAAGGACCGGAAATGACGGAATGATATTGGCGTTTCGGGGAAAAGGTGGGTGGTCAACTGAGAAAGCGTGTTCGAATTGTTTTGATGTTGTTGTGTTGCCCGCGAACTAATGAGTCAAAAATTCATGTACTTCATTCTTAATAGTTCACATTCATTCTTGTATGAACTGAGGAGGCGGGCATCAATGATGTATATGCTTATGCTTGCTATGTCGACCAAATTTTTTTACCAAATCAGCATAATTAGTAGACGATCCAAGATCTAATCTGCTCCACGTCGGGCTTGAAGGGATGCACCCAGCACCCGAGTCTTCTCTTACATTCTTCAACAATTTGCGAGGGGTCACTAGATGGACTCGAGAGACCGGACACAACCCACCAAACTTTATAAACCTTTGCGGCTGTGAGGTTTGATGTGAAGAACACTCTCGGCAACCTCGCCGTGAAGTTTCCCGGCCTTGAGTCTAGACTTTATAAGTGCGTATCACAGAAACCCCGTTGCTATCAGCTTAATTTTCAAGGATGTCGCCGTGAAGAGGAAGACTCAAGCGAACGAAACCAACCCAAGCAAAGATGTAAATTATTGTCCACTCCCGGCTCTGCGACTGGTGCTTTGATTTTGAGACTGTAATGCTTCAGCGTGGATAAAGGATTGGAATCGCAAGATTAAGGCATAATTTTTTTTTTCTTGAGATTTGAGTATCTGTAATAATACTAATCCAGGTTGAGCTAGACTGAAGGAGCAACGTTCTATATGTAACAAGCTGAAGATTTTGAAATCCTGCACCAGCTCTGTCAGTGATGTTTTTTCCGATCCATTGACCACGATGTGGCGAAAGCCTGGGTTGGTAGAAGCAGGATTAAGGCCAAAGGCTAGTTCCGGGAGTCATGTTTGCTGTATAAGTCGATTGTACACTTCAAACGCTGACCAGTCGTTCTAAAAAAACAAAAGCATGTGTAATTTTGAAATTCGGTGGCAATGCCTATTTCGGTGACAAACATGAAAACTATACATTTTTACTGGCTTCACGTCTCGGGCTTATAGTAACGTAACCTACTGTAAAATAGAAAGTTGTGTTTATCTTAGACAAAATGGCAGTAGGCGAAAGGCAAACACTAGACAGCCAAGAGCTGACTCCGAATGAACCTATTCCATGGTAGGGTTTGCGACATAGTCTTACTTCTTTCACGGGTTCGGATTTTTATACTGTCCCTTTCTCATAACTGCTCTGTTATTTCAAATTCTTTCTTGGGAGGTGGGTTGCCAGTATTTAAAAGTGGCTATGAATTCTGTCAAATTGTTGACTCTTTAAAGAACAAGACTTCATTTATCAGAACATGAATTGTAACAGTGAAATTAGCGATTCGTTGGGTGTAAAGTGAATTTGATAATATGTTATAATGAGAAAGAAAGGTCTACTGTTTTCATTCTATGTTTCTTCTTTATAATTAAGACTTTACATTTATGTGCTACTTCTTTCTGTGCTTGGTTGGCGGCGACACAAATAATGTTCAATCTTGTTAGCTAGTTATAATCCCAAAGTCGATAAAGAAGAAAAGACTAGATTAAAGAAGAGTGTAAACGTTCTACTTTGCGAGCACAAAATAGTTTTACTTTTCTAATTTAAAGTAACTTTCAAGGTAAATCTTATGTTCACTTATCTTAACGTACTTTTCCTTTAGATATTAATCTTGTAGCATAAATTTTAAGATAAACATCAACTCAGAGTACTAGTAGCTTTTTAAAGGTTCTTATCTTACTATTAAGGGGGTTTGTCTTACTAACAAAATCGCTACAAAAGATAATCGAAATACTTTGTTTAGTAATTTCCAAATTTCTGCAGCATTTGAAGAAACTATAGTACTTCCTATAGCTAGATCTATGTTGAGAGTAACGGAACCTATCATTTAATCTCTCAATATTAAACCGAATTAGAAATTTAGAGTCTTGTTCTACAAAAAATAATAAACTCTATCCGAGTACCTGGATCCACTGTACAAATACTCAATTAATTAGACGCATCAACACCTACTGTATGTCACGAACCTCGCAAGAAAATAGCCGTTAAATAGATTTCACCTACACTGTACTTCGAGAAATATCACATATACGACCGTTCCCTAAGCATCGTAGCTCGGACAAATGGTACAGACGTAATGTGATAATTGAATTCGACGACAGATCAAAAATCGGTAGCGGCAGTACTATTTTAACACGTTCCACTTATCTCTCAATTATTACCTACACTTTATCACAAACAAAACCTAGACGATGTGACCCTTATGCCACCCCCAGTCATGAAATTGAAAACAATGGCCTATAATTCCAAGCAGAACATCCAGTTATCCCATCGAGGTCCACCTACATATCAGAAGCTAGACTCTAGTTTTTAACAACTAAATAAATGAGAATTTCCTTCGTACGTTTATCTTGTTTGCTTACACATTTCAAAAAGATTTAACTCTCACCTGCCTTCCAAACTTTTCGGACTACCCTATTCCTAAGAACCAGAAATCTACAACCAAAGTTCTTACTACTACAATAGTACATTTTTAAATGATGGAAAATAAAACGTTCATGTAGGAAGATAATTATTGCAGCCTAAGAGCTATTCAGATACGACTTAAAATTACCCGTATCCTCTAACAAAAGAAGATTAAGAACTTTGACCTATACTCTATTATCTCCCGCACTAGGCTTATTTTTTAAAAATCAAATTTATGTTCTCTTAAATGATGTAATTATAGTATACTTCTATAGTGTAGAGATCGCAAGATAAAATGAGGGGAACTTAGGAAGTGTTCGATGTAATTCTCGAACGATCGACACGAATGTATCTCATCCTCGCGCGCAACCGAACTACAACGACGTCAAAAGCGAGTAGTAGGCAGGACATCTTTAGTGACAAATTGTTAGACACTTGATCTCGGTATCTAGAATGACGTCTCGAGATCTGAAAATACTTTCGAAAAACCGAGGATTCGGTAGTAATTCGAAAATCGGTGACAACTCTCCTTCATTCTACACGAAGCTTATAATGTATACCGAATTCTCAGATATCGCATTTACAGTATTTAATACGAATGGATTATAGCCTTCGTAAATCGAAACACTCGACAGAATCTCTTTAGCTACCCGAGAAGCGTTGTGAGCGTCTATTGTTAATGTTTTATTTTAGAAGATGAATTCATTACCGGGCCAACTCAACTTAAAGGGTACCTTGACGATAATTTACCTAGCAAAGGGGGAAATACACGGTTCCCTCTTTAGCTTGTTAGTTACTATTCTTGTAAGATTGTGAAAAGGTTCACTAAACATAGTTTTACGTCATCAACTACAAAATAGGGAAGAAAATAAGTAGTTAAACCTCCTCTCAGTATGATGTTTAAGACTAGATAAAACCCCTTAATAACGTCTCATTTACTAACAATCATAGTTGGAATATGTGATGACTTTTTCACTTCGTCGTGGTTTTCCACATTAAGTTGACTCTACACAAAATCTAGAAAAAAACAAAACAATTTTCAATAACCTAAAACTAATTAAGGAAATACAACCAAGGAAACACAACTAACCCTCTGCCAAACCACGAACTTACTCACACCTTTTCCCGGCACTGGAAGCTGTAGTATATAAACGCACATCCTCCACTTTCACTTTTGCTCGGACAATTGCGCAACAAAATACCGTTTGTACAGCAATTTCCGAGTTAGAAGACAAGACTCTAAAGCACAACCTATTGTGCTCTACACGATGTAGAGTTATTCAGCTCTACGGCAGTTTGCTAATAGTCGAATAACAACTATAGGTCTGTTGTTTCATTGAAGTCTTGAATTTACGAGGGACTTGCAACTTTTGTCACCGATTTCCAAACCACTACCAAATCCCAACCTCCCTCCACAAAGCCAAAGCAAACCCGATGAGCCAACTATATCATGACCATCTCACCTCAAACAACCCGCTCAAACCCAATACAATTACCACTCTATCACCCATCCACCCTTCAGACCACACCATCCTTTCCGACAATAGTGCACACTCCCTAGTGGCCCTAACAATGCTCAGAATAGTGAAATCCAGCAGTGTGAAATACGAGACATGTATGGAACTTCTGTTCGATTTTGTTTTGAATGGATCAAGGTCTGACATAGTACTTGATATCGTCGAAGGCATAGAACGTGCCAGTAACAAGCCCACCAGCATTTCGAATCAAGCGTGTGTACTTTTTGTTGTGACAGGCGTCATAACTCAGCATTTTCAAGTTCCTCATATAAGATATCTAACACACATCCTGTAACAACAATTTCTTTCGTCCGGAGCAAGATTATTTATTGTCATTTAACAGCATTTATAAATGCTAAAAGAAAAGTCCTTACTAACCCATGTATGTTCAGAATAATTGATGTTACACCGTATGCAAACCATCATATTTTGGTTCTCACAGTCTTGAAAGCGTATCGGCGTCGAACGAAAGATATCGAAAAAGAAAATCGTTATTCATTACCTATCTACAGTCTGCTGCTGACACAAATATATATATCATATCATCCCACTCATAACATGCCAACTCCAAGAAATGGACCGCAAGTCGCATCTTTTTGACTTCGTTGCCTCATTCAATCACTCCTGCTTCAATTATCAATCTGCCGCTTTTCACTCCATTGAGTTTTCTCATCACTTAAACCTCGTTACTAGGATATTCAACCTGGTAGGTCGACGAAAACTCCTCCTTAACACTCCTCATCGACACAAATCTCCCCAGAATATTAATGCTTCCCGCTTTATCATTAGTTCCGCTCGCTCTCGCACCACCGAAAGGTTGCTGACCCACAACCGCACCCGTGGATTTACAGTTGATGTAAAAGTTTCCAGCTGAGTTTCTCAGCGCGTCCTCAGCGTATCGAATTATATTGCGGTCGGAAGCGAAAATGGATCCGGTGAGACCGTACTCGGATGTGGAGTCTACGAGTTTACAGACAGACTCGAAAGCTTCCTTGGGAGATGTGGTGTCGTCGTACACGTGGATGGTAAGAATAGGACCGAAAAGTTCGGTGGAGAGGAGGTGGTGATTTGGGTTGGTGGTCGTATAAATGGTTGGGTGGATGAAGAAACCTTTGGAGTTATCATGTTTTCCTCCAGCAATAAGTTCGAGTTCTTTGTCTTCTTTAGCTGCGTCAATAACGCCTGAGAGCTTTTTGAAAGACCCGGCGTGGATTACAGGACCGATGAAGTTATTGTGGTCGGTAGGCCCTCCAATGGAAAGGCCTTCGGTTTCAGCTACCAATTTCTCTTTAAATTGTGGCCAGATTGATTTTGGTACATATGCTCGAGATGTCGCACTACATTTCTGACCTTGATATTCGAAGGCTCCACGGACGGTCTGAACTGCTGCGTTTTCGACATCGGCGGAGGAGTGAACAAGATGGAAATTCTTTCCACCAGTCTCTCCTACAATTCTAGGATATCCAATATACTTACCATCAGCAATGCCATTGGAGATTTGACCGTACAGCTTCCTGAAAACGCCGGTACTTCCAGTGTAATGCAGAGCTGCTAGTTCTTTGTGTGCGAGAACCACTTTGGTCACCTCTTCTGGGTTTCCAGGGACAAATTGGATGACATTCTTGGGAAGTCCAGCTTCCAAAAGAATATTATAAAGTAACCAATTTGACGCGATTGCTGAATCTGATGGTTTCCAAACAACCACATTTCCCATCAGCGCAGGCGCACCAGGAAGATTTCCAGCAATGGCTGTAAAGTTGAACGGCGTAACAGCATAGACGAATCCCTCCAGGGGTCGGTATTCTACCCGATTCCATACTCCAGGCGAGTTATGCGCGGGCTGTTGAGCATATAATTCCTCCGCATACTGAACGTTGAATCGTAGAAAATCTACCAACTCGGCAGCAGAATCAATTTCTGCTTGCCACGCGTTTTTACCTTGTCCAAGCATTGTCGTGGCCATAATGTCGTATCGGTATTTCCCTGCGATTAAGTCTGCAGCCTTGAGAAATATGGCGGCGCGGTCTGAAAAGGGAAGAGATTCCCATGCTGGCTTCGCGGCCAGCGCTGCTTCTATCGCGGAAGAAACATCGGAGGGAGAGGCATTAGAGTAAGACGCGATTGTAGAGGAGTGGTTCGCTGGGTTCTGTTGTGTCGATATTTGAGATGTTTTGATCTTGTTCGGTCAATTCCTGTTTGTCAAGAGCACTTGGGGGTTTTACCTCTTTACCACCAACAACAATTGGCACTTCCAGTGGTGATTTCTTCTGAAGACTTTCCAACGCTCGATTCAAACCTTCGCGCTGGGCTGAGCCTTTTGCATAATGATGCTGTGCACATTCTACGTTAGCAAGTTTCGTAACCAGAGGTGCTCCTACGAGACGCCTGAAGCAAGCTCTCCCTCCCTGGGTTCAAATTTGACGGGAATGTGATGAGAACTCACATTCGGTTCATTCGCGACCTTGGGGATCTTGAAAGTAGCAAGCGTAGCCAACCCACTTCTCCTCGTATTCATCCCCCAATTGCAATTCCTCTTCGCAGATATGTTGTTGCGGGGTATCCTGCCTCTGACTCCTCGCAATAACTGTTGCTGAGCCATGGCAGCACTCGCCATTTTGTAATCGCAGTTGGACAACTTCCAGCTACTCAGTAGTCGATGTTCGAATGCGTACTGGTAATTGGAGAGATAATAAGTAAGAAAGAAGTAATGGAAGAGCTTTATCAAAGAATTGTTGTCTGCTTCATTGCAGATTCACCACTTTTGAATAAGTCGAGGTCCCCACCAGAGCTCCGACATAGCAACGCTTCGAGTCGGCATAGGGATGGTGGGGTTCTAAAATTGTGGGGATCGACCCTCACCTTACAATCGGCTTAAAAGGACGCTTAAGAACACCCTTATTTCAGTTACAGGAATAAGAATGCATGTACCGGATAACTTCAATCAAAACGGCCTCAGATCCCTGTTGAAGAAGGAATTTTGCACGCCCGCAATCGGAGGATAAGGAAGCCATAACCTGACCTTATCAAGTTGCAGCTCATTACTAGCCTTGCTGAATTTCTCTACGGTCACGGAGGCCAGCGTTCAGGCGAATACCTATGTGCTCACTTCATGGCCCCAGTTTCACACCCATAATCTCATATTACACACATATTGACGGCGATGTTGGGGAGCAATCCCTTACGAGTATCGTCACGCTTCATCAGTTATATGGCGTCAGACACATGGTCTGGAATCACAAGTGTGTACCTACGTACCCGTCGTTGTCACCAGATTCTTTGCAAGCGGATAGAGTCCTTCGCTATTCTGCAAACTGATCACATGATATTCCAGCTGAGTATCACGACTTTTCTGCAGTTGATGTTTCAACCTGGTTGTCTGTCAACGTTGCCTTCCTTCGTTGATACTTAGCAGTTTACCATCTCATCTCCACAATGAATGCAATGGGCCGGAAATTTCGTCGCGCTGCTAAAGCCGCTGCCAAAGTCAAACTCGGCGATGCTCCGCGATTCCAGAGCGACATAACGGAAACCTGTGCGAATTGCTCAAGAGTCGACATTGCGCTCATGGTTCGACGCGCCCACAAATTCATGTCCAAAGATTTGAATTATTACCTCGGCACCTTTCAGGAGATTCGAGCAAAAAGTCGCGAATGTCAGCTGTGTCGAGCTTGGTTAGAACTTACGCCGAAATTTGAAGGGCTTCCTGACGGAGAATACCCGGAACACAACACTCTCACACTAGAGACAACTTCAACATATACCAAAGGGACTTTCAAGTTGCTCGAGGATAATGCAGACTACGATGACAAGAGACTCCATACCGTGAGGCTCTCCCTCTTTGATCGCATTAATCGCAGAAGAGGGCCGGAATTCACGGCCACGGTCAACAGTGGCTCATTCTACTTACATCGAGACGATATACGCTGGAACGAAATCTCATCTCAAATCGACTTTTCTCTTCCTCGGACCTGGATGAAATTTTGTCTAGAGAATCACACGATATGCCGCTCGGCTCACGCTTCCGGATCGGAGACTTTGCTGGACGTGCTTCGATTAATCGACTGCGATAAAACACTTTCCACTGGCCAGATGCAGATTTTCAGACCTAGCGACGCCCCAGAATACGTAGCATTAAGCTATGTCTGGGGAAAGAAGCTCAGCGATGATCAGAAAGTACAATCTTCGTCAGCGGATAGTAAAGGTAATTTATCCTCCCGTTAAACAGGCCCTTTAGCTTTATTATAAATCTTGTTTACCTTGTTTAGAAGTTCTTAATTAATTTGAATCGTCAGAGGTGCAGACTGAAAAAGAAGGTTTGCTTGAATACTTGCCTTTGGTCATACGAGATAGCGTGCTGGCAACAATGCAGCTTGGCCTCAGATATCTGTGGATAGACCAGTATTGTATCGACCAAGATGATAGCAAAGCAAAACATGAGACGATCATGAAAATGGACCTTATCTATGCAACAGCAGCTTTGACCCTGGTCGCCGCTGCTGGATCTGATAGTGACCATGGACTCTCCGGCGTTGGATTGACCGCAAGAAACCCTCTCAACTCGGTCGAAGTTTCGAACAGCCTCAGATTTGTTTCTGTCAAACATGCAGAAGATTGTATCCGGGATACCACTTGGGCCACCAGAGCGTGGACTCTACAAGAGGGTTTGCTCGCTAAGCGACGACTCGTCTTCACTTCTGAGCAGATGTTCTTTGAGTGCCAGGAAATGCAGGTCGCGGAGACCGTGGCAGTTCCACTCGAGGTTTTACACGAGTCACACGTTACTTCGAGATTAGAAGGGGGGTATTTCCATGCCATGGCTAACCACCATATCCTATATTACCGAATTGTATGGATTTTCCGAAACTACACTCGAAGAAGCCTTTCATACTCAGCTGATCGAATCAACGCTTTTCAAGGGATACTCAACTCGATGAAGCCAACCATGACTCATGTTTGGGGTCTTCCCATATCCGCAGATGAAGACAAAATGGGAAGTTTCATCGGCTCTCTCGGTTGGGAACACGATAAGACTTGGTTTCGAGAATTCAGAGACCAGGTCAAGCGAAGCCCTGAATTTCCGTCGTGGTCATGGGCCGCGTGGGAGGGACAACAAGACTATAGTAGCCTCAACAGCACAAAAGATCTTCGAGTCAAATTCTATTTGACGGACGGCTCACCCGTCGACTTGTCCAACGAAAGCACGAAAGAGGAGCTGAGGGGTCTAGAATCGAAAGCGACGCATCGGTTTACCCTTCAGACATTTATTCTCAATCCTGATAGTATTACTGCTCATGATAGCAAGCTCTATTTGTATCACGAGGCACGCCAGAACTTTTTTGAACCAATGAAAGTTCAACATTACCTTGGGAGGGATGAGGACGACAAGACCCTCGAGCAGATTCGAATCGGAGTATTTAAACTTATTTACGTGGGGACTGTTCATCATGCAGCTTCAAGAATCCAGCCCCAAATGAGATTCATCGTTGGGCGTAACAAAGAGGATTCGTTAGAGCGAATTGGTTTGATGAAGGTTAAGCTGGGAACGTCGGAAGATGAGATGGCTTATTTACGATCCAACGCCAACTTTATGAGTATTGACCTCGTATGATTTTATAGAATATATGTTCGATTTTCGATCATGAACGAGGCATGGGTAAGGGATACGAGCCTAAATGATATACCGCGATCGCTTTTAATCTCCATTTTCCTAGATCGGAGAATTATTTCATCAGACCCTATCATCTCAGCCTCGAATCAGCGCCGCAATCACAATTTCAATGCCTGTAAAATTGAGAATAATTCAATAAACAAGTAGCCAGAGATTGGAACACCTTGGGCTTGCTTGTCTGAACTCATCTCTTTAGAATATATACGTCTGGATTAAAATTAAAATCCCTCGCCAGCACTAACCAATTGCAAGTTTAACGGGATACCACCTTGTGGTGAATGAACAATATGTTTGTTTGCAAATCTTTATCTATGCAATTTATTTCAGTAAACCTACGATACTGTCTCTGTCGATAAGGCTTATTACGTATATCAAGGAAGGAGCGTTGGAAATTCGTTCCTTAACAGTGCTAAATTTGTTATTGTCACGTAAGTCTAGTAACGCCGTAATCTCTTTTAATTTTGGGAGTGATAATGAAGCGATAGCTCGATCGGATCATTTGGGGAATAGCACGCAATCAAAGATATTCGGGCTCGAGTGGCAAGCGATAGTATAATATTTTTATTCCTCAGCAAGTTCTAAATTTCCTTCATCTTTAGATAAATCACCCGGAAGTACGCAGCGCTTCCATTTTCGTTTTATATCAGTTTCTATATAGTAAATCTTTTGTATGTTTAGTTCTAAAGAACACGAATTATGTTCTCAATTGAATTTGTTATACATTTCAGTCCGATTGAAATTAACACCCATACATGTAGATTGAAATCGGTAGCAACTTAGGCTTCGGCAGCAGACACCTCTCTCTCTTATGCCTTATAATAAATCTCACCCGGTTTCAGCTAAATTGAGCGTGGTTTCGATATTATGAAGGTACATACGAATCACTTGTGGAACTTCACAGATTCAACAAACAGTTCAACCCAGCACTCAGAAACATCGAAGAAGGTCATGGTATAGGGGATATAACCTTGGTAACGACATAACGTGTAGTTAAGGAAGAGATTTCCGCCCCGTCGGTTATAGGGAAAGGTTGATTTGAAACTCGTCATCGGTGTTATATGAAAAGATTTCCCATGCCAAAGTCCTTCAGACTTTTCTGATCTTAGTGACGAATAACAAACATTACAACAAAACTCTCAATGATGTAGCCCAACTTTACTATAGAAAAACACTATATATTCAGAAAAGCCTGTTTAGGAGTAGAAGATGTGGCTATAAAGGCATAACTTTTAGACTCGCGCAAATCTTTCTTTGACGACCTCTCACCTAATCGAAATACGCGCACATGACCTGTCCGAAACTGACTGACACCACCCAGTAAAACAAATTATACGTTTCCATGAAGACTATTTTTGTCCTATTCAGGTCATTTCTCCGAAATCATTCACAATTACGGAGTTGTGTGATCGGTTTTAGGGAATTTGAATAACTCACTACCGAAAACATAATCATGACCGATTCCTACTTTCCCAGAAATGCTGGAACGTTGTCTTCTACTACGACGCTTGCAAATGACGACGCATACAGAAAATTTCGAGGCGTATCTTTATACCTACTCTCGACTATCCTGCAAGATTTCATAGTTCTTCTGGCTTTTGATGACTTCTGCCGCGCTCCCATTTTTCTCGGGATTTTCACTGTTTGAGCCTTGAGATCTTACAGATCGTCCGCTCCTTATATTTACAGATTTCTTGCAACTGTTTCTTTTCCATTTCTAGTTTTTGCTTCGAGTTATAACGATGTAAGTAGTTCTCGATTTTTCTTTTTAAGTGACACTTTTAGGGCCACTAAGAGCTCAAAAACCACATAGGCTTTTGCCGCAAATCAGTTAAACACTCGTTATTATACACCGCAATAGCAATAAACCACACCTCTCTAGATGACTGACTAACATACTCTAGCAATTCTTTAGATCCTTCAATAATATTCTTCCACCTATTTCAGGTTACCGCTAAAGCGTTTCAAATCTGACGGGACTTCTCCTTGAGGTAAAATAATGATATTCTGCCCAAAAGGCTATGTTTGTTTAGTCTAGCTGAGTAGACATCCAGTATTTTATCCATTCGGAATTGTAAAGGTAGCCGCTAAGGAAGATGTATTGAAAAGTTGTTTTGTAACATTCTTTTACTCGACAAATATACCACTAATTATATTATACATAATGTAACACTCTGGAAAGGTCCATTTTCTTCCAAACTTCAGTCCCCACTTCTCGTCAGCAAAGAAGGCCTAAATAAGTTGTCGTGTTATGGTAATTTAAACTCTACAAGTTTGATAAATCTGCCGTAGAAATAGAACACCAAGTTCTCAATTGCTAGAAAGGGAGTTGTAAGTACTTTTAAACAGCTTTACTCGAGCTGCGATTGTGATAAGAAAGAGGGTGGAACAGACATGATACAGAGGATATTAATTGGTAGGCGGAGTCTACGCTTTTACACTCAATATCCTGCCGCCAGCCAAAGCTATGCTCTAGTATTTATCTGGTATCATTTATAGATTTTAAAGAAGATATTAAATCTATAGAAGAGTAAGCTATCTGTCGCCGATCATTGAATCACTACCGATTTCTAGCTACCTGGACAACCCAAAACGATTTATCTAGTACATTATTCCCATAAATGAATAACTCTCCAAACAGTACTGACTTCCCCTTTCCTAATCATAGTAACCTCATCGGTTACGTTAATCTGCTCCTACATGCTGTCACTAAAGAGAAAGTCCCAAATCATTTAATCGAGAATAGCCGACGCTGTCATTGTTCTGTAGACAAACAGTACTTTGATTGAAAAAATAGGGGTTATGCCTATAAATTTGGGAATAATAATGATCAAAGAGGTTAATAATAATAGACTACTATTTGATTGATGTTTAATGACTGTAGCGAATGTGGAAAAAGAATGAGGTTATTTTTATCTATTCTGATTCTAGTGCAATTATTCTTCAATCTTACAACTCACACGAGCATGAAGAACAAACAGCCGATTGAAGCTCTTCTAATTTCCACACAATAGATACGCTCTCAGATCCACCAAACCCATCTTAAACAGAAAACATAGCATTAAAAGCGACTTCGGACACACGTTCTCTCGACAACGGCATAAGCTACGAGGCCCTGAGCTTGGTTTCTATTGACAAATGTTTCGCGGAAACTTTGGTTCATTTTCATAGTTACTCTCTTCCACTAACCAATTTATTTATCTAAAGTTGCTTACGAATTATCAAAATCTTTCGGAATCTCAAGGAAAGTAAGGTATTTGCTGCCGAAAGCTCAGTTACTACCGATTTCTACTACTTAGAATTTTTTTTTTGGATAGGTGGATATATTTCGAAGTGGAAAAAGCGCAGGACGTATACAAAAACTACTCTATATATTAGATAGATATAGTAAAGACTTTTCTCAACAAGCTATCTATCTCGCTCAACCTTCCAAGTTTCCCCTGGCATGAACCGACTTTGTGCTCTAGAATACAGGTTTCATCGAGATCTTCTTACCATAGGGTTTCCTTATATAAGTTATAGTATTACTGGTAAAATTTCTTTCATAATAAAAATGTAGTGGTCATTCTCGTGTTATGTAGACAGTCACATACTTGACTTTTAATATATGTTTGAGAATCCTGCTAGACTTGGCAACTCTGCTATCGTAGCTAATGTGCCATAGTTAAGAAGAGAACTTCACTAAACTAAGGGAATATGAGTTGAAGATATTATGAGGGAAGTAACTAAAAGAGATAGCATTATAATAGATAGGCTTTAGAGTAATATTTTATAAAGAACACTTAACTTTAAAAGACTAGTTACGTATCTCTAGAGTGTTTTCGATATATATCTATAGAGATATATATACTACCTCGAACTAATAGAACTATAGTAGTAGGAATACTATAAGTATATATTATTTTTTAATAAGTATAAATTAGACGAGGTAGTAGAGATATTCTAGACGAGAGAAGCGAAATCCTGTAAACGAAAAATAATATTTCGAATATTATAGGGGAATTAGAGGCTAGAGAAAGGATTCGCTAAAGAGGAATACCGCTAAGTGACTAAACACAGACGTGTACATTTTCCCTAGAATATCTAAATTGTTTTTTACTACTATATCTAACCCTTCTTTAAACTTATCTTGATACCCCTTCTACGTTATCTAAATTAAGTCACAAAGTACCCTTTCTGGCGTGGCGAGAAGAAATATCGTGAAAATATAATGAATATATAAAGTATTCCACATTACTTCAACTGTACTCACAAATGTAAATTGGTTGGTTATTCAACGTCTAAACACAGATGAATCAATTTTCGTATCTATAATCGCAAGAAAAATACGAACTTACCACAAATCTTTTTAATCCGGCTCTTCTACATTCCAATTTTCTTAATCCCAATCCACACAATCCCATACCCAACCTCCCTCCCCCCTCTCCCATCCGTTAAAAAAAAGCAATTACCAACCCCTTTTCCCCTTTCCTCCTCATTTCTCATTCCATCATCCCTACCACAGGATCTTCAACCCCCCCTTCCATTCCATCAACCAAACTCCCTTTCCAACCATTCATTCCAAAGCCTAACAATATATCACTTTCATCCCCCCCTTCCCCCCCTATCCCTCCTTCCTCACAAATACACAACCTTCCTCCCCGAGATGGAGAACGGCGAACTACCAAGTCCTCGGTATTCGTCTGCGTGATACACGGTACTACAGGTGCGACGGCAATTTCCCAGAGTCGTGGGTTTGGGAGATGCAGGTAGCCGTTTTGCGCTGTACGTTTCCGTTGTGGTGGTGCATATGATTTTCGGTGGGCGAACTTTTTGTTGGGGAGTTGCATGGTGGTGGTTTGTGAGGTTGGATGGTGGGATTCAAATTAAGTCTTGGGAGTGGCTTTGAAGTTGCAGCACTGGTGTTTGGTGTGAGATGATTTATGCTAGAAAACCTATTCAGGAAAATAATTCATGCCAGGCTGCGCGATTACAGTCAGACCGCAAGACACAATTCTAGATGCCTAACCTTAGTTCTCGAGGATACATAATAAGTCACGATCTGAAGCTGACCGAGGAAATGATGAGTTCGTCGCAATGTGGCTTGTGGAGGACAATCTGAGTATATCAGTAACCTACCGACCTATTTTTTTTTTAAGATAGTCTTTGAATCTTGTGTGAATGCAAGGATGAGAAAATGTTTCGCTACTCAAAATGATGGCCGTTATACACTACACGTATTTCATCAAACGAATCGAAGAAACACCTGCTGTTAATTACCTACCTATTTCCCTACTGCGAAAGGGAGAGAATAAGATCTCACGATCTCAATGAATCAATCAAAATATCACACATTCTACACTTCAACACCAGTAGTAGTCTGATACCGAAAAAGTATACACCACAGCTACGCCGCTCCAGCAAAGAATGCGGCTCTTTCCATTCCGCCCCAATCTGACCAGTCACCTGGAGAAGCCCGACAGGCAACACGCATTATCTAGCCAATTTACATGTTTCCAAAATTAACAACACCACCCAGGCGTGGGGGTCGGAAAAACCAATACATCTCCATCTCGTGTAACCGTCATCCTAGACTTAAAATTGGACAATCCAGAGGGGTAAAAATGCAGTCAGCACTTTACACCATCTGATATGGAGGAGCTTAATTTTCGATTTTTAATATGTAGCCCTAGCCAAGAAACTAGGCAGAAGGAAGTGGTGCAGATGAGGGTTGCAAAGATAAATAAGATGAGAATATCCACGTGGCGAATGTAGAGGGAGGATATGCAACTTGAGAAGCCATATTACTCTAAGCTGGTCACAGCATACGCTGCAGGTACGAGCCAGTCGAGCGTAGTGGCCTGGGAGTCGCCTGGGACATCAGCCACCAAAACTGTAGAGTCTGTGCCGAGCTGGTATCGAGATGGTATCAATGTTATACCTCGAGTCTCTGACCGTTCCGCCCGTGTACTCGAACGTTTTGTTTACCTGAGTCAAAAGGATTCTGGTTTCTGTCGAGCAGCAACGTACCTGCGTCTTTCATCTGATGTGCCCCTTTTCCTTGCGTCGTCTTTCCACGTGGACGCTTAGATACACTTTTCGGTCTGATTACCGACTAGCAAACCTTGAAAGGCGGGTTCAAGAACAAGGTGCAAATCACGAAAACGACTTGTTTCTGTGGCGGTGCGAGGGTTCGGACATGACATTTGGTCGCTCGGATCATGCGTTTTGTTTACCTGTTGACCTGACCCCCAGCTGTCACGGTTTGGCGCAAAGCACAAACCGTGACGAATCATGACCGAAGAAGGGCGAAATTCGGTGGATGAAATGAGGATGAGGGCGTGGGTTTATTTTCAGCGGCGGTGAGTGATTCGTAATGTTAGAAAGCATCCTTTTCGTCCATGAGCGTGTATGAAGGGCGTGTGAAGAAAATGGGAGCCTGTGATGTTGAACTGTTTTCCGCGCGCGAAATACCTTCCCGTACGTGCCTCTGCCTGCCCCGCCATTCCAGCTGGGGTGTCTTGTGGTGACTAGGAATGTCGATGACCACTCGACCAGGGCATATCTCAGTGGATTCCATGGAGTGAGGCCGATATTGAAGTGCACTAGAGGACGACGACATGTACAACATTTACATTTAGCCTATGGATCTCATCCCGGCTGCCATGCCGATTGTCGAGGCAGCGTAGGATTAGGATTCGAGGTATCCGATGCCATCGCGATACAAAGTAATTCCAACAAGTGTGACAACGGCGAGACTTTGAGAGAGCCAAAGATGTTGTCGTTTCGAGCCCGATGAAGCTGTGAGAGGGCGCAAAACCACGCGGGAGGAGAGTTTCAAGGACATCGCCGACCTGTGGTCACGATTCGACCTATCACCGTGGGTGCTTCTCGTTCTTGCGCCAATGAATGGAGCCTCGGATGCCAAGCAAGCTGCAGATGCAGACCGTCCACAGGGGAGGTGGAGAGGGACAAGCTGCATCGCCAGGATTCTGAATGGTGGATGTGATCATGGGCATCGAGGAGTCGAGGGGTTTATATGGATGATAACTTCTCAGATATCGACCGGGGACAGACATCGTTCGCTTCGGCGTCCTGACTGTCGGGACAAAAGGGACTCCTCGTCTCTACCCGCTTTGAGCGCCCACATGAAGGACGAAGACGAAGTACTGGGAGAGGAAAGAATATTGGGGGCCCGCCCCTCGTAGATGATCGACGACGACGATGATGGGAGTGATGATGATGGCGCGCGCTAGCAATTACTTAATTTTGACTCCATAGAGTCCTGAGTCTGTTCTCAACAAGTGTTGATTGACTCTTGGGCCTCGAGATATGAAGATGTATTTTGGGAGATTAATCTCCTAACCTTCATCGATTCACAGTCAAGTAATCGACATTCATCAGTCGATGGGCACTCCAGTAACACAGGAGTCAGGACAAGGAGAGACGGCTACCTGAGCCAAGATGCTGCACACGATACCACCAACACGATCGAGAACAAAATACCAAACTCTCATATGCCATCTGCATCATCATAGGACCAGACACCCGGAAAACCGTCAAAGTCTCAGACTTTCGGCGGTAACGGACACGGAGAAATTGTCAACGGTAGTTCGTAACTCGTATCAGGACGAGATGCGATAGGACAGCCATGGTTTGTAGAGGCTTGCCTTTTGAGGAACATGAATCGCCCGACGGAGCCGACTGACAGGTCCAGAACGGCTCTTGAAGGTTGGATGCAGCAGCAGCGTGGTGTTGTTCCGATGTTCAGTGCTCACATACCTTTTAGCCAGCCACAGAGAGGTATCGTTCCAACGTCCAGGGACAGTTGAGAGCAAAAGCCACGGCCGTAGTCTGCAAGCGGTTTAGCTACGCTTGATCTGAATGCCCCGGGGAAGATCCCAAAGCTTTCCCTGAGCCGTGGCCCTAAAATAGAGGAGGCTCTAGGAGGCTATGCCAGATCTGGGGCTAGGGCGCGAAGTATATCCTCCACTTCACCCCTTTGGGATGGGTAGAGGTCCATCCAGCACAGCCGATGATTTCCTAAAGCAGCTGGTGCTGGAACGAGAGGCGAGTGACGGGCACTTTGCGGCAGGCTAGCCTTGGATTGTGCTGGGTGCAGCTGATTCCATCTGTCGGAGTCTGCAACAAAGGCCGACGCAGTACGGAGGTACTTGCGATTTTGGTGAAGCGGATTTCGGTTTGGTGACAGTTTGGGATCGTGGATTTAACACCAGAGTCTAGAAAGACGACAAGCAAAAAGCAAAAGAGGAAGGAGAGACTGAGACTTGTGCCGAATGGGGGAAAATAGGGCTGTTGCAGCTTGGGGGCCATGATCATCGGGCAAGATTCACGACTCACGATACTTCTTCTTCTTCTACTTCACTTGTTGACAGGTGCAAGTCTCCCACTGACACCTGCTACTGAGATCAATCCTCCGACGTCAAAAGTTACGAACCAGTTTCCAAAAGTAACCTCACTCATACCATCTCCAACTTCAAATCATTCTTGCAACAGCAACTGCAGGACCCTCAACGCACCAGTCTCCTGCCACCACTTGCGCCCTCCGCCCTTTTCAACCCCAGACTTTGCAAGTTGTGCATGTCTCTCAGTCTCAGTCCCCGTCTCTCAGACTGGTTTGTGCCTGGCAAGATGACACTGCTTGTGCGTGCGGCGCAGCGGGAGCGAGACGTGGGAGACTCTTCCTCGCTGCACATCTTCTGCGGGAGCAGCCAATTGCTGGGTGCGCTGGCGTTTCTGCGGGGGCACAACTGAGCGAGTCGCTGCATCCCGGAAAGTCGGAGCAGCTGCAACTTTTCTCCACGAAAGACGACAACCATCACCATCGTGACATCTGCGAATAACGGACCGTGTTGGACGCCGCTTGCAGCTTGCCAGCGACTGTTGGAACACCACCTTTTGCCGTCGGGCCTGTGATAACCCCAACTTCTTGGGCTGCTATTATCCTCATCTTCCGTGGTCCAGACCGCGACGTAGGTAACTTCTTAGTCGAGGTCGCGGAGGAAGCGACATCAAACGTCTTTACCAACGAGCGGCTCTCTTCCAACTCGTCCCAACACACGCGCAGATGTTGTTTTACCTCGGTGCCATGCAACGGTTCCGATCTGCGAGATACGGCAATGACCTTCCCAGATTTTACCACTGGATTTCTGTTTGGACAGAACAATACATACAGCACATACTCCACACACTGCTGCAGTGCACAGCTTGATGCCATGTTTTCTGCTGCATCTCTTCTTCACCCGCTGGCCGCCAACAATCTCCTCCATCACCAACTCCCATCCTCGACTGCTGGAATTCGAGGTGGTGGCCCTGCAGCTTGTCCCGCAGCGCCAGCAACACAGAAAGCTGGCCGCATCATGCAAGAACAAGGCCAGGAAGACCGAAATAGCTGACGTCCTGGACCGTACCACATGAGACATCCCTGAGGCAACTCATGCAGCTCATCCCATCCATCTAACTTTCTCGTCTCCGAAATCAATCATCTCCTTGTCCCCTCACGAGCCACCACATATCACCGTGGAAGTACTTTGTGGTTGGAGAACCGCCTGGAGTATACTTCTACGTTTTCTTTCTATATCAACACGAATTGTAAGATATAGGTTGCGCAGTTACTGTTGAAGTATCACTCTATGGCAGTGCACCGCGTGCTGCTTTTGTGTTTCCCGAATTAACTTTGACTTTCTCGATACATGTCGGATGGCAGTCTAGTAAAATGACCCAAGATGGTGTGCATATTTGTAATTGTAGCAATTTCATACGAGCTCCAGAAAGTCAAAATCGGTACACGATGTCAAGTAATTAGGCTTGACGCAATATCGTATGTTTGTTTACATTCCGACCCAAGTCAACACTTTTAGAGCCTTCTTTGGATCCGTGGAAGCCCATCGGAAGACTCTGTAGATAACTCACTATGAGGTTACAAGGTAAATTAGGCGATTACTTGGCGAGCCTGGCTAGAACTTTGCGGACTCTAACATCGGACTCTTACTTTGTCCATTCAACACGAGATTTGACCACAACTTTTCAGCCCTCATTTCATGTTTAGTGTTCAAAAGCCTTGCAAATCACAAATCATCCGCCCAAGAGGCTTTCGGCGTCAAGATTCGTGTTGTTGGACCGGTTGGTCTTGAGCCCGGGGCCGACCTTTCGGAAAACGACATTCAATGTCTCCCTCATTGGTTGACGACATGATCCGCGGACGTGGGATCTCAACGTGTACAAGAGGCAGTTGCTAGTTCCCGATCGGGAGGGAGAGTAACCTAGACAGGCTGAAATGAATCCGACGATAAGAGTTTTGGGGATGTCCTCACTGTTTTCACCACATCTCGAGCCTTCTGAAGCCTTAGCCTTGCGATGTACCTGAGAGAAGCGTGTCGTTATCTGGCGGTGCCCTGCAGCCAGACCAGGCTAGACAGCGCCAACGGAGTGAAAGTAGATAAAGTGAGCGAAAAGCGGGCTCAAAGATCACCGAACCGCTAATGACATGATGGTAAAAATTAGAAAGCGGCTAGAGATAAGTTCATGACGCCGGCAAAAATCCAACCAAGACCAACGCTACTTTCCACCTGGCTGAGCTACGTAACTCGTGGCAGGATGAAGAGAACCGAGAATTTCTATGGACGTATCTCTGGCTATCATCAGTTCCGAGCAGTGCTAGGAGAATATCCAAGGCAGCCCCCGCTGAGGACTAATTCTGACCTCGGAGCTGGAAGTGACAAGTACTTCTTGTCGATCCAGACTCGGAGGAAGAAACAACCGTCGGTCGCGGCAGTCTGTTCTGGACTTTGCAGTGTCTATCACATCGCGACATCAAAGTCACTCACCTACAAGAAAGTCTCACCTCGAGTACTTTGTTCCTTCGCCCCTCTCCCTCTGCAGCGGTAATGGCGCGCCAGGCCAATCAGCATGGGAGAGAGCGTGCACTAGGGACCCGTGTTCAAGGGGCCGCTCTGCATGGGCAGACAGCGGACCTCAAGGTCACTGCTGGTGAAATGCGGTGGCCTAGCTTGGCCCGGCTGGTGAGGCCAGAGATGCAGCCATAAATCATCCTGTGCGAGTAAGGTCGCGCTAACGCTGGATCAGAAGCTTGTCAGGTTGGGACGATGAAGCAACGGAAGTCTGGTAAGCGGTGCCAGTCTGGTGAAGCAGTAGGTAGCAGTCGCTGTTCGATTGACCTGCGAACGCTTCGAACGGCATAGCCACACCTCAGCGTGGAGGGCAGAGGGTCATCGCAGTGCAGCCATCCACTGCCCTATGGCGGCAGCAGCCCGCACCAAAAAAGATACCTTTGATGCAAGCCGACGCAAACAGCGTGCGAGTTGGGATGGCTCGGGCAGGACAAGCCCAAGACAACCAGACCACCCCAAGACGAGGGGGCAACCACAGCCAAGGGGGGGAGCAAAGTGACGAGGCTCAGGGATACCACGCGCTGAAATCGCAGCACGCTTGCAATCATCGGGGCCTTGCGCACCTCGACTTGGTGCCCCTGTTTAAGCGACCAGGGCTGCCGGGCAGAGTGAGTGAGCAAGCGAAGGCAGGGCCCCCCCCTATCTCGCCCCCAACGCAACAAAGCCCCCGGTGATGGGTGAGAGGCTTTTCGAAAAGTGTGGTTGATCCGGGTGATGGACCTCCAGGACATGACGAAGGGTCTGGTTTTCACAGGACCATGGTTGAAAAGAGTTGAAATGCAGATGTGGATGTGCAGCAGCAGTCCATGTGGATTGCAAAGGGTCCCCAGCCAAGCCACACATCATAGAAGATGCTTTTGAGCTGGCACCTAGCCATCTAGCCATCTAGCCCGTGGTGGAAAGAGGAAAAGAGGAAAACAACCTCGGGAGGGCAGCGGGAGCGAGGGGAGTCAGGATAAAGAGAAAGCTCCAGGCCAGCCAGGCCCAGCACCCAGGGCGAAGGGCATCAAGGGCTCAGCAGAACCAAGATCTCATCGAGGGAGCCCGTACATACATAGATACTACCTGTGACCCCTCATACGGCAGTTCTTGTTCTTCTTCTCTTTCTCTTGAGATCAGCATTCGAATCCATACTTATTACAAACGTATTTTCTCACTGGTACGGGACCTGCCATTAGTCCAACACCCGCTCACCACGACCACTCGCAACTCCCCCACCGCGGTCATTGACACGGATTTTACGGATTAAACTGCACCAAATAACCATCCAAATTGCGTCGTAGCACCCTCGAGCCACTTTCCTTGGTCCGCCGTAGCAGACTGGACGCCCCGTGTGTACGGTCGTGTATGGGCACTGGCACTGGCACTGACTGCGACCGGGACCAGCACTGCTCTGTAGGGTGGACGCCACGGATCCAGAAACCTATGGTTGTACCGCCACAGATCTACCGCCAAAACACCAAGCGCTTCTCACCTCTCACTACCACCTCCACCACTCCACTTAACCTCTCCCGTATGTGCCTCCTTCTCTTCTTCTTTTAACTCTCCACCCTTCCCGCCGCAACCCTCCTCCTCCTCGAATCCTTCCTCCCTTTGGTCTCTCCTTGACGCTCATCTCAGCAGCAGCACCATCGTCGTCGTCTTCCGCTCTTTGTTCGCGTCCCAACAATCGTTCGTCGCTCAAAGTACTACTCGCTGTTGCTTCGCTTCTCCGTTGCGTTAGTCCTTCCGCCGTAATCGATACCACCAACTTTCGTTCTTGCACGCCGAATCCAGCGATCTATTGATTTTATATTTCCACAAGATATCCCGCTCAGAAGTCATCCGTCACAGTCGACCGTCTTCCATCCTGTTGATTGTTTATCCATTGTACTTTTATCGCATCCTCCATCGACACCATTCCCACCACTGTCGAGCTCATTCAGCCAGTTCTCACTGCACGGTCTCAGTCATTAACTTGAACTCGACCTGAGAATTTATTAGAACCACCAGCGATTCCTTAACACATCAATTGCACCCATAGACTTTACGACACAGCTCCGCATACGTTCAAAAGCATCTTCATCTACTTACTGGCCGGCGTGTGGGTTCTTACTTCCTTGGCGGGCGAACAACCTATACAATGCAGAACATGATATACCACCCCAACCCCAACTTCCAACACTACCAGCATCAGCACGAGCAGCATCTCAATCAGCAGGCATTATCTCATTTTGAAATGCAGAACCTCCACAACTATGCGATGGCCCAGCAAAACGCCCAATTATTAAACATGCCTCCAGCGAAAACCAATGAGACCAAGCCTCGTCTGGGAAAGGACGAGGTCGACATCCTCGAGCGAGAATTTAGAGAAAATCCAAAACCCACAACCAAGGTCAAGCAGAAGTTTGCACGGGAGATGGGAGTCGAGTTGCCGCGGATTAACGTATGTATAACAGGTACTCTGGTGCGTTCTTGCTGACCAGGCGTAGAATTGGTTCCAAAACAGACGAGCAAAGCGGAAGCAGGTGGACAAGCAGCAAGCATATGAAGCCGGGCAAGCGCAAGAAGCCTTGGGAATGTCCGATTCAGCCTCCTCCCCAGATTTGTACAATGTCACTGGATTTTTCGATGAGATGCAACAGACAAGCCCATATCCTCCACCATCGGGTCCCCCACCCGCAGCCGCATCTTACAACCCGCAATACTCTGATCCCACTGGTGCCAGCATGGAGTCGCTGCAACGAACAATGGCTGCTGCCCAAGCGTCACATCCAGAGTTTCAAAATGGGTTTTTCGCTCCTGACGATATCATGAACTTTCAAGGTTCAATGGTCCACGAGTCGACAGAAGACCGAGCCCAGTTTCCTTTGCCAGAGCCATTAGCCACACCATACACTGAGACCTTCCCTGCAAATTTCACCAGCAACATTTATAACTCACCCCAATCGACATCGGACCTCGGATTTTCTTCTGATGATATGGCCAATCAGACACCAATGCCTTATGACCATGCTCCATCATTCAACCCCGAGTCCAACGAGTCTCAAGCCACACCTTTTCCCTCGGAACTTATTCAACAACAATTCGACGGTTTACCTTCCCTTACTCACGATTCCAGCGAAAGCCAGAGTCCGCAGGAAAGCAATGAATCACACAACAGTCTTGACTACACGCTCGATATTTTCGAGTCTGAAGAGGGTGATGACATTTCATTAGCACCACCAGCTCCATCGATTCCCTTCAAATCACCAGCGCCCATGGACATTGCATCGCGTCGAAAGGTGCAGAAGCCCACGAATTTAGTTTCGGGCAACTTCAGGAACCGACCTTCAATGGGCCCGAGAACCGTATCGCACGCAGATGGCTTCCGTCGAGGTGTAGAAAGCCCGCTTGCATCCCCAATGCGTCGGATCGCTTCAGCCGGTGGGAACCGACCTAGTGGTGGGAATGTCATTTCCGGACGTATCTGCAAACCAGGAGTCGAATCAGCTCAACGATCACCAATTGTTATGGGTGGTTTTATGGATGAAGCGACTTTTGAACGTGTCAAGACTTTCCGAAGACCTGGAATCCGCAATCCTCCATCTCTTACTGCGCTTTCATCGCTCAATAGCAGCCTCGCTCCACCAACTCCAATGTCCCCATCTGGAAGAGAGATGGGTTTCAAACGTGATGGTCCAGCGTCAACAGCTTCTCCTCATGAGGGTAGCATGAATTCTTATATATTTAACAGCAGTGCCAATGGGTGCTTCACCGCCGTGGAGAGCGATCAGAATCTCACATCGCCTCCAGTCACACCGCACAACCAGCTCGTCACTCCAGGAAGTGGATGGCCAAACGCTACTGATTTCCAAGACAGACAATGGGCGTTTGAGGTTCCAGATGAGCCACTGTACACACCTGCCAACGAGAACTTCCACCCAGAACTCCACATGCCACAACCACAACCATTGTACATAAACAGCATGAGCCAGCCCATCTCCCCCGAATTCGCTCTCGCACAGCGATTCAACACCACCGACATCTACCAACAAGACACCGGTTCTCCACAGTTCAAACACGAGTCTCCCCAATATACCTTATCTGCACAGAATAATACCGAGTATTCTTTCCCTGACGCCCAGGGTCAATATCCTCACCTCCTTACTTCAGCCTCGGCGATGGCGAAACAAAAAACGTTTCAATTCTCGCATACCACACAGGCGGATTTCCCTAAGAAATGAGGAATCATTTAGAGCAAGAGAAAGGAGTTACAAGCTGTTTGGATATTTAGTGTTGGATGCAAAAATGTGATACCTGGGTTAGAGATATACTGCATATCTATCCCGCCACCCCGTCTTTGAACTTGGAGTTTTTTTTATCGTTAATCATAATTGGGATGGGAGGGTGGATGTTAAGACATCTTTGTTTTTGCGAACGGGAGAAATGTGTTCTTGTTGGTTGGTCTCATTAATACCCGATAGGAAGGGAGGATATGATTGAATTGATTTGATGTATGAAAAATGAATGGTATTTGTGTGAGGAAATATAGGTGCGAGGAGAAGAGGGTAAAGGGGAGATGGGGATGAGGCGAGGAGAGGGGAAGGAGGAAAAGGTGGATATATATACAACCTTCTTGTAATATTATTAGTTGTACTAGTGGTAGTACAGACAGTACTTTATTCATTTTTTGAAGCACTTTTTGCGAGCGTTTTCTTGATTTTTTTGCTTTGCGAGCGATGAGTCGGTATCGGGCGGTTATAGAGATTTGGTGGTGGGTAATTTGTAATTTGTAATATAGATGGTGGGATAGGGTATACAGTACTATCAAAGGGAAAAGCGAGAAGGTTATTTGGAAATACATAAATATTTGTATTTATGAGTTTTTGATTTGGGGGTTTTGTGATGTTGTGATATTGTGATGTTGTGGGATAATATCTCTTGCGAGATAACTAAATGAGTAAGGTGAAGTGATGTTTGTAATAGGTACCTATAGGGAGCTGGTTGTACATGACGTAAATCTGTTATATTTATATCCATGACTAGGGATGAAGGCGATGGAGTGATTGAGGATGAGATATAACTTGGAGAATAGAATTGTAACTGTAAAACTGGGTCTAAAATAAAGACGGTAAAGCAAATTGTTTTTTCTTGCTTTTTGGAGGGGGAGGGATTTGCTTAGCGATGTTGTGGCGAAGGGTTTTGGTGAGAGGGGTGGAGAGGCATTTTGTGAGGAGTGGAGTGAGTGGAAATGTAGGAATCGATGACGGATATATTTTCGGTGACAAGACTTAGCTTCGAGCTTTTATTCTTTCTGTGGTAATATAGTTGGGTGATGGGGAGTGTGAGGGGGGAAATTGAAGGACTTGAAGAGAGGGGAGAGGAAATGGGTGTTGTTATGGTGGGTGGAGGTATGTATATGCACAGCACACAGCTTGTCTTGTAGTACTTTCCGTAATTGCGGAATGGATGTTGGGGGGTGAGATGGGAGGGTGTTGGGGGTTTTATAGGAGGGTTAATAAGGATTAATTTTCACGCTGAAAATTCGGGATAAGAATTCAAATTTTAATTTATAACTGAATGTAATTCTCTCAACGACGCTTATTCTTACTACAAAGTTTAATCAGAAGCAAGCATTGTCAAGACAACCAAATAGCTTACCTGACTTGATACTACTAACATTCAGCAAAATCTCCCGACTATTCTGGGACATTTGTTTTGGCTTCTGGATGGAGAAGGATTTTTGATTGGTGGTTTTAGATAGATGAAGATAAGGTGTACGGGGTGCTTTGTTGACTAATAGGTGGTTCCGGGTGGTGGGCTGGGAACAGTGGGAAGTGCGTGTTTATTAATAGAGAGGGTTTGTTGTGTTGGTGGGCTGGGAAGACAGATCTGGAAACTGTCGATTGTGGGTGTGGAGGTTTGACAGGATGTGTATGTGGTGGCAGTGGTGGAGAAAGCGTAGGGATTAGTGGTTCTGAGGGTGTGTGTGGGTAAAAAGTGTGGTTTTGTGTTTTGATGGGACTGTAGATGGAGAAGGAGAGGAAGTTGTCACTGAAATAGATGTTGCTGCCGAAATCTACGTTCTTGATGTAGATAAAATTTCAGCTTTCTTGTCGTGTGTACTATGACGCTTTTATTGGATGCAAGCTATCATCTTCAGCATGAATGAAAGGAGAACTGAGAACGGCACTTATGATTCCCATTTTGTTAGGCTTTCGTATACTAATCTGCTTTGTTCAGTTAACGATGCTATTGCGAGATGCTTTCATAAAGGATAGTCATCGTGAGTTAAAAGGAGGACGTATTGCGATTTTTGTGGAAGCGGAATAGTAGAGGGAGGTGTGAGGATATGCTTATTTATTGAAGGCTTGAAGCTTGTGGATGATGGTACATGGGAATGGAATTAAGGTTAATAACTTAGGGGTTTTACTTTTACTTTTCGTTTCGAAATTAACCAATTTTTGAATTACGTTTAGGATACAAAAGGAGTAAGTGTAGGTCGGAAGAGGTGAGTTATTAATGGGGGGTTTTGACGGTTGATGAGAGATAGCGAGAAGAGTCGAGACCGGGAACTATGACCCGACTGAGGGAGAAGGGAGTTTCAAGGGATGGGGATGAGATGGAAATGGAAATGGGATGTTAGGATGAGAGGTTTGTAGAAATGACCTTAGGGAATGAATGGGGTGTAGATATTTGGGGTGTAAAATAAAAAGGGGAAGTTGTCACCGATTTTGAAGTCACCACCGATTCTCACTCTTTCCCCTAATAAATACAGAATATTCTTCAAGTGCATAACACTGGAACCCCCCTAGTAATCCAAGCTACTTAATACAAAACAACTCAAACATCATAAAACAAAAAATATTTATCTATCATTACTATATCGACAGCTTCTCCTATAATAATCAATGACGGTCTCGTTGACATGTTTTGCAGGCGAGATCTCTCTGTGAAGAAAACTGGATTTTCAACTGGAAGGGAGAGGATGGGAGAGGAAAGGGGGGAGAAGGGGTTGGATTTTATAGAGATTCGGGAGATATTTAGAGATGGGAAGTGAAAGATGTGTTAAAAGTTTTGGGATTTCGGTTTTCTGTGGTTGGGAGACGGGGTGGAATGAGAACGTCGAAGAGATGGGATAGATCTGTATGTTGTTTTTATTGATTTTTGGAAATAGGAAGAAGTTCACGAGTTGTCACATTGATAACTTTGGCTGAAGGTAGACAAAAGAAGTGGAAAACACAATTAGATTGTTTTAGGGCAGGCTAACAAGATATAGTACAGAATTGCAGGTGAGTCGACAAAATCTTGTATTTCTTCAATTGAATTGACAAATATTAAGTAATTTGTCTATCATTTTGAGAAAATAAGACGAGCTCTGTACAAAACTTTAAAATTGTAGGAGGTACGCATCTAGGTACACATAGTAATAAAATACAGGATGTAGGAGATTGCTGCTCGTGATCCAACGGGGATAAGGAGCGAAGCCCGAGCATCAAAAGTGGGTCCTTCGGTTGAGGCTATTCGCAAGTGAAAAGGGAGTTGAGCACGAAGTGAAGTGCAAAGTAATCGCGATGAGGGGTAGAGAGTTCGACAAGTCGTCCGGTGACTCATCTCAATAGTTGATTTCGCGAATTGGGATAAAAACCAGACGATTTGGAATGCTGGTTGCAACTGAGTCTACAAGCATGCGATTTCAGCATCCAGTGACAATGGTGAATGGCGACAAACTTCCCGTTGATGGTTCAAATGAGATTAGCATGCATGTTGGTAACGTGCCTTAGGCCATCACCTCAGACCTCAGAACTCCACGAGTTCATCGCATAATTTCTTGAGCATCGCAACCTCCATCATCCACAAAACAATACAATGATCCAAATTATCGACGTAAAGGGAAATACCCGCGAGCGCCGCACTGCCACTCACACCCACATCAAAGGACTAGGTCTTGGTGAAGATGGTCATGCAGAGAAACAATCTGGAGGGTTTGTCGGTCAAGCTGCCGCGAGAGAGGTTTGTCACAAATAATTCGCAACGAGGTACGGTGCTAACGAATCTCAGGCATGTGGTATCATCGTCGACCTCATCCGCACCAAGAAAATGTCAGGGCGCGCAGTTCTTCTAGCTGGCGGTCCAGGAACCGGGAAAACAGCATTAGCATTAGCCGTCAGCCATGAACTCGGAACAAAGGTGCCTTTCTGTTCAATGGTCGGTAGCGAAGTATACTCGACCGAAGTTAAAAAGACAGAGGCGTTGATGGAGAATTTCCGTCGTGCTATTGGTCTACGAATCCGGGAGACGAAGGACGTATACGAGGGAGAGGTCACCGAGTTGACACCAGAAGAAGCTGAGAACCCATTGGGAGCATACGGCAGAACTATCAACAGTCTAGTGATTGGCATGAAGGCTGGTAGAGGTACGAAGAAGCTACGACTAGATCCTAGTATTTACGAGGCTCTACAGAAAGAAAGAGTCACGGTTGGAGATGTTATATACATCGAACAAAATACTGGCGCGTGTAAACGTATCGGCAGATCAGACGCGTATGCTACGGAGTTCGATCTCGAGGCTGAGGAGTACGTGCCGTTACCAAAGGGAGACGTTCATAAGAAAAAGGAAATCGTCCAAGATGTCACTCTACATGATTTAGATCTTGCAAATGCCAGGCCGCAAGGTGGACAAGATGTGATGAGTATGATGGGCCAATTAATGAAACCCAAATTAACAGAAATCACGGATAAATTGCGAGAGGAAATCAACAAAGTCGTCAATCGATATATTGATCAGGGTGTTGCCGAACTGGTTCCTGGTGTCCTTTTCATTGATGAGGTATGTTTTTATCTAACTTCCCAACCTGTTTCCAGACCTGACTGGGTATAGGTTCACATGCTTGACATTGAATGCTTCACATATCTCAATCGAGCGCTTGAATCGAGTATTTCACCTATCGTCATTCTTGCGTCAAACCGTGGTATGTGTACCATCCGCGGCACCTCAGATATTGTCGCAGCCCACGGTATCCCTTCCGATCTTCTCGCTCGCCTTCTTATAATCCCTACTCATGCATACAACGCGGACGAAATCGAAAGGATCATTCGAATTCGGGTCAAGGCGGAAAGTTTGAGGATTACTGAGCCTGCACTCCAGAAGGTTGCTCAACATGGCGTTCAGACGAGCTTGCGATATGCACTTCAGCTGCTGACTCCGGCCAGTATCTTGGCTCGTGTTAATGGGAGAGATATGATTGATGTGGTGGATGTTGTGGAGTGCGAGAGTTTGTTTATTGATGCTAGTAGAAGTGCTGCTAATGCGCACAATGAGTTTCTTTCCTAATGCTTCAGACTCCATGAGCCTTTTAAAGGCATACAGGCAGTGGCGTTTTGGGTAGGAGCTCGTGGTAGGTAAATAAGTGTCAGGAGTCTTCAATACTCTGGAACGCTTTGATCAGTTTACTATTCACAATACAGCATACTAATGTCCTGGCAACAACCATGTCTGACTGTAGAAAGAGGTTTAAGGAGTCTTACTTAGTCGATTTAGGAAAGAAATTAACGACATAGTTTTGTTTTGTCTGACATACCATCATTTTCAAAATTCACTTGATTATGACTACCGCAGCGAACAGCGGGGCTCACTGTCAACAAATTGTACTATTGATTTCACTACATCATTTGGTACTAATGTACTTTACAAATTGCCGCCTGGGAAGTTAGGTGGGCTAGAAGCCGTCGATGATAGCAAAACTATAGGCAACGCGACCCTGTCAGCGGCTGTCGCTGGATCTTTCTCGATTCATCTCTTACAGCACATCACGAACATGAGTACTTTGTGACTAACCAAGCATAAGTCGCTGACGATCATCATTACTCTTTTCAGCGTCTGTATTGAAAACTCTTTCACAATCTACCTTCTCCAGACCATGGTCAATATCAATCCTGGCCCGCCAAAACGAACCCAGTAATATAATAGCAATCTTCCTTCGTGTCCAGTTTGATACTGGAGATGCGTGGTTGACTTGCAATATCCCCATAGGAGTGTGTACCGATACTCCTCAGATGCTATTTCTGAGGAAGCGGGAGCAATATTCCCAGTTTGTCATGTTCCGAGCGAGGCTCTTGGTACGACAATCACAATCACTCTGAAATGATGCCACGATTGACTCTTTTGACTAATTGACAGCTGTACCCTACAGAAAAGTGCAAACTTTAGCGCACCTTCCCACCAATGGAGGACAACAAGAATGAGTATAAGTATAGTCTTTTGTCGATCTTGCTTTCCTTGTATCATTCACATCCCTCAAATCAATCGTATTAGGAAAATCAAACCCGCCATTTAAAAAAGTCACATCTCCCAACCCACAAACTATCACTCAACAAGATGTGTCACTATGAACACTTTCGTTACGCTTCCGGTTGCTTAACCCAGCCCGTCCAGGTCCAGTGTAACGGGGTAGATTGTCCCGGCGGTGGAACCGCAAAAATTTCCGAGGAGCACCCTATGGCGGGTACCAAGCCTGGTTGCCCAGGTCATGTTAGTGGTGGTGGACGTGATGGCCGTTAAACCCTCAGTGTAAATGGCTGCAAGGGACGCTTCCCTTTGGCTAACGAACAAACAACTGCTTCATCACCAAAATGCCTAATAAGCTATTTCGAACTTCTCTCCCGAGTAGTTGCAAGAAGCTCGATCGTTGAGGGAGTCTACGAAAAGGCGAAGCGATGATTTGAAGGGCTTCTTCGTTGCTCTGGAGGGCGGAACAGGCTACTTTTCGGAAGTTGACAATGTCATGAATCATTTGCTGGCGTATAATTATGTAGTCCAGAGGGCGATTTGAAAAATGCAAGCACATGTAAGAATTTCGTGCAGTCTTGGGGGGTTTAAGAATATCTTTTCTTTATGATACGAGCGACGTTGTGCTTCCAGAGGCATGAAGGCTTCTCTACAACATTGGCACATCTGCCCATTAAATAAGAGCTTTGCGCTCAATGTAGCTTGCCACCCTTACCATTTGCTTTGGTATTATTAACAAGAGGCTACTCTCACTTGTATCTAGTTGAGATGTGCAGATCCCTCGGATCATTGGTTTTTCAGGTCAATTTTTTCTGGCTCGATCCCTAAATGGGTGAAATTTATCTCAATAACACCACTATGTGATTTCGCTTCGTCATTTACGAAGAGCATAAAATTATCAGCTATTTTGAGATGTATTCAAGTTACAAAATAATATTACAATTACACTCCGTGGAAAATCTCCTTTAGCGTTCAAAAGCCATCAGCAGAAGACTCAAAAAAGGCCTAATTTGATCTGACAGTATGCTTCCGAATACACGACTATATCAGCCTACTAGTCACATTTTATATGTTCGCAACCGTATTAGAAAAGAATCGAAAGTGTCGATGTTTTATTTTTGCAATGTTCGGCCTTTTGTTAGGGAACATCGATGCTTCAGTATATGATTAGAATTGATCTAGAGAAAGTAAAGTTATGTGACACTTGTCACCGAAAATATACTCACCACCGAATTCACCTTCCCAAATTGAAATGATGTCTCTAGAGCATTGATTCGTTTTCGCAAGTAACCATTCTATAAAACCCAAACGGAGCTGTACAGGAAATCAACGAGTCTTTCAATAAACCCCTCTGAGACAGTCTTCTCTGAACGACATACAATTGAAAATTGTGTGAACTCTCACTTAGTTCAGACTGATGGAGTTTTGAGAAATATATTATAAAGCACAGGTTGCTAGTTGCGAATTACATTTGCTCACCGAATTAGTAGCAAGATTTTACGAAAGAGACTATGTATCTGTAATAGGAAGTTGAGTTCTTGAGAGAGGTGAAACAGTTTGGTATCAGAGACGGAAGAGTGTATCTTCGTTTTATTCGTGGTTACAAAAATCGACTTGTCTACAGAGACTATCAAGGAAAGTTTTCAAAGCAGTTCAGCAGAAGTCCACATTCACTGAGTCCTGGTTGCAAAATCAATCATGAGCATCAAGAAAATCCCTGAGTTTTGACTGCATAGACATATCAGAAGCAAACGGAAGGAAAAGCCGCTGCAGCCCACTCCTCGTGGAGTATAAATCACCTCCCGCTATCAGACTTTCAACAAACCTCGACGCTCATCACTTGACAAATCAAGAAAACATTTCTTACAGTGAGTTATTACCGTACTTGAAGTAAGTATCCGTGAGATGAGTAAAGTGAAAGTTAAGTAGAATAAGAAACAGTCGGGGGATGTGGAAAACAGATGGAGAGTTGAATGATCGTCTTCTTGAATCATCTAAATATTTGTCAAGAAACGTTTTGTACTGGGGAACAACGCCTCAACTTCCATGAGGAAATGTAGATATCCGTAAGGCATCTATTGTAAACAGTAAATAGATAAGATACCTGGGATTGCATGGAAAAATCTCTAGCTACAATGACAGACAATCAAAAGGCTTTCCTTGGCAGGTGGTTTGTTGATAGACACTACCTGCTCAGCTGACAGTGCTATGTTCGAATCACTGTTGACATGTTTGTACACCATCGAGTACCAGACTTTAACTCCACGTTCATAATTCATCAACACATTCCATGCCTACATTCGTGTTCTAGGGAGTGCCAAATACCGCTTCATACACTATTACAATTTCCAAGCCTATGTATCCAGGTCCCTGGGCTCGTAGGTTTCTACCCGCCTAGGCACACATCCGAGCGATTTACAGCTACGCCGAAGCACATGGCATGGTGGACGAGAAGGCAAACGTTGGCCACGTTTTTGGTAGATTGTGGCTTGCGACTACTTGCTCACAGGGTCTTCTATTGCGGGAAATTTTAAAGCAGTACTCCAAGTAGCCTAGCTTAAAAAATGATTAGACCAAATGTGCGATAACGTGTCAAGTCAATTGACCAAATTGGAGTTCCTTGGACCCTTGAGCGCCACCATTTTATCCACTGAACGACCTACAATATACATCACCACAATCACAATGGACCCCATGCACCCCAACAGGGAATGCTTAACATTACCAAGATACAAATTGAGCGAAGATCCGGCTGTACAGTAGAGGCGTCGAAACAATCGGAAGGATGTGAAAGGAACACAGCATATCCGACACCCACAAGGGACAAGATCGTCAGACTCGGTCTGTGCGTGAGATATGGGGTGATGATCATGTAACCTTTGAGCAAGAGGGGCATTGAAAAAGTCTCTCGAGATTCTGCTTCTGCGGAGTCTATGATTAGATGTTCCGAGGCATTCGGGGGAGGCGTGCAGGTGCAGTACTTGCGGTGAGGTGGGCAGTGAGGTCGTCTAGATTTTGCAGATGTCAATTGGGAAGCTCGGCTTATCGGATGCGCGGACGAACGACCCGAATAGGGTGGGTTAAGGGTCCTCAGCGCAGTGAAAGTCCTGTAGTCGTAATGAGTGTGGTAGTGATGGATACCATGTTGGTGGTTGAGCACTGATGAGCTGGCAATGGTTGTTGAGGGCAGTGGAGAGTGACGTTCTGATTCGTTAACGGCAGGTAACAAGCTGGCTCTTTTCGATATGCACCTGCTTTTGCATCTTTCCTGCACAGGGGCGGAGATTTGGTAAATAGAGGCTTGCTGAGCTCGATAAGTTGTTGCCTGGATTCTTGTTCATCATTTGTCAATTGAGAATCTGGACCAGGACCCTAGAAATCAAGATTTGACCTATGAGATAACTGGTGTAACCATACGCCGCTCTATTTCAAGTCTTTCTAGTCTTCGCTATCCTGTCTAGCTTAATGCAGTTCTATATGCAACGTCAGTCGTCTATCATCTATGCTCTCCAAGTCTGAACAGAAAATCACGCCAACGATTTGACATCTAAGGCATCGGAGATCTCCAATTCGATCTTCCCATCCTCATACCCAACCATCCGAACACTCGCAAGATCCTTGACTATCCAATCGGGCTTAGCCTCGAGTACTTGCTCAACAGTGTGGGAGGTGACAACCCCCAATACTTTGCATCCCGCTGCCTTACCAGCTCGAATACCAGCAGGACTGTCTTCGAAAACTAGAACTTCATCCTTCTCTTGCAGCTTCAACTTATTTCGCCCCATGATGTAGCATGTCGGATCAGGCTTGCCATGCTCCACGTCTTCTGCAACTACCAGGTGTTCCAGGGGTGGTAGCTTCAAGGCACGAAACCATCCTGTGACTAACGGTGTAGTCCCCGATGTCACAATTGCCCAAGGAGCATTAGCTGAAGTGATCGAGTCCAGCAGTGATCTTGCACCGGGTATCTCCTCTGCATCATCTGCATACTTTTCAGGAAGAAGTCCTTCCATGTACTTGACATCTGGACCAGAAAATGATTAGCCCCCAATCGCCCCCGATTAACGGCTGAAGCTGCAGCACATAATCGAAAATCAAGATATTGATAAGGACTGAATACGAGATTCCATACAAGTTTTCTCTCGTGAGATGGAATATTGAATGATTGGGGTCGACTTACATTCCCAATTGGCTTTCTCTGGGCAAAGTATTCTCAAAACATCAATACTTCGTCTACCGTGGGATGTTGCCAAGATGACTTTAGGATCTACTTTTATCTCATCACCGATGCTTGAAATACGTCAGACTATAGCATACTCAAGTCAAGATTGGGGGACTTGCGCGTGCCAATGGCTCTCAACAGCGGCGGTAGAATCAATGATAGTCCCGTCCATGTCAAACAATAAGCCATCAAAGGTAACTCTTTGAGGTGGAAGAGAATAAGATGCCGTTTGAGATCCCATGTCGCTAGTTTTGATCTTTTAAAGATGGTCAAGAGTAATTAAGAGCTCAGGGACTGTAATCCGCAAGTTGTTGTTCTCGAAAAGGTTAAGTGGCGGTGGTGTTGTGTCAAATTTTAGCGAAGGTGGAAGACCACGTCGAATTTTGTGGGAATCCTCCTCGACCTGTGCGATATGCAACAAAACTTTTGATAGACTAAAGTGGATGCGGGATGAGACTTCTAGGAAAGCGGGTGAATAATGATACAAAATGACGAACTCTTTGGGAAGTAATATATACTGAGCAAAGTCGTGACTAGAGGAGAATTTTGAATGAGGTCGATGGTTTGGCTTTGAGGTGGAGTTTGGGAGTACTGGGGTAGTAGAGGGAGGAAATGGTAAGAGAGGCCCCGCTTTTATTGCGGGCTCGCCTCAAACGGGGCAATCCGTCGGTCACGGGACCGCGAGGTGGGATAATACAAATGACAGACGAAACCGATAATAATGATTCCTCAACCAAGTTGGGAAAATATCGAACATTTCGATAATCAGTTTCAGAAAACAAGACCCCTCCTAAACCATTTAGAAGCTGTTCAGACGAGAGTGCCGCTTCACGCATGAGCGAGTATCTGGGAGTCCCGGGTGGGTCCAGCTTGATGACTCAGCGAGCTCTTGCGTTGCCGGCTGATATTCGGCAGAAGACCCGCTGCTCGATAACGAGGTTTGTGAAAAAAAAGTGTCGATAAGAAATCCCACTTCGTCAAAGAGCTGTAAAGTACAACTCCACCATCACACACAATGGCTGGAAACAAGCCCGGAAGTAAGTTTTGTATATTTCGCTATAGTATTTTACGTGGCTAATTGATGTTTTAGAGCCAAAAAGCAAGCGCACACCAGTGCGACTTCGCCATAAAATCGAAAAAGCATCTTCAGCAAAGCAAAAGAAGGCGCGCAAAGCAGCCAAGTCAAATCCAGAATGGCGGTCGAAATTAAAGAAAGACCCTGGAATTCCTAATCTGTTCCCCTACAAAGATAAGATCTTAGCAGAAATAGAGGAAGGTCGAAGGAGGAAAGCAGAAGATGTTGCGAGGAGGAGGGCTGAAGCTAAAGATGCGAAGGCTACGAAAACCGGAGAGCAGGTTGAGAAAGAGGTCGAGGCCAGAATGGAGGGAGTAGAGGAGGAGGACATTGAAAATATGGAGGTTGAGATGGACGACGACATGAATGAGGACGCCAATCCTATGGCCGCTTTGCTTGCCAGTGCTCGTGCAGCGGCAGCAGAGTATGAAGATGAGGTCGAAAGCGGGGATGAGATGGACGAGGACGAAGATTCGGACTCCGGATCTGAGGACGGTGGTGTTGAGCTTGGTCTACAAAATAGAAAAGACGGGTCGCGGAAGGCATTCGACAAGGTCTTTAAACAAGTGGTTGATCAAGCAGACGTGGTTCTATACGTCCTCGACGCTCGTGATCCAGAAGGTACCCGATCAAAGGAAGTCGAGCGTATGGTCATGGCAGCAGCAAGTGGCGGAAAAAGATTAATACTCATCCTGAACAAAATCGATCTCATCCCAGCGCCAGTCCTCAAGAACTGGTTATTACACCTCCGACGATATTTCCCTACCCTCCCACTTCGAGCATCAGGTCCAGCGCCAAACGCACACACCTTCAACCATAAACAACTCACTGTCCAAAGCACGTCTCAAACTCTCCTCAAAGCACTAAAGTCTTTTGCTGCCGCAAAGCAGTTGAAGCGCGCCATTTCCGTTGGTGTTATTGGATATCCTAATGTCGGAAAATCATCAGTAATCAACGCGTTGACTTCACGTCTCGGAGGTGCAGGAGCCGCATGTCCAGTCGGTGCAGAAGCAGGCGTCACAACATCCCTCCGAGAAGTCAAGATAGACAGTAAGCTTAAGCTTCTCGACTCCCCTGGTATCGTCTTCCCTTCTTCCCTCGACGCCACCGCCTCAAAAGCAAGCAAAGTCGAAGAGCAGGCCCGTCTTGTCCTTCTCAATGCTATTCCACCAAAGCAGATTGAAGATCCTGTTCCAGCAGTCACGTTACTACTCAAACGACTTTCTGCCTCGAAGGATATGGTAGCTAAGTTGATGGATGTCTATGGTCTTCCACCACTATTGACTACAAACGGTGATCCAACGACGGATTTCCTTGTTCAAGTTGCGAGAAAACGTGGACGTTTAGGCAAGGGAGGTGTTCCTAACATCGCCAGTGCAGCCACAACCGTCATCACAGATTGGAGAGACGGCAGAATTCAAGGCTGGATGGACGCACCCGTTCTTGCTATCGCTGATTCAACGAAACCAGCTGTTGACGCCAAGGGTGTTGCTGCGGTCGGTGATCAGAAAGAAATTGTTACCGAGTGGGCTGCCGAGTTCAAGCTTGAGGGCTTGTGGGGTGATGGAAAGGCTGCTGTTGAGGATGAGGTTATGCAGGAGTAATTCTTGTTAACTACATCATGTATTGGTTGGTGTTTTGGCGTCTGTGGAGTTTGCTGCACCTAAAGGGCGTTTAGGAAAAGTCTGATACGATTCACATAAAGAATAGCTCAGGACTCACCATAGCTTACCACTAACTCGGTTTTTTGCCTCGTTACACCATTCCGATTCTTTTCTTTTTCGTCCTTTTTTCGCCGCTTATTTTTCGCCCATCCTGGCAGTCTTAGACAAGATCTCACATACTCCCATCTCTTCACAACTTCACTATTGTCAGTCCGTACAAAGAGTTCCTGGAAGGTTCTCAGATCACCGTCACAACTCTAAGCCATGTAACAAGGCTGACAAAATTGACCACTTGTGACCCTCTACCGTCCTTGCCCTCGGTAGTCTATACAACCCAGACGTCTTGACCAAAACTGACTACAAAACTCACTTATCCATAAAAGCAGATTCACTATACATGGCCCTGAACCTTGTAATGAGTGCAGAAAACCATTACTTTCATACCAACTCACGGTGAACAAATTAAGCGTCAATGGCCTAGCAACTCATATCTCAGAAATCAGGTCATTATACATGATACTATAACAGACTCTCCCGTTTTTTGCCAACGTGTTTTAAATAGAGCTGAAAACGGTGTTATTCACTCAGAACAAATGATAAAATACACAATATCTCGTGAACCCGATGAATAAAATAGGATTCTCTTTCAACTTAATTAACTAAATATCGTGTGTAGACTACCACTTCTCTGTTTCCTGCTAAGCCAATGCTAGGACTGTTTTCTTCGTCACAAGATCTCAGCGAATTGAGCGATGTGAGCAAAAAAGATAAGTTGCAAATCAGATATAGTAAGAAGAATCAATTTCACAAAGCCGGGAATGCAATTAGCATGGCTTTAGTGTAATTCGAAGACACCTGTTTTCTTTCATTTCCTTGAAGGTCGACGATGAGAAAGCCATTAACATCTCAGGAGACAAATAAACACTTGTAGGAATTTTGCTCAGATCGTAGAAGAGAATCAGAAATCCCTCGTCTCATTACATTTCAACTCACTATTTATTTTCTATTTGTTTAATCTAGGTCATACACTAAGAATGTTATGTTGTGTCAAGTCAATCGACTAAATACATCTGCACAATACGAAATACAAGATGAGACCATAAGACTTCTTGTAATTACAAGACACAGTGTTCTTGAGAAAACTTATATACGACAGATGACAGAGATCCTTGCAACATGTTGAAAATCCGATGGGAAAGATCCGAAGCCATCAAACGTTCGAATCCCAACTGGATGGTTTTGATCGAAAACAACAACCAGACAACGCTCAGAAAAGTGGGCTATCAGTGTAGAAGTTCAGATGATGGTCACCGGATATCTTTTGCTTCCGTCATCATCTGTTATCGTGTTCAAACCAAGAGATTCGGCAACGGTGTCGAAATAGTCGAAAGCTGTCGGAAAATGTGAGTCCTCTGGCCTATGTACCCAAAAAGAGCCGCACCGTATGAAGGTACTGGATGTCCTCAAGACTCGCCTAAGTACTATTCCAGACCACGGAATAGGTGGCCTAAGTACTATGAATCCAGGCCACGACCTGTTCTCTGGATCTAACGACTCTCTTTTGTATAGAGGAAGAAAATATACTAAACCGACTTCCTGGGCTGATAAGCAGAGAGACATATAGCTATCTTCACATGAACAGATATCTGCGTGTTCAGGAGAACGAAGGGCTTTCTCTAGTTCGCTGTGCGAGAAGATGGTTTTCATCTTCTCGTTTCCTCGAATCCACCATCCCAAGGCTATCCTCCCAGCCAGGAGTATCGAAACATCTTTGACCTGACCGTACGGGTTATTGCTAACTGTCTTCACCACAGGGGCTTCAATCAATTCGGCGAGAGGAGTTGTTTGAGAACGATAATCATTTTCGTTTTGTTCCAAGATCACTCCCTCTGAGGACGCCCACGACCAACTGGGGGCAACATATGCGCAAGGGACATTTAGCTCGTCAGAAGCTGTGCAATAGATGATGGAGGTTTGAACTCTTTCGCTTGTTGATAAACTTTCCCTGAGCTGCCAACACAACTGGCCGAGAAGATCTTTCTCCCACAGCCCAGCCAGATATCTGGAGCCGAACATTTCGGCAAGCGCACTCGCTATCCCTCCAACTGCGACGAGCTTGTCGGAAGGGCGAGTGAGTTTGCATTTCGAGTACATATGGATGATTCCACTCCAGAGTTTTAGATCGGGCATCAGCTCCGAAGTCAGGTTTAAACCAGCGATAAAATTTTTCGACAGAGCTTCTGATATCAGTCTCTTAAACTTTGAAGATCCATATCCCCAGGTCGCCGCAAGACAGTAATTTGGCATAACCTGAGAAAACACATTCTCGCTACACTCCCAGTACATTTGTGATTTTGCAAAGTGTATGTTTGCACGTGAAAGCAACCGCTCCTGCAATACCCAGCCTCGCACGTTGAGTGGTTCGTTGTTTTGCATAAAAATGTTTTTGTGTGATGATTGCTGGAAGATTTGGGGCGCGTTACCTATTGCTGTGACTTTTGCCAGAACTGAAAGCGTTTCTTCATAACAATCACTCGTCACACCATCGGATCCATCACGAGCAGCAGTTGCCGCAATATTGAGGAGAGCATTCGAATACACCCTGCCCATTTGGCTGGACTCCGCTTGCCAGTCATCTTCACTATCTTGAACGATGCAAAGAGAATCAATCCAGATATACCTGAAACCTAAAGCCTTGACAAGCTGCATAGCTTGCTGGAACGTCTTATTGAGCGTATTAATTTCGATTCCTGTTAGCATTGACTGAAATGTCATTGTTGTCAACAGGGTTGGGTTTGAATGGCCCCAGCAGTGACTGAGTGTTAGGAAGTATGAGCCCAAGGGTACGTTTTCTCGTAGGACCAGGCAAGGCTCGAGTACAGAGCTAATACCGCTTCCAAGATCTATAAGTCGTGAAGGAAGAAACGTCGAGTCTCGTCTTTCGTGACAAACGTGCCTAGATTTACAATGTTTGAGCCACTCGTGAATCTGATACACAATTCCCTGAAGATCTCTTGGGGTACTCTTCGAAATTATGTTTATTTTGCCATACTCTGGAATATGTGAGCTGATAGTACAGACATAGGCAGGGTCGTACTTACCTGAGATTGGGCCCACGAGAATGTTAGATTCTGAAATATTGTTAGACTCAAGATCTCGGCATTTCCTCAGCTTGATTCTTCCACCGCTATTCTCCTGGTACATGTAGATATCCCCAAACTCATTTGTTGTAGCTGTACTCCATTCACTATCAAAGAGGGAGCAGAGATAGCATCCTGCCTCTGACCGTTTTTCAACCGAGACAGATGTGATTAGAATGGTAATAGGAAAGTCCGCACAAGGCCGTGTTCCAAAGTTGTCCAAGATGATTCGGCAGATAGAACAAACTGGAGAAACTCCTGGTTCATGGATGATATGCCAGTCATCGATATATTCAAAGGAATTCCCAGAGTCAGTATCCGAGTTTTCCTCACTCTCGTACGACTCCCACGCATCGTCCGAATCGATTTCATCCATTTCTCCTGCCATGGTGAGAAATCTCAAGAGTCTCCACAGACCAGCGCCCAATGGTCAAACTAATGACAGCCAAACACGATATTTGTTCTATCGGGTTGAGATAATATCCTGTATTTCGTCAATTGTTTTCAACAAATGAGACAATTCTAGAGTCTGTCTCAAATTTTGAGAGCAAAAGCTTCTACTTGCCCAAGAAGACGCTAAGGACATGAAAGAAGAAGACGAGGCTGGGGCTGAATAGAGGTGATACCCTGGAATCAAGAGTCACATGCAGGTCTTGCTTAGCGCCTAACGGGATTTGCAAGGAGCGAATGAGCAGCAAGGATCTCGAAATCAAAAAGAACTCAAAGGCTAGATCGACACGAAAGCTCAATATCTCAATCATAATCAGACAACCAAATACGCTCTTCTACTTCCCACCCGTCTTAACCAACTCAAGCTTAACCTTCCTCTTCCCACTCCCCTCCTCCAGCACATCACTAATCCGAACAACCACCTTCCCAAACAACTCCACCTTAACCTCTCTACTCCCACTCGTCCTCAACGTCCAATTCTCGGGATCAAAGTCTCCTTCTGGTTCTACGTCCGCCAAATCCCGTAGTCTAATCAAACTCTCGATACCGAATCGCGGTACGAAAACCACAAAGCCGTTACTGAAAACTTTCATCACGAACCCTTCTTCTTCTACGATCCTTCCCTTAAGTGCCTGGCCGACGTAGTATTCGATAGAGGCTCGACCAGCTTGTTGCGCGTTGCGATGACGAACATTAATGTTTTTACACACAGCCTCTAGCTTCCCTTTACTGCGTACAGCAGCGTGAAGAGGTTCATAATCAATAGCAGCAGCGAGTTGACGATGAGCTACGAGATCAGCGTACCGACGAATAGGTGATGTGAAATGAGTGTATATTTCGGATGCGAGACCGTAATGGCGGAATTCGGGATAGGCTTGAGTGCCGGAGCAGAAGTATTCAGCGGACATCATGCAACGAGTTGCCATGATTCGAACAAGGGTGTTGAAGAATGGTTCTTTAGGGTCGACGCAGGTGTCAAGGGAGTCGGCTAGCTCTTTAGAGGTTGCCATTCTTAGATCGAGATTTCGTTTGGTTTTAAGCTGGTTGGCGAGTTCTTCGAAGTTGGTTTTAGGAGGTGCGCCGTGACGACGGAGCATCGCGGTTTGTGGAAATGCTTCGTAGATTTTGGCTGCGACACTAGTGTTGGCGAGCAACATGAACTCCTCAACTAATGACATAGTGTCGAGATGCTTCTTAGTCTTAATGTCGATTGGATCCGAGGTCTCAGATTCCATCTCAACTCTGACTTCTGGCGATGAGAGACTGAGAGCACCAGCATCCATGCGCTTCTGCTTGAACTTTTTAGAAAGCATGAGAAGAGTTCGAATAGCTGTAGTGAGATCATCCTGCTGAGACTTGTCGTCCACGCGAATTTGCGCCTGCTCGTAACTGAAAGCTTCTCTGGATTTGATGACAGACTTGGTGAACTCTGATTTGACAATTTCAGCATCAGGAGTCATTTCCCAAATTGCTGAAAAGGCATAACGTTCAATATATGGCTTTAACGAGCAAAGATCGGTACCGAGTAGCATTGGCAACATGTCGATACGCTTGTCAACCAAGTAAACAGTCGTTCCACGTATACTAGCTTCAGCGTCCATAGCGTTGTTTGGCTTGACGAAATGCGACACGTCCGCAATATGCACACCAACTTCATAGTTGCCGTTCGGTAAAGGTCGAGCGTGTAGAGCATCATCGATATCCTGGCAACCTATAGGGTCAATACTGCATATTTCAAGATGGCGAAGATCTCTTCTGTCCTTCCAGCCAGGGTCATCTGTGCTTGGAGGTACTATCCAGTCATGACCTTCAGCGGGTAAGCAGTCCAGCACGGCCTTGGGAAATGGTCGATACTGAACATCGTATTCCAGGAGTAGAGCTTCCGTCTCGGCGCCTTTAGTTTCCAAATCTCCTAGGGATCGCACGAAATGGCCAACAGGATGTCGAGAATCTCTATCCCAGGAATCGATTGTGACCAAGACACGTTTGCCGACAATCTCTCCAGCTTGCCTCGTCCTGACTCGAATTTTGGGTATCCGCTTATCCATGGGAATGAGAAATACTGTTTGCTGTTTCCGACTTTCTTTCGCTGACTTGCTGACCGACGATTCATCCACATGTCCGACATACTGTCTCCAATTCCTCTTGATGACGCCAACAACTCTTGCAGTAGGCTGCGGCCGTCCTTCGGAGGTTTTACTGTGCACCTTCTTGACCTCGTCCTGCAGCGCCCTCCTTTCCTTTTCTGTGACGACCGATTCTCCCTCCTCAGCATCCGCATTCTCGTCCTTGTTCATATTCTCCTCCTCAATAATCTTCGTCGAAGGTGCCTTCCACTGCTCCTTTGGTAACACCTCAACCACAACCACATCTCCTTGTACCGCGCGATTGATATTCTCCCTTCCCAGCACGATCAATGATTTATCGAAAGCCGGAACCTTGATCGAGCCCTCGAGATAGTTATATGGCGAAACGTTAAAAATCCCCTGATGGAGTGTCCCATTCTTAACACCAGTACCCATCTTTGAAACCGAATAATACTCATCATAGAACAACTCCGCCGTTTTCGCATCCTTAATTTCCCGATTTTCCTGAACAACGCTGATCATATCAAGCAATTTTTCCGCATTCTCCAACCCCCCAACATATTCCTTCAACGAGCAAGCCTCCACCCCATCCTTCTTCGCCTTCCTCAAATTCTCTTTATCATCACTCAGCATTACTACCGCAGGAACCTTCTCCTTCCTACCCCCAGCAGCCTTCACAGCCTGTATCAAATGCTCATCATACCACTTAACCGCCCTCCTCACAGCACGATCATTCCTATCATTGATACTCTCTCCCTTCTCCCTAACCACATAAGTCTCCAGTCTGAAATCATTGAAGAAGACGTAAAATCTCTTGTCCTCGCTTTTCGTGAGGCCGATGAGACGGTTATAGAGGGGTAGAGATCGATTGCGCAGTTCTTCGAGGACGGTTTGGAGGATTATGACATCGTAGAATGCGGCGCTCGTTTCGAAGAGGTCGAGGGCGTTGAGGAGGGCGTTGGTGTCGGGGATGATGTAGTGGCCTTGTTTGTATTTCTTCGTGCCTGCGGGAGCGGCGGAGAGGACGAAGGGGGGTACTAATGATCGCCATTAGCTCTATCAAAGCTTTATAGAACGATGATACTTACAAAAACCAGCAGCATCTCTAGGCGCAGTCTTCAAACAAGCTGTACATAGCTTCGACGAGCAAGGAATATCTTGTCGCAAATACAATTCGCGAACAATTTTCTGGACTTTGCCACTTTTCGTCGAGCGCACGTAGACTTTACTCGATATATTTGACGCGAGAGGATCCGATCCAAGTGAGCGCTTGAGACTCGTCATCGTGGCTGTCTCGTTGCGATGGTGACGGTGGGGAACTGGTGCTGTGTTGGTGGGGTGTATATTTTTCGGTATGATCGTGAAATTTAGACGCTAAATGACGGACGTAAGCGCGTTTGCTGGGGCGATTTGAAAAGCCGGGTGGAGCCGAGAAAGCCTAAATCTGAGGTCGCCCCCCTGAATCGTCAAGCGAGATCTTATCACTTCTCACAGATGACAAAATAAGTGGTAGAGCCTCCTAACTATTCTGTCTATCTAATTTGCGATGTAGAACTAGGAATTTTTCTCGATTAGGAATTCAATCAGAAGAGTCTGCATGTCATAATTCTTGAAAATAATAGACGAAATGTGCGAGATTCTGCTAACTGAATTGAAGAAATATAGTGATTTGACTACTGCTGTTTAGTCTACCGCGAGACATGTTTTCCTCGAAAACCGATCTAATCAACTAAAAATCGGCAGGTGATAAAAGATGACTAAAAACTCGTAATTTATACTTCGACTATCCAACTATCAAACACTACGAAAATTACATACTATAAAACTAACACAATCATCCAAATGTCCAAGGGTATCAATCTGAACCAGCAGCAGAAAATAGTCGTCAATCATAATCATAGTCATCCAATCCACCACTTCCACCAAAAACAATTCCTCAAATCACAAGAAACATCATCCGGATATGTCCAATCTCTCGCTTCGTCATCAGCCGAAAGAAACATAATGTAAGGCCCAGCCAACACGTATGAAAAAAATGTATCAACAAATTACCCATTAAACCCTTCTTCAGGAGGACCTCGACTCGGTCCTCTGACAGGAACATCCATTACGTCTTCAGAGCCCTGCGTCCCACCGTCGTCGACTCGAAAGATTTCTTCGAATGCATCAGCGGCTGCGAGATGGGTTAGCAATCAGCCAGAAGTCCAAACACTTAACCTGAAAAAGTCCATGGGAATGAGAGAGACAAGAAAAACAAGATTGAGATTCTAGAGAGGGACACACCATATTTATCCGTAAAATAAATCTCAAACTCCCCATGTTTGCGCATCTGATGTTTCTTCTTGTAATTTCCACAGAAGACGTAAGGCGTGATATCTTTAAGCCAGATACGATGACGACTACGACGGTCCATCCAGCGGGAGGATTCGGATTGATATGTTACTAAGTTTCCATGTTAGCGAGTACAGTCAAGATGCGTTGAGAGAGCCGTACCAAAAGCAGTCCAAACAGGACATTTTCTCAACTCGCCACTCCAAACAGCGGCGTGAAGTCTCAGACCACCACTTTTATGATCTTGGATTACAGCGAGAGAGTGTTCGAATCCGTCATCGATAATCTGCCTACCCAAAATGTTAGCCCTCTATACTGCCTTCACTTATCAAACCGGCCCACTCACCCTCGAAACAACACATTCTCACCACCCAACGCATACTCCTCAGGGTACACACTAAGCGTGAACGGACACCTCGCCTTCAGCGCCACAAACGCACAGTGAAAAAGCACCATCCTCTCCCAAGTTTTGAAGAACAGCGCCATCCAGATCTTAGCATGTGCTCGGTTACTGCTCCAGCGACGGAATTGGAGGGAGGAGCCTTTTCGTCTTACGCATAGTTCGTGTACGCCGTAACAAGAGTAAATGGGGTTGAAGTAGCGGTCCATCCAGCGGCATAGGAGGCGCGTTACGTCGGCGCCGTCGGCGTGGAGGTAGAGGGTTACGGAGAGTCTGTTTTTGTCGAATGGACTGGAGGTGTTAGAAGAGGCATGAGAGAAGAAAACTGGCTAGAGAACTCCAAGGGCGTAATCGTTGAACGTAGCCATGTAGGCAAGACCATTGTAGTGCCAAAGCTAGCTTCAATGAAACAGCCTCACTCAGCAACAGCTTGCCATATCTGACTTGAAATTGTGGCCTAACTTGTGGGCCTGAGAAATAAGTCCCGACTGCTTCAGCAAATCTGTAATAGCTGAGACTAGATCGTGACACTCATAAAAGTCTAATACTAGGCAACATCAAGGCAAGGCTGAGACGAACAAAACAAGCACCAACTTACAGTTTGAACAGGACCTTTGACCCCTGAGGAATCCCCAACAGATGCTCCACCATCGGCGGCCCAAAACATTTCGAGCTAGCAGAAGGATTAGCAACCTATCATCCAGTCTCGCCTCCCACCCTCCAAGTGAAGCGAACCCGACCACGCGGTCGACCGCCCCAGGAAACCAGGAACGGTGCATGCTTACGCTCGTTTGTGTTTCAGACCGGTAGTCGAATGGGGCTGATCGTCAAAGATCTTTTCTGCCCAATGACGTTTCTATTTCCCATGAATATCGTTCCGCTGAGCAGGCATAGGAGACTCACCTCCAGCTGTTCCTGGTTAGGCTGCGGCGGGGCACCATGGCGTACGATCTGGCCAAGCGGCTGTTCTACGATACCATACGGGATGAGTGCTTGATCCATGTTCAATGAGTAATTAGAAGTGGTACAATTGCGTACCTGGAAGACCCTGAAGTTTCCTCAACCGCATGTGTCGCACGCGCAACAGCTCTAACGAGGTGGGATCGTACAAAGGCGATCTGCTGACATCGTCAGTTGAACCAATCATGAAAGATACAATCCTTGATCTTGCCGCACCTGCTCAATAGCCGAACCGTTTGTACCAAAGCCTCACAGTACATTAAAAACCGTTGTGCCAATGTCATTCCACCTTGGGCAGATAGTCGATTGTTCATTACCACCCATTGATCCTTTATCGTGAGTGCGTCGTTCTCGATGTAGATGGTCATATCTCTCATCGTCTTGCACATGGTTGGTAGAATGATCTGAAGGTAGTAAAGGACCATGGGAACACGACTTCGGTAGATGGGGAACAGATCGTAGAGATCCCGGAGGAGTCGACTTGAACATTCGACCTCCTTCAAGACAGCTGAGATGTGTTCGTAGTGTTCATCCAATTCAGTCCTAATCACAAGTAATCTTGCAGAGATCTTGTCAGCTCTCCTGGCCTCCTGCCAACACCCAAACAACTCCTCCATCCGTAGAGCGCAGACATCAGTCACTGGGCCTCGGGAGGTAGCGACGAGTTCGTTATTGACGTGCATTCGAGGTCCTGAAATAGCAAAAGATTCATTATGAGGGAATCCTAACAAAATCCGGGGTAAACAAGCAACTCCGTTGTTGACTTTCGAAGAGTTTTGATAGCAAAACTCTGACGTGTCGAGGACAGAGGGGGACGGAAATTGAGGGAGTGTAATATTTGCATAATCAGATCAACTTCCAATGCGAGGCCGCTCAGAAGGCCTTCTCCATGCACCTAAGGAGGTCATGCAGGCAACGGCGAACCATCGTGCAGTCTCCACTCTTACTTCCGGCTTTTTCGTGCTGCCAGGTGCTGCCACGATGCAAAGCATGCTGTGGTATGCACATAGTAAATCGACGAACGAATGATACCAGGGGATGAGGGACGGCTGGTGATCATGAGAGTAGCGTGCGAAGATAGATTGGGAGAAGTACGGATAGGGTGTGTGAAATTCATCCAGCAAAGTATTTACTGGCGCCAGCGAAGTTAGGCAAAAGAAATTGATGATGATACTGCAAGGAAAATGATATGAAGCGGTTGATATAGGTAGTTCTCGCTAGGAAAGGGAGACGAGGAGGCTGATTCATTGTATTGACTACAACGCTCGTGCATGGTTTGAGCACCAGAATTGCCAACACCCATTGCCATCATAGCACACGAGCTCTCAAAACCAAATGCTTCAGGGAGAGTGAGGAATTGAATTCGATCTCATTTGATATCCGCTGGAATGGTAGCTAATTTCCTCAACTTGTATCAAACAACGACCACTGGAAAATACCCGTCCAAACTCGACGTCGCCCAGTCCTCGGTTCTGTCGTCTATGCAGCAACCCGAGAATCAACATCAACAAGCAGCAAGCACCAAGCAACAGCCAAAGCACCAAAAAAATACCAAAAAGCGAACCAAGAAATGGAAATCAAACTTATCTTCCACTCACCGCAAGTCTGCACTCCCCAGACCAACCCAGAAGCGGCAATTGGTTCCATCGTCTGCTCCGTACGACATCTGGGGGCCAATTCTCCAGAACTCCCTGATCGAGCTTGTATTCCCATAATCTGGGTCTCCGCATATGATGCCATAAAACACCGTGACAATCCCCCGAGTAGAAATCACAGATGTGTTCTCCTGTCGCTCGAGTTCATGTGCACAGAGTGTGATCCCCTCTTCTTGTACGACGTGGTATTACAGCCGTCTCATTTGTTTGGGTGATGGACTGGTCACTGTATCTGGGGTAGTTTGGCATCCGTGGGGTGGAGAGGTATGAAATCAGGAGGATGTGACATGAAGTACGAGGCTTGATATTGCATGGTCAAGGAGAAAGTCGCACACAAGTTAGAACATTTCGTGCGTCGTTGAAAAGAAGGAAGTGCAGAAGACGCGACGGGATCCGAGACGCGTTTGTTCCCAACTAGGCCATCAGGCCAACATCCCGTCATTCTCACAAAAGGCAAGACATGTGGTAGTCAAAACACGAGACTTGGTTAATTCACTTCCGCAATATCATACATTTCGTCAGTTTAAGTGAGTAAAACATAGCTTCTTGAACTCTCTATGAAATCTGTTAAAATGAGAAGATCTGCTGGTCCACCTTGAGGGTATTCATAATTGCCTGCTACTCGTGAATCACCAGAACAACTACCCAAGCTGAACATTCACGTCAACACATAGTTAGACTTTCTCATGTTATGACAGACAAACTTGATAAATAGCTAGAGTACAGAAGATATCCTCGGGATGCCAGTTGGTCTGACAGATCTACGTCACTGTCTACCAATCCTATCGTAATGCATCGCCAATAGATAATCTAAAAAAAATTCGGATCACGTCCTTGTCCTGCAATCATTGCTTTCTTTCCGTAAAAAATCATGACTAATTCTGGACCGAGACCTCAATTGCGTCTGAAGAAAAAAGCAAGAAACATTGCCCCGATGACCTATTGCAGTAACACCCGCCCCAACCCAAATAGAAAAGGTACAAGCCAACCCAGTTTGCCGTTTGGAGTCGCACGTCAACGTGTGAATAGGCCATTGTTAGAGATGGCGTGGTGCTCGTGATGTCGCAAACGTTCAACTAGAGTGATTTTTGAAGAAAGAAAGTTGTCTTAAGAAGACTCCTCTTCCTCAGCATCGGCCTACAGACAATATGATTAGTATGCGATGTATGAATGGTGATGGCAAGCACTTTCGCAGTACTTACATTGTAATTAGCCTTCTCCTCTTCGTATCTGATCTTGTCGGCGTCTGCTTTGGCAGCATATGGTTTACGTTGAGTGTCACTCAAAGCCTTCCATCGCTCTCCAAGAACCTTTCCGACTTGGCCTGCAAACCGATGCGTTAGATTGACCGTGACAGCGGAAGAGACGGGAGCGAAAGAGTTAGTGCATACCAAAGCTGATTCCTGGGTTTTCCTCGCGGACATTCTCTCTCTGCTCATTGGCAAAGAACATGTAGGCGGAGAGACCACGCTTTGGGGCATTTGGATCTGGAAATCGAGGTCAGCGACTGGTTTGCGACGCGCAGCCAACAGATAATTTCGGTACATACCCTTCTTCTTCTTCTCGGTGCGCTTAGCTCTCTTTGGGGCCTTTTCCTTTGGCATGTTGAAGGTGAGATCTGATTTAATCTAGTCAGCCAAAGTGCTTGGAATGTTTACGCGACTGAGATCTGAAAAGGCGCCGGTAATGCGACAGTTGTGGTGGTTGATGGTGGTGGCCGTCGATTGTGCTGGTACGCTGATCGATGCGCTTGGTGTTGCGTCTTGTTTGGTGCAGAGGAGTGAGTGCGGTCGGTCGCAAAAGTCGCAACTTCGCGATCGCGAAAATGCAGAACTCGAGAACATCAAAATAGAACAGGATGACTTACGGAGATCCGGTTTTTTGGACGATTGGGAGTGGTTGAGATTTGAGGTTCTGGAGCGTTGAAAGACTAGGTCAGCTTCACGGCCATACCAACAAGTCAATAGAGCAGGATCGCGACGGGAGACGCGCCGACCATCTATGAAGCATTGCTAGATGGACTGGAAAGCAGATCGGATGCACGCAATTGCACGCGTGGAAGCGGAAAAAAGCGTGGATCCAATCATGCTTTTGCCAGTGGTGGGCCAAGCGACGAAAGGTCGAGATCTCTGGAGCAGATGGGGATTGTATGGTGGTTGAGGAAGTACATACAAATGCTTTGGTGGTCGCGAGTTGTAGTATGAGAGAGAGTACTGCGAATTTGGGTGAGAGAGTTGAAGGGCAGCTGGAGTACGCAGAATACAGGTGGGCGAGAGGACCTACCCATCAAAATCCTCGGTTAGCGTGGCCGCTCCTTCCCCTCGCGGGCTCGACCGGAGCGCGTCGGTGATTGGCCCGTGCCGCCAGTTCGTTTCCCTGCGGACTGTGACGCCTGCTTTGGCTGGCTCATTCCTCAGCGAACTGTCCAGCCCTCCTCACCTCCACCATCCGCTGCTCACTCGCAGCACACCAACAGACGTCGTTTGCAGAGAGGAGAGGGAGCGCGTGAGGACGACCATTTTGGCATTGAGGTTTATTGTATTTCTCTTCCTCCCAGGCAAACGGCCATCCAACGATACCCAACACTCCATGCTTCGATCTGTGACCAGCGGCGCTGGCTTGTCCTCTACGGAGTCGCAGGCTTAGGGTTGGCTGGGCTTCTGCACTCCGTGATGGCCGCGCGGTAGTGCATCCGTCAGCCATCTGGCTGAGGGAAAGTCACGAGATAATGCCAATTCCTTGATACGCAATTCGAATCAATCTTTATATGATCAACAAAGCCTCCAGGACACCTCCAAAGCACCTATCCAGCCAAATGGGAAGCTTTGAGAATTCGATATCACGTGTTGAGCTTAGTGATTCAACTAGCCGCCTTTGGGTTAGCTTGGATTCCAACGTGAATCAAAACAAAGACGACATGTGAAACACGTTGGAGATAAGGCCCGTGATAAGAACTTGAGACAGATGCAGTGAAGCGGGTGATTATCGGAGTCGCGGTTCCGATTCCGAATCAACGCGTTACGCGGTGCTGAATCTACTCGTACAGAAGCACTTCGTGATTCAGGAATCAAGGCCGATGATGTATGGAAGCTCGTTCACACTCAAGGCACCACACCACGTGATGTTACAAGATATATGATCCGCAGTATGGCTGATGATGCAATAACGGATGCGATGGAGGGTGTTGAGGAAGCTCCAGCCGAAATAGATCAGCCCTTATTCACAGAGCAAGAGCAAAGAGTGCTAGATCTTTACGCGCGGATGGAAGAGTTGCAACTGAATATTGCTCTACTGAAGTCGCAGGGAACTTTATCACAAGGTAGAGTCACTAGTTCACTTGCTCGCTTCTTGACACTGACATACCCAGATGAGAACGCCAACGTTACTGAGGAAGATATCAAAGCTGCTCAGCAAGGACTCCTGGAAGCCAAGACAGCATATCAGCTTCGAAATGATATTGTCGAAAGTGTTTTGATTGCGAATCCCATACTGAAAGCAGTTCATGCTGGCAGTAATGCTTCGACGGCAGAGCAGTAAGTATGACTCGACTTTTAGCGGCTCGGTATTAACCTTGCCTAGGGATTTGTTACCTTTACTGGAACAACGTGATACGTTGTCGGTGACTCTGGCAGATTTATCGCGAAAAGTGTTGAATGCCAAAAAGGAGTTAATCAAAGTCGAGACAGAGAACGTCAATACAAATCGCCAAAATGCAGAACTAGCTGCCCAGATGATCTCCCTTGCCAAAGATGCAGACACTCAAAAAAGGGACAACATGTCTCGAAAAGCACAAAAAGACTTGGCAGAAATGGATCAGAAGGTGAAGTCGATTCGGCAGACCTGGAGGATAATGAAGGGTACGGCGAGTGGCACGATCGTTGGTAGTGGTGTTGATTGGGCTCGAGATCCGGAGCTGCTTGAGATTGTTCTGGATAATGATGAAGCGGGTGATGGGTGATTAAGGTTGACGATGGATTCGAGAGTAATTCCCGTGCCTGAGTTTGGAGAGCCTAATAACTATACCGTCGATATCACTCTACTTTGATACCGTTATCTTGTTAACGAGCTTGTAGAGAGTAGTATAAGTAGTAGAGGACTGTAAATTACCGCTTATGTTTCCTATTCGATTTTTCACTTCCGTAAGCGAAAGCGTAGGTTTAAATTTCGCTATTTTAAGTGGATTTACTTATAGTAATAATTACTACTAGTAGGGAAAATTAGATGGCATTTTCCCCTACTTATTATTTGTTAGGTCCGAAAGGTACCTAGTTACGTACGCCCTGAATCGAGGCTATCCCATCAAGCGCGGCGCAGCCTCTCACATATTCTGTAGGCACGTGACGTGCGTCCTGCACTTGATGGGACACCCAAACGAATAGCCTCAAGTTCAAACGCAGTATCCTCTTCTATAATCCGACCCTATAGCCTCGGTAATTGTAGAAGACGAATCTTCAAGCTCTATGACTGCTTTCCCGGGATCAACATGTCGACAACTGAATTGTCCATCAGATCGAGAACCGCTACTACTGATGTTGGCGCTATATGGAAAGCAGCGTTAGTTCGCTACGAGGCGATCACTACCGTGAAGATCGAAAGTCTAGGCGCTGCTAATAATGTAGAAGAAATCTTGGCCGATATACATGAGAGAGAAACCAAGTTCAAAACCTATCGCCATGATAGTTCTAAATTGGACAGATTCAGGTCGCTCGTGAGTAGGAGCCTGGGCACTATCGAGAAGTTGAGTAATATGGTTGCGCAAGCGGTTTCAACTGTAGGCCAAAAGTTCTGAAAAAACACTTTTGACGATGGCTCATGTCATTATTACATAGTTATTCCCTCCCAGCACTGCCATTTTCACAGCAGTCAGTTTATTGATAAAAGTATGATCGTTCTCTCGTTTGAAATCATGAAGCTAACAAACTTCAGGCCGCGGGCTCTGTCTCTGCAGATTACGATAAAATTACTGGACTGTTTGAAGATTTGGATCTATACCTAAGTAGGCTCAAGATCTTAGAGACATGGGTCCCTTCTGTGCCGGAACTGGAAGTAGCCCTTGCTGAGGTCCTCGCATCCGTTTTGTGTCTCTGTGCCATATCTGCAAAGTACATTAAGGTAAAGAGAATTGGTAAGTAGACTTCTAGCATAGTTCTCTGAGTCAATCATACCACAAATCAATCCGCATCGTCGGATTGCGCTCCGCCCGAGAACAATGCATACACACCTGTTTGTAACAATACTGTGCCCGCGCACACACTCATTTTCCAAGTATTCAAGAATGCCTTAGCAGATAACTAAAAGTTTCACTAGTCAAGGCGTTTCGAAACCTAACCTCGGGCGAAGACGACGAACTTGCAACCGCTTACGCGCACTTCCACAAAATGGTTCAGCATGAACATGGCGCAATTCGAAATGTAACTTTGGCAGGCGTAGGGCGATTGCAGAAAGAATCGACTGCTATATACGCAGTTGTGCGGGAAGGCCTAGATATAGCGGGACGTACAGACTCAAATACTCAGACCCTTATAAACCGAACAGAACGCCTGGAAAAATATCTAGAGAGTACGGTTGTTGCCATTTGAATCCGGCTCTTCTTATCTAATTTGATTCGCAGGTCATGAGGCTACAATTCAGCGAGCTGATATACTAGCAAAGCTTTCGTCGCTCAACTTCCATGAGAAGCAAAATGATATTTTCGCAAAGTGCCATCATGGCACTGGCCAGTGGCTAATACAAGCTGACGAATTCGAAGGGTGGTTGAAAGGTGAAGGATCCTCAATACTTTGGTGCCCCGGAATTCGTAAGTCGCGGTTTCCCTGACACTTGGTCTTTGGTCTTAATTTGCTAATTTATTGAATAAGCGGGTGCTGGAAAGACCGTTCTGACGTAAGTACATTACCTATCACTAACAATTTCTCTACAATCTTATATTTATTAGATCTCTCGCGGTAAACCATACCCAAAAGGTCACTCGAGGAACCGAAGCAGCCATTGTGTACATATATTGCGACTACAAGGATCCAAAGACCCAATCCGAGCTCGAGCTTATGTCTAGTATAACGCGACAGTTAACCGAGCAGACAAGCCCAATTCCTCTTGAAGTGCAAAAGTTCTGCGAAGAGAATGTCAGGAACAGACGAAATCCCACGGGCAACGAGTGGACCTCACTTATCAAATCAATCTCTCTCCTGTTTCGAACAACTTATTTGTTCATTGATGCCCTCGTAAGATTTTTTTATCAGACCGTCAGCTTTGACAAATATCGAGATGGCTAACGATGCGATACGACCTAGGATGAGTGCCCTGAGATCAACAGAGACAATTTTCTCTCTTTAATTGGCAAGATTGAGCCATTTGTCCGGCTGTTCATCACCTCTCGCCCACACCTAGACCTGAAGGCAAAATTTCCAACCATACGTCGAATCGATATCTCAGCCAGTGTGTCGGATGTCAAGACTTATTTGGAAAATGAAATAAGTACAAACAACAGATTGTCGTTGTTTACTGCTAAAGACAGTCATTTGAGGGAAGACATAATCAAATGCGTGAGCGAAAAGACCACTGGAATGTAAGTTTTTCTGCGTAAAGCACCCCTCTTTATGTAAAGTGCAAAGTTTGATGACAATTCTTAGGTTCCTCTTTGCCTATCTCCAGATTCAGCACTTGTGCCGGCAACAAAGTCTCAAAATGGTTCGCAAAACTATGGATAAATTCCGAAAAGGCGTCCTTGAGTTCTATGGGGAGGCAATGATGAGAATCCAGAATCAAGAAGATGAGGATAGTGAATTAGCAATAAAAGCACTCTCGTACATATTCTGTGCTAGAAGACCGCTAGTTATAGAGGAGCTCCTCCACGCCTTGGCCGCAGAAGCTGATGAGACAGATTTAGACGAAGCCGCTTTTCCGGATATCGAAATCTTACTCAGCGTTTGTGCTGGTCTCATCATGATTGATGAAAATACTGGCATCGTGGGGCTAGTACACTTCACTTTACAAGAGTATCTAGAAGACAATCCTGGGAAACTTCTGCCAGACCTTGAAGTGGAGATGGCAAGAGCTTGCCTGACCTACTTGAATTTTGACGCCTTTGAAGAAGGTCCGTGCCAGGATGAAAATGAACTATCTCAACGCTTGCAGAAGTACCAATTCCTCGACTACGCGTCTCGCAACTGGGGATTTCATGTTTTGGGAGGGCAACTTCACGAGAGAGTCATAGACCTAGTTTTGAGGTTTTTAAAGGATGAGCCAAAGCTGTCTTCTTCGATCCAGATACTGTACCTCGTAGGACATCGAATCAAGGACTGGCAGGGTCGTTTTCCTGAGCAATTCAAGCCTTTACATGTTGTCGCTTACTGGGGTCTAGACAAGATTCTTACCATTCTATCGGAACAAGAGACAGACGTCGATATCCGTGATAGCGACGGCGCAACAGCGTTGCAGCTAGCTGCAAGGAACGGCCACATGTCGGTAATACAGCTGCTACTAGCTAATGGAGCCGATGTTAACACGAAAAATGACAAGGCAGAGACGGCTGTTTACTGGGCCGCCAGGAATGAGCATACAGCAGTACTGGAACTGCTCCTTCTAGAAAAAGCACATGTCCTTACAAAAGATTACGAAGGGTGGACTGCGCTGGACTGGGGGGTGCTAGGAGGGAACAATGAAGTACTGAGGTTACTACTCGAGCATGGCACCGACATCAGCGCCAATGATGATGATGGAAGAAATAAGGCACTGTGTCTAGCGGCTGAAGAAGGACATGAACTAACTGTACAAATGCTAATAGACAACGGGGCCAAGGTCAACGCGCAGGATGCACTAGGCAGTACGGCACTGGACTTTGCAGCACCATCAGGGCATGAAAAGACAATGCGGGTACTTCTGCAAAATGGTGCAGACGTCAGGTCTAGAGATATCTACGGAAATAGTATCCTACATTTAGCGGTTAACCATAAGGCACTAGTCCAGCTACTGCTAAAGTACAAGGTTGACATCGATGCTACGAATGACAATGGCCAACCGGCACTGAGTTTGGCCGCGCAAGATGGGCCACCAGAAGTTGTGGAACTCCTTCTTCAACACGGGGCCGACGTCGATAGAAAAGATAAGTTTGGGTTTACGGCACTGCACCGAGCCGTCTTGAGGCGCCGCGAAGCAACAGTGAGACTGTTGCTGGACTATGGCGCCAGTTCCAACGTCAAAGATAAGAATGGCTGGACACCACTGCATGTCGCAGCCCTGAAAGGACACGAGGTTCTTGTCCAAGTACTGTTACCTCTAGTTGAAGATGGAATGGCGATACTAGATTGGGCTGCCTTGCAACTACGTGACCCCGGACGAAAGCGCTCTTACAGGAAGCAGCAGAAAAGAAGGCGGAGGCGAGCACTGCACTCACGGGCCTGCGCGAAACCATTCAAAAGCAACAGCTTGGTAGATCGCAGGTTCTATTAGATAGAAAGGCAGACGTAGATGGAAAGGATATCGGAGGATGGACCGCTCTAATCATAGCCGCAACGAAGGGCCACCAAGAGTCTGTGAAATTACTGCTAGACAATGGGGCCGACGTCAACATAAGTGGATATGACGGACGGACTGCGTTGCACTGGGCATGCGACTGCGGGAATGAGGAGGTTGTGCAGCTTTTGGTCGAGAACGGGGCGGATGTCAACGCGAGTGCATACGGATGGACAGCCCTGCTTCTAGCCGCCAAGAGCAGTTATATGTCAATAGTCTTTTGGCTCATCCAGAATGGAGCTGATGTCAACGCCGATGATTACCATGGACGAACAGCACTACACTGGGCCGCTAAACATGGTAGCGAAACGATAGTGGAGATGCTGGTCGAAAAGGGAGCTAACATTGATGCACTGGATCGTTGGGGACGGACGGCGATAGTATGGACAGCGGAGAATACGGAAGAATCAGTGGTTCAAATTCTGTTGGATTTGGGGGCAGATGTGAAGGCGAAATCGCGGTATGATCTTACCGTACTACACATGGCGGCTTTCAAGGGTTGGCATTCAATTGTGGCCCAGCTGCTCAAACAGGGAGCTAACGTCGAGGCTGAAGCCTACTGGGGTAGAGCCCAGGAGATCGAATATGAAGAGTGTGAAGTGGAAATGGCGGAGGCGCCACTCAGCGGATTTCTTTGCCAGTGGTTTGGGTTGGGATCAAAGAATGGCTTAACACCGCGACAGCTTGCGGTTAGTAGTGGGCAAGTCGCGGTACTGAGGCTCCTGGAACAAGGTTAGGAGAAACTCATTTTTCATGTACTGGTGCTAGCCTACGTTGTTCATGCTTCACAAGTGTGTTGCAATTCTGACCGGACACCTTACTACGGTAGAACAGTAATGCCATCACCGAAAGTTTACATTTACTTAATTCTTCTGAGTAAAATACGATGTTGTCTCTATTGTAGAGGCTAAATATAAATTTTAAGGAAGGTGTAGTGGAAACTGGGGCGCGTTATTGTTACATGGTGTCCCGTCGGTTTTGCAATGCACTGGTGCTTTGCTGCTGAAAGAAAAGGATAAAAGTGGTTGATTGAGGACTACGCATCACCGAACACGTCTCGTGAAAATGGTCCCATCACCAGTGTGTTGTAAAACTGATGGGACACCTTTCTAGAGTATTGATGTCAGAAACCGCCTTTATAACACACCTTCACTAAACCATTATATTTACCCTTTGTAATAGAGGTAATATTGTACACAACGAATTAGGGAAATATAAACTTGGGACAGAATGTCGTTATTTATATCCTAAGGGGTGTCCCGTCAGTCTTGCAACACCCTGGTGCATCATGGAATTTTTCTTGGTTCTGGACAACAGCCTTCAAGTGTTGCTTTCCAACTTGGACATAAAGGTCGTCAACAGTAGGTGTATCTGCTTCCATCGTGTGCGTAATATCTCCTTTTGGCTCTTGAGGCCACAGTGGAGTGCATCCACCTGCTTGATCTTTTCGCAAGCGACATTCAACAATGGGTTTAAAGCATCCATCAGTATCCTGTCCACATTCGCTTGATACTCATCCTCATCATCCCCTAAACCATTTGCCACCAAATGTCGCCATCTCTTGACCGGCATACATAGCAACCGTACAGCAACTTGCGTGCGGTAACAAACAACATCTTTGCTCAAAGCGAATTTTCCGCAAAAGCGGGCCTCGTTCAATTCCCGTAACTGCTCCTCTGAGAATAGTGGTAAGATAATCTCATCAAGGACGATCTCATCCCATTTGTTTTCGACAAGAATAAACCCATATTCAGCAAGCAGGAAATCATTGCTATGATTCCCATAACTTATACAAATCTCCTCACCCTTCTCAATTCGTCGGTCGGTTCGGATGTGGTAGCCGGAGGGCGAGAAGGTGACTTCGCAACCAACATCGGCATGGTTGAATACATCAGCGAGAGGGATGAGAGCCAGGCAATCATCATGATTGATGTTTGTTAATTTTTGCGAAGTATAATAAAACGTTCGGGTGCCGACAATGAACCAATGATATACATAGACTTCATAAGATAGTGCGGAGAAGGCAGCAGAGACAGCGGCCCAGTCCGAGGATAGTTTTTCTTTCTGCTTTTCCAGGAGGGATAACGATGCGGATGGGAGAAGCTCTTGGAGCGAAGGGTGCCACATGAACGGTATCGAATCTTCAATTTCTTGCTTTGTAGGTAGGGCACCTCGCCACGGAGCGTAGAAACCCGATGTGTCCATAGCAAGCTCAGCAGCCAGAAGTCCGTTGACGCTAATTTTACCAATACGTTTAGAGATGCTCTTGGGAACGGTATGGGCTGTTCGCAGAATAGAGACAGGAGCGAATAATACTATTTCTCCAATCTGCTCAATTGTTAAATCGAGCTTGCACGAAAATACTTAAAGCAAATGTCGATATATTTGTTTGACGCGATTAATGCCCGTACAAGCGTAGGAAAAAGGGACTCCCGCATACCTCAAGTGTTTTGTCTGCGGTAAACCCGAATCCCTTACCGGGAAATTTGTGTGTCGAAATTCCATCGAGCGTAACTCCCCGAGCCAGAGCCCAGTCTGTAAATTGTTTAAAAGCTTCCATGAGGGAATGAAAATAACAGACGTGTTTAGGGAATCGAGAAAGAATAGACGAGGGACAAAAGAAAGAGTAAAACTTGGTCACGTGAATATAGTGACAAAAGAAGTATAGGGATTTTTTGATATAAAACTTTATATACTTAAGACACAGAATATATCTCTATTTTGTAGTAGTTTTTAGACGTCTATATTTACTATACTATCCTTTATATAGATATGCTAATAATTAAGGTTAAGCGCCTCGCGGAGGACAAAAGAAGTAATAGCCGACATATAATATTTCTCCGATTAAGTTAACGAAATATCGTATATTTAGTGGACTAACCTAGGACATTACTACTATTCCGTGAATTATTTTAAGTAAATGAGCTTTTTTAAGCTATATTCGTTAAGCTCTATTCGAAGTCGACTTATTATTCAGCCCAATTTTAGTGGGTAGGTAACTGACACTTGATTTATACTCCGCGAGGCGCGTCTGGTCTAAACATACAACAATATAATATAGATAGAAGTCACCACTTTATAGTGATTAATAAAACGTCCTGCGAAGTGACAAAGGTTCGTGGTGGATTCACGCGACCCCAAGCGTGGCTTGTGCGTTGCCGAACAGTGGCGTCAGAATGAGACAAGGCCCTGAAGCCTTGCGGATCGGCGAGCGAGTAAGATTATTCCTCTGTCATGCGACATCAACAACACCACGAATCTTGACATCGTGTGGACGTTTGCTGCTTTGAGGAGCTGTAGGTAGCGGTGGGGATGGCTCTTCAGGTTTCGTTTGCCCATACGGGTCAACGACTACAGGTCGATCCAGGGACTTTCACGTCGTAAGTTGTACCTTTGTGCTGGGAAACGCTTTAGGCATACTAATTCTCTGATCAGGATTGACGACTTTCGAAGCTGGGTTGCTCGAAATAGCTCGGTGTCGGTGCAGAACCATGTTGGGTTGACACGGCAGGGGAAACCTGTCAAACTGCCTATGTTGTCTACAGAAGTAAGCTATTGGTGACAAATGTAAACTCTAAGTTAGGCTGACAGTGAGTAGAAAGAGGTCTTCATCTATGACAAGCAGATAGGACAACCATCTTTTCCAACTTCCATAGAAGAGGCGCAACTCGATATTACTATGCCTACGAAATATACCCCGTCGAAAGCTCCCGATACAATAGCAGACCAGAAGAACTTGGAAGCATGGAAGGATTTATTTAAGGCACGGCGGTCATGGGCCCTCGAGATCGTCGAGACTTGTATGGCAATGTCGAACGAAGCCCAAGAAAGATACAGCGAAGCTCACGTCATGGCTCTTGGTGTGGATGCCGTTATCTATAATTTGGAGAAACATGTAAAAGCGCTGGACCAGAAAAATGCAGACATACAGACTTGGTCGAAGGATATTCAAAAGGAGCAGGAGGCAGCTGGGACTAATTGGGATACATCCGTTGGTAGACTGCGCTCATTGCCGGCCAGCAGCGATATGGTCGACTTCATTACCGGCAGAACTCCTCGCAAGAACAGGCCAAGCTCCACACTTGAAGACCTCGTAGATCAGACAGACGTGCAGACCGCTGGCAAGATTGTCCGAAGCATCACATCGAAGTTAAATAAGGATAGTGCGGCTCTCGGAACCAAGGTAGATCAGGTTCTACAGGAGATGGATAGCTTATTTGATAAGGTGGAAAGCGATCCGACTCGATCAATATCAACTCGAATCAATGAACCGATCCAACTAATGGAAGATATTGAGGCGGTTGCTAAGAAGATTAGTAACGACTACGAGAGTGTGCTGGGATATGCGAACAACAGCAAGAACATATCACAAGCCTCCAAGTCTGCCCTTCTCCACACGAAGAACCTCCTGCCTAGCCTTCTCAAAAGGGCTTCTGAAATGGACGCCATTCTGCATTCTTCTACAGAAGCACGCAACGCCATGGCTGCGCGATCGTTGGATATCATGCATGATATCTCTTCAATCACAGCTCTTCTATCTGATGCAAATTTAAGGTTCGCAGCCCTTAACGTGGACGACGAAGGACTCGATGCACTGCATATGCTGGAATTACTGAACACTTTGCCTACAACATACGCCTCATTCATAGCCGAGGCCATTCGTAGACGCGAGTGGACCGAGAAAATGAGGTCAGATTCTACAACGCTGGCTAACGAAATGGCAACATTTCAAGATGAAGAGGCCCGTCGACGGAGAAAGTGGCAGAAAGCAACGGGCAGTATGCTCTGGGGTGACAAACCCGAACGGAAAGTGACCGGTGTTGAAGTCAATTTTCACGATGATGAGGAGGACTGGCCACAGGCTACAAGACAAGATCTTGAGCAACTCTTGGACGTCTTGAAATCTCTGGATGGTAACTCGCAACTGGTTACCAATGTTTCAAAGATTTTCACAGAACTCAACAATCCAACCAAACAACAAAGCAAGCGTGCTAGGGCATTCAAGGCTGGTAGTATACATGAAGCCGCACTTGGAAGAAGCGCATTACTTGTTCGAGGCGACGATGAATCCATAAGAGTCCTCCAAGAAGAAAGACAGAAGACAGAAAACAAGCTGAAAACCGCTGAGAGCCGCATTCGACGGTTAGAAGGCCTTCTCCATCAACAATCTCAGAGTCGCAGTTCTACGGGAAACATCTTTCAATCACAAGGCCAACCAAGTCCCGATCCACATATCACCAACAATCCTTTGGCATCTCCACATCTGCTAGAAGATCAATCTCGGAGGTCTTCGGTTTCTTCTCGCCGCTTTTCGGCTCATCATGGCGCTGATGAGAAAGCTTTCCAGCAGAAGCTTTTGTCTGCAGAAGCTGATGCGAACGCAGAGCGTGAGAAGGTTGCAGGCTTGGAAAAGGAAATCGCGTCTAGGATTACGAAAGCGGATGACCTAAAGGTTTTGGTTGATGAAGCTAATTCCACCAAGCAAGATCTTCTGCAGAATTTTGAAGCCCAACAACGCGAATTTATGGCTGAGCGGAAATCTCTTGAGGATGAAATTAAGCGTATGAAGGTGAGACTCGAGGAGGTTGATGAAGAAGTTGAACGCTTGTTAGGCTCTAGGGAAGCTTCAGTCGAGGATCGCGTGCGAGAACTTCAGGATGACCTAGAGAGATTGCAGAAAACGCACGCGGCGGAACTTCAGAAAACGCAAGGACAAGTGGATTTCCTTCGGAATGATTCTAAGCTTCAGCGCGAAACAAACGCAAATCTAGAAAGGCAGATATTGAGGCTCAAGGAAGACAATCGCGAATTACTTCAAAGAGCTGAAAAGGCTGAATCGACAGCTGAAGAGCAGCTGCAGGTCTTGTATGACATCCATGCACAGCTATCACCGAAGTCTAAGAAATCGTTGGAACCCGCCGCACTTGCCGAAGTACTCGTGAGCCTCTCTGGAGACCTTGTGTCTGAACTCGAGTCTGTTAAAAGCGATGCAACTATTGCCAGATCGGATCGAGATGCTGCAAATAAAGAGATCGTAACTGTTAAAGAGGAGCTAGCTAAAGCACAAGAAACATTGTCCAAAGAAAAACAGGAAGTGACGCGTCTTCGTGAGCTCTTGGATTCTGAACAAGCTAAATTCAACTCCATAAAAGAAGAGCTAGTAGATGAACGAGACCAGCTGAGCAGTCTTAGGACGAAGATCTCGGACGGCGAGACGGGCTCTGAAGCTCTTCGTAATCGGCTCGAGGAAGAAGAGCGTAAGGTAACAAGGATATCAGAAGATCTTGCTACTCGACAATCCCGTATCGGCAGTCTCGAGGAAGAGCTTAGGACGTTTCAAGAAAAACACGAGTTCGCCAAAAAGAGACAGACTGCACTTATCTCCAGATTTGATGCTCGAACCGACCGAACAAAAGACCTTTCTCGTCGTGTCTACAATCAAAACGATAGATTATGTCGACTGCTTGAGAGGCTTAGCTATTCTGTTACAAGAGAAGGTAACTCGATGACTATACAGCGAATTCCAAGACCTGACAAGTCTAATGCGAACGATTCATCGGATCCTGGTTCTTCACTTAGAAAGAGTTCTGCCAACATCACGAGAAAAGCCATGATCGATAGTGGCGATTTGGATTTGCTCTACTGGATGCATAACGATGACCTAGAAGAAGAATCTGCCAAGTATGAAGCATTCTTGAACTCCATCGGCAACTTTGATGTGGAGGCATTTTGCGAAGTTATCACCAAGAGACTCAAGGATGTTGAGTACACTGCTAAGAAATATAACAAAGACGCTCGTGCATACCGCGAAAAGTCTCATGTAGCTCAAAAGGAGGCACACGAGAAGATCGCTTATAAGCATTTCAAAGAGGGTGATCTTGCTCTTTTCCTACCTACTCGAAATCAAGCGACCGGAGCTTGGGCAGCCTTTAATGTCGGGGCACCTCATTACTTCCTTCGTGAGCATGACTCTCACAAATTACAATCACGAGATTGGCTGCTGGCACGAATTCACAAAATCTCAGATCGAGTCGTGGATCTCTCTAAATCGATGTCAAGCTCCCGCGCCATCGACGGTAAATCTATCGACAGCAACTCCATAGAAGACGACAATCCATTTGAATTATCCGACGGTCTCCGCTGGTATCTCATCGAAGCGACAGAAGAGAAACCTGGGGCGCCCTCGACCCCCGGACTCGGAAAAAGCACAGTTGCGAGTGCCCGTATCGATGCAACGGGCGATATTCGTCGTAGCAAGAAGTCTAGCAGTAGCGTAGAGGGCATCAACAAAACGCTTAGTAAGAGTCTTGATAGTCGTCGAAGTAGTGTCAACTCTAAGAAAGCAGTCCCACTAGCCGCAAGCAGTCTTATAAAAAACGGAACCATCGCTACAGATGCCGCCTCGCTTAAAGCGTCGTCGACGACCGGTCTGCAATCGCCAGCTGAACCAGCGGAAGCGCATATATCGAGGCCGAGAAGCCGCGAGGACGCGGGCAAAGCGCCGATTAATCCCGAGGTTAGACATTCTCAGATCGTTGATAGTCTTATGGGTCCCTGAGTTTCGCTGATGGTTTTGGTGGTAGGGTAGTAATATGGCTCTTCCTGCGCGGACGGAGGGGAATAGTCCGACGAAGAGGATGGCTGAGGGGAGCAGTCCTACGAAGAGGTCGGTCATTTGGGACTCGTTGTGGTCTCTCGATATGAGTGTTGAGAGTGGGAAAAAATAAGAAGTAGGATCATGGCATGGCGTTACGGTTTGGATGGAAGGGGGGTGTATATCGACATAAATTGTGTAATATTGGGATCTTTTTAGTTTGGGTTGGTATGGCATGCATTCATTGCGATGATACCATTTTGCGAGGTCCCTTTTGATTTGGGTTTTGTAGATGGATTGGGGGGGGGGCTTGGATATAAGGTTAACTTGTGTGCATAAATTCGAATTTGCATATTTACACTATCATTTCTTGTATATGGTGTCATCTTTGTTCTTCTTCTATGTGCCTATTAATTCTGTAAAGTCGACACAGAAAGATCCTGGTGATAGATACATGAACGCACGACATCTCTGTAGGCAGGAACTGCCTTTTAGTTTGCACTATAAAGTCGCGTAAATTCGTAACAGTTCATTTGTCTTGGTTGTTGGCAGAATGATTTTGTGGTTTTTAGATTTGAGACTTCATCTTAAAATGTCATTTTTTTCATTCCAATGCCTTTCGAAATACATATGGGCAGGGACTAAATTAGCCACAATATCTGAAGAACTACATAGCTTGGTGTTCCATTCAATGGCTCACCAGTGTGTTACGTGATTGACGGGACACCCTCTATTATATGTCATCATCAAAATGTTTGTTTTTCTTGGTTATTTTGAGCGAATTTCATGTTACTGTATTTTCTTCTTCGAACTATTGTGGCTTTTGTGCACTGTAGGAAAGGGTTTAAGATGTCAGTTTCGGAATTCTATCGGACTTGAGAGGACGTTCTATTATTAAAGGTGTGGCTAGAAAAAATGACACTGGCTCTTTTCAATAACTCAAAGACCATCCTGCCATTAACAAGAAGAGAAAAGTAAACTAGTATCTGGATTTTCTCTCACTTGTGTTGACTTCGTAACCTTCTTTCCCAATGGCTTATACAATACCTCTTCAGCTTGGTTTCAAATTTATTACATCAAAAGTCATGTTTGTCTATAATTTTGGAGGCCAACACGTTGACCTCTCATCAACTGGACAAATCCCCAATCCTTTCCCTTCAATCATTGTTTTCACTAATTCCTCCATCTTCAACAATTCCGTGACATTAAAAAGTCTTGCCGCTTCCGTACTCAATAATCCCGTAAATCGAAAATTAAAACATTCCCCAAAACCCTACTTTTTCTTTTTACGAATGACTTCATACCAGGTTTCGATTACAGTGAAAACGGAATATAATACTTTCATCTCCATCTCCAATAATATCTAAGCGCCAATTACAGCGCTTATGATTTACGGTTTCCCGGAAGTCAATATAAGCGCTTATTTTAGTAGCACTCGCGCGAGTAAGAGGGCCGCTTAAATGTGTGCTTTTGCGGATTGCGTTTTTCAACTGCTTAGTAATGTGAGAGAGCTATTTTAAGAATGCATTTGCATTTTCAAGTCTCTAAATGTAAGGCAAATTATCTCAATTTGTAAAACCCTTTACATTTCTTGGGCTTAGATCTGTTCTCAAAGTGAGTACGTGGAGTACTCTTGTGATTTACAATGTAAGTAGCAGTAAAAACATGACATTTCCTTAATAAAATTGACAAAACAATGGGTATATCGTCCACTGTTCTCGGGAAACAAGATAGTTTGAAACTCTCTTTTCTACTAAGTTTCAAATGCAAAGTACTCACTAACTCCTAAGAATAAAATGGCTAACAATAAATTCTGCGATTTACTTCCTCCTGTACGAGGCCGTTATTCATTGTCATCACTCGCTTAAGTTGGTGGCGCATAAGGGGGGTTTCCCGGATTGCGGTTTTCGACAACACCACGAAAATGGGGATATACGGTTTTCCGTTTCTCAGTTCTCAATTCTTAGAACTTGTATGTTGGGCTGATGTTGGAAGCGTATAAATATGTCATCTTCTTTTCGTTCCTTTGTTTTCCATCTTCTTCCACGAAATATTTTTTGGTGTCAAAAAGACGTCGTCGCTAAAGTGCCTTGGTATCGCCATACTTTTTCACACTTGTTACGACAAGTCTCTTATAATCTTCTTATCGTCGTCATCGTCGTCGTCGCCGTCGAACTAAGGTCTGTTTTTGGTTGATTAATTTATTATATAATTTCATCGCGATGTCCTTCCACGAATCCCATGTTGCTGTCGCTATGGTATTTATGACATATACCTCTGCAATTTTCTCCAACACAAACACTTTTACTATCGTTGGATCTCTGCCTGAAGTCCTTGAGGGTCTTCGTTTCGTTCTCAATATCATGGAATCATTCACGAACATGTTTGACAACACTCCCCGCATCACCTTCACTTCTCACCTCGACGTCCACCGTTTTACCATATCCTATGTCCTCGTTGTCTCAAGACGTTCCAGGCTTTCAGTTGTGTTCCGTCTGGCGATCGTCAGCACAATCGTTGTCACCTTTCCGAATCAACATATCCCTAGAGCTATCGATATACTCAACAATCTCATTACCTCGGCCACTATTCGAGAAAACAACCATCAGCTTAATAATCTTCAAGTCATTACAAACGCAGATAAAACCATTACACAAACCCATCCATCTATTATGACTATCCCAACTCCATCATCACCGTTGCCAGCACTTCCTCGCGACCAAATCCAATCAACATCAACCCATCACAGTCTTTCGCAGCACTTTCGCTATCCATCACTCCTCCTCAACACTAACTCAGACCTTGATCAACCACACCTCGCGTACGAAGAGTCTATACAAATATACCTTAGACAGCTTCAAAGTTTTCGAGAAGTGTACCAGCAGGCTGCTGGGCCGATGGACCAACGAGAGTAGAGTTTTGGAAATTCGGCTTTGCCTAAGGTGTGGAACAAATGAAAGCTTCTATCTAGTCGAGAGGTTATGTTTGTGATTGTATTTCTTTGGTCAAGGGTTTGACAGATTAGGCTGTTCATTATTTTCTGTTTTTGGACGCGTTATTTCGTTACAGGCTCGCTGGTCTTTTTTTCAAATAAGTCGATTATGGCTACGCCGTGGTTAGTTAGTATGGTTAGAAATCTGCTGAAGCTTTTAGTAGAAGATTTATCTTGTTTCTGTATGATCTAGTATAATTGGTTTTAATTGACTCGAAACAGGGAAAAGTATATGTGGCGTGGAGCTAGCTTTTTTTGCTTCGTTTGTAGTATTAATACTAACACTTGAAGTCTCTTGCATACTTCGATGACTCGGATGTTCTATTAAATAACAAAAAGTCACCTAGCCAAATGGGAGGTATACTTCGGCTTTAGAGCGCACCTTTCGGCGATTACGATTCGGGGTGATGACCTGTACCGACCCCGACCATGCTCCGAATGGGCAAGTCTCTGGTCCGATACTACGAGTTTCGAAAAGGTTGCCGTCACGGGTCAATACAAAGATAATCGTTAGTTGCAATAACGAAGTATATGTGGTGCACATACTAACTCGGGAAACATAAGTAATTGGATGTTAAGAGTTTCCGCGAGATGCATTTTTCAAGATCATGTGATATTAGTGGAAAGTCACAAACGCTTCACCACATCACAAAACGCAGCCTCGATACAAGTCGTATGAGAACTAAACCTGCCGAAGCAGTAATCCATATTCTTTATTCACAAGCAACATGTTTTCTACCGTCCTAGCAAAAGATGCAACGACTCCTACTTGACCGTTGTTGAATAGCCAGCCAAGTAACTCCTTTCGCTTAAGCAAATGTTCGACCCTATTTCCCATTGTTGAAGACTTTTGTTCCTTCCGAGATCGCTTTATATATGCCGTTGAAGGACAAATGCTTTTCCCGATTCATAGCATCATTAATCGTGTTGAATAATTCCCTTTCCGCTACGCCGTAAAATGAAACCGCAAGGATATATCTCTAGTATCTGTACATGTCGCTCTTGTATGGTCCTGCGGTCTCAAGGCCGAGGTACTCAGCTTGAACAGGAGTCAACTCAGTCAACTCAGCATTAACGTGAGCCAAGTGGAGCTTGGCAACGGTCTCGTCCAAGATCTTTGGCAGAACGTAGACACCGACCTCGAGCTTCTGAGTCTTACCGAACTCAACATACTTCTTTCCGAAGGCCTCATCCTCACACTTGTACAGCATGATTTGTGCAAGAACTTGGTTGGTGAAGGAGCAGGACATGACGAAAGAAGAGTGACCAGTAGCACAACCCAAGTTGACGAGACGACCCTCGGCGAGAAGGATGATGTGACGTCCACTTGGCATCAAGAAGCGGTCGACTTGAGGCTTGATGTTCTGGACGCTGGATGCATTCTTCTTCAACCAGGCAACGTCAATCTCAATATCGAAGTGACCAATGTCTAACAACATTAGCAACGAACATCACGTGATGGGTTGGGTACTTACTGCAGACAATAGCATCATTAGGCATTTTCTCGAAGTGCTCTCCGACCAAAATATCTCTGCATCCGGTTGTGGTGACGAAGATTTGACCCTGGCTCGCGGCCTTCTCCATGGTTGTGACTTGGAAACCCGAAACAGCAGCTTGGAGGGCGTTGATAGGATCAACCTCAGTGACGATGACACGAGCACCCATTCCGTGGAGAGCCATGGCACATCCTTTTCCGACATCACCGAAACCGGCAACGACAGCGACCTTTCCAGCAATCATGACATCGGTGGCTCGCTTAATACCATCGATCAAAGATTCGCGGCAACCATACAAGTTGTCAAATTTCGACTTGGTGACAGAATCGTTAACATTGACAGCAGGTACGAGAAGGCCCTTGTTCTTCAACATCTTGTACAAGTGGTGGACACCGGTAGTGGTCTCCTCAGAGACACCGTAGCATCCCTTCAGCATCTCTGGGTACTTGTTGTGGACAAGAGCAGTAAGATCTCCACCATCATCGAGGATTAGATTGAGAGACCCGCCATCTTTGAAAGCGGTAAGTTGCTGCTCTAAACACCATTGGTATTCCTCCTCGGTCTCGCCCTTCCACGCGAATATTGGGACACCTGCTCGGTTAGCTTTGATTCCAACAACCACAACTTTGGATCTAGATGTCCAAGAGCTTTATTTTGAATTGATAACTTACCAGCTGCTGCAACCGCTGCCGCTGCGTGATCTTGCGTACTGAAGATATTACAGGAAGACCACGTAACTTCTGCTCCAAGGAATGTAAGAGTTTCGATCAGAACAGCCGTTTGAATTGTCGCGTGGAGACATCCCGCAATTTTTGCGCCTTTAAGAGGTTGATCATTCTTATATTTCTCACGGGTAGCCATCAAACCGGGCATTTCATTCTCTGCGAGCTCGATTTCCTTGCGGCCGAAGGCGGCAAGACTGAGGTCAGCGACCTTGAATTTCGAAGCGGGAGCCGACATTTTGAGTGGGGCAGTTTTATGGGGACTGTATAAAGCCTCAGTTAGCATGAGAAATCATATTGAAGTGTCGTGGACTTACGTGGTGGTTGTGGTGTTGGTAGAAGAGGAGGTGTAGAAGGAAGAGAGAGGGATAAGCTCAATCTCAGGTCGAATCCTTTTTGTTGGTGGGGGAACCTAAAAGGGTTTAGCGTAGGCTTATCTCACCTCCAATAAGCGCTCGGTCCCTGAAAATTCTAATGCAAGTGTCAGAGATTATGATCGCGATGGTGGGGTATCAAAAGTTCGATCTGTTGAAATTCACAACAACTTTACAGCATCAAACTCAAATACAATTCTTCATACATCTAGGAACACTATCCGTTATTTCGTCCACCTATTTGAGGAATTAACATTCACGATTGAAGGTGATGGTTGAGATTGATATTGAATTAAGCGACGTGTCAGATGGCTTCAATTGTCAATGGGAACCGCGCCCTCACCGCGTTTTGTATTGTCTCTATTACATTGGCTAAATCGAATAAACATCTACTGGTCCTTAAATTTAAAAAGACACACTGATTAAGTAATATCACATGAACTTGGAGGATGACACTTGGCTCGCTTGACTACCACTACTATATCTTAGCCAGTAACAACAAGTTTTCGACTTATCTACGAAAAGTATTAAATCTAGTAGATATTCCAGTACCTGGAAGTCATAATATGGAAAAGGAAAATTTTCTTTTATTTTCTGACCAACCTATCTGTTAGTTCATCCCATAAAGTGCCGTTCCAAGAAAATATGGGGCAAAATGCCCTAAGCGAGTGATACACCCAATTGAAATAGAGCTTTAAGGGGCGCCGACCAACCACCAAATTCGCACCCGCAGAGTTTTAAATTTAGTGAGAACGATTTGACGAAAGATCCGATATTTTGTCAACTCGATCAAAGAATGATGAAAGCTAACTCCTCGACTGCGATTTGTTTTTATCTGGCAAGAGTCGTTTCGATAAGTCTCACGTGATCTGGGGCAATTCCCAAGTCGCGTCAAATGATAACTTCGACAAGATGAATATAAAGAATTGTTAGAATTGTGCCTTCGCAATCGAGCTCCAAGACGAGCATAACCAGGTATAAGACTTTGCGATTCCTCGCCCAGGCAATCATTGATTGCCATCGGAAATACGCGAATCTCGAAATTGTACGTTCAATCGACATCAGTAGGGCGTGCAATTTAGCTGTCACTTTGAAAAAGAATATAACGGCGAGGAAGAAAGTGAGTACTAATCACAAAATGAAATGTACCTATAGTCTCAAAGTCCACATCATACCCTGGCGGTCGACAAATTTTAATGGCAATGATCTTCTGACAGTTTTGTAACCTGGAATTCCAATTAGTCATGTAGGTAACACTCCATTGAATTAAACCATCATTCCACGCCCAAACAGACGTTCGTTTAGACATATCTTATTTACTGAACATGGTTGACGAAATATGCCAATTCTGTCAACGTAAGTGGATAAATGCTGTGTATTGACTGTCACTTGTATAAGCCACTACGAGACAGTCCTAAATACCTACCTAGATGCGTATATATACTTAACATACTAGAGAAGCGAGCATGTGTTTCGGATTCAGAAATCGACGGGATTTAGTCTCATCGTCCAAATTGAGTCTCATTAAAACCGTGAATTACAAGGTTGGTTGGGGATAAACTTCGAGAATATCTATTTAATTACACTCCGTTACAAGAAAAAATAGTAAAACTTTCAAGCCGGATCGCTACAATTCATTGGTCACTGTAAACCATAAATCCAAGTACGCTCGTTTTGTATGATTTCTTGAATTTTCATAAATATCTTCCTCTCGACCGTCTAGCCTACGTTTTCTAATTACATCGCCAGACATCAAGCTTATTTGAAAAATCCTGAACCAGCATGTCTACAACGTAAGCAGAGCCGCGCTTGCATGGCAATCATACCAGCTGCGCAGAACAATGCTAATGTAACGGCCGTAGATCCCCTCTGAACGCCAGCCATGCAAACTCCAGAATCTCGAGCCGCAGCAAGAGCGCTTTTCCCTATATCACACAAATTCCTCACGAACTCTCAGGAAGCAAATTGCTCTTGACAGCAAACATTTTACTAGTGATGCTCGCAGTGAAGCCATCCACTTGTCTCGAATATTGCTCTACCTGTCTAGCATTCAACATACCCTCCAATCGGCTTGGTTCTGTTGGCAGCTTGAATAGTCTCTCCCACTCATCCTCAGGTAATGGTGCTTGCTTCTGCTGTACTCTAGATGCATTCTCGGCCGCCCGCTTTGTCTTCCACGCTGTGATCTTGGTCTGCTCTCGGGCAAGCTGTCTCTGGTAGTATTGGAAGTTGTTCAGCTCCGTGTAGTGTGTTTCTATGCTATCAAGGAGGGAGTCGCAAGTCTTCTCAAGATATGGGTCGATCGACAGGTCTAAAGACTCGAAGTTTGGATATAGCGGGTTCGGAGGTTGGGTAGCGTGAAGGTCTGCAAGACTGGCGGGAAATTCGAGTTCTTTCTTCGCGGGTTCGGCTGGTAGCTGGTGGAGGAAGGAGGTCAAGAGGTGAGAGTTGTGTACAATAATTGGTAGCTCAACCAGAACGTCCTTGTATGTGAGTTTGGTTTTTTGCATGCTGCTCGATATTAGAATAATTCATACCATCGGATTCGCTCACCATACTTCTCAGTCGTGAACTTGCTTTCCTTATAGGCAGCCATAAAGCTTGGAGATAATCTGAAAGCTCGCAGACTCAGAGCACCTTGAGAGCTTCGGCTGACATCGTGTACCAAAGCAACGGTTCTCTCATTTGGTTCCTTTTGATAAAAGAACTGATTTTCAATCAAGCTGGTGTTGACGAAATTGCCCATGTTTGCACTTGTGTACCATCCAACATTGTTCGCATCTACGTTGACCTCCCTTAGGTATTTGATCATCTCGTTCGAATATGTGATATTGGCCTTTGATCGTGGAGCAGCAGCGGCGAGGTTTGAAGCTGCCATATGATCGTTTGGGTGGGCATCGGCCGCGGCGACATCTGGCATTGGGAAGGGGAAAGTATTGGTGATTTGGAGAGTTCCGTTTACGTCCATTCCAACGATAGATCCAGTTGCGGTAGTAGGAAACGAGGCAGCGCAAGCTTTAACGATTTTCATCACAACCTGTATAATTCCGTCAGTCCTCAAGATCCCCGCCATAGAGCAGAATGTCGTACCAGTGCTTCCACTTGCACCGAGTTGAGCGGAACTTCTTTCGCAGTATCGGCCATGATTGCTATCGTATCGCAGATTCGATATTGAGGATCTGGTGTATATGCGACCGTGGTGTTGGTGGTGGGCTTGATCTTTGATGCGCACTGTCGCGAATTTGAGGCTTGATGAAAGTGTGTGTCTTTTTTTGGCGAAGCCACCCACTAGCGTGGTGGTGGGGGTTCAACGAGGAATACATGAAATATAGGAACCCCCACCCCTTTAATTCAACGTCACAATAACTCTTGCTGTCTGCTCTCTGGATTTCTGTCGATTCTGCTGAAGTTTCTATCCTCTTAATCAAATTATCTTCTTCCCACGCCGAATCGTTGACAGGAAGCTATCGCTACTTTATCACGTGTCTCCAGTTATATCCTCAAACGCGTCGACAGTGGCGAGACAATGATGGCCATACTCCGATGAATTCGGCCAGATCTGTGATTGTACTAATCTCCCGATCCATGGTATACAGATTGGAAAAGAAACGCCACCTCGCCGCTTAATATTGAGCTTTTCTCTATATACATGCTTACATGGAATACAGATACTGATTTGTCAAGGGCAAGCACCCTACCCGGCCGTCATTAAAAGTCCACTGGACAAACAATACATCGGTCTTCGTATATTGCGATATGAACAGTTGAATTCCCTTCAATTACTCATTTCCCTAAGTCGCACTCGATTCCTTATCAGGAGGAAAGTAAAATTTCTACGTCTAAAGGTCTACCAAAGGGAATCTAATCTCTCAATTCTGATACGCCATCCCACGCTCAAGTTGACTGTAATGTCTTCTTGCAAATATCATCCAAGCAACAACATTCCCTGAAATGCTCAATCAACCCACTCGGATATCTCCCAGTCCTGGGCGTCGTCTTTAATCAGTAGCCTCAAGCGCTCAATCTTCCATTCGGTATACAATGATCTAGTTGCACCTGCCGCCTTTCGGTGTGCTTCTCCTACGCTCCCAACTCTAGCGTCATGAGGAGAGCGCCAAACACAAGTAGCCAGGTTTCTACCATGCCCATCAGGCGAGCCAAACCAATACCTAAGGAAGTTAGCGACACGAACCTTTTGGTCTTGGCAAATTTCTTACTTGAGAAATCCTCCACTCTCAGTGGCTTCAGCGTGAGCTGCTTTATCGAGGACACCAAGATCAGCGTACACTGTTGTTGGTGGAATTCGCGACCGAAATACGACGATATAGAACGAGGATTCTGTCCACTTGAAGTCTGAAAGTTCAGCCATCCGGTGAACAGAATCTACAACCTCTGGCCAGTTAAAAATATCGATGTAGGGAGCGGTTGAGTAGTCCTCCCTTACACATTTCAACCCGACGAGTGCTTTAGCCAGTAGCTGGTTGGTGGTATCGAGAGTTCGAAGATCCAAAAGATGGGGTTTCTCTTCGTATGGAGATACGATTAGAAAATTCTCCTCGTCGTTATACTTTGTGTTGATGTTGCTGAGGACGTTGTCCTTGATGGCGGCGGTGAGGCTTGTATCGTCGGCGGATATTGTCTCCAGGGAGCTACCGAGTCGATGTGTTGTTGAGTCAAATCCTGGACGGCTAGCGACGCTAACTGCCATTGTGTATCAAAGAAATTTATTGATGAAGGGTAAGTTCTTCTTGGCTATAAGTGTACTCTGGAAGGGGAGGAGGTTGTGGTTTTAAGGCAAAAGTTGGGAGATCGACCATGACGATGGAATTTGTACACTTATGTGACCCATGCTAACGTGGTATGGTAGGACGTTTGCGCTGAACATCGTGCTTGGGTCATATAGCTGGGAGTTGGTATCATTTTATTTGTTCTTGTGTGCTATGGCGCAATGCTTTCTTTGAGTGGTGTTATCTTTGGCTAGACCGACGGCTCCTTTACTTGCATTACCCATGGTGTGCATCTGAAAGCCAAAAACACTTCTCACCGCATCACGATGTGAATGCAGGCTCACGATACCCTCGTGGAACCTGGACTCCAAAAATGCTGGAATTAAGTGTGGGAGTTCTGGCAAATTTCCTATCACTTATGTAAGTGACCCCATCAATTAGGAGATACCACCTAACAACTTTTAAGGGCACAGATCTTTCATGCACGCCTAATGTTGTGATAACATCGGACGATACGACCTTGGATTACTGCAATTGATGGCCGTCGGGTGCCTCGAGACGACTCATAGTCCGACGAACCTCGTGCAATAAATACGCATCCTGGGGGAAACGGATGATGGCCTCCGGAGCCTCACCGCTCATAGCTCGTTGAAGGTGCAGACGACGCGCATCAGAAGGCAACATCCAATCACCGAATTATCTTTCACGATCGCTACCGAGCAATCGAACTGTTCGGTAGGACTGCCGAACACATTTTCGAATCTCTGGTATGAACTGGCTTCGTTGACTTAAGGTTCGGCAGTCCCGCTGAATCCCAGTTGTCCATGTGCATTCTTCAATCCTTCAAAGGATAAGACGCAGTTACAGCCGGTAGTCGTCCATCGAGACATCGTGTTCTTCCAAAGAGTGCATGCGAGATTTGATATCACTCCTCCGAAAAGCAGGGTCGCATAGTTCTATCTGCTCGCAGGAGATTAGGCACGCCTCAGAGATAAACGTTATGATAGGTCTTCCGTGGTGTTTCCACGTCGTTCACCTAACCATACTCGTCCACTCTCATAAACTCCAAGATATAATCCACTTCCTAGTGCAGTCCATGCTGCTCTGAGTGTTCCACCTCGGAAGAGCCCTCGCATTCCGCTATCTCTGTAGACCTCCTGCGCAACCACGAAGCCACTCTTCTTCAAACCACCTGTCTTCTCTGCCAAATCTTTCAGCGATCTCCCTTGCTTCCGACTCTTGTCCACCTCCTCCATTGCGGCCTTTTCGGAAGTCTCGCCCGCAGCAGATAGCATAATTCTGGTTTTGACCACGTCAACTGGGGTTGTGATAACAGCTGCGACGGATCCCGCACTTCCTGCGCTAATCGCAGTGATCATTGCTGTTTCGCCTAAGGTGCCGGTAAAAGTGCCTTTATCTTTCCTATACTGTTTGATAGTTGTTTTCAGATGCTCAAACATCGGAAACTGCATTGCTGTGAAGGGTAAGTTCCGAGCAGCTAGTGCCGTGTATCCTCTCCACAGTTGGGATGGACGCTTGAACTTTCGCAATGTTTGTAAGGTCGCAGAAGGTTGAAAGACGGTTGAGGCATTTGATGACGATCCGCCAGCTGGCTTGCGCATCATTTGGGCATTTTGCTTCAGGACTTCTGCAGGCGTTAAGATAAAGCAAGATACAAGTTCCGCTATTGACGAGGCAGCGCTGTGAATGAAGGGTTGAGGTATTAGAGGCGAACTTGAGCCACTCAGAGTTGGATTTGCCTTGATGAGTCCGCTTTTGACGGCTTCATAAGCTGTGAAGAATGCTCCCGCTGGTATTTGTAAGTTGAAATTGTCCTTGAAGCTTTCTCACATGTGTCATGAACCAAGGCCAGGGTGACTTACATGATGGTATGGTTATCAAAATGATGCTGCCTACCCCTTGGTAAAGACCAGCGAAGAGTAAACGTTTATTGATAGCTGTTTTTGAAGAGTTGTAATATATTTTTTTATAATCCGGACTTTGAAAACGCGTTTTCAGCGTGTCTAATGGATAAACAAGTAAGTCAACTGTGAAAGCCGCAAAAGCTCCAGCCTATTGATGTCAGTATGGTTCTTTTTGACAGTAATGCCAGAGAATGAACAGTTCGGGCTCTACAATACACGCCGTTTGAAGAAGGCAAAATCTACTCAAAACAAGTACAAATGATACCGCTCCGGTGGGAGAAATATTCGGCCTGCGTAGTGTGACAAGCATCTCTATCTGGCCCTATTTGGGAAGGAAAATGTGTACTTACTAGGAGAACATCCGTGTGAGTATTGCCAGACATTTCCGACGGCAACTTAACAACCACGAAATCAAAGGATGTTATAAGCAAGGCTCAAGAATATATCAGGCCCCTTGAGAAATCCGGGTTCTAGCTGAATTATGTACTGTCTTTGAAGAGTGAAAATTAGTAGCATTATGTCATCGACAAGGAGGTTTATCGATAGGACGCCATGACATCCAGCTCTCGATCCCTGTATCAAGCTTCATTGCCACCACCCCCATACCAAATATCCAGCGTCCAACTAAAGCTTTAGAAAACATTCTTTTAGACATTCTAGACCACTCGCAAATATATCTCTGAAGCTTCACCCTGGCTCAATACTTCTGGTCGCGGTCTCGCCGCGTAGAATCCCCTCCGAAAGCTATCAAGCAAGAAATCATGGCACAACCACCAAATGCGCCGGAATTAACACCACAATTCTGCTTTAACACTGTGGCTTTACGAGGTACGCAATTCCCCTGGAGTTTTCAAACACACGTACTAACGTGTGTATCGCAGACTTCCTACGGATATCCCGCTCCTCAATCGACGACAGCATAACGCAAAACCTAAACGCCCTCTTCACACCCTCAAGCACCGGCTTCGATCCCTCCTCAACCACCATCCGCACCCCTCGATCGCGTCGAATTCCCGCCTCATCCTGCAACACCTTTAAAAACAAAGTCTTATTCCCATCATGGCAGGTTCGCTCTGACGTCTTGAGTTACTGCGCAAATGTGGCGACTAGTCCGGACCCCGATGACCCCGAGGCGGTTCAGAGACAGGCAGAGGAGATGAAGGATCGTGAAAGGATGGTGGATGAGAGGTTAGATCCTTATTCGGCGAGATTCTTCCCTACGGAGGCGAGGACGGAGAGATTGGCTGCTCTGATTAGGCAGGAGAGGGGTGTGGAGGGGATTGTGAGGGCGAGGAGTTGGGGACTGGTTTCTGAGAGGTGTGGGGATGAGGGGAGGGATTGGGAGGCTGCTTTGGGGGAGTGGAGGAAAGGAGAGGAGAGGAGTAGTGTCTTGGAGAAGAGTTGATGTACATGAGGTATTGTGTCGATTGTTTGTTAGCGGTGCATGCATGGATGGGATAGCGTGTTAAGCATACTTGAAAGGCGTTTGAAATAGAAAGATCATTCAACTCTACAGATTATATTTACGGCTACATTTGATCGCGGTCGACAAGATAAGTGTAAGTAGACTTTCAATTATTTGGTAGATGTCGACTTATTTGGGCTTGGGCTTGGTCAGCATATTAGATGCAACAACAGATGGTATAGCAGGTTAATAGATGTTTGTCGTATATCACTGCTATGTAAAAAACCGCCGCCTATTAAATGAGAATCCAGCATTGATTTATGTAACGACCATGATCCAAAGCGGCATCTGCGTCATTAGATGTTTTCCAGACGCCTAGATACTGACAATGGCTCTTCTCTGCACAATGCTCTTCGCTATACAGTAGTGAAAGCCGGCAATACCTTTTGAAAAGAAACAGACTACCGAGAGCATTTCAACAACTGCTTAATCGGATCAAAAACATGCGATCATTGATTAGGGTCCTGTTAGATAGGGTATGTTACAGTGGTCATTGCTGAATGAAGTAGAGAAGAGTTGTAAAATCTACTTTAGACAGGTTAAAGTAATGGCTATTTCTAGGTATTCTGAGAATTTAAAATCAGTTTTATTGTTACAAAGGTAGGTCATGCTAAGATTGCCGTGGTGTTGTTAGAAGTCGTTGATGTTGGCCCGAGCGAGCTGCATCTGTCTCGCCAAATAGGCTTGCCGAAAATGACGATAAATGTTCTAGGACGAACGAGCTCTACGCTTCTACCCACACGACTTCTCAATTCTCTCTCTCCCTCCCTCTCTCGTTCCGGCCCCACAACCGTGATACTGGTAGCTCGACCCAGGGCGAAGATCGGCCGTATCTTATTACCATTGCATCTTTACCTTCGAAGCTCCGCCAGCAATACCCCCACCAAAACCTCACGGGGCGCAAGTGAAAGCCTTCCCTCCAAGTTGCGAGTCCGCGATCACTAAAGCCGGGAAATTCATTCTATAGTCTCGACGCGATGCCACAGGTGCTCTCAGCGAAAGAGCAGGGTCTCTTTCGCACCGTGGTGCGGAATTATGAAGACAAACAGTATAAGAAAGGTTTGGGCAGCTGCCTCTGGGTTGCAGACAGCAGCTAACAATTCCTGTAGGTATCAAAGCTGCCGATCAAATTCTCAAAAAGAATCCCAAGCATGGCGATACGCTGGCGATGAAGGCTCTCATTATGAACTCCCAGGGAAAGACAGACGAAGCATTTGCGCTGGCGAAAGTGGCCCTTCAATGCGATATGAAATCGCATGTTTGCTGGCATGTGTATGGATTATTGTATAGGGCAGTCAAGAATTTCGAAGAAGCGATAAAGGCATACAAGTTCGCGTTACGGCTGGAACCAGACTCGCAACAGATACAACGGGATCTAGCTTTGCTCCAAGTACAGATGCGGGATTACCAGGGTTATTTGAACAGTCGTCGTGCAATGTTGACCGCGAGACCTAGTGCCAGGCAGAGTTGGACGGCCTTAGCTGTCGCACACCATCTGAATGGGAACTTGTCCGAAGCCGAAGGTGTCCTGACATCGTACGAGGAGACATTGAAGAACCCTCCCTCGAAGACAGATTTCGAAAACTCTGAGGCTGTTATGTATAAGAACTCCTTGATTGCTGAGCAGGGCGATTTCCAAAAAGCACTGGATCACCTGGAGTCTGCCGGAAAGCATACCTTGGATAGGCTGGCATACTACGAGCTTCGAGCTACATATCTCACAAAGCTTGGTCGGACAGAGGAGGCCACGAAAGCGTACCGGGCTTTAATTGATCGAAATTCCGAATACAAAATGTACTACGACGGGCTGATTGAAGCGATGGGTATATCTGAAGATAAGGCGGCCAAGAAACAGCTTTTCGACGAGTACGCGGAGAAATACCCACGGTGTGATGCTGCTCGACGGCTTCCTTTAGATTTCTTAGAAGGTCGGTGAAACCCTCAAAATATAAGACTTATCGCTAACACATTCTAGGTGACGAATTCAAGGAAGCTGCTGATCAGTATATCAACCGTATGCTGGACAAAGGTGTTCCCTCAACATTCGCGAACCTCAAACATCTTTACTCCAGCTCTTTCAAGAAAGATACATTACCTGCACTTGTGCAGCAATATATCGACAGTGGTAAGAGCGAAGCCAACGATGAACCAAAGAGAAGTGGAGATACTTCCAAAGGTGCCTCTGCAGCATTCTACTTCCTTGCCCAGCATTATAACTACTATCGCAGCCGCGACTTGGACAAGGCTATGGAATTTGTCGAGAAAGCTATCGAGCTAGAACCCAACAGCGTCGACTTTCACATGACTCAAGCGCGGATATGGAAGCATTACGGAAACTCGCAAAAGGCTTCTGAGATTATGGAAAAAGCTCGGACTTTAGACACACGGGATCGTCACATCAACACCAAGGCAGCCAAATATCAATTGCGAGACAACGAGGGAGATGCTGCACTCAAGACCATGGGGTTATTTACCAGAGCTGAGACTGTTGGTGGCCCGCTCGCTGATCTTCATGATATGCAGTGCGTTTGGTACTTGACCGAAGACGGCGAGTCTTATGCTCGCCAGGGTAAGATTGGACTTGCCTTGAAGAGATTCACCTCAATATACAACATTTTCGATGTGTGGCAAGAAGATCAATTCGACTTTCACAGCTTCTCTTTGCGAAAGGGCCAGATAAGAGCATATATTGACATGATGAGATGGGAAGATCAACTGAGGGAGCATACCTTCTACTCCCGGGCTGCATTATCTGCTGTCGATGTCTACCTAAAGCTTCATGACAAGCCATTGTCGAACGGTACGAATGGAAACTCAGATGCCAATGGAGATGATGCCGCGGAAAGAAAAAAGGCTGCTAAGAAGGCCAGAAAAGAAGCTCAAAAGGCTGAGCGCGAGGCCATAGCCAAGAAGAACGAGCCAAACAAGGCAACTAAAGAGGTGGAAGCCGATCCAAAGAAAAAGGACGACGATCCTGATGGAGCAAAACTTGCTGCGACGACAGAACCAATGAATGATGCTATGAAGTTCCTTACACCTTTGCTACAATTTAGCCCGAAGAGTATTGATGTACAAACTGCAGGATTCGAAGTGTACATGCGAAGAAGTGAGTTACAAACCCGATTACCATTTTTACAAGTTTTTTTTGCTAACTATATAATAGAAAAGTATGTCCTCGCGCTCAAGTGCTTGCTCGCCGCCGCAGCTCTAGACAAGGAACATTCCAAGGTCCATCAACAAATCGTTCGTTTCAAAGTAGCTATCGACAGCGAGTTTGAGTCTTCGGAATCCAAGATCTCTCCCAAGACGAAAGAGGTCATCACATCCGAGTTCAACCTCTTACCCGCCTCAACTTCGCTCACCAAGTTCAACGACGATTACCTGGCCAGTCACAAAGATTGCGCCCGAAGGACTCTATCTGCACTTAGCGTACGAAAACTCATATCCCCTGACGCCGCCCCAACTTGCGAAAAAGACGTCGCAGCAGTCCTGAAGCTCTCAGCCATCACCGTCGAAGAAGCACAGGAAGCGTTAACCCTCCTTCGATCCTGGAATAGCAGCGAAGTCGACGCATTCAAATCCAGCGCCGCCCAGAAATGGCCTAAAGCCACAATCTTCGAATGATTCCGATTTCGATTTTGACTAAAACGACTGTATCTTGTATTTATGGATTTCGATACTCATTTGATGAAGCCCTGCCGCTCTTAATGCGTTTTGGGAGTAGGTAGGCGTGGGGGTATAGCATTTGCATTGGCATGGAACAAACATGTGAGGGATAGTTTAGATAAAAGTTTGTGCTGAGATGGGGATGGGGTGTGAGAGGTCATTTAGGTGGCTTTCTTGTGATATTTAGAGAGGAATTTGAAAGAGTTTCAAATTTTTGTTATTCTCTTGTGTGGCGTGCTGCTAATCTCTATTTTGTTAACATTTCCCCCTTCTTCATTCCATTCAAGATAGGTCCAAATTACTGATCAACAACATGGACAGTGTTGTTCATCTGCTTACCTTGGTATATACCAAAAGATCCTCCTTAGTTGGTACCAACCCTCTAGGTTGGCACTAGACCAAAAATCGGATGATTCTCCAAAATTGGAGATTCCAAACACTCGAAGAGAGGATTATATATCTACAAACTACAACATACTACATCCCTTTCTCATACAATACACCCACAACCCATCGTCTATAGCTACAAATTCTACAAAGCCCTCGCTTCCCAAAATTGGAGTTGGTATCAACAAGCCCAAGCTTCTCAAATATCATACAACATTACCACCCGCCTTTTAAACATCTATTCCTCATCCTCTGTCAACCCCTCAGCAACAGGTCTCTCCGCCTTCTTAAAGTACTCCTTCGTACTCCGCCCAAGCGATCTCAAACCCCCTTTAATCCAGCCTTCAACCTCCTCCTCGGGGATCTTGAATGTTTTCGCGCGCTCCTCCTCTTCTGCCGTGATCTCGGCTCTTCGCATCCGACTTGCTATCCGCGGGTCAAGGATTATGGGCTCTAACCACGTTCGTTCTGGCTCGTCTTCTTTTCGTACCCGAGTGCTTTTATGCCATTCTTTTTCTTCTTCGTAGAGCGCGGTTTGTTGTTCCGCTGTTTGAGGGACTTGTTCGCTTGATGCTTGCGGTGAGGTGTATGAATCGTCGGCTGTGAACGAGGTCGGTGTGTTTGAGGAGGTGGTATGGTATGGTCGGTAGGTGGATAAGATTATAGCTGCTGTTTCTCGTCCTATTGAGTCTGCTACTTCGCGGCGGTTGAGGAAGCGCCACATTCGTCGTGGGGTGTTGAGGAATCCGAGGATGTGTGGGAAGGAGATTGGTATTGATGGGTCGAGTTCTGCGGGGAGTTCTTTTGGTAGAGCGGCGTTTGAGTATTCGGCGACTGAGATAAATGGCGCCAGCTTTGGCGGTTTCTCGTCAGGCTTCTTTTCTGGTTCTGGTTCGGGAGCAACCTTTTCGGCTCCTTCGACGACTGAAGTGTCATGGATTACTGTCGCATCGAGAGGATTTTCTGTGTCTGACGATAGAGGACTATCGCCTGGGGGCGCAATGACAGCTGTTCCGATTTCTTCAGGTATTGGTACTTCTGCGGGTTTCGCTACGACAGGTCGGACTGGCTCAACTAAGGGTCCTAACCAACCCTCATGGAGGCCTCTAACATATTCCTTCCAAGTATGTCGCCCAATGACAATATCTCCACGAGGACCATCGAATTCCTGAATGCCACTTTTACTGCGCACTTCCAATACCGGATTCTCTTCCGTTCGCTGAGCTGGTGGTAACCTAGATTTGCGGATTCTCTCAGCCAATTCGGCGCGGACGTCGCCCTCTTTCCTGCCCTGTATAAATTCCCAATCCAATCCTGATGCCACAAGAATAGGCTTCACATATAACTTAAAGTGATCTTGCGCTGATCGTAGCCCATCTGCCGGAGGACCTTCCAGAAACACCGTAAGCTTTCTAGGCATTGATTTTGGATCCAGTGGCTCCTTCGCGATATGTTCAACCAGCTTACACCATTTCCTCTGCGCTCGTCTCTGTTCTCTCTTGTCGTATATAATGGCTGCGGTAAAGGATCCAGTAATCGAGAGGAATATCATCCAGTTTCGCGAAGGGAGTTTTGGTCGGAAGTTCTCCCCGAGTCCCATGTATTTGTAGATAGGATTTGGGTTAGGTAGTTTCTTCTCTACCTTGATATCTGGCTTTGGCGCATCTGGCTTGGGCGCGGAAGCCTACATGATGTTAGCATGTATGGAACCAGTATATGGTGTATTCGAGTCTGAGATATACCTCTGGGAGTTTCGAGCCATCCGTTGCCATTTTATTGTTATCAGGCTGCAAACTTTCTTCAAATAAGTGATAGATTTAATGTAAGACAAAACGATGGAACCGATACATCCTAGACAAGAGGTTTGGAGCAGAGGAACTGTTCGAAGCTTTCAAGACATTCTCGGTCCAAAACTTTTGGAATGATTCCGAGAAGATAATCCGGTCGGCTCCACCCCGACCCCTGAGCTATGAAATCCGGTAGGGATATCACGTGAAAACTTTTGCTTAAAAGTCTAGGTGCTGTAAAGCGTTAAGAAGTAAGAGAAATTATTTTTGGAAAAAAGACATTTAAATCCGGTAGTAATCAATTAATCTTTGCCTTGCGCACTCAGAACTCTTGGACTACCTGGAAATCCAAGGTTGGCTTTCGATCCTTGCCGCCGAACGCATCCATGACAGAAATTCAAAGCCATCCTGACGAGGAGAAATCATTGATTATAAAATATCAGAACGCCAAGAGTAAAGACATTTCTCACACATATACCATAACTCAATTCTCTTTACAATTCAACAACTAATTGTATGGAGCTTCGAAAGTCTGTTAGTTCGCCGCTTTCGTCGCTTTGATGTAATAATAAACCTGCGCTAAACCCAAATTGCCACGTCGGAGGGCGGTGACCGTGGAACTTTTTTACGCTTCGAACCTCAACTCTGAACGAAATCCTACGTCTACCGAAAACGACTTGTCAATACACGATATCCATATTCCAATTCACAGAAAGCTTTGAGCGCGTTATTCATCTCGTGGTGAACGAAATTTGTAAGAAAGTTCCCGCAGCACCAATTTCGAAATCGCCTCCATGCACCTCAACAGGCAAACTCGTGACGATACATTAAGCTCACTCATAAGGAGGCAGAATTTCCTTCTGACATACATACCGTGAGGTATTGTGTTTCAAAAAACGGTACAATACGCCTGAGATAAGGCTTGAGACTTGATACGTACCACCGTCCTTTTCGAACCCAAGCTCGTTGCCGGTTCCTAGCAGGTGGAAAGCTTTCTATTGTCCGAGAAGCACCTGTACCAGAGGTCCGGTCTACGACGACAAACAGTTAAAAAGTCCCGCCTTTCTCGCGTTGCGGTAGTGATAGAAGAGCTGTGTTTCACTGGGATAGTATTCTTGAATTCACCTGTCTGGTGGTCAATTTAGAAATAAGGCCGCCAGGTGAGTTGCCGTGTTGCGGCAGGTCCTTTGACTTTCTGCGAACACTCAACAACCCAGCCGTTTGGAGCAAGGAAGTTTTAGTTCTTGGGTACCAGGGGAGAGTCTATTCGGCGCGCTAAGGGTGGTGTCGCAGCAATGGGTGCTGTCGCAATAGAGGCAATGCCTCATCAGAAAGGGTTCGGGAATGTCGCAAGATCTCCGACCTCTGCTCTATCAGCAACAAGGCCGTTCAAAGGATCCCCTAACGTCATATTCAAGCACTCGCGCTCCCATCAAGACCTTCCGGTACGGTTAAGAGATAAAACCCGAAGACCATCTTCAAAGGAGGATCGATCACCTTCGCCTTCGCCGAAGAGATCTCACACCGGAGGTGGCGGTCGGCCAGCAAAGCAAGTAAAGCGCAGTGGAACTGGTGAGCTCCTCTCATTTCCAATATTCAGATTCACTTTTCCGTTGAGATAACACCACCTTGTCCAGCAACTAACAACAAATAGATGTTCAAATCAATTTCAAAGGGCTAAAATCGACAGAGCGTTCCGGCTTAGAAAAGAATACGGAGCTCGGTTCTCTAAAGCGGGCTCGTGAGCCAGCAGCCGTTGATGATTTTTACAGCAAGCGGATGAAAATCTGCAAATTGGATGATGCAAATATTGACGACCATACGAGGAGAGTGCAGGCGTCAAATTGGGCTTTGATAATCAAGCAACAAAAACTAAAGGTATGCTATCTATATTGCAAGGCCCCCCTTGTGTCTTACTCCTCATGCTTGTTGTCTGCTATTTTCTTGCCATGTCACATCAAATAAACCCTTCGGTTTCCCAGTTATTTGCCAAAATGGCGCTTTTCGACCATTCCGATTTCAACAAATAACACATCATTCCTCTATCGGGGTGTCTTTATTTGACTCCAGCAGAAATGTCAAACCAACGAGACTTTTCGTTTTTCCCGTTTAAATTTATTAGACTGTATTTGAGCAGACTGTGCTGACGTCTCTTAAGGCCGACAGCATCATATCCGATCTTTCAAAGACACCACCTACTATACAGAGAGGATTTGACAATTTCACTGGGGTCTTGTGCTACCGAATATCTTTGATTCAAGCTTTATTGCACATCCCCAAGCTTGTAACGCTTCTGTGGGAGAACCACATGCCATCCTTATGTGTGGTCGACGACCGAAAGGACTGCTCAGCTTGCGCTCTTCGTGGCGTAGTGATTTCGTACTGGAAGGTGCAGAATAGTTCTACCCTATTAGCCATGTTTCGAAACCTACACGCCTTACTCAGACGGCGTGGTTGGACAGAAATGGGGCAAGGTGACCCAAATGAACAACTTACATTCTTATTCAGAATCCTTCGCGAGGATTTACCTATCGCCACATATTCAGACATCGATTCGCTCTTCTCGTCTTCTATCAACCAATCCATCCCTTGTTCTTGTGGGCACTCTTCCATTACAACTTCATCGCAGACCCAGATGACAGTTTGCCTGGCACCCCAATTACGGAACGGTACCCTTCAGCAGTACATTGCACGTGGTGTAACAGATACTGTTGACTATCAGTGCGAAGCATGTAAGAAGAATGGCCAATGCAAGAAGACACGTCTTTTCGATGACTTATCAGAAATCCTTGCTATCCATCTCTCACGACGTGATGCCTTCGGTCGTAAGATCAAGACTACAGTCAACGTTTCACACACCCTTGATCTCACATTATTGAAAAGTAAGAGTAAGACGGATAACGAGAGATGGAAATACGAGCTCATATCCGTCATCCAGCATAGTGGAGGTGATAATTCTGGTCATTACATATGCAGTGCCGAGGGACCAGATAAGCAATGGAGGATGTTCAACGACCGGAGCGTGTCAAGAACCGAGGTTGGCGCTGTGGAACGGTCGTTCTCTCCTGTGATGTGCTTCTACAGGAGGGTTAGATGAAGTCAGCCGAGAACTGAAGAAGGGTTGTATGTTTTCCTGTTTATCATGGAGGGTCGAGTATTTGCATATATTGGATGGGACATTGCATTAGGGGCCGCATTTTGATGGCATTGGTGGCGTTTTGGGACGATACCATTTTGAAGAGGCACGCATAGATTTAGATACAAGACGCAGATTGTGGAAACATTATATTTTCAACCTTTTAACATACCAATTAAAGCATCACGAGAGTTCTTATCGGGGTCTAGCTGACGAATCGGTGTAGCGAGAAGCCTCAATTCAGATTTAGGGGGGGGTTCGGCTCCACGGGTCTACACCAGCCGTGTAACGTCAACGTTTCCAGGTGGACGTTGTGCAAGGCGGGATGGACTGTACGACCCCACATTACACCCCGCTACCCCTCGCTCCCACTGTTGCCAGGTTAAATGCAGCCGACATACAAGTAGCTCAACTTCTTCGAGCTTCGTGAACAAAATTTTTCTTGTCGAAAGCCAATTCTATCTACTTCTCGTTCGAAAAATCTGACCTAGAGCTCATCCAAATTATCAAATCTTCAAAATGTCACCGTACAATGTAAAATGGGGCATCATGGCCACAGGTGGAATTGCGACCAGTAAGTCCTCCTTACTTCAATATTCTACAGCTTTAAGTACATTTCTAACTTTTCTTTCTAGCTTTCGCAAAAGATCTCCTCTGCGACCCATCTACACGATCTGTCAGTGATGTATCCCACACCATCGTCGCCGCCGCATCATCGTCATCAAAGTCTCGCGCCGAGGAATTTCTGAAAGATATCAAGAACCCTGGTGAAGCAAAAGCATATGGCAGCTACCACGAACTTGTAGCAGATTCTAATGTCGACATAATCTACGTTGCTACACCACACTCCCATCATTTCCAGAACGCCATGTTATGTCTCGAAGCTGGGAAGAACGTGTTGTGTGAGAAGGCTTTCACTGTCAATGCCGAACAAGCGAAGATCTTGGTTGATACGGCGAAATCAAAGGGACTATTCTTGATGGAGGCAGTCTGGACACGTTACTTTCCTCTCTCAATCAAGATCCGAGAGTTGATTAAAGATGGCAAAATTGGCACGGTCAAGCGCGTCACCTCAGATCTGAGTTTCAACTCCAACAAACCCGACTCGGACGCGCTCACCTTCGATGACAGCCATCGCATGATCAACATGGATCTTGCAGGAGGAGCATTATTGGATTTAGGTATCTACTCCCTGACATGGGTTTTCCAGATTTTGTATCTGTGTCAGAAAGTGGGGGAGCGGGAGAAACCTAAGGTTATGGCTGCGATGGATAAATATCATACGGGGGCTGATGAGAATACTGCTATTATCTGCCATTTCCAGAAGGGAAGAACCATTGGTGTCGCTACAACTGGTTTGAGAACTGCTACCCAACCAGACGGGGAAAATAGTCCTGCGACCGGCCCTGCATGTCGCATTCAAGGCACCAAAGGCGAGATCCAAGTTATTGGTCCTCTATACAGACCTTTGGAATACAGAGTTATCATGAATGGTGGGAAAGAGGGTGTGGTGGAATCTGTCAAATGCCCAATTCCCACGGATCCTAACAGGGAAGGTAAAGACGGGAAAGGCTGGGGTCACGGTATGTTCTGGGAAGCTGATGAGGCTGCGAGATGTTTGAGGGATGGAAAGAAACAGAGTGAGTCTTTGACTTGGGAGGAGAGTATTGTTATTATGGAGACTATGGATGAGGTGAGGAAGGCGGGTGATATCAAGTATCCTGAGTTGATTGAGACGACGGTTTATGACGCGAAGAGTTCGTTGAATGGGAAGAATTAGATGAGACGTGGGAGTGTATAAGATTAGGAATTGGTGAAAAGCATGTATGGAGTAGCAATGTAGTGGCTGTCAGACTGACATGACTTATTCGGATCTATTTCTGTGAAAATGTCCATCTGGACTTGTGGCCAACATTGCTTCATTATTCCAAGTTTGGACTCTGCTCGACTGATTCATGTCTTCAGTTGCAAATCAACTAACACAATAATTCAAGAATCTGAGCAAAAATAGCTTTCCTGTAACAAAAAAGGAAAATACTGTGGTTGAACAGGTCGCAGTCGGAAAAGCCAAATCGAGTCCGATAACTAGTAAGATATGGCCTAGAGTATAGACAGAATAGAATTAAAGTCTTTTATTGTATTCACTGTTAAAATTCGTCGAACTCAATTCAAATAGAAGTAAAATAAAATGGGAAAGAAGACATAACGAAGTATCCAACCGATTGAAATTGACATGAACGTTTCAAGATCTGCTAAGCATGTTTAAATGTACGTCTGACAGACGCCCATCAATAAATAACACAATGGGCAATAATTTCGCCACTGAGCCGTTAATTTAATACTCAAAGCGAAGATAGGAACCTTCGTGTTGAACAGTTTAAGCATGTCTTGCTAAAAGAAAAAGATTTGTCAAAAAAAAAAAACATGTTGGACGCAATATATGAAGTTTTTTCTCCAAGTCAAACGAAGAAACATCACAAATCGACTTATAGTTTGTCCTCGTTGGTTTCATTATAGCAGAAGACCGCTGGCTTTTAGAGTAGAGATTTAATTCAAGCTTTTTCCTGAGATTCGAATCGAAGATGTGTTGACTGTTGTTATGCGTGTTGCTCAGATGTGGATCTCATTTCGGTAAGCTCAGTTGGTGCTTTGTGGCACCCGATTTGGGACAACTGCGTATATCTTCTTTCATCTGGATTAGTATGTTTCTTGAAGGATTGTCAATACAAGAGAGGTCGATTAAATGTTTCTCTATCTCTCTTGATAGGAATATGAAGATAATAGAAGGATCTCAAGTATCCAGTTCCGTGTTTGCGAATTACGTATTCCCCGTTTCCTGAACTATGATATATCAGGCTTGCTGTGAACTAACTATGTGTGTTCGATTTGACATTACCTACAACCACCTCAATTTCAAGCTGCAAATACATCACCCCCAGAATCATTGAAAGCCAAAACACTTACTATCGCGACCTAGATTCATAGGAATCACCGTATACATTCATTCATTACCGTTATCATTACTCCACGCCCAACTACACACCATAACCTCACAAAATCAAAGCACCGACAACCATCACCAAACCCCTGACTGCTCCTCCTACACCTCCCACACTCGGTGCAGCAGCACCAGTGAACTGAATAGGTCCATCTGTAGCAGTGGTTGAGAAAGTACTACCTGTACCAAAGACAGGTAGTACTAAGGTGTACTCTGAGTTGAAAACGAAATCGAGGTCAAAACTGATATTGATGTGGAGGTTTCTGTTGTTGACCTGGTACTTATGACTGGATGAGAAGCTTGACCCGTTGACGTTTCGCTGGTTGTGGAAGTAGTACTTGCACTTATCGTGGTTGGACTTGAAGTCGTGCTACTTTTGTTGAGACTGACATTAAGATTGATGTCGAAGTCGAAGTAGAACTGGACGTTGATCGTGAATTTGAACTCGAACTCGCCGATGTTTTCGAATTTGAGCTCGAAACAGTAATTGACCTCGATCTCCAAACCGAACTTGAACTAACCGGCCTTTTTGTAGTTCACTTCGAAGTTGAGCACAATTTACTTGACGTAATAGAAACACCACTACTTGTTGGTGTCGTCCTCGAACTTGACGAACTTATCGTAGAAGTAAGACTCCGCAGCGACTCCGTGATCGAAAAGGTAGCCGCACACTGTACTAAATCCAGACCATCGGGACAACACCACGTCCGTGTTGATTTGGTTTTAGTGCAGTAATAACCATCCTTTTAATCTTTTTCCAGTTCTGGATTTGAGAGGTGGGGGACTTACAGCCATTCCTATCAGCACAGTAAATCTGGTTAATGGCAGTGTCGTACAGTATGTCTTAGTGGTAGAAAGACATCGTCTGAATGTCGGACCACAAGTTGCCTCGCAGGTTCTGGCGAGACGAGTACAGGTTAGACCATGGGTTAGTGGGCAGCCGTTTGTTTGACGGGCCAGGAGGGCGAAGGAAGGATTGATGGATACATCTGGTGTGTTGTCACTTTTTGGCAGGAGTTATGGGCGAGGGTCAGTGCTTGCTAGGGCATATTATGAGGAAGGGGGGGATTGTAAGAGTTGTGAAGAGCATTTTTATGTGAGGATGATGCTAAGCGAATGTAGGAAGTGAAGTTTGAGTGGAAATTTAGGTTTTGTTTTGGAAAACTCGGTAAGAGAGAGAAGAGGTCAAGCAGAATGAAGGACGAATAAGGGTTACAGTTTATGATAAACGAGAATGAGTCTTCACATTCTTCATGTCTCCATTCCTGGGCAAAAGGTCTTTGGCACCACCCTCCACATTTGCAATATAACTACCAAGTTGTTACACCACTTGCAGCCTTGTAAAAATCTTCCATTACCCCGTTTCTGCGGTCAGAACATACGGTTGCGGCAAGCGACGAGGCTTAGTATTAAGCAAACTATGGAACAATGGGAGGACTCAGCAGCTGCGAATAAACTCAGTCACAAATTCTTGCACCTCTCCATGCGTTTCCAGGAGGTATATTTTAACAAGCGAGCAGAATTGCATTTCTGGAAAGACTTGAGTAGCATAGAAATGAAAGGTGGTGTTGCCAAAGCTCTCAAATCCAATAAGGCTGAGTTTGGATCAGCGGGGATAAAGCAGGGCCACGACTCGTAAAAGACTCGACTGGAGGCCTAGTCATGCAACAGTCATTTGACATAGAGCTCTAAAAGAACAGTCCTCGTGAAGGGAGGATAACGTGATGGAATTGATATTCCGGGCACTTTGGCTCATGTGCTTGTGCTTCCTTAAAAATTTCCAAATGAAAAAGAAAGAGACAACCCCGTTGCAGGCAACTGGAGTCGAAATAGACTCTTCTATATAAATCACAGCTTTCGGCTGAGAGTTGCTAGCGAAATTGCCGCATTAACACGAAGAGGAAAAGATATTGTCCTCGAGCAGTAAACTTCTGCCTCCCTCTTTCAGCGCACTCCGGTAAGTTCACTTCTGTAAGCTATTGTTTGGCGATTCTTTAGGTTCGAAGTTCTGGTGCACTATCTGGATGTTGACTTGATTCGTCTTTCTGAAGCCATAAGCAAAGGACATGACGCGGTATGTCATGGCAGCCTTTTAAAGGCTGAAAGTAGAACCGCGAGCCTATGTACTGATTATCAATATCAAATCTTCTGATGGAACTTCTGGAGATAAGTAGTAGGAAGTGTTGTTGCTCAAGGATTCAAGATCATTAATCGCCTCTGCCGATATTTGCACCGGAAAGGGAGTCCCACTCCCATCCGTAGACGATATGAATAAAGAGCATTACTCCTCTTACTAAAGACTTTCAAAAGTCTTCACACTTATCCAACGTGCGAACGTAGTGTCCAAAAAGTCCACAGTCTAGGTCTGTCAAATGGCCTTAAGGATATAGTGCAATTTCGCAAAACAACCAGGAAAGTTGTAAGTTGTTACACAGGATAACTACTAGTCAGTGTAAGCCACCATTACCAACACATGCGAAGTGCATTAGCCTAATATCCGGATCAGTGACGGAGAAGTCAATTTAAGCTTCAATGCTGTCCGACCCACTTCCCCACAGGACATCGTGTTGAAGATCTTCCAAAGAGGGTAATTGATCATTTGCAGTCAGTTCTACTGTGTACCAATCGGTTGACGTTATTTACGAAACCCTTTCGTTGACGTCGGCGAATCGAGAAATAGTTTGCGACAACTGCGACAGATCGCCAATTGAATGGCTGTCGTGACTTCTCCCGTCCAAATGCTGAATGATGAATCCAAGGAATCGTTATCAAATATTTGTTTTTATTCCCCTTCAAGGTCCAGGCTCTCCCAAATTTCTTATCACCCCTATTCTGGCGATGGTCTTCTGGACAATCCACTTTCAGCTTCCCGTGTCCCAATCTATTGGAGGGGCGCAAATATTGGCTGACCTCGATGCGGCTGAAGCTGATCAGAAACATCATATTAATTACTTTCCCTTTGTCACTTTCCCTTACTTCATTTCTCTATATTACTTTATATTAAATATGTTGGCGAAGTACAGCGCGACGTGGAATCGCATCCCCTGGGGTGTGGTTCTGATTTTCTTTTCTTTCGTCGTTTTTCTGCATCTTGTGCTTCATGAATTTAGTCCTTGGGAGAGAGATTTGGTTAAGGCGCAATTGATCAGTGGAAACGGTTCGGTTTTGCCAGCGGAAACAACGACGGATTATGAAGGATTGGGAAATGTTGGTGCTGCGACGGATGGAGATGGAGATGCCCCAATAACAGACGAGCCAGAAGCTGATGCCCACGATGATCCAACGGGAATGGGGAATCCAGCCATGTATCCAGAAGACTCCAGCGAAGAATATGTTGCCATCTGCATGGCAGTCAAAGACCAAGTGCCAGATTTATCAGAAGTACTTCTGCATCACTATCACCATCTAGGAATTCGGAGGTTCTATTTGATGGACGACGGATCGGAACCACCTCTTTCAACTTACGAAGACTGGAGCATCCCTCGCGAGCATATAACATTCCATTATTACAATCGAACGACCGATCACGTCCCGAACATGCAGGATACCGTTTATAACGAATGCATCAATTTGTACAGGAAGAAACATACTTGGATGGCGTTTTTGGACGCAGACGAGATGCTAGAAGTGACAGCTGAGGAAACCCTGAAAGAGTTGCTGCAGAGACTGGAAAAGAATCGAAGTATTGGAGCACTAGCTGTTAGCTGTACGTTTTCTCTCATCCGTCCAGCATTCTTTTTCTAACAGATCCTAGGGATGACCCACACATCAAACGGCCTCCTCGAACGTCCCTCCTCAGCCCGCAAAGGCTTCACAGACTGCATCTGGGACGGCAACCCCACGCACAACGGCATGTACAAATCGATTGTCAAAACCGAGATGCACGACGGGGCGTCCGGCGTCCACGGCGCACGACTCCTCGGAAACACAAAAACAGTTGGGGAAGACGGATTCGAGGTTTCCGGCGGAAGAAGGACGCCGACGAGAGATCGGATAGCGTTGCATCATTATGCGGTCAAGAGTCGACAAGAATATATTGAGAAGATGCAGAGGAGTAATGCGATGGATCAGCCGAAGCCGTGGAGTTTTTGGGATGAGGTTGAGGCTCAAGGGGGGGTTCCTTGTCCTCAGATGGCGATGTATGAGCCTTGAAGGAGATGGAGATATCGGTGCCTCAAACAGGATAGGAAGTGTACTGCAGTGTCAGTGCTATGATCGAGCCAAGATGATGAAGGAGTGGCTAGTTGTGAGGTTTATGATATGCAACCAGAAGAAGAGCTCGGTTGCCAGATTGGAGACGTCTTTGTCGTGGAGCTCATACGGATTTCTATAATAAGCGGAGAAGAAGGATGATTTCATCTGCTTAGAAATCTCTTTGCCCGACGTGTTGGCACATGTATGTAGACGGAAAAGCCGTGTTTGGAGATTTAAGGTTCTCTATAGCGAACAGGATCAACGCTTCCCAGCTTGCGCAGCATCTTTATGATGGATTTGAACTCAGCCCTTGGTTGAAATGTATGAATTCTTCGTATAGTGTAACATACATTACGTAGACCATTTATCATCACTGTCGCGTGAAATGATTGACCATTTATCATAGCGAACCTCCACTCCCTCTCCCCCTCCTCGGCTCAACCCCGGCATCCCACTCCCACAACCCCCTCCCCCCACCAATCCCCTTCAAATCCTCTTCACTTTTCCCCCATCCCACACCCTTTCGTTCATATCTTCTAAAATCGAAAAAAGCCACATCCAATCACCTTTACCAGTTTCTGAACACCGGTACAAAACTACCCTGCTTTCGTGGCTCAGTTGGCTAGAGCGTTGGTCTCATATACAATATGTCTATATGAAACAACTGCATTACAACAGTTGGGGTTATCCAAAGGTCGTGAGTTCGAGCCTCACCGAGAGCATTAGCGTCTTGAACACTTTTTTTTTCTTCATTTTTTCTACGTGATTTTATTCGGTTGGGAAAGTAAGGTTACGTAGGGGAGGTTTTCATTGTGAGGTGTGTGGATTTGTGGGGCTGCTGCTTGTTGAGGAACTTTTTTCTGCCGTTAGAGTGTGTAGTTATTTTATTCTCTGAGTCTGTTCGCTGTACACTTCATACGCTAGAATTATGAAAAAAAAGGGTTGTGACCTATTCAAAATGGTATAAATTGATCCCAACATTCATTTCCTAAAACCCAATCCAAGACTACAACGAAGGAGTAGATATTTACAACCCCCACTACATTTCCCATAACATATCATTCAACACCCAATCACCCAATTAATCAACAGAACGCCGCCCATTTTCACAAACCCATACCCTCTTTCCATCAATTGCATCAAACCTCTTCCCACTCCAACAAAATCACACATCACGACCCCATTTGCACCTGCTGCGCATTCCCATTATTCTCAAGCATCATTCCATCAAGCCTCAGCAGTCCCAAACTCATAAGTCCACTCCCGGTGCTCCCACTCCCCAATCTCATCGCCCATCTCCATCTCGCCACCAGGTCTTTAATTTCATTAGACTCTGTTTCCGTCTCGCAGATAACAAGGAGTTGCATGAGGAATGAAGATGCGATGGCGAAGTTTGCTCGGGACCCTGTTTACTATTAGCCAAGATGATTTTTTGGTACGGTTATGGGGGAGGCTTACAAGAATGCCAAAACGCGTCTAAAGCACCTTGTCTGAGGTTCTCTACGAATTCAACGACTTCCTTTGCGCATTCTTTGGCGCCTTGACGGACGGCTCGGACGGCTTCTCTACTTCCAGCGACTCTACGGTCCTCCTCGTCCAGGGGGCCGAGATTTTCGAGCGGACGTAGTAAGGCACGGAATAGAGTCATCTGAGTAACAATGTAGGCTAGTGACAGTGATGGATTCCCACTTAACCGGGCCATACTCCTGTTGTCTGCCCTTTCTGGTTGACGAATGGCTAAAGCTGGCGGTAGAGAATCATTCCAAGATTTTAAGCGTTGTCGAAGACTACGAGCGAGTTCCAGTGAAAGGTGAAAGTCCTTCGATGTTCGCTGCGTTGCGCGGAGTGAGAAATATGAGTCCATGATGTCGCTTAATATCATGGTCAGCTCAGACAATAGTCTGAAGTGGGTAGCGTCTGCTTCTTGCTCTAAGAATGCAGGTATCGCATTTGAATTCGGATCCAGTGATGGTGCTTCCAGATCAGCATCTGTGAGGGGTAGTACGTCGAAATCGTCAACCCTAATGTGACTTGGCATTCCAGCTCCCAATGACGCCCATTTATCCATGATGAAAACTCCGTACCACAATCTTCTTCGTAAAGCTATTTCCCACGCGGGAAGACTCGACCAATCACCACATTCTCTCATAAGGCCTAACGTTTGCGCCAAACTGACTGTCCATCCAACTAAACTCGTTTTCCATGGTGTGTCTGTGGTGTACCGATTCGTTGGCGCTCTTTGTAAAAGTAATAGACACGCCTGTAAAGTAGCTAGCCTTGGAGTATGCAGTTCTTGTGTGACAGAAAGCCAAGCTATTCTAAACAGCGTATGTGAGGGAGGAGGTGCGTGAACTATGGTCGTAGCAAGTAGGTCGTCGTATATAATAAATGGCAAGGCCGTTGCGTACATAGCTGATAATAAAGACAATGGAAGAACATGAAGGACGCTAGGAGATATGCCTCCATTGGGACATATCTCACTCTTGGATATTATAGGGAAATATGGGTATACGAATCGAACGAAGAGACCAATCAACCTCAATGCCTCCTGCTCAGTGAACATTTCTGCCACGTCTGAGCGGCATCTTACAAGCACATCATCTTCCACACGGGGCTCTCCTTTCTGAGCAAGACTGTCATCTGCCAGCATAAAAACAACAGGCGGCTCCCCTTTTTCGTCCGGTATCGAATTCGCGTTGGAGCTCTTTATCCGCCGATACGTAAGCTTGGATATTGTGCATTCATCATTCTCGTCGTATCGATAGTGCCGCAATAGATATGGGTTCGACTCTCCAGTTTCCCCTATAAACCTAGCAGACCTCGTCGCCTGAGAATCCAACGGCCGTATTCTGACGCCTCCCGACATCATCTGCAGATAAGGATCCATGGTGTATATAGGCGATCCATCTTGCATCTGCTGAAGGTGATTCGGGGATGACTGCGTATCCAAACCATTCTCTCCATTCATCCCATTGTAAGGCGCCTCGTGATTGTACTGCGCTATGAAACCTGGACTCAATTGGCCGGGTCCAACATCGAAATGCTGTAGAGGTGCTGCAGGTAGTCGTTAGTAACATTCTTCGGATAACAAGTAGGCGATGGTGGTAGAAGAATGTTAGTCCTACCTGAAGCTTGCACCTGTCCTCCTCCTGCCACCGACGCGCTACCCTCTCCATTGGTAGCATTGGGCCTTCTCTTCTTCTTTGGCCGTTCCACAAAGGTACACTCACGGCCATGAGATGCGCAGAGCTGGCACGGCGGGGTGATATCAATCTTGCATGCTACTTGTCTGGCGCGGCAAAAGTCACACGGGCGATACTTCCGCGACTTGTACGACCGCGGGCCGGGCTGAATATTGGCGGAGGCAGGCTGGAGCTCGAGGCCGTTGAAGAAGTCGGTCGGAGACAGCGAGGGAAGCGCAAAGTTGTGAGAGTGAGGGTGTTGATGTGGAATCGGCTGTGCTTGGGCGTGGTGGGTATGCGAGCGTGAATCCATTTGGCGTTCCCCGAGACGAGTGGGCGAGTTGAGGTGGAACAAAAGATGCGCCAGCGCCAGCGGACACCAGCAGCTGCTCTAGGGAATGCGCTTGCTTCGCTCGGGCGCTGCTGCTTGCCGTCGTGCTGCCGAACAGTCGGCGTCACACTGCTGGTTACGGTGGGTTTGCAGCGGTTTGGGCGCTGTCAATTCACCGAGAAAGCCTGAAAATTGACACTTGCTTATCGTTGTTATCGCTGAAGAGGCCTGGAGGTTGCCAGCTGGATGGGTCGTCGCAGCGGCTGCCAAGTGGATAGATGGTGGACTGGAGCTGGGGATGTGTCGGTGTTCTTCGGAATCTCGTCTCCCACTTTACAAGAAACAAACGCGAGGCGATTAGATGCGGCAAGATTACAGGAAAAGCTGAGCAACACTTCGTCTAAGGTCCATTCTTGACTCAAGAACGAAACAAACCAAGGACGTGCAAGATGCGGGGCGCGTGCAATGAAACCGATCCCATTTTTGCTGGCGAACCTCCTTTTTGCAATATGAGCGGGCAACGACTTGGCCGCGTGTTATCTCTTTTGTAAGCTGTGGTAGAGGTTGGCTCTGTTGCATCGCCGACTAAAGTGGCGAGCTGGCAAGAGATATTGTTAGACCAATGTAAGTGCTATTTATTATCGTTTGCATGAGATCTGGTGTTTTGTTGGAAAGTTTTGAGTTTGTGTCTATTGGCTGAAGTCAGCTACGTCTATCGTCTGAATAGCCTCATTGAATCTCATGTCAAGCTTGGACCGAGAGCTCGCTTAGTCTTTCATATACAATAAGTTACTTGGGTGTGAAGAGCTATCAAGAGCCTTTCTAATATTTCATTACCTCTACGTTCAAATCGAGCACCCACGCTCCTACTACAATGGCACGAACACTCAAAGTGGCCGCTGCCCAGCTGGGCCCGGTGCATCTCAACTCGAAGCGAGAGGAAACCCTCGCGCGGATGATCACGTTGTTACAACAAGCGGCAGAGTTCGGTGCTCAGTTGGTGCTATTCCCAGAGTGTGCCTTAACGACATTCTTCCCCCGTCATCTCATCAAAACTCAAGAAGAATTGGACACGTATTTTGAGCACAACGATGATCTACTTGACTCGCCAAACACAAAGCCACTCTTTGATGAAGCAAAGAAACTTGATGTCGATATATCGATAGGCTTTGCTGAAAGGACTAAGGAGGGTACTGGCTACAATACCTCTATCTATTACAGCGTCAAGAAGAACGAGGTCATTGCCAAATACCGAAAAGTCCATCTCCCTGGAACAAAAGAGCCATTCGAAAACCCAGACGCCGTCAATCAGCTCGAAAAGAGATATTTTGAGATTGGAAACCTAGGTTTCAAAGCTTTCCGAGTCCCTGATATCATTCCTGGTGTTTTGAAAAAGGGAGATGAGTCTAAAGCCGAAAGAAATGGACTCGGCGATCCTATCATGGGAATGCTGATCTGTAACGACCGTCGTTGGCCTGAAGGATGGCGATGCTACGGACTTCAAGGAGCTGAAGTGGTCTTGTGCGGTTATAACACTGCTGGATTCGCACCTGATCTCTGGGGAACTCAGAAACCGATGACTCCTCAACAGGCAGAAGACGATGCAGTCTTCCATCACAAGCTGGTGATGCAATCGAACAGCTACATGAACTCTTGTTTCTCCATCAGCGCGGCGAAAGCTGGGTTAGAAGACGGGAAATACGATTTGATTGGAGGGAGCTGTATTACGAGTCCTGAAGGACATGTGATTGCGGAGGCAAAGGGGAAGGATGATGAGATTGTGTTTGCGGAGATTGATTTGAATGAGTGTAGACAAGGGATGGAGAAGACGTTTGATTTTGCTAGACACAGGAGGACGGAGGCTTATGGGTTGATTGTTGAAAGGGCTGGGGTTGTTGAGCCTGAGTTGTTGTAGATGGTAATAATATGTCTTGGAGGGAGTATACAGGAGTGTAGAATAAATCTATGGTTGCTCAACCTTGCTTAGTATATTCTTTTCACAGTCCACTAGTGCGTTGTAAGTCTAACGGAACACCTACATAGAAGACGATAAATTGTACCAAAAACCTCTATTCACTCGATGCTTATAATCAAATATATTATGTTGTCCCTGTAACTAAGACTAAATAGGTTCATTGAGGAAGCATCTTCAGAATGTCCGTTCCAAACATTGTTATACTTACTTCTCGTCGTACAGGGAGTCTCGTTAAATTGCAACGCACTAGTGGAGTCTCAAGATATAGTATTTCTCACCACTTCACAATATACCATTCTGTAAACATACAACAATTCATATTCTTCACAATCCAACTCACAACCACTCCTGCCCCCTAGCTTCCCTCCCGTCCTTACTACTCCTATATACACCCCCCTTCGCAGTAACATGTCCCTCCCTCACCAACCCAATCAACAACTGCACCCCAACCCCAACCCCATCCACTACCTGCGCCCTCGCACTCTCCACCTCCACAACCTCCTCACACTTAACCTTCATCTCCGTCATCCCCGCACACCCCAACGCAATACAATCCGCGCCCTTCTCGTACACCAACCTCCTAGCCGCCTCCCCCACAAGCCCCAACACCTTCTCCCTCGGCAACCTCTCCAACTCCAACACCCCCAAATTCGTCGTCTCACAACCCACACTATACCCCTCAAACCCATACATCCTTATCGCATCCTCATGCATAACCTTACTCCGTCCCCCCGTCGCCACAACACCCAACCGCCCGCCTAACATCCGCGACGCATACAACGCCGCCTCCATGATGCCAATCACCGGGCCCCGCACCTCCTCGCGCAACGCGTTTATGAGCGGGTGTGCGCTGAAACAGGCGACGAGGAAGGCGTCGTAGGAGTGCGCGATGGGGATGACGGCGCGGAGGGCTGCCGCGGCGGAGAGGACGCCGTCGAGGTGGCCTTCGATGGCGGAGGGGGTGGGGTGGGGGGTTGTGAAGCCGGTTACGGTGCAGTGGGGTGGGAGAGTTGATTCGAGGGAGCGGAGACAGGCGGAGGTCATGGAGGAGGTGCCGTTGGGGTTGATGAGGAGGATTGAGATGGGGGTTGTAGAGGTGCCGGTTATGGAGGGGAGGGGGTCGCTCATTTTGGGCGTGAGGTTGGTGATAGTTGGTGATAAGGATGTGACGGTTGGTGATTACACCTCAGCCGAGTGGAAGACGAGATTTGACGATAGTTGGTGACGGGATTGGTGATATTTGAGGATTGAATACGACCGTACAAATAGACCCTGGTGTTAGTTGGTGATGAAGTCCGCGATATTTGGTAGTCGAACACGACCGAGTAGAAGACGAATTCGTTAATATTTCGAGATAGAAACCTCGACCGAGTAGCAAACTGATCTCAGTAATAGTTGAGGATGAAATTTTGACAATTGCTGATCGAATGCCGAGTACAAAATCCAAACCTCAAGCTCTATCAGAAGTTGTCGTTGGATCTCCCACCACTTTCTATCCAAACCCCTCGCACCTCAAACCCAATTGACCCTCCTCATATCAACACCTCCATCAATCCCACTTTCACCTCCGACTCAATACTCCATCCCCTCATGTATCTCGGCCAACGCTCCAAAACCCAATATCAATCCCATTCCAAAATCCAGTATCAAGCCCGTCGTCGTCCCAAAACCCATGCACACCCCTCCCCCACCTTATCGTCCCGCATCCCCTAAACCCAACCCTACCAATCACCCCCTTTTCCACTTTCTTGCCCGACGGCCAACTTCCATGCGCAGCACGCACGCTTCCCCGCCTCGACCCGGCCGTGTGGTACAAGGCTCGGTTCGTGGAACGTGAGGTTGCTGTGGGAGGTATCTGGATGCTGCTTTATCGTAGTGAGATGGAGGGTTTGACTTTGTGGTGGAAGTGCGAAGGTGGGAGTTGAACGTCGGGCTTGAAGAATGGGATGGTTTGGTAGGAGATGAGAAGGATAGGGCTAGGACGGGGAGAGGAAGGGGAGAGGGTTAGTGCGGTTCGTATCATTTTCGGATGGTGTTAAGGGGAGGGAGGTTGTGGTTTGATCTCGACGACGAGTATTCTCTGGAATTGAACAACAAATAGACGAATACGATTGAAAGAAGTGCAAGGGAATATGGGTGATATAGGTGATAGGAGTGGATTCGATCTGGTGGTTACGAATGGGATTGTGGTATGCATCTCTCAGTTTCTGGTTGTATTGTCTTGATTACCCGTTTTCGTTTGCGCTGCAATTACCACATCAACGACTCATTTGGCAAGCCTCCTTGAATCTCATTATGTCTTCAAATTGTTCTCTTCAAAGTACAATCACCAAGCTTATCACAAGTCAAGCATTGAGAAGCTTGATTTCTTGGTCGCGGTTTGCTGTTCCCCAAAACCGCCTCATCAAGCGATATCTCCCTTTTCTGTCTTGAATATATACCCAAAACCAACCAGTTCTGTCACATACGACTATAGATTCTGGAGAATTAGGCATCCCGTCCGCTCTGCCATCTACAAGCCAGAAATCGGCAGATTAGTAGTTGGGTGGGTGACCACCAGCGAATACCTGCTGTTGTATGTTTTTGATTTCTTTTGTTGAGAGTTTGGGACTTTGATTTGAACGTGTTTCTTTTTTGATTCTTTTTGCAAGAGAATTTAGTTTGAAATATAATTTTTGGTCTCGGTCACTGTTGAGAGAATGGAACATGAAAAAGTCCAGTGGCTAAGGAAAAGATGATTATTGGGAGCTGTTTCTTCTCCTTTTTGGACACTCGCTTGACAGGCATAAGCGAGCTTGTTGCCCCTTTTTCCACGACGAGTTCTTGCATAAGAATGAGTGCAGGACCTCTCAAACATTCTATTTAGATATGATTAGATCAGATTGGTACTTTCAATGATCATTTAGACTCCTATCATTTACCGGAAATAATTGACGAAATACCGTGTATTTCGTCAATTATCTTGGATAAACATCGTGTTTCGACTGCCACTTCTTTTATCTTCCGCTGGAATTTTGCAAAGTCAGATATTCTTCTATGTCTACAAAAGACGCACTTTTTAAACTTTTTAAACTCTGAATACCCCATTCCAATACAAAATAAACTACTGATGATATCGTAGGCTACAGCCAGTGAAGTGCTTCCACCAGGAAATGAGATTGGCATCAAAGATGGCAAAATATCATGCCTTGGCACTTCATTACCACGCTCGCCTCATACCCAGATAATAGACGCAAAAGGCGGAATGATCACTCCCGGCGGAGTTGATTCTCATGTTCATTTTGCACAAGACAACAGTCCAACCGGAGATGATTTCACAACTGGGTCTCGGAGTGCAATCGCTGGAGGAACAACAACAGTCATAGCATTCGCCTCACAACTCAAAACAGAACAATCAGTCCTACCCTGCATCGAAGAATACCATACCCGCGCAAAAGACCAAACCTATTGCGACTACGGCTTCCACCTGATCCTCACAAACCCCACCCCTAACATCATGCGCACCGAAATGCCGCTCCTCATCGAACAAGGCATCACAAGCGTCAAACTCTACATGACCTACGAGCCCCTCAAACTCGGCGACAGCCAACTCCTCGACGTTCTCATGTCCGCCCGAACCCTTGGCTTCACAACCATGGTGCACGCGGAGAACAGCGACATCATCAGCCTCATCACCGACCGACTCGAAGCTAATGGCCATACTGCACCTTACTTCCACGCTATATCTCGCCCGCAAATTGCTGAGAACGAAGCCACGTACCGGATTATCTCGCTCGCGGAACTCACTTCCACGCCTATTCTCATCGTACATATGTCCTCGGAAATCGCCATGAAACACGTGCGTAAAGCGCAAACCCGTATGCTTCCCATCCACGCAGAAACCTGCCCACAGTACCTATTCCTGCTTTCTGAACGCCTGAAGGGAACACCACAAGATGAATTCGCCGGTGCGAAATGCGTCTGTAGTCCCCCACTACGCCACGACCCCAAGGATTTAGAAGCCATGTGGAGAGGCATTGCAAACGGAACCTTCACAACATTCAGTTCCGATCACGCACCTAGCACCTACGACCACGCCGGTGGCAAGAAACTCGGCATCAAAGACGGAATCATGAGATATCGCGACATTCCCAACGGTGTTCCGGGCGTGGAGACACGTCTACCATTACTCTTCAACCACGCAGGCACGAAACCGAATTCCCGTCTCAGCATACCGAGGTTCGTACAACTTACGTCTTCTGACCCAGCGAAACTCTATGGGTTGGAGGGCGTGAAGGGGAATATTGCACCGGGATATGATGCGGATCTGGTGATTTGGTATCCCGAGAAGGAGTTCGAAGAAGGTGGGGTGGAGATTAAACAGGAGAATTTGAATCATGGGGTGGATTATACGCCGTATGAGGGGATGAAGGTGGGGAATTGGCCGAGGCTGACTGTTTTGAGAGGGAAGGTTGTTTGGGATAGGGATAGTGAAGGTATTAAAGGGGAGTTGGGCGATGGGAGGTTTTTAAAGAGGGGGTTGGGAAAGATTGTTGTGGGGAGGGTTGGGGATGGAGTTCAGGGGATGCTGGATGGGGAAAGGGATTTCTGGGCATGATTGTAGTGCGTTGTAAGTTGTTGTCCTTAGTCGTAACAAGAATACTTTGAATTCATTTCCGACAGTTTCGAAGGCCTGACTCTGCAAACAAGTAAAGGTTTTTTTGGGTAAAATACTCTCCTTCTACCTGAATCGGAAAAATGCCAAGACGTTGTAATTTTATGCAATTGTCCTTTGAAATGAGTTTCTATTGCCGCTACGAAGCTGAAGATTCAGCTGAAACCGAATTCCAGAGAGCGCTTCAGGGTGGTGGAAGATATCTGACATTATGACATTAAAGACTCTTCGGGTGTGCTAGATCGCTTCGCTTAATCTCTGGAATCTCTAACGCAGTGGACAATATGAATGGCAGTCGAAACTCGAACCACATCATATATTGGATTACAACGACAAAAAATGCCGTATCTGATCTACTACTTACTGTGAATATAATATATTCTTTCACTTACATATTCCACCAAGAGCCATGGTACAGTATCAGACAACATATCATTTGAGATGTGAAGAGAGCGTATTCATGTTATGTTATAGCTACCTATTATCTCATTCACTCGAATTGTTTGGGCCAGATGCATCTGTTGGCGATGCACTAGAAAAGGAAACAAAGTTAAAGTAACAACGAAATCAAATCTAATGCTATGCTCCTACAGTCCATAATACAAGCACCCGCGCAACCCCCTCATTGTTGTGAGATCCCTCTCTTATTTTTCAGAAGTACATTCGTCTACCATGTCTCTTCATGCATCATTCTGACAAGGAGATAGAAACAAGTGTAAAAGTGATCTGGCCAGAGCAACCCCCCTACCAAACCAGCCAATAACACCTCCCCTAGAATCTAGAGTCATCGAGGGGCTCTCTAGAGGAGACAGTTTCAATTATTCTCTCTACGCTTCTAATTCCAGCTGTGACGTCGAATCGAAACCTCTCCAAAAGCTCCAAGTTGAGATCGCTTTCCTTATAGAGCTCTCCGCCCAGAAGTTCAACATTCTTTTTGCTTAGAGAAGTTATCTTAGCCAAGGCTGCCGCCATCATGTTTGAAAACTTCGTGTCTTCATCAGCGGCTATTTGAACTAACACTACCTTCGCTGCACGGCCTGCTTTTGTGGCGGCTTCTAAACCATCGGTTGCTTCCCTGCCGCTAAATATATGGAAGACGGAGGGAATGTTCTCTTCGTTCCAAAAGAACACAGGAGTACACCCACTCACGTTGACAACAGAGATCTTGTCGCCAGAACTCACGTTTGACGCCGTGATCCACTGGTGCTCTTCTAACAGAAACACCCCGTTGGGACTTTTGCTTTTGAAACTTTCTTCGAGTCTACACACACTTGTAGACTGTGTTTCGGGGTCTTCCTGGACAGGGTATGTGGTAGCCGCTCCTTTTGCTGCACTAGTCGTTGCGGTAGCTATATTGAGGGCGGTTCTCTCGGAAGATGTCTTATTCTTCTTAGAAACGTCAGCAAACTGTCTTGCAAGGTCATTTAGGTAAGTGCTTACTGAAGCTGTTAATGGGTTATCGTGACCATTGTTGTCAACATCATCATTATAATTGCTAACGATGACGGAGATATCAGTACTAAGCTTTTGTCTCTTAAATTTCAAGATCATTCTGTCTTGAGGGGATCATCTTACTTGACATCAACATTGACACCTTGCGAGTTGCTGCCAGTACGGGCAATTTTGCTCTGCGATACAGGAACGTCAGAGGTGTGCATTGTAGAATTTGTAGTTGAAGTGTAAGAGCTGGGAATTACTGGTGGAATGGAAGATGAGGAAAATAAAGAGCGATAGAAGTGGAAAATGGCACATAGTTTTTGTGCTTCCTGTCCAAAGATCTCAATCGCGAAGTGAGTTGCGTACCCTGAATAAAGAACCATGTAAATGGCATGGTAGATTATATGCGGATACCCTGAATCTATGCGTCACTGGTTGGTATACAAAACGTTAAAGAACCTGGACAAAGATACACATATTGGGAGCTTTATAACTGTATAACTGTAAAACAGTTGTAGAAGTGCTAAGAGCCACAGTGAGAACCCCTGATGCTAGAAGTGAAGGACAGATATACTGAATTTAGGGATTACGAGGACTGTGTACGTTTCCGCAAATGCAAAAAGTGCATCAGTGTCAAGAGGGTGACCTAACAGAGAATAAATAATTCCCGCCATGAAATCCGCAAGTACGTCGTCGTATGGCTAGGACGAGAACTTGCATATTCCCTTCCTACAAGACAAGTTCAAAGAAAACAATGACTAAATTTAGGGGTTTCTAAAAAAAAAAATTTGGAACCCATCTTTGTTAATCTGATCAAACAGATATCTGTTTATGGAGGGGGAAACGGTGATTGCGATAATTAATCAAAGCTGTAGCTTAGGCCAGATAATTGTTAAATATACTAACAACTTTAATATCCTATTACTCTTGCCCATTTACTCGCACTATAAGTATATTCAATTAGTCTATTTGAAATTTGTACAATAATTTTATAGCATTACATAGTCTAGGTAGTTTCTGGCTAAAGTACAGTACTAGACAACTCCTACTGTCTGTTTCGCTTAATTTCACCCCACCACTACATTTCTACTATTACTATTAATCCACATAAATCACTTAATATTGAAGCTATTGATAATCCGACTTTTGGGGGTTGTTCGCATAGGTAAGGGGATGATTTTGGGTGATTATAGGATTTTTTGGGTGCAGCTATATACCTAGTATTTTGTATGCCAGCCACCTGCCTTAATGCAAGCCTCTACCCTCCTAGGCATACTCTTATATAGTGTATCGAAGGTTTCTTTGGGAATTCTGGCCCAGCAATCTTTTAATGCCTCTTGCATTTCCTCGATATTATCTTCAGAGGCTCCCTCGAGGTGTGGGTAGTGCTCTATAAGCATTCTTTTAAGTACCCACCAGATGTGCTCAATCGGGTTCAGATCTGGCGAGTATGGCGGCCAATCAATCACTCTTATTCCATGTTCTATAAACCAATCCCGAACCTTGTGGGCAGTATGAATAGGCGCATTATCCTGCATGAAGATATACCCTTCGTCGTCAAGTTCTTCGTACCAGGGTGCGACTTGGGCATTTAAAACGTCGATATAGGAGTTAGCGGAATACCCATGTTTCTTTGCCGCAAAGTCTCTATCCAACACATATAAATCGGACCTCCCATTATCCCAAAAGCATCCCCAGACCATAACACTTAAGTCCTTATTCGCTTTATAGGTTTGGATCATCTCTTTATCCCATTTCTGGGCAGGTGTGCGAAAAACCCATTCCTGCGCCTTTCCTCTCCCCCGCTCTACCGAGCACTCGTCGCTCCATATAAATAACCCCCATTCCTCTACAGTATAACCTCTATGGCGGAGGCACCAGGCAAGTCTTTTGGCCGCTACAGAATCTGTAAGGAATGGGCGACGTCTTGCACGCCAATTGCTAATACCATTCTCCTTCAAAATCTTCTTAATAGTTGAGACCGAGCATTTGAGTCCAACCTCTTTCCTGACCTGGGCGTATGTCGCTTTCGGGTTTGTTCGCACAAACCGAAGTATATTCCGTTCGTCGACATGTGTGTATGATTTTTTTCGAGGTTTCTTAGGCAGGGTGGCGTGGCTGGCGCGTTGAGCACTTTGTTCGATTGTGTAGCGTACCGTCTTATCGATTAGGTTAAAACCGAGTGCGATGGCGGCGGGTGTAAAACCACAATTATAGGTAGTAACGATTTGCTGACGACTTATAGGACTTAATTGACCATTAAACTGACGATTTAGAGCGATAGGGGTCATAGGCTGGCGTGGAGGCAACATAGTTATAATATTAATGAAAGGTGTGAAGGTGGTGAGACGCGACGGATCACGAAAAAACGCGGTTTTAGACAGTAGTAGTGCACGGTTACTGTAGATTAAATATAATTAGGGGTATATTATTGAAAATAATAGTACCTAGGTAAAAATACTAGGTTTTTGTTTATTTATCAACAACTGTTAATTATAATTTGTTATTATAATTCATTATTCATTAAGGTGCCCTAACTAACTAGGTGACTATAAACCGATGAAGACTTATAGCTTTATTGGCCGACATATTTCTTGACAAAGATGACATCAAAAATTAGGTATAGTGTAGATTTTAACCGTTGCAAACATACACTATTTACGGTTTTTTTTTGTTATAGAGTTAGTCGGCATATTTGTAATATTTAGGGGATCAACCGTCGCAAACAACAATACTTAAAATTCTTTTTGTTATAGAGTTAGCCGGCGTATTTGTGATGTTCGAGACTTCACCTTATATCGTTGCTCACTTGTTCCATAATAAGGATTAACGGGAAAACGATAAAGTTGAGAATCAATCTTGGGGGGCCCTAAGACAAGTTTGATACTCTTTCGCTCAAAAGCCTTGCTGTACCCCAGTGGATACACACTTCAATTTAGTGTTTCTCAATAAGTAGCGTGTTCCACGGACCTCTATTATTACTCAATTTATAGTAATAGTCCCTTACTGTAAACAAGTATACAACAACTATAAATGCAACATTAGGATTAGACTTGATTCTATGACTGCATGCCAATGTTCAGAGTACTGTCAAATGACAAGAGAAGATTAATTTCCATACCAGTATGGTGTTCTGCTCACGTAAATATGATATTCTCGTAATATAGCTAGCAGAGATTCTTTTGACTTAGTCTTACAAGATTCCCTGCATTTAGCTAAAACTTATAGTACATTCCGCGGAGGACAAGAGTAGTTATCGCTTCCACCTCAATGGTGCACCTTTCCGCTTAGGCCCCTTTTTAAGCTTTTTAGCGGTTGATCGTGACGGAGAAAGTAGTAAATTTCGGTACGCTTCGACTCTTTTGGGCGATCTAGGAAATAGAGGACCTTTAAGAATACGCTTTTTCGTTTCGATATAGAGATAACCCTAATATTCGCTCCAAAATGAGAGGCCTGAGCGCAAAGGTGCACGTGGGAGGTGGCGGGGATAATTTAGGAATTATTCTCAATTTATCGCAACCACTCGTAAGGAGTAAATGAAACTTATAATTTATATTACGAGGTTTTATAATTTGACAAATTTCAGACACAGGTTGTAATTTTTAGTATTCGCTCTAAACCGAACGTTACGTACATTATTGGGTAGATACAATCGATTCAAAAGCATGTTTCGAGAAATACTAATCTTGTCCGCATTATACATGAGTGTATCTTTTATAGTCATGTGCTATAATTGCAAATGATGCAAAGACTTTCAGTTATTTATAGTTTTCCACTTGGCGTTCATTGATCATTACATTTTCAAAAGCGTTTTAGCCACTATTTCAAGTATTCTATAGAGTAAATAGTACAATAATGTCTCCAGCATACCAGCGTTCAAGAGCATGAACATTCACAAACTGTAGTAGCAGATAATTGGCCACCATTGAATTGGCGAGATTAACTGTAGAATGCTCTAATCAAAAGGCAAATGAAACTCAAGCCACTACATTCTTAGAACCCAATTCGTAAACATTCAAAACCTTGTTCATTCCAATTCGATTTTGATACATTCCTTATAGATTTTGGTTTATTCCCACATCGATTAACTTGACTTCTATCACTCTTGTTATTGTACAAATTGTACTTCATTAACTATGGATACGAAGCCTCTTGTTAGGCGCGACTTTAACAGTCTCCCGCTTGAAACACTGCAGCAGATAGCGGAGTACCTGGACAAATCGTATCGGCCAAGTCTTTATGCGTTTGGGCTAGCAAGCAGAACTTGCCATGACGCTACAATTCCCTCAATCTTCCGTCATGTTCATCTCTCAATCAGTAGTCCGGAGGCATTGAAACGCGACATTGATGCTCTCGTCAAGACCCTTTCCCTAGTGGACTCCTCGCGCCACGTGCAATCACTCAGTATTAAAGGCACTCTATCTTTCAACTCGCCCAGCCAACGCAATGTCGAGGGGTATAAATCCAGCTCATCGGGTCGCGATAGCTCCTTTATGAGCACAGGCATGAATGAGATTTTGGTGGGCGAAGAACCGTGTGGTAGCGCGATACATATTGTGTACGATGAGTCCGTTATTGAAAAGGATTCAGAAGAGGACATAGCGTGGAAGCCACTTGCTAGTGCGATTAAGACAATGCCATGTCTTGCTAAATTGGAATACAACTGCTCCAATCAATTCCCGCCCAGCCTCCTGGAAGCCCTCCACGACTACAACAGTTACCCCCAATGCAAGCTATATCACAATACGTTCCGGTTACGCACTCTACTCTGGGATACTCCGTGTCCTTATGAGCTGGCTTTGGCCCAGTCTCCTTGTTTGTATAGTGTGAAGGTTGAATGCTGCCATAGAGACTCGCAAGGAAATATCGACTTTAATCAGGAGGCGATTATGGAGCTAGTCACAGGCTTAGCTCCCAATCTGAAGGAAGTTGTGGTAGTGAACCTTCGGCCAGAGTCTTCATGGAAATATCATCACCGTCCTTGGGAGTCATGGCAAGGTCTTCCAGGGTTTGTCCCTGGTCAATCTGTTGGCTCCTTAACTTTGCTGTCTCTGCTTGGGGAGATAAAGCGCAATCCCAGGGGACCGTGTGGGTTTCTCCAGACCTGGGCCAAACAGACGGATTTCAGCTGCTTACAGCGACTGACTCTCGGTGGAGGCTTTGGGTGCGAAAGTGTGGGAATAAATGACGAGATGATGAAGTGGGTTGCCGAGAACTGCTTATTTCCTCGATTGAAATCACTTCGTGTTCGTTTAGACCGCGACGGCAACAACAGACCCAATTACAGCGAAAATGCCATTGCTTTTTTTGAGAGCTTCCAGTGTCTCGACGAGCTATCGGTTTCCGGTCCTATCGATCCCAGGATACTAGAAAGTATCCTGTTCCAACACGGGCAGACTCTGACGAAGCTAAGTATACGTCCCATCGAGGACGAGTCCAAGGCACCCAATGGTCGCTTGCGAGGGCATATACCTATGACCTGCACAACAGAACAGATCATACAAATCCACATCCAATGCCCATTGTTGCAAGAGCTCGCTCTTCCCGTTAAACGTACACAATCGGATGCGATTGAGGCTGAAAAATACAAGACTTTTCGGAAAATGGAACGTTTGAGCTCGCTATTTCTTATTTTGGACTGTTCCGAGTGGCGGGTGACTCGTGATCCTGCTTCTCTAGACGAAAGTACCTTCAACGAATTCGATCAAGAAACTTTTGAAGACTGGGTATTCCTTAAGAATGGACACATACGACAAACGCTTTTGAATTGCGCAGTAGATGAGACGCTAGCTAGATCTATATGGGAGACTATTTGCAGGAATAAGATTGGGTGTAAGCTGCAAAATCTCAAAATATGGACCACTGGTTGTTGTCGTTGGGGCGATAACACCTATATCCATTACATAAAGAATGTTGTCGACAACCTCAGTCGTTCCTGGTTATTTGAGCGGATTGCTCGAGATGAAGGGGATATTATCAATGTCAAAGAACTAGGTCGGAGGATAAGAGAGGCTCACGATCAATACGAAACCTCCAGGTGGCACAGGAGGATAGATGCCATGCTCGTCGAAAATAATGTTGTGGTGGAGCTTATTGATGAGCAAGAATCACCTAAAGAGGTTTTTCAAGTATTTCGCAGTATCTGGCCAGATAGGAAGGGCAAGGATTGGCGTGAAGATTGGTCAAGCCTGCCTCTACAAGTCTAAAGGTTCTATACATGGCTATTATTTCCGGAACTCATAATTTTACGGAAGTCAAACAAGTAACAATTCTACCAGTGCGAGGTGATATCATAGACTATACTAAGTGCTGCATTTCATTGAACAAGTTAATTTCCCTAACGGTTAACAAAAGAAGTCTCAGTAACCACTTGAGTGTACAATGAGGGCACTGGGACACCGCTTGCGGCAAAATAATGACGTCCGGCCGAAAAGGTTATATTGACTCAAATCTTTTGAGTGAATATGCGCATTGCCTCTATTATAAAGGCTAAAGTGGTAAGGAATGGGTGTATAAAGAATCTGTTTCCAAGTCATATACTTAGAAGGGGTTTTGTCAGTCTTACAATGTATTGGCAATCCTTGTAAACAATATGTCATGAGATTATTGATCTTTTTACCTCGAGATCTTTCAGCCTCATGCTTCGAATAGAGCTTGTCGAGGTATTGTCAGTTTGAAACTATTGACACTAAGAATATTTTCCGTTAATTTAAGTGAGCCAAAATAGTGTCCACTGCCGTTTATCTTGACCATAGCAAAGCGGCCCAGTCTTAGTCTGAAGACCGCTGCAACCCACTGCTTGAAGAACAACCCACGGAATCAACTTCCCAGAGACAATAAATCCATCGACAACTATAACTTTACTGCAACAATGAACTCTATAGGGCTTAGTTATCTATTGTTGTTCTACAATCCATTGCTATTCAAAAGAGAAGACCTGATAGCGAACGACAATACTAAGCGAGGTGGGTCGGTAAGGGGGTGTTGGACGCTGCGCAGGTGAATATTCACTCTTGTACCTCAATACGTCGCTAGTTTCAAACAAGACAATTGAGCTTGATGACAATGGAGAAAATTTCGCGCACACAATGACACTTGAGACGCGTCCAAAATCATATTGTCAGTTCAGAAGTTCGACAGCTATAAATCTCCACCACCTCTCCCTTTTTCCTTCTGACTTCTCATCCACGATCAGCATTCTACAATCTTTTGATTCGATAGCTAAAAGACTTTACATCTAAAGAATTCTTCTCCGACGCTTCAAAACTTTCTTCAGACACTCCTTCCCACCTGAGCATCATCGTCAAGATCCTTTCTTGTCATTCTTGATTATTACCATATCACAACCCTCAAATCACGTGGACAGTTCTAAATCGATAGAAATGGGTTCTAAAAACTCTCAACAGCTGGCAGGCCTCTCCGAAGAATCGGCTCCCTCAACGACATGCCCTCACCCAGAAAGACAACTGTCAGCACCACCAGTCCTCCGAGCCCAGCCCAGTCAAATCCAAAATTTTCAACCTACGGTCGGCAAACTTCAACGTGCCGCTTCATTCGGTGATATTAATCAGGTGGATAAAGATTTGCTTCCACCCAGAAAAAAAATAAGAGCAATCCTCCATCTCGCGAAGCTGCAATTCCAAAGTCCAGAGCACGTCAAGCAACTCCTGCAGGCGAGCTTCGTCGCAGCAAACGCATTCAAGCGAGCAAGGTTACAGAGCGAAAGAGCGTTGCTCCTGAGCTGCAAAGGAAAGAGAAGAGCGTCGCCCCAGAAATTCCAAAGAGGGATAAAAGTGCTGTCCCTGAGGCGAAGAAGAAGCAGGAAAGTGCGGCTCCAGCACTGCCAAAGAAGAAACAGAAGGATATTTTGCCAGAAACTCAGAAGAAACAGCAGGTTGCCGCCACACAGGCCAATGAGCAACCAAAACTCCCAACTGGGTATTTCACCTCAGATGTCCTCGACCAAAGCGCAGGTAACAACATAGCCGGTGGAAACACAACCCAATCTGGAGAACCATTCTCCTCAGGAGCCGCGGAGAGCGCGAACATCAACAACCATGTCCTACCAACTATTGAGTCCAGAGAGTCTTCTCCAGCTAGAAGCGTCCGCAACGGCAAAGGAAAAGGCAAGGAACCTATGAATAACCGCAGTCAAAGCCCAAGACAATCCAGCAACGACCGCTACCGCGTCAGCAAGAGCAGATCGCCTGAAAGCGGGTCTTCTTTCGATCTCACCAGAATTCAGGCAAATTTGTCTGAATCCATGGAGAAGATGAAGAAAGCGCAGCACGACATGGCCGAGAGGATTAAAGAAGGTGCTGTCAAGCTAAAAGACAGCCATACATACTCTAACAGGCTTGAAAAAGAGCTCCAGAAAGCCAAGAATGAACTCGAGGACATGACGAATGAACGCGATGAAAGGGAGAGAGACTACTTGGAATACCGCATGCGTGAACTTCACCGCCGGTATGAAATCACGGATCTCAAAGCCGAGAAGGAGAAGCTTATCGAGCAACGCAAAGAAAAAGATGGAGCGATAGCCCTCGCTATATGGAAACATGATGTTGAAGTCGGCAAGCTCAAACACACGATCAAAGAATTGGGAGCAGCGCTTGCTGCTGAGCAGCGAAAACCGGATATTAAAAAATGGGTTATGACCACAAGCGCTACAAGCTCTACAAGTGCCTCAAGTGCCTCAAGTGGTTCAAGCGACTGGTTGACTACGACGGAAGGTTCATCAAGTGACACCAACCTTCGCGCATTCTCCACATGGTCCAGTCAAGCGCCAGACGAGCAACCAAGCGCTGAGCTGAAGGACTTCGCTGAGTATGTGAAGCAAAAGGACTCGACGAGAAGTTTTGATCATTACAGACGTGGTAGAGCCATCAATGGATTTTACTTCCAAGAGACACTCAGGGAGGAGCAGATCCGAGAGAGGAGAGTTGGGATGAGGGCCATGTCTGAGACGGGTGATTGGTCCAAGCGGTTGGAGGTATTGGAGAGTAATGAACGTTTAGAAAGGGAGAGTAGATGAGAGGTGGTAGATTGAGAATGGGGGGAAAGTTGATTGTGTGGATTGTTCGTTTGATTTGAGACATTGATAGAAGCCGAGTTTGTATTTTGAGATAGAGCTGTCACATTGACGTGATGGAGATTAAAATTGGTGATAGAATAGACAATAGGAATAGAATTTCAATTTTCAGCTCTTGGTCTAGTTTGGTAATGTGTGATAGTTATCAGCTGTGGCACTTGCCAAATCAGAAAATGATTTCTGTTGCTTTGCCGCAGGGTTTCCCATTTGGTATGGTATACCCTGGTACCAACCCATCCAACCTCTCTTGGGTACCAACCCAAGCTAATCTGTTTGGGTATGGTACCAACCCATGAAGATATACTTGGGTATAGGGTATACCCTTAATATATACTAAATATATGAATGCTAAGTCAGGTTGTAGTGTTGTAGTGTTGTGTCGAAAAGTGAGTTAAGATATGGCAGAATTGTCTGACCGCTTCTAGAGAGTGGTGAGCTAAGATATGGCAGAATTATCTGACCGCTTCCGAAAGTGAGTTAAGATATGGCAGAATTTTCCTGACCGTCCTCGGACCGTGATAGGAGCGTTGAAAACCGAGTCGGAGCCGAGCCGGACCGAGTACCCTAGGGTATCGGAAGGGTACCCTGGGTACCCCCGATGTTTTTTGGGTACCTTACCCAAGTATATCTTCATGGGTAGGGTACCAACCCACGGAGGCCTTGGGTATGGTTTGGGTTACCAAATGGGAAACCCTGCTTTGCCGATGTGGCAGGTGAACAATTAAAACAATTTGTTTTAAAGTGATATCAGGATCGAAAGCGTCAGAACCCAACATGAGTAATTCAACAGATAAAACTTTTGTATTAAATTATATGATATCTAATATATGATTAACCATCTACCAGTCCAACTTGCCAGTGGCCTTGTCGCTCATAGCCTTGGCCATAGCCATTCTTTTCGCCTTGGCTTGAACAGTCTTAGGTGGGAGGAGATCGAAGCTGCGTGCGAAAGTAGCAGTCATGTGGGCAATAGCCTTGGTCATCTGGATCCAAGCACCAACGTTGACGTTGCTTGCATTGTCGCAAGCAGAGTGGTAGCAGACATCATAAGCAACACCAGCCTTTCCACCGAACATGGCAGCCTCCTCGACGGTCTTGATACCCTCAGCACCACAGGCGATACCACCGGTAGCGACACCAGCAGCCAAGAATGGTCCGTAATCGGAACGACCGTCAAACTCGATGGTGGTGAAGTTAAGACCAGCCTCCTGAGCGAAGTATCGCTCGAACTCGTGCTCGGCCTCAGCAGATCCTGGTGGTCCGGACTCACCATAGGCGCTTCCGTCTCCGTCATAAACCTGGTAAGCGTAGTTGGGCGATGCCATCATGTCGAAATCGAGCATGAGACGGATTTTGTCAAGCTCGGATTGAGAAGCTTGGGAGACGTAGTAGTCAGCACCGAGAAGTCCCTCCTCCTCAGCCGCCCACCAGGCAAATCGGACAGCGTTCTTGACGCTGAATTTGGTCAATTGGGTAGCAACCTCGAGAAGAGAGATGGTTCCAGATCCGTTGTCGTTGATACCAGGGCCAGCAGCGACAGAGTCGGAGTGACCAGACATGAAGATAACGTTATCGTGATCACCAGCAATGGTTTCAGCAATCACATTATAGGTGTCGGTATCTTCGGTGGTGGTGCTGAGGTGGGCGACAACAGTCTCACCGGCCTCAACTCTGGCTTGAAGAGCTTTTCCCTCAGCCATGGAAATACCACCGGCTGGGACGTAGGATCCCTCCTTGGTGGCAATCAATTGAAGACCGTAACCCTCGAGACTTCCCTCGACGTTGTTGTAGACGAGCATACCGACGGCACCGGCTGTAGAGGCGAGAGCATCCTTAATACCAGACTTGCAGTTTCCACGTCCGACAAGAACAATTGAGCCAGGAGTAACTTTAGCGAAATCGGCCTAGAGATTGTTAGCTTCTATAAATAATGAAAGGAGCATTTTACTTACGGTTGTGCATCCAAGGTTTGGCACGTAGACCAATGGACCGGTAACATCTCCAGCTGGTGCGAGACCAACAGCAAAGACCTCCATTGGGACGGCATTGTTTGTGAGGTTGGCGCTGACACCGAGAGACAACGTGAATTTCTGCTCGTAGATAGTGTAGTAGTCTGAGAAACCACCAATGATGGACTTGATCCAGTCAATTGTGGCTTGGTGGCCTGGAGTACCAATCAATCGGTTCCTGTTTGGGGTTGCGTAGGCGAGGCCCTCGAGGTGAGCAGCCTTCTTCAACAACTCCGAGCGAAGAAGCACACGGCGGAGCTTGTTCTATAGACACAAGACAATTAGCTTGTTTCTTTCATTCCATTCAAAATTGTTATGTTCTTACCGACTCAACCAGAGGAAGATCACGGGCGATCTTTGCTGAAGCATCTTGGGCAGTTGGGACAGCCGAGACGAGAGCAGCGGCCGTAGCAGCGAGACCAATTGACTGGAGGAACTTCATCTTGACAAGAATGCTTGGCCAGGACTAAAGAACTGGATGACAAGAAGACAAGACCTCTTGGACATGCAGGAGCTGCCACTCTTTATACTTTACCAGAGCTCCCAAGCTCTTGATGTGACTTAAGCACTACCCCTCCAGGCACGGCGCAGATAGGCAAAGCTTACCTGCATTGTTTGTAAAACGGGACGGAATTAAGCCAGGATGAGAAGGAGCCAAGCGGTGGCCACATTAGAAGAAGCAGTGGATCGACCTTCTGGAAGCTCAAACCCATTGTAGTGCAGCTTCTTGCTTGCGGTGCTTATACGAAATCTCCATGTTCCCCTCGCGGCTAAAACTCAACACAGAAGGAGCCAAGACAGATAGATACGTGAAAGAAGTGAACGGTGCAAGAGGCCAATAGGAAGTGCAGGTAAGCTTCATTAACGGCCTTGGCCGTAGCTTGGCTAATGCTTGGTATAGCAGGCTTCGTGATGAGAGTGGGTCAAAACAGTCCATTTTAGCCAATGATACCGCTTTAAAACGCTCGCTTCGGAATCAGGTACTGTTTATCTATGGGATTACCGAGGCCGTGGCAACAAGAACATTGCGAGCATCGAAAGTTTCCACGTTTGATATCGCGTCGACGATATGCATGCACATGGTCTGATGGAAGATCTCTTGGAAGTTGGAACCTTTTTGACAGTCGGCGCTTAGTGATCTAAACTTTCCTGATCTGGAAGTGATTGCGGATTGTACCTAGGGCCTAGGTGTATAGCATCTCCAATATACCGCGGTAATTTGACCGTTCGATTAAGCTGTGGATCTCAGTGAGCGATATGAATTTGTAACAAAACTGAGCTCTGGAGGGTATAATGTACCGCGATTCAAGATGATTAATGATTGATACGCAATTAAGCTCGCATCTGTCAAGCGCTGTTGTTTAAAGCTTAGATGCTTCCCAGTCGCGATTGTTGTTTGTAGATCATTTGGTGTAGAAATAAAGTTGACGAGAGGGTGTGATATTGGCCATGACAGGACATAAGCGATGTACTGAGCTCATCACCTGATGTAGGACAAACGATGAGCTTGACTTACTACTTGACACGAAGATGTTGGCTACATGAATGACCAAGTGAGACCCAATAACAAGACACCTTTGAGATGATGAGAAACCTTCTTAATATCAACATCATTGTGAAGATAGTAAAGAGGATATACCAAGATAAGCAAGCTTGTTCTTCTACCGGATTTAAAATTTCCAGAGTAACAGAAACTGGGTTGGTAGAACTGGGAGCCCCGTTAGAGAGCTCAGAGTGGCGGTTCACTCAAATAATCGGTAGAGATGTTGAAACTCGAAAGCGTTGGTACGAGTCAAAGTAGTTCAGGTGTTTGTGGGTGCTAGGTTTGGCAAAGCAAAAGGGTAAAGATGAGCAAGAGGTCGTCTGTAGCGGCTACTTGTCTAGCGTGGTGTACTGTGGAACACCTGATCAGATACTGGAACCATGAAGACACTAGATCGTCAAATTTTACCACAATTTGAATGCTACTGTTGCTCCTCAGATATATGCTGAAGCAGATTTCTTCAAAGCAGACTGCCGCTGAGGGTGAATGGAATGGAACGTGACAGTAGGAAAGTGTGGGAGAACTAGCACACAAGGCAACACGCATCTTCCTGGGGCGACACGAAGTATAAAACACGGAGGACTTATAAGACGATACTGTTTACAACAGCAAATTTGGGTTTCGACAACCACAGATTTTCAATCCGAAGAAAAACACACGTGGAATGATGAGGGTTGAAAAGCAGGACCGAATCTCCAAGTTTCAAAAAATTGCCCAACCAAGAAGCCGAGAACTCAGAGGATAGAGCAATCCTTCTAACATTCAAGCACTAGCGACGGTGTTGAGGAATTCTGTATGTTTTCGCGAGTCGCGACGCGACGTGAAATCTTTCAGACATTCTGCCGTCAAAAGCGGTGAACGTAACGATTCCTTCAACATCTCAGAGACTCGAGGTCTTTGAACACAGCAGGCTAGCTCATAAATACGATATCAAGAGATCGCTGATATGGGTCTTCTATCATGGTGGCTGTATCTGGGGAAAAATAAAAATTCATATCAGAGATTAGCAAATTCGAAAATATCATCAGCGAACTTGCTAAGAACATATTTCCTGCTAGCAAAACATGATCTCGAGAGCGGGTTTTAACTCGTACGATATATTTACGGTAGGTTCAGAGGTTTACGCTCAGTTTATCCGTGATTCCAAAACGCAGAGAAGTCTCTCGCGTTATGGGGGGGTTGGATCATATCCCACTCTTCGTTTCTTTCCAAAGACATTTGGCCGATCGCTTTCATGCTCCTTTCAGAAGTGGAGTGGGTATGAACAACCGCCATCTAATTAATGTCTTGTCCATATATGAGAATCAACGAAAATCCGGCTTTATTGCATATTGTTTCCTATATGGGAACTAATCATCTACTTGGATAAGATCTATATCGTTAAAATATGGCACCCAAATTCCCTCCACCATTTCCAGTCGCTAACAGTACTCTCTCATTTTGGCGAACAGAACTTCATGCCCTGGACAGTCATAGGTCAACGCCCGAACTACCATCTCACGTCGATATTTTGATTATTGGGGCTGGATTTTCGGGTGTGTCAACGGCCTACCACCTGCTGGACAACGATAACAAGCAACAACCATCGATCGCGATATTGGAAGCGCGAGAAGCATGCTCTGGTGCTACTGGACGAAATGGTAAGATGCATTGATCTCATTCACATAGCATTTATTGATAGAATATAGGTGGCCACATTAAGCCAGATTTATATTTCAATGTCAGCAAGTATGCAGCAAAGTATGGAACGGCAGCGGCAGCTGAAGTCGCCCTTTTTGAAGCATCTCAAGTGTATGCTATGAAGAAGCTGGTTGAGAAAGAGAAAATCGATTGTGATTTCATTCTTACACGGGCGATTGATGCCACGGTTGATGCCCAGATAGCAAAGGAATCTATAGCGGCATATACTAAGCTCTCAAAAGAAGGGGTTGTTGAGGTAATCAACGATGTGCAATATCACACACAGAAAGATGCTGAAGGAGTAAGTTCTTTTCTCAATCTGAGCAAATTTGAATGACATCTCTGATTACATTGCTAGGTATCCGGAGTCAAAGGAGCGCTTTGTGCGTTCAGCTTCACTGCTGCCTCAATATGGCCATACAAAATGGTTATGCACCTCCTTAATCTCGTCGTTTCCAAGGGCGTAAATCTGCAGACACACACTGCTGTAACTGAGATATCAGAAACCCGAGATTCAGATGGCTTTTATACCGTCAAAACGAAAGACCGTGGCAGCATGAAAGCGAAGAAAATAGTCTTCGCTACAAACGCCTACACAGCCGGAATCGCACCTCAGTTCACCAATAAAATCGTCCCCGTACGAGGGATATGTTCTCGCATAGTTGCTCCAAAGGAGACTACTCCCTTACTGACGACAAGTTCAAGTGTACGGTATGGGCATATGTTGTATGATTATCTTATTCCAAGAGCCGATGGAAGTATTGTTGTCGGAGGTGCGAAGCAGGATTTTTGGAACTCTCTGCCACATGAATGGTATGGAAATGTTGATGACAGCAAATTGATCGAGCCAGCGAAAAATTACTTCGACGGGTATATGCAGAGAACGTATAGAGGTTGGGAGAATAGCGGTGCGAAAGTTGATAAAGTGTGGACTGGAAGTAAGTGCCGCTATTCTAATTCCTGTTGTTCAATATATTAATTCTGAGATAGTTATGGGATACAGTTCGGACTATATGCCGTATGTTGGCCATATACCTGGAAAGCCGGGACAGCTCGTAGTAGCTGGATTTTCTGGTCATGGCATGCCACTTATCCTGCGAAGTACAAAGGGTATCGCAGATATGATTCTGAAAGATCTTCCATTTAAATTGACTGGAGTTCCAAGGTTGTTCAAAGTCACAAAAGAACGGATGGAGTCACAGAAGAATGAAATTCTATCACAAGAGAAGCTGGCTAGGTTGTGAATCGTTGGGTATTGAAAATTTATACGGTTAATTGGAGGATGATGGTCGTGCAAGGCATTATGCTAATAGTATTGACCTGCTTGGTCTGATTATATTCATCCCTGGTAGAGATGTAACAAGAATAAAGTTATGTCTTACTTGCATGTGTGGGATCCAGTAATTTGGTAGTGATAAAATAGTGAAGTTACAATCACCGTTGGAGAACCTTTGACTGAACGTAGTCTCGCAGGTGTCTGTTCAACAATGTTAGTCCAAATTTGAAACTTCGCACAACCCAGATAGTCATGAAAATATCACGAGAATCACAAACTTTTGTATAGCTACAGTAATGCGTATCTATAAAAGCCCCATATCTTCCAAAACCTTCCGTCTTCTCCACCTACAAGAAAACTTTACTAGAGCATAAAAAGCCACCATTTACCCTAAATTACAAGACCTTTTTCGCTTACGATGTATTTTCTTATCTACCTAACCACACTTTTCACCGTCGTTGCCGCAAACTCCATTCGCTTCATCAACAACGGCAACAGAACACGCAACCTCTGCTTCTACAATCTCGTCAAAGACGACACCTTATATATCCAATTCCTTGGTTTACCTCAAAGTTTGCATTCCCGGTCACATCTTCACTTATGTCCATACTAACCACAAACAGCTATAGAGAAGGGTAAAGAGCTCGAGTACCCTCTCCCAAACAACTTTCGCGGTCGCTTCTCCACCCTACTGCTTAATGAAGAATGCAACAGCGCACATGTCTTCGGACACGTCAGGTTTAATAATACGGCAGGGGGAATGACCCAGTATACTGTCACTAGCACGATCGAAGCTGGGGAAAATGGAAGTAAATTAGGGATTAGCCTATTATCTGCAAAGCCCAAGACGGGTAAACATGAAATAAAAGGTTGTCTGACGTTTCCGTGTGTGGGAGCTGATGAGGAGAAAGATGGGCTTCCGGCTGGGAAGATACCTTGGGGCAGGGCTGCTGAGAATGAGATGTGGTGTTTGATTGATGCACCCCCAAAACGTTGATTCAAAAACATTGTGTATTGGGGAGGGACGAGATTCAAAAATGTGATGGAGCTAGTTATTCACATAATATGTATAACCCTGACTGGTTAAGCTTGACAAATTAACGTGACTTAAATAGAACACAAATGGTTACGAAGACATGTGCCGACCGTTTTCATGGGCCTTTGTGAATAATTGTCTCGACTTTCTATGAATCCCGAGCCTAGTATGATACTACAAGTAGAACTGGACCAACCTCGAGTAAGCAGACGCCAAGTATCTTTCGCACTTTCAAAAATCACTACCTTTTCGCAGCACCCAAGTTTCTCACAGCAACCAGACTCTCGCCTTCATCATTCTCTCCAAACCGCCCAACCCCCCAGATTCCAATTCACCACGTCCTCCCTCCCAGCGGCACACCTTCGGCCTCAACCCTCATTCATATTCCCATCAGTACCTCTCCATCCTGTCTGCTTTAAATATCTAAATTCGAATTTTTTCATCAACCAATAGACTAGCTAGCTATAGGTTGTAGAGAACCGCTGCGTTCCCGGTATTCCCTGCCCGGGGGGAAGTATTTCTTCTTCACAAGCAAAGCTCAGCCAATGACTTTCTTGGTGCATCACGGGGCCCACGTGTTGTATTTCTTTTGTCATTTTTTGCTTATAAGTAGGGTCGGTGGTTCGGAAGAGGGTTCTTGTTGTTTTGCGATGTGTGGTGGGTGGGATTCACTTTTGGGGGTTGGGTTGATGGAAGCGAAGTTGATATTTTGACTTTCAAACGTTTTAGCAAAAAAAGGGAGATGAGGGTTTCGGCGGATCGGAACCGATGTTACAAAGGTCTGATATCATCATTTGATGAACCAATACTGTTAAAATTGTGCTTGAATCAAAATTGTGTTTATTGTTTTGTCCCGAAATTGGAAGATAAAATAGCTCGGAGAACAAAAGGTGTGGTATTGATCCTTCTACTATCCTGTGCTCCCGAATTCTAATTACACCTAGGTGGGCACTTTAAATTTGACAGATCATAGATGCCAAGTAGCTTTGAAGAATGTGCTATCTACTAAAAATGACAGACAAGATAGACGAAATTGTGCCACACTAATCGCGTAGATAACGCCTTTCCACTGCTCCCTCTTGTAACCACTGTGAGATAAACTTATGTTCAACCGATTCATTCTGTAGGCTACACTCATACAAATCTCTCCTTATGTCATATCGCTTTCTGGCCTCCTTGTATGCCTCCCATCTCATTCTTGTTGTGACAGTTTCATATGATATACTGGGCGCTGGCGTATCATATATCTTTTTCCAAATAGACTTCAGGTCGTCCTCATGCGGGCTATCTTCATTGAACTTTTCGCAATGTTCTTGTTCATAAGCAAGGCGCTGGAGTTCCATGTTCTCGAAAAACCTCGATTCTTCCAACTCGAAGATCCGCAGAGAGTCAGTGATATTGTATATGCCACCTGTCTGGACTAAGTCCCTGGGATTTTGGTGGTGCGCTGGATTCACGATTGTGAGCTTTTGTAGATTTTTGAAAGTCTGAAAGATTTCGTTGATAGTTTCATGATTGGGTATGCTGGGGAAATTAATGGCCAACCGATGTATCTTGTTTGCGTTCTCAGTGCCAATGCATTTAATAGGTCTTAGCTCCTCCAATTCTCTTCCGAGATAGTGTTCACTCCGAATCCGGTATAAAACTGGCCAATCCCAGTACGTATAAAATGACGATTCTATGTAAAGCGTATCTTGTGCGAAGTCGAAGAAGACCGGTTGCTCGCGATGGCGATGTGAAGGCTTGCCGTCAATGTACAACTTAGAGTAAATGGGTTTAACAATGACTCGTGACTCTCGGCAGGTGTTCAGGAGTGGCACTGTGCTTTTAGAGCTGAGGATATAGTCTGGGACAGGTATCCAGTTGCCCGAATAGCCATAGAGGAAATCCGGGTTGTCATACCTCAAGGCTGAAAAAGGGGGAGTGCCCATAGGAAAGTCACGGAGATCTTGATACGGTTCATTGAGTGATCCTCTAATATTCTGTAGCGTGAAGATGCCGTCCAATTGAACAAAAACAATCCTGGGGAGAATAGCAGCTCTCCATATCATGGCTCTCACTTCTGGCGGTAAGCGCTTGAATTGGGGGAAATCATCTAACTTTGGAGTAAGAAGCGACATGCCGACAGGTATGAATCTTTCAGTTCGAATAAGTGATTGTTCGTTTCGCAGCTGAAAGTGTTGCTGGCCTTGATAATTTGATATGTTGGTGGTGTAGGGAACGAAATTCGTTGGGGTTCCGCTCTTCTCGATATCGTGACACAGCACAAATCGATGCTAAGGATAACGAGTGAGGCGTCACTAGTTTAGCTGTTGTTCGTAGATTTAGGAAAAGATTGAAATTATTGAACTGGCATGGCAGATAAAATGTTTGAACAAAAGAATACGACCCTGAGGTTGTTAAGGTTGTTCAGTAGGCGGGGTGAGCTTTGGCTTGGTTGCCTAACCGACACCAACATCCATGAACGACAGCCTTGGAGGTCAATGATAAAGCAGTATTGAACTACTCACTCAGTCAATGATGGTTCCCAAATATAATCAAACCTAAGAAGGACTTGACGCCAAGCTTGTACCCTGGTACCGCGGTATTTTCTCCTATGTTAACAACTGGATAAGAGCGTATTTGTTTACGAGGGGTGGTAGCACTGAGCAGGCTATCCATAACAACATAGACTTACCAGGCTCCTGTATTGAGCACCGATGCGAATTTAAGAACATCACTGAAAGCTTTCCGTGATATTGTAAAATGGTTGAATGACTATTGCACAGTGGTTCTATGAACAAGGGTAATAAAGGAAAAGTTTCACGCTACAGGCCTTTACCACCTACTGTGCCTTGGATGAGACGATCTCTGCAAGATGAGTTAGCATACGTCAAGAAATGCCGAGGAAAGACTTACTCTCGACATCGGCCACACTCTGTTGCAAGATCTGTTGGAGGACCTTTGGATTCTCTAGCTCCTTCTGGATTTTGGAAATAATGCTTTCCGAGAGCTCCTTCTGTTGGCGGATCTTTACCTGTCCCTCATATCTAACCCATGAATCCAAAACTGCCTTGGCCTCTGCTGCGAGAGCAGTAGATTGCTCGAGTTCGTATGCCTTGGCCTCGAGTTGCGCAGTCTCCTACGGATGGTGAGCAATCAATCTATACAGTGCCTCACAAGCACGCACCTTTGAGACCTCGAAAAGGGTCTTTGTAATGTCTACAACGCTTCCCAATTGTTGCACACTCTCAATTCTGGTCTTGACTGCCTCAGTGTGATCGGCACGAGCAGCATTCAAGATACCCTTAATCTTGTTGATTTGTCCATCCGCCCACTCCTTGTACATTGGACCTCCATATTTGAAGACCGCAGTCCAAACGCTCAACAAGCAAAGCGCGACAATTGTTTCCTCGTTGACAACATAGTACTCGTTACTCAATGCGTAAATCGCGACACCGGCCGTTGACGAAAGGATCGCGGTCTTCGACACCAGGGAGTTACCTGGCAGCGAATCGATAATGGATTGTGCCTTCTTTTTTGGATCTTCAGCCGGGACGGTCGATGCTGATCGGTAGCTTGTGATGGATGTGAGGGCAGGAAGGGTGCGGAGTGGAAGAGATGGTCGAAGACGAGCGGCGCCTGAAGCTATCGTCAGTATCAAGAAAGCATCAATGGCTTCAAATAAGACATTAGTGCACGGGGGAACTCACCAACAGCGCTTCTTGCCAGACGTGATGCCATTGTGAGTTGAGGGGGGATATTGCTGAGCTCGTCGTCGTGCTTGAAGAGCAAACTGACCCGACCAAGCCCGACCAGTTCTTTTCATACACGTGACCATCTGTCTAGCCTCGTTCTTGGCAAGTAGAGTGGGGCACTAAAAATGCTATCGGGAAACTTTCGAGGTCCTGCCATGTCGAAATCAAATTATCGCAAATTGTGCTGATTCAAAATGCCAGCAGCTCTTGGTCCAGGGCCTAAATCCGTTAAAAGGAAGAGGGTATCTTCAGAAAAGAAACCAATCAAGCGAGCTCGATCGGAAAGCAGCGACGATGAGGTAGACACCCAGGCGCAAATACTGATACTGGAGAACGAGATCTTCGAATCGAAAAAGAATTACAACAACATCGCAAAACTAATTACGATTTTCACGGACGACAAGCAAGACCCTGACGACTCGGTGGTTGCGGCGATCTCACTATGTCGGGCTTTTACACGGCTACTCAGTGCTGGGGAACTGGCTCCTAAAGCTGGAGCCACGGAAAAGGATCTCGTTGTGATGAGATGGCTTAAAGATCGTTATTTGGAATACAAGGAGGCACTGCTTGATATATTAGGCGAGGAGGGAATAAGCGCAACTGTGTTGAAGCTCTGTATGCGATTACTGAAGACAGAAGGCGAGCATATTCGAAATAACCAGGAGTACCAATTTCCTACCTCATTTCTCAGTGGCATTGTGCAAACTTTGCTGGACCCCGAATGTGACGAGGAAGCGCGGAAAGAGTTTAGTGAACAATTCGTAGAAGAGTACGATGATGTTAGATTTTATACTTTGGAAGCCATCCAGTTAGTACCTCAAAACAAGGCTCATGTGTATCGCTGACCATGTGTAGAAACTTTCTTGGAGACCCTGCAACGCAGATATCCAGCGAACTTTTTGACAATGTCCTCGAGGTTCTCAATAGCATTGAATCCGTCCCCGAATCCAACGAAGAGCTCGAGGACTTTTATATCAAGGCTCCCAAGAAGAAAACACATTCTCTGTACTCGCTATCACAACACAAAAAACGGGCCCAAGGAGCATGGCTTGCTTTGTTGAACATGCCGATGGATAAAGAGCAGCGAAAGGCGGTTCTAGGGTTGGTGGCAGATACAATCGCACCGTGGTTCAATAAGCCAGAATTATTGATGGACTTCATGTCAGATTGTTATGATGCTGGGGGGTCGACTTCTTTGCTAGCTTTGTCCGGAGTATTTTACTTGATACAGGAGAAGAACCTCGACTATCCGTCGTTCTACCGCAAACTATACTCTTTACTGGACTCAGAAATTCTACATTCGAAGCACCGATCGAGATTCTTCAGATTACTTGACACCTTTTTATCGTCGACGCATCTTCCAGCCGTTCTTGTCGCAAGTTTTGTGAAAAGACTTGCAAGATTAACACTATACGCACCACCTTCTGGAATTGTTGCCGTTGTCCCTTGGATATACAACATACTGAAAAAGCATCCCACATGCACTTTCATGATACACCGCGAAACGCGGACTCGAGAAGGCAAGGAACTTCTAGAGAAAGAGGGTATGACTGATCCGTTTCTTGCGGACGAAGAGGACCCTATGGTGACAGAAGCGATTGAAAGTAGTTTATGGGAGATCGTAACATTACAATCTCATTATCACCCAAACGTAGCAACGCTGGCAAAGATCATCTCCGAGCAATTTACGAAACATGCGTACAATTTAGAAGATTTTCTGGATCATTCATACGGAAGCGTAAGATCTCTTCTTTGTACCATTACCAAACAATTGACTAACGCTGAATTAGATGCTCGAATCAGAACTGTCGAAGGAAGTTAAGAAGATACCAGTTGTAGAATATGAGATACCCAAAAGAATCTTCCTGGAGCAGGATGGGAATTCAGAAGTGGAAAATGGATTGTTGGTGAAATTGTGGGACTTTCAATAGGGAATAAATAAAGCCAACACCAGAGTCAAACTGATTGCTACTATCTATTATATTTTACTTATTTGGTGTGATAAAAGACATATCATTTGTGCTTCGCCAATACGTAAACATGACTGAAATTCTAATTGAGGAAATAAAAATACATGGACTCATACCGGTGGTGTGGTACGTACACTCCGCCGCCTCAGCCCCAACATCGATTTATTGCGATCCGCAACTGCAACCGCCCACCACCAGTTACTCGGCGTCTTGAAGTGAATACAACTAAATGCGGCTTCTCAGCTGGTACCGACTCTGCAAAGCAAACCTGCGAATCTGTTGATAAGTGTGCAAGGTCCGTTGCTTATTCCAAGTGCTGACCATTGTGAAATCTTGGACCACCCCCCCATCGCGTCATAACACCTGCACAGCTTCAACTGACCTTAATTTCTTCAGAATGCCTCTTCGCGATTTTCTCAAGAAGAAAGACAAGATCTCAAACAGCCATGCGCCATCAACGCCCGATAATGCCGCCGCGCCGGCAGCCCCAGAATTTACGTTCATGAGGAGCGACACCCATACTCAAGAGATCATCTCTCCACCCTCGTTTGACTCAGAAGAGGACTTGAAAGGGCCAGCTACCGATGGCCCCAACGAATCTAGAAGCTCCAAACTCTTTGGTCGAAACAGAAGTGCTTCCAATGTCTCCGCCAAATCTGCAGCTTCTGGCGACAGCAACAAATCGAAGAATGCCTCCACGTCCAAGCGAATATCCCAGCGTCTACATCTGAGGAAGAGCGACGTCGGCTCTGTGAGTGTACCAGATGATCTTCCAGAGATTGACGTGGGGGAGGAAGAAGGCGGGGGAGCAGAGTCACAATGGGAGAAACGGGCAACGATACTGGCAAAGCAGAATGAAACTTCAAGGAGCAGACCACCCACGCCAAATGGCGCGCCGCCAGACGTGGGATTCAGTAACATGTCATTGGAGCATGGGAAGGAGAAGGGGGTTGCGTTGACGAAGCAGGTGGATGACAATATACAGGAAGCCATCCGACTTCATGAAAATGGCGATCTGGAGAGGTCTACGAGAATGTTTGGGCGGTTAGCAGATCCGCATGGAGACAACAATGCCTTGAGTCAAGTGTTATACGGGCTTGCTTTACGGTCAGTCAATTGGGTTTCTTCTATGCAGTTATAACTTCCAATGTACCTTCCATTGGAGGCGATCTCGGGAACTTTCATCGATCGAAGCGGTTCTGACGGCTTCTTCATTAGGCACGGTTGGGGTTGTACACCAGATCCAGCTCAAGCAGTAAAGTACCTATCGGCGGCAGCGTCAAATGCAGCATCGATTGAAGAATTGGCGCTGCAAGCTGGTTTGAAGAAGGGAGGATCAGCTAAGGGAGAGCTCGTTCTCGCCATATTCGAGCTTGCGAATTGCTTTCGTCATGGATGGGGAGTACCCGTAGATAAGGTAGCAGCGAAACAGGTACGTTCTGCCAGGGACAATGAAAACGACTGGAGCGCGGAAAAGCCTGGACAAGTAAACTAATTCCTTCGGCTAGTATTATGAAACCGCTGCGAACTTGGGCGATACTGGTGAGTTCTCGACCTCACCCAACTGGTTGTTTTGAATCGCTAACCAAGCATTGGTAGATGCAATGAATGAAGTTGGCTGGTGTTATATCGAGGGGTTTGGCTGCAAGAAAGACAAGGTACGTTGATTGCACGTTTAGGAGCTCAACCGAAGCTTCCGAATAGCTTCATGGTACAACGACCATACAGCTACGAGCCTCGCATCACATTGTGGCTTGCGCGTGCGGCTTCCCCTTTCGATGACTGCATTTGGGCAGCAATGGGGCTTTCCACCCAAACCCCACGAGCAGCCTCCTACGCGACCTATTAGGAGGCCATGAGGCTGACGTTTCTCAATCCACAGTGGGCAGCAGCGAAGTATTACAGGTTAGCTGAGAACGCTGGGAGCAAGACTCTAGGGAACTCTTGGTAAGTCAGGCTCCAGATCACGTTTTTCCCAAATCACATTTTCTTCGTTTCTTGGTCGCGGTCTTCTCATGCAGGTCGTTCAAGTGGCCGTCCCGTGCAGGAGTTCCAGAATGACTCGACCAGCGACGACCGATTCGCTGTGCCCTCTTTTCCTCACTCAGGCTCGCTTCCATTTCCATAGGTGGATTAAAAAAGTCATCTGCTGATTTATTGGGTGTTTTCTTCGCGCCGTGCAGGATCTGGAAGGAAAAGTACAATGCCCCAAAGAAATGAACGATGATGCTCAGACTTCCGAAACAAGTCACTCTTCGCTTTTTCAGGTTTTGCTATCTTGTTCCCTTCGTTGGGCCTTTATTCCAGCCCGTCGAGGTCCTGTTCCCCTTTCGTAGCGAGCATTCGAGGTCGTTGATCGGTCTCTGGGTTATTCTAGATCACAAACACAAATGGACATGACGAATATTATTATCGAAACGTAAACCATTAGGCAACCTACCACGCACCCAATCATAAAAAACCACTTATCACATAAACGAGAATAGGGTCTTTCTTTGAGACAACCCTTTCATACCCTTCGGGTTTTTTCCTTCGCGTGATGCGCTTTTCTTGGGATGAACCTTTGGGGTGGCACAGGACTGCACCATAACGGTCAAATGGGCCCTCGGTTCCGTGTGAGAGAGTACGAGGTGAGGCGTTGGTCTTCGGACTGTTGGTGGTATCATTCGGGGCTTTTTTGCCTTTGCATTTGTTTATTTAAGAATCTTAAGTAAGACTGACTGCACCGCAGGTGGGGTTTGAGAACGTTGGGTTTGGTCTTGATTTGTGGGCTTGAGTGTTTGTCTTACGGGTTTTCTGTTGGTGTTTTGCGGCGCGAGGATGGGCTTGGTCTGGTGTTTGTTGGTTGTGATCTGACATTGTCGGAAATGGGGGTGGTCGCTTGCTTCGGGTGTTTGGGAATTCGATTGAGAGGCATTTGGCGGTTTTCAGCATCGTACTTTGAATTGTACCTCATTCAGCGTACTTCAATTCAATATCTTCAACACTCCCTCAAAAGCAAAGCGTACAAAGCATCATGCAAAGCACTGACTGCCGCCGCGCACTGCAAGCACGCATCCATCATCCACATATCACCCACAAATCCCCTCGCCCATCCTCAGCTGGCCTTCCCCAAAAATCCCCTCCGACCCACTCCAACACAGGTACATCGGACTTTCAAGCTGAGAAGTTGGCGTCTAAGACATATGCACATCCAATGTCGTTGGTACGGGGTATACCAGAATACTTCCAGTCTAGTAACCTGCGCACGTTAATAATCCCTCTTCCGCGCATCAAGAGGGTATTGAGTAATGGATCACAGAGTGAGGGGTAAAAACACCACCCTCGATAACGATAAGAACCCTCGAGAGGGTTACAACAGCGCTGGTGTGGTGACTCGGCAGATGGAAATTAGGGACTTGTCCTAGGCTGTGTAGGTAGGTAGGTACGAGAGAGTGGTCTGGAAACCTGCGACCTTTCGGGGTGGGTGGTGTGGGTCGTGGGTCACGAAATGGGAATAAGCTTAGGGTGTTGTTTGTTTGTTTGTGATTGTGATTTTGGGATGCATATTTGGACTTCAAGGTGGCATTGTTTTTGAGACAGAGGTCATGATTTGCAAGTATGGGAAGTTAGGTAGGTGGAATGTAGCTATGGTATTGTATGGTAATGATTAAATACATCAGAATAGTTTCCTTTCCTCCCCAAAATATGACCTGATAAGGTAGATACATGAAGTCTTCGCCAGTTCCGTAGATCCCCTGATCTGTACTTCAAGTTCTGTATCGTTTGAATTAAAGAAAAGAAGTTCGTTTGTGAGCTGTTTGCTCTTGTGGTTTGATATTCCCGTCTCTTCGTCATGACCTTTGATCATCATCATCATCTCCGCTTCAAGTTTTGGCATCGTGTCGTAGAATTTGCATTATGTGCTTTGTGCTTCGTGAGAAAATGTTCGTTCGTGAGACCGTGTAAGTAATAGTAAAGGTAGAAGGTTCGAAGTGTAAAAAAAACGTGGTGTTTGTGGTATCTTAATAGGCCGTGAATCTCGTAAAAACGTTCGTCGGGGTGATTTGATATTTCTTCGCCTCGTAACGCTCCTCCCCCTCGATGATATCCGTATTCCAATTTGTCCAAATCCAATCCAATTCAAAAGAAAGAAAACATGAGGCCATAAAAATTCAGAAAAACATTAAAAGAAAATCCGGAGGATACGGGGTGAGATTTCCCGTAGGAACAAACCCTCCCATATTGTTTCCCCCATAGTCCAATCCCAGTTTCCATCCAAAGAGATACTTGTTCAATTTACATGTAAGAACCCGATAACATGTTTGCCCCGTTCCGATACCCAGCCGACATGATATATGTGATCAATTATGATCTGTCTGTGCTCAAGGCCAATTGCGTTGCAATCGAATGTTGCTTGCTAAATGCTGACCAGCTCGCGCTGAATGTTCCCTATTTTTCCCTAGGAGCGATAATGCTTCCCTTCCCATCCCACCAATGCTATGACTATGCTAATAAGAATTAAAATCAAAAGAAAATCAAAATCAAAAGATAAAATCAACGCTCGCTCGCTTGCTATATGGCTAGGACAAAAGGAAACTAAAACACTAATGTGATGCGTGAGCAACAGCAGTCTCGGAAGGAAAGAATTTGCAAAAGCCGTTATTCATTAATGGTTGGACGGACATGGCGTCCTAGATGAAGTAGAGTGGTTATGCTGTGTAAGTGACAGCATGCTGTGTCGGTAATGAGGGCTTTCAACCGAGGGGAGTGTGACCATCCTGTTGCTCATGCGCATCGGACAGGGAGACCATCTTCGCGAAATTACGAACAACCTCACTTGGCACTTGATCCCACAGTAATGAGCGGGTATAGACTTCGGCGGCGGATTTCTTGCTATTAGCACGCATTGCTGCGAGCGTTTCGCCGAGATTTCGCCGTCCTTGTGAGGTTGATCGTTGTGGAGTGTTTTGCAGGAAGTCGTGATTCGTGAGGCCGTTGTACTGAGCTGCGGACATGGAGAAGATTTGCTCGTTGTTTTGCTCTTCGCTTGGCCGCGTGAGGGTGTCGCTGAGGTCCCCAAGAACTGACGGCGTAACGCCAATCATTTCCGAACCGCCCATCGCCGGCATTGGTGCTGCAGACCATGCATTGGCGGAGACGGAGGGAACAGCAGCCATGGCTTGAACACCAGAGGCTGCTTGTGAAACACCAGCATCGTTGAAGATATCTTCGAGGAGAGTGGCTGAAGCAGCACGAACATCGTCGGAAACTTGTGGAAGTGTAGGCGAGGAACCTTTGGAAGCGACAAACGCACCAACAAGGAGAAGCATCAAAAGGAGACCTTGAGCGGCAGGCTTTTCTGACTCGCTTACCAATGCGTTCTCCTTCTTTGCAGGTACAACAGAGTTCTCGATCTTGACATCTTCGTTGGTGAAGTCATTGAGGAAGGAGATGTTATCCCAAGCTCCGTCCATGGTCAGACTGTCAATATCGGCGTAGTCTGAAGGGAAGTTGTTGGAACTTGAAATGTTGGCGACAGGAGCGCTCTCCATACGCTGGACGTGCTCAGTGAGGACGGTGATCTTCTTGCGGAGTTCTCCAGTCTCGAGAGTGTGGTTGGCAACCATTTCCTCTTTCTCCATCTGGATGTTCTCAATATACTGCTGATACTGTTGCTCTTTACGAGCCCACTCATCCAAATTCAGCTTCGCTTCGGCAAGGTCTTCCTCTAGATCATTAATTACAGCAGTGTAATGCTTCTTCTCATCTTCTAACCGTTCGGTGTGTTGCTTTTTTCGTTGACGAGAGTCCAGACTGCAAACTGATTAGTATATAAATCTCGAGAACGTGACTGTATCAATACTTACGCTGCTTGGCGATTCCTCAGCAATCGCTTTTGTTGCTTCAACTCTTTAATCTCCTGCTCATCCGTCGATTGAGAAATCAAGTGATCGATGTTGGTGAGGTTTCGCTCGGCTGGAATATCGAACCGAGCATTCTTTTTCCTGATACCATCTCCCCTTCTCGTCATCTCCGGATGAGACCGTAAAGTTGGGCTATGAGGTCTCATGCGTTTTGGCATCGCTCGATGATCCATAGCATCAGCAACCGACCATTCCTTTTGCGGTGATGTTGGGATAGAACCATTGCTGGTGTTTCCGGATGAGAATAATGGCAACTGTTGGTTTCCATTGTTGGTGAATGGGGTCTGGATTTGTCGTTGTTGGAACACTGGTGGATTGACTTCGAACTCGGTAGGAAGACCGTCATGAACTTGCATGGGCGTCGACATCCCCGAGTTGTTACTCATCCATGGATGGCTTTGCTGCCCATACCCGGATTGCGAGTCGATGCGCATGAATGGATTGTTGTTGTGATGCTCAACAAATGGGTTGTTTGACGACATGGGCTGCTGCTGTTGCATATCTACATGTTGCCATTCATCTGACTTCGGTGAGAACAATGATGAGGACACTGCAAACGAGTCTCGTCGGCTACCGGCCATGGGAGGTGACATTTCCAGTCCGGAGTCTAGACCGCTGTGATCGAGGATGTTCTCGTCCAAAATGCTTCCCTCGTCCTCCTCAAAATAGTTCTGTGTAGCGTGTGTATCGACGGTCAGCGACGACGGCCGGTAGTAGTTGTGCATTGCGAAGGATGCTGCCATCGTGGGATTGTGATGGTGTTGGTGGGGAAGGAAGCGAGGTTCGGATGGGATGGCGGTGAAGCGATAGAATTGCAAGAATAATCGCCGAAGAATAAAGCGAATGCCAGCGGTATTTGAACAATGACTGGATGAAAGTCAATAAGGTCGTAAGAATCACTGGCGTCTGAGCGAGTGATTTCAATTTCGTATTCTGTGTAATGACAAAGGTCGTCGTCTTCCGGCAAAGAAGACAAACGTGGTGAGTTGTATATACCGTTGGTACAGTAAGTGTGAGATCAAGAGCCGATGAGAAACGGGCCCTCCAGGTTCTTATCCATCCCACGAGCGTCCTGCAGTTTTGGCGGTGGCAGCGGAACAGGTTCAGCACTGGGTTGGCACTGGCAGCTGTGGGAGTGGATAGGGTTTAGAGCTTCACAGGGGTAGCGAGGGCAGTGGGGGGGATGCTCCAATATGGACGAAAAGGGAACTTCTAGACTTTCGTCTGTTGTGTCCCACGCGAAACCCAAAAGCGAGTGGGATGATTGATTGATTGATCATCGATGCGATCGGAGCAGGAGGGCAGTAGCAAATCAGAAAATTCCGTGGAGGTCTAGGAAACCCCCGAGGAGGGTGATACAGCGACATGGGCAAGCTGGTCAGGCTTGAGTGACAGTCTCAGGCTTGGGAGAGCGACCTCGTGAGAGTTGATGAGAGCTTCTCACTCAGTTCCCTTCTCCGTGCTGCTCGCCGCGAGAGCGGCCATGCAGGCGAACAAGGCAAAGAAGGCCAGGGAAAACGGGAAGAGTACAAAAGCAAGGCGGCTGCGGGTGTGGTCGCGGATGCAAGCGAGAGGTACTCACGTCTTCAGATTCTTCGATATCCACGCTGTGGTCCGGATTGTGGTCACTCTGCCATGGTCGTCGGCCTCTACTGTAACAGCGACGACGAGAATGAAACTCCCGCGTACCCCTTTCGTGGCATCTCGCTTACCGCCCCATATTTAGCCGGCCGTCTAGAATGCCCTCTCACAACACCTCTCTCTTCCTCACCTCTCTTTCCTTCCCTCTGCCTCGCCGTACGTTGGGCAGCAACTGCTCTCCTGGGCCTTCTGGCCAGCCCCCAGCTTGCTAAAAGCGACTCCCGCCGATAGGATGTCCGCTGAAGAGTTGCATGACAAGCGTCCGGGGACAGCCTTGCTTCCGCTTTCTTGGCTCTTCCCCGCCATCTAATTGGAGTCATTAGGTTCCTTGTGCTCCATCCTCCCGCCAAAGCTGCCAGAAAGAGTCACGGTCGTCATGATCGATAGGTGGGCAAGACCAGCAGCTTGCAACTTCGCGAACACCAATCAATTTAGTTGAGGCAATCCAAGTTGGGACTGTTTGCCCTCGATTAGGATTCTGGGTTTCCTTGTCACGCGTCTTGTTGATATCCTGGAAGTAGAAAGGCTTCGTTGATAAATGATTGGCTTTTGACGTGGTTCAAACCCGTGCGTGATCAGAGGACCGATGCGATGGATGGGCAATAGGAATGACTTCATCCTTTCCCCGAGCCTGTCTCCCAAAGTATATGGTCGTTTGGGAGACGCACTGCGACGTGAAGCTTCTGCTGATAGGAGAGCAATGTAATGACTGGTGTGGTGAAGCTTTCGGGTCCTACCTAAACGATAGAGTTGTGCCCAACGGGTCTTTGAGACACCATGATTAGACACTGAATCGCTTCATGCGATTAACAGTCCAACTGCCGCTTTTCCCAGTTCGTCTTCGTCTCCCATTTGCTGGAGACGCCTGGTCGACGGGAGAATAACGAAAGGATGCCCCTGAAGAAGACTAGCGTACCCCTGTCTACTGCTTTATTCGGACGAAATTCAACTTTGACACTCCAGCCCACGATCTCTATTTTCCGAGACCCGAGAACCATGACAAAATCTTCCATACAAGTTTGAGATTTGCAAAAATGCGCATGATACGCGATCTTTGGAGTTGTATTACGATTATGACCTCATGATATTACTATAAATACTATAAATTATGTTTCGTCCAGGCCGGACCCTTCAAAACAAACCACGATGATCCAGGCATATTATCGCGACGGGGGCATTTCAGATCGACGAGATTTTCAGCCTTCGCCCTATCGACCGACTTTCCAGAAGGACGCGTCTATCCAAGTGGATATCTCGAGCCTAGAAAAGTAAACAACAGAAAGAGCGGTAAACCTTGCCAGTTCCTTCAAACCTTACTGTGGGTAACGCGATCATGACAGGATTTTCCGATTGAGTGGTTGGTAAATTGACCGCAATGCCTCTTACTGGGCTAGGCTAATCTTTCTGGAGCCGCGTAAGGTAAACATTGTGGCGAGCGAGAGGCCACGATACTTCTCCTCTACCATACGGAAGAGTTTCGTCTCGTTCCTGCCCCGTTTGTACATGAGAAAACCAACTTACACCGCCAGAACGAACGAAAGAGAGAGCAAAATCTATTTTCAGCGCTTAGAAACCTGTCAATGTTTCAACTGCTCCAATCCGGCGCCGGACGGACAAACAAACGAAAGCAAAAATTGATAGTGGCTTTTTCGTATCCAGAGAAGAAACAATTGCGATTGTGCGGTCAGGATTCGCTTGTTTCCCTCCCCTTGGTATGACGAATCGGCCTATACCATGGCTTTGTTATCAACAAGCAACCGTCTTTACGGGTTACAGAAGATTTTCCGGCAAACCACATCAGTCGGCTTCCGAGGAGAGGAAGGGAGAGGACGTGCTTCCTTTTGGGGTCCCACGAAATCTGAGATCGAAATGCAGATGTCCTGCACAATTTCTTTCCGTCGGAAAGCTGCATTTTGTCATGCAAGAGGCTACCTCTTTCACAAATCTCTCCAAGAGACCCCTTTTAAATTCCATCTTTCTTCCTTGGAGAAGAGCAATGACTTTACTCCCGGTATCCCAAGCGCGTTGACTTCTTGTTTCTTCCACCAACGTAGCGGTGTAGACGCGCTAAGTTTCTACTTTTAGAAATGTGAAAAGCGCGGTGAACATTTCCCAGATCCGGACTGTGGCGGTGACGATTCAGAAAACTGTTGTCTGTTTGTTTACCAATAGGCTAGACTAACCAACAAGGTTTGAAACACTTCTCCCAGCCACGCCACGAGGTTTGACTTCGCATCACGTAGTACTCGTACGTAGGGCTTGTGACTCATGACTAGAATAAGAGCTAGAGTTATGGAATGATTCTGATACTTGAGACAAAGAGACAAAAATGATTTGCTGAAACATAGTTCAAGAAGAAATTGTAAGATCTTCATTCAGCATACACGAGAAACTGATAATGCAAACAAAGTAACATGACAAGACTGTATGGGTCATGGGAGAGACGACGATAATTGTGAAATCAGGTGTAAGAATAATAATAAATCTCTATCTATCGTCTATCGAGCCTCATAATCGTATGGCCGATCAAGGCTATGCTAAACCAGTGCGATCCTCATCGGGGTATATCCATCATTATCACCATAACACCAGGAGACCCTTGTATGCAAGACCCAAGTTTGTCCAAGAAGCGTGAAAAGAGACGTAATGATGTGAACAGCCATGAAAATAGAAGTAACGTATAAGGCGCTGTGTACGTAGCTAAAGTGGCCGCCTTGTTCCATGGCCGGTAAACGGGAAACTTAACGGGGGGTTAGTAATGCTCATATACCACTTGGGTAATCAAGATAACTGAACGTAATCCTGCTGCATCGCTTCAAGGTCAGGCGCTTCTTCGTTTCCGAAGTACTCTTCCATGTCATCTGAATCGACATCGTCGCTATCGATAGCAGCATCGTCGTCGTCACTAGATAGGTCACTACTTTCGTCATCCCCTGAAGCTTCCCCGCGGTTTGTGTTGCTTCGCATAACGCTCGCCTTGTATCGATGTGGCAGTTTGCAGCCTTTGGTAGTACAGGTACCTGTATTACTGAAATCAGGACACTCATGTACGTGACGCTCTTCGCAATGAGCGCCCTTTTCACAGTATCCATATATGCCAAATGCTCTGCAAACAGGAGCTGCTGGAGACACTCTTGCGTGGATGTATCGACAATTCGGGTTCGAACAATTTCCTTTAGCAAAGTGCACACATGTTGCTGTTCTTTCTGGGGTAAGCTCATGTGAAAGATCGCAGGACTCTCCACTTGGACAAGATCCTGTTTGAAGAAACTCTTTGCAAGCAGCCGTTTTGGAAGGGTCGTGTATGTATCGACATCTTGGACCCTTGTTACATGAACCTGATAAAAATACTGTTAGCTGAAACCCACATCCTCCTCTGTTTCGACATGGCTGGGTGTTGAAGCGCTGCTGAGAAAGAAAAGGAGGTACCCGTTGTTGAGAAGACCTTGCACGGCTCATTGATCTTCTTGATGGTAGCGTTTTTCCTGGTAGGAATGGTTAGTGTTGCTGAAGCTGGGTGGTGGTTTAGAAGCCATCGTCTTAAAGGATATCCATACCGGTAGGCCTTGATGATACCGGCCCGATACATGTTGCCATTCTTGCTGCGATGAAACTTGGTTCCAGCTATTACCGCGGTCTTTGGCGTTGATTTTGCCTCGCCTGGGTCATCTTGGTCAGCTCACATTGATCCGCCACACGTCGCGGAATGGGGGATTTTCACCAGAGACTTTCACGAGTTTGCTTCCATCTTTCTGGACCAGAAATTTTACTCCCTGTACAGTAAGCTCGTAACTATTTGAACTGTGCGATGATGCAGGTCGAACGCTATGGCTCGCATTCAACGCGCTATGGCTAGCAATCCGTTGAATGTGCCGGTTGAATTTCGCTTTCTCACGAGCATCTCGTTCAATCGCCTTTTGCTTTCTTGTTTCCTCGATTGCTTTTGTGCGGTTCTGGCTCTCTTTTTCATACACGGAGGTGTTAATGAGCTGAAAGTGGCGATCCTTTTTCGTCACCCACGAAGGGTTGTTGTTCGTCACCAGTGGTGGGGTGTTTTCTGAATGTTGTGTGTCTACGGGGTTGTCTCGAGTCGCTGGGCTTGCGGTTGCTCCATTTAATACAAGTGATCGGTTTCGATGCGGAGCAGCTGGCTTTCCCCCCCTATAGCCTCTTCCTGAATAGGAGCCCCTTGCGCTCCAGCCTGCGCTGCGCTGAGAATAATCTTTACCGGCATGAGAGGTTGTTTGCAGTCGCGGATTCAAACTCTTACTTGGGTAGGGACTGGATCTCGCACTCGGCGAGTATGTAGGTTGGCTATCAGGGCCTTGATTGTTTTTGTGTCGGTTGATCTGACCTAAAAGGTGACGGTCAGTCAAGATATTCGATCAGAATCTGTGGCGACATACCAGCAAGCTGCCCAATTCTTGCGAGAATATCTTGGTCTTCTGACGCCATGATAGGACCTAATCTGTTTGTAAGTCTCACTTCCTGTTAGTGCGGTCAAATCAAGTGTGATGAAATGAAGCTTAAGTTTGCGACGATAATGTAGTCTGAAAGTTGGTGTTGTAATAATGAAAGCGCGTGCGGCTACCAAAATGGGAAAGTTAAGGCACGCTAGTGCAACGGTCAATCGGAGGGATGCGATGCACACATTCTCCGTCATAGCCTTCTTTAACCCCAATCCCTGTCCGCATCCTTTGCCTTTCGACATCCAGGCGACCACAGACAAAGCAACTACCTTGGACGGACTCAGAGGTCTACGATTCAGATTATTTTCTGCATGGAGGATTCGCAATAATACCGAGTACTTGATCATCATGACTGATACTTATATCAAGCCAGAGATCAAACCTGATCCTGACGCTCTCGGCGCATCACCAGCCGCCCTCGATGAAGAGGATATCTATGAAGACGCGGGCGACCTTGAATTCAACAACGACCCCAATTACCAAAGCCTATATCTTGCGCGAGTACCAAAATATGTTTGGGAGGCTTGGTCGAAGCTCGACGACGATGCAGAGATTCAAATTGGCATGATTCGAATGACGAATACCATCGACCCGAAGACGAAGACAGAAAAGGTTATACAGTGCTTGGACGATCCACAGGATATGACTAACATCTTTGACAGACCCAGCTCGCTATGCTTCTTTCTTCGGATATTGCCCAGCATCAGATGGTCCCAAAAGAATACGATTTGGATATCACGGACGAACGTGTTAGGAATACCTTTGTCTTTACCGAAAAAGATCTCCCTGGCTTCAAATCCAAGTCGAAGGAAAAGTTCGATCCTGCGAGTGCAAACATGCCAGCTAGTCTGAAGCAACGATTGAATAGCCAAAAAGCACCTCAACAGCCAAGAGCACCTTATGACCCAAACCGACCGAGACAGCCATATTATAAAAAGGCTATACCAAGTTAGTTTCACATGGCATCTGCGCGTATATATGGCTAACACATATAGAACGTACTACACTTCAAGGAAAGGTTCGTCACGAAGTCAATTGCGTTGCAGTCATGAACCAAGAGTCCGAACGATTACTTGCGCAACGTACATTCGAGGCAATGCAACCAAAGCTCGGGACGAAATACTTTGGAAAGGGCCAGGATCTTGTCGATTTGGGTGGCAGCTACGTCCAACCAGGAAGTATTGCTGCGCAAGATAAATGGGGTAGCTTTATTGTGAGTTTAAATGTAGCATATTCTAGATGGCAAACTGACTTTTGACGCAGAAAAAAGGCGGTGCAGCACAAGGTGGCAAGAAACCGCAAATGCAAAAGACAGCTCGTATGCCTCAAAACGAGCTTCTGGACCGCATTTTCGAGTGTTTCAGGGAATTCAATTACTGGTCTATGAAAGCTTTCCGCGGACGTCTCCAGCAACCAGAGGTATACCTCCGGGAAACATTAGATCGTATAGCCACTCTCCACAAGAGCGGACCTTTCGCTTCACACTATTCTCTCAAGCCAGAGAACAGACTCAACAACTACGGCGAGTTGGGCGAGGCCGCGGCGCCTGATGTTGGTGACGGAGCTGAGGATTCCGAATTCGGCGGTGATGACGAGGATGAGGATGTGAAGTTTGAGGACGCCATGTGAGCTCCGTCAATCAATTCCGGATTTCAGCTTTATTGAATGAGTGCTGGGCATGAATGGCGTTTGGGACTGGGATCTACAGGATATCTTATGCATTTGACGGTGTTTACTTTTTTCTTGCATCTTGGAGGGTGGGTGCAATTGGGGGACTTTTATTTAAGGGGGTTTACCTCGTCAATTCAAAACATAGTTTAATTCTTATAGTGCAATTGATCATTGCATCTGAACTGTTTCAATCGTGGATACATTTTGCGCCGTGCTTGCATGTGATGTTATGGCATTTGTATCTTTGTTCTTTGACCGGGAAAGTCTTGACACAAGTAAAATCCTTAATAAAGCCGCTCAAAAACAGCAATTTTCACACTTCTAACACATCCCACTATTTTCCCGTTCTAGAACTATCCGTTAAGGGCATTGGTAATATTCTTTTATTATAGTCGTTGCACAGCCATAGTATGGTGACAGATGAATACGGATTTGATATAGGAGCAGCCATAATGTAAATTCGTCATCCACCTAGATTCTAAACTATAAACCTAACACTAGTCTACCTGTGATACATGTGAATTTTGTAGGGTGAAAAGCTGGATCTAGAGGAATGGTCGCTCGATATATCGGAGTCCTCTTATGATTGAAATACGCTGTTACTATGTTACGTTGTTTAATGGCGTGTCGTCGAGAGTTATTATGGATGTTGTAGGGGTATGTATTTTAGTGGGGGGTTATGTATTATGTGACGAATTTACTGATTCAAACAGAAAAGTGTAGGTTACACCAGTGGGTGACACAATTCTCTGCGCACCTAAGAAGTCCGAAAGTAGATAACTTAGCACCACAGCTAAACATTATATTTCTGTTGACATAGGCTTATTCATGAGGCTCAGACCTACGATTCGATCAAAAAATGAAAAATTTAGATGTTGTTTCGTTATTAAAATCTTACTTGTAGTTTCTGGTTGCGCAGAGAGTTATGTCACCCCCTGGTATTAGAGGACTGGTTTCATATTAGGCGTGATCCAGGTAAAGTACGTCCATAGGCATGTATAATCAAAGAAGGTGGATGTGTAGACTGAGATGGGATATCTGAACTACTGGAAAGCAAATGATGTATCTGAATATTGGTGACTGCGAAAAGTGATGTCAAGTGTGAATAGTACGGAAAATGAGCTCGGTACCAGCTTAATGTCCACTATCATAGACCGAATCTGAAGCAAAGCAGAGCAATACGCTATATTTCCAAAACCATTGGTTTTCTACAACCGATACGCTCGCCATATCACCATCAAAGCTTCCCCACCTCACCAAAAGAAAAATCCCTACCTCCAAAAACTAAGCATCCCCAACCTCAAACTTAACAAGCAAACTACACCTCGTCTCCTCCCCCTTCAAATCAAGTAGTCTAACAAACCTCCACCCCTCCGCCGCACAAACCACCCTAACAGCCGCAACCGCCAACACCGGATTCGACGCAAAGCTATCATCACTCTTCAACAACATCCTCAAAAACACCAATTCATTCTCCTCATACGTCCACTCAAGCACCTCATCCCACACCGGATCCGTCGACGCCGGATTCTCCCCCTTATGGAGGAAACTGAGTTTATGCTGTTTATACGGCGCCGTCTTGCGTTTCGGTGGGTTCTTCTCGAGATCGTCGGGGTGCACGAGGGAACATGTGACGTACGGTTTGATGGCGTCAGCGTCACCGTCTTTAGGGATGGGAACGTCTGTTGCGCCGGCGATGTGGAGGCGGAGTTTCTTTTGTTTGCCGGTGCTGAGTCTGCCTGAGCCGCCGGCGCGGAGGGCGGGCGGTTTGAGGACGTAGCCGTCGGTTCCGCTGAAGAGAGCTTCGTTCATTTGCATGCCGGCGCCGAAGGTTTGCCAGTTGAGAGCGCAGATTTGAGCGCCGACGCCCCAGAAGGGGACGGGGTTGAGGTTTTTGGAGGAGATTCGGGTGCCTTTTGGGAAGACGCGCATGAGGTGGTGGGCGTTGTGAGCGCCGATTTTGGCACTCGCGGCGGGCATGTGGGATGATAGACCGGATTCGGAGACGTTGATGAGGTGGTGATGAGGACCGTTGGTGAGTGCTGGTTGGTCATACCAGGAGTTGTCACTGGGTTTTACGCTTTGAGCGTAGACGCCTAGGTCAGCGAGTTCAGGAATGATGACAGTAGCTGGAGCGGCCTTTTCTTTGTCTTTGTAGGTTTTCCTGGCTTCCTTTTGCTCTTCATCTTCGCTGTCGGAGCTTGAGTCGCTATCACTTTCAGTGATTTCACCAGGTATGTGATGTTCAACAATGACCACGATCTTAGATCCAAGCTCTGCCAGGGTGACATGTTGACCACCTTCTTGCTCTTGGTGACCTTCCTCCCTGACAGATTTGCTTAATAGACGATCCCCCCAGACCTCTTTCATAATCTGAACGAGACGAAGCTGGCCTTTAGCACCGCAGTGGTTTTCAAGTGAAAGCATAATCGGTGCTGCCCTATAACCTTGTTCTGGCTTAGACTCTGCAGCCTCCTTGTCGTAGACATCTCGGATAGTCTCGCAAACAGAGCGGAAACTGATATGAGATACAAGTGTGTATCCGTGGGTAACTTTTGGCTCGTCAGCATCTTCGTCGTTGTCCCAAGCGTCAATCTCAACGCAACGTGATCCAGCATGTAAAGCGATGGAGTAAGCTTCAGCTGACGAGTCTCCAAATAGCTGATGAGCAACTAGATAGGTGTTGTGACTGGAACTGATAAAGTACTCCGGGAGGGGATGAGACCTATCCGTGAGATAAGAGGGAACATCGATGTGAGGTTTGTCGAGAAAAGCTCTCAGTGCTTCAGTCGTCTCATCCAGACTGAGCAACCCGTCAAGTCCAACTTCTTCAGCTGAAAGCACCTTTTGCTCCACAAGAAACGACTTCAGAGCATGGCTGACTCTGAGCTGATTCTTGGTGATGCCAGTCTCACGTGCACTATGCCCTCCTCCAGCAACAGTAGCATTGGTCACTTGCTCTCCCTTATCATCATCATCTTCTCGGATTTTCGATTTAGATGAGAAAGGATTGAAATCTGATAGCCGCGAGGTAAGACTGGCCATGGTGGTGTTGGATAGCCGATCGTGCAAAGCTAGCAGTTCTTAGCTATGAAGTTATCACTGCAAAGAGTGAAGAGGATCTCGCAATTTGATGTACTAATTAGCTGTATGAACAGGTCATTCAACGTCTGGCATTCAGTTTTGTAGAAAGATGACGTTAGAACGTTCCCAGATATTCGTGCACACTTGCCTTGGCTTTTGGAACAACAGCTGAGGAGTTGTAAGCTTCCAGGTTGACAGTTCGCTTGAGCTGCATGCACTAGCCTTGAACGCGGATAGGCCAAGAAGGACCAACCAATCGTCGACTGAAGCCCAGAAGAATGGAAAAGAGGCCCGACGAGAAACTAAATAGTGTAAATGGCAGTACTTGAATATACTACGAGTATAAAATGCTATCAGCAGTGGAAACTCCTACGATTCACCGAAACTGTGGAGTCTTTGGCTTGTAGTCTAAGAACTAAGGAGGAAATAACGTGAGCGAGCAATGTGCGTTCAGACGATCATTGCTAGTTTTGAAATACCATAGCCAGGTATGTGGCAGCGAATACCAAAAATGTGAAATACGTTGAACCTGGACAGATCTTGAGCCTTCGAGGCTCGAGGAGAGCAATGGAAGTTGTCTGAACGACAGGGATAGCTTTAGCGAGGCTTGGCAGGTGCCCTTTGAAAGTCCCCCGCATCGTCCTCAGCCTGGTCATTATTTGAACCACAAGTCCAACTTGGAGCTTCTGGATCTTCTCAACACATATCTCCGGCAATATGGCTTCTTCAAAGGTCTCCGATGCGCTGAAGCAGATCTCCAATTCATCAGACAAGCCGCAAGGCTTTGAGTCTCTCATTTCCCAAGTACATCTAGCCTCGTCGCCAACGCAGTTGGCTGGCGATTTAACTGCGATCCTCGACTCCATATTTGCAAACTCCCTTGGAATAGTAGCCACACGTTCGCTCTGCGGACTATTTGTGCAAAAGCTCAAGACAGTCACTAGTAACGATTCGAAGATTGCAGTCGGCGAACATGCTCTTGAGGTCTTCTCAGCCCAGGCATCCTCTTTCGAAGAACAGAATGCTCAGGTACGGGAGCTTATGGCGACAGCATACGAGGAGGACGAAGACAATCTTTCTGCTGCGAAAGTTCTAGCGGGGATACCTCTGGAGTCGTCACAGCGCAAGGTCTCGAACGAAGATAAAGTTAGATTCTGGATCCGAATTACACGAAATTACCTAGAAGTCGACGATACCACCCTCGCAGAACAGTATCTAAATAAAGCGAAGAATCTGATCTATACCGTGTCAGATCGCGATCTCAACTTACATTTCAAGCTTTCTCAAGCACGAATCCAGGATGCGAGACGAAACTTCCTAGCCGCGGCGCAGGGTTACCAGGACATCAGTCTGCTGCCGATTATTGGCGAGGAAGAACGCTTACATACTCTAAGCATGGCTATCAAGTGTTCTGTTTTGGCGCCGGCTGGGCCTCTTCGAAGTCGTGCACTAGGTCGCTTGTACAAAGATGAGCGAGCGGCAACACTGGAGGAATTCCCTATACTTGAAAAGATGTTCTTGGATCGACTTCTGTCGCCTGAAGAGGTGGCCAAGTTCGCTGAGGGGTTGGCTACACATCAGCTGGCCAGGACATCGGATGGTAGTACAGTGCTGGCAAAGGCTGTAGTAGAGCACAACCTGAGGGGTGCCTCAAGATTATACAACAATATTGGTTTCGATGCCCTAGGATTATTGCTAGGTCTCGATGGCGATAAGGCAGAAGAGACAACAGCTAGGATGATTGAGCAAGGTCGTTTAGTTGGCAGAATCGATCAGGTGGAGAGAATCATCTGGTTCGAGGGTGGTGAGGCTACTGGCGAGAAGGGAAGTGGTCGTGCTGAGGGTGTAGTTGGCAAGGAATTACGGAGATGGGATTCTAACGTCCAAGGACTGGCTGAAGAAGTCGAAAAGGTTACATCGGAATTACAGCTGCGATACCCAGTAAGTGAAACCCATATCAAGTCTAGATTGCACTAACAGTTTATTAGGATTTCGTCGCCAAGACTTTAGTAGTATAAATCGCATTAGAGCGTTTTGATTACATATGGCGTTTAGAGGGCATGTACAGGTTCTGAGAGACGTCTTAAAAAGACACGGCATGGGCGTTTGCGGATGTAATGACAAGACAACGAATATAGAGCTTTTACAATAGGTACTCACGCCAGAAAAGCATTGAGAAGATATGTAATCAATAAAATATTCATTAATCATCGCGGGATGCATCCCCGTCTTAGTAACCATATAATCATTAATAGCATCCTTCCCAGCCTCCTTTGTATATCCCGACTCTCTGATCCGCCCTTTCCGAAGACTGAACAACTATACCTCTCAGAGGCATCCTCCGTACAGATCACATCCCATCCGTAATTTCTCTCTCATCCGCCCATTCATCCCCCCCACTTCCGTGCCTCACCTCAACTCCCTGACCTCCTCTAATACCGCCTCACCCTCCTCCTCCTCCTCCTCCTCCCCCTCATCCTCCTCTCCCGTCGCCGACTCATTCAGCTGAGCTGTAATGATCTCAACCAACCTCTCTCCAATCAAATTTCCCATCAGATCGTACCCTTCATGCGTGAAATGTACTCCGTCGTCCCACAGTTCATTCCTTCGTTTCTCGGGGAGAGATTGGAAGGGGATGAGGCTGCATAGGTCGAGTGTGTAACTATGCCCTCATCAGCGGACTCTCCTGTGAAAGCCTCTATGGAAGAACGATTGATAAAGTTGCAGACTGTGGACTTACAAATCATGAGCTTGTCGTGCTAGCATAGCTTCGTTAATACGATCTCGCTTCTGCGGCTTAACGTTGAAACATGCTGGGCATTCGGGGATTGTGAGGGCTAGGACGGTGGTGTTGTGGGAGAGGGGGATTTGGTACTGGTTGTGAGATTAGTTCTCTAAATCGTGATACGTGTGACGCTTGGAGCAAGAGAGATAGGTGCAGAATGAGGAGACCTCACCACATCTTTAAGGGCTTTCCAGATCAAAGTGACGGGATGCTCGACGGCGAGATCGTTTGTTCCGCCGAGGATCACGGCGTGTGTGTAGGGATTGCTCTGGTCGAGTCGTTCGTCTGGATGAGGTTAGATGTGGTTGAGTGTGTAGGTGGTAGTGATGTGTGAGTTAATGCTAATATGGTGTAGAACAAAGGTCAAATTATGTATCTATGCATGAAGCAATTTCAGAAAATCAAATGTGAACAAGACCCCTGACTCTGCTCATGTATAAAAATCTGTATCTCGAACGAAAGGTGGATAACCGTGCTGGACTCCACCTAGACTCACATAGCATGTCCATTCGGGTCAAGAAACCACCTGGTGGCGTTACAACTTGATCTCCAGCGACACCTTGAACATCCGTAGTTATCTCATAAGTCGGAAATGCCTTTTGCAATGTACTTTTCATAGCAACCTCATAAGGATGTAACTCTGGGCCGGTCAAAGTGAACCCCGCGCTGAGGCTATCGCCGAAGCAGAGGATATGAAGAGACTTTCCAAACATCATTTCCACAATCTCGAGGAAAGGCGAAGCTATTAATACGAATAGAATAGTACTGCCTGAGTACACTTAACTGTTGCAAGAAAAGAATAGAATGTCGCTCACCATGAAGCAATCCCAAACATCAGAGCCTCGTCCGATGTGCGCTCGCACGATTCATGGTCGAAAGAGGCAATCGAGTTGGATTCGAGTTGGTTGCCACATAGCAACGGAAAGTAAACCTGACGGGCCCACAACGAGAAACATCAAGACCCTCCCATCGACCGTCTTGACAACGCGATAACCACACCCAACGACGCGCAATTGCTTGCATTTTCTGCTGTTTCCCTCGGTTTGGAGCATGGAATTACGACTTACGACTTTGTACACATTCCCAGGACAGCGATATCGGCATATTTTTGAATTGAATTAGTGTTTATCACAATGGCGACCGCTTCACCTACACCGATGGGCTCCTCCCATTTCACGTCGCTTGCGAGACGGCCTTCGTCACGACAGGCGTGGAGACAACCGTCGATGAGGGCGCAGAAGGTTGAGCCTGCGCAGGCGAAGAGAGTTGCGCCCGCGTATTCGATGGATAGCTCTGATGATGAGATTCCGGTTCCTATGGTGTTTAGCGCTATCACGAATGCGATTTTGAACGACGATGCGCCTGCGGAGGATGCGCCGAGGTATGAGAGGAAGAGTGTCTCGCCGGTGGAAAATAGGTTGAGGAGGGCGGGAAGCGCGAGTGCTTATCAGGGTCGAACGTCGCCGGTGGAAAATAAGATTCATAGTCCGCATCCGAGGAGGAGGGTTGTGAGGTTGAGCAGTACGCCCCTTGGACCTCAGAGGTCAGGATCGCTATCGGATGCCGCCGATGAACAGCATGAGGTTCCTGTGGAAGTCAAAGCGGAAAGTCCTCTGGATTTGAGTACGCCGGCGCCAGTTAAAAGAACTGTACGAGTTACAAGTATTGCCCATGGGAGTCGGGGGTCATCGCGAAGCTCGCTGGATAAAGGCTCGAGTCGGACGAGCTCTGAGTTACGTAGAGAGCGTGAAGGGTCGGCTTCACAAGAATATCCTTCAACAGTTGCTCGAACACAATTAGCTACCAGCCAAGGTAGCGTTTCAAGATATAATCCATCAACAATCGGGCGCAGGAGAGGAGCTGAGGAAATTGGCTTGCAAAGTTCAATGCGCAATCGAGCGGAGATCGGAGGAATGTTTGCGCATAAACCAATGAGACGGAGGAGAATGAGGATGGACGATGAGGAGCAGAGTCCGGTGGATGAGCAAGGAGATGGTTTGAATGCAGGAGGTTCAAGTCAGGAATCCCAGAATCCAGAGTCGCAAGGATCAGAATCACAAAGTCAAGAACCTCTGTCTAGTCAAGAGTCAAAACCGCATCGAACCTCGTTATATTCATCTGGGTATAGAGACTTCGGTAATGGTAGCCCAATTGGCGGTTCAAACGACTTACTCAACTCTGTCTTGCGATCAAGGTCACCACCACCACCGACATTGAGTAGTGCCGACAGACTGGCTAAAGAAATGTCAAATCGGCGTGCCCCTCTTCAAGCAGTTCAAAATGAAGAGCAACCTGTGTTCAAAGTGCCTGCCCCAAGACCTGATTTACCTTCGACGCATGATCAGGAGAATGAGGCACCACCAACGTTCAAGAGGAACAAGGAGCCAGCCGTGTTCTTTGATAAACTGGAAAAGGCTCCTGTTAGACCAGATAGCGTGGACTTGATAGTTGGGCGCGCTACTATTTCTCCAGTAAGACAGCCGCTGGCAGCTCGAAGCCAAAATACACCACGAAGACCAGCTCCACCACCACCCAAAATGTCATTATTAGATGCGGCAACTCGGCCTGCTGGGGCTGCGACTGCCTCAAGTAGGAGCAGAAACCGTGTCAAGGTCAATGGGAAGATATTCACTCGACTAGATTGCGTTGGAAGAGGAGGCAGCGCGAGAGTATACCGTGTGATGGCTGAAAATTCCACCTTTTACGCGTTAAAGAAGGTCAATCTCGAAGATGCTGATGAGGCAGCTGTGCAGGGCTTCAAGGGCGAGATTGACCTGCTTGAGAAGCTCAAGGGGGAGGAGCGTGTCATTCGTCTTTATGATTATGAGATGAATGACGAGAAAGGAGTGCTCAGTGTGGTATGTCAATTTCGAATGTAAAGTATACCTGGTACTAATGATAAACTAGCTGATGGAACTTGGGGAATTGGATATGAAAAAGGTTTTGGATATCAGAAACAAAAACGAGCAACCCAAGTTCGATCCTACATTTGTTCGATATTATTGGAAAGAAATGCTCGAATGCATTCAAGCTATCCATCACCATGATGTAGTCCACTCGGATTTGAAACCAGCAAATTTTGTGGTCGTCAAAGGTCGATTAAAGCTTATTGACTTTGGAATTGCAAATGCAATTGAGACTGACGAAACTGTCAACGTCCACCGCGAAAACCAAATCGGTACACCAAATTACATGTCACCCGAATCTCTCATCGATTACAATGCCAAACCCGACTCTCGAGGACGTATGTCAGGCAGCGCCACCAAACTCATGAAGTTAGGCAAACCGAGTGACATCTGGAGTCTAGGCTGCATCCTCTACCAACTAACCTACGGCCGTCCCCCCTTCGACCACATCGCCCTCATGCTGCCACGCTGCCAAGCCATCATCAACTTCAACTACGCCATCGACTACCCAGCCGTCGGCGTCGGCAACGTTCCCGTCCCCGCTGGCCTCATCAAGACGATGAAGAAATGTCTCGAGCGAGATCAGTTCAAACGTCCTACCGCCACCGAGTTGCTCAGTGACAATGATCCCTTCCTCAATCCCATTGATTTCGATGACTCGGCGCTCCCGATCACGGAGGAGTTGCTTGGACGCATCTTTTTGAGTGTGGCGGCGCAGATGAAGAATCGGACGCCGACGGAGATGGAGTTGAGTAAGGTTTGGCCGCAGGGGTATTTTGATAAACTGAGAAGGAATTTGGCGGAGGGGAAGGGGATGTGAAATGGGAATAGGAAAAGGGATGTGAGGGAGGGGGGTGGGGGAAGGGGGGGGGGGGGGGGGGGTAGTGGGGGAGTTAGTTGGTAGAGTAGTGTTTTATGAGTTGGATTCTTGTGTGCGGTTTAGCGTCTGCATGGCGTTTTGGGGTGTTTAGTGGGTTGGATGATTTCTAGGTTTTGGGGTGGAGGGGGATATTTTTAGTGGTTTGATTAGGGATGTTGTGAAATGGGGGAAGAGTTGAATACCTAGAGAGAGAGATAAAAGTTTAATACTTTACAGCGTTACTGAAAGCTGTGTCTCTTGTGAAGTAGAATTGTGAATTGTGAAGTGTAAGTGATTGTATTGAGCTTTATGTTCAGAGAAGCAGATCTTGAGAGGTGACGGGAAACGAAGAGCAGTTTTTGAGTTGAAACTTGACTAGACTTATTAGTTGAGAAATCGTGGCCGGGTGGGTTGTCAGTCAGAGGTTAAGCTTTACCAGGAGAGCGTTAGAATATTAGTTGCTCGACTTGCCTGCGAGGCAGCTACACAAATGCACCACAAAGCATGCGAAGCAAACACCCTCTTCTCGAAATTTTAGACCTACTTTCACGCTTGTAAGACAGAATGTAACGATTATCTCACAAAGTGAGATGAAAATCCTAATTTCAGAACTCTCGGCTAGGTTGACAAAAGTACTCATCCTAACAATTTAATCCTCCAATTTCCAAGACAGGCATGATCACACATATCCCGCACACTTAACAACTTTTCCCAGAACCCAGAAATTTAACGCCATCATACTCCTTTCGTACCACTTAAACCCACACTCTCGAAGTCCATCATTCCTCAGCTCATGGTGCCATCTTCTTACACTTCTTCGCAGCCTTCTTCCCTTTCTTCTCACACCTACCATTCGCCCTACGTTAGCAAATCTCCCTCCACTTTCCTTCTCTTGCTTCTTGGTTCTGTTTCTTACGCAGTAGGTGCAGCTGGGTCCGGCAACACGAGGGTATGTGTTTCGATCGGATGCGTGGGGTGGAGCGGCGAACAGGGGTCGCGGAAATAGTTTGCGTTGCAGAGGTATGTTGCTCTATTCATGATGTTAGACATGGAAATGGGTTTGGAGGGGATGGGATGGTGGGAGGATGGAATCGGGAGAGAGGTGAGAGAGGGGAGAAGGGGTGGAGGATGACTTACGGGATTTTCTCACACTCGCAGATACAATCCATGAACGCGCATTTTTGGTGGTCGGCGCAGGGGTCGCGGACGTAGGTTACGCAGCAATCATATGGTCTGGAGATGTTAGTATATACAGTGAAAGAGGAGTCTAGGCGGGGACGTACGTTCCATCTGGACATTTCGAAGTACAAGATGGGGATTTGCAGAGGCCGAGGGAGCGGGTGAGGATTGTGGTGTCTGTTTGAAGTTAGAAAGGGGGTGGTATGCGTGAGGATGAGTCGAGGAAGGGAGAGATACATACCAGGACTCGGCACCGCAAAACCGATACCAGACCACAAAGCAACGAGGAAGAAAGTTGTGATTTGCATTTTGAATATTGTAATCACAGATACACAATAAATAAAGATTAAACTCGCGCTGCAGAACAAACTCGTTTCATATATCTCTTCAATCTTTGGAATGTTATGACATCAACTGTGGAAATTAAACCCCCGCGAGACATCTCCCTTCTACTTATACAACTCAGAAATAACGTGTTCAGTTCATTCATCAGCTCGGCACAATCAAAAAAATCAAGGCAGCAATATGACTGGCTAAATGCGGATTGTGGGGTATTTCCCGTTGAGAATCGGAATAACGCACTGAGCAGGCACTTTGTGTAATGTGTTTAGGATGATGCCGATGGATCGCTTAAAGGGGATGGGTGTATGTGGGGAGCTTGGCAAGCCATTTTTGCGTTGGAATGAAGGGTTTTTGGTCTGTGTAAACGGGAGTTTTGGGTTGTGTGACTGGAGAGGGATGGGCTGAGGGAGCGTGATATGTCGGAGTAAGATCGTGTATGTTATTCTTCGGGAATGGGAAAACATTTCTGGGGATGAAGGGTTTGAAGAGAAAAATTGATTATCGGCGTGGTCATGTAGAGGATATGTAGGTACTATAACCTTAAAGGCTGTGGAACAGTAGCCGTCTTGGCGGGTTGGTTGGGATGTAATTGGTTGATGACGGGTAATTTCGAGAAGGACATAGGAATTGGGGGCATACGAAGATCATGGTATAGAATGTGATTGATATTTACAAATATGTTCGTTGTGAACCCCTTATAAACATGTGAACTCCTCCCTGTTTTGCCCGTTCTATTCATTAGTGTAAATTGTTGTGACGCCAGGAAATGCTGTTGGTGGTGGAAGTTGAGTTGTTGGTGGGTTATGTACCGTGTGGTGATGATATCGCATGCTTTTAAGATGGAAGAGGGTTCGTGGTCGTTCAAGTTGAAGTTGTGATGCTGTTCGCGCGTGATCCGAGAGCTCTATAGACCTCTTAAATTGTTGCGAGACCGATGTTCTGCTTTCATCTCACCGAGTATAGATCACTGTCCGTCCACCCAGAGCGGGCAGAGCGAGTAGATCTAGCTGATGTTTCAGATAAATTCGACGATAGAGGTCCACTGACTCGAGATGACCCCGTCCTGTTGATTTGAGGGCCTCGGGAAGCAGCAGAATTCCCTACTTGAGTGTTGCTTCCTTGTCTGTGAGGTGACATAGGACTTACGAGACCCGCAAGAGCCGGGTTATTCTCAGTTTGAGAAACGACGCGCACATTGGGAGTGTTATGCGGAGACATATCTAACCACGAGTTTTGTTGCTCAGGCGTATGATGCGGTCGTGGAAACCCGAAAGAATCTATTGGGCTCACGCCCAGTTCTGAGTACTGCGTTGTAGAAGGAGAACGTTCTATAGGTGAGCTGTTTGTGGTGCTTGCATATCTTTCTTCTCTTACGCGTGATAACAGACTCGAGACAGGGCCACCGTCTAGCTCGTAAAAGTCTGCACTATCGAGCTCAGGAGTCCGATGTGCCTTTCTCAATGAACGCATCCGTCGCTCTTCTGTGGAATAATCTCCTTCCCGATTGTCCTCTGCGGGAAGCTCCCGAGCTGTATCACTTATTGCAGATAATTCCGATCTGGCGTGATGAAGTGGATGTATCGGAGTTACTTGGTCTTGTTTGTTGGAGAGGCTCCACATGTCGGTATCGGGTTCGTTTTTAATTACGACATTAGTTGTTGATGTGTGATCTGGTGATATAGTAGTCGCTCTAGGTGTTGTACCAGTCGGAGTGATTGGTTGTTTTTGCTTTTTACGACGAAGCAGGAAGAAGACGATGGCTCCTATACCTGCAACCCCTGCAATGACTCCAATGGCAATTCCAGCTTTTGATCCGGTATCGAGACCAGTGGACTTCTTTGATCCCTCTCCTGGTGTTCCAGTCGTTGCATTCCCACCGTTTCCACTTCCGAGCGATGATTTCGATCCAAGTGATACTATCTGAGGTACAGCGCCATCATTCCACGTGCATTGGCTTACAGAGAAACTTTTCGTATCGTAGTTGACGGTCAAATATCTCGAAGAAAATTAGCGTTTTTGACACCATCTTCAAGAATGAACTTACGCTTCTTGCAAGAATGTTCTCCCTAACGTGTATTGAGTACTATTCGCTGCTAGCTTCAACGGAAAGTAAGATGTTGTGTTTGGTGTAAATGGAGGAGCAGCTTGTAGAATGAATGCTTTGAATGGCAACACAATATCAACCGTCGAGCCTCCGGAAAGGGAATTCGCTAACGTAAATGTCACCGAGGGATTTATCGCATTCAAAGTCGCATATTGTGAAGTGCTGATCAAATAAAGACCCGTCGCGTTATCAACCGAAATCCCGAAAGCTCTTTCAAACGCTGCCACAGCTTCCGCTGGAAGCCAGAAATTTGGATCCGTAGACTCGATGAAAGAGTATATTGGCTGCGGTAGCAGAACTTCTTGAGTGGTTCCTGTGTATGAAATCGATTGGATAGCTACTACGATGTCGCGAGAAACATCATTGGCGAGAGTGAAGTTCACAGTGTTGGCTACGAACCTTGAAGCATCGTACCCACCAAATATTAATTGTGCTGTTTGACCAATTTTGAGCTCTAAATTCTTGTTAGCGCGTGGTTTTGATGAGATACACTTAACGTACGATATCTAGCGCCAGCAGTGTAACTCCAGCTCAAGCTAGGAATAAGATTCTGGTCTCTTAGAGATACAAAATACGAGGGCGCTGAGAAGTTTCCAAGTGACGAGTAGTTGAGAGGTTGTGTACCTAGGCCAAAGATACCCCTGTTTGACGTTAGTTTCTCTCCACGCGGTGATGGATTTTAATGCTCACATATAAAACGGAGAAGCAGACGCGAAAGCAGCGACGGTTTGATTTACGAGTACTGGTCCATTGGTATCTCCCGAGACGTGGCCTAGTCCTAAAGTCTCTAGACCGTATGAAGCGGGCAGAGAATAACCAAGATTTGCTTCTAGCCCTATCCCATCGCTACTGAGACCAAAATTTCCTTGATCGCTCCATGTCGTGGAGCTATTAGGATTGAAGAGAAGACCCCGATCTTTTGCGCATTGAAGTGGAACTGGATTTATAGCTTCTTTCGAGCAACCAAGTGGATGAACAACGAAAGTGTTTTGGGAGTTTGTAGAGACGAGGACTCTAACATTCTGAGGAGGGTTTCCTACTCTTAAACCAAAGGAGGACCACTGTCCGTCAATTCCATCCCCTAATAAAATCAGCTATTACTATTCTGGAACTCTCATGCAAACTTACATATTTGACTTGGTGGTACAACGATCGGGTCTGGGACGGCGGCCCTCCCACGGATGGAAGCCTGAACTTCTAACCCTAGCGCAGGAAGAACAAGAACAGCATGTATCAGTATCAAGTTAAATATTGATGATAAGAGTTTCTGAAGGCGCATCGCGTCTGCATTTTATCTAGAGATCCCCCGATGCAACTAATAGGCCGCTTCAAGAAAACACTATCCACGGGACCCGAACATAGGAGAGAAGAAGAAGGCAATCGCAGGATCAGAAAGTGAGATAGCAGTGCATACAATCAAGCCGTAAATCTTGAACTAACAGTTGCGAATCGCCCGGGGTGCAGACTTTCCCAGGTGCCAACCGTGAGTGCTAGGGGGCCATGCGTTTCCTACCGTTCAGTCGGCCGGTGGGGTCGATCTTGACATCAACGTGGGTGAAATTCTCTAGTTGGGAATCCCTCCATGATGTCGTAAGCGGTGGAAAGCGCCGCAAGCGCAAATTTGTTGTTATTTGATGTTTATGCACCACTCAGGGCGTACTTTGGGCTTCAGCTCGAGCTTTGGGTGTTGGATGCTCACCGAAAGTCATGATGTCTAATATTGTCAGAGGCGAAGTATCAGTATTTACAGAACTGGTCTGGAAGGGAGGCTGGTGCCGAGTTACGATCTTCAAGCCAGACCGGAGCGGGATGAACGTTTCAATGTGACTGTGATGAAAGAGCAAACAGCGCCGCTCAGGGAGTCTTTGTTTTGTTGTTGTTGGCCCGCTTAACCTCGCTTAACCCCCTCAGGGTAGTTCAGCCCTGAATGGTGAGAATATATGGTGCCCTGTGCGCCAATTCTTATCCGGACGCCATCTCATCCTTCAACCTTGACCTGCATCAATACAACCTCAGTCGGTATATTGGGGGACGGAAAATGTTCGCAAAATAGGATGTGCGAGCGCCGAGCGGCTCAGTGACAAGACCTGATTTGGTGAGCCCGGAGTTGTTCCAGTAGTTGCGCAGGTATTCCGTGGCTTCCGTCTTTTGCCAATTCGGATGGCAACGCGAGCTGTGCCTCTCTCTCTTTGACATGGACGACACTCTTTCCTTCTGTTTTGGTATTACCTCGCTGGCTAAGCCAATCAGGATTTTTCTCCACCAACATTCCTACCGTTTTGTTGGTTATTTGCCAGTTGCTATTGTCGTATCAGGGGGCGGAGGGCTGTGCTTTCTTGAGTTGACCACTCAATTGCACCATTGTGTGGGCAATCTGTGTAACAATTGCTGAATTCGGCATCCCAGGCCCAGGTAGATTTGATCAACTCTCATTTCCTTGATGGTTTTCTGAACAGGACAGGGTGAAGGGATGCTGTGCCCCTGATGTGGGGTGGGGATGGAATGGCAGCATCATGTCCAACACCAACTGAAGCCGTGCCTTTTTCCTAAATTTTGCGATCAAGCGTCATTGAACTTCAAGTTTTGGAAATTCAGCAGTCTTTCTTTCAGATGCCTTCATAGTTATATTCATCGACGTTCTGTAGCAGTAATGCTGGTCTCAAGCTTTCATCGCTATCAAGTATGCTTTCTTTTGATGTTTGTGAAGCTCGGTGCAGGCCTAAGTAAGTTTCCCTTCTAAAACTTCCACTGTGGATTCACCGTAAACCTCCGGTATCAGTACTTAGATACTACGAAGTTTACTGGCTTGGCAAGATCAGATGATGTTCGAACTCTGTTACTTTAACTTGTGCTGATGTGTAGTAGGAGTTGACCGACGTCAAGACTCAAACGTTGCTTTCAATTCTTCATCAATATCTACGGAGTCAAGCTCAACCTCCTCGTCTTCGTCCCCGAGCTCAACCACGTCTTCATCGAGCGCGTCGTCGACTTTAGAGCTAACAGTAATTCAAGAGGTCACTGCAAATGTCATCCCAGTGGAACTGAAAATCTCTTCGACTTCGTCGGTTGCCGCTCTTGCTAATAGGCCTCTGGATAACGTCGATTCGGACGCAAGGAAGGCGTCGACGACAACTTCGTCTGAGTCATCAAGCGATGCTTCGCAAAGCACGTCAGATAACAAAGACCGTACCTCAACAAGCCAACCAAGTTCCTCAACATCTGGATCAACTACCTCAACAAGCGCGGGTCGCGTAAAAACACCCACAAGCAGCGATCTGGCAACTATCACTACTGCTCCTGAGCCCAACTGGCACGATTGGGCTATCTTTCCTTGGGGTAATCATCCTCAATGGAATGGCTATCCGTGGGGGAACTCTACAATACCCATCAACACTTGTTGGCACGATGGGTATCCAGGTAAAGATGATAGTCCCTGGTGGCCAGGATGTCACGTGTAAGTCCTTCCAAACTTCAATCGGAAACCTAAGCTGATATCTGTAGCAACGCCTGGGAGGTCATTGTCTCATACTTCCCGAAACAAAAGGGAAATCTTACGTACCCCACTACACAATACGTCCCGGATTTAGGAATTACAATGTAGGCAATTCGACCTCATTCATATTACTATCTTCATGCGGCGACCACTACTGATACAATATTCAACTAGGTCATCGCCATCAATATATCTCATTCTTAAAACTATAGAAGCGACCAATGGCTGTGGGCGTTTGGGTCCTACTTACGCTAACCGGGTTGTGGAGATGGCGCCGGAGTCTGTTTCGACTCTTCAGCTGTACGACAACGTGTCTGCACAAAGCATGATCGGTGAACCCCGCATGCTGGATGTTGACGATATTGCTACCGGTTGCGATCATGCCGCTTTCATAGGGAGTACTCTTACCACCGGAAAGGACTGGACTAAACGTCCAATGGCGTCCGACAGTTTCAACCGGTGTAGTCCTCGAATTTCGTGGCCACCACAGATTAAATCACTGGGCTAGTACGTCGTATTCCACCACCCATCGAACCCACCCTGACAATTGATAGTAAATACTGGGAACATTGCATGATATCGAACGAGGAGTATGGCTTGTTTGACCCTCGTAAGCCATTTTGAAAAATCTTGTCTTTCAAAAGTAAAGGAAAGCTAATTAAGAATACCTGCAGCTGGAGCTGTACCACCAATTACTGGCGGTCTTCTTCCCTCCCCTCTACCTCCAGCTCCTGCTCCGATCCCATCAACGGTTCCAGCAGCTCCAGCTCCAAGTATCCCTCCACCAGTCGTAGTTCCAACTCCGACACCTACTCCATCATTGGCTCCAACTCCAGACCCTAGTCCAGCACCGTCTGTCGCTGACCCACCTCCTCCGCCTGTTCAGAACACGCCACAGCCACCAGTTGCGACTCAGGAACCACCGAATACAACACCTGTTCCCCCTACACCTGTATTGCCACCTCAACCATCGTCCGTCGAAGTCGTTACAACAGTAAACAATGACCCAAATAGCGGCCAACCACAACCTCCAAACGTCGTGCTTCCAAACGGGTCTACGGCAAGTTTAGGAGTACAAGTTACCCTTTCCAGTGGTTTTGACAAGCCTGTAGTAGTATCTGTAGGCCCTACGGCTATATTTGTCGAAAGTGACAATGTTGTCAACACGGCCAATGTAAACCCACCAGGTCCAGGGATAGTCACACCGACTCCTGTTCCGAACAATCCTCCAGATACAATAAATCCTGTAGCTATTGCTACAGTTGCAGGAGCCACCATATCTGCTGCTCCTGCAGCTTCGACAATTTTATTTCAGTCTCAAACGCTCGAATTGGGTGGACCAGCAATCACAATGGAAGGGACAAATGTCGTTGCAACTTTTGGAAGCCAAGGATTGGTAGTCCAAAGTGCTGGGGGGGCTGTATCATCTTACACTTTACCAGTTGCTGGGCCCGCAGTCACAGGGTCTATTATTGGGACAGTCCATGGTAGCGCTCTCACAGTTGCGGCATCAGGGAGCCTGGTCATCGTCGGAACTGAAGCTTTAGTATTGAACGGACCACGAGTGACTCTGTCAAGCAACGAGGTATTGAGTTTGGGCTCGGACGGTGTGGTTGTGCAGGTTCCGGGCGGAGGCGTGGAGACATTCACGTTGCCTAAAGTAGGAAGCACGACGAGTTCATCAACCAGCTCTGCAGGACCTGGTGTGCTTATAGCCAACAGTAAGTTTAGATCTGCAAATTCCTGAAATAACGGCTAACGCGAACAAAGTCATTGGCGCATCTACAGCAGCAGCGATGACGGCCTCCAGCACATCAACAACCCCCAGCAGCGTGGCTCAAACTGTCGATAACCTCGTTCAGCCTACGAATGGAGCAGCTCATACGGAAAACACTCTGATATTCGTCACTGGCGTAATAGTCCACTCTACCAGTGTTATTGCTCAACAGAGCTTAACTAATACCTCAATCTCATTGTCATCGAATACAACGGTCGCTTCACCCAGCATCTCTCGGTCAGTCATCATCGGAGTGCCAGTAACAAGATCTTCTTCCACCACCCCTCTGTCCATCGCTCCACCCAGTACATCCTCAACTCCGCCCCCGAAAACAGCAGCACCGGGCAACGGAAACATACTAGGCATCCCACCAACAAGCGCTGCTTCAACCTACCTGCTATCTTGTAAGAGTATAATGGCTTTGTTCGCTGGAATCAGCGTGTGTATATTGTCTAATTCATGTACATAATTAGGTCGGCGTACCAAAAACTTAATCTTAGCTGTAGAAAATAGAAAAAACATAATCACTTCAAAACACCATGAGTTGGACCCAAGTGATGAAGAATCAAAGAGGGGTAAGATCATCACCATCATTCCTGCAGGATTCCCCACGATGATAAACACGAGCCGTGCCGCATCTGCACATCAGACACATGAAACATGCTAATTCGTTATCGCGTGCGATTATGGTGGTGCGATCAGAATCATCTTGTACGATTTTACGAGGTGATTTTTCAATTTTGTGATGCGGTTTCGAGCTTAAGCGTGATTGAGGGCTGAGATAAACAATGATGGGAGTTTATTGGCGACAACGAATCTCCACGAGGCGTAAAATACTTTCCTCGCCGGGTTTCAGCTGGGTGGGATGGTATGAGGACACCATCTCGAGAGACTTGTCTTCCCGCTGGAGAATTAATGCACACAAATGTAGTTCTGCTTGTAGGATTCGATATACCCAAATTTCGTTCCACGGACGATTCGTTTATTTGTTCGTTTATTTGGTGACCAATACCAGTATAACTGGATGAACTCTTATCCCTCAGCATTGGCCTGTACCAGCTGTGCTGGTGTGAGACGGGAGATTGAACCTCTTTCACGACTTGCTGCCCATACATGCGCAAAGTGAACTGAGATAGTTGAATATCATGGGACTGATATTGATATGTGCCTCCATCTTACTCAATTGACATTGCTTTTTCATGCTGAGAAATAGTATGTCGCTGATCCGGTAAGAAGATGTTTATGATCAACCATGTATTCTGTTAAAAACACAATACATATCTTAAAAATCATATACTGGGCCACTCACTTTAACAAATGGTATGTCTAACAAAGCTTCGAAGCATCTCAAAACATAAAAACCATACTCCGTAGATCTAGAAGCGCTCCGTTTTGTTCCAAAGGTACCAATATATTATCACCCTCTCCTCTTATCTACGCCGAGAGTCTATCTCATTGACAATCTCCTTTCTCACCCATAAATCTTATTTCGAATATTCCATTAAGTCAAAACCAGATATTAAGTGGAAGAACCTTGTGGGTAAGCGAGAACTCCTCGTCAGGAATCACTTTTATGTCAATTTCTGACTGTACTCGAGTTACGAGAATCTCAAGATGACGAATAGCATTGCAAAATCTCTGAAGTTGTATTGCATAAAAACTTTGTCCCCTTGATACATCCAGCCGCAAAACGCTTGCTAAATTGCTAATGTCGAGGTTGAGATAACAATTGGACCTATTGAAGCTAGTGTGTAGAGAAGATAATTTCTTAATTCCCACACTCCTCGTTCTTTCCTTTGTAAAGCTTATTATACCCAGGGAAGAAAGCAGTGCTATGTGAGTTTGAATATAGTGACGTATAAGAAGGGGCCCAAGTGTCACTTATGTTCAAGAGTTTGAAACTTTGAATCCAAGGGCACTAAGGTTTTTTGATATTTAGGTGCTCTCTTGAGATTAGATAGTCTTCGAACCCCAGCGTCAAGTTTATGTATCAATTTGTAACGTGATGCCGACAGGCTTCGGCGCTTCCAGACATTCAATTCATCTCATCCGGTCGCTCGGCAGTTAAAGGGGGACGATCGAGCCCCACCTGACCAAAACCAACCCCCCCAGCAATGTACAAATGCCTTTGCTAACTTAAAATGACAAAAACGTGTTAGGACTAGAGCAGTGTCTCTGCCTTATTAGTCACTTCAGTAACCCCAGTGACTCGTCTTGCTGCAATGAAAAATAAACATATCGCAAAGAATCTTCTAATTTTAATTTGAAGAAACCGTGGGCATCAAGATTAGTTGAAATTTAGTTCGCGTCTGCTGCTTCTCTATCTCTCAATTCTCTGTGGAAGGTAATTTAATGTCGATTTCTGGTTCACATTTATTAGGTTTATCGTCTGGGAACAATATATTTACACGCTCACAATTCTCCGGTATGAGCCACTGAAAATACTGGATAAACTCACATCCTGCAAGTTCTCAAGTTGGTCACATAACTGAGCAAGTCATGATTGGAAACTTCGCTGAAGATTGGTTAGCCGAGAGTTACACGGAATTCTGATACCACGTCAGAGGGGCTATCACTGAAAGATAACATAAATTGGGTACTGTACGCGGATGCAAGTAGATATTCCCGGAACTTCCGAAAACTACTGATTGAGCGATTATGCATTGCGCCTTCGATGTAGAGGTGATAAGGTACACTGCCAATTTATCCATCTGATCTTTCGTGGGCGTATACATCCACCAACAGGTATGCTTGAAAGTTAGACAAATCATTGGTGGCACGACTGCTGCAAGCTTTTTGGTTTCCTGGGTCAATTATACGATCCTACCAAGGTAATTCAACAGTGGATGTGAACAGCCGTGGTTCCGTGTCAGAAGTATAATCATAAACGCTGGTTGTGGGGCACTATGCATAATGAGTGTGTAACACAACTTAAAAGTGACCCTATGCCATTGTCGCTTTTGAATATTTTCAAGGAAAAATGTGCACGTACTCTAGTCACTGAACTGGGTTGATGTTGCACTTATTGGTTTATCATCACAGCTCTCATAGTTTCCAAATGAAAATGGATCTGAACTCTCCTTCTTTATGGGATGGTTTGTGAAGTATGATGGCCACGATTGCTGTGACAACGTTAAATTGATAGAGTCAGCAGTCTTGAAGTTATACAATAATATCCTGAAAAGCACATGGGTATTGAGAGAAAGACAAGATAAAGAGGCAGCACGTAACCTGGTCATACCTTGAGAATAGAGGAGTGAAACCTAACGCAACAAAATCAGCAATTGTATACCGTAGATCTCAAGAGGAGAAAGGTTTAATCATACATTTTGTCTTATTTCTTACCGCGTCGAAACACTTTCCCTCAACCTTGGTCTTTTCGGATCAGATTATGGCGTAAAGACAGCTACTGTGAGCAGCTCTATCACGATTCTATGCGACGAACGATCTTCACTTTGGCTTCATCTATATTTAGATACTAGTTCTTTGTGAAAGATATAAATTCTGGACCTTCAAAGAAAATTCCATCTTCAGAATATGGTTTTCCTTTGTTGCTCGTCAATGCAATGAAATGCATTGAAAAAAACACAAAAGAAATAATGTCACAACATGGTTGTGCTCCTTGTTAGGGTAACTAAGGTCATTTTCCAGAGTTTACCTCGTCTTTCACCACTTAAATTTCTTACAACATGAGAAAGTATATAAGCTTGTCTGTTCAGGTGTTTAGAGAAGTTTTCCTAACTACAACGTTAGACCAGCTTTACACCATCATCTTTAAGATTAAATATTACACTGAAGATTACGAGGCTTACACATCGCCAACCGACACAATCTTAGCAAAAATAACACGTAAAATGCAACTCACTAGCATCCTCTTCGCCACATTGGCAACCCTCGGGTTCACTTCCGCGAACTCCATCATTTTCCTATCCAGAGACAAGACTGACCGTTTCGTCTGCTTTTACGCAGCACCCGGCCACGCCATACCAGTCACCCAGCTCGTCCCCGGCAAAGGCACAGTCGCCATTCCCATTCCCCAAGGTTGGGAAGGTGCATGGCAAACCTCATTTAGCGCTACCGACTGTGGACCAGTTGGCATTCGTGGCGAGGTAAAATTCAATGGATTCGAAGACAAGACTTTTTACGATGTCTCTGCTATCGATGCACAGAATGATAATTTGGGCGTAAAGTTCCTTTATGCTCAGAGTGGTCAGGGGGTAAAGAGTGGTTGTGAGCACTTCCCTTGCAGTGGCTCTTATAATAAGTGGGATGATGTGCAGACTCAAGTCACAGAGGAGAAGGATTTGATTTGCGAGATTGGTGGTTAGACTACCTGGTTTCGAACTTTTCCTGCTTTGACCTTTTTACACAATACGCATTTTAGCGAAAATAGACATAGAATCGTTTTAAGAGAAAATAGAACTCAATCTGCCACAATACAATTTTCATATCATTCCCCGTGACAATCCTCCGTGCTTCTCAGCCTTCAGCCGATGCCAATAAGAATCCTTTCAAAGAAGTGCCTGAAAAAGCTTTATATTAAAGAAACACAACCAATCAAACCTCTCTTTTAGCAAACTTCTTAAATGACCACTATGCATTCCTGGTTGATGCTGAAAGACGATAAGTTTCTTTTACAGTCTCCAATTAAGCGAGAATCGGTGAAAACACAACTATTCGTTTATTTCTCAAGAGTCGTTCTTGCCCACACCGGAACGGGTTTTGAAAGATCTTGAAAGCTGAAGTTTATTTACTTATTACCGACGAAGTGGCCAAATTGTCCACTGCTACTTGGTATATGTCAGCAGTAAGTTTTGAGCATGCTTTCGTTCTTTATCGTCGCACAAGTAACAGACAATGTCTTTCCATTCTCCAGTCAAATAAAACCATGATTCTGATTCGAGCATTAACATTTCGTCAGTATTTGTTTTGAACGACTTTTCGTTTGGCAACGATAAGGACTCCAGGTGTATAAAGATCGTTTTAAAACCTCCAGCTTGAATTTGAAATCAGGTGATTAAGTATGGTAGCTAGAAGATGTCAAGGCTGATGCACGCAATTGCTATCAACACTTAACTAGAAAATATGACGCTAAAATTTGAATTGGAAACTTAAGCCCCAAGACAGACTCGTTCTCATATGTTGTACAGGAACATAGTAATTTTTACAGACTATCAGCCCTAAATGCTAACTTCTTTTTGTGCTTTTTGTGAACTACTTTCTGAACTCATTTCTAAACCTCCGTCCCTTGCTCAAAATTTGCAAAGCCGTGTTCCTCTGCTCAACTGTGCCCTGGTCAGTGTGTCGGAACTTTGGATTCTGCCATATCATTGCTGGGTGTTTCATGCGAAAGATTTTCTGATCGTATACGTGTCCGTCCTTTTCACAAGCTTCTGCAAGTTGATCGTAGATGGGTTGCAGCTTTTCTAGCTAAATTGATGATCAGTTTATGTACAACCATGCTGTTGGAAATAATAACACTTACAGGACCATGTGATCTGAACGACCTAAGCGCAATGTGCATTTCTTCCTCACTCAGATTTCTTGAGAGCATATCCTCTCGGTATTTAGCTACTCTCTGCCAGAACCCAGCGACACGTCTGGTATCGTAGCCAGCGTTCATCAACAGATAAGTACCAAGGAACACAGCTTCTTTTTCAGATCTTTTCATCTCGTCAAGGCTCCACTTTCTCAATCCAATGACTGCTGCACTATAAAATACCGCGGCTATCGTCCATGGTCCGATCTTTACTAATCGCAAAGCCCACAATGGTAAACGTAGCACCAGTGGTATAGCAGGAAGGAAAGCTACGAATGAAACCAGCCTTTTGCTGATCTCTTCTGGCTCATGTCTAGCATACATATGACCAAGGGCGTGACTGAGCATGATTGCTATATCTTGTTCATCACGGAAAACCTCGAAGAGGCCACTGTCAAGAATGACATATCCGCTCGGAAATATTGTGAGGTTTGTTCCTACTTATGACAATATGAGTGTTAATATTATAACGCGCCTGGGGTGCTTACAAGGTTGATTAAGTACTTCAACATAGAAATAAGGCTGGCACCCCAGTTCCATTTTGCTATTTGCCAGAGATTGCCTAAGTTAAAAAGCACCACCCTAGACTCTTGTCCGTTTCTTGGATATTCCTGTCGATTGCGCTCCCTGGGATTTCCAGGGCTTAGCGCTTTATAGAGTTTGCAAAGGTGTTCCGTCATGAAATTGAACTGCATACTTTTACGCATCGACTTTGGAAATTCTCTTCTGTTCGTTGCCCAGAAATACAGTGAACCGGACCAAATGATGAAGAACGCCGCGATTCCTACTTTTCGGCGAATAGACTGTGAGACTGGATCAGATACAGGTCGGGATGTTTTTATTTCCAGCGGCGGAGCCTGCTCTTGTGGGTGTAATTTGGCATCTAGTGGCCTTGATTGTCGACGAAGAGCTTTTGTGCCCCTGATTGTATTGTTCCCGTAGGACGGCTTCCCGGTCCATTTATGTCTGTATTGGTACGGACTCGAGAGAGAGCTTTTATGCGGAATCGAAATACTGTTAAACCATCCCGTAGGATATTGGGCCCGTCTCATCGTAAGTCGGAGTGTATGTTTGATTGAATGTGGAGGATAATTACGGGCGAGTCGCAGGAAATTCTTGACTGGCGATATTTCACCTATTCCTTAGAGATTAGGCAGATGTTGGTGGCGTTTTCAATTCGCGGGAGTTGGGCGATACTGTCACATTTTTCGCGATGTAGATATTTGGACACCCAACAAATCCAAGAACAATACAAACACCCATCGTCTACATAAGCCCATTGTGTAATTTCATCCTAGTATCTCTAAAAGGCAGCAGCGACATAATTTACATTCCTCGTCCGTTCTCAACGGACATTTCCATGATGATGAGCGCCAAGCGGGAAAACATTGCGAAATGATAGATATCAGCCACACACTACACTCGAGACCCAAAACTCCTCTCAATCAGGCACTGGACAGCGGTCAGCAACCCAAAATAATAGTAAATGTTCTCCACAAAACCCTGTCGCTGGGCCAGCCAAAAGAAATTGTCCAAAAACAATCTTGATAGACCTATAGATGATGTGTGGCTGTCCATTCGATAATCCAGCTATGCACGCTGGTATACGGAGTACGTGGTCTCATTTCAGTGTGGTTGTGGCATTTGAGTGATGCGCGGCAGAAGGAACTCATAAGGGATTCATTGGCGTTTGATTGAAAACTTGCATTTAACGCCAATGCAAACCCGGTGCCAGGCGTCGAAACCTGCCTAGCCTGATTTGGCAGAATCTGTTTGTGTTTCTTAGCAAACAAGAGCTAAATGTTGCGTGTTGGCAAAGAAGATAAAGAAGTATAACAACAGCTTCCACTAGAACAGCCAGCAATAAGGTTTGATAAACAGAGCACCATTGCCATAAAAATAGGATTGGTTTTGATATTCCTATACCAAAACCAATCAACAGAGTCCTAATCCATTTGTGTCTACTTATAGTCAAATTAAAAAAGGAATGTGTGTCTTCAAAAGGTTTGTCTTCAAATGCAACCACAACTCGTGGGGCAAGGAAGCTCGCCCATGCCAAAAACAAAGAGACTTCCGTGCTTCAGGAAAAGGTGACCAGTGTATCGAGAGTATTGCACATCCTTTGCACACAATTACACTTCCTCAAAAGTGCGACTACTGTGTGCAGGTAGAGGCAGAGCGTACGAAGCAGAAACAGCACCAGGATGAGATTATCTTGAAAATTCGAGACACGCTTGCTGGAGCAAAGGCACAATTAAAGAAATGGGAAAACAATGAGCCAAGCAAGGAATTGACTACCACAGTTTCGAAAGCTGATTTGAAGGGGGTTATTATTGATAACAATGATGTTGAGATCGAGAAGGATGAGGCCTGGGACGGCGTAGCTTAGGGACCGGGTCCTTCGGCTGCCGAAGTCCGAAAGTTCAATCTCCTGGGCAACAGAACAGTCCCTACGACTGACCAAACAAATACCTTATTTCCTATTACCGTTTACTGATTTCATGTGACATTTTTATTTCCCTATGAATTCATCCGATTATGACCATCTGAACTTTTCTTGTTTCGTGATGTCAATCAAGGCCAGACTCCTGCAGAATCATGTCGTGTCCCTACCTTTGGTGTTAACATTAGCGCTCAATCTGTTGCCCTTTTTACACCATTTGCACCAACTCTACATACCTTTTTCGTCTCCATACTACTCTTTCTGAGCCTTATTGCCACCTTGAATTTGAGTATGCGAGAGGCTTTCCTTTAATGCTAAATCCATTGGATGAGCTATCCGAAAGCCCCAATCCTACACCCGCGGGGTAGCGAAAACCCTAACTTGAAACCTCGAAAGGTCTGACAACCGCAACATCAGGACAACCAATTCATCCCATGTCTTTCCCCTGCCTCGCCCTTCATCCAACAACTTTATCTTTATCGTGCAGCTGGCACGTTTCGAAGGAGGTAGGCCGCGCCGTGGTAGAAACACAGTCACCAGCAATTGCTGTCGTGGCTGGATTCAGATCCTTCGTGAGCCACCAACAAAACAACCAACCGCCTCAACTGTGCAGAAATCGGCCGCCTTTGTTATTCAGTGAAGAAATACTCTCCGACGAGGATTCAATGGATCTCCAACCTAGTATATATCTGTCGCTTGTGAGCAGAAGGTCTTTGTGCATGCGTGAGCCGAGAGGTGAAGGTGTCAAAATCAAAGTTGGCGGTTTATCTTGAGAATCGAATTGATCTCGATTCAAATGATATTACAAGAGTATTCACATTTTAATCTATCTGTAGCCGCCTACAATCATGTCTGATTCAGGTTTTATCACTACTCTTCTTACAACTTTGTACTCCATCCCTTTTGTTGTTACTCAAGCCCCTGATTCGATCTTTTTGCTTCGGGTTTCGGGTTCTGAGGGGGCATCCGCAGCCCGGATCTCTTGGGCATCCTTCATCTGATCTGGAATCACGATCCGCGAGATACTACATATCTCTGTGGTGGGCACTTGCATGACTCCGGGGGACTTTCCACATACATTCATTTAATTTCATTCTAGCAATCGGTCTTTTTTTCACCCTTTCTTTTTTTCTTTCGGTATTCAATGGCATATAAGACACAATTTGATGACGGACTAGAGCTGGCTCAATATCACACGAACATTGACGATTACGATGATGGGAAGCAGACGGTCTTACAAAGTCCTGGAGGAAAATCAGTCATCAGCGAGTATGGTGGAATGGAGGTACATCAATATGGGGGAGGGACTCGGACGATTTCGACTGGCAGCAGCATCCCTGAGGACTCATCTGAGAAGCTGCCGATTAATTCAAGGAAATACGAAGAGAATTCGCGATCTAGACTGCGAAGAGACCTCAAAACTCGTCAAATTTCAATGATTGCGATAGGTGGTGCCTTGGGAACTGGACTGCTCATAAATACGTGAGTTGGAAAACTCGCTCGCTAAGTTGTCCTGCTAACACATAGCAGTGGTCCATCTTTGGCACAATCTGGTCCAGTGTCTATGATAATTGGCTACACTCTAGTTGGTGTCTTATGCTATGCTGTCATGGCTGCGTTGGTTTGTTTTCAAAGGGGACAGTCAAATCTATAGCGACTAACTTCCACCAGGGAGAAATGGCATCGTGGCTTCCGATTGCGTCTGGCTTCACAGGTTTTGCTAATCGATTTGTTGACCCTGCCCTTGGATTTGCTGTCGGATGGAATTACTGGTTCAAGGTTATAGCGAGATGCTTAATACAATCTCTAATGCTGACTAGACACTCACAGTACATCATCAATACACCAAACAACCTCATCGCATCTACGCTCGTCATAAGATTTTGGTTCGACAAAGCAGGCTATGAAGGACCCGCATCAAACGCTGCTCTCTATGTTGCTGCTATCCTTGTAGCTGTCATTGCCATTAATTTGTTCGGCGTTGGCATCTTTGGAGAGTTCGAATTCGTTCTAAGCAGTTTGAAAGTCCTCATTATGCTTGGCTTAATATTTTTCATGTTTATTCTGGCTGTCGGTGGTAGCTCGTCGATATCAGCGCCTGGTTTCAAATACTATGTCAATCCTGGTGCATTTGCCCCGTTCCTCGCTTGTAAGCAATCATTAAATAAGTTATCTTCGGTTTATCATCTGACTGTCTATAGCTGGAGGCGCTGGTCGTTTTCTGGGGTTCTGGAACGTGCTATCTAGTGCGGTGTTCTCTTTCGATGGCGCCGAACTTGTTGGAGTAACAGTCGGCGAAGCGCAAAACCCACGACAGGCAGTTCCACGAGCTGTCAAGCTGACCTTTTTTCGAATTGTTTTCTTTTACATCGTGCTAGTTTTCTTGCTCGGCCTTAACGTTCCTTACAACAGCCCACTTCTTCTCTCCGCAAACAGCGAATCTGGCAAAACAGTCTCCGCAAATGCCAGCCCATTCGTGGTAGCAGCCAACATCGCAGGCGTTTCCCTAATTCCAGACATAATCAACGGATGTCTTCTAATCTTCACGTTCAGCGCTGCCAATACCGATTTATACATCGCTACTCGTTCTCTGTACTCCCTCGCCGTTGAAGGTAACGCACCCAGCCTATTCGCACGAACCAGCGACCGAGGTGTCCCACTCTACGCTTTAGGCGTTTGCTCCTCGTTCTCTCTCATCGCATTCATATCCGTAGACGTCGGCAGTTTCGAAACATTCCGCTACTTCGTATCTCTCGTCACAATCTTCGGCCTTCTAACCTGGATCGCTATCCTTTTATCTCACATCTGCTTCGTACGCGCTCGTCGCGCGCAAGTAGTCCCAGACACCGCACTCGCTTATGTCTCACCATTCGGCATCAATGGTTCTTTCTGCGCCCTAGCTTTCGCCATCATCATCCTTATCTTCAACGGCTTTGCGGATTTCACATCTGATCCTATTACCGGAGAACGCTTTCAGTGGCGCAAGTTCATTGTGCACTATATCGGCGTCGTGATATTTTGCGCTATGATCGCAGGCTATAAGATCGTTGTGAAGACAAAGGTGTGGAGTGCTCAACAAGCGGATATTTTTGAGGGGAAGCAGAAAATTGATGATGATGAGGCGGAATTCCTGGCGGCTGAGGCGGTTAGATTGAGGGATAGTCCGGAGAGCAAGTGGAAAAAGTGGTATAGAGCTACACTTGGGAACTTTTTCTAAGTGTGGATTGGCTTTTCAGTCTTTTAGGACCGAGAATAGGCGCAAAAGGAACACAATTTGAATTTAGCGTAGTGAGCGTGTTTTAACTTCTTCATTCTGCATGTATGCTTTTGGTTTTGGCAACTGGGTTGGGTAGTCGGTAAGCTTTGTAGATGCTAGCATCGGCGTATGGTAGGATTACGCCTTTTTCTCATGCCTGGCGTCCTCGAGTTTGCAGCGGTGCTGTATGTTGTATCAGTCACTTTGGTTTTATAGACGGTGGCAACTGAAGTTTATTATACAGTAACTATCATAGTCTCATAATATTTCCAACTGAACCAATATATACAGTTCTGACATCTTTCCTTGCGGAGGTCCCAGATATTACTGAGCTAACCAGACATTACCTCCCCCCATGAAGAAATTAAGCAGCAGCCAAGATTTAAGCCACACATTAATCAATCCCTCAATAACCGCCTTACCCTCCTATCGTCATCAATCCTCAACTCCTCTCTCGTCTCTCCCGCAGGCTTCCTCCTCTCAAAGCCACTACTTCTGGACTCATCACCACCATCCACAACACCTAAACTGTACAGACTTCCAAAGCCATTTATAAGATCATCTCTTTCCTTTCCACTCAACTTACTCAATCCCGCTAACCCATCAAGCAATCCTCTCTCACGCTGGCTTTCCCTCCCAAAAACATTTCCAAACGTGCTGTCAGCTTCGCTAGGCGCAGCTAGATAAATCGCCGTACTAATGATTCCGCCTTTACCGGGTCGACGAGGTAAAGAGCCGACACCTCCAGGTGGTCTAACGAGAAGAATGAACATCACGATGACCATGAGAATCAGCATTGACATGGATATAAAGTGACAGACTATATATGCCTGTTTCGTCATCGCTGGGCTGAAGGCGATGTTGGCTAGAGTGATAGGTAAAAACTCGGAGACGAAGGCTAGGAATGCGACGATGGCAGTGAGGAAATGAAAGCGCGTTAATGCGGGGATAATGGCCGTGATATGAGCGGCGTGGAAGGGAATAATGATGCTATCGCGTGGCTGTGCAGAGCCTTTTATAAGCGATACGTAAGGTTGGTCTCGTCGAAGATCTGGAAAAATTGTTAGTACTTCAGCTCTCTTTTGAAAGGAGAAAATTACCAGAGTCAACGGCACCCCAGAGCAATTTAATCCCAACACCCAAAATAGACATCATGAATCTCACCCCAAAACCTTGTGAATCCATAAATGTCTCAAAGCCGCTGCTTTTCTTAGTTACAGGATCAGGACCTGTCCAATGGTAATATGTAATCAAGGTCAAGAGTCCTGCGATGATGAGCAGGGAGACAAGATATGTAATTTTTTGCTTCACGTCTTTCTTCAACGACATTCCAGTATGCCATTTTATCTTATCCCTTGTCTGGGGCTGCTGATCGTACTCGTGCGACTCAGAGTCGTCAATAACTTGTACCGAGCTATACACGCCTTTTTTCTCGGATTGACTACCAATTGTTGCGAATCCCGCCTCGGGTTCAATATCCATTGGCACAATCCCAAGGCATGGTGTGTTGTCCTCTGCCACAAATTCAGCTAGTTTGAATCTCTTCCCTGCCACAATTTGCTCGAGTTCGTGGGGCGTGATCATACTGTCAATCTGCCGCAGAAATTTGAGTAGCGGAGACTTAGAGAGTAAAACACCCAACCCCGCGAGACTAAACGGCTCAGAATGAAGGCCTGACTGCCGACGGAAGTTGAAAAAGATAAGACAGATTAGTAGCACGCTGATGAATCCCAGGATGCCTTCAATTGCTCGTGCAAGCGCTGGATAAACTCCCCATGATGCGTGGCACGCTCCGTCAGAATTGGCAAAACAATCGCCTGTTACACTCACAAAGAAGGCTTCCGACGATATGGGAGCCAAGATAAGAACTGATATGGAGATAAGTGACGACCAAAATGGTATAGCATGACCTCGACTTATCGCTTGGAATGGCACTGCGATGAGCCAAGAGGTGCTGTAGTCGAGACTCAAGGAGTTCTTTCCCAGGGCCCCACCATCTTGATTTAGTTGGTAGAAAGGCTCCATTTGCCTGACTGTGGTATCCAGAATTTGCCATGGAATTGTGTATATCACTGATACAATAAGAGGAAGGAATGCGACGTATATGTACTGCTGAAGACTAATTTGGGGTGTACGAACGATTTCTCCGTTCTCAAATTCGAAATAAGTGCCGGTGGAATTGACTATCGTCGAGACGGGAGAACTGGCAGTGTCTGTTGGGTTGGGATTTATATACCCCCCAGCCGGAGCTCCAGTGGCTATCGGAACTCTACTGGGAGAAGGAGTGGTTGTATAAGTCGTGCCGTCTTTCACAGTAACAGATGGCGTTACAGCGTATGTTTGGCCGTTCGCTATCGTTAAAACTGGTGTGTATGTTGCTCCATCATTGCTGTTGACGGTAGGTGTCACAGCAAATGTTTGACCGCCTACAACTGTCATCACTGGGACTGGAACTGGTGAACCTCTGACATCGGTCACAGCAGCAGTAGGTATTGGCGTGGAGATTGGTTGTATGGGGCCGTTGGTGGGAACTGGAATAACTCCTGGAGTTGGAGGTGCTTTATTCATTGTTAACTATTTTCGACCAGCAACCATATTTCACTTACTCGGATTTGGCCCGGGAGCATTTATGCCGGATGGAGGTTTGCCAGGTTCCAGAAACCCTCCTGCGGCACTTGAATATATGGTCGGGGTCGCTTTAGGATTCGGGCTGGGTGTAGCATTGTTGTTTGTGTTGACGACTGGGCTCGGTTGATTCGGTGTTGGATCAGGAGATTTACTCAATGTCAAATGACCTGATTGCGGTACACCTGTGATGACCGGTGTTGTTGTAGGATCCCCTAATTCCAGCCATCCATCTTTCGCTGTGTAGTAGATGGTTTGAGAACTACTACTACTGTCTCCAGTGCCTCCAGCAATTGGAGTGCTCGGAGAAACAACTGGGCTGGGTGTAGGCGAAGGACTGTTCGTGGGCCCCTGATTGGAAAGTACAGTTCCAGCAGCTAGCCAAACGAGAAATTAGTCGTGAACGTTGATCTCTCGGAAGTCCAACGTTGATACCAACTTGAACGACTCGATTCAATTGGACTTACAAACTTGACGACCAGCTAAGCCTCCCTTCTGCGGTTTAAGAAGCACATAATTTACCGTACGCTCAGCGTTCCCGATTCCCGCATGGGCTGGAATATTCCGGATCGCGAGCTCTGTGATACCAAACAACACGAGAGTAATGGCCAGTAAGAATAGAAGAACCGGTGTTCTGGTGGTGATTGGCTTGTAGAAGTTTTGCGAGCCTGAAATTCCATTTAGCTGAGTTCCTTCTGGCCTGCCAGAATCCCCAAACGTACCGTTTCGACTGAAGATGTTCTTCATACTTGAGTCGACTTTGACACTATCTCCATGTCTTCATTTCAATACATAGAGTAGACTGGGCAGAGGGGAGGGCAACAACATAGTATAGATTTTAAAATTGGGAAGCATTGGGACGATCCCCACGGGACTGGCTTACAGCCACAATATTGAAGGCTTGTGAGGCACTCAATAGTTTAGCGATCTTATGTGAGTATTCGGTGGTGGCCATGATTGACGAAGCATCGACCAAAGAAGAAAACAACGAATCAGACCACTGATGTACCGGCATTTGAAACTTGCAACCTTCATGATTGGCGTCGCCACGGTTCCTCCATGCTCACCTCAGCCCTACCTTGGCGAAAGCGGCTGAGCCATTATTTCTTGTGGCCTCGAACGAATATATAATACAGACATCTTTCGCAGTGTCATATCGTGCTCTTCATGACATAAATTCAGACGACCTTTCCAACCCTTAGTGATTTCAAGTGTCGATCCCCAGGCAACAACCGAAAACCCACGCTTCAACAGTCTTACGTAGAATAATGAAGTTAGCCTCAAGTTATGCTTTTGATGAAGCGATACCTGGGATATAGGTACTTGGCGCCTGGTAGTTTGACCCTATCAGGCCGCCCGCTCTTTGTAAGTGGTTGTTAGAAAGCGCACCGACACAAGGACAACACGGGAGATAAACTTTTTTTGTTCCAATAGACAGACACGACCTTCTTGGCGACTATGATACATGTGAGCAGCAGGGGACCGTATTGGGCCTGTTTGCCATTAAATATTGTACATTTCCACATTTTTTCGCCGGGTCGTAGACGCGGGTGTGTTTCTTGAGCCCCCCATCTCTACCGCCAACACATTTGCCTCAATCATGCGAAGCCAATCAGGCAGCATCTGTTGACATATCGAGTTGTTCGATGGAATTGATCTTGAGCTCTGAGATTTTCAAGACCGTAAACCTTTGCTTGCTCTTGACCGTATTGATCCTCCTATTCCTCCGTTTTTTCTTCTCTTTGATCCTCATGGGTTCTGATTCTACTCCAATTACTCTGGCCCGACACTCAAAGAGCCGCTCGTCCAAGTATGGCGTTCCCTTTAATGTGTAATCCCTAGAACCTAGATTCGCTGCGCGGTTCAATCGTAGTATATCCCCTGGAATGAGGCCCGGCATGTGAAATGGGAGTCGAACAGTATCTCCAGCAGTAACTAAATATGGTTTGCCATGAATGTGTATGCTGATATAATGTGATGGCTGAGCTGCAAGTAGAGGCAGCATTTCTCTGATTGAAGAATCGAGTTTTAATGGTGTTGTAATGGGTTCGGGATGTAGAGGAGGACCGCGAGGAGGTAATGGGGATGCATTGGTGATTGAAGTAACTGAGCTCTTTATCGATTCGGCGGCTGGACTCAGTGGCAATTGAGATGGGTCAAGCCCTTGTGGTGGTGTCTCGACATGTTGGACTGTGGTTTGAAGATATCGAGCGCGAGAGGGAAGGAGGAAGGTTGGCGGAAGTGCAGATGATGCTATTTTCGTATCGAGGATTGACCTCCTTATCGTGCGACTGAACATGAGGGGCGATCGAGGTATTGGCAGAGCGACTGTGATGCTGCAAACCTCTTCGATGTCGTGGTGCTTCTGAGGTGCTCTGGTCAAGTTCATCCACCGCGAAGATAAACGCGCTAGCCTATTTGGGTAAATCGTCAAAGCTTTTCTGAAGTCGAGAAATAATTCTTATCGATTAACCTCACGAATTTGAAATCCCCACCACAACACCAACATCCTCACAATTCATCATGGTAATGTTGCCAGCTTATGTATACACTCGGCGTTTACTTACAGTCATAATAGCCTCAAAATGAGTATATGGAAAGGTGGCGAAAGCTTCACGGCCGCCGCCTCGATCACGAAGAACGAACTCGGAAGAAGGCCGCTCGTGAGGGACATAAGGCGTCTGAAGATGCGCAGAAACTCACTGGTTTGAGGGCGAAGCTCTACCAGAAGAAGAGACATCACGAGAAGATCCAGATGAAGAAACAGATCAAGGCCCACGAAGAGAGAAATGTCAAGTCTTCCGCGCCCAACGAACCATCCACTACCCCTCTCCCACAATATCTTCTCGATCGATCAAATCCTACGAATGCTAAGGCGTTATCGAGTGCGATCAAGAATAAGAGGGCTGAGAAAGCGGCCAAATTTAGCGTTCCTCTGCCAAAGGTCCGAGGTATTGCTGAAGAGGAAATGTTTAAGGTTGTTAAGACCGGAAAGAAAACCGCGAAGAAGGGTTGGAAGCGAATGATCACAAAACCAACGTTCGTTGGACCAGGTGAGCCACCCCATGTCAAGATTAGTTGGCTATTCCGAGGACTTGGCAGAATACCACATAGTTCACACGTAGCAATTACGGTACTAATCTTAAGTTTAGATTTCACCAGAAGACCGGTCAAATACGAGCGCTTCATTCGTCCTATGGGTTTGCGATACAAGAAAGCCCATGTCACGCATCCTGAACTCGGAGTTACAGTCAATCTTCCAATCATTAGCGTCAAGAAGAATCCTCAAAACCCAATGTACACACAACTTGGTGTTTTGACCAAAGGTACGATTATCGAAGTCAATGTCAGTGATTTGGGTCTGGTGACGGCTGGTGGTAAGGTCGTTTGGGGTAGATGGGCACAGATCACCAACAATTGTGAAAATGATGGGTGTGTCAACGCGTAAGTTTTAAGATCCTAAATACCTACGTCCAATTGCTAATTTGAATAGCGTCCTCCTTGTTTAAACTCGACATTCACAGTCTGTCATCATCTTCAGCAAATTGGGGCATTGCAAGGAGTTTAGGGGATCGGCGTTCTAAGAGAACCAAAAGAACTGAATACCAAAAGAATTGAATTCTCTACATACCAAAATTTATCTCAGACTATCAGATAGCCGTCTTAGAGGTTGTGAAAATACTTTAAACTTTTTAAATACCGATGGTCTTATATATTGTGCCTTGAATTTGACAATTTCTGAAATCTCCACTCAAATGAATCCCCAATCGTTCGGAATCTTGAGTCGGAAGTTAGGAGAAGGCTGTCCGGGAGCAGAAAACTTTGGCTATCAGATTAGATGTCCGCGGTACTTTATTCAAGCGGGGAAGAGGCCAATTCATATATCGACAGTACAGCATCCCTACGAACAGGACACTATTTGTCGCACTTGTAGATGAGGCCGTCCCGCATCCACCTGTCGTTCTGGTATCCATTCAAAGTAATGTGGCTGTTGGACTGCTTCACGTATCTGACGGATGTGCATGGTCTAGTAAGCTGAAAATGCCAGAGAAGACATGAAAGACTTGTTTAGATAAGACCCAAGGATGTATGACGAAATGGTGAATGAGTTTCTATTAAGGCCAAAGAACCATTGTTTTCGTACCTAAGGTTTTAATTTCCTATCTACAGTATGATGTATCGATATTTATCCAATACTCGAACGCAAGTCTGCTTCGATAGACCCTAGACTCTCGTTCAAACCGTATCATCGACCCAGATACTTGTCGATTTCAGAGTATTTCGTCTTTATCTTTTGAGACGAAGGCAGAAGCTCTGTCTGATAGACTGGATGGATTGATTTGGCACCGTGGAGGGATGGCAAAAGTTTCCATAACTGGATAAACTGGATTAAACTTCTCTGTGTAGACCATGATTGGCAATTTGACAGCATGATGTCCTGGTTTTTTTTTAAACTCGCTTTGTAATAAAACTTGATAAGCTTTTGTATACTTCAGATGCGCGACAGTATTTTCAAAACAAAACATCGTGCTTCGTCTATTACTTGATTTACCACGCAGTACCTAGACAATGTTAGTAGTAGTAGTCGAAGCACGAGCACGGTGGTTATACATTCTAGTTAATTTTATCGTATAGTTCGTCGATCAAGTTGTAAGACAAACCATCGCATATTTCGTCTATGATTTTCAGGAAATCAAGTATTTTCGATTCATGCACCAGACTCATGTACCTACGCCATAATCGCTATTTCACAACCTGGGATCATATCTCGTGGTCAGCGCATTAGATATCGTCTTACAACCCGCCAGTCGCATTTCCTCCTCCTCGGCATCCTCTGGTCTCCATCCACGTAACAATTTCCAAGGTGTAAGACAATGATAACTATTATCCACCGCCGACACCATCTGCGCGAAGACTTCCGACATACCCTCGACCTGGCACAAAGCGTCAACATCATCAATCTTACCGCGCACGTCTGGATGGCTGGAGAAGTCGATGATCTTAGCGGCTACACCAGCAGCGACTATAGTAGAGAAGGAAGTTCCTGAGAGTGGATTCTGGATAGCTCCATTGTGGATTGGTGGGACTTGTATTCCTTCACCTAAGATAGCGAAATTGTATCGAGCCTTTTTGTGGGCGGCGGGATTGAAGTAACAAGTCGGTTTTGCGCCAGCGATGGTGGAGAACATGCAAAACAGGCGGAATGTTTGGAAGAGACGTGCTGGGAAGGCGATACTGGTGAAATTGCTCAGATTGGAAGCTGCTGCGAAGACGAGTGTTCTGGCGTAGATAGCTGTGGAGATGGCATCGTCAATCTCTTGGCTTGCCGTTGTGAAGCCAGAGGGCATGCATATAACTTTTACTTTCCATACATCTACTGCATGTTTGATTGCCTAGTAGCGTTAGCATTTTGAACTTAGATTGAGGCTTGAACCTACTGCTGCCATGAGCTTATGTGTGTTGTCAGTCGCCTGAGACCCCTGAAAGACACGACCCACATAGATCTCTGCATCTGCGTATACTTTTTGAAGCAGCTGAATGCAATTGGTTCCATGGCCGGTATTCTCTCGTCGTGTAGTTAAATCATCAGACACAAAATCTTTGTAATTTTTGATGCTTTTCTGGAACATTTGATCGGCCTGGTAATACGATTCAAGAACACCAGTATCAAGTATTGCTACTTTGATAGGTTGACAGTTCTCGTTTCTCCTACTTTTTGAGATCTTGAGGGCGTAATCGAAATCGTCCAAGTTTTCAAACCATTGATCGACTGTAATCGGTCTATGAATGAATTCTCAGGTTCGAATGACATCGACATATGTTAGTGATTACTTACGAATCTGTTGCCATTACGTTTCCAGCTATAGCTACGGAAGGCTTTCCAATGTTTCTGTTACTATACTAGAGAACAACCTAGAATTGATAGGCTGCCGACTTACAATGCGCTATTGCTTGGTGGCGGGGCTGGAGGATTGATAGCATAGCCAGAGTTATTAGTTTTGGTGTTGTGAATGCTAAGCTCACCAGCTACCGGTGATGGTGAAAAATCTGTATCTTCGAAAACGATTGGGTTCATCTCTTGCGTATCGGCATTCGGCCATGCCCCAGCGACCATCGCCTTCAGAGGCCCTACAACAGCGTGAAAGAAGTTGCCTCGCAGCAATTTCTTGTTGGTACCTAAGACCTCAAGATCGGGTTTGATGCATATCTCTATGGCGCGTTTTACGGCGGTGTAAATTCCCTTCGGTGGCCAAACCTTTTCATTCCTAAGAACCTTGACCCCAATGTTGTGAAGGACATTGACTTCATCTGAATCGTTACATTCCCGGCCACCAAAGTTTTCAATTCTTTGGCCTAGTTCTATCTCGAGGAGCATTATTCCTAATGCCAACACTTTTGGATATGGATGAGTTCGCAATTTAGCTTGGTGTTTGAGGTGCTTTTTATGCTGTTTCTTACTAGAACGAACTGTCGTTGGTTTTGATGTGCTTTCAATCTCGTTACTTTGGTCAACTATGTTGAAACGTGTTTGCAAAAAAGGCTCGTTGACTGATATGACCTTGGAAACACCATCATGCTCATTGAACATAAAATGAACAGAGTCTTTGCTCCAGTCTTCGCCCATCCAGTCTGATTCGTAGTATTGCCAAAGCGTACGCACTAACAAAAACGAGAGTAAGAGTTTCGGTTTATCGTTGAATTTCTCAGATCCCAGCAATTTCGTGAGAGACACGCTAGGATAGTTTCTGAGGGATGGTCGGATTGCCTGGCTTGGTCCTCTGTACTTGAAAGACGCGGCATATGCAAATTTAAGCTGAGATTGCGTCGGAACACCGAGTAATTCCCAGAATTCGTCACCATCATCATCTTCAGAACACGACGAGACGGTCTCGTCACAGTCCTTGCTGTTCTCTGATGCGCCTGATGGAAGAAGCACTAGTGTGCCTTTCTCGGCCTCGGCTACGTCGACCTCTTGAGGCTCCACAAGAATTACTTTGTTCAACTTGAAGACTGATATCTGGGTATCCTGCCATTGGCAAGCCGCATTCCAATTTTCAGGTCTTTGGTCACCCAAGAAGAATAGGGAAAAGCATACAGCATATGTCCCCGCAAGTTCTTCCTTAGACCACCAATTCAAGCGGAGATTGGTAATAACTGATTCCCATTCGTATTGGCAATTGAAAAGAAAATGTTCCCAAAGCGCCTTGTGTAAATTCAGTACGAAGGCTTGATTGTCGTCGGGATCTTCATTTGCCACGTCCCATTCCTGCAACTCGGATAGATCTGGACCACGTTCCTCAATTTCAGGCTCGAAGAAATCTTCCAACGAATCGACTAGCTGCTTCCAAAGAGCAGAAGCAGATTGGTTTTTTGTTGCCAGAGCGGTCGCAAAAATTTGCAGTTCTCGTTGGGCAGAGTTGCCCTTTAACAGGAGCTCAGTGAGCTTCGGGTAGTGGCTGGGATCGAAATAATTGACATGGACTCGCTCAACACAAGATGGCCACTGCAAAAAGAGCGCATAGTCAGCATTTATCATCCATGTAAGAACAACAACAGCGATTCCCACTACCACTATTACGTGTCATAGCCCTTCTTTCTGCTTCTCTCAGTATCATCACAACGTCAGACACTCAATAACATCACCTAAAGACTGTACATACCTGGAAAAGCTTCTCCAAATTTTCAAGAATTGCTAAAGTCCGTCTACGATCTGTCGAATATTGAAGCTGGTCAAGAGAAGGGCTGAAATGTTCCTGAATGGATGGAAGGTAGGAGGTGAGAATCGATTTGAAGACAATAATCCCACGTCCCGTGAGACTAGAAGCATCTGTCTTGATCTTGTCAACAACAGCGTGAGCGAAGATAGAAAGCAAAGCTAAAGCCGCGGGACCGGGCGATTGCGACAACGAGGACGAGGAGCCGTGGGCATATGCAATGACATATTTCAACATATTTTACCTCAGCTCGGTAGACGACATTCTTAGAAGCGAGGGAGTCTAGTACACTGAACTCAAGGCATGCAGAAGTAACAATAACTTCCGGTAAATACAGTCCTCATACCGATGAAGTAAATGCCAAAACCTCAAAAATTATTTCTCTACTTAATAATTAATATAATCGAAAAGTTTGTGTTGTTAAACTTGGTTTTGATGGAGTCTAAGAGTGTCCTATTTATTAACAAACGATATTTTGTCGATTGCTTTCAGACAATGTCACGTTTTCGACTACAACTTAGATTTCTACGCCTAACTAATAGAGAATATAAGTCGAGAGATGATTTTATGTCTTCTTGTTTAGTCATTAGCCAGCTACTTGCAAAACCATAACCAGAAAAATCAAATTAAAGACGGACGAAGTATAACTTGGCATAGTCACGTGGATGTCTAGTACTCCTATCGTCTCCCAAAAGATTAACTTTGTAAGGTGAGTATTGTGGGTCTCGCTAATCTTAAGATATCCTAGGAATTTCTAAACTCCCAGACATCAACATGCTCAGCATCATTTATATTGAATGTCGGTTCATTGCAAGTCAATACACAATGTAACCCTCGTCCTCTCCGAGCCAGAGTTTCTCTCTCTCTTCCGCGCCTTCAGCAAGTAAAGCTTGAGCCGTCTCTTCCTTTCGCTGATTCTCATCCCCTAAAGAAAACGTGGCTCCTTTCGACTGAGTCCGAAACGACCAAGATTTATCGGTTTTTCCCTCCCAAATTTTTGTGAGTCGGACAGCCCAGACGAAATCAGACTCAGCACCAGCCGACAAGGACATTCCCTCCTGCGAAGTTGTTGAGGTATTCACTCCCAACCCAGCGGCACCTGCAAGGTCTCTGTATTTTATGTCAGAAACTGAATGAAGGCAGCAGCAAAAAATGGCGCTTCAAATGACGTTCATGAAGAATTTGTTTCATCACTCACAACGTAGCACCAGCGCCTATGGATCTTTGCCTTAATTCGGATGTTCCGCCACTGGAACCTCGCGCGATTGTCACACCAGTAGTCATGTAAACCGTCCAGGAGCCCAGGAATTTAGTCCGTTGAATATAGTCAGCAACCTGAGGTTCCTCGAGACTCTCGGCGACGAAGTCCCTTGTCGGCTGAATGATGTAACAGTTGAGGCTATGAAAGGTGCGATATCGCTGAACAGTCTGCTGAAAGGCCAAAACAGCATTGGCTTGGACAGTGAGACCGACTGCTTGGGCGACGGGAGCTCTGGGATCAGCTGAGAATCCGACCTGGCGATCACCACCCATCTCCCATTCCAAGTCCCACGCGTGGGTGGAGACAACTGGCACAAGAGGAGTGAAATTGAAGCCCTTCACAGTCCTGTTTATTACCCCATCCAAATCAATAGTGTTGGGGATGATGTGGCCGAGGCTGATCGGTCCATTGCCAGATCCTATGCCATTTACTGGCAGTGTCGGCGGTGGATATTGATTTTGCCTGAGCACAAACCAGCACTTCTCCATGGCTGGTATTTAAAATTGCTGGTCGACTTTGGAAAAAGGGTAGATGCTGTAATCAACAGCAGAATTATAATGCAGAAGCAGTTTGCTGAGGCTACCTCAGCTGAACACGATGGTATCAATTAAACGACAAGTACTCATGACATGGTCCGCCGTAGTATTGTTCATTGCAGCTACATCTTCGGCTCTAAAATGACCGCAAAAGCCAACATAAACCTGGTCATTGCACGCACTTCTCATCATCTAGGCGGGAATATCTCGTCGAGGAGCAAGCTTTTGGAGACGTCTTCGCAGGTTCGATCGGTAAGTGTTCTTGTAACATTTAACAATGTCAACCTTATCTGGGACGGACATTCGGGACCGCTCTAGCAAATGTGTTAATCTTTTTCGCGATTGCGTGTCCGACCTATTATTAAGAAACCTGAGCTCGGTTGAGCATGGTCAGGCAGATTTCAACCTCTGGGTTTACGGACTCGGTACAACATCTACCGGGAAGTCGTCGCTTGATTATCGTGTCCGACAGCGGGAAGATTTGTCGAATATGATATGCGATTTGGTTAACGGCCTGGAGGAGTCTTTGCAAGATTGTTTAAGCCAAGGTACAGTATCCGTCGTGAACGTGATCTGAGTTTAGGGATTGCGAAACTCCTGGCTTCACGTAATCAATGTATCTTCTCTGACTCAAACTTCACAGATTTCGACAGTACTGCGGAACCTGATGCTTTGGAGTATCATGGATTTAACGTGAAAACAATTCTGAAGCAGCTTTCCAGAATTCACCTCGCTATTCGGAGGGCTGGGAACAGTTTACGCCATCAAAAAGCTGACGCTGCGCTACCTGATGCTCTGAAAACCGACGAATACAAGAAATGGAAATCAGAAATGGAAGATGTGATTTCGATGGGCCTCGAAAACCAGACTCCGTACTCACGAGACTTGTCTATCGAACAAAGAGCTCTCAGTCCTTTGCAGGAGCGACTCATCTTTGCTAATTTGCGACGGCGGCATAGGATGCAATATGCAACTAGAACATTGAGAGAGGCACAAGAGCGAGAAGAAAAGCAGAAAGAAATTGAAGCCAAAAGGCAAACCGAGTTGGCAGAAAAGAAACACCTGAAATCGAATTTATCCAGATCAGAGAGTAAAGGGAGCCCATTTAAGGAACTTGTCGATAAAGATTCTTCACCGGCTACTGCTGTGGAAACATTGAGCAAACATGGATCTCAAGCGCAGCAAACAGTGACCGAGCTTGCCTCCGATTTCGAAGTCAACCTGGCAGGTTCTCGCAAATCTGCAACGATCTTAACCAAAGCAACCTACACTGGCCGCAATCAAGACTACCCGTGATGGCCCAAAACCGCCAATACTGCAGCCGACATACCATGTCCTTACTGCGCAGAGCCTCTGTCTGTCAACTATGTCAAGAATGAGGTACGCTGGAGGTTTGTCTAGCCACTGGGCGATGCTCTTAATAAATCAATGTCTGATGGTTTTAGGGGCCGCCTTGCGAGAGATATCGCTCCGTATGTCTGCATATTTGAGAGTTTTGATATGCCAGATGCCATGTTCGTCACCACCGATGAGTTGAATAAACACATACTAAAGCATCATGGCGTTCAACGCTGGGTTTGCAACTACTGTGCACCAAATCTCCAGGAAGATCAGCTGATGATTTTTGATACTGCTCAGGACTGGATAGACCATGTCGCGGAATCTCATTTCCCGGCCATGCCGGCATCTAGGCTTGATGTCTTCTCTGAAATGAATATGAGTGTCATGGTTGGGCCTATTCCGTGTCCGCTTTGCGACTTTCATACCACTACTGTGCAACCTGAACTCCAAACTCATATAAGCGAACATATGCATTCGTTTGCTCTCAGGTCCTTGCCGTGGGGCATCGGCGACGGTCGAAAGGACTCGGAAGCAGCTGGACTCGACGCTAAATCTGACCTCAGTTGTGCCAGCCAAGACATGAATGTGGATTATTTTGGGGTGAACCCATTTGAAAGATTTGACCCGGAGACTGATATCTCACTCTTTCGTTTTCTTCAGGTCGAGATCAAAGATTCCATGACAATCGGAAGAAGCCCTTGGGAGAATTTACCAGAAACAACTAAAACATACCTTCGCCAGATGATAGTATTATTTCGGTCAGAAGATTACATCGACACATCGATAGAACTGTATACTGCCGCTCTAATGAGGGTATACTGCGCGTTATTTCAACTACAACAAATGGAGTACCCCAGGATTTCGTCAGAAGCTTATGATGCATATACGGTCCCGAAAGATGTAGTCACACAAATTCAAGATTATCTCAGGGTCGAATTGGAACTCTTCCTAGAAACATTCAAGGATTCAGCTTCGGACGCAATTGACGACAATTCTGACCTTGCCAGATATAGCCACACTGGGGACGAAGAGACCCTGGCTGTTACGGAATTGGAGAGCAAATCGACGGAAGTACAGCCCCAGATGGACTTTGAATTGAAGGGAGTAGGTTCGAGTAAGATGGTCTCCAAAGTTGGGGTGCACCAATGCAAATACTGCGATAAAATCAGCTCTTACTTCTATACTCTCCTTTCCCAAGATACCGCGAAAGACAAGTTATTCGACCATCATGGGGCAATTTCCAGCTTGAGGGAATCTGCTGCTAGAGGATGCCAGTTGTGTAGTCTATTCTTGACATGGATGGGCTTTTCGACAACAGATAAGTCTGTAAACGACCCGAGCGCGACATTGAAAGAGGAAAGCAATTCAAGTCAACATCAGTCAAAGGAAGAACCTATGCAGAAATATACAGTGATCCTGCAACGCCCAGCTGACAGTCTGACCAAAAGAGTGCTCACGTTGTCTATCAATGAAAGGCATAAAGTCACTTTAGAATTATATTATAATAGAGGTAAGAAAAAGCGTTCTTTAACACCGAAAAACGGCCACCGAAAAATCCTTGAAATTGACTTCTTGATAACTACTAGGCGATCCTCTCGAGGCAACGATGTGGACGAACAGTAGGAATGTTGACGAGTCCCCTTTATCACTCCAAAGTTTAGATCTAATCAAGGAGTGGCTCTTGTCCTGCAATAAATACCACAGCAATTGCTGTAACGTGTCTAAGGAGCCACAGTTACCAACTCGTGTCTTAGATTTGGGCACCATGAAAAGCTCAGCTGATCTCCGGCTGCTAAACTCCGAGGGCTTATGTGGACGATACGCTGTTGCTAGTCATTGCTGGGGCAACGTTAAAGCCTTGGTGACTACACGTACGAATTACAAGAAATGCTTGCGTCCATCAGGTTTACAGCTCTTCCGCCAACTTTTCGAGACTGTGTCATAGTCGCTCGCGAATTAGGCATACGTTATCTCTGGATAGATGCACTTTGCATAATACAAGACGACCTCGACGACTGGAAGAAGCAAGCGGAGTTGTTTCCGGAAGTTTTCGAGAACTCCTTCGTAAATATCTTCGCAGCTTCAGCTCCTGATTCATTCAGAGGGTTTTTGGGCCCCAAGCTTCCATCACGGCTATTCACTTTCCCTGTCGAGGTCCTGAAACACTCTAAAGACGGGTTTCTTCACCTACGACAGCCTTTGAATGATACTGATCCCGTGAAAGGAGAGCCCCTTGCTACCCGCGCATGGTCCTTCCAAGAACAGCTTCTTTGCCCCCGAAATATTTGCTACACGTCTCAGCAGATCGTCTGGGAGTGTCAGAAAGCGTCACATCGCGAGTCCCTTTTCGATTGGCTACAGTTTGATTCTCCCCGGCTGCCAATCAAGAAGTTCATTGGGCAAGTCAACTCGGGATTGAGTGCCATATTGGAATCCTCTATTAGTACCGAGACGTACGACTTATGGTACAGCCTCCTTGTACTGTATTCTCCTCTTCATGTCATTGTATTTCGAGACAGACTTCTTGCAATATCTAGCGTCGCTCGTGTCTTTGATCGAGTGTTGAAAGATGCATACATTGCAGGTATATGGACAGGTGATTTTCCTCACTTCTTAATGTGGCGCGCGGTTGACCCTCATAACGCGGACCCAAACTCAAACGAGGTTGGTCCCAGTTGGAGTTGGGCTACATTTCCTGGACAGATCCATTACTGTACTCGACCCACAACTGATTCTAGGGTCCGATGGCTAGTGCCAGCAGATTCACAGCCTGGACCTCCAAAAGCTCTGCACTATAACTCTATGTCAACTGGGGAGGACAAGTTCGGTGTGGTCTCCGAGGCCATTATCAGTATTGAAGCCGACTTTTTAACGTTATCCAGAGACGATGGGATACCTGGGTTTGATTATGACATTGACAGAGATTTATGGTATTCTGGTTCGACTTTCTTCGCTATCTTTCTTGCCAATACGACAAGCAGCGAATCTCCTAATGCGGTGGGTTTGATTCTTCGCGAAGATCCATCTCGCCCAGAGACATTTTCTCGAGTGGGAATCATTGATTTTGAGAAACCATTAGTTCAGTGGGAGAGAAGAGTCATCAATCTCGTGTGAGGACAGAAGTAGGAGATTGGATTAAGGTAATACGGCTTTAGCACTACATCAAACCGAAACTATCCTTAACCGGGCTCATGCTCATTGAAAAGGAGAGCCTATTAGTTTTATAATCCATCAGGACGATACTTCATCCAAATAACACACGATGCAAATGATACATGATCCAAATGTACCAAACTAAGCAAACCAATATATTACTACACACAAATAAACTCTCCCAGATTCACAATACTGAAAAATATATACGATTATTTTCCTCCAACAAATCAAAGGAAAAACTAATTAACAAGAACGCCAAAGCGCAACATTAAACATTAAACATCACCAGTTATGAATGCACACAATTCTCTACGCACCCTAAATATTCATCTGTGAATAACTTAACACCATAACCTAATATTAGAGATCAGAGATCACATTACCAATTCTTGGGTCTTAGGCTATAGTCTAAGAGAACAGGGTATGTAGAGAAGGTTGTTGCATTGATAGATTCTTATTTGTGATGTTGGATTACGCACAGAATTGTGTCAGCCACTGGTGCAGCAAGTATTGCATAATTCGACCTTCTAAGCAGCTAACTTTTCAATCCTTAGAACAAGTCTAGAAATTAAGTAGATTTGAAGAGGGTAGATCTGGGTGTGGGATAAAGATTTGAGCAGGTTCGGTTCGGCGGTGCCGAGTGTCGTGTGTGAAGGACAACTAGTCTGAAGGTTGGATCGTGTGAGTTCGCAAAGTGAAGAATATTGAGGGATATGGGATGCAGTCTGTAGAAGGAAAATTACGTCCTGGTTTGCAAGAAGATATATCAGATAAGCTCTACTACATTTCAATCCCATTTCTGATACTCATCGATTTATTATGTAACAAGTGACGAAGTCTATTATATACTGGTTAAACTGCTGGTCTTAATTAAAGTTCTCACGAGAAAGATGGTTAATTCACAAAATCTATGGGAGAAGCAATGTAAGCATATCCAGATATCAATTCCCACATACCTTTAACAGTTATCTCATCAATACTCATCCACCCCTAACACCAAAACAACAGCTCACACCACAACACGAAACCCCAACTTCACTAACCCCTTTCTAAACTTTCTCTTCTCACGTTTATCTTCCACCTGACCTATTTTAAAAATCAAGAGAGCCCAACAATGAATATATTTGACAAGTTCAATCCATTGAGGATGATACCGCATTAGGTACTCCTTGATCCAACGGATTTGATACTCGCTCATATTGCTTCCACACATACCCCAGAATGGCGAATTAAGATGCTCCTTCCTGCGTCTGAGTAATCTCCTCTTCGTGGGCGATACAGGGATTGATCTGGTGAAATCCAAGGCCATGAGAAGAAGGAGTATACCTCTCTTTTCGTGACTGTCGGGTGAGAAAGCTCTGCACCACGCTTTCCAGACCCCACCTTGTTTTAATGCCTTGGCCCAGTTCAGAGCCTTGATTTCAGGAGGGAACTCAACTTCCCGCATTGGTTCAGAAATTGGGCGGGGACCGGAAGCATGGAGAAGTGCGGATTTGGTGGCGCTCTCGCGGTCTGAATCTACAATCTCCGCAAGTGATACCAGGTCCCACGCTTCACGAAACGCGTTCAGATCTCTAGCACTGCTAGCTCTGCCAATATCTCTAGATATCCTCGCCCTGTAACACTTCGAGAGCACTCTCACGACAGAAGCAGAATTATCCAAGCCAAATATGCCCTCTTCCCGAACGGCAGCTTTCAAGACCTCGAGATGATAGATTATGGATACCAAAACGCTCGCTAAATCCACCGTAATTAGATCGTAGCAGAAGTCGAACGCCGGCTTTGTATAATATGCTATCGTCTGTCTCTCATTTAGACCCAGCACCTGACAAAGGTTATGAAACGATTGGTATTCCTCCTCGTTGTTTTGAGGACCAATGACGCGAAATGTCTGTTTTACAACCTCGTTTTTCGAGCGCGTCTGTACTGGTAAATTTGTAGGAATGGTGAGCTTGTCAGTAAGTTCGGATATCTCGATTGGATTGTCTGGTGTGTTTCCAGAAGAATGCAGTTGAGGATCGAGCTTCTGCGATAAAAGTTTGGTCTCGATTACGTATGGGTTCTTGAGGGTTTGAATTGGTGTTATGGGACGAGTATTATCGGTCAATAGCGCAGCTGCCGGCGACTGCGTCCTCTCATCGATTGGATTGTTGGGGGTATTGTCAGAAGAGCGCGGTCGGGACTCCAGCTTTTGCGATAGACGTCCCGCTAGGGTGGGGCGTGGTTTCCTAGATATCCTAGGTATCCTGCCATCCGTTTTCTTTATTTCTGTATGTGTCAGCCAAGTTCAAGTTGCCACAACTCAGAATACATACCACTTCCAGGTACCACTTCACTCGTATCAAACAAGAAATACTCAAGATCGTCTTCTATTTTGTCGGTGATCCAGTCTTTAACTCCTTTAACCTTTTTCTTACGTCCTCTTCGCTGGAGCGATGATGAACTATCTATAAACCGTTAGCAAAGTCTACCTTTTTGACTACCGCTGTCTGAGTTCTGATGATACCATCTGGCGCTTCTCTTTTTTTGCTTGAGGTTGTTGTAACTTCGACGGATACTGTTGTAACAGCAAGTCCTAATGAATCTAGAAGTTTATCAATATAAATATTTCCTGCCTCCATGTCGGGCGACGGAGATCGGATACGCTGGATATTGTCCTCTATGTTTACACTTTGACTCGACGTAGGATTGGTGGAGGGTTGCTGGAGTTGCGAAATTGCTTTCCCCGCGTTCGTCGCGTTCGTCGCGTTCGACGAAACCGAAGCAAAATTGTTTTCTCTGTGGTGCTCTGCGTCAACAACAGGCTTCTGGGATACCTGCAGTCCTGCAATCGATGAAGACTGCGACGATGCGGTTTGTCCCATCGAGCCGGGTGGCTGGAAGCTTCGCCACATGGCAGAAAAAACTTTGTTGCGGTTCCGATGAAGTTTTGAAAAAGATGTGTAGATAATTCGGGAGTTGCGACCATCGAACTGTTCGATGGGTTATTGAGTTCAACTTCGCTTATACGCCCCACTTTTATATACTCCTCACGATTGCAATTACCTGATTGATATCAGGATACGCTGCAGCAACGGTCAATATTCGTCAGTAACCACGGAATCAACTGAATGAAGAGGACAAGCCTGGTGTGTTATATACTATCATTTGATATTTAGCAACGGATTAGAAGAAAATGAAGCATTTTTCACAGATCAAAAATTGAAAATTAAAAACAGACCTATTCACTCCTAACTTGAATACAACAATGAATACAACAATGAATACTACAAGGAATACAACAAGGGTCCAGCTAACGTGCAAAGTGTAGTCGACCTTTCTTAAGTAAAAGTAGAATCACACGACCCATGGAGGGATTAGGAAGGCGATACCTTATACATAGAGTTTGAGAAACATGGACGTAGCCATCAAGTGCCCTTTCCCTTTGCCAAAAATAAGGCGAATGAGAAGGATATGCTCAAATAAAGTGTCTAGCATTCAACACCCCTTTGACACGAGTTTACTTGACTATAGTTTTGAAAGAAACATCTTGAACCGGGCTGTAGTTTAGGAAGTGTCAAGGTGACTAAAATGGAAACGGAGTGTGGACGATACCTCGGAAAATGGCTATGTAAGCTCAAAAGTTTCACAAGAACTCGCGATAACAGATATCTGAGGTTGCTAGTTCCTTTGTATATATGGAAGATGTGTAGTTTTAGGTCGTCAACCCTTTACTAGAGTTCACCCTTCGAAGAGAGTTCCGATGGTCTGATTTAATGCTTTGAAAGACACAGCAAGTTACGGGCTTACAGAATAATCAGGAGCCGAGATTGAAAAGTAACCTCAGTTTAGGTCAAAGTTTCGATCATGGAATTGATATCCTAACTTCATAAAGCTGTCCCCCATGTTTTAACCCATCAATCGTAATCCCACCAGTCGCTAGATACAAGATGTGCTTATTCTTCTTCGAGACGGCTGCCGCCGTAGGCTGATAGAGAGTCGTATATTCCCCAACGCTGCCATAGAATAATGTTTGCTTCCCACTTGGGGTAATTTTCATAAACGCATATTGATGCATCGAAATATAGGCATTTCCGGCGGCATCGATTGCAAATTCATCGAAGATATTTGACATCCCATCGATACTGGATTTTGCTAGTATTTCAACCTCACCAGCCTTACTGCCAAAGATATCGATTCGCATACGGCCAAAAAATCCCTGTGCCGAGTTTGTAAAGTAAACGTATTCACTAAAGACCTTGAGACCGTTCAACTCGATCGGAAGAGCTGATCCACCGGGGCCGAGCATGGCCGGGTCGGAGACGATCACATCAACCTTCCGGCTTCGAGTGTTCACTCGGAAGATTTGGCCGCCCACGGAGTCTGCGGTGAGTACGATCCAGGGGAAGATTGGTAGAGAGTCCATGCCATTGAGAGTTCCGTTGACCGGGATACGGTCGGTGACCTCCCCTATATTGCCGTTGCGGGGAACCGAGACTACATAAACAGCGCAGCTGCCAGTTTCAAAACCCATCGAGAAATGGATGCCACCACTGACGGCAAAGAGGGATTTGCTCCTCCCATCGTTCAACGTTGCGATACCCGTCAGCCCCGTAGCATAGCTCATGTTTGCCACGATAATAGGGGCCGGTACAGCAGCTGTAGGGTCGAGAGCGTAGAGGCTGTTAGTACTGACGGATGAGAACAGTAAGCCGCCAGTGGGACGCACATGGACATTCTTAATGAACGTCGTGTTGGCCAGCAGCTGTCTGACAGCTCCTCCGTCAGCTGTGGGAGGAAATGTGGGAGCAAAATCAGGAGATGTAGTGCTGCGAGCCGCGTATAGCGAGGGAAAGTAGTGCCAGGTCAACGCTGTAGTAGGTCGTCCAAAGTACGGAAACACACCAGCGGCGATCAAGTTAAAAAGATACATGTCGTGCCGAAATTAGGTGAGTGAGCAGTATGAGAGACTTGTTAAAATCAGAGATACACAACTCCAAACCGAAGCCGGAGGCAGAGAAGAAATTCCCTCCTTTTATTACTTCGATGGGAAGCAAACCTCGCTTAAAGTTAGATTCTGGCTTCCACATGGCCAACATGCAAGCCCAGGGCAGGGAACCGTCGGTACAAGGTAATCGCTAATTGTTGGCGTTGTTGGCGTTGTTGGTAACGTTTGCATCTTACCTTGAGCTTCTGTCTCTGTAAATTTATTGTCTCCGTGCCTCGCCTCTCACCTACCTTCCCCACTTCACCATCAAACTATGGTCGAGTAGCTATCCAACGCTTGTGACCCCGAGGTAACTGAGGGAACTCTTCAAAAGACCTTCACTGTTACTCGAGAGCGTCCTTTCATCATCTTGCACCCGTTACCTCTCGTCTAATCTGCTCAATTAAGCTTACAGCGAACGGCCTCACCTCACGCCATGAAGCTGATCGTCGCAGGATCAACCGGTTTTGTTGCCACGGAAATCATCCGTCAAGCTATTCGCAATCCCGCCATCACCTCCATTATCGCACTTGCTCGTCGTGAGACTGTTCTAGACAACGGCGTTGATACATCGAAGCTCAAATCGGTCATCTGCGATGACTTTATTAACTACTCAGAGGAAGTGAAGAAAGAACTTGCCGGTGCTGATGCATGTATCTGGTATGTTGACGTAGCAAAGAACTCAACCCCATCCAAACTATGGCGATCGTTGATTTTGTTGATGGAATTCAATGGCTGATAGTACGAACTAGGACAATCGCCGTCACGCCCTCCCAGCTCAAATCCATGACGCTCGAGGAAGTCAACAAGATCTGTTACGACTATACTGTAACAGGTATCGAGACCATGTCTCAGCTTGCCTCGAAAGAGAAGCCATTCAGATTTATCTACATTAGCGGCGAGAATGGTGAGCGCGATCAAACCAAGAAACCATTTATTATGGGCGACTATGCTTTGATTCGTGTAAGTGCTCGCTGATGTAGGACAATGACGACAACTAATTATTACAACCACAGGGAAAAGCCGAATCCTACGTCCTCAACTACGCAAAAGACTCCAAAGGAGCAGTCGTAGCTTGCTGCGCAAAGTCCGGATTGATTGATGCACCAGGCAGGATGACCTTTGCCAAATCGATGCTTATGGCAGTCGTTCGGGCTGTTGTAGGTCTTGGTAAGGTTCAAGTGAGCGAGATCGCTGCGACTTTGATTAATGAAGCTGTGAATGGTATTGGGAAAGATACATTGTTGAATGAAGACTTGGTGAGGATTGGTTCGGGGTTGTTGGAAAGTCAGAAGACGCTTTGATAAGTGTGCCGGTTTTGATAGTTGGGCTGGCTTGTTAAGAGCTTTTTGAATATTCAAACCTTCGCACTGAGCTGTTTCCTTTTCATATTTACTTCTCGGCTAGGCGATATATAGAACAATACATGTTAGCCTTGACCTGAATCTAAACATCCTCTTTTTGTTATGTGTCCCATTTTGGGGTCGCATTGGTGATCTTAGCCCATAGTACTAGTTTCTAACATATCGATTTTACACATTTCTTTTCAGCATAGAAGTCTTTAGTGGAAACTGAACGTACCGTAGTACGTAATAACACTCGCTAATCCCATTGAACTCAGTTCCTTTGAGCGTACAAAGTATTGCAGGTATAACATACCCACAATCCTTGCCTATCAACCAAAAGTTTCTGCTAACACCTTAATACTCAAAATCATAACCAACAACCCGATCGCCACAATTGTATTCACAAAGAACCCGCCCCACCCCAAAACCATGGCCACACTCCCAACATGCGCACTGATACTTCCGTAGCTCAACCCCTCACCCATGATCCCAGCGGCAGAGCTCACAATATGCTGCCACAGGATTGCGATGAAAGATACCAGGGAAGCAGCTACACAGAAAGCGAGAGCGATCTGGGACACTGGTCGCGAGGGAAAGGGTTTGACTTCGCGATCGCTGCCTTCGCCATCGGTTTCTTCGTGCCAGCCGGGGAATGTCGCGAGACATAAGAAAACTATAACGCCGAGGGGGATGGAGAGGAATCTAGCTTATTAACGTCCATTCCACAAACTCAATCCGAGGCCAAACTTACAGCAACCCACTCCAAATAACCTGTCCCTTGAACCTCTTCGCAATCCAAATCAGATTCAACGGATCGTCATTGCCGCCTGTCCTCCGCTCTTTCACGATATTGGCCAGGCCATTCGCGCTAGATGAGCAGATCCACAGGCCGGATGATTCTTTGATGCAGATCCCCATGTAGCCTACGCGTACCTCCGCCAAGGGGGAGTTACTACCATTAGAGACTATTTGTGAGAAGCTAGTTGTGAGATTGATGTTTACTTGCGCCGGATCTGGGTGAGACGCTGAGGGCTTGTAGGAGAGTCCGAGTAGATAGACGTTTGTGAGACCAGGCGTGGTACATCCCGCTAGGAGGATCGCTGGGTTTATTAGAGGGGTAGAGAAATGAGGAGAGGGGTGTTACAGAGGAGGATTATGGAGACGGAGAGGAGTATCATGAGGACGTGGTGGTAGCCGAGATATGGGACGAGCCCTGGTAGCGGTTAGCAGGTACCTCGATTTGATGACTGTGTGCTGTACTCACTCATCCAACGAACCTGATACCCAGCACCTGATTCGCGACTTCCTGACGCCATGTTCAATTACTATTGAGAAATGAAAAGCGTGACGCGATGCGAGTTGATGTTCAGAGTGAAGAAATGAGTGTGGTGGGTACTCCCCACTTCAGCCTCAAATCCAGGGGTCATGGTGGGTGAGGTTTGACGAGATTCGCAAGGGTTATATGCAAAGACTTTGGGGTCCATTCGGCATTGTACAGCCGTGTGTGATTCGTGGAACTTGAAGAGTTATGTCCGAGTCTCTTTTCGATTCCTCTAAGATACTCGAGATAAAGAAAGAAAGATGTTAATAGGTACTCGAAAGTATGCATCGCCGGAACTTATTTTTTATTATTTTAGTTTACTAGCAGCGGGTTCAATAAGCTTTAGACCACGAATCTTGGGAAGAGCAGGAAAGTCATTTTAAAGAGACCGCGAATTCGAATTATGCTAAATATTTCCACCTTCTACTATTAGTCATCTATTAGAGAATGTAAACTACTACTAACATCACTTGAAGTACTACCATATCGTGCTACGCTTGTTAGTATATAGATATAATGAGCGCAAAGCCCGATAAGGAGGAGCGCAATGATGCACGCTGTGATCGCTGCCTTTATTCCATTGCCAAGTCCAGATGTCCAAATGATTGCTAACAAAATAGCTACCGCGCAAAGAGCGATAAACCCAATGACAGCCCATTTTCGACTCTGTTTCAGCCAGCGGGTGACTCGATCTTGATTAAGGGCCAGAAAGATGAAGGGTATTGATGCTGCGCCCGCGACGGATACTATTCTATTGTTAGGGATGTTTGGTGGACACATGCTGGAGATAGGAACGTACGCATATACTTTAGCACATATCCCAAAGATAGCTTGCCATTCTCATCGAGGGGAAATATGTCAATGTTTATGGTAAAAAATGCGGCCATGAATGACAGAGGAAGCTGTTCCATTGTTAGTGTTATGTTTCAAATGGGTCTGAAATTGACTGACGAAGATGATTGTCACGATTGTGAACAACTGAACAGTCTTTCCCTGCCTAGCGGTTTCGACGGCTTGCTCTTGAGCAAGTCGCTGCAGCTTAATACCTTGATTGGCAATATCCAAACTTCGCTTCGCTTGTTTTGTACTTTCTACCGCTTGCTGACGAGCGTAAAGCGCTTCAGAAACATTGGCTTGTTTTTGTTTTAAATCCAGAAGATGGTTGAGCTACAAGAAATGTTAGCTAAAACCAGTATCCAATTTTTAGTACCTACATCTTGATAAGTCTTCTCCACAAGTTTCTCCATTTTGTTAATTCGGTGCAAGTGACTTTCAAGAACTTTATTTGGTTGCATTGAATATAGATCAGATGGAGAATGAGTCTGTTCGAACCCACTATTCGTCACGGAGAGATGAGAGAAGCCTTTCATCACCTCTAATTGATCACTGATGACAAGTTGTAGGATGCCGAGCTCATCTCGAATATCCTTAATTTCGACAAGGAGTTTGGTTTCGGTCGTAATCTCAAAGATAGCATCAACATGAATATCCTCAATGTGGTTATCTCTACCAAAGTCGCTAACATCGGGGTCATCATTGAAAGTGGCCCACTTGCGCGGTCGTTGGATTTCGATAGGGGCTTCGGTGAACGCCTTAAAGCACCGTGCCTCTGCATCAATCTATGATAATAGAATCTTATTAGCTAGATAGATAAGTAAAGACAAAGCATCGTTGACTCACCACTGCTCCAATAGAGTGTTCGAAGAAGTCAAAAAATTGATAGTCTTTATCGACTCTGTACTGGTCAAAAACGTTTGCACAGGAGTCAGAGATCAGACTGGCAAGTTCGTAGACACTTTTAATGGGAGCTCGAGCAGAACCTTGCAAATGTTTCATCACCATTTGATGCACGTTTAAAGGATCAGCTTGGAATCTCAGTCTGCTCTCTTCTGAGGACGAAGTTGGACTTTGCGAAAAAGCACGACTGGCTTCACGATCAGCTCTCCTCTGCGTCCTTTCCGTGTCTTGAGGAATTTTCTTCCCTGATGGTCTGGATGCGTGTGAAACACTGGCTAACCAGCCTATCACTGGATTTGGTGGCGACTGCAGCTTCTTTTTGGAAGTTCTCGATTTCTGAGCATTGCCTGGGTTCCCATCCCGATCTGGGTTTGCACGGGGAGTAGGGCCGTCCGTTGGCAGAATGGATCCTTGGCGATTTCGTGAATCGGATGCTCTTGGTATCAAGGCATCCACTTCTCCTAGGGGAATACTCGGTTCCTCGCCTGGAGGTTGTGGAGGGGGCTCTTGTGGTAGCCCATGTCGATCAACTTCACCTTGATTTCCGGAAAGCAAGTCCGATTGATATTCGGGGCCAGGCGGATGCTTCTGTGGAGCCTTTTGCGTTGACTCCCTGCGCCGATTGCGTTGTCCTGCGTGTTTGGAGTGCCGAAAGAAGCCATAGTCAGCTTCAGGCGGCTGCTGATGTGAAGGTGTGGAGTACTGTACAGCTCCTTGTGTTGGATTCGTGGTCTCCAAAGGCTCCCATCGTTCTGGACAACAACTTATAACCGTATCTGTGATTATGTTAGCTCGAAGCATCCGAGTGGCCATTCTGTAATATTACCTCCATTAAGTATCCAAATCCACAACTGGTCGACCATAAATATCTTTGGCTCCATCTGTTTACGTTCATCATTTGTATACCTATACACGACTTGATCACTGTCGCGATTAGACGTACTTTCAAGATGAGTATAAAAGTACTGATCAAGGGTGCGCCGCAGCTGAAGTGGTGGAGCATCTCCCGGTCTACTGGATTGCAAATATCCCTTAATGAGATGTTCATTGGGGTTCCCACGATCAAAAGCTTTGATATTTCGAGCTCTAGCACTCCGCCTAGATGAATTATCTGTCTCCTGGCCAACAGCAAAGAAGTCATCGACCGCCTGCCGTTTGGGAGGAGGACGAAGGATATCGTTTGGTTTAAGCTTGGCCTGAGCCTCATTATCACTGGCGAGATCGTCGTTTAACTGACCATCAGTATTCAACGTCCCTGGATCCGCCTCATTCGTAATTTTGTCCGCAGAATGCTGGCTGGAAGAGGCTGAATCCGGCAGGGGAACTTCTAGAACATCTTGAAATGATATATGAGGTGATCTTATAGGTGGCAAAGTCAACCCAGTTGATTCTGAAGTTTGTTGGGATTGGATCTGTATAACTGAAGCTATTGGCGGATCGGGTATGGCACCTTGTGCATTTTCAACTACTTGTGGGTGGCTTCCAGAAATCTCTGACTGTTGATTATCCTGCTTAGCTTCGATTGAGTCACTCGGAGGACTTTTTACGCCGTCGACATTAAGTGTTCGTGTCTGCGGCCGCGGAAATTCCTGAACTTGCTCCACAGATTCAAGCTTTTCTGAGGGCGAGTCTACCGGTTTTTGCGTTTCCTTCGGGTCCACCTCATTTTCTGTTACTTCTTTGATTTCAGTAGGCTGTTCAACATTCCTTGCTAGGCGGACATCATCGACAGGACTGTCTTTTACTTCTACCTCGTCACCAACCTGTTCAGGATCGCGAGTCTGTTGCAGTACCCCACGTTCTAGGTCTACCTCAACGCCAGTTGTCGCCCCACTTATCGATTTGACAAGATGATCTGACTTTTCTTTAACCTTCTGCTTCAAGCCCCGAAAAGCTAACGTCGAGCCTCTTAAAATATCCTTCAGCCTATGCTCTTTCTTTACTTCTTCTTCGGATACTGAAGATGGCTCAGATTCACTCTCATTGATGACAGCGATAGGTTCTGTAGGCGGTGGTGCTCGGTGGGGCGGTGCTCGGTTTACTCTTCTGCTGCTTTTTAATGGTCGATTATGACGGGATCTTGGTCGTGGCGGAGCAGGATATTTCACAGCTTGTACTGTCCGAGACATGTTTTGGTATGCGCCAAAAGTCTCGAAGTGTAAATATGGAGCCTGCAGGGTTAATTGTAAGCTTCGCTTAAAATGGAATGAAACACATACAAATAATACGATGTGATCTGCTTTTCTATCCTCGATAGAGGCTTTTGGTTCTGACTTTAGATTAAAAGTTAGTTGCATGATCTTGTATTGGGACTAGATCCATACCATGATAGGTTTACATAAATGCCGCATGAAAGAAGAATGAGCAGTTGAAGTTCGATATTGTCGACCAGACGCACTGTTAAGCCCAAGATTCGATTTTAGCTCCTCATCAAGCACTTTGCCAGATCCATTTTCGGCGAATATTCGTGTCACTAATGCCTAAAAGCATCGTTAGTGGGGTAAAGTAATTGCATCAGAAATTATATCTTACCTCAACCCACTCAATCTACATGAGAGTTAAAATTGAATTCTTATATCAGAATGAAATGAACTTACATTATTTGCCGGGAGGTGGTACCATCTGAACTTTGGGTTCTCGCCTTTCATTTTGTTCCCTCTTGCCTTTGTCATAATTGCTTCTGGACCATCACCATAGAGGACCTCGTACATGGAAGGTGATTTTTGGATCCTTCGTTCGCGGTCTCCTAAGTAAAAATCCACGATTGTTGCTTTAAAACCAAAGCACGCCTGAAGTTTATCGTGCTGGTCGGGCGGCAATGCTGGAACATGCGTAAAGCGTCTTTGAGAAGGAGCTTGGGGAGTATTCATAGAAGGGCCTTGAAGAACGTAATCCGTATCCAACAAGGAAAGTATCTGCGGCTTGTCGGACGCAAAATCCTTCAGCGTGCTGCCATCTTCGAGTTTGATTTTACTGTCGGCTCCATGCTTCAACAGTAACTTCGTGAGCCTTATGTTACCCCTTTGAACTGCGCTGTACAAGGCTGTCTGTCCATCTGAGTTCTTTGCATCCACATCGGCGCCACGCTCCAGCAAAATCTTTGCGACTCTCCAGTTGTCGGCATCTACGGCTTGATAGAAAGCCGTAGTCCGGGTTTCTTGGTTGAATGATTCCACATCTGAATTGAATTTCAACAAATCCTCCACGATAAGCACTGCCGAAGCGGTGCTAAAAGCTGCAGCGATGAACAAGGGCTTGCTCCCGTCATTACTCGTTGCCTCTGTGTTTGCACCCCTTTCAAGTAGCCGATTTACCATAAAGGTATCTTGTTGTTGCACAGCCAGGTGTAATGGTGTAAGTCCATCACGATTTTTGACACTTAGATTGGCGCCCTCATCCAGCAGCCGTTGAACATCCTTTGGATCCCCTTCGACTACCGCTGCAAGTAAAAGGCGATTTTGAGTCTGGACATCGTCATCAGCGTCTGAGTCTGAAGCATCTCTGTCTCTGGCGGGCTCTTCATCCGCATCGTCTTCAAGGCTCCGTTTCCTCGGCTCCATTGTTGCTGGCTATAGAGGGCTCAGCTGAAGCCTCATCAATGGGCGCAAAGCACTCATTCTTGGCCACGAGTCAAAACTTGTAACCATTGATGTGCGAAAACACGGGATGGTCAAGCTGAAATTAAACATGCAGGGTACGCAGAAATATTGTGGAGCATTGGGGGCCGTTGTATGGGCGGCATGCACGCTCATAATGTTCGTCCATTTTGAAGCCCTTAACTGTGAGGTGTTCAAGAGTGCATTGAACGAAGCACGATGATTGTGACGAAGATGTTACACGTGTGATCTAGAGAGCGTGAACTAGTGACACGAAGAAATGAACGCGGCATTTGTGTACTGCTGGCGGGCGAGGCCGGAGGCGGACCGCCGAGCGCGGCCCGAAGCGAAGAGTTGAACTCACCTCGGTGGTCAGGATAAGTGGCAGTCGAATCACAATATCTCTTTTGATTAAGTTGACAAACTATCATATATGTAGTGGATTAAGTTGGCAGTCAGTAACTTTAATTGAATGACTGTTTTCGAGCTCTATTTGAAGTCGAACTGTCTAGTCCAAACATTGATGCGCCAGTGACTAGCACTTACCTTGCCTTCCGCGAGCTCACTTTACTGAGAACAAACACCAGTAAGATCACAGAAAACAACTCAAATTCAAAAGACCCGACCTGTGTATCAAATACCTGTATACCCTCCGAACTCCACATACAATTACAACAAGTCACACCCAGATATTACGCTCACTCCCTATTCATCAAAAACGGGCACTCCGAGATCCCAATTCTACTCATCTCCTCATGTACTCTCGTGACCTCTTCACTATCTTTCGGTTCAACAACTGCGGCGCCAGGTTCAAGTTTCTGCTCATGCTCGGCGGATACCTTTTCTTCGATTCCAGCGCCTGAAGCTGTTACCATGTCCTTCTTCTCCTCAGCGGGGAGCTTGTAATCTTTGTTGAAGACTTGTTGGGTAGATTCGTCGTTGACGGGTACAGGGCTTTGAGTGTCCTTGACTGAAGGTTGTGTGGCCACGTTTTCTGTCTTTTTCTCGGTGATCAGAATGTTGCTCTCTATGGATTGACTTGGAGCATCCTCTTCCTTTTCTTCGGTGTCCTGGCTTGAAGTTTCTGGTAGCGGTGTTGGGGAGCTGTCCTTCTTCTCCTCGGTAATCTGTTTTGCATCGGCTGAGGACTCAGATGTAACATTTTCGTTCTTGGACTCCACAGCCTGATTGTCGTTGCTCAAAATATGCGGTGTCAATCCGTCTTTCTTCTCTTCGATATTATGAGACACCTTTTCTCTGGACAAAGATGCGTCAACAACCTCCTTCTTCTCAACAGCACTCTCCTTCTCGTTGGCAGGCGATGGTGAAGTGGCATCCTTGGGAGTGACAATAGTCTTGTTGACTATACCCTTCGGAGCAATCTGACGAAACATTTCCAGAGGATCGAACCAAGTTTCAACACTCTGTAGACGAACTCTATCGTCGACCTTTGCTATCGTTACTCCCTGGATGTCGATCGCACCTCCATGGGCCTTCGCGGTAACCTTTTCTCCTTTGCTGTCTCACTGTTAGTGTTGGCAAATTACATAAGTATTGTAAACTCACTCATTGAAACCAACATAATCATTCTTCATTGTACCCCAATGGCGCCACTACACATTTCGTTAGTTATGAAGGATTCCTTATTTAGTCAAAGGGTACTAACTCGGAATGCTACCACTGGAGGCCCGCTGTAAACCTCCAGCACCTCCCATGCGAAAGTAGGCATCATTCGCTTGAACGTTTTGTGGCTTGTAGCGAAATCCGAGTTTTCGGGGCTGTAGTATTGGTTGGGAGCAATGATAGCATTGTATGTTCCCACTTTGAGCATATGCTCTGCAGACTGTGGAGGGCCGCCATTGATCGCAAAGGTGTAATTGGGTCTGTCGATGGTCCGCCAATCGTTGATGTTGCTCTTGAAACTTGCTTCTACTTCCCAATTCTTGACCAGATTCTCGACTAGGTTTGGTAAACTCGCCGCTTCATGGCTTTTAGTCTTTGCTAAAGGAACAAGTCAGTCGAGATACTAAACAACTTTGCCACATGTCGACTGGAAGTGTGACTACACAACGTCAAGTCCTAGTGATACGTACTTTCCTCATACACCCTCCGGGTGTTTGAATAGTCTGGAGCCCGACCATATCTCCAGTCTGCAGTGTCGCCTAGAACTGCATTCGGATCTACAAGGTAATCTGGTAAAGCTGGGGCCGCCTCTGCGGGTGGAGGTACGACATCTGCTGTGGCCATTTTGTATAAATGATCTGAGATTAGAGAGGAATATTCTGATAACGATCTTCTTCGCCGCTTAGGATGTTTGTAGCGTTACAGCCGATGTTTTAGTGTATCTTCGTTTGAAATAACCGCACTGCAGTTACTTAAATTTCTTGAATGTGTCTGGTTCTGAAGCCCATATGAGAAACTTTCTTCAAGCTTTATATCAACTAAGTAAGACGGAGAAACGGGTCCCTTAGGGGTGGTAAGACGAGATGCAGCCAGTGCAGACTGCATTCGAGTGATACCTGTAACAGTTGCAGAAGAAGGCTGCAGCACAGATCGAGCCAACCAGACGAAGGCATCTGGTCATCTTGCACAACCCAGAACCCAGAAGAAGAAACAAACACTGCACAGTCACGCTTAGGCGCCGGTTGAGATACACTTTTCAACAGTGCTAGCGGCCCGGCTCGTCCTCAACGGTAGAACTTAATGCAAGCAATCCATCACTGACGCGTGGAAAAGGATTGCCACTCACTCACTGCAGTAGGATTGGCCCGATGCATGTCCCGTCCGCGCAAAAACTGTAACATTAGAACTATCTGACCTCCATCACCATCGAACGTATAAGTAACGAGATTGTCAAAGCGAACTTGTGCCATCTTGGAAATAAGAGGTGCTTCAGTTATTTCCAAGGGAATAGGGTCTGGCATGCCCAGAAGCTGAGGCTTCCTCTATGTATGAGATAGGAGGCATTAAGAGATTTCAGCAAGCGGTCCCTCCGACCCCGAACCACCCACTAAAAGGATATTTCGTCTCTCCATATAGCCGAGAGCATGTCTTCTAAGACAACGATAAACTATCACAAGCCAGGGAAGGACATCGGACTGCAGTAGTACTGAATAATGCCATTGAAATGTCGATTAAGGAAGCTTCTTGTTGTACACAATGAAACGCCCAACGGCAGATGATAGAGTTTGACCTGGGGCAATTTGGTACTTGATCATAATAATGTTTTATGGTCCCTTCAATCACAGTCAAGCACACTGCAGAAAATAATTGCCGAGGCGTATTATCCAGCATTCTCCACGTCCAAGCATAGAATGCATTCTAGATGCGAGAATGGCAGTGCTAGTGGTGAAACTTTCTCCCCCCGCAGACTTGCAGAGCACCTACAGGGACATCCGTGAGCATATTTTCTGCAAAATGTCAGAAGCGATTGTGCCGATCGCCACAGAGCGTAAAGGGACACGAGAAAACGTGAAGGCGGGTCAAAACTGTGACATAGGTGCTACAGTAGTTGACAACAGGGTCCAGAGAGGAGTCGAAAGAGGCGATGTTGTCGTTGAAGATGGATCTCCTCGGGGAACTGAACACAAGCTGCCGCGACGAGTGGAACCCAACTAGTACACGAAGTGTGCCTTGTGGCCTTAGAGATAGACCCCAAGTTCTAAGGCCTCAATTGGCAGCTGCAGCACCCCACTACAACTTCTAAACAACCAGCAAATCCCTTAGGAACTCTACACACCTCGCTGTGCCCTAGTGTCTTCGAAATGCTCTTCTTCAGGTTTGTAAACTGTTGCTTCAGCTTTACTGCAGGAAATGGCGCGCTAACCTATGTCCGAATAGCTTTTTCAAGACCCTAGTGGATCATGAAGTCACCGTCGAACTGAAGAACGATATCCAAATCCGCGGCACACTCAAATCCGTCGATCAATACCTGAATATAAAGCTGGATGATATTCAAGTGGTAGAGGAACTCAAGTATCCACATCTGGTTAGTGCAGGCGCGGGCATGATGCTCTTATTCTTGGAGTCCGGTTGCGACAAACAAGTTGCTGATCATTTTCTTGCCAGTCTTCGGTGAAGAATGTTTTCATCAGAGGAAGTGTGGTCAGATATGTACATCTGCCAGGGGCCGCTGTGGACACAGCTCTTTTAGAAGATGGTTAGTCCTCCTGCCGGATTATTGATTCATCTGCTGACGAGTGTAATAGCCACACGGCGAGAAGCAGCGCAACAAGCATCCAAAGTGAAGTAAAGGAAACGACGTTAGCTTACAGTGGTGTAATCGAGTTTACCGGAGCATCCATCGATACAAAAAGAGGCGAGTCGTTATGGGCACGGTGTTGCTTAGCAATTCCCGAGAAATCCAAACTTTAGCATTCGAATGGCAAAAGCGATAGCATTGTACCTGGAGTTATGGCGAAGGGAATATCTCACAGGGCAGTGGGAATGATTGATCAGAGCCAGAAATATACCCATATGAAAGGAGAATCTATATTGCCATCTCATACAATCGACTTTATGGTTAAATAATACGCGACTAATGTACATGTCTTTAATTGACATAGTTGCAATAAATACCAGCAAATTTCCAATGGGGCTAGATTTCACGTTTGATCAGTAAGAGCTGATTCAATGGCTTGCTAGTGGCGATGTACTCCTGCACTCACGCCGAGACTCTATGAGGGTAAAAAGACAATATATTTCCTAAGATGCCATTGTAGTGAAAATATTGGAATAGGTCCCTAGTCTGTCGTTCAAAACAGTCATGGTCAGCTCTCACCAGCGTGTCAAAAAGTGGATTCCCGCTGTCCTTTCTTAGCTACGCCAAATGGGATATTCCCCTTGATGATATGTGTTTCTCAAGAGCAAAAGGTTGAAACTGTTTGTTACAATTGTAATAGATGATTGCTGCGGGGCTGATAACGTGATCACGCGCTACGCGTTAAGAGTCGCCTCCTCGTGGACGTGCCGCGATCTGAACATTGTGTATCCCAGTAAGATCTTATTCTCCACTACAACCAAATGTGACAAATTGAATCGTCGCCCTCAATTCTAAGCCGTCTCACTGTCTGCTACCCCTACTCCATTTACTTCACATCGCTGCTGCATGATCTCCAGTAATGTTCAGGAAGCCGCGAGAGGATGCAAGTCAGGTAGATTTAGCTCAGAAACCCTCTACTGGAAGACCCCCGACCCCTCCGAACACCAGCAGAGAGGCAAATAAACCAACCTCTAAGATCGAGCCCACGATGGCACCTAACGGGTCTACGAAACCTCTCACGCCGCGACCGAGCTCCAAATCAAATGTCCCAGGTTCAGTCAAGCAAAGTACAAAGAAATCGACTGCCGCGAAGATATCTGCGAAAGCACCTACGAAGACGCCAGTAAAACCCAACACTAGCATTCTGTCTTTTTTCAAAAAGGTTGATTCGCCCTTGAAAGACGATTCGATCTTTATATCAGGACCCAAGTCGCAGCAATTTACGCCATTACCACGATCCGCGCCCGATTCCGAAGATGATGAATTGGACGATCTGTGTGGAAGTGGAGATGGCGACAGATACAACGAGGTTACGGCCCCAAATAAGAAAAGAAAGGTTTCGAACGAGACCACACCAATTGAGGAGAAGACGAATGCTGCGAGCATCGCCGATGACACTGGACTTGGCATGGACATTGATGCGGATAATCTTGCAGAAGCAGAAACATGCACACCACCTCCAGCAGAACCTCAGACGGCAAAAGCTGATCGGAAAGTCACTAAGAAACCAAAACGTCGTGGACCATTTCTATCAGATTCAGAGAGCGACTATGAGCAAGACAGTAAGCTAGCTCGTGATGCTGCTGTTGTTGCTGAGAAAAGAGAGCTTCGAGCTAGGGTGTCGAATCAGCCCGAGGAGCTGAATGAAGTGGTTACAACAAAACCGATCAAACAGAAAACAGTGAAGGAGAACAAACCAATCGTACCTGAGGTGGAAAGCGTTGCACCGTTCAATCCAATTGAGTACATACGTCGGAAAAAAGTCCCAATTGCTGAAGCACAAGCGAAATGGGAGGCTTTGCGACCAAAGAACTCGAGATCACCCAGCGTTAGTAGTTCGAGTACGGATGAGCCACCGGATGTTGAAAGTTCAAGGCGGGAACATCAGGTCGCAAAAACCAAAACTGTCGCTTTGCCTTTGCCCGCACGAATGAAGAAAGAGGAGACCAACGATGAGTGGGGTAAATTTGATGGCCTCGATGATTTTCAAGGGGATATGGACGAATTTGCCGACGGTGAGGAGTTTCTGGAAAGAAAGTGGATGGAAGAGCAAGCCAGACTTGAAGCTGATGAAGGCGGCCTTGACGAGAATCCCGAGACTTCTGGGGTAGGTTCACTCTCGATTAACGAGGAGATAGTCGCAGCTTGCCCAATATGTGATGCTTCTCTGGGCACCTTTACCTCGGATGAAGCAACTCGACATGTAAATGGGTGTTTAGATGGTAATCCCATCTCAATACCAGCTCCCCTCAAAAAAGAAGAATCAGAGGTCAAATTCATGCCTGACGGTGCCAGAAATCGATTTGCAAGAAAGGCGGCCGTGGCAAGACCTGGCCAAGCAAATCCTTTTGACACTGCATCTACATCAAATTCTGGATCTGCTTTCTCGAAAATCATGTCAGGTCATGCAGAAGATGCCGCTTGGGCGACCGCGGCAGCTGCAGAGAATTCATCAAGAGGAAAGCCAGCGTATGAGAGAACTTGTCCGTTCTACAAAATCATGCCAGGCTTCTTCATTTGTGTTGATGCTTTTCGGTATGGTGCTGTTCAAGGCTGCAATGCTTACTTCCTAAGTCATTTTCACAGCGATCATTACATTGGCTTGTCATCTTCCTGGTGCCACGGGCCAATATATTGCAGCAAAGTCACAGCGAATTTGGTAAAGCAACAACTACGTGTAGATCCAAAATGGGTTGTACCGTTGGACTTCGAGAAGAAAGTTGAGGTTCCAGGTACGCAAGGTGTAGATATTACCATGATTCCTGCCAATCACTGTCCTGGCAGCAGCTTGTTCTTGTTCGAGAAAGTGATTGGGAAGGGAAGCACACCAAAAGTACAGCGAGTTCTTCACTGCGGCGACTTTCGCGCTTGTCCTGCTCATGTCTCTCACCCACTTCTTATGCCCGAAATTGTTGATAGCATCTCTGGTAAGACAAAACATCAGAAGATCGACGTTTGCTATCTGGACACAACATATCTGAATCCAAGATATGCTTTTCCTTGTCAAGAAGATGTTATCAAAGCTTGTGCAGACATGTGTGTGTCTTTGAAGAAAGAGCGAGCCGAGGAGAGTGATGCTTGGGAAATAGCCAAACGAGAGCGAGCTGGGTCTGGTATGGCCAAGTTCGTTAATTCTACTTCAGCTATCAAGGCCGAAGATGACAGTATTGCGATGGAAATTGGAAGCAGTAAAAGCGAGAAACCTCGTGGTCGACTGCTTGTCATTTGTGGTACCTACAGTATCGGCAAAGAACGTATATGTATGGGTATTGCTCGGGCACTGGATTGTAAAATTTGGGCACCACCAGGGAAAATGCGGATATGTGCTGCTCTCGAGGATCCGGAATTGATGAGTCGAATGACAGACGATCCAAAAGAGGCGCAGATACACATGCAAATGTTGATGGAGATTCGAGCAGAGACTCTGCAGGAATATCTGAATAGCTACAAACCACATTTTAGTCGTGTTGTAGGATTCAGACCTAGCGGATGGAATTATCGACCTCCAAATTCTAGGTAAGCCACCTCACCAACTCAAAATTCAAAACTAACCCTGTTCTAGATTCACAGACTCCCCAAGCATCTCCACAATCATCCATTCTCCAAACTGGCAATCGTCATACACCCTCCGAGACCTCATCCCTCAACGCGGCAGCACGCGCGAAGCATCCTGTTTTGGCGTCCCGTATAGTGAACATTCTAGTTTCAGGGAGTTGACGATGTTTGTGTGTTCGTTAAGGATTGAGAAGGTGGTGCCAACGGTTAATATTGGGAGCGCGGCTACGAGGGCGAAGATGAAGGCGTGGATTGAGAGGTGGCTTGCTGAGAGGAGGAAGAATGGGTGTATCAAGGTTGGGGATGGGGAGGGGGAGGTCAGGTGGTGAGATGGGCTGAGGTGTTTGGGTTTTGGGTGGAGTATGTTGTGTTGGATTACAATATGAAATGAAGGACATGGCGAGTACTTTGTAGTGGGATCGTACTTTGGAGTAGATACCAACGATGTATACTTGGGTCTGATTAATAGTCAGATTCCCCCCAGCGATCCTCATAACTCTTGATGATAGCATATCAATGTTTTAGCTTCGCCGTATGGATTCAGAACTAACCAGACTGCTGGGTAAGCATTAACCAATGGTATTTGTCCCCGGCTGTGTAATGCAGTGGCCCATCGCTAATAACCACCACAACTCCTCGTAAATCTCTACAGACCTCTTCGTCTTATTTCCCATCAACATGACGACAGCCAGAACCCGCCAGATCTATTACCACCAAAAAGTCACACTAACACACCGCCAAGTCCCCCCAATCATCCCTTCCACGTTTCGTTTCAAGCATAGTCTCTCCCCTCACGTGACACATCTCATATGAAACCTCGACTCGTCAACACGAAAGGGACACCACATCCGGGTAACCGTCACACACGATGTCTTTTCTTTTCTCTCGACCTGCTGGACAGGCCGTACACGTCTCATAATGGGAATTCGATATTAGGGATTGACTAAGGAAAAACATTACGCGACCGAGCGACCGTTTTTCTTTGCCTCGGACGACTGCACTTCCGCGCCTAGCGGCACCAGCGCCCATTCACAAAGAACGGACGGGATGGGGGAGTGTCTCGACGTGGGAATTTGAAGAGAACTTTTAGGGTTTGCGAATTGGGGGAATTAATTGGGATTGTGTGAATTTCTTTTAGCAAAGATTGGTATGTAAATTGAGATTTTGATGGATATATGCTTACCTGGGAGATAGTCACGAGATATTATTCTTTTCAGAAACCATGGTTACTTCTACTCTCGTCAAGGTCTTCGCAGGAATCGGCGCTGTATGGGTATCCCGCTGGATCCTAAACATCACGCGGTTCTTGTACACGTTCCTAAGACCGTCATCGCTCTCGCGATATCACCATCTCAGTCCCACAGGCGCACCACCCTACGCCCTCATCACCGGCGCCAGCGACGGTATAGGAAAAGGCTACGCCTTCGAACTCGCGCGTCAGAACTTCAATCTCATCCTCCACGGGCGGAACAAGTCAAAACTCCTCTCCGTATCCAGCGCCATCAAAAATATCTACCCAGACACGATCATCAGAATCGTCATCAGCGACGCGACGCAATCCGGGGACGTCACACTGAGAGAAATCAACGAGATTGTAGAGCAGATCAAGGATTTGCACATCACCATCCTCATCAACAACGTAGGCACCGGCACCCGTCCCTCAGGCCACGTCTTCTCGAATTTCGAATCCGACGACCCAGCGGATCTAGACGCACTGATTAACGTCAACGCCCGTTTCCCCATCCAATTCACGCGCCAAATCCTCCCTTTGCTGTTTTCCCACTCCCAACCCACACTCCTCCTAACCATGGCATCGATCTCCGAAATCGGGTCACCCTATCTAAGCGTCTACTCGGCCACCAAAGCCTTCATGAAAGCGTGGTCGTGTGCCCTCGCTCGAGAATTCAAGGCTGAAGGGAGGGATGTAGAAGTTCTGGCGATCATGACGGCGCAGGTTACGGGGACGGCGACGGAGGGGATGGAGAGGAATGTTTTTGTGCCGGATGCGAGGTGTTTTGCGAGGAGTGCGTTGGGACGGGTTGGGTGTGGGGGGGATGTTGTGGAGGGGTGGTGGAGTCATGCGGTACTGAGGGGGGTGATGGGCAGGTTACCGGGAGGGGTGTTTACGGGGATATTGACGAGGAGTGTTAGGGGGGAGATGGGGAAGGTGGGGAAGAGTAAGTAGGATGGTAGAGAGACGAGGGAAGTGGGTTGTGTGGGCTGTTGTATACTAACTTAAAAATATCGTTATACTTATACATCCTCCCTTACGAATGTGATATTCTTGTTTTTCCTTCTGAGCCTACGAACACATACCAACAACCACACGATTTCCATCCCCAATATCCTTCTCAAACAAATCCATCCCACTACGACACTAATCAATCCCATTTCCAGCAATAACTCAACACTTCACTCTCCATTACAGAACTTGCTTACAAATTACCACTAGCATCCCCAAATACACCAACGTCTTTTCTCATCTCACATCCCTTCAAAATCTCAAGATAGTGAAACCTATATATTAGTTTAAAGTAAAATATCATAAATACCGATCATCACTTCATTAGCGAAAATCAGTTCCTTCTCATACACACATCCTGAAAATATCCCTACTATTCGCGGTTAGTCGCTGTTTTACGCGTTGTTATTAGGTTTGGTTGATGGTAGTTCTGTTCTTACGTGAAGGGTTTTGTACGCTACAATGCTTAGGAACTTGGTGTAGGGAGGTGTGAATGGTGATGAGTTGAGAATGGGAGTTTGAGGTTTGTGAGGTTTTGATGATGGGGAATTGGTATGTCATGGCTCGTGGCATAAATGGATGTTGAGTTTAGAATAGCGAGATAACGATTCGGACGAGGTAGTTACGGGTTTAGATCAGATGAGGTATTCTAGTACTTTATACTCGCATTCAACGGGTATGAGGAGCGTTTCCTTTCTTGCTAGAACGACCTCCATCTCAAATCCACCTTCCTCTAATCAAACCACCGTATACTTCCTTTCCATACCACTTTTCACCAGCAATCAACCTGTCCACTTTGCATGCGTATTTTACATCTTACACTCCTTTTTTAAAAAAAATAGGCAGTTCCCCGCTCCCTTCGATAGAAACCGACAACCCTCGAATCCGACGAAACCGCACAGCGAGCAATGCAGACAAAACTAAAACGAGCACGCATTGAAATAGGTATAGAAAAGTAGACTAGCAAAATGTCCGCACGGTAACGCTGCCACGAAGAAGATCAAGCTTCCTCCTCATCATGTCGTGTGAGAACACCTAATAGCACGAGCATTGTATGTCAACCTAAACCCACGTGAGATTTTCTATCGGCTTAGTTCCATCCTATTCCCGTATATCATACCTCGTACGAGCTCTGCTCACTTAGTCTCTTTAGACATCTCAATATATTACTTTCTCACCTTCTCAATTCACACGCCTCCCCTTCTACGAAAAGGTCTTCTACGAAGGTTCATAGTTTGCATGTCTACGCTTTCACTTGCATCTGCTTTATCGTCTATTTCCAATAGGCAAATTTTTTGTTAGTAGGCTTCGTCCTTTTCGAAGATTCGCACACCATACCATCGACACATTTCAACCCATCCTATCCCATAACCAACCATCTCTTCTCATCCCCCATCATTTCAGGAACGCAATAGCGGATAAACTGGTATGTCGTCTAGTTGCGAGCTGATTTGACAGCGAGGGTGGAGGTTCGCTGATGGGATCGCGCGGAGGTGAAGGATCACGAGTAGTGTAAGAGGAAGCGATGTACTTGCCCTAACTTTTGGGAAGGGTTGGGTTGGGGATGTGATGTGTGAAAGGGGTGAAAGGGGTTGGGTGATTTCGTAGATGTTGGTCGTATGTTCTAGGCTTGTTGGATGGGTGTGGATGGTATGGTGTTATTGATACACTAGGGAATAAGTAGAAATAGAGAGGGTGTCGTGTGCGAGGGATGGGGCGGAGGTGGTGTGTTTAGATTTGCGAGGAGGGGTAGTTGGAATGGATATCTGTGGGTAGGTTGTAACTAGTTCGCGATGACGGACGGATGTAGAATTCGCTTTAATATAATCTCTATAGAGGAATAGTACTTAAACTTTAGTTTTATTTATTTAGCTACTCTAACAAGCTTTTCTGAGATAAAGAAGTCTACGATTAAGGATGTGTAAACTAGGATTTCGACGTACTGTTTAAACCTAATATAATACAGCATCTTCTACTCTTGAGATAACACTTGTGTAATCCTTAATCTAGTTAAGAGATAAAGTTAAAACTTAGATTCTTACACGATATATATTTAGCATTTAACGAGATTGTAAGACTATAATTACATTTATATTTCATGTGTAGATTATGTAAAACGTGGACCTGATATGTTAGTTTAATCGATTGGCCCGCAGAATAAAGAGTCACAAGTGTCTCAGATTAGAGCTGGTGTGATAAGCTTTGTGTGGCGGTCGAGAGGAGTCATCTGGAATTAGCTATAGGGCTGGTTGGCTGGGAGCACAAGGATATAGTACAGTCCCGAATATGACTGAACCTTGAATGGCAGTTGTCACGTTATTGGATGAAGACTTACCACATCCCTCATTTCGACACTAAGGAGGAAAGCGTATATTAGAACAATAAGAGCTTGGTCCTATATCCACGCCGCGATGCCTTAATTCCGTTCTCAAATTTCGTGTGGCGCTCGACGGGAGTCATCTGGAATTAGTTTTGACAGTAGCACAAGGATACGGGATTGGGATCGAAGATTAGATGGCCTGTCGGTTTTGACAGACATACCGGATTCCTGATTTTGACACTAACGATAATCATTTTGAATTGAATTGAGTTTTCGGGACGGTTGGCGGATAACAGGACATCGGTACAGTACCGATGTCTTTTCTCGATCGAAGATCAGATGACCTGTCGTTCGTTACCGAGTTCCTATCTCGACACCAACGCTATGGCAGCGGTTGACCAACGCTATCATGGATGGAATAGTTGAAACATTTGACGCTTACATTCTAAGCATCTGTTCGATACCATTTAAGCATCAAACATCGACGGCCGACCTGAGTTGGTACTCGGTGAGACTCGGCTGGATGTTTGATGGTTGTCCAGTGATTTCATGTGCAGTAACCATATGCAGGACCGGTGTGTGGTCGTGGGGGTTGAGTTTGCGGCCAGCGATTGACAGGACCACGAAATAGGAAAATGTAAATGCACAATTGTGCATTCAGACGATGATGATCCTTTGATAGGTCGAATCCCCATACTTTATGAGGTATTAAACGGTGTTTTTGTGGCTATGAAATGCAACTGATGCCACGTTCAGATTTGATTGAGGCTCTTTTCGACCGGATTGGGATGTTCGGTGAAGGCCACATCGGTCAGGATGGATGTTGCGCCGTGTCTGACAAGCGCTTGTTGTTGGTTCGATTGTGATAAAGCGGCGGATAAATCTTGGGTGCGAGATGTGTGATTTTGGATTGCTGCTCTGATAGAGTTGTCTGATCCACCCGGAACATCGGATTCGACATCTGACCAGATACTTTGCAGCAATATGGAGTTTCTGGCCTGTGCTATTTCCGTCGCAACGGACGAAGGACTGGCTTACAGCTAATTAATCGCCTCCGTTAAGGTTATTTCTGTACGTGAAATTGGAAGGATTAATGGGGTCATGATCGGGATCAGAGGCAAATTGTGAGAAATTAGAGGAGAATTAGAAGGGGAATTAAGGACTAGCAGATATGCATATGTTACGATACTCAATTGAAGCATCGCCAGTCTGCAGCAGTGTTGATCGCAGAAATAAACATGCGATTGACTGCCAGTGACTGCTTTGGAAGCAACATCGAAAAGCACTTCGCCCCTCTGGGCTGCACGAGCACGCTAGTCCCTACGCCGTTAGCCCGCTTACCAATTCGTGTTCCACCCAATAGGAACCAGCCGAGTAGTGGTGGATACGGCGGGGTGAAAGGGACCAGCACCGTATCTCCAGGCAGCAGCGCTCATTCTGGCGACAAGGCGGAATGCGAGGCTTTCACGACTCCCTCGCTCATCTCGCCCTCAACCATCTCTGACTCTCTCACCCTCCTCCTCCATCTCCCAAGACACGAACCCGTCAAGTCTCACCCGTGGCCACGAATCCACATTGCGTTGCCCCTCTACACAGAATCCAGCAGAAGACTCGATTCCACAGGCAATCTTGTTTCGAAATCCCGCCGGACTTCCATCGTCTCTATATACTTCTGTCAACATCGAGTCGATACCGCGTTTAGGCAGCCACCAGCCTTACCTCGAAGCCTCCCCCATCGACGTGTCCTGATCCTCTTTGTCTCTTCACGACTTGATCTTGTTGTTGCGAGACGACAAAGGCGAATATACTTCACCTCGACGGCGAACACATTGGACCCGGCGACTGTATCTGGACGGGCCGCCCCGCGAGCAAACGGGTGAATTGGTACGTCTTGAGTGCTTCATCTCTTTAACTGTTTACTCTCTACTGTCCGCCGCCTACTGGCGCCGTCTATCTGTCTTCTGCTCTACCTTCTCGCCTCCCCGGCGAGCAATGTACGTACAAGCAACGGCGACAGTCTAGCGAATCAGCCTTATATATAACCGCGACGTGGGAAAGCTTCACTTCGCCGGTCTACACCCCATTCGGACACCTTGACTGGCCGATTCCTGACTCGATCGGATGTGACTCACGTCCCCAACGGTTACTGCATGAGAGCACGCATCAGAGCACGCATCGAGAGGGCGAAGGCTAATCATTCCCCAGTATTCTAAGCTATTGCCGCCGTCCCCACCATAGCTCGTACATCTACCAACCTTGACTACTCGACCCTCTCCCATCATGTCTCTCACCCACCCCCGTCGCAGTACAAAGACTACATTGTCTGCTCTGACTCCTTCGTCCTCTGGTCAAGTCGCTACGTCAGGCCGGCCTACCGTTAATACCACCATGTCCCTTCGCAAAGGAGCGACCTTTCACTCACCTCCTTCACCTGAAGCAGAAGAAACATTCATCATCCCAGGCCCCCCTCGTCGCGCTCAATCAACCTTGGAAGATGTGGTCGATGCCCACGAACGCCGTGTCGCATTAACCCTCGCTGATATTGATCGTGGACTCGCTGCTGTAGAAGACCGTTCACCAACTGCTAGACAATCATTCCCCGACGAAGCTGATCCAATTCCTCAAGGCTTCCTCAATCATACCGTCGGCACCCCATCAGAAAGCTCATACGGTCCCATCATGGATGGTGTCATGTCCAAGGAGCCTTCCTTGATTGGAAGACGCTCCCTTCGTCCTCGACACAACCGACGCCCATCACGATACTCGGACAGTGCATTGGGTTCATCTATTGGATCTCGATCTGGTAAGATGGCTGCTGATACCGCCGCGACAAGCGTCACCGAGGAGACGCAAACCAAATCGAAAGCTGCCGCTTCAGCTATAACTAGGTCCGCTGCTGCCAACTCTAACGTCGAGAACCTCCCACGGCTGAGCTCGCGAGCGACCAACCGCATTCACGAGCACATCTTGAGACCCTTGTTGGCCAAGTCTTCCTTGAAAGATTTTCACCCAATTGTGAAGGATTGCCCGAGAAGAATTCATGGCAAGGAGATTGTATGTCTCCGTGATTTGGAAAAGACTTTGATATTTATGGCACCTGTAAGTGACATTCAAACTGATGTTGTTGAGGGAGTCGCTCACTGGTTTTCGCGTTTGAAGGAGAGGACCAAGACAGCCGCCTTGTATCTCGATTTCTGCCTCACGTCAATCCGGTGTATTCAAGCGACGGTGGAATTTTTAAGCGAACGCGAACAGACTCGACCTCACGACCGCCCTTATACTAACGGATACTTCGTGGATCTTGTCGACCAGATTAAACAATACGCCCAACAGGTTCAGGCGGCGAAAGAAAAGGAAGAGAAAGGAGAGAAATTGGGCGAGATGGATCCTGAGTCGTATGTCCCCTTTTCCGGAAGATTCCTACGGAGTCATTCTCGCAAACCACGTGCTAATTATGAACCCAGAACCGACGAGGTTAGACTACATGGTGGTCTCACCAAGAATGGCCGTCCAGCTGAACTGGTTCGTGTCAAGAAGAACGGCAAGGCCATTTCGGTAGCAACTGGACTTCCAGTCGAATTAGAGGATGAGGATACCAAGGATTCCCTTCGATTCAAGCGTTCATTGAGTCAAGAAGCCGAGGATGATGAAGCTATCATGCGTTCCATGGCTCGCCGAAAGAGGTCCGCCTCCGCAGCCGAGCTTGCACCAAAACGATGCCGTGAACCTGGATGTGATAAAGAATTCAAACGTCCCTGTGATTTGACCAAGCACGAGAAGACCCACTCCCGTCCATGGAAGTGTCCAGTTGAGTCTTGCAAATATCACGAGTATGGTTGGCCAACCGAGAAGGAGATGGATAGACATCACAATGACAAGCACTCTGCTGCTCCACCTTTGTACGAGTGTCACTACAAGCCTTGCCCATACCGCTCCAAGCGTGAGTCCAACTGCAAACAGCATATGGAGAAGGCTCACGGATGGGAATACGTTCGATCCAAGAACAACGGAAAGAACCGAGATGGAAAGCCTTCAACCAACACTGTCAATGGACTTGCCACTCCTCAAACCACACTGGCTCAAACTCCAAGCAGTCATGGTGACAATGTTGCAACTCCCGAGGATGATGATTATGGTATGCCAGATGCTTATGATAGCGCTACCATGTTTGATCAACAGAACCAGTTGAACTTTCCAGAGTACAACCCTGACATGGATATGTTTGCACCACAACAACACCTCCAACTTGACTTTTCACCAATCTCCGAACTTCACCAATCAGGTTCATCAAATGGTCAATCTCCCTACTCCGACATTCATCCTGGTCAAGATCAATTCCAGAATTTCTCGCACTCCAATAACGTTGACTTTAACCTTTTTGGAGATGAAGATCTTTATAATGCTCACGCACACCTACCAACACCTACCCACGATGTCTTCCAGCGCGCCATTGGTGCTTTTGAGACTTCGGGTATTCCTCTAGGCTCCGACCCAGTTCCTCACATCTCTCCTGTTGGTCACGGAAACACGATGCTTTACACACCAACCTCGCTTCGTGAAGTTGACGAGGGTTTTGCTGATGACTTTGCTCCAACCAATTGCCAACCACACATTGGTCATTCCAACGACTTTCAGCTCTTCCCCTCGAATGCTGGAGGCAATCTCGGCAATTCCACCACCACTGGGTTGTTTGGAGAAATTCCAAGACCTAATTTCTTCCCCGGCACATCCGCTCAGGATCTTCTTGATTTCTATGCCGCCACCACCGCAGCCGCCATTCAGCATCACAACCCTCAGCCAATGGATTGGTCGTCTAATGAGGGGCAATACAATGGCTATGGAAGCAACTAAACATATCCAACGGGGCGAGCGCTAGCGGGACTGGTGGACGCTGACGGCCGTCAGGCCTATGAAAACACAATCCAATGACAGTATTAAAACCGAAACACATCTTGTGATATTAGCACGGCGTTTTGCTTTTCATCATTTCTGGAACGAGAATCTCCTATGATTGGGACAGTGTTGTGTTGGTCTTTCCCACTTTTTCATTTCATTTCACGATTATGATGATGAGAGTATGATGGTAATTGGTGGGAGACTTTTGTATGAAGTGGTGGGGAAGGAGTGGGCAGAAGATGTTGATGGGATCTCGACGGGGTTAGAGGGGCTACTACAAGAGATTGATTTTTGTGTGCTTTTTCTTTACTCCGGGGATGAGGGTGGGTTAGTGGCGATGGTGATGGCTTTATCTTGAAGGGAAGTGGTGATTTATGAGTGATCGATAGATACAAAAACATACTTCTTTTGATAAAAATAAAGGATTTTTACGTTATAATTGTCTTGTGCTCTATCTTATTTTAATGAATCAAATCTCCACATTTTTGTATGTAAGTTAAAAGGTTCTTAGACAGGTTAATTGACAATATCACTACTTATATAATTAACGGCTAATTAGCCCCTAATTAGAAACAACATTAGGTTAATAATAGTATTTAACGTCAATGCCTCGTTCGGGTTCAGTATAGAGTTTGGAGTTGTGTGGAAACTTGGAGCCAGCTAGGGGGTAGTGATCGGTTTGTATAGCGTTTGCAAAACTAACTCAAAGTAGTCAAGTAACTTTTTGCTGTACTATCTACATTGAGTGTTCGCACAAGGCTTGCGACGGCCAACCAATGGCATACCGTCGAATGGCCTAGCAATAATCCAGAGCTGAAAACTACGACTCGTGAAACCAACGTCCTAGAACAAGAATCCTCTACTTACCCCCGAGTCAACGTTGAAATGGAGCAGCTCCTAATGATAAAAGAAAAATCCGACCCGCTCGCGTGTCGCCGCACCCGAACTCAGGTAAAGGCTCCGTACACAGTTCAAGATGAGATCAAACATCCCCGAAGATCGCTCTCGATCTTCTGTGTTTTCTGCCAGAGGGTGATCGACCAATGGCCCAGGTCAACAGCAGAAACCCCTCGATTCAAGCACCACTCATCGCTCGGTACGTTACAGAGGTCGGCAGACCAGGGCTGTGGGCTTTGTGCCCAATTCATTGTCGGTGTCGAAGAACTCGAAGAAGCTGAGAACTTTGATGTCGATGGTAAGCCAGAGTTGCTAGGGCTTCTCAACGATTAATGTGATCGAAGCCTCTTAATCATTAATCGTTTCATGGAATGATTGTGTAATTATAAGTAATTTCTAAATCTCTTAATCGTTAATTATAGAATATTTCTATTTCGTGATTAATTTATAGTTAATTACCGAAAATGTTTTAATACTAAAAGAGGTATAAATATATACATTTTTTCGGACCTAAGAAAATTACAAATTTATTTTAATCTTTTACTATATTTTAGACCCTATAAAATAGCAGTTATTAAGGACTAAAATATAATATACTATCGGTGATTAATTATGACTTTTAATTTTAATCCTCAATTATCAATCTTTTTATTACTCTATACCTTGATTATAAAGTCTCTAGGTCGATAATCATGAGACTTTCATGATTAAATCATGATCAACAATTAATCACCGCTCGTTGAGGCAATGAGGAGCCCTAAGTGCAACTACCAAGAATAAAAGCCGCTTTCCTCTCGTGGGTGTGTGTGACGAAGAGTTGATCGATGCTGGCGAGTCGCAAATTAGAAGCTTGTGATCCGACAGAGATTCATGTCCCTCTATCTGGGCTAAAATAGTTTGCAGGACCGTTGATGGTGGAGAGACTCGCTGCGAGGAATGCGTGGTAAGTGCCTGGTGAACTGGGGAGCAAATGTTTTTTGAATGATGCGAGGCGTTTAAATGACTGGATTTGTTTTTGTGCTAGGGAAAGCTGGTTATTGTGTTGATGTAGATGGTTTGTAAATGTAATTTAAAGGAGAGTCTACCAAGTTACAAGATTAAAAGATTTGCTGTTAAGGAGAGATTTGAAGATTTATCTCGTATTTTTTGGTCTACCGAGGTTATGAAAATGGATCGTTATTCGATATTTTACGTCTCGTTTATCTCCATCCTTACGAATAGAGTTGATTTTCTTTCTCTAGTGATTCTGTTGCTTGCGAGGAATTGACTGCTTCTCCGTACTAAACTGCTTATTCGTTCCTTACCAGCTTTAGCAACCATCAACGAACAACCATCTCCTCAACACGTACTTCCTAATCACCCCATCACCCCATCACAAACCACCAAACCCCAACCCCCCAAATCACATCCTCACATCTCATGAAATCCGCCTCTCACACCCAGACCCGACGCTTCATCACCACCACTCGCACATCTGCCTCATAATCCACCTGCCCCGATACATCCGGCGACGATTTCACATCCCTTTTCCGACCATACAAAAAACAGCCAGCCACGAATTCAACGCCCACGCCCGTTTTGGTGGCGCTGCTTATACCGCCTGAAGAACTAGGTGCTGAGCTGCCAGTTGTTATTTCAGGCGACGATATGCTCGTTGTGGGTACACCTGAAAGCGATGGCGTGGCTGTCGAGTTTTTGATAATACTCGAGGTGGTAGTCGTGGCTGTGATATTAATCTTCTCACTTCACGCATGACTTTCCTGGTCCCCCGTTTCAAACAACCCAACAGTAAACGCGTTTCCCTCTTTGAGAACGAAAGGCGGCTCGGGTGTATTCCTCCTTACAGAGACCGTGCAGGTAAATTGTGTTCCGTGATCTGTAGCGCCGCTGCATACACTCATTAGCTCCCAAATCCCAACTCTGTTTTGCAATGTTGTAGAAAAGAGGAGGGAAGCTCACCAGCCAGCGGCGGGAGGTTAATTGGTCCGCTTTGAAAGAGCAAGAGGTAACTGCTAGCGATGGTGGCTGTTCATTGCATGATTATGGTGCTGCCGACTGCGAAGGTATTTTGGAATGTGGAGTCGTTTTGTGCGTTTTCGGGGAAGGGGAAGATGAATTGGCCTTTGCTCTGGGCTTTGATTGGCAACGCAAACAATGATATGGAAATGAGCGTTACCACTATACCGGAAGGTATCGTGGACTGTGGAGTCTTGTGACGAGGTTTGGAAAGAAGATGTGGGGGAGGATATATCATATCCGGGTCTACTTTTGGGTCTTCTAGACGTTTTTAACAACCGCTGAGCTCGACTCATCTTCGAATTCTGATAATTACAGATGGGGCCATGATTGGAGCCTATGTTTAGGGGAGTTGAGGTGGGTGTTGCATGACCTTGTTCTTCAACCAGTACTTGGACGCGAGGAAGCGAGTTGGTTTGAGGTCTCAAATTCTGACCCTCGAATGACTATTTCATAACACAAATTTTTAGGACTCTGCTGCAAATTGGTAGAGAGGTCAATAACGTAGTGGTTTCACGTATTGACCACTAGTATACAAAACCTTGACACGAATTTTACAACAAAAAACCAACTCAATAGCTTACAACTTTCAACGATCTGTTCCAGTGTACCAGACTGAGTCATGAATTTGATATCAACAAATATCTGCACTTTGCCATCCACCTGTACAATCATCCTCTGCCTCGCAGGATAATGCCTTTTAATTCGACTCGAAAATTCTCTACAAGACTTCAACCATAAGGCTGAGAGAATACGACGCATAGAAACGATTAGCGCTCATGAAGTCGAATTGCGTTTCTGAAACTTATTCATCATCAGCCCCTCGCTTAACCCCCCTAAACCCTGGGCTGTTAGCCGAACTGGGTGCAGCACGAAGTTCTCAAAATAGACCTGCATGACATACGACGGTAATTTTTTGATTGGTTTGGATTAGATTTTTCGCCAGCTTGGAGGAAGGATGCTCCTTGAATTTTTACCTCGGTAGCTAAGATAGTTGCTACCGGTACTTACAGTGAATATGATAAATGGCAGTAAAGCTTTCCAAGTTGAGATCTGAAGTTTCTCCTCGCTTGAGACTTATCGACGAGATAAACGCTGGAATATCAGACTGTTCGAACATTTCTCGTATTGGCCTGCAGCTTATTTGAACACCGTAAGCCATAACCGCCACGACGAAATCCTCCAGGCATACACGGATCAGCCAATAACCTCAGACCAACATGATCCAACACTTTATTAATACGATCGAGAGATCCGTACCTTCAGGAATTAATCATCGTCAAGATGAAGACCATTCCTACACATTTCCACCCGAACCGTCCTATGTTCAGACCAACTCACGTTCGCCGGTTCGGCTCATCTTCAAAACTCCGCTCTATCGCCGTGGCTCTCTTGCTCGTCACAGCATATTATGTATATCGGCCTTCAAAGCCTCAGATCATCCCGACATGGCACGAGCTACCCTCAAGCAAACCCATCGATGGATGTAGTCCAAACACATCTCTAGCACTCTCCCGCGTCGTGATAACCACCAAAACAGGCGCAACAGAAGCCTCCCTCAAACTACCCCCCCAGCTCCGCAACTCCCTCCGATGCGCACCCCACCTCTACGTCTTCAGCGACATGGCCCAGAAGCTCGGAGACGTGCAAGTGCACGACGCACTCGACACGATCCCCAGCTCCGTCAAAGACAATAACCCAGATTTCGATCTCTACAGAGCACAGCTAGCTCTACAAAGCACCCCCGAAAAAATCCCAGAGACGCTGAGCGGGTTTGTACATCCAGGGAATAAAGACGATAACGCAGCGTGGGTGCTCGATAAATACAAATTCAACCACATCGTCGAAAAAACATGGCAGATGAAGCCCGACATGGACTGGTACTTCAACATCGACGCCGACACCTACGTATTCCTCTCCAGCCTAGCCGTCTGGCTCGCCCTCCTGGACCCCCTAAAAGAAGCGCTCATCGGCAACGTCGCCCTGATCATCGGCAAGGAATTCGCGCACGGCGGCAGCGGAATCCTGATGAGCCGTGCAGCGACGCGGAGTTTTGTCGTCGACCACAACGGCACGGCTGCGCGCTGGGACGCGGAGATGAGGAATAATTGCTGTGGCGACTGGGTGTTGGCGCAGATTTTTAACGGGTATGGCGTGCAGCTGAAGCCGGCGAGTCCGATGTTGTATGGGGAGGCGCTGGGGAGTATTGGGTTTGAGGGCGGGAATTGGTGTCAGCCGGTTGCGAGTTTGCATCATGTTGAGAAGGGGGAGGCGGATAGGATTGGAGCGTTTGAAGGGAGGAGGGTGGATAGAGATGTGAGTTTATATTTTTTAGTTCTCGCTAAGATCACTACTGATATTAGGACAGGCTGCAGTGACTTACGCCGAGATTTTTGATGGTCTTATTCTCGAGTCGATACCTTCCGAGTCCCGTGCGGACTGGGACAACTCGAGTGAAGACGAGACGGTAAAAGACATTGATTCAATGGAATCATGTGTTTCCGCATGTGAGAAGAACGACAAATGTCTCCAATTACGCTTCAATGGCAACGAGTGCATGCTTGGCACTAAAAAGGTGAAGTTGGGCGAGGTGGATAAACCTAAAAAGGAGGATGGAAAAGATGAAAAGAAATGGCAGAGTGGGTGGAATCGGACTAGGATTGCGGAGTGGGCGTCTGGACAAAAGCCTTGCACGAAGTTGGTGTTTCCTATTTAGCGGAGGTGTTTAGATTTGTACTTTTGATTCTGGGAGTACGGCGTTTTGATGCGTAGACTGCGTATATACCCGGAATATTGAATTTTAATGGTAATGATTAAATGGCACTACAAAAGAGCTGCGTAAGAGACTATGAGGAATCTTGTGTAGAAATAGACTTATTAAATATTATAAAAAGTCATCATAGCTCGCCTGAGAGACCTTTGGCGACTACTGAAATAGTAATCCTTTGAAAATCATGAGTTGGACTTGGAAAATGATTCATATTTGCCCTGACTCAAATTTTATAGTGGCTTTGAGAATTCGAAATTTCGGACGCTATCGCTTCAATCAACGTAAGTATTATTATTACACTCATGTGAAACTGTCCAAGCAAAGCTCATCTATCTCAACATTATCTTGAATTTGATTACTCTACTTCCTTCCACTGCGCTTCCAACATGGCAATCTTCATAACATGCGATGCATCGCCCCATTTCATGTTATCAGCATTTCGTCTCGCCATCGCGGCATCCACGCCAGCCGACGACTCGAAGCCATAACCGACCTAGAATCCTACTATTAGCAAAACACTCAAACCTCAAAGCTTAGACAAGACTTACAGCCGAATTTCCATGATCTAATCCATCTGTTCCAGCAGCTTCAGAAATACTAGCACCACCTTGTATCATCATAGCACTTTGCATCGCTACATCTGTCAGCCAAGTTCCACAATCCGGGATATAGAAAACTTACCACTCATCTTCATCATATTCCCCATCGCAAACTCCGCTTGCAAAGCCTTAATAAGCGGCAACGTACTATCCCTAACCTTCTGTCTCAAATTCCAATGTCTCGCAAAGATCGTCCAATCATTCTTCTCCCTCGCCTCCTCCAACACCTGCTTACTCTTCTTCGAAAACGGGCCGCAGAACGCTTCTTTCTGATTCATTGGATCGCCTGCGTAGACTTCTTCGGTGAGATCACGTCCTAACGCTGCAGCGAGGTTAGTATCGCGGACGTGAGACTCGTAGCATTCTTGACACATGACAATGGTGCATTCATTCTCGTTCGCGGCGTCGGTAGCGACATGACCGTACCAGCGACGACCATTCGGGCGTTTGAAGCCACGGACGTTGCTTCCGCATGGGGGAGCACAGGAACTGATTTCTTTTGCGAGGGATAGGAAAGGTGCATAGTCGCCTTTCTTACTTTCCCAGCCGATTTCGAGGAGGTGTCGTAGGATGAAGCCCCGGAAGTAGAGCGTGTAAGGGAAGTCGGCTGGGTTGGAGGATGTGATACCGCCCGCGCCAACAGAGAAATTGCAGGTTCTGACAACGCCTATGCGGAAGGGTCGAGTTATAGGTGTAAAGAGGTGGGAACCACCGAGAGGTTTTATGACGGAGTGATAACAACAAGGACAGGCCTCGATATTGGGATAGTCGGTAATACTGTACCAAGTTGCGTCTGCCTCTGATGTTGCGGCTTGGGTTTGGATGATTTCTTCTTCAACGCCTTTTATTCCTTCGCAGCGTGGGATACGATTGAATGTCAATAGTCCCGTGTGCCAAAGCTTCATGTCCTTGGCTTCCAGAGCTATCATGAACAAGAAACGCGAGATTCCTGAGGCTAAGTCACAAGTTATATTTGGCGTGCCGGCATCGAAGGTTTTGGGAATAAAGGCGTTTTCTAAGGGTGTGAGCTTTACGCGGTCATAGAAGCACGAGGGACAAACAAGTCCGTCAAGTTCTTGAATACCGAAAGCATGAATTTTATTATCGGCACCTACTGTCATCGGCTTGTCTCCTCCTTGACAAGGTGAGACTGCAAGAGCCTTTTTAAGCTCATGTGAGAATGTTTGGAAATCTGAAGATGGACTGATGAGATGAGCGGTAAGGAGCCGGTTTGTAAAGCCTGGATCCTGGCCGTTATCGCACCGCCAAGGCTGATCTGGACCGTTTAGCTTCATAGTGAAATGAGGCGCAAATGGCGATGGCTTGATATTCGCTTCGAAACATTGTGTGCAGAAAGAGCTGTGAGGAATAGCAATAGAGGTGTAGAATTCTCCTCCTTCGACGACTTCATTACCGGGACATAGAGGCAGCGAACCGAGTTGTTTGATTGCATCCATTAAAGGTTGCAGACTTGCTTGTGGCAAGCAGGCTCCGTAGAAAGTGTTCTTGAGAGCAGGAAATACCCCAAACTGGCAAGTTGCTCGCGAGGTAGGAATGGTAGCTGTAAGACTACCTTCTGGAGTTGCATCCGGCGAGATGAAGGGCTCAAAGCTTAGCGAGAGACTTGGATTTTGCGAGATGTGTAGCATAAAGCACGATTCACAGATCGACGCTTCAAGTTCTTGGATTTGTGGATCAGACCGGGGAACGAGAGTATGCTTTGGGACGTAGAATTTATTGTACTTTGTAAGTACTGACTTCTTGGCACCGAGAGGACACGCCCATTTCATTCCTTGGTGTATAATGGGTTGACTAGCTTGAGGCTGTTCCATTGGCGTGCTATACATGGAAGCTTCTAGAGCATGGAAGTAAGAGTCTGGAGGAGGGGGTTGGTTTCTCAAGTGTTCTGGACATGGTGCGGGTGGTGGAACAGGTTGCCTGGACACTTCGCTTGATGTGTAAAGATTGCGTTGCAGCTGACTTGGGGATAAATGCGTTGGCACAGAATTTGGCAGCGCCGATTGTGGGATGGCTTGCGCAGGAGTCGGCTGGTTGACAGAAATTACGGCACCGCTTTGGTCTTGAAATTGGGGAGAGGAGGAGTTGGCAGGCGTACGTACTTCATTGGTGGGAGGAAAGTATGACTCCGGCGCCTGAGTCTGTAGCTCTGGCTCTGGCTGCGGAGAATAAGGTTGATATTGTAGCTTGCCTTCGCTTGTGACCGTGTTCGACCGTGTCGTTTTTGCTACGTCCTCTGCTTTCGGTGCGGTTTCCATGACTGGTGTATATGGCTGATATAGAGGTTTAGGCTTTCCGTAGTCCTCTACCTCAACGGGTAGTTTTTCGTCCGATAGTTGATCATGAGGGATGAATCTGATAGCTTCATGAACCTGTGGTGCAGTTTGAATATTTGTGGAAGCTTCAGTAGCTGGGAAAGGGGTGAGTGCAATTGTGTTAGAATCGGTTGTTTCTGTATTTAGGACTGGTGTAGCATGGGTTTTTGGTTGTTCTGCAGATGCCATATTGCTTTGAGTGATGGCTGCTACTAGAATTTCGGTGGTTGGTACCTCATTCGAGGTCTGAGACTGTTGAGGCGCAGGAGAAGGTTCATATTGCGGTGGGGGATGGATTGGCTTTGGTGATACAGTTTCAATACTCTTGACATTGCTCTCGATCAACGGCGCTTCAATGGGCGGAGGCTCTTTTTGCATAGTAGGCGTATCACTCTCCTTGGCTACCACAACATTTGGTTTCCAGGTTTGCGATCGATCTTCGAGCTCCACAGGATCGAATTCGCTAGAAAAAGCATACGGAGATGGATCACTTAGTGGCCCCGTCAAGTGAGCTTCAGGTGGAACATGGGAAGTCGACTCAGGAATGGTCTGAATTTGAGGAGAAATGTGAGCCGACTTTTGGCTCTGTGGGGAAATATTTGGCTGCGTCGCCGGATGAGGTTTGCGCCTGATAGAGTTCCGCATTTGACTTTGAAATTGTGACTGCGATGAACTACTTGCTTGAGGGCTATATCGGGCGGTTGCCTGTGACGAGTATTGCTGAGTTTGAACAGCAGGTGCTGAAGGTGGCGTTTGTGACGGAGCAGGTATTGAATTTCGATGCAATGATGCTGTCGGAGACATAGAACCAGTTTGCTGTACATATTGCTGTGGTAATTGACCAGGAGCTGGTGTTTGAGCAGGGGATCCTGCGTAAGTGTATCCTTGAGCACCGTACTGTGGCTGAGAGGCTTGGTTCAAGAGAGGTTGATTATTTTGAACAGAAGTCTGATGGGCTTGAGGCTGAGGCGCCGGAGATTGAGGCGGTTGAGGATGGGACTGAACTTGATAGAGAGTTTGAGGTGAAGCAGTAACATATTGAGCGTGACCCTGTGGTTGAGCTGTGGCTTGAGGAGCATACATTCCCTGAGGGGTAGGATTAGGTGACCCCTGGATCATAGACGGTGGCCGTTGCGATTGAGCGACTTGAGCTTGGTAGATGTGATGTGATGGTGGTGGTGGGTCCTGTACTAAATGAGCAGGTGGAGGACCGCTTGGAGGTAGAGGCTGATAATTCTGTGGAGGCGTCGAATGTTGCTGCACCTGTACTGGTGAAGGGGATTGCAGAGACATACGAGCTAGAGAACCGACAGGTGATTGCTGAGATTGTTGCTGATATTGAGCAGACACCATCGGAGGTGGCGTAGCGTTTTGGTAAGCTTGACCAGGATGGACAGGTGATTGAACTTGCTGTTGAGATTGAACCATTATTTGGGACTGTCTTCTATGTTGAGCTTGTGGTGTAGAAGATACCGGAGAGTACTGAGCTACCGTTACGGGGGCGTATGCTTGGTTGTAAGGTGATGTAACTTGACCGGGAGTTGAGGGTAACGAATTATGATACTGTCCTTGTAACTGGGGACTTTGAACTTGAGCTTGAGGTCCACTTTGGACCTGTAGGATCGAGTTTACTGGGGAATATTGCGCAACTGGTGCGGGAGTATACGGCTGGCTATACGGCGAAGTGGTTGGAGCAGGAGTTGGGGTCACTGAGAACCGATGGTTCTGCACCTGTGGATTTGGAGTTTGATAGGACATAGGTGTAGGAACTGGAGTTGAAGATACATATTGCATGGTTTGGTTTTGATACTGATGTTGAGCTTGCGCTTGAGGTTGAGGTGACGTTGCGGGCACCTGAGACAATGGCTGTGGCTGATATTGCTGATACTGGACTTGTGGTTGGGGCGACTGCGGCGTCTGATATTGCTGCTGGGGATGTTGTGTGACAGCTGCATATTGCTGGCCAGGTATGAATTGAGATTGCCCTTGGTGAGTTGCATACTGTTGTTGAGCTTGGTGTTGTGGCAGTCCCTGCTGTGGAGCTGGGAGTTGTTGATACTGCAGCTGCGGGTTCTGTTGATTCTGGGTACCTCCATACACAGACGCTTGTTGTTGAACTGACTGATTCTGTTGTGGCGCCTGTTGCCCGTATGTTGAAGCCGGTCGCGATTGACGTGGAGCGGTCAATTTATTAATCTCCTGCTTCGCCTGAGTCTTTAGACCCTTCAGAATGCCACCAATGTTACTCGCCATGGCCATGGCAAAACGCAACCCATACACTGGAGTGGGCTTAACAACACGTCGAAAAAGTATCGTACCGTTACTGCAGAGTGCAATGCTAAACAGGTGATGTCGAAAGAACCAAGTTCAGCTGAGGCTGAAAGCCAAGACTTTCCACGTTCCAATGCTGGGGTTTGTCCCGTGTGTAAACACCCACCCCCATTTTTAATACAATACCTTTTGACTCTGCTCAATAAGATACATGTAGTGATAGAAAATGAATGAATGAAGGAGAGCCAGGTTTAAGTTTTTATCGCTCACTCCATTGGGTGTTGTTTTTGTGAGCTTTATGAATAACATGGGTGCATTAACAAGTGTCTGTCCATGTCCGAAGCGTATTACAATAACTTATGTCTGGCAGATGGCTCTACCTCAGCTAACCTCAATGAGTAGGATTAATTTTGTTGTATATCCTAGCAAAGTCTTCGAGGAAGATGCTATGAAGATATACTTTTAAGAGGGTTCTCCAGGGTCTGAGCTAAAAATAGCTACCCCCTCGCTTACTCATGAGCTTCTTCCTCACGGGCCTCTACGACAGTGATATCGAGATATATTTCTGGAATGCATCCGTATATTTAGTTGTGGTAAATGTCATCATAAAAAGAGCGTATCTCTCTCAAAGAACAGAGTTTTGAGCGAAGGAGTCAGATACTATCTCGTCAGAGTTCCAGGACAAGGGCTTGCACCTGGAATGGTTGTTACTACACTTCCCCGCAACATAGATGAAAACGGTCAGTCTAACACAGTTCGATACACAGATGCATTGTGTACAATGTCGGCTTGGTTTTAGATCCATCGGTCTAATGGTCAATACTAAGTCCGATGAATTGTATGGACTCACATACAGGCTTCCCCGCAATCCAGATCTCTTAAACGCAGCCACTTTACACTACCTACCCCTCATTTCGGGAACACTCACTGACAGCTCTTGTATATATTGTCCATCGCCCATCTTCATGACCATGTACAAACCACTATATGGTGGTATCGATAACCTCAATGTCCGCTCGTGTAGGCCGAATAACGCTTGGGATACTGGGGACCACAACAATCTTCGCTGCCACACGGTCAATTTATCTGTTCGTCCTTTCGCGTACCTCCAACAGAACAGCTGTGTCTTGAATGTAGTTCTGACTGGAATAGTCTCAGATCTTGCAAGAAAATTGAAGCCGGTTTTGCAGAAAAGAGGTGGTTCATCAACGGCCTGCGGAACACAAAACCCTGGTGGAATAGAGAAACCTCTCTCCCGCCATGGTGATCACAAAAACTGTTTGTGGTATCGTTGTACTGGGTACGACTACTGCAGTCTCTGGATATCATATGATCAAAGTGTAAGAAGCCCCCGGAAGATTAGCTTATTTGGCTGATGCGTGCAGTGAGAAAAAGTATAGGGGTCTCAAGATAGAGAACGACGGACTTGGTAGGGAGTTGGGGCAATTGAGGTTGGCAAAGAAGATAAAGTCGGCGGAGAGACCATACGCTGCGCAAGGAATGTTGGATAAGTGGGCCCAAAATTGATAATGTGAATTATTGTATGTAGAATCTCAGATGAAACAGGAAGAGCTGATTGTCAAATCGTCTCCTGTTGTCACGTGAACACGCTCGCTGAAAACCCCGTCGCGTCGCGTATTCCAACCCCACCTTGCAACCTCCTGTCAAACAGAAAGTGACATGTCTCCATGACAGACCTTACAGCTGTTCTTCCTGGATTTCCGACACATCAATATGTGCGCCTGATACCGTCTCTCGAGAAGCAGAAGATCACTACCGCAGATCTTCTTACATTAGATTATGTTGAGGTAGCAAAACGCGCCCATTTACCCCTCCTCGATGTGAAGCGGCTATGTAGTGCTGTACTGGCAGCGTTGCAAACTGATATTGGCATACATGAGCCTGACGATGGCAAGGAGAATGCGGTCAATCCTACGCTGAGGAAAAGAGGAAGGGAGATTCTGGGTTGTAGTACCATCAGCACTTTGGATGATGATCTAGACCGCGCGTTGGGAGGAGGAGTACCTACGGGATACATTACGGAAATCACAGGCGAAAGGTAACTCCGTTTATTTGCATTCGAATGTAGTGCTAACATGCTGAAGTGGTGCAGGGAAAACCCAGTTCCTCATTACCCTCCTCCTCGCGGCGCAACTCCCTGCTCCCCAAGGCCTCTCTAGTCCAGCCCTGTATATCTCAACAGAATCAGCGTTACCAATTAAGCGTCTTACCCAGCTTCTTCAGTCTCATCCTGCGCTCGTAAATCATGCTTGCAAGCCGACCTTGGACCGCGTCCACTGCATAGTAGTCAACGACCTCGAAGCCCAAGACCATATCCTTCGTTTTCACCTCCCAGTGCAGATCAAAAAACATGGCATCCGGCTTATCATACTCGATTCAGTGGCAGCAAACTACAGAGCCGAGTTTGAAAGACGAGGTGTATCAGGCGGTCAGAATAGTGGTGCGAATATGGCGCAGCGGTCAGCAGAATTAGTGAAGCTAGGACAACTTCTGCGAGATGTAGCTCGAGAATACAATATTGCCGTTGTAGTCGCAAATCAAGTTGCAGATCGATTCACGGGTCACAGTAGCCATGGTAGCGATATGTCCAATGGTAACAGTAGTCCGATCATACATCGGAATGCCACCCAAAGCAGCCCTCTAGCCCGGAGAGGTGCGCAACCAGCAGGATATCCATCTAGCTCGCTGGCTCCTCCACCAAACTCGAGCGCTGTTCCCCTCCCAGCATCCCAGCGACCATTCTCCACCACGCCGGATCCATTGTCCCTTGACCATCAACAACGATGGTTTACGGGCTGGGGAGACGACCCATCTCCTTATTCACTGATATCGAAGAACATGAAAACTCCTAGTCTGGGTCTGGTTTGGACGACACAAATTGCCTGTCGTATCACACTTATCAAAAGACCGATTTATGGGAGGGCGATCGTGGTTGAGGAAGAGGATGTACCTTCCCTAAGGAGGTGGAGACGGTGGATGAAGGTTGTGTTTGCTCCCCATGCTAGGGAGAGTGGAGCTGGATTGAGAGGAGCGGTGGAATACGAGATCAAAGGGGAAGGGTTGAGAGCTGTTAAGCGACAGGATGGAGATGAGGATGAAGAAAATGAAGAGACGTTGCCGGTGTGAGTGATGGAGCATAATTCTGAATTATGTGGGCTACCTAGGTATTTCAATCGAATGTCTTCGTTATCTACTTGTCTGCTCCCATCCGCGAATACAATCTAATTTGATGAACACACACACCTCTCTACTCCCTGCAGATCGCAGAGAACTCACTCCTCAAGATCTATGATTACTGTGACCTCACGAACGTCATCTATCGAGTATAATTGTTCTGCTAGCTCGCCTTTGGCCCCCGAACCGTTGTCTTGGCATGATTCTCGCTTAACTTCTCAGCAACGCAACGACGCTCATCCAACCGATATAAGCAAATTAGGTAGGATACTATGCGCATTGTGCTCAGTAAGATATGTGGGAACTGTTTCAGCTGCATTCCTCAGTGCAACGTGAGGGGATGGCGAGATGGGGTAAAAGAGGTGATTCACAGCCAGAATGGATCGTGTTGACACTTAGGATGTATTCTAGCGGCGGGTACCTGATAAATACTAGGATTTTAGTCTACGGGGTCACCTCGCTAGCTTCGATATCTGCCGATCGATTAGGGTGTCTGATCAGTTCCAAGTACCGAGTCTTTTTGATGGTCTAGACTCCCATCATTCACAGAGGATATGTTCTGAAAAGATCATCTTGAATATGGCCTTTGATTTGACGCTTTTGAGTGACGATGATAGAACGTGCTAAAAATGCACCTATACCGTAAATCTCTTCTCATCGGATTGATTTCCCCGCCAAGAACCCAATAGAAAGTTTTCACGCTTGGAAGATAGTACATCCCCCCCACCCCCAAACCCTTTCCACTTCTGAACCGCGAAACTCCGAACGCAACGGGGAATATCACGGGGGGGGGACGTAGCCGTATCCGCGTAATTGGGTTATAGTAGGCGAGCAAGACCCATTTTTATATCGACGTCAGTTGAGTTTATGTTACTTGCTCGTCAACGACGACGGTCTGTTCTTGGTTCTGCAAAAAGAACTTCACCCTTCAATTGATTTCTCTCACTCTATGAAGATCTGAACCTACCATCATCATCAGAGGTCAGTCACTTGCCTTATTGCTTGGGAGTGAGCAAACACGGCCCACTTTAATTGGATTGAAGTCATGACTATGTAAATTGCTCGTCAATGATGACGGTCTGTCCTTGGCTTGTGTAATCCAAAAAAAAATCTACCACCTCGCTATTTTTGAGCAAGGATCCTGGTTAGAGCACTTTATATTCCAAATCAATCTATTAAATTTTCTCGTGCTATAACGACCGTCAGTTCTTGGCTCGGGTGACTTGGTGATTTCATCTCATTCATCTTCAGGAAAATGAACTCTCTATGCAGGTTTCTTCGTCAATTGGACTTTATTGCAAAAGCTAGATAGGTGAAGAATATCAAACTCATGTACGATTATACTACTAGATGATTTGAGAGTGAAACGACGAAGTGATCTACCATGCTTAATATCAACTTGTGCTATAACGACCGTTAGTTCTTGGCCCAGGGGATTTAGCCCGATGTAACCTCACGAAAGTAGTCTTTCTGAGCAAGTTTCTCCGTCATGAGTATTGCTAGATAGCTGTAGAATCTCCATGGTGATGTTCGACGCGCTACGTTAACGATTGGTCGTGAAAATCTGAAGTGATTTGCCTCGCTTAAGTCGTTGATTGCGGCCTGGATCAGTGATTTTAACCTAAAAGTCATCTTCTCATTGGCGGATCTGAACTCTGTATCACCGAGCTAGATGTCTGTAAAGTTTTGTAAGCGAGTGATACGACCACTAGTTTCTAGCGTAATCACCGCTGGTCAGAATAAAAGAGGTGGTTCCCTCCTCTCTTTTGAAGGCCAGCCTCCTTCGATTACAATTCCTCAAACACTTGCACACATCACACATACTTCCTCAAACCACTACAAACATCACCTTCATCTTCACAATGTCCGCTGAAACAACTACCAACGCCCCTTCCTCTTCCACCCCCGATACCGACAATGAATGTCCCATCTGCCAGGAGACATTCAAAGACCCCATCACAACCGACCCTTGCAAACACACCTATTGCAAGCGATGCCTCAGGCAATGGCTGGAAGTTACGGTAAACGGACGAATTCGCACTTGCCCTCTCTGCCGCGGCTCCGTCGAAGGCTTCAAGGAAGGCGCGAAACACTATCGCGCTTCCAATTACACCAAGGAAAGCCTCGAATACCTAGCGGAGCAACATCACGTGATGACCGAGCGAATTCAGAGAACCATTGACCACCACCGCGAGATCCTATTGGCCAGAGCTGCCGAACGAGCCGCAGCTTCGGGAGTCGTGGTAGAGCCGATGGATACAGATGAAGACGAGGATACGGATACGGATATGGATGAGGATGACAGCACCACCGACGAGGAAAGTGAGGAATCCGACGAGAGCGAGGACGAAAGCGAGAGCGAGAGTGAGAGCGATGAGGAATAGTAAGCCTAATTTGATTCCTCACCTTCTTTAAAACATTCTAACCATCATCTAGGGAAGTAGCTTGGTTCATAGTCATCGGGTGGACCATAGTCATCAGCGCTTCTGTATTTCGGATTGTTTGTACCACCACCAGCCTGTATTCTAGCCAACAATCAATCATCGTTTCTCAAATCTATCAAGTGACTTGTTACCTCTCATGTAAATTATCTCTGTCTTGCGTCTTTGTCCCTCTCATGTCTCCTATTCTGTGTCTTGTGTTGAAGTGTCGTCTGTCCTTCCTCGTCTCGCCTCGCTTAACACTCTGCCCCTGAATCCACCTCCATCCACCCTCACCATCCACAAGATGTAACCACAACGCAAGATAGTTCTTCAATCAGATGGACTGAATATCGCATGTTTTGTCATTCAAGTTGACTCAATATCTCCATTTCGTCTATCGTTTTCAGAGATTATAAAATCTTTGTCACGACCCCGGATGTTCACGGGTGACTGCTACCAAATTATCCACCACGAGCTACCACAACCCCCTTCATGTTCCGCTCCAAATACCCTACTCACCCCCCCTATTGATGTACCCGGACTACTAAATATACTCACATTCGCGGTGTTACAACACGAACCGCGGCCGCAGTCCCAACCACGACTCTTTTTCAATTAAATTACGAAATAACCCACATCTCGTCTACTATTCTCAGATTACGAAATGTTTTCTATCCTTTTCATAATTAAAAGCTAATTATCGACCCCCCATGATAATTAGGACGGATCAACTACTTGAATATCATACCGCAAAGTACCGCACCACCCGCCAAATCCTCCTTCCAGCTACTTGGTTGTCCGCTTCCACCCTCCCGCAACCTCATACCCGCGCAACCCGATGTACTCACTTTCGTGGTGTTTAACACAAATCGTAGCCGAGACTCCCAAAACAGTTTTTTCTTTCAATAATTGACTCAGAAAATAACCAATATTTAATTTGCTATTCTTGGTAATTAAGATACCTCCAAATCCTTTTAATAATTGAACAGCACTTACCTACTCTTCATAATAATTCAACTTAACAGAATAATAGAAAGTTCTGCCACTTATGTTGTCAACTAAGAGCCACCACATCATCCTCTCAAGTTCCTGTCATCACACCTCGCTGTCGCTTACGTCGCACAACGACCACATATCCGCAGAACTAAACACATCCGTTCTCGCAATAGATGATACAAGTCACAATCAAGACGCGTAAAACGATATTTATTTGATGAGAATATGTCCGGTATTTCCTATATTCTCGGCAAATGCGATGCTTCTAAATGAGGGTTCAAACTTTATATAGAATGAATATTACCTAGGTACTTTTGACCACATTACAGAATGCCTTGACGATTCTCCCACGCTCTCTTCCGGCACATATTTTGTTTGCCGCAAGCCGTCGCACAACACCCCCTCTAGTGTTTAACACCGCGCATCATCTTCGCTCCAACCCCTGTAAATCTTGTCTTCTCACAAAACTTGATATGGTCCCCAAATACACAACCAATCAACAGCACAGCAAGTTTTCTCCCCCCACCTTGCAAGTGATCGTTCAGTTTGTGATGCACATTGAGTCAATGAATTCTAGCAAAGATTTGAATGCGAATGTTCTTAGAACACGAACTTGGTATTACCACGTTTAACGACTATTTTCAGCAATCATGTCAACTTTGTCGCCTTGTTCATGAAGCTTTCTCGTCCTCCTTTTCCCTCACCTCTTGTCGGCCCACATCTGACGCTTTATTTAGCCGCCAACTCAGATTCTTTCGAGAAGAATGTTATTCTCTTCTCATTTTGATATAGAGATTATGTATTGCAGCTAAGTGCACGTGTTTTATGGAATGTAGTATTGTTGCTACCTCCAAAATTCTTATAATGAGAATAAAATTCATTTTTAAAAAAGGCGGTGCTTTTTCGGTTACGTTTTCTATACTTGAGTGCTTAATATCGAGACACTGGAACGTAAGTATGCAAACCCTCATGCCGTATCTTTGAAACAGTCATAAGTAAACTTCTTTTTGAAATTTGGGGATAGAGATTAAATCCTCTGGACCGTATATCAGAAGACAAATTTACATGCTCAGCCAAATCACACGGTATCTAATAACGCTTAAAGGTAAATTACGTCTGGCCAGAGAAGCTAAATCCTCTGAACCCAGACGCCAAACCTACCTAATCACAACCTCCCTCTCCTCACACCCCACAAACCAGTCCGCAATCTTCCTGTCAAACTTCCTACTACACAACATAAACGCGCCCACCCTCATAAACATCCCATATTCTCCCGGAACCAGTACTAACCCCTCAATCTTCAACACAAAGTCATCTTGCCATATCCCCGGACTATCACTTGTATTCCGCACCTGCCGCATAGGAAGCAAAAACGCATTGTCCTCAAGCTCATCGGACGAATCCGGGAAATAACGAAGCGGTTGTTGATCTGTGAAGACCTTTCGATCCCAATGGCGCTCCCATGTGTCAAGTCTGTGCCCCATTTCCGAAAGTCGAACCTCCTTTAACATTCCGCGGATTGTTAGGTCGCCGGCGAGGACTTGACCGGTGCCGTTGGTGTCCGCTGATGAGGTAACCGCATGCACGGATTCAATTGTGGCGAGTTGGGCAATAGGCAAATCACTGATAGTATCCTGAAATTGGAATACGCCGTCCAGACCTGTATCTTCAGACGAGCATATAATGCCATCTACCGAAGCCCAAGACCAAGATGGGGCTCTGTAAGATTTTGGCTTGGGGTAAGGTTGTCCAACAGCTTTCCAGAGGAGATCATAATTCAGATTGTCCTCCCAAAGACCCGCAGCATATTCTTTTCTCACAATTCTTTTGATCGCATTCGCCAGGCCAGAAAGCGCCACGAGCTTGTCAGATGAGTAAGTGAGGTTTCTCTTTGAATAATCGTGGACCAACGAGAACCAGTACCAGTGAAACTCTGCGGGAGAACTGCTTCTGTATCCATCTCGGAATACGCTGAGGAAGTCCAGCGACAGGACTTGTGTGTCTGACCAAGGATTCGAACCGACAGGTTCAAACAGACGGTTGCGGATACGATCGCTTTTTCGACGTCTCCCAGTGCCAATGCCGTACATATCGTTCTCAGCTGCCTTTCCAAATTTACACTCCCACTTAATACCAGTTTTTCCTAGTGTTAGTGTCCGTCGGGACAGCTTCTCCTCTTGCAACACCCAGCCTCTGGTATTCAGTCGGGGGGTGACCTCATCTAGAGTCGATGCTTCAGCAGGTTTGATGTAAAGGCCTTTGGATTGGGGATCTGGACCGGCGATATGACAGCGGGCAATGGTGAGTGGATTACGAGACGAGAAACATCCTTGGAGGGCATTCTCCGCTGAAGCGGCGGCAATTGAGCATTGTGAGTTCTCGTAGTACGTACCCATGAAAGAAGCTTCTCGTGCCCAGTCTTCAGCGTTATCTTGGATGATACAGAGGCAGTCGATCCATAGATACTTAATTCCAAGATTCCTGGTTATGACAATAGCATCTGTGAAAGTTTTTGGCAAAGTATCTAGACTAATACTGTTTTGCATACCCTGAAGATTTTCCGTTTTCAGAGTGGGAAGGTCTTTGACATCACCCCAGCAATGGCTCAGGGTTAGATATTGTAGGTCATGATCGGATGCCTTACAGATGTATAATTCGAGTTGCGGTAGATGGAGGCTGCCTACATCCACGAGTCTACTTGGCAAAACAGAAGAGTCGGTAGTCTTACAACACGCAGAATGAAATTCTTTGCAGTTGCGGAGCCAGTAGCTAGCCAATTCGAAATGAGCAAGCGAGCCTGTCGAAACAGAGGAGAGTGACGGCGCATCTCGAAACTTATAATCGAACGAGATTTTCTTAGAATTTGCAGGACCTGGATCCATGAGTTCGAGACGTAATGGGTTCTTTGTGGTGTCTGTCGATGCATATGGGGTGCCGAATCCGACGAAAAGGTCATAGTGAGCTGACCAGTTTCCGAAACCTGTAGTGATCGTAATCCAACATTGACATTTGGCTTTTCCTATGATTTCCAGCTCTGTGATTTGGATATAATTCAACAACAAGGAACAAAAGTGGCAACCTCCCTTGGCTGATTCTCGCAATTTATTAAGTGATCCATGAAGCAAATGCGTCTCAGTAGAGTCAATTAACAGCTGCCATGATCCGTGAAGAAGTTTTGACGATTGGAATATGGATTGGCAGTTAGCACAAAGGTGATGCAATGTTACTTGATCCTCCGAGGTTGAAATGCTGAGGTTCGGTCGATTACCCTTGAATCGCGGTCGCTGCACCCAATATTTGGTTTTCTTATCGACGAAAAGAAATGCCCATTCCCAAGGACGTAAGAGCGTGGATTGGATAGGATGCGCTCGCAACCGCCCTATATCTGTAAACGACATTTGAATCTGGTTGAGTTTGAGCTTTTGTTTATTTTGTGTAGCATTGCAAATGTACGCAGGTGAGGTGGAAGAGCTGACCGTTAATTTGCGGCTGAGTTGACGACCCAAACGCAACAGAACCGATTTTCATGGCTGGATATGAGGTCAGAAATTCCACGAGTAAATAATCAACAAGAAATCGCTAATTTAGATAAACAAAAACTTCAACATCTTGCCACAGCTTGGTATTTTTGTCACCATCGTGGACTAGCACAAGATCCATTACGGATTTGCTATAAGATCAAGATTTTCCCCAGCAAATCCGAATATTTGGAAACGAGAATAAATCCCATAATAAGTGATATCTTAGTCTCTCAATGGATAGGATAATGGTAACTCTTGTATGCCTAGATGTGAAAGGTGGAGAAGTTGGATGGGGGTGAGGCGAGATTGTTATCGGCTGCGAAGTTATCCCCGATTAAACGCGGTGCGCGTCCACCTCGTTTGTCATAAGCAACGATGACATAGAATATTTTCTTACCAACACTTCGAAGCCAGCTCGTAGCTCCAATACTCAAGAAGAGCTATATGAGTACGGATGAAGAGCTGCCGTGACCAATTCCCGCCGGCATGGCGCCCCCAGCCAAACGTCGAAAGCGCAATGTCCTCCCATCTTCGGACGACGACGACGAAGTCCCAACACCTCAACCCAAAGCTCTTACGTCCAAGTTGAGAGCCCCCTCCACTGAATTATCTACACAGATCTCAAATGGGAAAGGTTCTACATCATCCGCGAAGCCGTCTGGCCAGTCAATGGTAGCTCAGACCAAATCTCAGCCTCGTGCGAAGACGGCGAATCATCCCCACAATGCGGCACCAATATACCTCCCGAAAACCTCTCGTGCGAGTACAAAAAGCGCGAGCAATAGTCCAGAGAAGCCAAAGCGAAAGGGGAAGACGGAAGACAAAGTTAAGAGCGGGGATATCTTCTCATTCTTTACGAAACAGGCACAGCGGCAGAAGGAGGCTGGCATAGTCAATGGGAAGGATGCGAGACCTACAAGAACCCCTTCCAATGAATCGAAAGCTTCTCAACAAGATGAGTTTGATCACATTTCTGACGACGAATTGTTGGATCAAAAGGCAAATTCGTCGAGCATGATTAGGGTAGCCGCTCGCAAACGGGGACTGGAAGGGTTTGGCAGAACGGATGGTGACGCTCCTAGCATGAGCCAGAAGTTCATGAAGAACCCGAAATCTACTTCTACGATCAGAGTGGAGGAAGACTTGCGCCCTTGGGCTGAGCGTTTTGCACCCACAAACCTGGACGAACTGGTAGTACACAAGAAGAAAGTTGGAGATGTTCGTGGATGGCTGGAAGACGTTATGGGTGGTCGAATGAGGCAGCGCATGCTCATATTGAAAGGACCAGCTGGCACCGCGAAAACGGCGACAGTCGGACTTTTAGCAGACGCAATGGACTGCGAAGTGCTCGAATGGAGAAATCCTGTCGGCTCAGTCGCAACCGGTGACGGATTCCAGTCAATGTCCGCACAATTTGAGGAGTTTCTGGGTAGAGGTGGAAAGTTTGGACAATTGGACATATTTTCTACAGATGGCTCCTTACCGGCGAAACCGGATACCAGACCTCTCGATCGACGGAAAAGGCTAATATTGGTCGAAGAATTTCCAAATACGTTTACACGTTCTTCAACAGCTCTGCAATCATTCAGAACCGCTATTTTACAATATCTAGCATCCAATACTCCTCCACTATCAATGTTTCATAATAAGGATATACCAAAAGAGCCTGTGACGCCAATTGTTATGATAATATCTGAAACATTACTCACCACTACCTCAGCATCGGCAGATAGCTTTACAGCACATCGTCTGCTTGGCCCAGAGATACTGCAGCATCCTGGTGTTGGTGTCATTGAGTTCAACCCAATAGCGCCAACTCTACTTGCTAAAGCCTTGGAAACTGTTGTGCAAAAAGAATCTCGCAAGTCCGGACGCAGGAAGACACCTGGGCCTCTTGTTCTGAAAAGACTTGGGGAGATTGGGGACATTCGAAGCGCAATTGGATCTTTGGAATTCCTCTGTCTACGAGGTGATGTAGACGGAGACTGGGGAGCTAAAGTTGCATTTGGCAAAGGAAAGAAAGCTAGTAAGGACCTTGCTTTAACCAAAATGGAAGAAGAAAGTCTTGAAATGGTCACTCGAAGAGAAGCAAGTCTCGGTATTTTCCATGCCGTTGGCAAAGTCGTCTACAACAAACGTGACTTAGAGAAACCATCTCTACCTCCCAACGAGGATGTCGAAAAACTCCCAGATTACCTGTCCCTCCAAGCCCGTCCATACAGATCACAAATCGTTGTCGACGAACTAATCGACGAAACCGGAACCGACACGCAAACCTTCATCGCCGCCCTCCACGAGAACTACCTCCTCTCCTGCGACGCCCCTTCCACCTCCTTCGAAGTCTCAACCCTCGACCACGTAAATGGCTGTCTGGACGCCCTCTCCGACAGCGACCTCCTCTGTCCCTCCTGGGACGGCTCCTTCAACTCGACCGGCTTTGGCGGCGGCACAGGCGGACGAGGAACCGGCGGCGACATTCTGCGACAAGACGAAATCACCTTCCAAATCGCCGTCCGCGGCATCCTCTTCGCCCTTCCTAACCCCGTAAAGCGCGCTTCACCAGCAGCGAGCGGTCTTCGCACCGGCAAGGGCGGAGACGCGTATAAGATGTTCTACCCAACTAGCTTGAAGCTCTGGCGTATGAAAGAGGAAATCGAATCTACGATCGACCATTGGGTTACTAAACTTATGAAAGGAGAAGAAGAACATCTCTCTACCATCACGAGCGGCGCTGCGCAATTCGCGAAAGCTAAACCTGGGACGGTGGAGAGTTGGAAACGACCTTCCACGCACTCCTCTTCGACCTCAAAGGACAAACCTCCCGCTCCGCTCCTCTCGATAGGTACATCCGCGCGTAAAGAAATGCTGCTGGAACGACTGCCTTATATGACGCTCCTCGCGAAAGCGAAATCTAAATCCTCGGCTTCGAATGCGGTGATCAGGGATTTAGAGAAAGTCACGGCGTTTAAAGGGATTGGACCGCAGAGTGAGGATACACCTGATGAGGACGGAGAGGGTGTGGTGGGCGAGGAGTGGGCTACTGATAAGCCTGGAGAAGGGTCGAGTCCGAGGAAGAAGGGACTGGTTATTAGGGGGCGAGGGAGTGGCGGATTGCCGGTTGCGAAGGATAGGGAGGTTAAGTTGGTTTTGAGTGATGATGATATTGAGGATTGAGGTGGGGTAGAGATGTAAGAGGAAGGAAGAAGAGGGGGCGGAGCAACTTTGCTGTGGGATTTGGTAGATATGTGTATGGCGTTTATTAGCTTGTTGCTGTGGTATATGGGAGTATGAAGGGAATATGTAGCTAGCTTTCTGTTATAAAAAATAATTGATGGAATTATGATGCTATTGATGCTAGAAAACGCCTGCTATTCCACACAAACTCCCAGGATGTACACTCCCATTTTTCAATTTACAGTTTCGTTCAGAGCATCATTCAATATCCCAAACTAGCTTGCTCCTCTTCTGCAGATCCAAATCCAGTCCATCCCTTGAAATCGTCCACCAAATATACAGCAGCAGAGAGATATTTCTCATGCACATCACCCCACGTAAACGCAGCTTCCTTTATCGCGCGTACAGCTAGTCTTAGTTAGCACCCCCATTCGTCAATCAAGATGTAGAGAGAGTACATACCTTTAACAAAATGCGCATCCGCACTCCACCCCCCCTCCACCGCCATCTTATCCACATACCCCCAGCTCTTCCCTCCAGGCTTTCCAACAATATCCTCATCAATCTCCGGCCTCAATTGCATGATATACACCGCGATGGTAAGTAACCACCACTGTCGCACCAAACTAACGTGGAATCGCTTCGGGATCAGCGGAATTAAGATCCGTACCGCGTGCGACGTCGTAAGGATATGTACCATGAAGAAATCATACGCGTGTGTTCCCGGCTTCACCGTCTTGATCAAGAGGTCTATCGCCGCTTCCTGCGACTCGCGGAATTGGGTCTTGGGGTCTGAGATTGTCCAGGCGTTCCAGTATTCCAAGATCAGGTTTTCGTGCTGCGAGAAGAGGATGTCGAAGTTTTGGAAGCCTTTTGAGGGGAAGAGTCCGTCGAATCGGGTGTCGTTGTGGATTTTGTGTAGGATTTCGAGGGGGGAGGTTGTACTGTATGTGGAGGGTCGGGTGTAGGAGGGGTCGTCGAGGTATTTGTGGAGGGAGGAGTAGGAGCAGGATGATAGCGCTAGGGCTTCCATGCCGAGTTCTTTCGAGGAGAATTCATAGGCGTAGCCGAGATGGATTAGGGGATGGCCAACTGCGAAGAGTTAGTGATGGTTCGTGGGGATGGGATGGGGACATACGTCCTGAAATGACTCCATTGATGAGTGGTTGTTTGCCGGTGAAAAGGTACTCTTCTGCTACCTTTTTCCAGTCATAGTCGAATTTCAGGGCGAGCTCGTCTTCAAAGAAATCTACGTATGCGCGTTGGTAGTTGTGGTTTCCTAGGAATTCCCTCCAGTCTGCATCTGTGATCTCGGCGGGGGAGTCTTTCCATCCCTCCAAGCTCCGCGATTCATGGTCGTATATCTTCTGTAATTGATCATGGTTTGCGCCGAGAATGTATGCGGAGCCTAGGATATGCGGTAGGTGGTTATGGTATTCGAGGTTATGGTAGAGGACCGAATGGTTGATGTGGTTCGCTTTGAGTAAGTGCTTTAATGTTCTCGGTCGCTTTTCTGGAGCTGTTTCCACATCGTGTATTGGCACACTTTCGAGGTCGATTGACTGCGCAGACCAATCGCTACTTGTCAGATATCTGTAAACTCTGTTCACTGAAGGTAGCCATGCTATCATAGGAGCCGACATTTTGACGGTTTGTCCCAAATTCAGCACATTGGAAATGTCCTGATTTTATGAAGCTGTTGGGAACTACCCCACACTTACTTTAAAGAGGGTCCGCTAGGCTGACACCCAGCGTTGCTAAATAGCGGCCCGCTTCGTTCCTTTCGTACCACCAACACCAAAATTAAATTCGTAGCCCTTAAACCACCAACTCCATGAATGAAGAAGAAATAGTCCGACCGAAAGTAGAAACTATCAAACATGTAATAAAAGGCCAGTCTTGTCGTTTCAGGGTCACAAATGAATGGCAAGTGTTGTTCTGCACTCGTGGAATTTTAATTTCTTATCATGATTTATTTGAGTAGATTTTCTGAGACTCAGGATTTGCGTACCTGCTCAGGGGGTAATTTTATCTCTCAATAGATTGATCAGCGGTAGAGTCAAGAGAAAGTGAATTATTATGTCTTGAGAACTTGTTGACGAAGTTGATTCAGGCACGTCCACGAAAACGTACAAAGCTCGCCATGGTGCTAGATTTGGGGGATAGGTTTAAATCAATAATGAAGATGACAATACTTCCTTCTTGGTCTGCAGTATACAAATGAGCCAAATGATGACGAACTGTCGTTCTTTCGTTCCAATTATCCAGCCAATGCACCACCAATAAGCAATGTTTCTAGGTAACATGCAGGTAAGACCAACTTAAAAGGCACAGTTGACAATTAGACCCGTAAACCAACAAATCCGATGGCGACGCTAAACAACATATGTTATGAAGTTCTCGATGGCCATCCCCAGGGTTGGAGTAACACTATAAACTTCGTCAAATTCCCCAAGTCTACGCGAAAGTCGTCGCGAACACGTGTGCATATACTTATCCTATCTCATTTTTTTACCTCTCTCGATTGCCGAGTCCTTATTAGCAATAATGTCTCCGGTTAGTGTTGATCATGTTATGATAGTCGGAGCGGGTATTGCTGGGCTCGCACTCGCACAGGCCTTGCTCAAGAAAGGAATTGACTTTACCATCTACGAGCGAGACCCCACTTGGAATTATCGACCACAAGGATATAGAATTAAGATATTTCCTGATACGATTGTGCACTTGAAAGATACCATGAGTCTCGAGTTATGGAAGGAATTCGAGAACTGCTGTGCTGTGACAGTGATGGGAGAAAGCACGATCAATGCACTTTCCGCGACTTTGATCTCAAGCAGAGCCCTTCGTGGCATTCGTCCATACACCGTTGACAGGTCTGTACTTCGAAAAGTGCTAGTGAAGGGGCTTGAAGACAAAATTCAATTTGGCAAGAAGTTCAGCAAATACACCATCAACCCTGACTCCGTCACAATCACCTTTGAAGACGGCACAGAATCGTCTGGGACCTTGCTGGTGGGCGCTGATGGCGGCCGTTCCCAGATCAGACAGATTTTCCTACCAGACTTCAAGACTGTGGACCCAGAAGGTATTTGCATATTTGGAAAAACTCCCATCACGGATGAGTTAAAGAAGCGAATCCTCCCAAAAGCGCTTCAGTGGTTTGTCGTTGTCCGAGACACTGCACCAGTGATCCAACAGGTCATCTGGGGAAGCGAATTACCAGTCAGCATGTTCGTCGAAAAGATGTCATTCCCGAACCGGAGCTTGACAGAGATGGAGCTTCCAGAAGATTATCTCTACTGGTCGATGCTACTACCGACCAAACTCCTAGGCATGACTGAGGATGCGGTCACAGCTTCAATAAATCGACCATCGACCGAGATAGGCCTTGATATTACTTGTGAGTGGGACCCCTCACTCAAATGTATCATCGAGCTCCAAGACCCGTCTCAGGGAGCTGCAATCCGCATCATCTCCGGGCCTCCAATGCTTCCTGAGTGGGAGACTTCTGATAGAGTGGCACTGATCGGAGATGCCATCCACGTTATGGCTCCCTCCGGAGGCGTTGGAGTCGCAACTGCTCTGAAAGATGCCTCGATTTTGTCTGATAAGCTAGCTCAAGGAGGCATCTCGAAGAGTAGCATTGGAGCTTATGAATCGGAGATGAGAATCTATGCCGAGGCGAGCATTCGCAGGAGCTTTGCTGGTGGGAAGTTGTTCTTTGGCCAACCTCCTTTTGATCAATGTAAAGAGGTGAGCTTTAAGGCAACATCTGGCGAGGAATAGACGATGAATAGGGTGGCAGGTCGTGGGTGCATCTTGAAAATATAGCAATGTCGAAGTCTTAGAAAAGACTGCCACAGCGAGGGTGATAAGTTGGATTCTTCTGTTCCAGAACCTGTACACAATGAAATGTGAAATTGGCCTGCTGCAAGAAAGAAGCATCTGATACAATGAAATCTTTTTAGTATTGATGGAATGACTGGGAGAACAGAAACCTCTGTCGAAAACTTGTGGATCGAGTTCGGATCGGATTATTTATTTGCCGTGGCCTTCGCGTCAACAAATCTAGACGCGAAGACCGCAAAAATGTTAATATCGTTTCGTTCTTTAGCAAAACGTCAAGCTGAAGATTAGATCCCATCACTTTCTTGTGCAGATACTATAAGATGGCTGGAGTGAAGCCATTGATATATGCTGAGCTTTTGTCCAATATCCGTCAAGTTTCTGTCATCGCGGCTCTGAATACGCCATCTGATTCCTCGACTCGAGTAGAGGTATTGGATGGTGGCCGTCAGATTCTCGTATCTCACCAAGACCTGAGCTCGGTCTTAATCCTGCCTGGACAAGTTACGCTTTACTCCCAGCTTCAACAACCTGTGTCTGGGCAAAAAGAAGTCTCATGGCGTCTTCCACTGGCAAGTGCACCAAGCTCTGGGAGGGTTGTAGCGAATCTGCAAGAGAATGAAACTCCTTGGTCTGCTCGGGACTTGGGAGAAGACGCTGAGTTCTCCTGTCGCGAATGCAGCGCTATCATCATCAAGAATGGCTCGATCAAGGATTGGAAAGATCTCCCGAGTGAGAACTGGGCAGAGATGATGGAGTTTTGGCATTGCCATAAGCCCGATGTCCCCAAGCATGAGCAGAATGGACCCAACAATGGATCAAGCGATCACAAACACCATTCTCATACCGACAGTAATGCGAACAGAGGCTATGGGGCGAACTCAAAGTTTATTGCGAGAAAATCTACCGGCTTTGTCGACCCAACAACGTTCCTTCTGGCCAGCGCCGATTGTTCCAACATTCAAGGGCTACAGGTAAGATGATATCCCTTCTCCCGTTTGATTATTCTCTCACCAAACTACTTCCTATTCTGGGCATCAAGAAGGTGGCCATACATGCTTTTGCTCCTCAATTGTCTGATCACCGATACAAATGCCCCAAATTGACAATATGTCTACCATTTTGCATCATTTCATTGGGCAACTAAGTAGACGTAACCTTCTCTTCGGAAAATGGTTTAACTACTTAGAATGCGGTAGACACACTCGTCTTTTGCACTCCGCGCTCTCCAAAGTCAATGGAGGGATACGGGATAAGTTCGAGGAACATTTGCATTTTTGTATCTTCATCATCTCGTCCTAGAGTTGCTTTAGATACTTGAATCAATCAAGTGGATGGCTGTCCGATGCTGGGTTTGTAACGGTTTGCTGACGGACATGCCTGAGCCATCCTCTTTATCGAATCGCTGCTGATCCCCCCTTAGAAATCAGAGCTGTCAAACAAGCAATTAGATTATCAACCACTGAGTTGCTTAGGTTGTAACCAATACTTGGGCATAGTTGACCCGCAAGCAGAAGGAGTCCGTCTATACAAATGGAGGCTCTTGTGCAATTCGCGACCGTCTTCGCAGCCAAACGGCTCAACGACTGGCTCGATTTTAGAAGCACCTTCATTATCTGTATTTTTTGCCTCTGAGTTGATACGGATGCATCTGTCACAGTGCGTGTCGCGTATCTTACTTTCGCCGATATCATGGAAGCCGGCACAAGTATCTACTACTCCGACTAAAACATCATTTCCAAAGTTCATCTCGCTCTGGGTCCTGTCTCCTGGCTTGAAGGTATCTGGATTGGGTGCCTCGCCAGATTCCCCGGTCAACTCCAGCAATGATTTGAACAGCACGACTCAGTCCCTCTTGCGAAGTCTTCAATTAAATCCAAAGCGGCCAGGTTCATCTAAAGGCAACTCAACTTCAAAGAGCAGCCAGATTGCTTGTGGTCTTAAGGTGAAACTGTTTTGGAACCATGTAGATGAGAAAGCCGCTATCGAGTTACAAGACCGCGAAGATACAGAAGAACTGTCTTTGCCTGTCGAGGCAATTGAAGAATTATCAGCATGTCTCCAGAATTCTGCTAATATTCTGCCGCCAAGTGCGCGCAGATTTCAGACTTGGAATGTAGGATTGCTAGACAGATACGAACAGCCAAGATAGAAAAAACTATAATATTACAAAATTGTCATTACTCTACTGAAAACTGGCGACAGAAAGCACCATCATTATCCACTATCTTTTATCACCCGCCGCTATGCACATCATGAAGCCTTCGCAGGTACTTTCTGGAATAGGTACACCAATCCTTCACTTAACGTCGGATGTGTAATGATCAGATCCGCAATATCCGTATACTTCAGGTTCATCTTCATACACAACTGGACGACCGGCAACAACTCTCCTGCGCCGACACCAAGCGCTGTGAACCCCAAAATCTCATCTTCATCACCTATCAACGCCTTTGCGAATCCTGTCGTCTGTCCCAAAGTTCTGGTTTTCAAGAAAGCACCCATTGGCAATTTCGCTAGCCGGTATTCGATTCCCTGAACTTTTGCTTCGCGCTGTCGAAGTCCGATATGAGCGAATTCTGGGACTGTGAAAAGCGTAAAGGGGATCTGCCGTCCACTCTTCCTGTTTGGTATGGTGGATTTACCGAGAAGTGCGTCTTTGACTATCCGGAAGTCATCGAATGCTACGTGAGTGAATTGTGGTGATCCGGCACAATCTCCGACTGCGTATACGCCAGAACTTGACGTCTCGAGCCTTTCGTCGGTGTTGATGAACCCTCTGGGATCGAGCTGGATACCTGCTTCTTCCAGACCAATGCCAGTAGTATTCGGTACACGTCCAGTCGCGCAAAGAATATGAGATCCTTCCAGCTCAAACGGCTTTCCAGATATCGTTCCCTTCATCATCACCGATTCTCCATAAATCCCAGAAACCTCCTCCACAACAGCAGAGGTGTAAAACCTAACACCCTCGCCCTCTAACACTCCCTTCAAAGCAACAACTACATCTCCGTCCTCATTTTTCAAGATCCCTTCATTCCTCTCCACCACCGAAACCCGCGCACCAAACCGCCTCATCGCCTGCGCAAACTCTAGACTGATGTATCCTCCGCCCAGGATAATCAGATGCTCAGGCACGATATCTAATTCCATGATCTCGATATGTGTAAGTGGTTTCGCGGATTTTAAGCCGGGAATATCTTCAATTCTCGCTCGACTTCCTGTGGAGATTACGATCTTATCTGCTGTTACAAGCCTCTTCCCCTCCGCGGTATCAACTTCGATACTCTTCTCCCCGACGAAAACACCGCGTCCCCAGATCACCTCTACTTTACTCTCCGCGAATCTGCTTCGATGCACTTCTTGCAAGCCAGCAACCATATCCCGTTTTCGCTGGCGGATGGTTTGCATATCAATCTTCATTTGTGAAGCGAGTAGATTGGATGAAGAGGCTTCATGGATGATAGACGCGGAGTGGATTATGTTCTTTGAGGGTAGACAGGCTATGTTTGGGCAGGAACCGCCTAGGTAGCTGCTTTCTATTAGGGCGACGCGGGAGTAGTGAGGAGAGAGGGTCCAGGAGAGGTATTTGCCTGCTTCGCCGGACCCCAGGATTAGGAGAGGGTAGTGGTTTGGGTCTGTCATGACTATGAATTTGGAGAGTTGGAATGTTAGGAAGGGGAAAGTTGGATCAAAGTATGGAGAAATGATTGCAGTGGTCGAACGACACAGGATGATTATGGTTTTTATGATATTATTTTATATATACATACTTGATTACCAGAGTTAAACTTTCACGTGTCTGATGAAGCATAATCTGTTATTCATCAATCCGCGTCTGGCTGAGGGGTGGTTTCTTAGACGAACACGTGCTATAAACGGCGAGTCCACCACTTGCTGAAATAGTAATTAGCCTCAACGGAATAGCTATTCAAAGCCCGTGCAATCCCGATGTGTTGTGTAGTATGAAAACTCGGGATTTGTATGCGGAATTTGTTGTGCACTTTTCAGATCGCGAAGCATGATTAGACACTAACAGTCATCAGACCACCTAAACTACCCCGAGAGTCGTGCACTACAACGCTGTGTAGAAGCATAATTGTCATCCAAATGCCGTACCTGTAAGACCATGATAACAATCTGCAAAAAACCAACTCAGGATCTTTAAGCTTCGTACCAACTGCACAACATTTCCCATCCTTCAGGAACACAACAGCCCCCGTTGGTGGCCCCATCGCGCGACACAAACATCACTCACCTAACTTACGTACGAGATCAGCGAATGAGAAGATCTGCGTCGGACACTTTCGGGTTTAACCCATCTCCAACATTTTAACGCTTTGGGGCCATAGAGAGGTCGCGCGAGCTAAATCGCGACCTTTTCTGAAGCTCATGATCTGCGGAGTACGCGTTTTTTGCAACGAGATCTTGCTATAGTTAGAGATAGTCTAAGTTGAGACGGATAGTGTTTATCTGTCTTCGTCGATGACCTGCTATCCATAGACCGTGCAGCTTTTCGCTTGTATTTCTGGAAAATCCAGTGCTGGAAATAAAAGACGGACACCCGGCGTTCGTCAGCGTAGTAGTGGTCAGATTTAATATGCAGACATTGATGAAGAATGCATTTTAGGTGCCTGACCTATCATCATGGTCTTGAGTAAGCCACCCACTTTAGACGTGGCCATAGGGGCCTGCTCACGTGACAGGCAGTCATGCTTGCCAAGAAGTTTGGAACAAATTTGTTTTGCGGATCTTCAACATCGGCATTTCTTACCCACACAACTTTGATGCTATATTGGAAAGTCCATCGATACACACAGATTACCTCTTTGTGATCACACGAGTCTTCGATATTGCGGTAGCTCAGTCATGCTTCTCAACAACATGCTCGTACACCACTCTCTCCGTCAGCTCACTTCCACTGCATGAAGCGGCCACGTCGAGTCTGCCAGATTCCCAAAGCGGCCTCTTCCCGCGGCCACAAGTCGCCTCAATAGGACGGATAATTGAGCCTCTTCCAAGAGAAACATTCTGCTTCTTCGCGTTGGCGGTCTCCAACTGGTTGATGCTCAGCCAGTGCTGGTGTCGTGGATGAAGTCCCGTCAAACGAATTCACGGTTCTAAGCGCCGGCCTCTTGGTGGTGCTGGCTAAGCGAACTCCTATTCGTCCAAGCGACCTCTTCACTGCATGGCAGCGCCAATCACCCTCTCTACCTGCTTTCCACTCGCGCGCGCCATCCACACCTTTTCGACCCCCCCTGACGCTCATTTTGGTTAGGTACGTATCTGGATCGAGCTGCACTCGTGGTTCGCAGGCTGTTCTGCTCCCAATATGCCTGTCTGTTCCTGCAGATGTTGCAATTGGCTCCCGAGGGCAACCACCACCTAAGCGAACTGGTGATAGCACGACTCCATGCGTGTGTCTGTCCCCGTCTGGCCAATTCCGCTGGCTGTCGAGGCTCCTCGTTACACCTGCCCACCGCTGCCATCCAACCCTTCGCCCTCTCCCGCTGCTTCGGCCTGCCCACCTCTCCCCAGGTCGTCATTGCCATGAAGACCGGGCCTCGAAAGCGCGTCTAGATACAAGCAAACCCCAGTCCCGCTCTCCTCTAGCTCGCTCTCGTACCCATCCAGCGCTGCCCATGTCTGACTTTGGCGCCCACTTTGCTCTCTTGACGCCGTGCAAAGACGAGCGTTTCCGTACGGCGTCGTACCTCTGGTATAAACAATAACGGCCTCCCAGAAACTAGGTTGGTCATCTCTTCTTGACTTTTTGTTCCTCCTTTTGTTGTTCTGTCGAGTTTTGTTTGATCGTTCCTCCCGGCTCCTCGAAAGTCTTCCTGGTCGAAGCATTCTATCTTTTAATATATCCACTCGCATCCGAACGTAACTCTGGTAGTCTTACATACATCTCTCGTCGACCGGGGATCTATTCACAGTTCGGCTCGCTCACACCCACACCTACCTATTTTTACAATTTCCATATCTGCAGCCCTCAAAATGGCGACTCTCGATTTACTTTTACTACCAGCTACTACATATTGCCCGCCGTCCGCTGCGCAGGCTCGCAAGACGCAACGGTCACTTAATACTATAATGGAAGATGAAGTTACGTCGCAACGCAACTCAATGATCATGATGAACAGGCGGAGTCAGGCATATGAAAAGGCATCAAGGACAGCGGAGTGGCTCTCACCCATGAGCGACAACTTCCCCACACCCCGCGGCAACCACTTTATGTCGGCACCTATCGCTGAGTCCACTGCATCCGAGAGCGAGGAGAGCATTATCTCTGGTACCTCTGGCACACCCTCTTCGGCGCCATGGACCAGAACTTCTTTCACTACCGAAGCCACCGACTTTGATGACCTCTATGATGTCTCATCCGACGACGAGGCACGAAGGAAGCCTTCTGTGCGCAGAAGAAGTGCGACTCGTCAGACCAGCAGAAGCAGCAGCCGTCAATCAGTCGACTCCATCTCCAGCAGAACCTCCCGCAAGTCTCTTCCAGTACTAGCAATCCCATCCAAAGGTGACCCATGGCCAGGACACGAAGCTTTCAAGGCTCTCACCTCTCCAATCCCACCTACCCCACCACCAAAGGTTCCTATGTCCCCTGCTCTTTTCCAATATCTGCAATCACAAGAAGTTCCTTCATGCTCGGCACCACCATCTCTGGATGGCAGCCTCAGCTCCGACCAATTGGCGGTTATGTCTGTTCCACCGACGCCAGAGATCGGAAGCGTAGTTGGAGACGATGAGGATGTTTGGGGCAATGGTATTCAACTTCAACCAGCTGCTTTGGCTACCCTGCAGGCACTCTCCGGTAACGATAGCTTGTACGAGCACCAGCCCGAACAGGTGATCGAGCTACCCCAAGCCCCCGCACCCGCCCCGCGTGTGCAAGAGATGCAACAGAGCCTTCCTCCACTTACCACAAACATCCACCGCAACAACTCCATCATTCTCTCACCCGAGAACCAGCGATCGCTCAACAGCCTTACCCGTCTTGAGATTCCATCTCCAGGAGGATTTTTCTCTACGCTCTCTCGCAATGCTAGACACACCTGGCACTTGGTCCCACTTACCCCAGAGGCCGATGCTCCACCAACTTCCACCACTGCTGAGAACTTCTACAAAACACCATGGTCGTCCGGAGCTCCAGTTGAGAGCATCTTGGAGGTAGCTGAGTCTGATTGCATGTCCAATGGTCTCCCAACTGCCCCAATCACTGCCAGATATGCACCTCTCCAAGAGCCCATCGTCACTTCCACTGCCGAGAACTTCTACAACACACCATGGAGCAGCTCTGTCCCAGTTCAGCAAACCGTCTTTGCAAACAACTCGGATTGTATGTCTCAAGGTCTCCCAACTGCGAGATACGCCCCAGTCCAAGAGGAGATCGTTCCCGATGAGATCATCACCGAGACTCTCAAACTCGATAGCGTCGCTGTTGAGACTGTTGACCGCACTGGCCTTTGGCTCGCAGCTCAAAGCTCTTACCTCTCAAACATCGTCGACCCCATTGAGGAGCGGGACGACGAGGTTGCTCTTCTCAAACGCCACACCAGCGTCAAGATCCAAAGAGAATCTTTCGTAGAGGTTGAGGACGATGTCCCACCCATGCCAACTCAAATCCGCGCTGATAGCCGCTCTGAAGCCCGCAAAACGGTCCGTTTCTCTGTGATCCCACCTACACCATGCACCGGAGTCGTTGCATGTCCATTGCCCCAAACTGACCTCCCGCAAGAATCAGCGTACTACCGCGCCTTCCAGAGCTTTAAAGCTCGCTCCCGCGCCCGCGACACGTTTTCGCACCGCATCCCGCGATTCGAGGCTCTGCAGACTCAGCGCGTCGTTTTTCCAGATGCCCACCGAGCCCAGCTCCTCGGAAAATATCAACTCAGTACCGTTCATATGAGCCCAAAGAAACGCATGTCCGCCAACGTCGCTCGCGGTGACGAGACCCCCCCTGAGAACCTGGAACGAATGAAGAAGGATAGAGAATACGAGGCTTTCGAGCAAATGAAACACGCAACCTGGAATGTCATGGCATCGAGGCTTCTCAATGGCGGTCGTCTCATTGCTGCACCAGCAGCAAAGAAACTCTCTCGCCTTTCGTCAATGGGTCCAAAGCTTTATGGTGCCTCTCCCGATCGTGCACGCATCCTCGATCTCGGTGGTCAAGCTACTTGTGATTGGGCATGGCACGTTGCAGCTGAATACCCAAACATCAAGGTCTACACTGTTACGACCAAAGCTCTTCGTCAACTCTCCAACTCCAACATCCGCGGCCCAAAGAACCATCGTCAAGTTGCCGTCGATCGTCTTACCGTACTTCCCTTCAAGGACAACCAATTCGATCTCATCTCGGCTCGTGAGATCTACAGCATCTTGAAGTCTAAAGGAGAGAATGGTCAAGATGAGTGGGATGCTTGTCTAGCCGAATGTCTTCGCGTCTTAAAGCCAGGTGGATACCTCGAGTTCTCGATCATGGATTCCGACATCGTCAACGCCGGACCACTCGGTCTAGCAAAGAGCGTCGAATTCGGATTCAACCTCACCACCCTCGGTTTCGACGCCTCGCCCACCAAGACCTTCCTCCCTCGCCTCAAGCAAGCAGGGTTCGTCGGTGTCAAGCGTGCGTGGACATTCCTACCCATGGGAGCCAAGCTAGAGGAAGCACCCAAAAGCCGCGACAGTCTCGGCGTGGAAGTCAAACTCCAAATGGACGCATTTCTAGAGGGGAGTCTCGAGAGCATGGCCTGCGTAGGCGGCATTGTCGGCGGTTGGGCCTGGGAGAAGTGGTTACTCCGCTGCAAACTCCAAACTTTCGGGAACGAAGCAAAGATTGATGGTGTGCGTGATATTATCGAGGAAGGACGATACTGTGGTGCCGGATGGAGAACGGTCAATGGATGGGCCATGAAGCCTTTGCGCTAAAATCGGGGTTGATTATACTGGTGTTCGGATTTTCCTTTTGCGGTTTATTTCCTTGGGACTCTTGGATCAGATGGATGGACGGGGATGGTGGGGGTGTACATTTAATAGAGGTTGGCATAACCTCGACTCTTCTTTGGCCCTTGGGGTCCCCTTTTTTTTCCTTTGACACATGTCGAAGCTTTTCCTCACTTGAGGATCGAGACACAAAATACTTCTTTTTACATTTTTTTTGGGCCTGGCCGACGGTTTTGTCGTTGGCTATACTGCTTTTTTATTTCCTTAATTTATATAAGATACCTCACTACTACTACTTTGACGAAGAAGAATTTTAATTCAAGACTGTCTCTACCTGAAATATCTTGACTTCACTATGACTCTAATCTCTTTCGTAATCGATTTTGGTGATGGTGTTGTGAAAATGAGAACTCGCTGTAGAGTCTGACGTAAATTCAACAACAAGCGAGATTCCGAAACATACCGCGTTCCAGGAGACGCTTGGGGCTGAGATGGCGGTTGCGAAGGGCGAGCTTTTCGCTGAGGTGTGTGTGGTCCCCGGTTTTAAGCCTCCGTAGAGCGGGCGCTTAGGTTGGTTGATCTGTAAGGGTGTGGTGGGATGGGTTTACCGGTTTGCTGGGAACGGGGTGTTTAAATTGGGCTGGATGATAATTGGACCGAGATCTGTGTGAAGACGAAGATACATACTCCGCGTATGGTGTGTTGCTTCGTGGAGGTTCATTAGGTGGGATTTGCTTCTTGGAATGGTCTGGAAAAGGAGATGTTGGGAACTAATAACGTGAAGTTCACCTTTTTCTGGTACGCGAAGTTTACTTTCATAAGATAAATGTTGCTGCCGAAACAAAATCCATCACCAAAACCCATCTCTCAGGATCTCGCATGTGTCAGTCTTCAATCCCCTTATATCTCATTCTTCCACATGTTCCAGTCAGAGAAAAAGATTTTGACAAACATATGAAATCAGGACGACAATGGAGAAGTAAGAGGGTGCACACATATCAACCTCGTGGATGGAAAACTTACCATTTCAAGTTTTTGATGTTGAAATTTCACGAATGGGCGTTGTTTTATGATGTTAAAGAAGTTGTTATTATGGATCTTAGACTTGGAATTCTTCTTTTTTTTTTTTTTGGTGGTTAAGGATTATATCTATTTTTTCTTTGGTCGTTGGGCAGTAGCCTTACGAGTGAGTTGTTAATATCTAGTCCGAACATGAGAAGAACTCTACATATTTATTGAGATTCTTCATTTATGTCGTTCGGAGTCTTACTGGCTTTTGGGGAAAGTGTCATATAAATGTGTACATAAAAATGACAAATTGCCTCCTCAAAACTACAAAGAATAGAGCGAACACGGGATATAGCAAAGGGTGCATAAACACGGGGGTGGTGTAGGAGAATTGTTGTTTTCAATCACTTGGCAATAATACTAATACTCGATAGCGATTGTATTGATCATGACCGACTTTGGTTGTGATATTACAGAAGTGTAGGTAAGTAGGACTTAGTGCCGAAACTTGAATTATCACCGAAATGACCTTTCCAAATATCGTATCACCTTTTCAACTCGTGAATGTAGGTTTACATAGGCATTTTGTCTCAATTAGCCATCAAGTATTGTTTCCACAGAAAAGCTGGTTCATCCCAAGAATTATTGCTTCACCACGTGGAGCAACGGCCTTGATCATTGTTTGTTGGTAAAGAGAAAAGAAGGAGATACAAGTGGATACTTGAATGGAGCTATTGCACTTAGCTGGGATTTCGTAGGGAGTTACTTAAGATATCTAAAGGGGTTTATTAGAGATTAAGTTTTCTGGGGAGAATTCTGCTTAAAATGATTTACATGGGACATAATTTATTTATTTCAATTGCAGTGTCAATAAATAAGATATTGTATTTCTAGCTGAGAACTCAAGCTTTAAATTATTTATTCATAGAAAATCTAATTATAATTTCTACGACACGTCAATTCATGAAAATTCAGGTCACCCCAACTTGAAAAGGTGGTAACTAAACAGTCGTTGCCATTTATGCCAGGAATAAACAAAAAAGATCGTTGATAAATGTTTTCGCCTACAGCAACCAGGCAATTATAATAATGAGGGGAGAAAAAGAAGAAGTCTTTGTAAAAGCGTGTAAGAACAAAAGTATTCCTAAGTATTAAGAGATTGTTTATGACAAAAAACGGGTAAGTTGTGGAGTTGTTGCCGAAAAGTGAATTTTTACCGATGTTGGTTGATCGAAATCGAATGTCTACTGAATATTTCTGGTATGGTATTGTAAATGAAGTCCTGAAATTAGAGTAGATACATTTTGCACACAACGCTAGGATTTTATGGAAAAGCGTACCGTACTATGCGTATTTGTCCGCATGGGTAGCGTCTGAAAGCGAATTTGCGATTAAAATTCGGGAAGCCGAATACGACCGACGTTTTTATTAATAGTAGGAGGTACTTACAGTAATAAGACTTTAGAAATCAACCTAAATTAAGGGGATGTCGGTTAAACTTTTAAGGAGTAAAGATTTTGTATCATGATTGTCTTCTTAGCTAGACTTAAAGTAAGTCTTTAAATCCTCGTCAAATGTGTCTTTCTATAGTCCTATGGGACGAGAGGCATTTAACGAGGTATAGTCTACTTCTACATTAGTAGCTGTGAAACAATTGTTGCATTTGTTCTTTTTCCAGAAGGCACACATTATAGTAAATAATAACAGGAGCCCTTGCCGTCGCTTCAGATTGATTATAGCTTCGACAACGTTGCTTCAGGTGGGGAGAGGTTGGAATGAGGGTGTACCTTCTTATAACGTAGGTTACTGATTTTTATTGATTTCTTACGAGTAAAACTGACAAAGCTGTTGTTGTTTTCTGGGTTTGTGGGTGGATGAATAGCTGTTTGTGGTGATTATTTTGAATGTCGATTTTTCTAGACAGAGGAGCTATCACCACTGAATGACAAGCTTTTTGTAAGTGGAGCTTGCAGTTTTGCTCTACTTAGTCACTGGGATTACCTCTCTCGCAATGTCAATTTACCTCATCAACCCGGAGCATGCAGTCTATGGAATATTTTTCGTGGTATTGTATTAGAGATAATATTCTTAACCCTACGATGGTCGCCATTATTACGCTATGATGGAAAGCTATTGGGAAGTATTTGAAAGTTTTTACAAAACAAAAAGTCTAGGCGTGACATCAAAGTTTTCTTATTGTTCATTATAGGTATTATAACTGAGAGAATTCCCAAAGTAGACATGATAACTTACTGCCGAGAGGGGCCTCACCACCGAAATCATGCAAGCGAGTTCGACTTTCTAACATCGGAGTCTAGGAGCGTTTGGCAGGTATCACGTCTAGCAGGTATCACGTTTGGCAGGTATCATTTGCCGTGACATAGTCAACCCAAAGAATCCTCGCTCTATTCAGTACCCCATTGAAAGTGAAGTCATTATCGCTTTGCGATAAGTATTGATTGGTATTGAGATGTGAGTCGAGATAGTAAGTATTGGATGAGGTGAGATAGATTAATGAGTGTTCAAAAGTGAAGTGAGGGGAAAAAAGACTGCCGAGGTTAAGTGAAAAGAATAATGACTCTGTTTCAGAAAGCTATAATAGAATCTACACTAAATGAACAACTAAATCCAACATTTTCTTGACGTTAGTGTTTTTCATATGGGCTGAGTTTTGGATGTTTGCAGGTGTGATGCTGACAAGCGGTTTTCCTTTATGTTCCAACTTGAGAATTGAGAACTTACTCAGTTATATGCAGGTAATGAAACATGTCAAAAGTTAAAATGATGAGTCTCTGGGAAGCTGCCGTTTGAACTGGATATTTTGCACCATTAAAGTTATTTCTCAAGCGGAAGTTTGAATTTCGTTCCCGTAGATTTATAAACTTACTCATATGGTACTGTGGATATCTTAAAATCTAATAGTACAATGTATAAAAGATGCTGTATAGTGTTATCGTGTTATGACATAGAGGTTATTAGCTGGAATAGCAGAGGGCCACGTGGATGACATGTTGAAGCGATGTTGGAATCAGAGGACTTCAAGCAATTTTTCAACAGTGAATTAAAGACTATTGTATAGATCAATTTCTGTTAAGAAAATTCTGAGAATAGAGGCAAATAAGTTGCTACCAAAAACTTGATTGCTGCCGATTTAGGTTACTCTTCTTGAACATTGTGTTATTTCCGAACTGTAACTATAGCAATAAGTATCTAACTAATCTCATGCCACTTATTTATTTCTTTTACAATTGATTTCCTTTCTATGTGGCGCTTTTAGGCTCCACAGGCAACAATCATCCGCATCTCCCAAAGGCTGCTCGTTTTATTCTTGGCTTCTGACGAAGTTTGGCTTCTATTTGTAGTTGGTCTTACTGGCTCTATGTCACATTAATAGAAGAGTATATTCAATGTTTTTCTTTCTGCTGGGATTGCGTATCTTTTTAGGTTCTTTTTGAGGTTCTACATCAGACCTAGAGGTAATGCATTACACTTTCCATTTCGATGAGTGTAATGTGTGTTTGTCATAAGTTCTTACCCCTCCTCCCGAAGTTTATCTACAAATCTAGCTAAGGCTAAAAACAACACGCTGACAGCCACAGATGTTATCCCTGGCACTACAGACAAGTTCTTTAAGGGAGGGCCAACATCCCAGTCAGAATTTTAGGAACACTGTAGAACAGCGAAATAATATAAGTATCCTAGAATAAGCTGGGACTTCCTTCATTGAAATTTCTAATCTTTGTGTGATTGTTTTCTGTCGCCGAATTATTCATCACTGCTGAAAGTTAATGGGCCAGGTGCAAGGCGTGAAAAATCTTCAAATGGGGACTTTGATATGTATTTACTATAGCGAAGAATTAGGGCTCCGTCAAGTTCAGTTCCTACAGCTTTTCGAACCTTTCTAGGTTTAGACGAGAAGCGTCGCTCTACACCAGAGGCACGCGAAGGTCTGCTTGCTGCATTTACAAATTCAAAAACTCTCATAACATATAAAAGGATTTGAACAGATTCTGGTCCAGATGTACAAACGGAATGAAACTTAAGTAATTGGATCACTCTGGGTTTTGAGATTCTCATAGAAAGGCACCTTGATTAAATCAATGGGTTTAGATAAATTAAACGAAGTCGGCAGTCAAAGTGGTCAAATATCGATTGTACCTTTTCGTCATCATTCTAAGGGGGAATTCATTTAAGTACCTCAATTTTAAACAGCGCTTTTGATATTATGATAATGTCATGGGAATCATTTATTCGCCAAGGTGCTTTAACTAGACTTTTTATTCCGACGTAAGGATACAGCAAAAACAAGTTTAGCAGGAAGAACTTGTCTAAATTCAATCAAATAGCATTAGTGAGATACGCATTAACTAATCATGCAGAATTCTTCAATGATGTATTGGCTGGAGAGGCATGGAAATAAGAGACCATAAACCTTCTCAAAACGTCAGCTCTTAACATATTATCGAATAAATAAACTTGCGTAACACGAAACCCACTTATGCTCACGATCTTTTTTTTCCTTCTCCTGATGACGCTTCGTCGCCGATGATTTTGATGTCACCGAATGTAACACCTCACATAGCTTAAGTAACCAGCAATCTGGAAAACCAATAGATCCGGGCTATAGAATAGAAATGTCTGATAATTCCAAACAAATATAATGGGGTAAGGTCTTGCTTCATTGGGAGTAGAGATATAGTCTCAAGCCCGTGAGCAAGAAGAAAGGAAGCGATTTTATAGTTGTCGAGGCGATCGTCGCAAGGAATCGTGTTTATAATCAGACGTGTCACCTTGTGGTAGAAGTGACTTTTGTGTTTATTGACAGATGAAACAAGATCTATAATCAATAGATATGTCGAGTTTTTAAGAGGGAAGAACACCTCTAAATGCTACAATTTCGTTGCAAAATTGGGATTTTTGTGGTTGAAACCAGTATCTGGGATAATATTTCGTACGGGTCGATAAAAACTAATGACTATAATTGTAGTTAATGTTGCTAAATTGTTTCCCTGGCCTTTTTCATTCAAACAAAAGACTCCGACACGATATTACAGAGAATCAAAGAAGATCAACTAAGTGTTATAATATTCATCACCAGAATCAAATGAAATTGTCACTAGCTTCTTAACATCTTGAGAATAATTAACTTTCACATGCCCCGCACGCTGTGAATAACTCGGTATTTATTATTAGGTCCAGAATGATTCTCTACTCATTATTACATTCGATAGCATCTTTTTTAAAGTGCTTATGTCTATGGATAATATAAAATCTCTTCCTCGGTTGATAGCTTCAATCAATTGCCGGGTGCGCTTTCAACCTAATTTTTCAATCCTCTGGGTGTACTCACAATGGCTAGAAGTATGTTCTCTCCGCTTTGTTTGACCACCGTCAAAGTTCATTTGATCTATAATCAGGGGTGTTTAGCCAATACAACTATACAGTTTCCATAAGCCTTAAGTGCCAAGACTAGGAGAGCTGTTCCAAGTCAAATTGGCAATACGGATCTAGGAACAAATCATTTTCGCTGGTCAACGACGACCCCGGGCCTCAACAAAGGTGTCTCTATAGCACTACCTAGTACCTTGGTAGAGGTGGAGAGAATACACTTCTCGTTATTGTGAGTACATTCGCTTAGACATTAAGATGAAACCTGATGATTTTCCACCACCGAAATTACTACTGTCACCAAAAGTGGCACTTCACATAACATCTACAATCGATTTTGGTTGTCGACTCTTCAAGATTCTCTTACCGTTCTAAAAGAACGGTAATTCTATCTGAGTAAAGAGCCATATCTTATTCACATGAGCACAGTATCCGAGATACTACACAGAGGGAAAAGAGACCGAATCACGCTATTGTGTATCCGTTCTTTATTGGATATTGAGCTATGGGCATTGCCATTTCCATTTATATGGCAGCTTACACTTGGGATACTAATCGTTGGATGAGGGTTCAAATTTCGCACCATTCAAATCAGTGATGGTTTTCGAGGTTGTCAGCGTCACGCGAATTTCTAAGATTTTGGGAAGATATTTTCAAATATATCCAAGGGTGTTACAAGTGACCAAATTAAAATAAGAGAACGAATCCGTTGTCTCACTATTTTTGATAGGTAATAAAGAAAGCGATAACTAAGATTTGTAAGGTGTCAGTTCAACATTGCATATCCTTAGATGAAAGCTTCGATGTGATGTCTAAAATGCTGAGTTGATGCGATCTTACACGCCGCTCAACTGCCATCCAACTTCACAAACCTCTGCCACCGAAAAGTCCACCACCATCGAACTCAATACTTCACCAAATATATATGTCAGCCGAGCCCAGGACGCTTGTTCTCTTGATAAATGACCTGGGAGAAAATATGACAGAACGGCGAGTCTATGTATATTGTTGAAGCCATTATGTCCACTGGACATAACAGCTGGATGCAAGAAACGTGATGGGTGACAGAACTGGAAATAGGATGATCTATAAGCTCGTTCTTGCCAAATAGACGTACTTAATATATGTCAAATTGTCATGTCGTGAAATATATTTTGTAGATCCATGGTATCAATTCATTCTTCATATTTGACCTGCAAATCGATGGATCAGTGATCAGGAAGTCATTCTTTTCGTAGATTGCTTTCTGTAATTTTTAGACAGTCTGTGTCGGGTGTTTCATCGCGCCAGAGGGGACATAATAGTAACATCTGGTGGTCGATACGAAATGCTGACTTCTAGGCACAAGAAATAGATTGGGTAACAATATATATTTGCAAAAACGCTCTCGGGTATCAACTCTACTAATCTAATCACAGCTCTCTCTCTTTACTCCCTTTGGAAGACCTCCCTCTCTCTTCCTTCAACGCAACCAACAAATCCTTAGCCCACGCCGCCTCAGGCGTAGCCTTCGAAAATGTATCGACATGATGATCCCAACACCCATCATCCAACATATTTTCCTTAACTTGACAGGTCTTTGAAGAACTAGCTTCATTCTTCGGCCATACACCAAGAGACGCACCCATCCCCTCGTCCAGGAAGTTATCCATGACGAGTTGGCCGACCTTCTTGCGGACTATATCGAAGTCCTCTCCCTTTTTCAAGAACATGGCGAGAAGTAACTCCATCCCGTCTCTCTTGATAAATTCGTCTCGGAATGTAGGCTCCCGAAGGATGCCACTGATTGCACCAACCTTTGCCCTCAAAGTGGCAGCGTTCTTCTCGCCACCTATGCCGCTACGGAGGATTTTGACAAAATCGTCTTGAGATTTTGATCCGCCTTGGCCACACATAGGGTTAACTACCATCTTGTTGTAACCTGCGATCTCCTTCAGAGCAGTTGGGTTGTTCTGTAAGGCAGATCCCAGGATAGATGCGGCCTTGTGGTCTCGTCCATTTTCCTTTGCGTCCATTCGCTGAGTTCCTGCTCCCAACGTGAGGCAAACGAGTTTCTCAAGAACTGGGCCGTCTTTCGCGATTTCAACACCATAATAGATGTCGTGTGCTAATTCATTCAGATCATCCAAAGCTTTATCAAATGCCCTCGCTTCCATCTTAATGGCAAGCATGGACGCTTGAAAAGTTGACATCTCGTCGCCGGACTCTGCGTTCGGTATTGGTGGTGGTACTTTTCCAGCCGCATCGTACGAAGGTGGGTTCATTGGCACTTGGTCTCGAAGTGCTGGCTTTCCAGGTTCTTCTGAATCCGCCTCCGGTTGGTCGACCACAACCATGGACTGTTCTGTTGGTAATCCTTCCAGTTGTGATTCTACGCTTTCTTCACCCTCTGTAGGTATGTTTAACCTTGCTTCTTTCAGACCGGTCTCTAAGTTCATTCGAATGTGGAGGCCGGGAGGTAGGTCTTGTCCTTCTTTTATGATTTGAAAGTCTTTGGTAGGCTCGAAGATTCGAAGATAGCAGTCGTCAGGGTTGTCTGGGGCGCAGATGAGTTCTGTGTCCACCGAGGGAGATGCTACAGGATCTGAAGAGGCTTGAGCCAAGAATGGAAGAAAGAGACAAGCTGTGCCCAAGACACGGCGGGAAGACAAGAGAACCATATTGTAACGAAGGACGAAGTGAAAGGACGGTTGGAAGTATTGAAGACCGAAGCTTCAGGTTTTAACAGTTGTTGTCTAGAGACCAGATATCAAGTGGCAACAATAGAAAGGACACGCTGTAAGTTCCTTCTAAATCTTCTTAAAACACGTCTGTCTGATCGAGCCACCTCTGCTTCGTGAACAGCTTTGTCAAAAGCAACTAGGTCGAATGGTGTAGATTTCCCTTCCTGTTGGAGCTCGTATTCTTTGGACCACGTTTCTAAAATCTGAGGACAACTTTCGAATAGGTCTGCACTCTCCCAAGATGATCGAATCACTGGACAATCTTCCCACTTGACTAAATACCAGATGAAGTGGTTTTTGTCCTTTATCTGCGTGAGAATCCGTTTCGGGGCGTGATCTTGGCCGTCGTCGGTTTCTAGTGAAGCTAGAGATTCTTCGTCGTCGGATTCTTCATCAATGCCGTCTTGCAAGTAGCCGCCAAATTGTTGGGGATTTGAGTTCGCCATCTTCAGAGGACAAGTGGCATGTTGGCGATGGCTGGAAGCTCTGAAGCTATTCTGCCACTCTGTGGGGCACGAAACGCCACCGCTTTCCCCTCGCTGACTAAGAATTGGAGGTGTCGAGTTGAAGCATCAACCGCATCGCACCTCGCTCAGCGACGAGAACGATCAATTGGACCACCACATCATGTTTGCGCTTCGGAGAAAGGCAGTTCAGACTGCTGGGCGTCGTCCTGCAGCTACCTCGACAGTTTCGCGTCTATACTCAACTGGCCAACACGGGAAGACGGGGGATGAAGTTCACCACTTTGCGGGAAGCAGCCAGGAGCATGGCGAACATCACGCCGGTCCAGAGAACGAGTCGCTAGGAGTAAGGGGCCAGACGATTCTGCGAAACTCAAGGCTAATGTTGCTACGTAGACCGGTTTCTTCGTCGTCCTCGCCGCGATCCCACTCAGTATAGGACTATACAGTGTTTCCAGACCTGATAAAGATGGAAAGCCGGCGGGCTTGTCAAGGTTCATCGACAGCTTCTCACATTACAAGGAGAAATGGGCGACGCAAAATACGCTGCACGTACAAGCTATTGAGCAGGCGGCTTACAACAGAAACGTGGACCAGAACGCAACACCAAGCATGCATATCGACTTGAGGTTCCCAGAGTACGTGTGGAGCTCGATTGAACAGCGTTGTGCTAATTGATGTAGAATATTCAACACTGGATCGCCATATAATGTTATTGCTGGACAAGGACCGAGAAACATGGATGCGCTGGTGGCTCATTATCAAAAGCAAAACACGGATGAGGACGAAAGGAGAGCGAAAGCTTTGGCGGCAAAGCAGAACAATACCCGTACATAAATTTCCTATAATCTGTTACCAATACTTCAAGAATTTTTCTAGAATATGCTCATGTAAATATGGTTGACAGTGACGGCGTTCAACACATGAAATGCTAACATGCTTTGTCTGACTGGAAGTACGATACAAGGAAACATTAGGATGCGTTGGCATTTGTCGACGCCCTGTCTGTAATCATCATTCTATTTCATAATCATTGCGACATATCGAAAGGCGCTCGTAAATAGTCGAATATTGAATACAGAAGACGCTGACATTCAATTTACTAGCACGCACGGCATTCATTTATGGATCATCTGATTCACTCTCATATTCAACTCAATTATGTCGGCTATTCAAGCCATGGACGTGTCTCGTTTCAGAGGGAAGAAAACTCGGTTCTTACAATATTCCACAATAGGACAATGGGTTATATCCTTCCCATGTCGTTGGTGACAAAATACAACATGGCTCTGGGTTGGAGATTCTTGAGTCAATAAATCAGAAAGTTGACAAAACAGCAAAGCGATATATCGACCTAACTTCTTCAAAGCAAGCCTTCAACGGTTCTCAACAAGTCTAGGCCTAGCATGTATTGCAACTACGCTCAACCAGAGGCTTAGGAACCATAATACCCATCGTTCCTTCCCTCCACCTCCTCACGGCTCTATCCACCATCCGATGCTCCGCCTGCAACTCCTCTCCTCTCCAGCCGCAACCAAAATTTCTTATCCAGTCTTATCACTTTAACCCAACCGCTGTCCATCATTTGCACCCATATCAATTATCTCCTACTAAATTCCTACTCACCGCTATCATCATGGAACCCCGCTACCGAGCTGTCCCAGGTCTCGGCGGTAGTTACTTTGGACGTGCAAGTATGGTAGAAATTTCCACGTCCAGCGGAAACTCTGTATCCACAGCTCCAACCAGAGACCGACACCCACCGTCAAGCAGTTCTACCGACGCGCCCACAACAACTAGAGAGCGAAACCTACCATCAGGTAGTTCCACAGACGCGCCCGAAACGAGCTCAGCCGCCTCACGCTCATGCGTAACTCCAGACCACAGACGTGGTCCAAATAACCCCGCAGCCGCCAAACTATTGAAATCTTGTCTCAAGAAATGTACGCCTTTCCCTGACACTCTCCTAAGCAATAAACGAGTTCAGAGATGTGTCTAACAATAACCAGCCGAATCATTAACCTCCCTCGAAGAAACCGCACGCAGAAACAGTCTCCCACGCCCACCAGCACCCCAAGATAGAACAGACAGTAGTTCTGCACCTCCCTCTAGCGCCGGTATCTTTGAATCGGATTTGACAAGGCAAAACAGCAGTCGTAGCTCGATTGGTGTGACACCCGCTGAGGCGTACACGCGTGAACGTGCGGATAATACTAGGCACGAGGAGACTTCTAGGCTTCAGGAGAATACTGAACACGCACAAAATGTCACTCATCAGACTTCTAGGCTTCAACAGACTTCTAGGCTTCAACAGAACACTGAGCAAGCGCAGAATATCACCCACGTAGGAAATGCCGACCATGTAGAGCATGTTGGGCAAAGAATAAACGGTACTAAAAATCAAGTCCGTAGAATTCAAGAAATCCCCGCAACTACACCAAAGGAAGAATGTGAGGTCGTAGATAATGAGGTTTATGTGGGTCCTGCGAGGGAAGGGACAAGCGATCAACTTGAGCTCCGAGAAGCACTTGCCAGTAGTCCGCCGCCTCAGCGATATCGGGTACGCCGTATTGGAACGGGTACCCCGGCGCCGAATGTTGAGAAGAAAGGGGTGTTGAGAAGAGGTTGGGAGCCAGTTAAAAAGAAGTTGGAACCTATCAAGAGACGTCTGGAGCCGGTGAAGAGGGGTATAGAGGCTGTTAAGAACCGGATTAAGTTGCTTGCACTTAGGGTGCAGTTGAGGGAGGATAACAAGAGGGTAAGACAATGGGCGGCTGGGATTAGGGAGCCAAGTCGGTCGAGGTCGAGGGAGCGAGAACAGTTGAGGGAGCAAGAACAGTTGAGAGAGCTAGAGCAGTCGAGGGAGCTAGAAGAGTCGAGAGAGCTAGAACTGAGGAGACAGGAGTTAGGGGGATGAGTTGAAAAGGGCAGGTTGATAGTTGAGATTGTGTAATGCGAGCACATACAGCGATTGGGTTAGGTTTAGTTTGGAATATCATGTAGCGTAGCGAGCGGAATATTATTTTGAATGAAATCTTCATTTAGGGTTTATGAATGTGTCGCAAGTGATTCAAGTGAGGGAAGAAGAAGTGTGAGGAAGGTATGCTGAACTGTAAGGTAGTTAAGGTAGAAGGAGGTGTAATGTCTGGAGCATTAGATTCTGCTGTTGAGTAAATAGGATGCATAATTATCTAGCATGGGTTATTGGGTAGAGTACTCGTGGGTGTTGTAGATTTGTAGATGTAGTGTACAGGAGTTAAAGAAAAGTTGATTCAAGTAACATAGGTCACTATTTTCGTCATCCAACGAATTTAGACTGCAGCCTTTTGAACTTGAAACAGTAAGTTACTAATTTACTATCTTGTTACTGGCTAAGAGCATTACCAGCCCCGTAAGGCGACCTGGTGGTGAATGTGCTCACGGTGTCATGAGCTTCTGGAGGGGATAAACAAAAGAATTCTCTTTTAGTCGATCAATCAGTGAGTTGATCTTGGGAGTATCTAACCTAGGTACCTACTTTAGAATGAAGTGTAGACTCTGTGTAGTGCAGTGATGGAACCATTACTGCCCATAGAACCCATAACACCTGGAATACTGGTACGTATATTGATCCACAGATTATATACTAATAACAATTCCAAAAGGCTACATGATGTTGCACATGATAATCGTGTCGGTCAATTTAGCCTTGTCAACGCCATGTCAGACCGCATGCATAAGCCCAATGAGAGGTCAAGCAGCGAGATACCTCGCCTACATCAATAACATCACAAAGATCGTGAACCTCTTTTACTCCCCACTAAAAACTTTCCTTTCCAGATGGCTCAAGACAATGCATCGAAATGGTTAGCTTTGGTGGTAAACGATGTCGATGAAGTAGTCCTACATGGATTAGCCGGAGTCGATGCGATGCGATCTACTCTTCCTATGACAATGATCGACACCTCAACTGTCGAGATAAGCAAACTCGCTATTCTCTCATGGCGCTGGGATATATGGCACGATGGAGAGCTTCGACCCTCTCGCAACATTCTAGCTGACGTGCGCGTCGCGAAACATTATGGTATCGAGTATATATTCATCGATTGTCTGGCTATCGACCAGACGCTGGATGAACATCAGCTTATGGAGCAGGTTCTGTCTTTCTCGAAAATGTACCAAAGGTTACCTGTCATAGCGGCATACGATATGAAGGGAGAAGACTACGTTAATACCATGCGTCGTCCATGGATAATGAGCGAAACCAGGGCCCTGATCAAAAATCCATATCGAATTATCTATGCGGGCCACGAGACTGATCGAAGCGATCATGAGCAAATAAACGACATGGTCGAGATAAGCTGGCAGTCGACATTTTTGTCAACAGCGCTCTTACTTCTATTCGGAGAGATCACTATGAAGTGTCTTTCTGACTTCAAGTTCATTATGCCATTTTATGCACGGGTTCTGACCAAAGCATTTGAGCAGATGAGTCGGAATGATTATTTGCTTACTATCGCACTGCTCTGTGCCGTTGATAAAGCGTATGAGCGTAATGAGGGTGGTCACAATAGAGATGGTGAGGACTGGAACATCTCAAATCTTGATTTCGACCAGTACAGCCTGAGGGTCCATGGGAAGCCCGTCTCATGGACTATGATGGAGTTGTACCTTATGGGTACTTATGTTGGCTTGTTCATATATCACCGCGAGCTGCATCAGCACTCGGTGGAGATATTGACTGACCAAACCACTGCGCGTACGATATTCACGACACTTGGATTAGAGGGGGCAGAATGGGAAGACTTTATGGCAAATGAATCGGAGAGGGAACAGTTTTCGCTGCTTATGCGACACACTTCTAGACTCCCAAAAATTGAGTTCAGCGTTGCAGATGTATCCCCTGCTCCTGCTTTTGGGGTAAAACGGGTGAACAAGCGTTGGTATGATTATGACTCTTAATAAGTATCAAACATTTTATGAAAGAAGCTCTAAACACAGTTCATTTGTACTTATGAATCAATTCATCATCACTTATTATTATGCGTTGTTCGGAGAAGCCCTAAGGGTAACTATGTAGAATATCATGAGCAAATAATGAAATAGTATTGAAAAGTTCGCCACTAGGATTAAATAATGTCACTAAAGCCATCAATGACTACAACAACAGCAACAGGAAGAGCTTGCTGTAGCTGATTCTTACAATCCTAATCAATTTCCTATACATTGGTAAGAACAAAGGGGGTTGTCACAGCACGTATTCTCGGGTTCAATGTCCTGGATTTTAACTTACGTTTTGTCATGGATGTACTGTACTGTCTTCACAACACATTCGAGTATCTTGAGTAGTCGTATTGGTGACTTCTCATAGCCAGGAACTTGGTCGTTGGCTCCTGAGCTTTAGCGAGGAGCGCAGGGCTAGCATACGGACAAACGAACTTAAGAGAAACCATATTAATGAGAAACGTCAGGAAGAACAACGTGCGATCTTCCAACAATGCACAAGCTGAATAAAAACCAGAGAGGGAAATGATAATCTCAGATTATATTGAAACACCCTATTTCTTTCTAATCGGAGGTTTTCTTCGTCCTTCGTCCTCATTTGACTAAGATGAGAATCCGTCTAGAAGCAGTCGACTATTGAAAGAAAACTTATAGCCTATAGGCTGCCCGTATGTTGACAACTCACAAGCGAAAACTTCGCAAAATAAGATGTAACCCTAAGCTTGGTTTTGATAGCAAATCAAGAGGACGAAACCCCCCAATAACAATTATATCTGATATTAGGGAATGAACACGGACGGTGAAGGAAACCGATTTCGTCGTGTGAATGTACGCTCGTGAGAGTATTACCTCGTTAGGCTATTTGGGTTTACTGTTTGAGGACCACATCTCAATTTTAGTATGTTCGATTTTTTTGAGAGGAATCATCCGGAGGACATGAATTACGTGAAGCGCGAGTAGGCTGGCAGAGTTTCTGGTGGTACCAACAAATAACGTGACGGTGGTTGGCTCGATGGATCATACCAACTCAGGAATATAAGCTGAGCTGTGCGATCGAGACGGCTGTAATAGAATCCCAAAAAGAAGCTGCAAATACATACCGTTCCGGTGCTTGAAGAATCGAAATTTTCATCGCTTGGAATCAATCACAATGTGAGCCAAATCTTCTGACCGAGGCCGATTCACATTCAACTGCAGCCGTGATTGGGCTGCATCGACGTACTTAGGTGATGGCGACAACTGTTATTTGTGATAATAGAACCATGCAAAATTGACTCGAAAAATTGACTCATAGAAACCAGTGTAAACGTACGCGAATTCTAGATTCCATCAAGTGCAGTGAACACACATGTGTTGCAAGTGTGTGTGGGCACTACCCACCTAGCAACCAAATGACTCGGAAAATCATCAGATCTCGATTGCAAGACGGAGAACACATCAGAGCAGAGCGCCAACACAGCGAAGGCCGTGACCATTAAATCCAGTTGCGCTGTTTCACCATTTCGACAGCAGTTGAGCTTGGTCACAAATCACGAGCCCTTCGCAGTCCTCAGCTCTGACAGGCGCCAAATGAATGTTTCGTTTCGTTTCTTCGCGGACGTGTCACGATGCGCGCGCAAAGAGACAGCACTACAGCCTTCACAGAGCCCTTCGTACTGGTGTGCGAAGGACTTTCTTCTGCCAGACATGTGCGGAGTTCTTGCAGAGACATATTTAGTACCTGCATGATTATGCTGGTGCAGTGCGATATGAAATGCAGCTAGAAAAAGACTCCTCGCTTCTGCGGCTTGTCTTGGTGAGACGCGCGTGAGATGAGGAGGTGTGGTTGAAGACTGTTCCGACGCTGTGGTTGTACGTGGTGAAGATAGGGGTGACTATGTCATGAAGGAGCAGGCTTTTGTAGTAAGGAGATTGCAGTAAGGGCAATTAATAATAGGTGATGATTACAGGACGACGAGGTTATTGATCCTTCTGAAAGGGAAGATTTTGTGCTTGATGCGGTGAGATTGCGGAGGCGAGGAAGGAACCGCAGAGCAGGGTTCAACCTGACTGGTAAAATGGGGAGAGAAACAAGAAAAGATGTGGATATGACAGTGTGGAGGAAATCGAACTGATGGCGCGTCCTCCCACTCTGCAAGAATCAAAGTTTTCGAATAATCGAAACAATTGTCGAATAAACCGTGAAAATCGTAGTCATCCCTCTCCCAGACCTGGTCGCTTCGTATAATTGATTTTGGTGTTGACGTACGCTGTGGATCCGTAAAGGACCAACCAACAAACCAACGAAGGAACCGACTCACCTCACAAAGCATCCAAGCCTTGAGATACCATGTGCGCCGAATGCTGCATCTCCAACATTGGACGATCAGGAATGACTCCATTCGCAATCCCTCTTTTGGTCACCACAACCGCATGCCAAGCCAGAAATGTTCCTGTTGATCCAATTTGAAAACGACACGACTGTCCGTGAGGCCCGAAGGCTTGGGCTGGGAGTTGTTGTGGGAGTTGTTGTGGAAGTTGTTGTGTTGGTGTGGTGCGGTCGAGAAGCGTGGTCCGTTCAAAGTTTCCAGTCCAGCCAAAATAATCACGGTCATCTCAAAATGCCGCACATCAAAGTTCAAACACGTCGACTTTTAAAAGGACGCCAATCGCAGCGCATATCCTGTGTCCAAGGGCTGGACTAACCCTGTAGCGCATCGGAGCTTGGGATGTTCCCCTGAGTGCCATGCCGCCAACCCCTTGGTTCCTGAGCTAAAAAGTTGGTTGAAATGAACGACCCGACCGAGGGGAGCCACAACGTCGACGTCTCCTACATGGATGCTTCATGGTTCGACGTTTCATGAAGAGAGAAGAGGGTGGGTGGAGGCGTATTCACCCAGTCGGGTGTTGCGCGCAGGTGGACTCTTCCTTTGATAGGTGACGGGCTCGACAGACTCATGTGGGCTTCGCGATGGGGAGGAGGAGGACGACAAGGAGTCCCGGAGGGAGACGGCGAGGAAAAAGAAGTCTGGACCGCGAAATCCTGTGCCGGACTAGTCTGACAGCCTCCTTGGTACGAACAGCGCCGCCTTGGTGTGTTGTTGTGTGTGCGACGAGAGATGAGAGGACGACAAAAACATCGCACACGGGCCAACAACCTTGGGACGATCAAGCGAGTCCGAAAGTACATAGACTCCCCCCTCCCGCCCGCATCTTCTTTCCCTTCTCGTCTTCCCACCACCACACCTCTTTCGAGCACTCGACCTTGACGATCGTACTCACACTCTCCTTCGACTTTTGTCATCAACACGCTCCTTTGCAAGGCAGCGCAGGTATCAATCATCACATTCATTCAGCAGATCACACATCAGACAAACAAAAACAGACTTCTTTGACATCGTCGCCATCGAACTCATTCACCGACAAACAAACCGATAACGATCTATCCACAGTCCTTATTCGACGATTGACTCTACTTCCAACGCTCTTGCATTCCAATCACACTCATTCAACCTACATTCGCAATAACCACCTATCGTCAACGGCCCGCATCTCGATCGATCGTATTTGCATTAAATACCACCAAATCTAGCCAACCAACTATCCGTAAATATGCGTACCAACACCATTTCAAACCTCGCCTTCTTGGCCTCTTCTTTGCTGGTTAAGGATGTTATCGCTGGTGTCGTCCACAACCACGCAAGACTCCACCAGAAGAGAGACAGCTACATGATCATGGTCGAGGAGGAGGTGCAGATCTCCAGAGGCGCTGATGGATCCTTCCACACTGGACGTCCTGTCCCAGTCCGTACTACCACGGTTCTCGTCAAGCCTTCTGCCACTCCCGTCGCAGATGCTGCTCCAGCTCCAGCCTCCAGCAGCTCAGTAGCACCAGTCGTGGTCCCATCCTCATCACCTGCGGCCGCCTCGGTCGAACAAGTCAAAGCTGCGGCTGCTTCGCACGTCGTTGAGCCAGAGCCAACTACCACGGCAGTTGCTCCAGTCGTACCCACACCAGCTGCTACCACCCCCGCTACATCAGTTGTTCGGGCAGCACCTACTACCTTGGCAACTTCAGCCGCTCCTGCTTCTACTGCAGCTTCTACACCTGTTTCATCTGGTGGCAAGCGTGGTGTCGCATTCAATGATAACTCCGTTCTCTCAGTATTCAGTGGAAAGGCAAGCTGGTGCTACAACTGGGGACAATCTGAGGGTACCATTCCAAGTGGCTTCGAGTATGTTCCCATGCTTTGGGGTAACAAGGCTGGATTCTATGATTCCTGGGCCTCAAACGCCAACTCGGCCATCTCCTCCGGATCCACTCATCTCCTCGCCTTCAACGAGCCTGACTTGTCTGCGCAATCCAACATGGGTGTTTCCACTGCCGTTGCTGATTACAAGACACACATGCAACCCTTCGCAGGCAAGGCCAAGCTCGGTGCTCCATCCGTTACCAATGGCGGCGCCCCAATGGGTCTTACTTACCTCAAGAACTTCGTGGACTCTTGCTCAGGCTGCACCATTGACTTCGTCCCAATCCACTGGTACAATGGTGATGCTCTCGACTCATCCATCTCCTACTTCAAGACCCACGTCGCCGAGGCCCACACTGCCGGAGGAAACAAGCCAGTCTGGATTACCGAGTTCCAATATCTCGGAACTGACGAAGCTGGTTTCCTTGCTGAGATCATCCCATGGTTGGAGTCTCAAGATTTTGTCGAGAGATACTCCTACTTCATGGCGTCCGATGGTCGTCTCATATCTGGAACCGCATTGAGCGCCGTCGGAAAGGCTTACATTGCATAAATTACCAAATATCGTTTTTGCGGATATCTGGATTAGATGGAGGACAAGCTTGACGAATATAACGACCAAAATCTTCTAACTTTTTCTTCTCTTCTTTGTACATACTTGATGACCACACTTCTTGGGGGGCGAAATGTAGGATACCTTCAGGGAAGGTGAGCATTTCTGGTGTTTAGGGTGCAGGACATAACGCAGGTGCAGTTGGATACTGTAGTTGTTTAGACGGGATCGTATTCGAATTGAACGATTCTCTCCAAAATGTGCTCTCCCTTCTGACTTTCTCGTACTCGTAACCTTTGTGATGATCCAATTTCCTGTCGTAAATGTTTGATTGTTTACCTTGACAAGTTTATGGCTAGCGATGCGGCTTAACAAGTTCTCTTTTAGTATGTTGCTAGTAAAAGGGGAGATGATGAATACGATGGGCTATTGTTAGCTTTAAAGTTAAAGGCGAGTAGCTTGGTATTTGGCATTTGGTCTGAAGGCTAGGTTTAGGTATTAACAGATATGTTATGTTTGAGAATAATTACTAAAGTGTATTGGTTTTGTATAGAGAATAAGAAATATGAAAGGTTCTGGCGGTCTTAGTTTTCTTAGTTTTTGGCTTTGTCTCGGAACAAAATCTCTCGGAGGGTTCTCGGAGGTGCTCGGTAACCTTACTTGGGATTTGAAGGATATTTAAAAGACAATAGGCGAGGCATCGTTAGAATAAGACAGACGGTCTGAAAAGTATCTTCAAAAAAGGATATAAGTCTTAATTAGGTATAACTGAATTTGACATCTGTCCTAACTGTAAGGAATTCATTGCTCGCCCTTGTAGTCAGGAGCACTTTATTCTGCCTCAGGCATCCAGACAAGGCTAGGCTTATCAGAGGAGTACATCGTGTGAACAAATCGCTGAGGCTCAAAATATCCAGCAACTTAAAGAGTCAACCCCTCCACGTAAGCATAACTAAGCATTCTTCCGCCACCACCTTCTCTCGACAGGAAACAGATTTATTGGACTGATGGTATCAAGCTCGTGGCGAAGTTGGCATTAAGTTCTCAGGATCGAAGGCTCCACGGTCAATTTCTAAAGTTCACAGCAAGTTGGCTTTATTTACACAGCGGCTTTCAGCGCCTTTCCCGGGATCGCAGCACAACCTTCAGGATGCCGGTATGCGCTTCGATACTATTTCACTTTCTCTGGAGAATGTTCTAATGATATTACTAGATTGGTGACCTCCTTGCGTCGATTTCTGGTGAACCAAGTCCCGCACAAACGAATCGACCTTTGTTGCCACCGAAGCGCAAGTCCTCCGATGGCGACGCCTTACGACGACCGGCAGACAAGCTACAGAAGACGAACGCAAATTCCTCGAGGCCTACGGATAGCTCGCGTCCGGCGCAAATGAATAGACCTGGAGGGGTTAATACATCGATGGAACGAATGAAGCTGAATGCTGGACCAAGTAATCGTACCCCAATTACACAAACAGCAACATCATCATCAAATTTCAAACATGGGCAACCAACACCTCCTCCGACTGATACGAAAGCTACGGAAAAGCCAGACAAACCACTCAAGAAAGGTTCGTTTGCAGAAATCATGGCAAGAGGAAAACAGAATGCCGAGAAAATGGCTCAGATCGGCAAAATCCAACATAAGCGCATCGAAAAACCGATCAGCAAACGTGAACGGGCAGAGATAGAAGCTGCAAAAGCGGCAAAGATGTCAAAGAATATAGGTCCGGGAGGGAAATTTAGTAATACACCTGGTGCGAAGGCTATTAACGGTAAGATGTCTGCGGGAGTAAACGGAAAGATGGGCAAGAATGGAAAAGCACCACCACCGGAACCAGAAAAGAAGATCAAGAAAGCCGCATTAGCAACGACGGGATACGCAGGAACTGCACGACCTAAGCCAGGCGCCAAACCCGGCCAGAAATCCTCACACGCCTCATCATCACGAGAAAGAGATAGATATGGTCGTCAACTCCCAGCTCTTGGTTCCCGACGCGATAGATACGATAGCTACGAAGACGACGAGGAAGACGACATGGAGGAAGGTGAGGAAGACGATCAACCGGATTACGAGTCGGATGTCTCTTCTGATATGGAAGCCGCGGCGTTTGAGGTCGACGAGGAAGAGGAGTTTGCGACGAGGATTGCGAGGAAGGAGGATGCGGAGGCCCTGGCGGAAGAGAATCGGTTGAAGAGGGAGAAGGCGGAGAAGAAGAAGAAGTTGATGGCTATGGCTGCGAAGGCGGGGAAGAGACGTTAAGGGGGAGGAGAAGTGATGCGCTTTCTGCTTTAATTTTTACGTTCAAGTCTTTAGCGATCGCATTCAGGCGTCTGCCGTCATTCTCGAGAATGTCCAACAACGCTTACTATCATTCCGCCCTGCTGTTGCTTTCTGGATCAATGGACTGCGAGCCTGACTTTGTTGTTTACGGACTTCATCAGCGATTTACTTTGCACTTTTTTTCTGCATAGCGAGGTGGGATGGGCTTATGGTGGTTTGATTAGCGTTACGGATGATGGATTTGTGATTTCACAGTCAGGATGGATAGACTTGACGACAGTGGTAGCGGGGTGGATGAGGTGTCGAGGTGTTGGATGGATGAGGTGTGATACGTAGGCGTATAAACAAGAGTGGAGGAAAGTAGAGTAGAGAGATGGTAGAATAATACGAAATAGAGAAAAACAGTATTAAAACATACCACCATTCGCACCGTTCTGCTGAACGTCCTTCCATGTTACACGCCTCCACCTATCTAGTAACTAAACACTCTTGTTCACCCTGTCCATCGAATCACAGATGGAATCTAATGATCTCCAGGTTTCCATATCCTCGAGCTCTCACATCGTGATGTTGGCACTTACCCCTGTTTACGATTTTCTGCATTCTCCTTCGATGTATTTATGGGGTACAAGAGACGTGTATAACGTTTATACCGGATGGGTGATTGAATAGTTCGGTTCTGGGATGTGAGACGGGAGTGCTCCTGTATGTTGTTACGGGTGTTTGGGGAGAGATGTGGGTATATGTATCGCTCTTCTTGGATCAAGGAGGGTGTGAGAGGGTGCTTTTGGTAAGTGGGAATGGAATGGGGGTGCCATTGGGTTTTGTAGACGAAGTGGGGAGATGAGTATGAGAAGGAGTATGAGAAGGAGTATGAGAAGGAGTATGAGAAGGAGTTTGAATCTCGTGTTTTGGTATGGGAGGGTGGAATGTGTATCTCTTTCATAATAATAGAATTTACTCACCAATTGTTGTATTAAACGATTAATAAAAACACATAAGAAATTTCCCCCCCTCCCAAAAAAACTTTGTTCAGAAAAACAAAATTATGCCAGCTTTTGTAATGAAATGGTATAAAAGGATCTTGTTTCTAGGCTTAAGATAGGAACGCTCAGATGTATGGAAAGATTGGAACGCGAGTTATCTTTTGCCTACGCTAGAAAAATTTATAATATAAATTCTGTCGAGTTTGATTTGACCCTTCCTTATCCCCTCGTTTCTCTGGGGTTTTCGGTACAAAACACTGTTCTGATTTGACACTAAATTGGTCAATCCCTTAACAGGTAGGGTAAAATACCTCAGAACCTTTTTACGTGTTATAACCTATTCGTCTTCCGTTTTCTTTTAAAACCATGGTTTATAACAGATTCGTCGAAACTGTTGATTTAGCATCTTGATACTGATAGAGGAATTAATGTGTTTGGATGGATGTAGAAATTTTTAAAGGTAGAAAGCGAATAATGTGTTTGATACGAGATATCGAAGAAAGATGTTCATAAAGAATACATGACATATAGCTCATACACAACCTCCATAATTTCCTATATTCCCTCTCGTATCCCCTACCAAATCTCAGAAAAACCCTTTCCCTCTCTCCTCTCCACTCTCAAATCCTAATACTCACTCAACCTCAACCGTTTCCCAACCTCCCTCCGTTCCTTCCCCCTTTCCTTCCCCCCCTCCTCCCCCTCCCCCCTCGCCTTCAACGCCTGCAAAAGCATCCCCGCATCAAAAAAACCCATCTGCCGCAAAAACCAATTCATCAGTCCCAATCACCACTTCAAATCTACACATAAAAACAGGAGTAGCACGCAGGGAATACTTACAACCACCGAGTCCCTCATCGTCACTCGCCGTATTACTCGTGCTATCCTGCACGATTTCCTTTTCCATGCCGGTGGCTTTGATGACGCGACCGCGGGACTTGAGTCTCGAGCCGGCTTTTGGTCTTGCGGACGCTTCGCGGGCGCGGGACGCTTTGGGGGAGGTGCCGCGGCGTTGGGTGGAGCGCAGGATGCGCCGGATTTCGAGGAGGTAGGATTCTAGTGCGTCGACGAAGCGTTTGGTTTGTCTGTGTTTGCTGGATGCGCAGATGGAGATGCCCTCGTCTTTGATGATGTAGCCGATGCCAAAACCGTCGCCGGAGGTAGGACCGAAGCCGAAGTGGCGGAGCGATGGGTTGCCGCAGTTGGAGGTCGAGAGGATGGTATTGTTTAACTTGTCCCAGCCTGCGTCTTGGAAGATGTGAGGGGGGGCGCGGTGGCGGCGGGGAGAGGAGGAGGAGTTGTTGCGGGAATGTGTGGAGAGGGCTTCGGTGAGGTCTGTGGAGCGCGGGGGTGAGCCGACGACGGAACCTTCGATGGGGGAGGAGTAGCCGTTGGAGCTGAGGCCGTTGGAGGAGGCTGCTTCAGCGCCGTCGTCATCGACGCCGCGTTGCCAGACGGAGAAGAGTGCATACATGTGGCGGTCGCAGCCTTGGGCTTTGGCGCATTCCCGGGTGTTGGCTGTGTGTTCTTGACATGCTTTCTTGAGGGCGTCGACTTTTTGTTGAGGTGGGACTTCTCCCCAGAAGGTTTGGACGAAGTCGACGGATGCGGGTGTCACTGAGCGGATTGCTTCAGTGCGACCGTGGAGGAACATCTTGGTCATGGCGGGTTCGTAGGTACATTCTACACGACCATAAAGACCATAGTACGCAGCTTGGAATGCCATCTGAACGAATGCGTCTGGTGAGAAGCCCATTGAAGTCATAAAGTTCTTGCCATAGTGATTGAAGTCTAGAGTTTGAAATTCATTCTGTTGGATGAGATCAGCGAGACGAGTTTCGGCAAAGCGGAGTGCTATTCCAAGCTCAGGAACCATATCCCATTCAAGTTTATGAGGTGTTGTGTTGACGTCTCCAAAGCTGGCTGGATCACGTTTTGACGGGTCAGGACTTGTTGATGCCCAAAGACTCGGTGCTTGGCCGTTGATGGTACGAGCAAATCGTAAGATTGTGTCGGTGTAAAGATCACTGGCAAAGCGTAGCACAGTATGTCCATCCACACCAGTGTGCTCAAAATTGATTCCAGCACTTCCGTTTTTACAAACGATAATTTGCAGCTTATCGTACCATCGATTTGTACAAGTACCGACTTGAACACCCTTCTCAATCTGACTTGTCCCACAAAGCATATTTTGACATAGATCTGCCCCAGATGCTGGTTCCGTGTAGTCTAGACACAAGATGAATAGTGCAGAGTCTACTATTCCAAGACAATCTGCATTATTTGAGCCCTCGTCTCTCGTCATTACATCTCTTAGACCTGACCAGATCTTTCGATTCTCTGTACTGAGAACACCTAGAGCACCCTTCGCAGCATCTTGAATAGGAGTTTTCTGAGCGTCATCAACGATAGTCTGGAGATTGATGGACACATCCTTCTCTGTCATGATCAAATCCGAATTGTCGTCGAGAACATCGAACCAATAAAATTGACCATGACAAAGAACAACAATATGCTTGGCTTCTGGGTCCTGCCCGATATGACAACCGTTTTCAGTTGGTACGCGAGCTGTACCGAATAGTCTAGAGTATTGATACATGCACAAAGGCGTTCCTCTAATAGTGTCGGGTGGAAGCTCCTCTCTTCTTACTGCACGAACAAATGATAATGCTGATACGACAAGCGAGGCAGCTCGGGTGACCTGATTGTTCCTCGCTGGTGTTGGGTCATCTTCCAAAAGAAAGAACGGATTCAAATTGAGAACGACAGGATTGTCAAAGTTGAGGTATGAATCGTACCCTGAGAATTGTTAGTGCAATTTCGAACGTTAGGCCTCACTACTTACAAAATTGTTCAATGTAACTAGTCTTTCCAGTAGCATATTTCTTTAATCTTTCTTGTAACTCCGGTCCTTCGCTCTTCAAAAATTCCTCAACAGCTTGAGTAGATTCGGCATGCTCTCTTGGTGACTGTAACGGTTTGAGAGCAGCAAGATATCTAGTCATACTCTGTTCCAATTCTGGGATCGGGAGCTTAGGTAGCTTATCCTGAGCGGCAAAAGTGATTCCTTGCTTATAATTTGGCTGATTACTAGCCAAAGGATCTTTTTGTTCCTTTGTAAAACTTTCACTGACTTTCTTGACTTTCTCATGAGAACGGCCATTTTCCGAAGCTTTCTGCGGTTGACCTGGCTGCGCCAACGACTCATTCAAGGATTTTGGCATCGTAAAAGTACGAACTGCAGTGGTAGAGGTAGGCATCGTGATTAGCGTGCCAGTTTCAAGCATACAACGGTGATACGGAGGTGCAAATATTCAAACCGCGCAAAGCTGTACGGTAGAAATAATGGCAGTCTGTTTGGAGGAAATAGGACGGCATGCCCACAGGTGTAACAGCAATGGTTTGAGCTTCGATAGAGGAAAAGACCTGACTTCAAATCATCCTCAAGCGCAGCCGAAAGCCTTGGTTATACCTGGGGAACGGAAGTGAGATACAAAGTAGTGGGGTTTCGGCCCCGCATGATCGTTCTGTGACCCAAATGACAGGGTGACCAGACATAGTTCGACTAGATTGCACAATGTACAGACAGACCGGCCAGAAGGCGCATGCAATTTGAGCTCTGAAACTCCACTCCCGTCCATTAGCTGGTAAGAATGCCGGACAAGGCTGTCCATGAACTAGGTATCCGCAGCACCGAGTTTGGTATCTTATGTATGTAGTTGGATAACGTGAGAGTAGAGACTTTCTACGTACCTGGAATCTACTGGCTAATCTATATACAACACGGGTTTTCTTGCTCAATATTCTCCGTAGGGGGGAAAGATTTTCCGAATAGATGAAGGTGCAGCTGCAACAAGGCAGACAAGACAGAAAAGCTGGGAGGGGCAGTTGTGGTGTAGTGTTCAAGATGCTTCTAATGGTCGCTTGCTGAGTGATATTCGGAGAATGAGAGCCGGATCAGGAGACGAGCAGGTCACAGCATGTGAAAGAGCGCCTCTCCTCCGTGATAAGTATTGGCACTGATCCTCAAAGCATATAATCAGACTGATTTGGCGTGTTATGGCGTAGCCGAGTTGATACACACTCGTGAGGCACTGAGGCCCGCTTGCTCGGTCCAGAGGATGTCACGAGTGGATCAGGTCTTTTTGCCGCGACTCGAGTCTCCAACGACAACAATTGTAAAACGTGAGATGTACAGTACGGGTCGAAGGAGGAACGGAGCTCTTGGACTGGCCCGTGGACGAAGCGTTTGCTATGCAAGTTGAACCGCGATGTTGAGTATGGGGTACAAGGGCTTTGCCTCTTTGGACGACCCGAGTGGACTTTTATGATCGTAATCGTATTGAGACGGTTTTCCTATAATTAATGTTTAGCAGCCCAAGAGTCAATACATACCCCATGAAATGTTGGTCTGTGGATCACCGGTGGATGTATGCTTCAAAACGAGCAGGGAGAGTTGCCTCGTGGATTGCAGGTGAGTTAGGTGCAATATATAACAATAAATCTCTTGACCAGATCTCGGTTAGGATTGGGGAGTCCACGCGACAAGTCTTAGCAACACGGGAGTCGAAACAGAGAGTGAGCTGTGGAAGTCACGTTCCTCGAATGGGAGTAAATGTCTTTGGCTTGACCTCCAATAAGCCCTCTGATGACCTCACTTGCTGAAATGCGATTTCCTTGGGTCTTAAAATAAGCGATCGAACGTCGCCTCATGCCAACCTAGCCAAGTCTTGTCCGTGAGATGATTCCGTTTCTCCGAAAAACTTGCGTCCAAGAAACATGGAAAAGTCACGTGACTAGCTGCTGTCTTACAGCTACACAGTCACGTTACACGAAACTGGGTCAACCGAGTTCGGGCCGAACAAAGCCAAACATCTGCCCTACTGGAATTAACCACCACCTGCGCAACATAACTCGTGCTCCATATTTCACAGCTCGAGTGAAAACCATCGAGGCTTCAGGTACTGCCAAACCCAACAATTTACTAAAGTGTTGAAACTCAGTCCATCCACTACACACTGCGTCTAGCCTCGCTCTGGGCATGAAGAGGATTTTGATTGTTTCAACCGTCCCTGGAGTCTGCGTTCCGTCAAACGAAAACATGACAGGAATACTGCAGGAGGCCGTTGAACGGTTGCAAAGCTGTGATTCGAATGCATAATTACTGCGCATTCCGAGATAGTGCAGTGGTGTAGTAGTACGGACCTCATCAACCACAAGAAGATGAAATGCTGCCATGAGAGGAGAGGGGTCGCATGTTCTTCCACTTCTACCATCTCTCGAAATGCAGTCGTCAGAAGCCCCTCGCCGACGAGCAAGGAAGTTGTTCTATGGACTGAAAGACAAACTGTCTTCTCGTTCAACATCGCCCTCAGTCGCTTCAGTTCACTCTAAGCGAGATGTATCCGCTTCAGATTCCCAACGCCATGAATGCAAGAGTCTTGAACCGATAGTGGCGAGTGTACCGGATGGCTTGGACTTTTGGCTGCGAGCTCTTAACAAGTTGTCGGCCGAGAAAAGAGCTGCTATTGGAACCTCAATTTCACAAAAGTTGAATGTCTCTGAAACCTCTTGCCTCCTTGACGATGTTAAAGAAGCCGTCCAAAAACAGGCCAGGCAGCATGAGGGAAAACGCTGGATGGTCGATTTTGGAGGGAAGAAGATCGTACTCCGTGATAAGGTGTAAAAGCTCCTGTTCTGGGTGGAGAAGTTCAAGGGAATAGGAGACGTTATCTCTAGTGTAGACCCAGTGCATATGGTTTTATCTTGGGCGGGCATTCGCCTTCTTCTTCAGGTCAGTAATGAAAATATGAATATTGAAAACATCTAACTTTCGCCTAGTTTACGCTCGCCGATGCCAAGCAAAGTGAAGTCCTCCTCTATGGACTGGACATCGTGGGTTATCTCATCAATCGTTGTAAGGTGTACGAAATTTTGTATCTCAACAATACGGACAATCTACCCTCCAAAGCAGAAGAAAATCTTCGACACGCGGTAGTCCAACTATATGTGACCATTTTAACATTTCTTGCCACGGCAATGAAGCTATATTCAGGTCAATCTGGAACTCTTGCGCTCAACGTAATTTGAATCCTGACAAGGTTTCAGAGCTCATCGCTGAGTGCCAGAAACAGGATCAAGCAGTCCAGTCTGAGGCGGAAAACTGTGAACGTGATTGCACTCGAATTTTGCGTGAGCAATCGAGAGCTGAGCACACCGAACTAAAGGGGTTACTACAAGAGCTACAGACTACCTTCAACAAAAATGTTATTGTGGACTGGGTTCAGACAGAGGAATGGGTTAATTTTCTTCGGTGGATATCCGAGCTCCCATTTGAAGATGTGCACTCTAACGCCAAGCTTGGCCGTGTAGAGAACACAGGACAATGGCTGCTGGACCACACTTTGCTTACAGATTGGAAAACTAGCCATGCCCCTGGAATTTTCTGGCTGAACGGATCGGGTGCGTTGATTACTTATGACTGTAGACATGTATTGACACCGTTTTAGCTGGAACTGGAAAGACCAAACTTGTGACCACGCTTGTGGATCATTTGCTATTGGAGCTCGGCGCAGATGATGCTATTGCATACTTCTACTGTGATGCTGGCCGTGGAAAATCACTAGGAGTTTTGTCTAGTTTATTACGCCAGCTAGCTTCTTCTCGAAACGGGCAATCAATCCAACAGCCGCTTTTTGATGCATACATGATAAAGAAAAAGAACGGCTTTGCCTCCAAGGCCCTCGGCGTAGGCGACATCCAGCAGGAGCTGCTTAATATCGTCGATATCTTCCCTCGAACATTCATCGTAGTTGACGCTTTGGATGAATGTCAGAAGGACGTTCAAGCAGTTCTAATCAAAACATTGAATTCTCTTGTTGGGAAAACCTCAAGGCCGGTCAAAGTCTTGCTTTCCAGTCGCCCTGAGCCATATATCAGGGATCTGCTGGGCGACGTGGTCGAAGTGGAAGTCGACAAGTCAGGCAACTCAAAAGACATTAGTAAATTTATACACGAATCCGTTTATCATCCACATGTATATCTAGAAGGCTTCCCGTGCAACAAGTACTGGAACAAAAACATGCCTGTCAAGTTTAGAGAGGAAATTTGCACGGCCTTAAATCAGAAAAGTGGAGGCATGTAAGTATGAACTATCTTCCTGAGCAGCAACTTGAACCAATAATGAGACAGGTTTCAATGGGCAAAGCTACAAATTGCCCAGCTAAGGCGACTAGAAAGTGAGAACGACATTCGAAGCTACCTTGGAAAGCTTCCAACGGAGTTGAAAGGCTTGTACGATTCTATATGGTCTGACATCCAACAAGAACATGGAAACAAGCCGATAGTTGCTAAAAGAGCGTTCCAATGGTTGGTCTGCAGTCGGATACCTCCAACTCCCAATGAATTACTGTTTATTGTCAGCCAAGACACTGACGGATTCTATAAAGACGAAAGCGAAGAGAAATTGTTTCCAGCTTCGCCACTCGCCGAGGATATCGATTATGTTTTGACAGCGTGCCGGAATCTGGTAGTCGTTGACAAAGCAGCTGGGGTTTGCAAGTTCTCTCATCATTCTGTGCATGACCACTTCACGAATGCTTCGGAAACCATGAGCCCACATCCCAATACCCTTGCTGCTAAGCTATGTCTTTTGCTTCTTCTACGCCACCAAGTTGACGAAGATGTTGTTTTCAACAATGTGGGCGCATATTGGCCCGATACCTATTATTCATCTGCTCTAGATGCCCCGGGCCGAATGGAATGGGCAGGCATTATTCTATCGTTCCAGGAAACTGTTGCTGATGATCTAATACTTACATATCGTCGTGCAGACCCTCGGAATAGTATATCACCCGCGGATACTCTTTTCTACTACCCCGAAGATCACTGGCTGTGGCACTTGAAAGTTCACGAGAATCCGTACCCTGACCACGAGTTAGCTATTCTCTTTCAACAATTCTTAGGAAGTTTCGACGAAGCTTCAGACGCCTTCAAGCGACACTGGATCAGAAAGGGCGGAATAGTAGAACCTCCTGTTTTCCTAGCTGCATCGAATAGGATCTACTTTCTTCTTCGCGAATGGTGGGAGACCGGTCGCTTCAAAGTCGAGCAACAACAAAAATTGACGAGTCATTGCTCAAAGCTGCTGTCGAGGGTAGCTCCCCTCAAATTATGCAATCGATGACGAAGAACGGGGCCCACGTTGATCTGTACAATGGTACTGACGGATCAAGTCTGATGCTTGCTGTTAAAAAGAAAGATTATAAAATATCCAGATGCCTCCTCGAAGATGGTGTCAGCTTACACTGTGAAGGGCAGAATGGCGCTAGCCATTGGGGATCCGCGGCACTGTATTTGGCAGTTGCACATGAAGACATGAAAATGATGCAACTTCTTATTGATCACGGGGCGAAGTTCAACGATTGGCATGACTTTATCAGATTGGCCATTGGAGGAAACGTGAGTATCTTGCGTTGTTTCCTTGGCCACCTGGAACTATTTTCGCACAGCACGGTCAATGTAATACATTCGAAGCTCGACCGACAGAATTGCGCGTCAAATCGACTCATGCATAGCGCAAAATTACACGATCTTCCGAGCATCGCTCTGATGTTGCGTGAGCTTGGTTGCGATATTGATGCTAGTGATGACAAAGGTAATACACCGCTGTCAACTGCGGCCAAGGAATGCAATAAAAACATGATTGAGTTGTTACTCGATTTGGTGGCAAATATCAATCCGCCAAAAATCAAAGATATTCAAGGAACACATTTTCGTCATAATAACGTCCCACTGACGGCTGCTATACATGGTCTTGAGTTTTGTAATGAAGATATCAAAATTCATGGAACTCTAGAAAGTACGGTTGAACTTCTTCTATCTCGAGGAGCGGATCCCAACCGCAAAAGTGGAAGACTTGGAAACGCCCTTTTAGGAGCAATTCAGCTTAATAGCGAAGTCATTGTGGATTACATACTGAAGGCTTCACCTGATGCCCTGGCTCGAATAGAAAATCGAGGGGCTCTGGCCTTAGCAGCACGATATTCGACATTCAGCATGGTAAAATATCTTATGGAAAAGGGAGCTGGCATCAACTTACCAGGGGGTCTGACCGATGAATCAATTTACTTTGATTACCCTAAAGCCCAAAGTGTAAAGTCTGTCAAGCATCAAGTCGAACTGCCAATAATTGAAGCTGCTATGAAAGGAGACCTAGAGATGGTACAGATACTCATCGCTCATGGAGCTGATGTCAACGCCACCGGAATTATTTATGGTAACGCGCTATGCGCGGCTGCACACGAGAGACATGAGAAGGTGGTTGAGTTCCTCATAGGTTGTAATGCTGACGTCAACAAGCAAGGCGGTGTGTATGGGGAAATGCCTTTGCTAGCTCTCACTCATAACGGATGGGCAAACTATAGCTTTTTCGCAAGTCGACCTGGATGCGATATGGAATCCGTTTCAGTCGCTTACGCAATACGTCAGTTGAAAGCAAACCAAGTTGCGGTCCTTTTATTAGAAAACGGAGCCGATCCAAATGTTTATACAGAGAAATATGGAAGTGCTCTATCTGCTGCGCAGTCAAGGGGGCAAAGACAGATGGTTGATCTTCTTCTCAGATATGGTGCAAAACCTGTTGAGGGTATCGAATGCTGCGAAAGAGATGGTCGTGAAGTTCTAGAGGGAGAGGTCGAACAGTCGGCGTACGAGTACGCGATACGACATAAACTAACATCCTTTCCCTTACTTCCAGGAGAGTTTGATGAGCTCTCTGAAGAGGATAACTGCCGTAGGCATTCGGAGAAACGTGCAGAAGAAATAGAGCATAGTTATTCTACGGAACAAAGGAGCTGAGATGAGGGGTTGGCTTTGAACTCTTAAGACTAACTTTAAAGCCACATCAAGTTTGCGCAGTATCTCGCAAACCTTTCTCTCTTGTTGTGGGCGGCTTGCTAAGTTGTGTACTAATACATTATGACACGATCTGAACAAAGTGGGGTGTTATTTTTGCATCTAGGTTAAGCGAAATTCAAGTATATTTCTCATAGAGACTGCAATTCCTCAATTCGCTTGACAGATGTCATGCTCCAGATTCTCCGAAATGGAAGAAAAATTGATTAATCCGGGGTTGTGATCGACGGCTAGGCATCTCGAGACACGTGAGGTTTGCTGAGCCAAGAATGAAGGCGCTCACTTCTGATGTTAATTGGATGAGTCCCGTGTTTCGGACTTCAGCCCCAAAATTGTGGTCCAGGCAACACTAAATTGACTGCTCTGGGAACTTACACAGCCCCAATGTCCAGAAGCTGAAATTGATCATATCAAAGATTACTATTCAGCCATTCTGTCAGTTCGAAGCGCTGATCGAACGTAGATATAGAATACGGTTTGGGGACCTTTCTCAAAATATCTCTCAAGTATACGTCGATACTTCGAAAAGCTCACAAACTTTGAACTGGGAATGGCAAACTTATTACTCGGCGCGGTAATAGAAAGTTTCTCAGACACTTCATCGGAGACTATAGGGAGAAGTCAACACAATGACTCGACTCCAAATAACTTGGCAGGCACAACACCGAAATCTTTCGAGTATGATCAAGATAATACAGGGAGTAAGAGAAAACCATCGGATAAACGTCCTAGAAAAGGCCATACGAAGTCCAGGAAAGGATGCTACAATTGCAAGCGAGCACGAATCAAAGTAAGTAGCATTCATCATACGTAATATATAGATATCGTTACTAAGACACATCAGTGCAAAGAGAATCGACCGTCATGTGATTATTGTGCACACCGTAACATGCAATGCCGATGGCCGGATCCAGTCCAACTGCAGCCACCAGCGGAGGAAGTTCAGATCAGGTCAATAACACGAAATGCGAACTTCCCTGTCCAAACGCCGATAGCTCCCGAAATCCAAGTTGTCGGACCTGTTTACAACGCTTTCGACTTCAAGCTTTTCCACCATTTCATTGATAAAGCACATCCACATCATCCTATTGGTAGTGATGCTGTTTGGCGGCATGACATCCCTGTTATCTCGTCTGATGTAGGTGTTATAGTAGATCATTACAGAGTGGATGACTGATCAATATAGCATGAATACCTACTCCATGCAATGCTCGCTCTCTCAGCTCAAGACATGGCATCAGTCAACGCAGACCCAGTAACCTCACAACAATTGAAGACAAAAGCCATGTCCCATCGCGTAACAGCAATTTCGGCCCTCAATACTGCGATCACAAAGGGTCTTTCACGATTTGAACAAGGCAATGCTATGCTTGCTACTTGCTTCGCACTGCTCTTCCAATCGGTGTATATGGATGATGGTCTTGCTGAGTACATGACGTTTATACGTGGTACAGTCGCGGTCGGTATCCAGATGGGTATCAGAAAAGACAAAATCCTTTTCGAGCATCTTTTTGACGACAATGGCGAGAAGCTAGTAGATCCGGCAATGATGAAAGCACCGCTCGTAGATTCTTCACTGGTAAGAATGGCATTAGCAAGTTTAGAGAAGATTCAACCACTCTGCGACCACGTCGTCGAGGTTGAAATCTACGGAATGTTACTTGCTGCAGCAAGGGCGTTGATTACATCATCACGAGATGGTAAGTTTATAACATATCAGTGTTTGAGGAGTAGTATTAAATCATCAACAGCATGGCACGAACTCCGCAAAATCTACGCCCACTTCAGCTACTTCATGCCCCAGTCCTCCTTCAACCATCTAATCAATCCCGCAAACCGCACCTGCCAAATCTTGCAATCCCACTTCATAGCCCTCCAACTAGTCATGACGCCCATCACCCAAAACGAGCATCTAGACAACGGTGATCCTACTAAGGAAATCCGCGAAAACAGTGGGACGACAGGACGATGGTTCAGACCTTTACATAGGAATGTCCCGGATGATATGCTGGAGTATTATAAGTGGCCGATGTGGGTTGAAAAGGAGGTTATGGGAGGACGAGTTTTTGATGGGGTTGTGAGAAAAGAGGATGAGAATGGTGAGGTTATTGACGGGGTAGTACCGTGCTTCGGGGAGTGGCCGGCGAAGAATCGTGGTGGACAGATTGATTCGCGGACGGGGGTTGAGAAGGTTGTTGAAGATGTGTAAGGCTTGCTTGCTGCTGGGTTTGTGTTTTTGTTTGCTTCTACTGATTTATTGTAGCCCTTGTTCGGAGATTGGAGAGATCTTTGTTGATCTCATCTTCAAGCGTTTTGAGATTGCGGACTGAATGTCGCTATGAAGTTTGGGAACCAGCAAGATGTTGATCTTTTGCATGGAAGATGAGGTAGAGCAAGCGATAAGTTTTGAATTTACTGACTTCAAAATGGCTCTTTAATATACAATTGAGAGTGATGAGTTGCAAGGAAACTGTCATCTTGAATTTGTTTTCAAGATTTCCTAGACGTATTATGAGTCCTTACTAGTTTGCATAAGAGTAATGCCAACAGAACATCTGAGAAGTAAGATAAAAACAATACTTTACCAGATTGAAGCTTCTCGGGACTCTGACAAACTGGTTATAAACAGAAAGCCGCTTAGGCTGTGGCCAAATCTGCACACTTGAACAACAATTATTTTTCGACTTTTAGATGATCCTGTCTTGCACAGGATTGAGACACGAGATCTCATCTAGTAAAGTGTGCCATATACGAGTACTGCGTCAAAATCATGATGGTACTTTTTAAGTCGAAAATTAAGAAGTCGAAGGGTAGCTTTATTAAAAAGGGGTACCATCTCGCTTAAAAGCCTCGTAATTTGTTCTATTTAGGCTCGCTTAGTCTAGGTAACTAGAAGTATCTTCTTCTAACTCAACTGAATCAACTTCTCGATACTGCACATTCGGGCTGGAATTTAGAACCGGGAATTTACATTCCTTTGGGCCAATATTTTACCTTGTATCGTTACTTGTAATACGGGCCAATAGGAATAAATTTCCCAGTTGTACGCCAGGATTTCCGCCACGCAGGGCAGTGCTCACGCGCCAAGGTGCTCCCGTCGCAATCGAAGCTCGACCGCAACTTCACGATGCATCTATCCACGCTCAAGCATTACCTTTCTTCGATCAAATCAGCATATATTCATATATTGAATATCTCATCAGGGGCGCTCCACTCTTTAGGCTCTAGAAAAATCTGCCCTCCACTGCACGCACAGGTCCATTCTCAGCTTCTGAGTAGCCTGCCACTTGAAATTCGGCATCAAATCTACGCCTACGTCCTTCACTTCTATGGAACAGTACAGCACCTTCATAGCTATGACCCTGGCCGTAGGAGCAAAATCAAGCACGTACGCTGCCCAACATCATTTGAGAACTCACGAACTTTGCATCCGTTGAGGGGAAAAGAATGTTTCTGCGATCACCAGAAAGGGATCGCCAACAGCAAGAGCGTACAGGATGGATGGGAGGTAGTGCCTCTGTTACTGAGTTGTAGACAGATGTAAGTGTACAACGTACATCAAGATTGAGTTAATCCGGTCATATAGCTATTTCGAATTTGTCGCATTCCTCTACTCATCCATAACCTTTTGCACTTGGATCTCCACCGCTCACCAACTCCTCGCGCTGGTTCCCGCGCGCCACATAGCTCTTACTCATATTCATCTTATCCTTGGTGTTTCCCATCCCATGTACTTGCCAGCTTCTGATTATTGGCTTAATCATGTTTTCAACCCTACAAGCACCAAAGCCGCTGAAGCTGCGTGGGAAGCTTTCTGGCCTATTTTCGCCAGTTCACCCTCCCGTACTTTGATTGTGGATATTCTTGATTCTGGTATAAGAGTGCCAGAGGAGGCACTATTGGAACCTTTAACAGGTCTCAGAGGCGAGACCATCGAGGTTCTACTGCCATGGCCGGAGGGTTCTGCCATGAGTGGGAACTTTGACGAGGCTGAATTTACAGTTGCAAGACCAAAGGGGGAGGAGCGAATGCTCGAGTTAAACTTCGAAGCAGGAGGGTACACTGGAGTAAGAAGGCGAAGCAACTTCACACGCCGTTTAAGATGGCGCTGATTTGGAAGACAACAAACACGACGGCTGTTTTATATGATTTAGGAGCAAGTGTAAGACTGCATAGGTAAGTAAGTATCTAAATTTACAATCTCGCTGGGGGTTAAGCTCCTAGCGAAAATATTTTGCACTACACAACACTAGCATTTATTACTCGCTGCAGACTTTCTTCCAGCCCGTTCTTCTTATCTCAGCTCGAGTGAGCTCATGTGATAAAGCAACGTGGCGGTATAAGTAAGCAATCGTCACAGATAGTCCTCTTAGGAAATATTTACACATTGCTGCGTGAAAGATTTCCCACCTTGAAAGCCGAGGATACGGATCGCCTGTATGGCTTGATTCAGGAGAAGCGGATTGAAAAAAGAGACAAGAAGGGAAACAATCGTGCAGTTGAACCTCCGGATAAGGCTCGTCTAGGTCAGTTGTCTGATTGAGGTGGAAAGATGAGGCGATTGAGAAGATGGTGTTGTTTTGCTTGTTGATCGAACTTTTCCTGTATGTAAGTTCAGGATGAATCTATTTTGGAATGTTTTGCGCTTTCTTTTTACTCGACTATCTACCCGATATTCTTACAAGATATGATCATATATTTAATTGTGCCTGTAGATCGATCAATAAATGTATAAATGTCATTAAATCGAGCTTACGAGCTTTGTACTATGGTCCAACAAATACGTAGATTTTGGATTAGATCTAGATGAACCTCACTCGTGGTCAGTACTCTAACGTCTGGTTAGAATTATTGATAGCGAAACTCTAACGCTTAAGCTTGCCTTGTTCTTGATATAAAACAGCTTATCATTAGGAACGTAACAAGATGACTATGTCAAAGTGGAGCCTCCCCAATCAGAATACAAGAATACAGACCACTTGCTACGTACAAGAATCAGTAGGATCTTCCCATCCTTTACAGCAAGCCGTGCTGCCGTTGAATCTCCAAGTTCATCAGTACACGGCTTTCTGCCACCAAGCACAGCGCCCGTTTGCGTTACTATCTCGTATCTCGTCGATGTCTGTGACATTAAGCCTCAGAACCGAGGCATCTTGGCCGTACATGTTGAAAGGACGAATGCCATCTGCGCTGGGCCGACCCTCTTTGGCAAAGCTTGTGATGAATTGCTGCAACGCGTTCGCAATGGTCAAGTTAGAGGCGCCCAACGCTATATCGGATGGAGCCCCGCCAGTGTAATACGTGTAGGAAACGTCCTGACCGTGCAAGGCGGGAGGGACAGCGAAAAGATAGGAGTAAGACATGTTACCAGATGCAGTCATCAAATAATTCGTGTTGCAGGTGAAAATGGCCTCTGAAACGATCAAAGCAGCACGGGAATATTGGTCGCGATATGGCAAAGATCCATCAAAAACTGGTGGATACAGAGTTTTGGTGATGTAGTCAAACGTTTGTTGCGGTGCAGCAGGGAAGATGGTTTTTAGGTGCGATTCCAGGGTTTCATCAGACCGAACATATGGAGGAGTGAAGAAAGCTCCCTCATCTGCGTTGTGACCGGCCATAACGGAAACATCCTGGTCGAATTTTCCCTGTGCAAGAAGCTGTCCTGGCTGCAGTGGTACAAAGCTTCCATCCACAACCGGACCATAAGTGTACTGGCCCCACGAGGATTCGTAGGTGACTTGTTGAGCGTTGGCGCGAATGAGATCTTCCGAGGGCATGGTGCGGAGCTCTGCAAGAGAGGAAGTGTTCGTCAAGCGTAGAAAGGCTTGATAAGTGTTTTCCGTTCGGACATTGGACTGAATTGGAAACCAACCGGGACTTTGAGGGATAGCTTGTTGGAAAGGTACCTTGCCTTTGGTGCCGCCGTACGCAGTGATCTGATGCATGATGCTTCCACCGCCTGCACTTTCGCCAAAAACCGTGACACGATTCTTGTCGCCTCCAAAAAGATGGATGTATTTCTGGACCCATTCGAGCGCAAACCGCTGGTCATACAAGCCCACATTGGAAACACCCCCCTCAGCATTGAAAGATGGACCGGCCTGGAATCCAAAGGCGCCGAGCCTATAATTCAAAGAGACGTAGATAACCTCGCCATTTGACGAATTTCCCGACGCAGCAAGCAGTCCAGCAGGGTTGTTAGTTTTACTTCCAATGGTGTAGCCACCACCGTAAATCCACACAAGAACAGGAGCGCCGAAGCCTTGACCCGCGTTTGTTAAAACACTCTCGGGCACGGCAATGTCTAAGAAAAGACAGTCTTCAGACTCGTCGGGACCCGGTGCTGGAACTGTGGTGCTGGAGTTTGCACCAGGGGGTGTGTATGGTTCGCTCGAGTTGAATGGCTGTCCTGTGATGAGACTCCCGAGGAAGGGTAGGATTAATGATCCTTGCCATTCTGGCGTGGCTTGTGGGCAACTCCTAATCTGGTCAGTACTGCTGCAAGAACGTTGCACTAATGCTAAGACCGTGTACATACCTTGGGGTGCTGTCAGTATTGATAACAGATGATCGATTCTCGGCAGGAGCGTGAGGAGGTGCGAATCGGAGATCACCAATCGGAGGTGCAGCATATCGGATGTTGGGAAAGTTGTAGAAGTTCCCAGTGCTCTGCCTTATGTTAGTAAACCGTCCAATATTTGATTATGACATGCTTACATTGAAGTCCGCAGCTCGATAGACTTCATACCCGAGATCGACTTCTGGCAGTGAGGAGTTCTGCGCGAAAACTACTCTAACAAGAGTTGCCACACTGAGAAATAGTCTGAACAACATACTAGCAAGACTAGAGAGTGATGGTAGTCACGAGATATGGATTGATCCGAATGAAGTGGCCTGTACAAGGAGGAAGCGAAGAGGAATAAAGGCACAACAGCGCTTGAGGGCGACATGACACCCCCAATACCTACTGCCTTATATACATTTCTATGATCGACAACCCATAGCACTACTAATAATGCTTGAGTATCCAAAACAAAAAATCGTAGCTTTTCACTGCCGGAGAAACATTGTTAATGACGCGGGGTGGGGTACGAACCCGACTTGTACTTGAAGTAAGTACTTACAAATACTTTATGTGAATAATCTCCCTCTCCTGCATTAAACGAAAGAAGGAAACGTTATACGAGCTGAATCGGGTAATGGTTATACGAAACGGCTCCGATCGCCTCGCTAAATGTCTAGCCTAAACCTAATCAACGAGTCAGGTTGATCCAGTCTCTCACCAGGGTGTGCGTTAATTCATTGGACAGCTTCGTAATATAATTTGGGCTTATTACCTGGACTATCACAAAATTGTGGTGGTCTTTTGATCAGATGATAGCCTTAAGTAGACTTTAATCCTGTCTATTCAGAAGTCAGAAATTCGGTCAAACCAACGTTTTTGTCGATAAAGTACTGCGGGTGTCCAATGAATTAGCGCACGCCCTGGTGTCTGGTCAAGCTTTGCGTATCGTTGGAGTAATGCGATTGGCCTCACTAGCTCAAGATATATACTCGGGCTCATCTCATTTCTGTACTTTTTCAATCTGATTATATCACTCTAACAAGCAGCTATGATGTCGGCAGAGCCCTAAAAGGAACGACTAGCTCATCGGAAGTCAATTCTCGGATGCCAGTCATGCAAGCAGCGAAAGTTCACATGCTACGAAAGCAGGCTGAGTTGTGTGCAATTGTGTTCGCAAAGAGATTGACTGCATCTTCCCTAGCCGTAGTCTGAAGAAAGATGTAGGGGAAAGAGCGCCGAATTCCAAGTTGGTTATTCCAGGATGCAACAGCCAGACTAAAACACGATCGCAACTTGTCAGCTAAATTTTCTCCAATACTCAACGAGAGCGCGATCTATGGCACCTTACATTTATACCCTATAGAACATTCCCCAAAGATGAATAAAAGTTTTCAATTGCTCACTACAAACCCGATGTTCCTCTCGGCCTGAGTACGAAGCGTTCTTCGATTCGCCGTGAGTGGGACTTCCAGGCAATATCAGAAAGCTTTTCATGTCTCGAGAATGTCATAAATCCGCCCAAGACTATACCGCATGAGCCATGCCCGGTGAAGCCTCCTAGCAGGAAAGATCTAAGGTATCTGTTACCAAAGTTCATCTATTCTCTAAAACCTGTTTGTAAAACACTGCCAAGTCGATCTATCCTATACATCACCATCATCTACGCTGACACAGAGTCAGCAGTCTACCTTTCAAACCACGCAATCAACAAGCAAGTCCCCCACTGTTCTTCTGTCTTGGTTCACCAGCCGCCTCGAAAGTGCCATTACCCAACCGTCTGACACCCTGAACAGAAGAAAAGAATCCTGATACCCAAGTCATATTGTGACCCTTTTGTTGTAGACTCTCAACAACTTTTTTGTCGAATCCAAGTTCCACAGTCGAGATATTGGGTAGTAATTGATCGTGAATTCTGCGCTCGTCAAGTGCCTGTGGCAAAGTATGGCCGTGGTCTAGGACGTGCATAATTGATTGTGCTGTTGCCGTGATTATACGACTTCCTCCAGCGGCGCCAATGGTGAGATACATCGTTCCATTGGGGTGCTCTACGATAACTGGTGAGCAAGATGAAAGTGGGCGCTTGAAGGGTCTGATGAAGTTGATTGGTGATGGGACGAAGCCGAATTCATTCGACACACCGGGGATCGAGAAGTCGTTCATTTCGTTGTTCATGACGACGCCAGTCTCAGGCACGATGAGCTGGGAGCCGAACAGCAGGTTGACGGTTGAAGTAAGCGTGATAGATAGTCCAGACTTGTCTGTTGCGACGATGTGAGACGTCCCATGATTTTCTGGAAGCATGTAGTGGGTTGGTGAGTAGTAAGATGGTTCGTGCGTGCGGTCATCAGAAATACGTTCTCTGATTGCCGAAGCAGTCTTCTCTTTGAGCATTTGTTCCTCAAATTTATCCATGTAACTGAAGAAGTCAGGATCGCCGAGTTCCGCTCGGGCTGCATAAGAAAAGCGCATTGCTTCATCGAATCGGTGGGTATTGAGTTCTACAGAATTTGGGTCGCTCATATTGTATGATTCGATAATTTTGAGAATGCTAAGGGCAACAGATCCTCCGCTTGGAGCCCCGCTAGAGAAAAGTTTATAGCCGCGGTATGTGATACTGAGAGTGTTTCTAATAGATACTTTGTAATTTTGCATGTCTTCGAGGGTCATAGTTCCATTGGCGGCTTGAATGGCAGCAACATTGTATTTTGCTGGTGAGGTTAGCGATGTTTGCAGTGGGGTACAGCTTGATCATACCAATATCTCCTTCATAAAAGCCCTTGGATCCGTGATTGGCTATGATTTCCAAAGTACTCAAAGCTGTCAATTTACAGAAGTTTGTCACGACATGATAGCACTTACTTGGCATATCGTTTCCGGGTAAGAAGGTCGCCTTCAACAACGCGAGTGCCTTAACTTATTAGCCAAAAGCGTGATGAAGTGCGAGTTTCAATAATTACCATTTGGTGCAAAATCAATGGCCCATTGAGGATCGTTGACGAAGAAGTCACCATTTTCCAGAGCAGCGATATTCATGTAGCGGATGAGATCGGAAGTCACTTTAACTCAATCAACACCGCTCAAATTAACAAAGTGTGATTTACTTGCCTAGAAATCCATATCTCGCCAAATGAATAGCAGGATGGCAAACTGCTTTCCAAGGAAGAGCCTTCAATAGTTAGCAACTGTCGAGACGTGCTTCGTTAGAGATGTACTCCATATTTTATGTGCAAGTATTCCAACCCTCGCACATCGCCGGGTACTCCAGATGCAAGCCCAGTTCGAACGCTTCCGATCACGTTGTTTTCATACATATTCTCCGACGCAGCTGCAGGCGCAGTTTCTCGGAAATCAATGGACTCATACTGGCCATCTGAGCCTCGAACGAGCATGAATCCACCACCCCCGATGCCACTATGATGTGAGCCTGTCAATTAGCCAAGTTCCAGTGTATGAAGTGATGCTCAACTCACTCACAACGCCCACGCAAAGCGTCGTAGCTACAAGAGCATCCGCCGCATTGCCCTGGAGTCATGTGATTAGTAATTCGTTGTTTATAAGAAAGCCTTTGTTTGGAGACTCACCCCTCTTTTCAGCAAACCAATACCGATTTCACTGCATAGCTTGCTCTCGCTGGATACGGCACCTTGACTGTCCGTACCACTTTCAGCTGCTAAAATGCCATTGGTGCAAGAGCTAAGGATGAGATAAACATAGGCTAGGCATGGTAAATTGAATATTGATCGAGCCATAGAAACTAATCTAATCAGCAATGTATCTACAGACTTGCAGGAAAGTCAAGTAAGGTTCATTCAACTCACCCATCTCTAACAGTTTCGTGATATTGGCCAGAAAATCACCAAACAGAAGTATCAAGGTCTAATCAGTGGGGTTATTCCGAAAGTCCGGATAGGGTGATGTCGTGAGCCAAAATTACTACTGATGAAGATGCAAAAATGGATGACGGCAGCAAACGAACTGCGTCGTCTTTGCGCCAAATGGGATAATTGTTGGCGGTTGCGACTACCGCGACTTAATTTGCGCGGAGTTGAAGTCAATAAGCATTTTAAGTGGGGAGCTCACCAACGCCTTGGCCTTGGTTTGGAAGAGCCCAATCACAGTTGGCACTTCACCGCTATCCCAAAGAAGACAGCATTCGGCAGAACGATTGTAATAGTGAGATAGGAAAGTAGATAGAATCAGTCACCCTTTCCTAATGTTTGATTAGAGATAATCAATCAACGATAATTACAAAAGTAAGCGCGGTGGTGGATGGTTGCACAACGTAAAAGTCACGGAGATCATATCAAACAATATCGCTAGATAACAGGCCATGGAGCAGATAATAAGATTTAGTGTCGCTAATAATGGCAAAAATCAAATTCTATTGGGTATAATCCTTACTCCTTTGACTTCCGTAATTTGACCAAGACCTCCATATGCTTGATCCAACACTTGATAAATTCCTCTTCGGTAAACCTCTTCGCTGACTTCCTCGCCCGCAGTCTCATCTCCAACTTGTCAGGCAGTGAAAGAGCCTGCTCGAATCCATCCGCAAATTCTGTAGACGTCGTTGCATGGAAGCCTTCAGTGAGAGTTAGTAAGATTCGGATTGGCACGAAGCCCAGATAGTAAAGACTTACCAGTTGGCTTTCCATCAATCTCAATGACAATGTCTCGTTTCGGCCCACCACTATTATGGACAACAGAGATCAGACCAGCCGCTTGATATTCGACAACACCAATGCCAAAATGTTCATTCCACATTCCATTTACACCAATGCTAGCCTTTCGAAGCCACTCCAGGATTTCTGGCCAGGAAGCATCCAAGTGGAACTCTACGCTGTCCCTGATTTGAAGTTCGTTCGCCAATAATCGGAGTTCGTAAACACGTTTGGCATCACCGTCATCGCGAACACTTCCAATGAGCACCAGTTTGGCGTCTTCTGTAGCAGTCGTCTTTGTTGCCATGAACTCAGCAAAGGCAGCCATTATGAGTTTGTGATTCTTCTCCGGTCGGAACTGTGCAATGTATAAGAGCACCTTTTGCCGATCCTCTTCACTTTCCGCCGAGACCTCAACCTCCTTCTCAAGCTCCTCTACTGCCACGGGTGGATAGACTGCCACGGCCGCCGAACGCTTAAATTCTTTCCTCCACCCACCCCACAGCGAATTAATATGTTCCTGCGTCCAGGTTGAGTTCGTCATGACAACGTCGATTGATGACCCAACGAAGGAATATAGCTTGGCGAAAACCTCCCAATAAATCTTCTTTGCAGCCCCTGCTGCACCTTGTCCTTTTCCTGCATTAACACCTAGTGTTCCTGTTGAAGATTCCGGATCTAGAGAGCTCAACATATCAGTAGAGATGGTAGGATAATGAACGTAAGCACCAGTTGGCACATCTCCGAACAAAATCTTACTAAATCCAAGCGCAAACGCATATCCCATTGTGTCCAGGAAGATATCGGGCGGAAGCAGGGAAAAGGCGTCCCAAGCTAGCACAAGAGATCCGATCGATTGTCCCAAGAGTGTGAAATGTGGCCAAGATGAGGCAAGCACCCAGGAGCGGGTTGTGAGGTACATGAAGGTGATTGTGGGAGGATGTAGATGGATGTTGAATCGATTCTGAAAGTGCTTGTCAGCCAGCATGTCAAACTGCTCTAGCAAGGAGATTTCTACCTTTACTCGGGCCAGTATGGCATTCTTGTCGACATCATGGTCTCCCGTGTAAACTATACATTTAGCCTTAGGCCACCTCCTCTGTGTCGCTCGAATTGCTGCCCATAGTACTCGCTCTCCACCACCACCAGCGTTGCTAATTTCTTCAATCAATATCTAGGTCCAGAGATTGTGCAAGACAGATAGTACGCACCAGAAAGGGTGGAAGAATCCGACTATGCCGTCCCAGTCCCTATCCGGAGCGGCTCCTCCCTTCTCATCCGCCAAATCAGACTGCACGTTTTCCCATTCGTCACTGTCTCTCCTTTCCTTCAGTCCAGCAAGGTATTCCTTCTCTTCCGTCTCGACCAAGTCGAGAATCTGTGCTCTCCGTCCAGCGGTCTTCTTCCTCAAATAATACCCAACTATGCTTCCCAAATAGAATACGAGCTTCGGACCAAGAAGTATGAGAACCAGAGGAAAGAACCCGAGTATGGAGACCGAAATTATACTAAACCATTTGGACCCGAGTCCTAGTGTCCACATACTAGCACCGTCTGGCGTCGTACACATATCCGCCATGTTTTCAGGTGTTGCGGATTCCGAATTTCAAGCTCTAGAAATCGCGAGGTGTTACCTTTCTGCAGGAAACACCTCGGGTCACTTGGCGTGCAGCGCCGACGTTTGATGGAGCTTGGACCACTTTGGAATGTCTCGGGAACGAACTTCAGATGATCAACCAAAACGCGACAACAACATCATGAGATTCACCAATTGATCCAGCTTCTGGGCGAATATAGTCCGACGACCACAAATCTTGATCACAAGTACTCGATCATTCAATATGCCACCACGGCCAAACTCGAGGGCATTGCTTGCTCGCAACCCCGTGCCGAATCACCTGCTTAGAGCTTTCCTACAACTCCCTCCAAGCTGTCGCGCTTTTCACGCTTCACCACGACCTCAATTCCTAGAAACAGTCATCTCGCCCGCTCATGCCCTTTTCGAGGGCATTCATTCCGTGACTGGCCTGCCGTGGGCGTTTGCCATTCCACTCACAGCTCTTACTGTTAGAACAATCCTTGTCCTCCCGCTCACCATATACACACGTCGCATACTCCAGAAACAAGCCGAGCTTGCCCCAGTCGTCCAGGCATGGATACCTCGATTGCAGAAAGAAGCGAGGACTGAAGCTGGGCACATGGGTCCTGTGGCAGCACAGGCAGTGATGTTGAAGAAAATAAGACGGAAGACGATTGAGGTTTATGGGCGATGGGGCTGTCAAAGATACAAGAACTACCTCGTACCACTTCTGCAGCTTCCCATATTCTTGACCGCTATGGAGTGTCTACGAATGATGTCCGGATACAACTCGGGTCTTTTAAGCATAATAGCTACAAGCTTAGGGGGTGATGCGGTGGCTCTTGTCGATGTTGAAAAAGGACTCACGTCTTGGTTCACGCCGAGTCTGGCAACAGAAGGTGATTTATGGTTTCCAGATCTTACAAAGCCGGATCCTGAATTACGCTTGCCTTTCATATTCTCAGGAGTAATGCTCCTGGATGTCATGTTTTGGAATAGAAAAGGCCACACGCCATCGAAATGGTCAACCAGGGGTAGGAGGACTCTAGGAATAATGGCATTGGCCGCTGGACCGCTGCTACTTAATCTTCCTTCTTCAATGCTTTTATATTGGATCTCCTCTAGTATATTTGCAAAGGGTCAAGCTTTCTTGCTGAACAAGCTGATGCCACTGAAGATCGTCGCGCCTTGCAAGCCTAAGAAGCCCTTGCGAATCGGAACAGCTATGACGAAGTTCTGAGTTTACGCGGCATGTACGATACTGTTCATTGATACTTCATAGTTTTTTCACAGAGGAGCACATAGTACAACTAGTGTCTACTGAGGAGTGTCTCTATGTAAGAAAATTCTGACTCCACGTCAAATTGTCTCATCTTCAAACTCTCTTCTTCCCCGCGCCACAATTTTGGAACCTCATAATAAACCTTACTCTCAATGAGAGTTCTTCAATTCGGCTGACAAGAATTTGTCATTCACACTTCTACAACTATTTTCTTTCTTCGTGCGATGGCGATTGGTATCTCTTACGCAGAGACAAATACTACAATTCAATTTACACCATGCTGCAGTCTTACACTCTCATCTGCTTCGCAGACAGCTTTTCATGCGGACTACTACAGGCAAGCTTTTTGTTATCAAGGCTCAGATTGGGACCGCTTCAATGAGTTGTTTCACTCTCACAGCGCTAGCGCGGCTGTTGCCCTCGAGTCGTGCTATCTCGATACAACAGGTACATCATACCATTTGAACCCATTCTAATTTTTCGTTTATGATGCTGACTTCCCCAGGTGTATTATCCTCCATTACACCTAGTGGTTTATCCCATTAGAAGTCTCTGGCTTCCTACCCCAGCCCAAACACCTGTATAGTTGACTTTATTATCCTTACTATACCCTGAAATAGTATCTACAAAACACCGGAAGCAACAGCCTCTTTGTCTTACAAAACCCACATCGCCCTGAAAACCTATGGCAATATTACTCTTCAACCAATTATCCTGCAGTAATGCTATATGCGGGATCGGTTCTTGACCGTCAGGAATGTTCAGTATCTGGTCCATAGAGCTGTTGGAGCTCATTGACCATTTAATTGCTACATCGCTGAACGTGTACGGATGTACTTGAGCTTTGTGTTCAGCGTGGACCTCGTGGTTGCACGAAGGATGTTGTGTATTTACAAGTCCAAAGTAAATATCGGAGGGGCTTAAAGCCCGAATAGAGCCTTCGGTGCGGACCATCATCATTTGGCTATACAGATATTCGGTTTTGGGGAATATGGCGTACGTTATATTGCACGATGAGTCATCCACTGAGCCGCCAGACACAAACTCTGGTTTCGGGCGCTCCTCATCGCCATCATCCCCCGCAAGAGTATCCTCCGATGCAACTACAGCCCACTCACTTTCAATGCCTTGGATATTACCACGGACTGTTTGGACTCCCCACGAAGACTCCAAGTTGATTTCTTGGTCGAAATTGAACCATAGAGGGACAATTGTCATTGGTCCTGCTTGCCAAAATATAAGCCTAATGAAGGTGGTGTTAAGCGCGAGGTCAAAAGGGAGACCGGTGATTGCAGAAGCTGCTAATCTAAACCATGTTTCCCATTGAACATGGTGTGTTTGAATGAGATCTACAAGCAAATGCATAGTGGCTTTAACGAGACTGAAATGGGACTCCTCCCCCCTAAGGTTTGAAATGTCTTTGGCACCTGCAGCTTCTGCAAAGGCGTTTCCCAATAACAACATGATCTGTGTAAACATATGAGTTTGAATACAACCATCATTAAGCCGATCATATTGTAGAGTCCGGAACCCTCGAAAGTCTTGCTTCTCATTCGAATCACAACCACACTCACAGCGGTCTCGAGCTACCGCCAGTGCGTCCATAACATCCGAGAACCGCAAGATTATCTCATGTGCCGGATATTCGACGCCCCCTCTCCTGTCCTTTTCCGGTCTATCAACGTCGTCCAACAAAAAAGCAAACGGCACTATTTTATCGTTCCCGAGGTTCTGTTGAAGAATTGTTGGACTTGTCCTCACCCACCACTTGAATTTTCTACCCTCTTTGTCGTTAAGTTTGAATCTGAGAGCAAGAGGGGTTCCATAGACGGTGGTATCCATCAGGGATGCAACAATGCGTTGTGCGGAGCTTAGAGCCATATTTAGCTCCTTTTTATTCAAGGAGAGATAAGTTCCACTGTGAGGATTCATGAATCCGTATAACGGGATACGAGTCCCAGACGTGAAAGATCCCCCATGATCGTGGAAACCTTTATTCCAAGCTGTCTTCGGGTCTATGTCGAAGGTCGAGCCATATCGTCCACCGATTCTAAATCCCAGAACGTGATCTGTATTCCTACAGCTTTCGGAATTCGTAGTAACGAGACACTTATCCACTGGGATTTCCACAACAAAAAATGTGAGAGTCTCAGGCGATGTTCCAAGGACCTTATCGAATACCAATTTTCCTTGCATGCTCACTGCCAAAACCCCGTCCCAGTGATTGTAAATCCAACACAATAGATCAGCCGCGAAGTATTTTACTTGCACAACGATATCTGTACCACTTCTTTCCTGAATACTATGAACAGCGCGAGCGAAATCTTGAGCGACCATACGATGGCCGACAAACTTCTCAAACTCCTCCGGAAGAGGACTGATTTCCAGACCAGCGTTCACAGTATGCAAGTGAATACTATCCGTCATCTTCTGCACCACTGCGTGAATTTGCTCTTTGGCGAAAAACAACCTCGACTGTCTGCTCTCATTCGGATACGCTCTCATCAAGAAGATATCAATAAAAGTCTTCTCCACAGCCGCCGGTAAATGATATTTCAACATCACAGCCTCAGTAGTAGCAACCCATCTCAACTCCTTATCTCTTAAAATCGTACTCCCCAACGCCCCCGGCATAACCAGCTGCAGACCAAACAGTTTACTCGCACCAATCTGGAGCTGTGCCAAAATCACCTGGCCGTTGGTGTTTGGATGCGCGAAATCCTGGTACGCGCGCATGGTCTGGAGAAATGCTTCTTCATTCAACCGTTCGCGGGCGAGCCATTTGACTACTTGGATTCCGGCGGTCGTGCTGGCCTCTGCTACGAGGCTGATGAGACCGAGTCCGCCTGCTTTGCCAACGGCGGTTGCGAGGTCCATACCGCGTGCGGCGGCGGAGACTTGGGCGGCGGCGAGGGATTCTGACATTTTGGGAAACTGCAATAACGATAATGAAACGAGCAGAGGTATGAGGACCTAGGTTTAGAAATCTTCATGGGAGTGGTTTTGATCAGGCTGGCGAGATCGTTTAGACCTGCAGCCAACCGGGCGATCAGGTCGTACGGGAACTGGTGGCTGAAGTTTTGGACCCCAAACCAACATCATCCTGTATGAATGTAGATCTTCAGGTATATAGCCGTCCTGAACTGCTATAGCCATAGGCTTTCTCACCCCAGTCAGGACAGTAAACAGAACAAATAGAACGCGAGAGGCGAGTTTAGATATTGTATCGAGTAGGGTTGAGATAATCAATTTACTTGACTTCTTTTGAGGTGCAAGTTTGCTCCAAACAGTCGTCCTAGGAAACGTTCACAGCATGTATGTATCTCGCGCACCATCCATCAGTTAAGGCCGTCGGGATACATCCAAATGCTATGTCTGCTCGCTCTTGCGGAGTAAATCTGCGAAGTTGTCTCTTTGAAAAAGCTTTTATATATCGAGGAATGAGCGTTAAAGATTGGCTTTTGAACATTGCTGTACTTGAAGGCGTCTCATTAGTCTTACAACGCACTAGTGATCTATAGATGGTTTTTTGTCTCCTGTCTGCTATACGCAAACCTAGTTCAACACATATTATTTGAAAACCAACCTTAAATTACGCCCAAAGTGTTTCAACCCATATAATTCTTGCATGAGGCTCTCAACTCCTGCTTCCGACAAATCGTCCGAGCCAGCATTATCATTCATCGAAGCATTTAAGAATTGGATATGCTTTGTGTGTTGTTCGAGGTCTTCCTTCAGTATCAGCAGCTTTCTATCACATCCTCCCTCCTGAATAACCCTAGCCTCATCCTTGATTGAAGAGTCTAGATATGCAGTTGTGATGTCGTTATATCGAATAATTGAGTTTCTTCGGAGGAACAAACTCAAATTTGTGGCCGCCAGTCGCATTGTATCACGCTCTTGCGAATATTCTTCAATTAGTAGGCTTATGTTTGAAATGGCTGCCTTGATGAGCTGCATTTCATTCGTAACTCTTTCTATCTCCATTTCGACCTGAAGGTCCTTTACAAACACTACTCTTTCGTTAAGCTCGTACATAATATGCATGTGCACTTGCCAGTGATGGGAGCACTTTTTGCATTTTCCGGAAGAGTCGAATGCTGGGCAGCTTGCAAGTTGTGGAGGTGCCATCATGTCCGACGCGACATTCTCGAGATAACATGGCGAATGACAATGAGTTTTGTAAATGATACGTGTCTGCTTCCCGCTGTCATCAAAGTCAACACATCGTCGATCTGTACAAACAGTTCTAGGCTCATCAAGGCGCTCAGTTTCCAGCTCAGTTTTCTGGATAGGAGACACTTTGCGGAGCGTATGGTATTTTTCTCTTCTCTCGCTCAAATCTGCTTTTTTGCTCTCACAAAAGTCGAAGTTGTTCGCAATCACCTGAAATATTTCCTTCAACGGCTTCACTAGTCCCTGCTGATATCCGCGCGCTCTATTAAAGATTGAAGTGCTTTGCGTATTATGAGGACGAATTTTTCCGAGGTAGTTTAGCATTCGTAGAGCTTCGTTCTGAGAATGCTTCCAGCTCCGTTCATATTCGGCAGGGTAGGCGAGCCACACTCCCTTACGCGCCGCTGCTAAGAAACGGAAGCTTTCCGAATCGAAGGAATAGGTTTTTTCTTTTGACAAGCTGAGTCCGGAATTTGGAATATCGCCAAGTAATCTGTTAAGAGGGCCGAAAGTGTCTCCCAGAGTATAGTTCGAGCTTCTCGTGTGGGTAAATCCAAAGATTATGTTTGAGGCAGCGACTCGAGGTAGATAGGAAAGAAGCTCTTTGATACAATATTGGAAGGCAGTCGTTAGCCTGGCAGAATTCGATTTAAGAAGTATGAGAATGCCATGAATCTTGTCATATCTGCCGACAGTTTGGATGATGTTGGCCATATTCCTTTTGTCGTATTCCACGCCACGAGTATCTCCAATACCAGGTGTATCAAAAAGCCGCGTAGTGTAGGTTCCAGACCCAGAGGAAACAGTGATAGGATATACAACGGTTATCTGTGTTACTGACGCACCACTATAGCCGCCATTTTTGTCCGAACCATGATCAACATGGATAAATCTCTCTTCAATCAATCCATGCTGGCTAGACGTGTTCATGATTGGTGTTGAGAAGCTACAGGGTGCCAGCCATGTTAAATTGTTTGCATTCATCGCATCGGCCATTGTTTCAAACTTCACGTAATTGGCTAGTGCATTGATGAAGGTGGACTTCCCAGCTCCAGTCTCCCCTAAGACTAAGATGTTTAAGTCATCTAATGGTTTAATATCAATTTCGGATTTGTCCTTCGATTACTTGAGTCAGCTTGACTGAGTCATGGGGATGACACTTACCTTTGGTTGATTCTGAGGATACTGATCAGGGGTCTTTCCCCAAGCTTTACTGGTAGGTTCTTCTGAGCTTGCCGAGTCTGTGTCAAGTATTTAGACTTGAAACCAATCATTTATACCGGATCAGCTGTGGAACAGGCTTACACTTGGAATGCCTTCGAATTTCTTCCTCCAACCGAATCATTGCATTTCTTTGACCTTCCCCATATATAAGAGGTATAAATACGCCAAAAATTCCCAACAGACAGTACGCTTCGTCTTCTTCTTCGGTTGTGCGACGCTTAGCCGCCCATGTCATACGTTCATCGACGCCAAATTGATTCAAAGGACGTCCATCTAAGGCGTCGAGTGGTATTCCAGTAATCTCGAAGATCTGCTGCTTCAATCATTCTTTATCACCAAGTCGTCGGTGTTGGAGAGAAAAGAACTCGACCGACGTTGGAGCCAGAAGTTCTTGGAGTGTCCACCCTCGGGAGAACCACCTGCTTTTTCGAAAACTCGTTTCCCATACGCTCTGATATACCGGATTGGCTGCGATACTGGGAGTAGATACGTCTGGCAGGAACACATAACATTTGACGGCGTTTTGATACCAGCGAAACATCGAGTTAATGGCCTTTGAGAGCTCGTGGGAGTTCCGCTTATCAATACAACAAGTGTCTATCCAGAAGTATTGTAAATGATCACGAGCCGCTTGTTCGCCACAGAACAATATCTTTCTATAGCCTGCTTTTCCTTTGGCGCGGTTGTTTAAGAGGTCCTCGAAGCTGACCTCTCCAACACCCCAGGTATGCGAAAGAATAGCATATTGAGGAATGCTTGCTGTGCTGAACTCCGTCCAGACAAGGTCGCTGGTCTCATTATAATGTAAGAGACGCATGTCAATCGAGATAATTCAAGGTAGGCGGTAGATCAAGCAATCGTCTTCGCGTCAGGCGCTCTGTCCCCAGTGCTGTATTGTGCGATTCGACAACTGTCCGGAGACGGCTACAGTTTAAAGAGGCATCATGTCCCCAGAGGTAACGCGATAATCCCTGAATGGCAGATAACAAAGTTTGTACACTCGAGTTTGTCGTCCTGAACATGATGCACTGCGCTTGTATGAAGCGCATTCGAGGCTGAGCATCTTCCATGCCGAAGGCTTACATGATGTATCTTCCAACAGCAGAGCAGATATCTCAGTCGACAGTTAATAAGCAAACTGACCTTGAGCCAATCGAAAGGAAGCATGAAAGCCGTCTCGTCGCTTATTTGGGTAGGCGCCATCACCATCATCGTGAGGCTCACTTGATGGCTGCCTCATTCAAGTTTCGCACCCGAACCCGATTCAGTAGCTTTCAACACCAATGGCGAAAAACTCATAAGTATACAGCAAACCCAAGCCTAACATTCCCAGATCCACAGTTTGTCTTGACCAGCAACGAATAGAAATTTCCTTATATACGCCATGCCAATATTTTATATGGTAGGCGAACTCGTGAGGTTGTTTCTCAATTAGCCGGATACGTGCGCCTCATATCTTTTTGTTAAGTTTCCACGAATGACTTTAGTGATGGTTTTTGTATAAGAGCTCATCATTGAGAATGAGAGACATACTGATTATTCGCGATAATTATGATCAAAACACGTCTTGCTTGTATTTCGTCCCTCGGGCTTGTCCTCGCTCTTGTCACAGCGGTCCATTCGACAACAAAACAACTTCACCCTCGAGTTGATGATGACTCGACATGGTATTACATCGAAACCATGTGCTTTCCATACTTTTCCAATGCAAGTTGGTGGGGTGAGGGCGAGTCCACTTGGGAACGTCGCAAAAACCTTGCTGCCTCGCCATTTCCCTGTGAACAAGGAGATTACATCAGCCGAGCCTGCGTAGCAAATGGAACGACCGAGATTGATTTCCTTGCAGAGCAGCAGTGTCTCTGTAACGGAGCGTATTTTGAAGTGGTAATGGGATGCAATCAATGCTTACTCTCACACGGCTGGGAAAGACCGGGACGAAGCGCAGAGGTATTGGCAGAGAATCTTTCGTGGTTCAGTAGCGCAGAGTGTTCTGCTACTCCTATCTTGCGACCATATCGGAGCATCGTAAATACGGATACCACCTACACGAGTTTTCCTCCTTTGAAGACTTTGTTGAACGACCGTTTTCCAAATGACACGGCTGTTTCCAACTACTTCACACCTACAACGACGAATCTACTAGGGGAGATTACTGGAAGCGCAACAGCTAGAGTAACAACGCATGTCAAAACTACCAGGTCTAAAGACTCTACTACAGCTCTGACGACTTCGAGTGTGCTTCTCAATTCTCAGTCAAACGCGACTTCTGTTGTTAGTACGGCTAGCTCTGGGAATGCGGGTGGAAAGTCAGAGGCTCGAGTGACGGCTGGAGTGTTGGCTGCTGCGCTAGGAATTGTTGCACTCTTGTAGTGTTCAGAATCGAAGGTCTGAATCAAAGGGGTTAGGAAATGTATACCGGGCTTAGTGAACGCAACCTGTGGTTGATTTTAATAGGATCAATTCTAAATTTACTGTCAGCACATGGTGTTACCGCTGCTGTGATAGATTTTGAAAATGCAACCCCCCTTTGAGAAGCGAGAAAGAAAGGGGCAAAGAAACCGGTCCCCATACCATCGTCAAAGGACAAACGAGATACCCCGCGCATACATTTCCAGATCAGCTCCCCTTCCTCTCATAGGACCGTGATTTCAGAAAATCATAGATATCATCTCCACCGAGTTGTAAAGAACCAACTGCTGTATTATGTGCCTCTTTGAGCGACTCGTTCCGCCTGCCTGAAGTGATCTGATAACACAACAGAATTCTTAGAAATCAACATGGAAGCATGCTTCAGCTCCCGGTCTTCGAGTCATATTGTCATAACAACCCCACCATGACATGGGTCTTTTGTCACGGACTCTGCTGGCTTGGAAGAGCTTTCATTCTTGGGAATTGAAAGACGTCAAGAGTTTCAGGGTGAATGCGTACAATCACATGGTGTGGACCTCCTCGAAATATCTTCATGAAGACCTTGAAAATATCATTCCCCAATTATCAACACATCAAACAACGGATTGTTCAGAAAATCGATTATAAATGGAGGTTGGAGACCCGCCTACTAGGTTAAAGTGTTTTGACGCGCTATGTCACGCTAAGAGGCGAAATACGGCGAGGCAGAACGCGCTTTCCAGCTCCGTCGCGTAAGTCCCGTCCATCCATAAGAAACAAATTCCCATCCCCTCTCTGCCCAAAACATCCCTCTTTCTTCAACAACCTGCATACACTCAACCGCCTCCTTTTCAGGTTGATATAACGTGTTGAACATCATTGCAATAGTCAGTGATCATCACAGCAGCAAACAAAGAACTCTTCAGCCATCAGAACTTCTTTCGCCCTCACTTATTCCTCTACCAGATCAACCACACACGTCGACATTATGTACGTGTGGAAACGCGGTATGTATTCATGTTTGGAACCACATTGAATCCTTCTAATATGTATGCAGATGGACGCAAGGAGCGCGTTCAGTTCGATAAGATCACAGCTCGTGTCTCGAGACTGTGTTATGGCCTCGACACGGAACATGTCGACGCCGCAGCAATCACACAAAAAGTCATCTCTGGTGTCTACCAAGGTGTTACAACATTCGAGCTGGATAATCTGGTACGTACTAGCACAATGCTGTCAATTGTTAGCGTTTGAACATTGCTAACAAATTTTCCAGGCCGCGGAAACCGCAGCGTACATGACGGTTACCCACCCAGACTATGCCATCCTTGCTGCACGTATTGCAGTATCCAACCTTCACAAACAGACCAAGAAACAATTCTCCAGCGTCATCTCCGACCTTTATCACTACACAAATCCTCGAAATAAGAAGCTGTCGCCTATGATTAGCAAGGAAACCTACGAGACTGTCATGAAGCATGAGGCCGAGCTCAACTCCGCTATTGTCTATGACAGAGACTTCAACTACCAATACTTCGGATTCAAGACACTCGAGCGTTCATACCTTCTTCGCCTCGACGGAGAAGTTGCGGAGCGTCCACAACACATGATCATGCGTGTCGCCGTTGGAATTCACGGAGAGGATATTGAGGCCGCCATCGAGACATACAACTTGATGTCCAGCAAGTTCTTCACACACGCCTCTCCAACACTCTTTGCTGCCGGTACACCACAGGCACAGTTGTCTTCCTGCTTCCTCATTGACATGAAAGACGACAGTATTGATGGCATTTACGACACACTCAAGACATGTGCCATGATTTCCAAGAATGCTGGTGGTATTGGACTCAATGTCCACAGAATTCGTGCCACGGGAGCCTACATCGCTGGCACAAACGGAAACTCCAATGGCATCGTTCCTATGTTGAGAGTTTTTAACAATACTGCCAGATACGTCGACCAAGGTGGCAACAAGCGACCCGGTGCATTTGCCATCTACCTTGAGCCATGGCATGCCGATGTTTTCGAGTACCTTGATCTCCGAAAGAACCACGGAAAGGAAGAAGTTCGTGCTCGTGATCTCTTCTACGCCCTTTGGATCCCGGATCTTTTCATGAAGCGTGTTGAAAAGAACGGAGATTGGACATTGATGTGCCCTAACGAGTGCCCTGGTCTGGCTGATGTATATGGTGATGAGTTCGAGGCTCTCTATGAGCGTTACGAGAAGGAAGGCATGGGCCGAAAGACCATCAAGGCTCAAAAGCTCTGGTATTCTATCCTCGAAGCTCAAACCGAGACTGGAAACCCTTTCATGCTCTACAAGGATGCTTGCAACCGCAAGAGCAACCAGAAGAATCTCGGTACCATTCGAAGTTCAAACTTGTGCACAGAAATTGTCGAGTACTCTTCCCCAGATGAGGTTGCTTGCTGCAATTTGGCTTCCATGGCGCTCCCAACCTTCGTCGACATCAACAACGGCACTTACGACTTTCAAAAGCTTCACGATGTTTGCCAAGTTGTCGTCAAGAACTTGAACAAGATCATCGAAGTCAACTACTACCCAGTTCCAGAGGCTAAGAAATCCAACTTCCGTCACAGACCCATTGCTCTTGGTGTTCAAGGTCTTGCTGATGTATTCTTGGCTCTCCGTCTTCCTTTCGAGTCTCCTGAGGCCAAGCATCTCAACATTCAGATTTTCGAGACCATCTACCACGCTGCGTTGACCGCATCTTGCAACTTGGCAAAGAAGCTTGGTACATATGAGACTTATGAAGGTTCTCCAGTCTCCAAGGGTGAGCTCCAGTACGACATGTGGGGAGTCACTCCAACAGACCTCTGGGACTGGGCTAGCTTGAAGCAAGAGATCAAGCAACACGGTATTCGCAACAGTTTACTTGTTGCTCCTATGCCAACAGCCAGCACCAGTCAAATTCTTGGCTTCAACGAATGCTTCGAGCCATACACGTCCAACATTTATTCCCGCCGTGTTCTCGCTGGTGAGTTCCAAGTTGTCAACCCATGGCTCCTCAAGGATCTTGTCGATATGGGGCTTTGGTCAGACAACATGAAGAACAGAATCATCGCCGACGGCGGTTCCATTCAAAATATTCCAAACATTCCAGCTGATATCAAAGCTCTCTACAAAACTGTCTGGGAAATCTCCCAACGCACAATCGTCCAGATGGCCGCTGATCGTGGTGCCTTCATTGATCAATCTCAATCGATGAACATCCACATGAAGGATCCTACAATGGGCAAGATCACCAGTATGCATTTCGCTGGATGGAAATCTGGTCTCAAGACTGGAATGTACTACCTCCGTACAATGGCAGCTTCTGCGCCTATTCAGTTCACTGTCGATCAAGAGGCTCTCCTCGTTGCTGATACCAACGTTGCACGGGAACGAACTTCCAAGAACAAGCGTATGACATCTACCAACTATGCTACTGGACAAACATCTTCTTCCGCCCCTCGCCCCATGTACATCAAGCAAGCTTCACAAGGCACTGCTCCCAATGGGGTCTCAAACGGAGTTCCAACTCCTTCAGCAACTCCTCCACCTGCGTCCGAGAATAAAAAGTTCAACCCAGCGGCTGTTCTTACAACACCAGCCTTCAAGGCAGATGTTCCCGAAGGTGGTAGCCCCAAGTCTCTTGCTACCGAGCCAGCTTCTGCCCCACCTAAAGAGGAAGAGCTTCCAAGCGCCGCTGTCCCTGCAAAGAAACAGGACGAAGATAAAGACGAGAGTGGAGATCGTGAGCAGGATATTTACGCCGATGCTGTGTTGCAATGTAAGCATACTTTCTAGTCATTATCTGATCTATTACTAACAATTCCATAGGCAGCATCGAGAACAGAGAAGAATGTATGATGTGCAGTGGATAGATACATTGCTTGTGATATGTGTACATGATAGATTGGGATGGTTGATGACGGATACACTGGTGCATGCTCGCTCACGCTTTTTACTTAATTTCATGTCTGGGTTTGCTTTTCATCACTGCAGGCGTTGAATCGGATGGGAACCGAAGCAAAGTAGGTTATGGTTTTGCTTGCTGGTTATTGGGTAATTCGCGTTCTGCTTTACTAGTTGTAGCATCCGTCGAAGAGGGTTGGAGAAGCAGCGTTTTCTTGATATATTGTATGCTAAAGATATTGATTATGTTGAACGAGAATTTGTAATCATATCGAGAGTTTCTGGTGTGAGGTGCTATAAGTATTGGTAAACTGAGGTGTGTGGAAGATACGAATCACCTACCATGTTACCTGGAACCAGAAAGAGGGAAGTCGCTTTGTCGTCGTGAGTGTGGACGTTGTAGGTCGATGGTCAGTCACGACACTTTGGTTCCACATGTGTTTTGTAATTCGAACGTACAATTTTTAGATTATGTTGATCAGTGGTAGGCAATATCGTTTCGGTGCTAAACTCAAAATCGGCGACAACCCTATCGTCTCAGCCACGAAAGGCGGCGGTAAACTTAAACTTTTATAATATCACGACCTTTCAGGCTGATTTACATAATTAGGGAGTGGACGAGTGAGGTTTTACTCTGATCCTTGAGAAATGGCCCTAGCATATGTGCTCCATCGTGGCATTTTGCCGGTAGCTAGAGTAATATGTTCTTGTGATGAGGTTAATATTATTTGGGCATGTGTTTGCGGGTTTCTGCGGATGAGTCTTATTATGAGTTCGTTTGAGAATTTATGTGATTGTGCTTTGAGGGCTTTTCTGTGGCGGTGTTTGGTGATAAGGCGTTATTTTAATATTTCGATTGGGATGAAAAGGAGGTTTGAAACCAAAGGGAAGAAGCTTTGCTCATGGAGCAGTTGTGTGTCTTCCTAGTGTCCTTGAATCTTCTGCTACATTGTAGAACTATTGTGAGAGAGTAAAAAGTGTGATTTACAGTGAAGCTGTAAATTCGGGTGGATTTCTGTAACCCGAAGGAAGATGGTTTTCGGTGACAGATTTTGGATCGGTGACAACAATTAGCATGAATCGCATGCCTGAAACTTAACAGATTAATCACAGATTACACATTTTCGGGTTTGAGAATTAACTAACACTAATATACACAATCAAAATCCTACGTACACGCCACATCTCAACACTCTGAATGAGGATTTCCGATCTTTGCTTGGTAGCTATATCATGTCTTAGACTCTTTCTCTTTCGATGCGTTAAATAGTGCTAGTTCATGAAGTAGTTGTTTGCGGCGTGTTCACGGTGGTGGTAATTCATCATACAGGTGCGGTTCGGAAACTGAGGGAAGTGTGTAGAAAGTGTTGATGTGTTTCACTTCATTTTGTGATTCTAGAATCCAGGTGTCTGAGTGGGTTTGTGAAATGAGCGCACTTTACTGTAGTAGATATATGTGTAATTAATTGATAAGGTATTTGGAGCTTACCGATGAAATAGGTAAATAATGGCGGAAGTATTCATGACTTGATTGTGTATAAGATGCAAATTACTAGAAACAAGCTTGTTTAAACACGTTTTTCGTTACAGCTTTAAAATAACTCTTCCTCTCGACTTTGTCTATTTAAGCAAGTCTACACTGTCAATACCATTTACTACCATATTGGTTTCTATCTTGATCTAATATTTCGTTTCCCCTTCCCTTTCGAAGTATAAATAAATACTCCGTAATACGACTAAGAACTGTAATATACAGTTTGTAGTGCGGATCCCAGAGACAGCAAAGTGCGTTGTTTGTACGGTAAAAGCTCTTTTCCTTCATATTGCTTGAGGGTTCTAAATGTTCGGGTGTGCGAAACATATTCTTTTTACGAATAGTAGTTTCAAGTCAAATTGATCTAGAAGGCTGAGATTAGGTTTAGGTAGTAACTCCAAGATTGGTGACAACCCACGGCACAATTCACAATTGTTAAGGTTACACATTTGCCGAATTTGCGTGGATCTTGTTGTTAATTGTAAGATCTTACGAAAATTGGGCTCTGCGGTGGAACATTAAAGTGTAACAAACAGCACTAGAGATTCGCTTATAGCTAGGTCTGATCTGTACTACATTGTATTTTGTCGGGAACTTTTGAATGTCTTGATAAAAAAGGCTTGCAATAAGTATACGGCAAATTGTAATTAGGAAGCTGTAATATAGGGTTTTGTGGATTTAGGTGTTAGAAGGAGGTAAAGAGGCTAGAAAGAGAAGTGTTATAATTTCTTTTAATTCCTCAATTCTATATTACAAAACATTAATAGCGATATTAATAGTCTCTAAACGTATACGTCTAACGTAGATGTATACTATAGAAATTGAAAAATGTTATAATAATCTTATTCCCCCTTTCTAATTTAAAAAGATTTAGGAACTAAGTACTACAAAATCCGACCTCGAATATACAAAGATATTTAAATAAATCTAGGGAGCCGTAGACCGTCATATGTGTCAGGAGGGAACTAGGGACGATAGGTAATTTAACCACTATATATATTTTAAACTATTTCTATATTCGAGATTACTCGTGTAGTTAATTTATAGTATACTTATAATTTAAAAACTAAGTAACAAACATCTCCCTTCGACAACAGCACTAAAATCGACGACAAGCCACCCTCCCCTTCACAAATCCCCCACCCTAAACCTACCCCACAATTCTTTCCCTCAAGAGCAATACACTAACACCACTACACTAAACCCACCATCCGCCATAACACCCAGTAACAGCAACCTCCTTACCATAATTATTATACTCGGACATAGGGTATAAAACAAATCATCTCCTCCCAAAGCCCCTACCTAGATATTGACGCAACACGTCGTAGAGGACAAGAGATATCCCTCCTTTCCGACCGATTCCTCGAATATTAGCTTGACTATTTCCCCGTGTGCTTGTTTTTTTTTTTTTTTCTTAAAGATTAACATCCTGATGATTCGATTTCTTACTTACACGTCAAAGCAAAATCCACGAGTCGCCTCAACCACTCCCCCGCTCACCACATTCTTCCTCACAACATATAACTATCCTCTGCTCTGCTCGCGATATAAAGACGCGACTGTCGAAGCGGAATTTCAACTTCCCACCATCGAATCCTTACGCACATCCGCTGAGTTGCCCCCGTATCACCATTTGTCAAAACCCATATACTCAACTACCACGACACCCGCCGAGGTCACCACACAAGCACAAACACAGAGACACCTAAAAAATATGCACAAAAACGTATGTTATTCCTCTCATTTCAATCTCGCTATACTATCTACCTAGTCAGCCCTCTCCACTTACCCTCTCTCCCTCCCCACCTCCGATCCCATCGCATCCCATCTCATCTCATCTCAAAAAAGAAAAAGAGATTCCGCAATCGCTCTCGCTATTACACATACAGTATACCCCCCCTCTCTCTCACTCATCTACAAACACAAACACATCAACCGCCCCCCCCCCCAATCTCTCAAATATATACCCCGACCAACCTGCCAACCAAACTAATCCACCATTCTAATGGACCAGCCCAGCCAGCCTACCACCCACCCCGACGCATTAAAAGACCCCCCCAAAACCACAGTCTCGTTCGCTATCTCTGTCCTATAATATAGGAAACAAGAAGAAGAAGAAGAAAAATATAGAAAAAGCCCTATACATACAAAATCCCCGCCCCGTCCACCCATCTCAGAAAAAAAGGAAAAATGCGAAGAGAGGGCTGTCCCTCAAGTGCCAAATCTGAATAAGTTCTCGTAAGCCGCAGTCCGATCCTTAAAATAACCCGAAGCTCCAAGAACGCCGACGCTTTGACAGTGGTTGTGATATATGCATGATTTCCTTTTCTTATCGTGGAAAGAGCGAAAGTCGGTGTGAGTTTCGGATTTTCTGTCCGTCGACTCATCCCATCTCGAGGACGCCGACCCATCGTCCCCCGTCCATTCTTTGCGTATAATAAGTTGTCTTTTTTCCTCGTAAAGTCCCTCCCATCCCATTTCCCGTCCGATCCCAGAGTAGAGTTGAAGAATCCATCCCATCCCATTCCCTATGCCATTTAATCCTCCTCCATTTCATCACTCCAATTCAAATCCCATGTCATCATTTTCTCAGCCCAGATTCCGATGCGAGCTTGAAGTATGACGATAAACCACCCTAACAATATTTTTAAAAATTTCGACAAATATCCACCGTCGTACCATCAACTATCCATAATTACTTTTTTCGCCGTCTCAGTGCTACCCGCACTCCCATTGGTACCTCGTCTCTGCATTTTGGTGACTGGTGGAATTTTAGATTTTCTCCTCGTCGTCATGGTCAGACCTTCATCACTATCCGAATCATCATCTTCAGCGAAACACGCCCCATCATCAGCTTTATATCCTTCGTCTTCGATGTCGGGACTTAAGCAAATGGTGTCATCACCAGGAAAAGATCCTGGCTCCATTTCAGATTCTCTCGAAGACTCCTTGGATAATGTTGGTGGGGTGAGAGTTTCTGGGGTGCTTTCCGCTGTGAAAGTGGTGACACCAGGGTGTTGAAGAAAGTCGCCTTCGGTATCAGCGGAAACCGACGATCCTCCCGATATAAGAGCTGGTAAAGAAGGCACAGATGGGAAAATTTGTTCTGTCGAGCTAAGTGCTATCGATGAAATAGGCGACGGTGCATCTGACGGTGAGGTCATGCTAGTCGAATTAACCGAGCTAGATGATTGTGCTCTTTTAGCAGCATCTTCCTGTTTCTGTACGAATATATGATCATCTGGTGACGGAGGGCAATCTTGTGCCTTTCGCAATTCGGCTTTCGCGACTCTTCGAAGTTCCTCCTCCTCCACTTCTTGCTTTCGTCTTCGAGCTTGAATGTCGCGAGCACGTTGAAAAGACTCTGGTGTACTGGTATTCATCGAACGACGAGGTGGTGTTTTACCTTCAGGGGTTTTGCTGGCAGTCGACGGACGCTCATCAATATTAGAAGCTGCATAAGCAGTTTGAGGAAAGTTGGGGGTCGATGCGGATTGTGTAGTCTGTTGAAGTTGATGAGCTTGTACCATGTAGGGTTCGAAAAACATCGGTGATGCCAGAGGTTTGTCATAGTATGCGCTCACAGGGCTGGCTTGTTCTGATCTGGAGATGCCATATCGTGAAGACAAATGAGAAAAATGTCCAGGTGCAACAGCATCACTCACAGCAATGCTCGGCTCGGCGTGCTTGTTTTCTGATTCAAACAAACTACGATCAACAGACCGCGCACGAGAAGCAGTGCCCTCTTCGATTTCATCCAGACGATCACGTTCCCTCCCATGCCAAGGCAGATGGCCAGAGAAGATTCCACCAAGATGATCTGTAAAGGGGCCAGGGGTATGGGTTCCATCATCGTGCATGATTGAGTGGCCATTACTAGTTACAGATTTTGAATGCGAGTGTCCTCTATGTACGACCGTTTGGATTGAAGCCGCCGCCGAAACTTGTCGATCCGGCGGACCTGGTCTTGAATCAAAATTGAGCCCATCACCAGATGGGATACGTGTAGGGGTAGCTCCTACCGAAGAAGATCCATGAGCAAAGTCCCTGGCAAACGGATCCGCAGGTTTGTGCGCAGTGTCTGGACTCGCCGTGAGACTTTGAGCGAGCGGGTGGCCTGAGTGTGTGTATTGCTCTCGTTGTTCGTACTTGTCCTGGAAAGCGGCAAAGTAAGATTCATCGCCCCGAAGACTCGCTCGTCGGTTGTCTCCCCGGCTCAGTGGAGTAAATGGTGTGTGAAGGTTATCCGTGCCAGAACTGGTGGCACTGCTGATCGCTCTTCTGCGTGATCCCTCGCCTCTGGTTTCGCTTCTGGTAGAACCAATGACCTTGTTAACCGTCTTTTTGATTGCCGACCGAGCACGTTCCAGGAAAGTAATAGGCACAACGGCAACCTCCAATTCACGATCGTCGACCTGGATTCTTCTTCCAGAAGTTTTCCTTGATGGATCCGTGTCATCAAGCCAGCCGATGATGTTATCGATGCCTCGAATGACCCAAGGATGACGTTTGACTTCTCTGAGCTTCATCCGTTCCGTCGGATCTTTCACAAGCATCCGCCGGAGTAAATCCAACAATTCATCATCAATGTCCTCAAACGCAAGCTCTCCATCCTCTCGGTATGGGCCCGCAGTAGGCGTAGCTCGCTTGTTGAGGCTCGTTGATGATGCAGAGTTGTTCAGCGCCGAGTCCACTGGCTTTAGACGTCTTTTTGGGATATATATATCGTCTTTAGCAATAGATCGAAACAACTGATACTCGTCCTCGGCAAGGAATGGGATACGTGCATAAACGAGGCAGTACAGGGTGACACCGAGAGACCAAACATCGATTTGTTCCGTGATCTTCGGTTGCTCATGGTCCAAGTCCGTGTAACACAACTCGGGGGCGAAGAATGCAGGTGTCCCAACGGTCTTGGCCAACTCGAGATCGTCGTCGAAATCTGTTGCGTCTGCCTCGGAGACATTCTCTTCTGTTTCGCCCTCCCGAATTGGTCGTCCAAAATAAGATACACCAAAATCGGAAATCTTGACACGGTGATCCTTTGTCCACAGTAAATTGGCCGGTTTGATATCTCGGTGAACGATACCTTCGTAGTGCAAATACTCTAAACCAAGCACGGTATCACGAAACGCTGATCTAGCTTGTTCAATCGTGAAGCAAGGGACAAAGGAGAAATCCTCCTCAAACGCATCGTGCGGTACGTCGTCGACGGAAGACATATGTGATATGATACTATCTGCCATACTCGGAGATCTCCCTCGGTAAGGTGGTTCATCGGGGTACGATCCATAGTACGTACCTTCGAGAGCACCAAGCGAGCCGTGGTGCGATGGTAGCGACGGTACCGATGGGAGGGATGGTAAAGGTCCTGGTGTTTCGTCCTCATTGTCACTGTCCAAAGAAGGAATATCGTACTCGATAGGTAACGGTGTATGTGCTCGGGAGCTGGCGCGAGACGGTACCACGGATGGAGCTCTGGAGTGTGTACGAGAGCTTGGCCTTGAGACGGTCCTTGAACGATACGCCGATAGACTTTGTGCAGAGTTATGTGTATTCTGCCGTGAGAGAGGGACACCCTCGACATCGTCTTCATCTTCGCCATGTTCCAAGCTCCAGAATTCGGCATGTGCATTGTTATACTGAGTGATCTTGGCTCGTTGTGCGTCCTTTCGCTGGCGTCGGCGATCGATCATCTTGAAAAATTTCTCTTCATCGCCCGTATCTTCTCCATGCTGCTCTCGTTCAACTCGACGTCTTTCGTAGAGACAGATCTGCGGCATGCCTTTCTTGCGCCAAGTGACCTCGCCATACTCGACATGTTCCAACACCATGTATATCTTCTTCAACTCGGGATCGTCGATGACTTCCAGTAGACCCACAACGTTTGGATGACGGATCTTTTTTAGTATCGCAATCTCTCTCTTGGTTTTATCCTCCGGGGAGACGGTGACCTTGCCCAATCGTCGTTTCTTCGAGTAGCGCTGTATGATTTTGATGGCGACATGTTCGCTCGTATTGAGATTGCGAGCCAACTTGACCTTTCCGTGGACACCACGACCGATCTCCTCAATCACCTCGTACTGGTTGATTAATTTTCGGCCGGTGATAAAGTCCTGTTCGACCATCGCCTTGTGGGTTCTAGATGCACATGTTAGCTTCCATGACGTTTTTCCCGATAAGCTAGATTAGCAAGGAAAAGGTGCGACGAGGCCAATCTGGTAGATCGAGGATGGCGATTGTGGCAGCAGTAACAGCAGACGTGTCCGAACGTAGATCGGCATGATTCTTCTGGTGGTTGTGGTTGAGAGTGGTGGGAGTGGGATGTTGAGCCAAGTCGCATCAAGAATGAAAGAAACTCACTCTTTGACCTTGTGCAGCTGCAACGGATGCAGGTACGGACTAGATTGCGGTGTGCCATCGGACGGAGGAGCTGCAACTCTTGGAGGCAGAGACGTGGGAGAGAAGAGTCCTGGACTCGAGGCGGGCGTGCTCGCGGCAGTCTTCGACATCGTGCTGAAATCCATTGTTGAGAGGCAGCAGACGGACGATTGTCGACATGTTTGGTGGGGGGAGTGCTTAAAGGAAAGGCACCCGGAAACGTCAGCGGAGAGTCGACATTTGTACTGGTGTGTGGTGGATGAGGAAATGATTCAGCGGCAGCGAGGTTGAAAAGGTAGGAGTGGAAAATGGAAAATGGAAATGGAGAGTAGGAGTAGGAAGCAGAAAGCAGTTAAGGTTGTGGTGTGGTGTGTAGTGAGTGGTAGTAGTTTGGAGCGGAGGTGGATGCGATGATGGGCGTGCTTGTGCAGCGAGCAGACAGACGAGAAAGTGGTGTGAGGTAGGATTGGTTGTGGTGGGGATTGGGGTTGGGAGCTGGGCGAGAAAGAGCCTAGACGGATGCGGGCTAGCGTGACTCAGCGATAGCCCACCCGAACCGGGGTTGATTTTTGGCTGAGCTTTTCTTCTTTTCAGACAACTCGACGCGCACGCCGCATCAGGCCCGCGCAGTAGTGGTGGTCGTTCAAGTATTATTGCAGACAAATGGTCCAGGGCATCAAATTTTCAATGCACGCTTATACTGGATGGGTACTTGGGTACATGGGCAAAGTCGCATTCGATGGACGATACGGTCACTTCAGACTTTGTACTAGTGCCATCGTGCAATGACGGCTGATTCGATTGATTGCGTAGTGTGGTCTGAGCAGCGAGACAAGGGGGCTTGTTGAGCTTGTTGGTGTGTGCAATGTCATGGGTAAGAGGAGGGGTGGCCAAGGGGAAGGGGAAAGGGAAAGGGAAAATCGAGGACAATGAGAGACAAGAAGAAGCCACCACGACCGAGTTGAGAGGGGTAAGAGGCTTGATTTGGGCGGGAGAGGAGAGGAGGATGCACCGTTCTTTGTGTATCAACATTAGGCCTAATCAACATTTTCTAGAGGCGTATCAAGAGACATCTCGCTTATCATCATAATACGAATTAGATGCAGAATACATGCTAGCATATATCTGCCTTCTTCTAAGATACACTGATGTGAGGTACCCGAACAAAACCGAACACTGACAGAATAGTTTGCAGTAGCCGCCCGATAAAGTTCCATCCCAGATTTGTTTTCGGGTCATCGTCTCCTCATCAGCGCCGATATTATCTGGATGATTAATTCTCCTTCGGGCATAGTCTCGACGTCTTTCAAAGTATCCATCCGAATAGCGGCAGCGAAATACAGTAGCCACGGAGGCGAGATCCCCATCGCTTACAAGCCTCTTCAACACGCTTCGCCCGCTTGGGTCCAATAACAAGCCGTCCATCGATACCGCGTATGTTTGGGGCGAGCAGTACGACATCACCTTGCAAGTGGGCGCTGAGACAGTGATACGGACGGAAAGATTGCAGGGGATACAGGCTACGCTACCTAATTGAGAAACAATTGTTGGAGTTGGTCGAGATTTATATAAAGATATTACTGTAAGCTGGTCTTCTTGGGTGGTTGCAGATGGCTTTTGTTCGCTTATGGTTGTGGTAGAGAGAGGGTGGTGATGATATTCAACACAGAGTAAAGTATCGCAGTACCGATAAACAAAACCCTCCTCCTCACTCGTCGTCAACTCAAACAAAAAAGCAATATTCCACGCCCGCGTCCTCAATCCAAGGGTCCGCAAAAGTCCGGGGTAATGGCTTGCTTATCTCCTCTCCTCAACACACCGGAACACCAACCCGTGCACTTGTCCCTCCCCTCGAATCCCGTATCCACCCTCTTCGTCCTCGGCGCATCGCCACCAGATAATAAAGCATTCATTTACACACACTATATCGCATCATCCCACAACCATCTTACTATGCTCGTTAGGTGGCCGAGTAAAAAGTTAAATTGAGTAAACATGATTTTCCATCCACAGCCGCCCGACGCGCAACAAAAGAAAAAGTCGTTGGTGCCCCTCCATCACACAACTTGACCCCGCCCCTGGAGCGTGGCAGGCTGTGAGGTTAATGGTTTTAGAGTTGGCCAGTGAGAGGCGGGTGCGGTTTAAACTGGCATGTACGGGACGATGGTGCATTTTATGATCGTGATGATCTTACGAAATAGGAATAGGATAGGGTCTAGATGATGCGGCGGGAGACATCTTTAGCTTTGAGTTTGATGGAGGATTGGGTTTGAGTGGTGCATGATCTGGCGCGGAATAGGGGATTTGAGATGGAAGAGGGTTTTGGCATGTGCTTGGGGTCGTGACTAGATATTTTGGGTGGTACCTAGGTACCTGTATTTTAAATATAATGTATGTGAAATAAGTAAGTTTATGGCTCAAGTAAATACATGTTTATTGCGATATTGATAGCCCATAAGCGAGATATACGATCACTGATCAGATAGCAAGTATCAGCGTATGGTCCGAGTTAACCTATCCATCATTCCCGCTCGAAAACCTCCGATCCTGCGTCCTCCGGTCAAATCACAACACCTTTCGCACCAAAACCTCCTCCTCCAAATCATCTCCTCTTACCTTACCCCGTCATAATTCCCATCCACCACCCCCCTTTATCACGAATGAAAAATCACTCATCCAAATCCTACCTCCTTCTAATCTGTTTGGATGAATACCCCAAAAGCGGGGCCCCAAATGATACATCACTTCCGTCCCGACAAACCGTCAATGGCACGTCGAAGATGCAAGACTCGACCCATTTCAACGACGTGCGGGTTCTGCCACATCTTTCCAGTGATGTACCCTTGACGTTGATGGAGTACTCCATGAGATACATACCCCATTACGACGTAAGATGGGGCAGCGATGCGTGAAGTGAGGGAGTCACGGTACATGAGTAGGTACGTGGAGGGTATGGTGGTATTGACAACTCAGTGGAAAATTGAAAATTGAGATTGTAGGATTGTAGGGGGGATAGAGGCGTGGTGAGGTGAAGAATTTGGGGGACTCACGATGTGTAACACTCACCTCAATTCCTCCTCCACCTCAACTCCCTCCTCTCATCTTCACGTGCCATCCCCATATCTTCCTCTCACCAGAAACCCCCCATCCAATCCAACCCCCTCATGCACCATGCGCGTAATATCCCCAACGGGCCTCCTGCATCCCCTCTCCAGGGCAGCCTCCTAATCGTCGAATCGGAAACCCGCACGCCTACACCGATGCATATGGAAGATTTCTACCCGCCGGTCGACAGTACATGATGTAGTAGCAAGTACTTTATTTGCCACTGATTCAAAGGATTTATTGGTGAGATGTAGTTGAGACAGAGATGCGTGAGCTGAATATGCAAAGTAGTGCGCGGCGCTGAAATGGTAGGTGTTGGTTTGAGCGGGACGAACCGTGATGCATCATGAGATTTCTCCCAAGAATTTTCTGCAAAGTACCGATATCGGTACATATCCGTAGGTCGGTTAATCTTGTAGAGCAACTCCTGTCGGTCGGCGGCATGGTAATTTATTTCTTTTGCTTTTTTTCTATTTATTTTTTAATACCGACGAGTCGAAGCCGACCGAAGGATAAACTGGATGCCGATGCCGATGCCGATATTTTAAGTGCTTATTCCGGAGGCCGGATGGTAGTTTGTGTGTGAGCTTTGATTCTTGCGTACACGAACAGATCCGGCGTTGAATGCAACCCTCAGGATATGAGACGAGGAATTCGACACCCTATTGCAACCCTCAGCATACGATACTCAAATACGAGTATGAGTAAGAGAAGGCAAGACAATTGACATCATCCACATCCGCGTCTGAAACATGCGCTCAAAAGAGATGATGCAGTACCCTTTGAGATGGTGTGGTACCAAATGAGGTGTGTCAAGTGATTTTGGGGCAAGCCACACTTATTTCCTTCCAGGTTGGTAGGCAGGCAAGCTATGTTTTGCTTCGCCACGATGAAAGGTAGTCATGGTGAGACACTTTCACATGTTTGGTTTGTAACGTATGAGATGATTTGGGTATTCGGATGGTTCGGATGGGGCGAGGGTGGTGAGGAAGAGGGGGAGAAGTGATGAGAGAGTTGGAGAGCTTGAAGGGGGTGATGGTGTTGAGAGATGAGTGAAGGTGAAAGGTGTTGAGGTGTGAGTTAGGTTGAGAGGTGAGTCAGGTTAGAAGCATTGTGATGTGGGAAGAGAAGTGGTGGATGTTGACAGGTACCTAGGTATTGTACTTGTGTGTTGTGCTTAGGAATGGAAGAGTGTTCCTGGTAGGAAGGAAATGGTAGGAAGAAAATGGTAGGAAGGAAAGATGTTACGACTCAAGAGTTTCTGTGGGCATAATGAGAAAAGGTAAGTCGTATCGAAAGTTTTTGTGATCCACAAATCATTTCCATGCGGAAAGATCATACATACGGAAACACTAAGCTAATATATACGCGACAGGATAGGCTATACTTGCATTTTACTACCAGGGACCTTACGGCATTAGTTGTGAATGCAATGTGTTAGGGGATGAATCGACGCGCAAAGCTCCAACTTCTATCGCTCAAAAGTAGAAAAGGCGGAGGGTTTAGCTGATTGTGAAAACAAATCCAGGCAGCGAAAGGTGAGTTGCTTATGGTGCGAAGAATCAGTTGGTGAGTGGCCGGATAAGATATCTTCCAGTCTCTCGCCAGCGGTTTACAAGACCATGGCGTGAAATTGGAGAGCCGTCTCATGGACCTGAGTTCCATATTTCAATGAATTTGAAGTAAGTTACAAAATATCCGGCATTGCAAGTTGAAAGCAGATACTGAAAACCTCTCAACAGGAGAAGTTCAACACTTATTCGAATTACCAAATCAAATGTATTGATAAAAGTCCTAACAAAATACCCTACGGAAAGAAACCACTGCAAACCGCCTATCTGCAACGAAAAGAAACCCCAACCCAAAAGCAATTACAATCCGCTATATTCTTATCTCCCATTTCACACCACAAACCCTGCGAAACCAGATATCGTTACCGACACCCACTTGTTTAAGCACCAGCCTCCTCACTCTTAGCAAACGCAGCAGCGATACCCTCCAAGATCTTCTCCAACTGCTTAAGTTGTCCCGGAGTAGGTGGCGAACTCTCAATCGCAGAACTGGAAGCGACTCGCTTCAATACCGAGCATCCACTCGACATCTCTGGGTGTTTGGCGGCAAGCGAGTCGCAGAGAGTGACTAGACTGTCGAGCGTAGGAGCGTCGCGCTTGGGTGTCTTCTTGTTGTATTGGGTTGGTAGGGGAGTGACGGTAGTGCCGCCGCTGGCGCCGACGTTGACGGCGGCTGGGGGGAAGGGTGGGATGATATCTGCTACTCCTGTGGATGGGTTGGTGGGTGGTGGGTTGGAGCCGAATGTTGGGTTGGATGGGTTGTAACCGCTTACTTGGGTTGGGCCGGTTGGGAGACCACCACTACCTGAGCCTGGAGAGGTTGGGATACCACCGCTGCCTGAGCCTGGAGATGTTGGGAGGCCGCCGCCTGTAATGGGTTGCCCTGGTAGAGAACCACTTGGGGGGGTATAACCAACACCTGCTCCGACTGATGGAGCGCCAACACCTGGGTTGACAGACGCGGAGCCTCCAGCAGATGGTCCACCAACTAGACCCCCTACAATAGGAAGTCCACCGACGATTGGAAGACCGCCACCACTACCTCCAGTAATTCCTCCTACAATTGGACCAACAATTGGAAGACCTCCTCCTGAAGAGGTGCCTGCTCCGACTGAACCGCCGGTAGTTGGAAGACCGGCACCGGTTCCGGGTGTATATCCAGCTCCTGTCTGAGCACCTCCAGAGACTGGAAGTCCAACAACAGCAGACTGTGGGCCTTGGAAACCGCCCTGGAAACCTCCAAGAAGACCTCCCACGCCACCTCTGCCATCGCCATTGACACCTCCGAGTAAGCCACCTACACCACCAGCTCCAGTGGCCGCTCCTCCATTAGCGCTGAGTCCGTTTTGGCTCGAACCACCTTGAAATCCTCCTTGGAAGCCACCCAGGAGTCCACCTAACCCTCCCCTTCCATCACCAGTGACACCTCCAAGAAGACCACCTAACCCACCAGCTCCAGTCGCAGCGCCAGATTGTCTCTTGCTCAACTCCCTTTTCCCTTGGAAACCACCTTGGAAACCTCCCAAAAGACCACCAATGCCTCCTCTCGCATCACTCGTCACACCACCAAGCAATCCACCTACACCACCCGCTCCGGTAGCAGCACCGGCATTAGCACCAATTCCATTACCATTCGCACCACCTTGATATCCACCCTGAAACCCTCCAAGAAGCCC